TAACCCTAACCCTAACCCTAACCCTAACCCTAACCCTAACCCTAACCCTAACCCTAACCCTAACCCTAACCCTAACCCTAACCCTAACCCTAACCCTAACCCTAACCCTAACCCTAACCCTAACCCTAACCCTAACCCTTCTTGCAATGTTCGTGTGAAGCTTTAGTGCCTAAGTGCAAGTGCTCAGATTGTTCTGCTAGATTGTGTAGCAGAACATTCCAATCACTAACATAGCAGGATGTTCTGCTGCATATGGTAGTAGAACATTCTGCCCAAACATGCAGGATGTTCTAGTGTATGTCTTAGTAGAACTTCCTAAGACGAAGTTTCTACTAGGTATCGCAGTAGAAACTTCTGTTGCTCGGACGCACAGAATAGTCTAGTACAATATCTCGCAGATTATTCTATGTATCTATACTGTAGACTATTCTAGTAGATTACTGAGTTGGAACTTTGACTGGACTATATGACCAGAAACTGTCTGTCTTTACCTTGATACAGTGATCTTATCTACTGTGAATCCTGTGCGCAGTGTTAACTTGATAAGCACCTGAGGTCTAATGGTAAAGGCTCTCATTGTGGCTGAATCACTCGAGGATACCAAGTTCGAATCTTGGTAGGCACCTCTGAATTGAAGCAGCATTTTTTTGTGTATATTGATTGCTTAGGGAGCAAGGCAAGATAGTGTAAGAGAGTGTGCTGCACCACCATCGGAACTCATTTCGGGAATTGAGTCAGGTTGCCAGTATTGCACAGATCAAGGAGAATTACCCCTAGGTAGAGCTCCGTATACGGGAGTGTGATACGCCACAAAATATACCCTGACTTGTTGGGACTAGTAACGATATGACTTGTCGGGACTAGTGACGATATGACTTGTTGGGACTAGTAACTGTATACCCTGACTTGTCGGGACTAGTGACGATATGACTTGTCGGGACTAGTGACGATATGACTTGACGGGACTAGTAACTGTATACCCTGACTTGTCGGGACTAGTGATGATATGACTTGTTGGGACTAGTAACTGTATACCCTGACTTGTCGGGACTAGCAATATTGTGACTTGACGGGACTAGTAACATATACCTTGTAACACAAATATTTACAGACATTGACTTGGAGTAGGTCAGAATCAAGTGTAATGTACGTAGTAAGTTATTATCACCAGAAAGACAGTCGAGCATCTGTATAATGGCTAACATCCTATAATATAAGATCACTACAAGTAATGCATCACCATATTAGGCCCAATCATCTTGATTAACAGTGCACAAGTGATGTTAGAGTCAGCACATCAGTTGACTGTCAGTAATCAAGCCCAAGGTACAGGACAGCATGGATAACTGAACAACAGGCCTAGCAGTGCTTGTAAGCATACCAATCTATAGATATCTACTGAAGATAGTAAGTCAGACATTACTATACTGGTAAATATGGAGAATTACTGTATGAAGCCTATATGGAAGCCCCAGAGGTACAGCAATATGCTGAGGTAACATGTTCTGAAAGGCACACATAAGGTCTACTAAAAACTTCTAAGGAATAGAAAGGTCAAATGGCTGTAAAAAGTATTGGGGAAGGTCTAATAAATGTATGAAAAGATGTATGTTTATTGTATACTTTCTAGGTAGCCAAGGCTGCGTTCAACTGCTTGCGACCACCCCAAAGCGACATAGTGGCAAACGCGTACTGGTACGACGTACCAGTACGCATCAAATCACGTGACTTGTATCGGACCACTGGCCAAATCAGAATATCGCCCTACTTTGATCAGGGACTCATCCGAGGGCTAGTCATGCTTGTACTGCTTGGGGAAAGGCAGGGGGTGGTGATCTATGGTTGTCTACCATACTGTCAGACAACGTTAATGGACATCAGATTGGCCAAATTAGGAAACAATGTTACTTCAACCAACAGCTTTGATCCAGAGCACGGGAAGGCTCGGTCTTACTCAGAGGTGCTCAAGGACTTCAGAGTATAGACGAGAAAGATGGTAGGTGGGCAGGGCAGCTTTAAATGCGCACATGCCTGGCGAAGGGACAGGATCACGTGATCAAGATCATGACCAATGTCAAGCTCACCTCTATTGCCGGTAGGCTGCTGCTCTATGGCGTATACAGTGTCAGGCGACCTCTAAGAGCTTGCCGCTGGCTGGTGCCAAAGGCTATTGAAGCAGGCGGGCATCTACATCACCGTCAGACCGCGTCAGACCGCGTCAGACCGCGTCAGACCGTCCAAATTGGGAAGCCACTGTGTTATGACATCCGACAGTAATCAGGAGCCTAGCAGTTTTGGTGGGGGTGGATTCGTGCTTGAGGACATCAGAAAAGACACAGAGATGGTGGTAGGTAGACAAGGCAGCTCAGAACGGGTGACTGCCTGGCCAGCGGGCTGGATCACGTGATGGAGATCATGGCCGACGTCGAGCTCGCCTCTATCGCTGATAGAATGCAGACTCATAGCATAGGCAGTGCCAGACGACCTCATACAGCTTGCCGTTTGCCTATTCTACAGTCTATTGAAGTAGGTCGTCCCCTACAGCTCCGTCAGACCGCGTCAGACCGCATCAGACCGCGTCAGACCGGCCAAAATAGGAAACCGCTGTACTTTGACATGGGAATGTAGTTAACAGGGTCACTATATACAAGCACGGCTTCCAGTGGCTGATAAATTATATTGAGAAGGTCGTATGGCAGCGCGGGAGGTCAAGGATGCCCACATTTTTGCTCAAGGGATGAGATCACGTGATCACACTGGGAGCATCGTCTAGCTCTCCTCTATTGCTGGTAGAATGCAGACTCATAGCATAGACAGTGTTAGAAGACCTCATACAGCTCGCCGTTTGTGTGTTCTACAATCTATCGAAGTAGGTCGTCCCCTACAGCTCCGTCAGACCGCGTCAGACCGCATCAGACCGCGTCAGACCGGCCAAATTGGGAAGCCACTGTATTATGACATCCGACAGTATTCAAGAGCCTAGCAGTTTTGGTGGAGGTGGATTCGTGCTTGAGGACATCAGAAAAGGCACAGGGAATGTGGTAGGTAGACCTCAGAACGGGTGACTACCTGGCCAGCGGGCTGGATCACGTGATGGAGATCATGGCCGATGTCCAGCTCGCCTCTATCGCTGGTAGAATGCAGACTCATAGCATAGGCAGTGTTAGAAGACCTCATAGAGCCTGCCGTTTGCCTATTCTACATTCTACCGAAGCAGGCGGTCGTCTACAGCAACGTCAGACCGCGTCAGACCGCGTCAGACCGCATCAGACCGGCCAAATTGGGAAGCCACTGTATTATGACATCCGACAGTAATCAAGAGCCTAGCAGTTTTGGTGGAGGTGAATTCATGCTTGAGGACATCAGAAGAGGCACGGGGAAGGTGGTAGGTAGACATGGCAGCTCAGAACGGGTGACTGCCTGGCCAGCCGGCTGGATCACGTGATGGGGATCATGGCCGACGTCGAGCTCGCCTCTATCGCTGGTAGAATGCAGACTCATAGCATAGACAGTGCCAGAGGACCTCATACAGCTTGCCGTTTGCCTATTCTACATTCTATCGAAGTACGCGGTCGTCTACAGCAACGTCAGACCGCGTCAGACCGCGTCAGACCGCGTCAGACCGGTCCCTCCGTCGGCAGCTCTGGTGTTGGCGGAGATCCTTGGGATCAACCCTCGGGCCCTCCCCCCACCTCCCCCAGCCCTTTCTGCAACCTCCGGGACGCTGGGGGCACCTCAGGCGCCCCCCACCGTCGCCCAGCGCACACGGCCGGAAGCGGGGAAACTCCGGAGTCTCTACGCTACAACCTCCCGATCACTCATGGGAATTTGATGGCGCATCAGCGCTCGGCGAATCCCTAAATTCTGTGGAACGTGTCGTGGTGGCCGCCACAGCGCGATAGCCTGCGGCAAACCTGTACCATCGTGCGCGCGGGACAATTCCGGTTCGAACGGTGCCCCTTACGAGGGAGTGGGCGCACGGGTTCCCTAACCTTGTAGGATCGGGAGCCTACAGGTGCCAGAGGGTTAGAAGTGTAGATGAGGTGCTTAGCTACCAGTGTCTATCACCCGATTCTCTTACGGTATTAGCGAAATCGCTGTAAAGCGACGTCTGACGCATCACATGACCAGTTCGACTTTCGGAGCCGTGCCGGCCCGAACTCCGCCCGCTGACGCCAAAGCTGCCGCTCACCTCGCACGTTGGTCGCAAGGCTATACTCTATCTTTCAGCCGAGGGTAAGCCTGATTCTCGTCTTCCAAAGGTAACCAACAAGCTGTATATACCTCGCAAGTTGACCCACAATCTTGGACCACCCATCCGAGCGGCCCCCCATCCTTGCACCCTCCTTTGAACCTGAGTCGAAACCTTTGATCTTCCGGGGAAGGCGCGCGAAGAATTCAAGCCAGCTTCGGTTGCACGCCCACCTTTCTCAGCGCGCTAAAACTACCCGAGGTTCTTGGCCAAAAGCACGATGTATACGTCGCAGTGACGATGAAGGAGGAGGCGCGGAACCATTCGTAGGAGATGATCCGGAAGAACCGACCGTGCTTGTAGTTGCTGTGCTGCTTCGTATCGACAAGGTCGCTGGCGCAGTAGTGGTGCGACGCGCGACATTGCGAGAGCTGAAGGAAGAGGCCGGGAAACTCACCAACTAGTACTTGTTGTGTGGCGACCTTTACGAAGCACCGACTCGCACGAAGACAGGGAACAGAGCAGAACAGAAGTCATGTGTTCACAGATCCAGTGTACAAACACAAGGTGCATCTGCATGAGTACGTATGCGTGGTCGTGACATAGCAATATCGATAGCGAGGAACAGGTAAGAAGATGGTACACATGAGCCATCGCGCGCGCAGCACACGATGGGCCAAACTTGGTGGGTACGTACACGTCTATGCGGAAGATCCGCCCTTCGACGGCAGGTTCTCTTTGCCCCCAAAGACGTCGCGCAGCTCCCCGAGGATACGCTTCCCCTTCGTCGTATCCTCCTTCTTCGCCTCGCCCTTCGCCAGCTCGGCCTCCATGTCGAAACTCGTATCGCCGCTCATCATGCTCCAATCCTCCTCGAGTAGACTTGGCTTCCCGCCGACGTCCGGCATGCGCACAGGCGACGCATCGATAGGATCCTTCGAGGACGAGCCCGCGGCACGGGAGGACGGGCGCGTGGTAGCGGCGCGCGAGGTCGGACGAGAGGCGTCCGCGACGTACTTGACCTCACCGTCCTTCATCTGCCAGAGCTCCTCCTCGCGGCCCTCGCCGACGGCGGAGAGGCGGCGGCCGGAGCTGAAGCGACTGAGAGTGGGGAGGCCGGTCATGCCCTTCGACACACCCGACGAGCCGAGCTTCGACGAGTCAAAGAGGCTCACGAAGCTGGCGAGGGCCTCGCGCTGGCTCTCTAGGGCTTGGCGAGTCTAGGCAAGACGTTAGCGTGCGTCCTCTCTTCGTATATAACACGTAGACGTACCTTGCGCTCACGGTCGAGCTGACGAACGAGCTCCTCCGACCAGCGCTCCACGTCGAGTCGCCGCTGAATCTCCATGTCAAGCTTGCCCTGCCACTCGCGCTCGACGTCCTCGCGGACGGCACGCAGTGGCTCGCCGAGGTTGTTCTCGTACCTACGAAGTTCGTTAGTCTCACTCGGTCGAATGGAGAGGACCGCGACATACCCCTTCACGACAATGTTCAGCTCCCGGTTCTCGTTCGTCAGCTTCAGGATCAGCTTGTCCTTCTCATCATCGGGCGCGTCGGCAGGGAGTGGTGGTCGGGACGTGAGCGCCGTTTCGAGCGACAGGATCTGTGCTTGCTGTGACTCTAGTTGGTGCCGTGCGGCGAGCAACTCTTGTTGCAACTATCCAGCGTTGTCAGCTCGACCTCGTGGCAGTTCAACGCAAACGCTCACCTGGTAGGGCGACATGTCGAAGTCGACCTTCATGGGGCTCGCCGGCCGCGACTCGGCAGCGTCGACGGTGTTGCTGGTCAAGATGAGCTTCGTGAGTTGCTGGATACGGTTGTTGAGGTCGCGCATGGCCTTCGACTCGTCAATTTGCTAGCGGAGGTGGTTAGCGAGATGTACAGGACGCATCGTGAAGTAAGTACCTCGCGCGCGCTCAACCGTCTGTTCTTGACAGGCGCATCACGCTCGCGCTCTGCGAGCCTTGTCTGCAGTCTCGTCAGTCTTGCACCTCACAATGAAGGGGTGGATGCAGCGTACCTTGAGCTCCGCGATCTCCTTCTGGTACTTCTCGATGAGCGCGTCGGTGTCGACAACTTCCTTCTTCTGAGCATGCAGCTGGAAGGAAGCAGTCAGTATAATGGGCTAGCTGGATAGCGCACGGAACGCACCTTGACCCCCTTCACCCTCCGCGCGAAGCCCAGCGTACTCAGACTGTGCACCGACATAAGCACCGGCGCGTCAGCAAGCCACCGAGCCACACGCACCTCTCGCCCACGGCCCCCACATCCGGGTTGATCGTACAAATGACCGAAATCCGCGCGTTCCCCGCCAAACACGGTTGCAAGATGCGCGTCAGCTTGGAGTTGCGATACGGGATGTGGTCGCTGGGAAGCATCGTCAGCCCGCTGCATCGCGCAACCAGAACAGCAACGCGTACTGTTTGTTCTTCGCCGCGTTCTCCGCGAGCGTGCCGATGACGGAGCCGAGGGTGAGTAGACTGATTGGCATGTCAGCGCAGGAGCATAACGAAGAGTCACTGAGACGGACCTGGTGTTGATATACTTCCCCTCGCGCGTGCGCTCCTTGTCGCTCGTCGCCTTCTCCGAACCGGCAAGATCAATGAGGCTCTGTCCCACACCATCAGCCACCCCGTCGCGTAGAAACATAGAACTATCCACTCACCAACACCGACGTCTGCACACTCCGGCCCCCAATCGCCTGCAGCTTCGGCCCGGGTGTCCTCCTACCCCCCATCCCCGGCGTCTGCCGCCCACTCGGCGTCGCCCTCCCACTCATCCCCGGCGTCCCACTCTCCCGATCCACGTCCTCCGCGCGCTCCCGGCTCTCGATGACAACGCGGAAGACCGAATGCGAGCGGCTGGAGCGCTCATTCCAGTCGGTGGACGCCGTGCGCCGGTTCGCCTCGCCGCGCTTGAGGACGTCGGTGACGGACTTGAGGGAGGTGATGACTTCCTCGCGGAGGGGGGTGAGAGTGATGTCGTTGGCGTTGGCGCCTTGGATTTGGACGACGTTGCCGCCTGCGGGGAGTATGTTAGCGGCGTTTTCACGGACGGAGGGCAGGGAAAGTACGTACCTGAGGTGGAGGGTGGCGCGAGGAGATCTACGACGGTCTCGTTATAGATCTCTAGGTAGGAGCACCGCAGGAGGTACTCTCGCTGGGGAGTGCGCTTGATGAAGCCGAATATATCGCGCATCGAGCGCGGGATGATGCCTGGTTCCTCTTGAATGCCCGTTGTCGGATCGGTAGGGCCACCGGTGAGCGTGAAGGTCTTGCCGGACGCGGTCTGCCCATACGCGAAGATAACCGCGTTAAAGCCCTCCATCGCGGCGTGCACGTGTGCGCGGCCGACGGCGGTATAGATGGGTTTGTTCGGCGTGCCGGTGAGGACATTGTCGAAGGTGAAGTCCTGCGCGGTCGCCGAGGCGTTCACGAGCGAGGGGTTGCGCGCGCACGACGGGTCGAGCTTGATCGTGTGGCCATCCGACAACCACGCGGACGCCGACGAGCTGGGGCGGATTCTGTGGCGCGCGCGTCAGAGGAAGTACGGATGGAGGGGGGTGATGTACGCACCTAACAGACACCATAACCTTGTCCTCCGACGCATTCACCTCCGCGGGATCAATCTCTGCGGAGACGTCGCCGGGCTCGATCGTCTGGGAGTCGAGCAGGACCTCCTCCGGGTCGACGTTGCTGACGTCCATCTCGCTAATCGGCGCGCTCAGCTCATCGCGCGCGGGGGTCGTCGGGCGCGAGTTCGGGCGGGACGGACTCGCGGGGACGGGCGCGAGCGTCGACACGGGGCGGCGCGCGCTGCGGACCTTCGACTCCGCCGAGATGGCCGCCTTGTACCGCTTGTGCGTCGACGACAGAAGGCCGCTCACAGGCTGCGCCTTCGCCGATGGCGTCTTCAGCTGGCTCGGCGTCTTCAGGCTGGCGAGGGAGGAGAGGGAAGAGAGGCCGGACTGCGAGGACGAGCCGGTGGAGAGCTCCGAGATCGGCCGCTTGGCGGGCGTGTAGAGGGGCGGGCCGCGCGTCTTGGGCGTCGCGGGGGGAGGGGCCATGGCGTGCGCGGGCTTGGGGAGCGGGTGAGATGGTTCGGTGTCGGCGGCGGCGCGCGCTCGTCGCGATGGTTCGAGTTGACCGATTTGGGCGTGAGAAAGCAACAGCCGCAAACGGAACGCGTGTTGCCACACGTGATCGCGTGCGGTTCGGTTTTCGGATCCCTCCGGCCTTTTCCCTCTTGTCTTCCACTTCCATGGTCCTGCGCGGCTTCGTGAGCGAGGCCGACGATATGCGCAATATGACACCTGTATGCTTAACAAACAATTTCTCGCACAACTCTATGCCCTTTATCGCACGAGGGAACAGACAGGGTTGGCTGGAGGGCAATTTCGGAGGTTCATCTGGCGATGAACTATTACCGCGTAAAGAACGGGCGCTTCGAGGATCAAAAGGCTCCCGGGACTGAAGGCAAATCCCGTGGATCGAATGACATCTTCTGGCGCGAAATGAGATACGTCTCGCGGTGCACAATGAGCGGTCGCTGTTGCGCTCATCACCTAATCAAGTCTAAATTCTTGCCCGCTTTCTCACCGATTCCCATCGACCACCCTTTCCATCTTTCTCCTCCCCTTCCACAAAGTGCATTAGACGAGATATGATCCCAGTACGTCTTCGTTGTATCTTTGCTAAATCGGCTGAACATCTTCGCGCAGTTCCTGCTTAAGTTCTTCTCCGACAGCGTCGTCTTCGGATGCGACTACCTTCTCCGCCAAGATGCTGATTGCATTAATGCAAGTGTTGTAAGTCCACGAACAACCGCGTGGAAGCACGCGTTAATCCTAAAGCCATCGCCATCCTCGCGATCGCCGTCGTCGCGTACTGTTCCAGCCCGTTATCTTAGTGATCCGGTCGACGGTCGCACTGTAAGACACCGTACCTCTTCGATGATCGCGGTGTCGAGGTTGCGGATGTCTTTCTCGAAGGCGTGGCGCTCGCTAGCGAGCAGGCCTCGAGTATCCATCCAGCTCAATCCCCCTCGACAACGCGCTCTGCTGGCCGCCAACCTTGTAGCTCTCTTCCGCTAGTCAGCGCCGATCGACCCGCACCGCGTTCCAGGAATCGTCGAAGCCAACCCGCGCGCACGCACTCAAAAGCTCTTCAAGGTGTGTACGGTCGTGACCGCATCGGGTTGAAGCAATTTAGCTCGGACAAGGAACCTGAGCGATGTATCCGCCGCGGTTTGGGTGACGTATCCACCGGCGGTTTTATCGACGCGCGAATGCTCTCCGCAAGTGAAATGAGGACTGCTGGCTCTAGGTACGCGTCCACTTCTGTATCGCCTTTCTGACTCTGACCACAAGAAGTCCAGCTGACATCACCCACGACGGAGGACGAGTAGCGATAGCGATGTCCAGCGCCGAGAGACCCGCTCGCGGCGTATCGAGCGTGAAGCTCGCCCGCGTGGCGGAATGCGGCGTAGAGACCGCGAGCAATGCTTATCTCGTCGAGAACTTGGAGCTCATGGCGGTCACAAGACGCACAAGGCCGCCGCCTCACGCCCGAAGGGATCGAGACTTCGTACGTCTCGTGCTTGAGGTGCCCCTTCCCTTGTCATGCTGATCCACCCGGTAGCATACATCCCGTCTCTGCTCTCCTGCGACGAGGATAGCTGGCTTCAGATAGCAGCCGCTTCTCCGTGGGATCGGCGACATCGGTCTTGCATGTAAGTCAATCTCGAGAATCCGTCTTTCCTCTTGTTGCTGAAATGTCCTTGAGTAACGCAAGGATAGTTGTTCTTCTCGAGCAGGCTCTCTTTTCCTCTACGAGCCTGCGCCCTTGCTCGGACGTTGTCCGAAAGGAGGGCACGCGATGATGTCGCGGATCAAAGCCCTCCCTCTCCCTCAAAATTGCAGGACGCGTCAGTGTATATATACGCCCACTTGATTCGAAGGCCTGCGCATAATATGTACATCGCCGGTTTCCAACGCGTACGAACATGACATATTCTGACCACCATCTTAGGTCTGCGACCAACTTGCCATGGATCACGACGGCATATCGTCACGAGGCTCTGACGCAGGAAGTTCTCGGTGAGCATCGTCCGCGAGCTTCGCTGACGATATCCTCTCGAGTCAGGAGCGACGTGTTTCGCCGCGCAAGCCAGCCCTCGAGGCGGCCCAACTTCCCGTGTCGTATGCTGGCGGACTCACCCGCACTTTGTCTGTTCTTCACGCGTCGTGCGGTAGAAATCTATGCCTCTTCTTGGGTATGCTCCATAGAAGTGCGGAAGCGGCGTCGAATCATCGACGCGTGTCTCGCTCGGGATTCGAATGGAAGGTGAGGTATGCGATACTTCACAACAAGTGCCACACTCACGGCACTTACCATTGTCCCCAGGTTTGGGTTCGCCTGAGCAACTCGCAACTTTGTGAGTGCGGTACTCTGAACTCCGCCGCGTTGAGCTGATGTAATCACCTTCGCAATAGCGGTGTTCAATACTGTCATTTCCTGTCTTGCCATATCGAGAGGACACCTTCGCGGCACGCGACTTGACGACATCTCAGTCGTCGACGTATTTGATCGGCGAGCGGCATCGCGCACGGGCGAAGAAGGCATCTTCGATGAGGAGTAACCCTCACGCTACTGCTACTCTTGCTTAGTCTGCGGCGCCACAAAATTCAACGAGACTTCGACGCGGAGAACACGGTGCAGTACGTTGCGCTAGCAGTCCTGGCTGAAGAAGTGAAAGGCGAACTCAGTACACTTGATTTTCTGTCTTTTCTCTCTCTGAAACCCGTAGCTTTATGGCTCTCAAAATTGCGAGGTCGACCTTTACCTGCGTGCGACTGTCCATCCGCTCTCGTGGTTTTTGATTGTCTAACGAGTCCCAGTGCCAACGGGGCTATGTAAATTTCCGAGGATGCCCAAAAGCGAGCCGGGAGCTACCGACCCTACGGGCCATACGGAGAACGATGGACACGGGTATGTTTTGCACGCTCTGATGCCTGACACTCGTACTGAAGCAGGCTACAGCCTGCAGCACGTGAGGCGCCTCGTGTAGACGGCAGTTACGTGGCGCGCTTCCCGCTTTTTTTCCTCTTGCTCTGGACGCTCACCATGAGCACGACAGTCTTTGAGGAAGTCGACGAGCTGTCCGCTCTTCTTGCCTCCGCGGACGAAGCTCTTCGGGAGGACGCCACCGCATCTGTGGACATAGCCGTTTCCCAGATTGTCGAGATCATGCGCGACCACCGTCCACTGCAGAGGCTATTCGCGCCTCACCCGCCGGCTGATCAGCCATATGCTACCTTCGACCTTCATGGTCCCGACCAATCGCGACTTCTCTCCATATGCACGGCGATCTCCAGTCTGCGAACGCTCCTAAACCTGTCGAAGGAGCTGAACCGCCCCGACATGGTCGCCTTTGAGGTGGATTTCTTCCTGTCGGTCTTTGACTGGATCGACTACCTCCTTCCTCTGGGCTGTGAAGCGCCTTTACTGAAGCTTCCGCGTGCGCGCCAGGCATGGCACATCCTGACATTCACCGAAGTCTGTCTCTCTTTCCTGCAGTCGTTCACGTTGTCGCTACCGAAGGAGAGCATGTTCGAGGTGCTGAGCTCCGGCGAGGAACGCGCGACCGCCGTCTTCGTCCGGGTTTGGATGAACTTACCGCGCACCCTCAAACGCGAAGGAGCGATGGAGTTCCAACTCGCGCGGGATATCACCAACATGTCCACGCTGCTTCTCCCTTTGCACTACGTGACTCTCCCGAGCGGTATTCTGCGCGACAGATTCGACGCAGAGGTCATGCGCCAGACCCACAATCACCCTCGCCGCCTATTCCGCGCCTACGCCGTGTGTATACGGGATTCGTTGTCTCGCGCTGTCACCGAAAGCGAGGTGATCTTCTTCGGGAAGTTACTCTGCGCTCTCATGTTCTATTCCAAGGTCCCCGATCTTGGCACTCCCTTGCGGATGCCGAATAGTCTCATCGCGGCTCTCCTCGACGCTCTTTATCCGCCGCATTTCTCGATTGACTCGGGTATATCCGAGCTCGTCTGGTATCACCTATCCCAGTTTGCCGTGCGTAGTAGCCGCTCGCTCGTCTACGCGCTGGAACACGACCTCTTTCCGGGTCTACTCCACCTTCAATCGACGACTGCGACACCGCTGGCCACCCCCTCAGAACTATACCCGATGATGGAGAAGCTTTCAAAGTCTAGAACCGCCGTCGCCGCCTTTCAGTCCGCTCTACTGCGATATGAAGCTTCGCACACTACGGAAGGCTGTCGCGAAGAGAATAAGGCCATGATGGACATCTACAAGCGTCAGGCGGATCTTTTTGACGGCGCAAAGAAGTTGTGGGACGAACTCGCGATGTGCAGTAATGCCGAGGTTGGATGCGATTTTTTGCGTCTTTCTGAGAAAGGCTAACAATTATGTCTTTCAGTGCCCTAGCGCGGAGGATACAGTCGATCTCAGGGCCTGCGCGTGCGGGGAGGCGCTCTATTGTTCCAAAGCGTGTCAGCGCGCGCACTGGACGAAGGGCTGGCACAATATTGAGTGCGCGAGCCGGAATAACCGCTACGGGGAGCACGGTGCGTACTGTAAGCATTGGAACTTCATGCATCAACATTGCTGATGCGGCACAACTCAGGTGCCCTCTCAGCTACGGGCGTCCTCCAGATGATCTGGCGCGCGAAACTGTTCATTCCTGAGTACTACAAGGGCGCTCTTGCCCACCCTCTCGCGCTCAGGATTCCGCTGTATGTCACCATGGAGTGGCGCGACCAGTCCGAGAGGCACTTCCAGATATACGTACGCCACGATAGCGAACTCCCCGATGAGTGCATATCGACGCCTCAGCCGGTCATCGTCGACTTCTCCTTTGAGCAGGAGGGGCGGATGCGCCAGCGACGCCTGCAGTTCTTCCTCGAGGGATACGCGGGGCGCATCGAGATGCCTTTTCGACTCTTGACACAGGTTTTCATCGGTGAGAGAGTCTCTTTCGAAACGTGACGCAGCATGTACTCAAGCGTACCGGTGCAGATCCCGAAGGCGCCGACATGCCACCCCACCTTGCGAACCTAACAAAGCGAGAGCGCCTCTTCGGACGACAGGGAGATTGCGAGCCGCTCGAGTATTATGAGTACGTGGAATCGGAATCCTCCTTCGAGACGACGACCTCTACTGGGGAATCTGTATGATCTACATTTTTGGCTTCGCAGGCTCATACGGTACTGGAATACTGTACGAGCATGCGCCGGATTATCAACGCAATGCAGGAGTCAAACTACCTGATAGCTTGAACCTCTTCTTGGGTTCTGTCTCGGTCCTTGTGTTCAAGCGGATCACGGCGGACCGCCAGATCAAGCTAATTTCAGACGCATTTAATGACGTTGGATTCCTGGAAGCTAGGACAAAATGATGCATTCAGGCTTTGAGTACTACAGGACGTATTCGGAGTGCTATTCGCGACCTCGCGTACTGTGAAGAAGAAGTACAGTCATAGGAGAGGTGGCCATTGGTTCGTTTCAAATAACGGGGTGGATGTATGAGACGACCTTCTGCCAGCTGTCTGAGGACCGCCGCCGCTCTTTCCATGTCTCAAGCGGAGGGGAGTGTCCGGGGCACGAACAATGGACGGCGCGCAGGCATGGACGAGCGGCGCAAAGCTGTAGGGTGCGGACCAGATTGTAGCGTTGGAATGAAGCCCGAGCGCCGCCTGCGTAACTTCGCGCACCTCTCGCGGATTTATACGCATTGTGTTGAGCGGTTGGCTAGCTTCAAGTCGAAAGCCCGCTATCTAAGGGCCTCACGATAAAGAAGAGCCCTCGCGGACGAAGGATTCGCACCGTTGAGGAGCATATCACAGATGAGGCAAACGGGAACGAGTTCGCTCTCGCCCGCCTAGTCTACCCCCGTCGACAAAGCTCCGACGAGCAAGTAGTGGAGAACGAGATCGCAGAGCCCGAGGCTTGCGCGAAGAAAGTGGCGGAGCGAGCGGCATCAATTGGTGGATAGCGTCGAGAGGTGCACAAGGATTGCCTTTAGAGACAGAGGTCAATCTAAAGACAGGCGGCGAAGTCAAGGCAAGGCCGACGGTATCGAACGGCGCATCACCTGCTGCACGGGTCGTGCGCCGAAAGGACGTCACCTCGAACAGCCTCTTCAGGATTTCCTAGCCTTCGAGGACGCCCCGCGCGTACGTCGTCGATCGGTCCCGGCCGTCGATGGCATCTTATTCATCGTCATCGACAACCTCTCTTTCACCCGAAGGATGGTGATGCATACCAACCTCAGCGCATCGCGCGATGACTGGACATGCCGACTCGGCTATGGCAGAGGCGCCGGTCGGCGAAAGGATAGCTAGACGACCGAGTCGACCTCAGAAGACTCGCTGGAACGTTGATCGCGGACACCTTGGTTCTTCAGAGCTCAGCAGCTTCCTCACCGCGTCGAGTAGCTGCTTCAGGACGTCTGAGAGCCGCTCCCCTTCAGAGGCGCGACGAAGAGCAGTAGGACAGTATTCCGCCCATGGTAGGGCCGCTGTTCTGATGCAATCGATAGCATCCCCAGCATCACTGAGACTCGCATGACCGCGACCATGGCCTCTCGCTCCGGAAGTCTCGCTGTCGCTGCCGCGCAAGGGCGTCGAATACGAGGGGTAGGCAAGCACTGAGCACGAGGAGTGATCACGAGGGATGGTGGAATACTGGGATTCGAGCAAAGATAGAGGGATGTGCTGTGTAGAAACCGAAATGGGGAGCGGATATGTCAAAGTCGGAGAGACGAGGCGATAGCATGGGCGATACCAGGGACCTACGCAAGAACGAGGTGCCAGGATGCCGTGTCGGAGACGATGTCAGTCGAGTAAGAGAGGAGCGAGGGGGCACTGGCGAGGTGCAGAGAAGCTGTGGCTCGATCATGATGGCCCAGCTCAGCGTGAAAAGCGGAGCCGTCCAGCACGGGCATTAAGGAACGGGCGCGTCGTATCGCGCATCCTGTCTTGAGTTCCTCGCGCGTTCATTAGTAGGGACCTGCGTCAACTTTAACCTTCACCGTGTAATGTCTTAGCAAGAAGACGTACCTGTGACAAGCCAAAGCATGAGGGCGATGTGCTCGAGAGAGACGTTGGGGCTCAATGCGTTCAAAGTCACTATCGCGTCGAAGTGCGCGTCGGCCGGCAGACATGAGTGATCCCTCCCTCAGAACAACCTTGATTCGCAGCGAGAATGACGACAGACCTCAGCCTGCAAGCCACGGATTCGGGCGAGCGATTGAAGAGCAACGCAGAGGGTCCGATCAGCGGCAGGGTATTTGTCGTGTCCGAGATGAGAAAGTAGAGCCGAGGTGTGATCGCGGGGGTAATCTCACGCCAGAGACCGCGGTGCCGACGTTTCTGTCAAGGACGTACACATCTCAACAGTGCAACTTCTGCCATGGGCGGATTATGCACCGTGAGCAGAGTTCCCTTGTCACATACCAAGCATACGTCGTATTCTCTGCCGTATTCTATGTTGCGTATATCGGCCAGGACCCGTATAAGGCAGAAAGCGCCTAACGATGATGAAGGTCCAGAACAAACCAAGATTGCGTCAGATGACGCACGTGGCTCGCCACGCGCGGACCTCGCGTGAAGCTGACCGTTCTTTGTTCTCTTCAACCATTGCGCTGAAGTCTTTGGCGTATCTCTCCCAAGGCAGCCCTCCCTTGAATATAGATTGACAGCCACGCGCGCAACGTGACTTCGACGACTCTTTCTTTCAATTTACTCATGAACTAGCACCACGATGGCTTTTAGGGTTCGGAGAGACTTGGACACTCTACGAGCTCTGCTGAAGGAGACCGACCCCTTGGTTGGGGTCGCACCCTCTGATACAAGTCCTCGAGTCGAAGCAAACATTCGCCAGTGTATCCAGATTGTGCGCGACCGGGGATCCTTGCACACGGTTTTCGCCGGACAGCTCCCATCCCCAGGTTCATACGGGGACTTTGTCAGCCAATATCGTGTCAGGAACAGCCCAATTATCAACGTGTACGACGCTATATACTGCGTCATCTTCCTGGGAAAGCTATCCTACAAGCTCAAGCGCCCTGAGCTGTGTCAATTCGACGCCGACCTCTTCCTCTCCGCGCTCGTCTGGATCGAGTACCTCCTCCCGCTTAGATATGGACCCTGGCTTCAGAATACCTCGCGAGATGTGCGAGACTGGGTCCTCTTTGACTTGACGCGCGCGTGCATGGCATTCCTACAGGAGTTCCTGCTAAACACACGCTCAGACGTCCTCCTCCAGGTCCTCCACTCCGAGGACGAGCGCGCCACCGCCGTGCTCATCGCCTTCTGGCTCGACTGGGCGCGCCTGCGTGACATCGATCGCACCATGAGCGACGCCGACGAGAGCGAGACCATCATCCGCGGCCTGCTCCTCCTCGCCACGCACTACACCTCCGCGCGCATCGACGGCGCCGCGCGCGACAAGGTCACCTTTGAGATCCTCCGAGCAACACACGACCGCCCCCGCAGCTTTTTTCGCCGCTACGGCGTGCACCTGCAGCTCATGCTGGCCGACTCGCGCCTGCGCGACGACCGGGTGTCGATGGGCACCGTCCTGCGGGGGCTGCTCCAGCTCAGCCATGCGCCCGCGCTCGCGGTCACGCACATGCCCACCAAGCTCATCCTGGAGCTGATCGCCTGCGCGCGGTACTATCATCGTCCTGGGACGACGTCGCAGACATGGGCGCTCTCGCTCGCGCTCCTGGCGGACGGCTGCACGTCGAGCCACAGATGCATGATCTTCGCCCTCCAGCACAATATGCTCATGTGTGCCGTCGACGCGCAAGCAGCACCCAAGGGCACTGACTTGCAGCACGATGCGACGCGGCTGCTCGACGCGATGTCCAGCGTCGCCCAGACGCGGTCTCCTCGCGCCATCCTGGCCTTCCATCGCGCGGAAGATCTCGCTCGGTCCGCTGGCGTAAACTACGACATAGCCTGCAAGGACCAGCGACTGAAGGCCATCCTGCGACTCTTCGGATACGAATACGGCGTCCTGCAGGAGCTCGGTTCCGTAAGAGAACTTGTTACGAGGTGCTGCAATGTAGAGGTACGTCCCATAGGACGCGCTCTCAAGGTTGCGCGCGCTCATAAACCATCGGCAGTGTCCGTCCGCTGCGATAGACCCGCCCGTCGCGCTACGAGCCTGCGCCTGTGGGGAGGCCTTGTACTGCTCAAGAACCTGCCAACGCGCCCACTGGACTACCGGTAAACACTGTGAGCTCTGTCCAGCCCGCTACCCCGAAAAGCACGGTGAGTTGCGCCCACCCTTTCGCGGCATCATGTTCACTCACCACGAGCCCTACTCATCACAGGCCGCCTCACCACGAAGCTCGTTTGCCGCATGGTCGCCGAGGCGAAATATAACTTGCGCCTCGCGTACGCCTTGCTTCCTGACCCAGCGTCGCGCCCTTTAGTCCACCTTGCTTTGGAGCTGCCCAAAAGCGGGATTCCTACGTTCACCTTCCGGCGGGTACCTGAGGATGAACAGCCCGAGGCCGGCCATCCCCTCGGGGCCATTGTTGACGTAAATTTCGCATTGGATGGTCCCGATTCGAAGCGAACGCGGCGCATCTGGTTCATTGCGAAGAGACGCGCCGGAGATATGAGGTTGTCGTTTAGGGTGCTTACGGATGAGATTCTGGGTGAGCTAGAGAGAAACCCTGGTACGGGCGTGGGCTGACAGAAGCAGATTTCTAGGCAGAGAAGGATCATTGCGGCGGGAGGACTGCCGGATGGCGCTAGGAGAAACGATGAATTCCAACTCGATGCATTTCCGTTAGGTCCAACGCAGTAATGTACTTCGAGGACGCGCAGTGATAGATAGACAACCCTCATCATAAGCGAACCATCTCAACCTCAAACTTATTCCAAACCGCTTCACATCGGACGCCCGCCGCATTTTAATTGAAATCGCAAGATTTATCTGCATCGCGTCCGAAAAGACGCTCCCTCTTGCTCAGGAACGGCAGCCGCGTAGGTAGCTCGTTGCTTTGTCCGCCCATGACCCCCGTATCTATACTCGTAAACCTTCGATCGACAATGCAGTCTCTCACTCACCGGCGAATCCCTCCGTGATCAGTCGAAATGGCACCCTCACATGTCCCGCGTACTCTTCGCGCACGAACTTGATGCGTCGCACCCGGTCGTTGCCGTTATCGTCGAAGCCAACGTCGACGAGCGTCGCCGGAGGATATTCCAGAAGCTCCTCATTCAACTGAAATACCTTCATTTCCGGCTCCCCTGGAGCGCGCCTGCGCAAGTCCAAGATGATGTGCGACGAGACGTGTGACGACGATGGGTCCGAGCGGCACGAAATTTGGGCGTACGGGGTCAGTAGATTGGCGCGTGCCTCGGCGACTAGACGATACACGTTCTTCACGCGAAGTGAACCTGCAAATTAATCAGATGCTTCATCTATATACTCGCAGCTCATGACCCACCGTGTTGTTCTGGGTCGAGACGCGTAGGGCAGTTGTATTTATGCTGTCCTATGGTCCAATGGGCGCGCTGGCAAGCTTTCGAGCAATATAAAGCCTCGCCGCAGATGCACGCGCGCAACGCCTTGTGATTTCCCCCGTCGTGCGGACACTTTGAAGCAAGGGTGAGCATGAGAGAGAACTTGTCAAGGCGTTGATCAGCTGACCTCTGCGTTGCAGCACGTCGCGGTGAGCTCTCGTATGGCCTTCAACTCCTGCAACACATCATATTCGAACTCGAAGGCGCACAAGATGCGCGTCTCCGCGTCTGTATATCGCGGCAACGTGTCCTTATCCTCATCTTCAGTGAGCGCACTACGAAAGGCAAGAATAACGCGAGGAGAGCGCGCAGCCTGAGCGATCACATGCAGCAGCCGACTGACTTGGGGTCTCGTACGACAATCTGCCGCGGGGCGGGCTTGGACGAGACAGTGGAACAGACCAGCTTCGACCGCCTGTTCCAGCGAACGACGACTGTCCAGGCAGCATTCCAATAAGCAATATACCGCGTGCGGCCAAATAGATGGCGTAGCGTGAGACCGAACGTAGCACCGAATGCAGGCGATAAGCTCAACGATCAGAGTCTTTGGCATTCTGCACTGTCCGCCGAGCTCAGGGACCCGCATGAAGGCGAGCAGGGCCTGCACCACATACTCCATCGGTACATGGGAGTCCCGCATGTCAGAGTACGTCAGCATCAGGCGCAGGTGCATTCCGTAAAGGCGAAAGAAGCGGCGGGGGCGGTCGCGAACCGTGCGCAAGATCTCCTGGACAACTTTGTTGCGAATGGCGCCGTCGCTGTACGGCGAGACGTAGTGACCAGGGAGAAGAATAAGGTAGCGCTGGATGACTGCGCGCTCTTCCATGTTCTGCATTGCACGGGCGACGTTGTGTACGCGCGACCAGTTGAGCCACATGTTGACGAGCATCGACGTGACTTGCTCATCTTCAGCCCGAAGGACTTGGTGGACTAGATTTGCACTGATGATGTGGGTGAATGTCTGGATGTATGTGAGGGCTGTCATAGTGAATTTGACGAGAAGCCAGGATTGGGTACTCGAAGAAAGTGCTCGAAGCTGAGGCTCATGATTCACAGGAAGAAGGCTATCGATCCAGAGAAAGATACGTTGGAGGAGCGTCGCATCGAAGGGGCATAATTCCGGGCGATCGAGCTTTTGAGCAAGTCTGAAAAGGAAGGATGCGCAGAACATGCCGTTGTAGATGGTGCGGATCGGACTATAATCGCCCCCATACCGCTTGACGAAAGCCACGTAGTCGTCAGGAGGCGGCGGCTGCTCTTTGAAGATGTGACCAAGGGGATTGCGATCGCGGAGGATTCGGACGATCTGGCGAACGTTTGCTGCTACTCGCGGATTTGCATGCCAATCGGGTGAACCGTCAACTAAACCATGTGTCTCTTTGATTAGAGCACCTAGTTCGTCGAGGGCTGCGTTGATCCAGAAGGGCAGCATGGCAGATAATGCGCGTTCGATACGATAGATGGTGGAGCAAGACAAAGAAGCCGCGATCGTGATCGGTGCTCATCGCAACGCGGGCGTTGCCGGTCTGGCTCGGTAACGGCCGGTACTATACACCGCCTGCGATCTCAGCGGGTCTTGCAGAACACAGAAACACAAGACTTCACTGAGGACGAAAGGTAGCCAATTCGGCTCTCAACTCAATCGAAGGTCGAAGGTACTATTTTCAGTACGTCGTTGCCATCTTACAAGAAGACCTTCGAGCAAGCCTGCGAGGGACCAACCCTTCGCCAGCCAGGGGCCCATAGGGAGCTGTGAAGCTTGACAAAATTATGTGGACCACGTTTCGTAACCTTGAGAAACCCTGAGAGAGACACTTTCGTACGACGATGCCCTGCATTTCTGTTTCTGACCATTCGACGTCACGCGCGATAGAGACATACGGCGATAGAGATAACCTCGATGAAGAACACCGCAAGTGACCTTCCCAGGCGCCTCGCCTTCATACTGATTCCTCCGTAGTCCATTCATCCTCGCCGCTTGTGTATACAGAGGTGGCGTAATCGTGATATTCGAGTGTTTCGCATGCTCCCTGACGCCCAAATAAGCGCTCTCTCTTCGTAAGGTCTGGAAGACACGGGGGCGTATCGGCGCCTTCGGGATCTGATAAACGTTGAGTTAATTGAGAAACGATAGTGCAAATGGGCAGTGACTGACAAATGAAAGCCTGGGTCAGGAGCCGGAAGGGCATCCGTATACGCCCCGCAAATCCCCCGAGGAAGAATTCTAGCCGGCGCTCGCGCATCTCTCCACCCTGATCGAAGGAGAAATCCACGATAATAGGCTGCGGAGTTGAGATGCACTCCTCAGGTATTTCGTAGTCCTCGCGGACATGGATTTGCAGATGCTTCTCCGGGTGATCGCGCCATTCCAACGTGACGTAGAGAGGGAGCCTGAGCACGGCAGGGTTTGCCAACGCTGCCTTGCAATACCCTTCGACGACGTATCTTGCGCGCCAGACCATCTGAATTACGCACGCCGCCGAGAGCGTGCCTATGTGACAAGCCGTCAATCTCATGTGCTGCGTCGAAAGCCCGATATGGACGTACCGTGCTCATTGAATTCATCGTTGTAGCTGGGACATTCGTGCTTATGCATGCCATCATACCAGTGCGCGCGCTGACATTCTCGAGAGCAATAGAGTGCTTCGCCACATACGCACGCCCTAAGAGGAGCATCGTCATCGCTATTAGGACACTGAATCAAGGCTCGTCGTTAGTCTTCTCTTGTTCTGGCAGTATGATAAGCCTTACCTCTGCATTACTGCAAATCGCCATCGAGTCCCATAGCTCAGCGGACCCATGTAAGAAGTCAGCCTGGCGCTTGAAGGCGTCTATAACCGCCTGCACTTCTTCAGGATACTTCTCCGAGGGTCGGTTGGCCTCGAAGGCGAGCAGCGCAGTTTGAAACGCTCGAACGACGCCGGGCTTTTTGGAAATCTCTTGCAGGGCCGAGTACAGCGCGGGCGGGACAGCCACATCCTTCACCGTACGAGTGACGTGGAAAAGGCAAGAGAAGAAGTCGTGCTCTATCGCATGGCGGAGTGTGCGAGTACTGCGTGAAACAAGTTCTGGCAGACAGCACCAGACAAGTGTGTCGACGCCATAGCGAGCCGGAAAGTGAGGGGGATATATCACGTCAATCAGTGCAGAGACGAGACCAGTGGGCATGCGCCCTGGCGAGCCGAAGTCTGGTACATGGCAGTGGCGGAACAAGGCGAACAACAGGTTGCCGAAGTAGGCCCGCTCGTCCATGGTGATGGGACGCGCGAGCGAGTACCGTATGCAGCTGGTGTACACCCGGAAGTAGCGGCGAGGTCGATGCTGAACGACGCGTGTGATCTCAGCGACGAGGTGCTCGCGCAGGAGCGCATCGTCCACTTTGACGCAGAAGTCGGGCAGCAGCGCGCGGGATATGAGGGCGATGCGCTGCGCGGACTCGTCCTGCATTGCGCCCTCGCGCTCGAGCGTTTGCGGCAGATGCATCCAAACCTGAACGAGTATCGCAATGAAGCGCTCCTCGCCAGATAGAAGCACGTCACAGATTCGTTCCTTCGAAAGGTTCTGAATAAATGACTCGAGGAATGACAGGCATGTATGAGTGAAGGACAGGATATGCCAAGCCTGACGGGCGGGCGGAAGATTCTGAAGAGCTTCCTCTCGTCCGACCGGCAGGAGGTAGTCTATCCAGGCGAAGACCGACAGCAAGAAGTCCGCGTCAAAAGGAAACAAGCCGGAACAGCTCAATGACTTGGCTAGTCTGCATAGGCTTGTTAGGCAGGATATAGCGGTGCGTAGAGAGACGAGACGTTTCTCTCCAGCGCCAGAGCGTCCGAAAGTGGCGTATGGCTGGTCTAACGGAGGTTCCGCCGCGAAAAGCTTCTGCAGCGGGCGACGCTCGCTGAGAGTCCGGACAATTTTGGAGATGTGCGTATCCACCGAAGTGGATGCATCTGCGCCGAGAGCTTCCTCAGTGGCTAGGATGAGGTCGGCGAGCCTGTCGAGTTCTTGGATTGTAGAGGCAGACATGGCGGGTGTGATAGCAGGAGGTAAAATGCTGCCCGAATGCCACGCGAGTGACTAACACGAGGCGCGACACGTGGATGTACGCGCGCGCGCGCGTCTGTCCCGCTGTCTCCTGCAGATGACCCGTACAGTAGTCCGCTTTGTCTCGGATGCTAGTGTCGGGGCGCGCTCGTTACATAGTCCTCAGCACAGTATAAGTTCATCCGTGCATTAACATCGAAGGACTATGGTACACAAAACCAGCGGGGAACGGTCACTACAGATCAATGAACCTCTCACAACTCAGACTCATCTTCTCTCCCCATCGAAGAATGCCACCAGCTGGTTAATCGGAACCTTCGCGATCGGGCGCGGCATCGCCACCTTGCTTGTGCCCTCGCGCTCCTGGCGCCGCAAGACGTACGGGTCGATGAACTGACTGGTTCTCGTCGAGCGGTCCGCAGTCGGGGTCGTCGGTGTAGAACTCATCGGCGTCGTCGCCGTCGAGCTCGAGGAGGTGCCGAATACCCTGCCCCGCTCGATCGACCGCGAGCGCGAAGGAGCCCTCGGTGCTGAGTACATCGAACGCGCGCGAGAGAGCGGGGGCTCGGTGGCAGGGGCATCGTCCGTGCGAGTTGCTCGATTGCTGCTGAATACCCTGTCCGCGCGCTCGCCAGCATCCTCGTCGACACCGGGAGTGGGGTCCTCCGTTTCGCGCTCGGGATGGGGTGGACTGCTGGGGTCACATTCGTTTGGCGCACTCGGCGACGCTGCCGTCTCAATCGCTAATCGAGATCCAGTCGACGAGTACTGCGAGCGCGATGCGCGGGCCGCCGGAGTCGGGGACTGCATGGGCGTCACGTATTGCTCTTCGTCGTCTTCCTCATCTTCCTGCTCGTTCCGCTCCTCTGCCCGCCTTCCCGTGATCGGCTCGCCCAGCGCGACCGTGTATCGCTTGAGCGGAGACAGTATCGGGCTGGACCGTGCGAAAGGCGCTCGTGGCGGAGTGTATGGGTTGTAGGCGCTGCGCGTATTGCTCGAAGGCGGAGCGCTACTTCGCTGGGCTCGCGAGTCGACCAATGTTGTCCTTGTAATGCTCGCCGAGCTCGGCGCCCCGTCAGTGGATAGACCGGCGGCCTCGTCATAGCATGCCCTTGCATCACCCCTTGAGCCGTACGATGGAGACGATGAGCTCGGGTCATTCCCGCTCGTCGATGAACTTCCATACGACGACGATGGCAACCCAGACACCGACGTCAAGGCGGAGTCGGACAACGACGCCGAAGGCAAGCCAGTCATAGATGGAGTAGGCTTGAGCGCAGCTGCAGACAATGGTCGCGCCCTCATCCGCGTTGAAGTGGATGACTCCGATGCCCCTGCGGCCTCTGATGTTCGTATCGGCAGCGAAGAGGCGCGAGGCGGCGAAGTCAAGGATCCTGTACATAGGTCAGAGCTCCACCCCCGGCATCGAGTCACGACACTCACCTCTAGGCGAACCGTCACTTGCGTCATCCGCATAATCGCCAGTAGGATACGGCAACCGCGTCCCACCTCCGAAGGTCTGTCGCGTACTGCTAGAGCCCGCCCGACTCGCGCTCCACGTACCGCCGACGGATCGCGTGCCATTGCTACCACTCCCTGAGCTCCAGGTACCCGCGACCGAGCGCATAGGCGGACTGGTCGACTCGCGCGCAGTCACTGAAGGCGCGCGACGCACGGGAGTCAGAGTTGAGGACCTGCCGAGCGCGAGCGAAGGGGAAAAGGGAGCAGTGGGTGAAGGCGTTGCTTCATCCTGCTTGACTGGGTCCGTAGATGTGTCCAAGGCCGTCGAGAAGGATACAGAGGTCGACGAGGGCGATGGAGGCCACGTATTGGTGGCTGTAGTCGATGACGTTGCGTCCGTGGAGGTAGGTGGCGAAGAGGACTCATTCGACGCAACCTCTACCGGGGGCACTGCTTCTGAAACTAAAGGACCCGCCTGAGCCGTCGGAGAAGCCGAAGCCTGAGCTTCCACCACGCCGTCTGACCTTGACGCGAGAATATCGATTCTGGGTGGTGATGCCTTCTTTGCAGGGACCGCTTCATGAGCTTCCTCAAAAGCCGCTATGCGACTTCTAAAAGCGTCGTCCGTGTTTTCTGCGACCTTCGCTGTCGCGTGTCGATCCACGGTGGGAAGACTCCTCGGTCGCCATGAGCGCCCTGTATATAAGCCCGCTGCTTCAGGCGAATCTGAACTGCTCCTCCCCTCCATCGACGCGCGCTCCGCGCTAGCCAACACCGCCGTCGACCTCATCGAAGACTCATTAGGCGGCGACGCCAACCGCGCCATCTCCCTGCGCACGTCCTGCACATCTCGCCGAAGGTCCTGCACGTCGCGCGACACGCTCTGGACATCCCTCCGCACATCATGCACGTCCCCGCGCACGCTCTGCACGTCCCGCGCCGTGTTCTGGACGTCCCCCCGCGCGCTCGAAATGTCCCGCGACACGCTCTGCACGTCCCCGCGCACCTCGCTGACCTGCCGCCCGAGCTCCCCGCGCACGACGTCCCGCGAGAGATGCTCCATCTCCCGCGCGAGATCCTCGACCCTGCGCTCGAGATTCGCCGCCGCCCTCGACACGCCCTCCACCTCGCGGCTCAGACCCGACGATGTGCGGCGGAGCCCGTTCACGTCCTCGCGAACATCTTCGACGTCCTGCGACGCCTTCGCGACCTCGCTTCGGATGTCTTGCAGTTCGCGCCTGACCTCCTGCACGTCGCGCTGAACGGCCGCGATGGCCTGCTCGTCCTGATCACGAGGCGGGCTCGCGGAAGGTGCGTCCTCCATCGCCTTCTTCACCTCTTCCCGCACCATCTCGCGCGCGACCACTGCCATGTCACGCCCCAGATCACCGATGCGCGTCTGCAACTCTCCCAGCTCGGCGCGAATCGAGGAGAGCTCTGATTCCGCAGTCTTGCCACAAAGCTTGCCGCTCGAGGGATCGAGGGCGTCTGACTCCGCAACCTTGCCGTCGGAGATCATCGCGTCGGTCGCGTCGGGCTCGATCTCCTTGCATGTCGACCCGATGGGCTCGATCTCCTTGCCTGTCGACTCGATGGTCCCCGTCTCCTTGCTCGTCAACTCGCCGGAGGTGCTCTTAGCTTGCCCGGTCTCCTTTAGCTCCGCAACTTTCTCCCGTACAAGGCGCCGCTCCACCGAGCCCATGCGTTCCTCGAGCGCGTGCACATGCTTGACGGTCCAGCTGAGGATGCGTCAGAATGCGTGATAAAGAAAGCTGAGAAGATGAGAAACAAAGCGCCGAAATGTAAGGTCATCATAGAGGTATGGACAGGAGGATGAGTGCCGTGTCGAAAACAAGGCCGGGGTGAAAGAGAAATGGGCGAAGGATGAGGAAGTATGCACTCACTTCTCTAGCTTCTCAAGCCTGCGCGCGACCTCGAGCACGGTCGCGGGCACATCGAGCGCGCCCGCGGGAGAGAACTTGACGGTCGACGGGAGAGCGCTAGGAGCGTTGCTGTCCTTCCTCTCGCGAAGAGGCATCTCTTGAGCAGGTGCCGGAACTCGGGCAGACGGTGTATCTGGAGGGGGTGGACCTTGAGCAGGCGGTACTCCGCAAGCGGCTGTCGCATCGCGGATCGGCGCACGACCATTGGTTCCATCATCGCCCGCAACTTGGTGAGTCCGCGTGCCCGCCGCTCGGCTGGGCGTCGTGGGCAGCCTGCGCGCGGTCTCTTGTGGTAGGGAGGTGCTTGACGCGTTGAAGGGGTTCGATGCCGAAGGGTCCACGACAAGCCGTGTGGGATAGCTGCCTGACGTGACCTCAGCTTTACCCTCCGATTCCTCTCCTGCCCTCCCCTCCGACGCATTCATCACCCGCAGAGCCGCCGGGTCAGCCACCGCTGTCGTGAACGACGACCCGCTGGACGTGTCGCTTGCCGTGCTCGCCTGCCGCGGGTGCCCATCATGGCTGAGTTGCCGGTGATGCACGTCGACGCTCGGTCGACTGGGATGCGTCCCAGGGCTACTCGCCCGCCTATGATGCGTGTCGGGGGTACTTCCCTGCCCAATATGTGTATCGACCCCGCTGAAGGCGACTCGCGCGCCGCCTCGGGACGAGCCTTCACCCTCCTTCCTCCCCAAGTGCAGCGGCGCCGTCTCCGCCAGATTCGCCGAGCTGCGCCGCAGGTCGAGGTTCGGCGCGGTCGTGAACGACTTCGGGCGCGCGGGCGCAGGATGGCGCGTTGGGATGATAGGGGAGGGCGAAGTCGGGGACATGGGTGGGACGGGCTTGCGCGCGAGAAGCTTCACCGGCTGCTCCGAGGTCGACGGGGCGCGGGTGGAGGGGCTGCCGGTCGCCGTCGACGCGCTCCTCGTCACCGCCGACGCGCTCCTCGTCAAGGCGGACGCCGCGCTCGTGTAGCCCCCGTCGGTCGCCCCCGAAGAGCTGCTGTCCTCTCGGTCCCTCGCCTGCGCGCGCAGCATCGCCATGTCCCGCGCGCGCGCGTCCTCCAGCGCGCGCTCCTCCTCAAGCGCGCGCATGCTCTCCTCCACCCGCGCCCGCGCCCGCGCCTCCTCGATCACGCGCTGCGCGGGCGACAGATGCTTCTCGCGCTCCTTCTCCTTGGCTCGATCCTTGCTCGGCGGCGTGGCCCACGGCGCCTTCTCCCGCTCCTTCGTCGGCGAAAGCTTCTGTTTGGTCGTTGCCCACCACGACGGGGACGACTCTTTGGGCGGCGCCAGGCATGGTGAGGGGCCCTTGGGAGTTGAGGAGGACGGGCCCGCTGCGTCCATCGACGGCGAGCGGGGGCGTGTGTTGGGGGTCTTGGGCGGTACGAGGGATGTGGCGGAGCGGCTATGTTCGGCGCGCGCACGTATGTCGACCTCGGACGTTCTAGCGAGCAGGGTGGCGAATGGGAGGCCGCTGGGGACCATGGGGCTGGATCACGCCACGCAGGGAGTCGGGCAGGGTGTTCGTTCGTATAGGTGCTTGCGGTGCACGATATCGCAGGATGTGCACTGAGGGAAGCCAGTCTTGACGAGGGAAGCGCCTCGTATCATGCACGACCGACGCGATGAAGCCTTTGTCGAGAACGTGTGCCGTCAGCGATGCGGCTTCTGCCGAGGGCAGGGTCTACGCACCAAAGTGCATGCTCGTGCATGTCCCCCGCCTGCGATCACCTCCTCCGAACATGATTGTGCATTCGCACGTCGGAAACATCCTTCGGTAAGCCAAAGGCGGGAATCCTACGAGGAGGAGATGGTCGCAGCGTCGGCCATCGTGGTGCGGAACAAGGCAGCATCGCAACAACCGATCACGATCGCGCGCGCCGTCTGCACTCCTCCCGTGCTTTCATCTAGTATCTAGTCACAGGTACTCTCTGAGAAATTGGCATCTGCCTCCTCATAATGCCCATGCATCTCGCATCGTCACAACCTATACCTATGGCCAAGATTGCTTTCTGGCTTCGACCGCAGCCCTGACGGCCAGACTCTGGGAGAGGGAACATATTCCGGGCAACTTGATGAGGTGCGCGGTAGTCAGCCATCTGAGCTCTGACCATACAACCGAACGAGCCGCGCTCTACTGCGCGAGTCGGGGCGCAAGCGAAAGTGCAGTACGGGTTAATCTCGCGCGGCGCCTTGGAATACGCCGACAACCCATGTGTGAGGTACATCGAGCTCAGTACAACGGCGGCGCGTCTATCGCACGTCCTGGGGATACCACCGGGTGGTACCTTCACTGCGACCGAACAGACGCTCCCTAGGTGTCAGATTCGCCAGACGTGGTGGCTCCTGATGACGACGACCCTCTGAAGGATTCAGCGAAACGTCGAACGCTTGGCCACTAGCTAGGCTCACCGAAAAACGCCTGCGATAATAACCTGTACGAGTGCCGTACGTAGCCAGCGTACCGTTCTGGTAGGAACCAGATGCGCCGTATACGCAGATCGTCTCCCTGTTCGAACACGATGTCGACGGCCACGCGAGGGGACTCCTCGGCGCGGGAGAGGGCCTTCTCCTTGCTCACGTCCAGCGAAGGCCAGCCGTTCTCACGAATTCTCGTGTCGACGAAGACCTTGAGCGCGGACCCAGGCTCAGCTGGCTCAGCGGGCAGGCCATCAAAGAGATTTTGGAGTACGACGCGCGCCTCCGCGATCAAGTAGTTGAGCTCCTTCGAAGAGAGTGTCCCTGAGAGCTTGTGAGACTGTATTACTGAGGAGTCGTTTAGTAAGAAGCGCACCAAGTACGTCTGGATGGCGACTCGCGCACTCTATGGTATGCCCATCGACCCAGTGCGCGCGCTGGCATGCCTCAGAGCAGTACAGTGCGTCCCCGCACGAACAGGAGCGCAGAGCATCTGCTTGTCCTCCTGCCAATGGACACTGAAGATAGGTCGGTAGCGATATGATGGTTGGCATAAGGACTTACTGCCGCGTTGCAACATGTAGCTGTCTGCGCCCAGGACTTGTCAGCCTGATCCAAGACGTGCTCGTAGTATTCGTAAGTCTTCGCAATACTTGACTCCTGATCATTGTAGAGCCAGACCTCGCGTAGAGCAGAAGAACGCGAGTGTGCTATGCGGAAGGCGCGCAGGGCGCGGGGCGTCTGGCTCAGATCGCCGAACACGCGATACATCTCAGAGAGCAAGGGCATCTCCGGCACCGTGGTGCGGACGATGACCATGCACCCTAGCAGGCCGAACTCGATGGCGTGGGTGAAGTTATGTGCATCCCGTAGGCACATGCCCGCTAGACATTTCCAAGCCATACGCCAGACAATAGCCGAGGGCGCCAGACGGATATGGTGTAGAAGGCAGTCTATGACCGCTGACACGAGTTTTCGCGGGAGCCGTCCAGACAGATTCAGTCGCGTCTCTTTCGAGAGTAGATCGAGGGCCCGAATGATGCTATTCATGACCTTCTGCTCGTCGTTTTCGAATGGATGTTGAATGGTGTAGCGGATGTGGTGGGCGTAGACGCGAAAGAAGCGACGAGGTCGGCGGTTCGTGACGACCATGATGCTGTCAACGACTCTACGGCGAAGAGCGCTATCACTCTCCACCTGATTGTAGTGTGTGGGGAGTACGAGGATGGAGCCGTAGATGACCGATTTCTTTTCCGTTGGATCGGGCGAGGCGTCTAGATGGCCGAGGATATCCGGCCAGCTCATCCAGAGCCGGGCCATGACATCCGTAGCGCGCTCGTCACCGGAATGCATGACCTCGCGCACTCGCTCCTGCGGCAGAAACTGTGCGAAACCCTGCAGGAACGACACGCAAATGTGAGAGACAGTCGCGATGTAAAAGGACCGTATGCCTGCATCGGCCGACGCTAGGTCTGCAATACGAGTTGGAGGCGTGAGGTAGTCCATCCAAGCGAATGCAGCGAGGAAGAAGCGTGCGTCGAAGGGGCATAAGTCATGACGGTGAAGGATGAAGGATAGATTACAGAGCAGGCCAGAGCAAGCCAGCGTTTGGCCAACGAGATCAGCACGCGCATCCCAGTCCTCGTGAGAGACGAACTCGAGCAACGGCATGGCGGTGGGCGGCTCGTGTGCGAGTATTATGTTCTGCAGCGTGCCGCGGCGGAGAACCCCAAGGACTTTGGAGACCTCCTCGTTTATACGCATACGCGCGGTCACATCAGGAACTCCGCTATCCTTGATATCGTAGATGTTTCTACAAGCATGGTTTAGCCTTTCCAGGTGAATGTCGCGTACAGGATGCATCGAGACTGATGAGACGGACGCGGGAAACAAGGAGCTCAGGCCCTGTCACGCGCCACGCGATCTGATCACGCTGTTGTGTCACAGAGGGAAGGAATTACAGCATTATCGCCTATGGGAATATGACTATGGCGGTAGCGCTCCTACAGCTCATCCTCGGGCGACATCAAGGCTGCAAACGCATCTCGACGACCAAATAGGCGCTCCCTTTGAGTGAGATCATGAAGACGGGGCGGCTCCTCGTTCTCTAAGCCGTCTAAGGAAAATCAGGGAGGGATTAATACTGTGATCGGGCTGTATTACTGCTGCACTCACCGAAGAAGGCCTGCGATAAGAGTCTGTATGACTGTGGAACGCGGCCAGCATATCGCTCAGGCATAAACCGGACGCGGCGCACGCGCGGGATCTCTGCTTGTTGAAAGATGACATCGACGAGCACGTACGGCGACTCATCGGTGCGAAAGTCTGCTTTCTCCTTGTGCACTTCGAACGAAGGCCAGCCGTCTTGGCGGAGCCGCGTGTCGATAACTACACGCACCGCATACCCAGGATCATACGGCTCGGCCGGGAGACCATCGAAGAGCTTCCGCAGGACTACACGAGCCTCCGAGACCAGGCGGTTCATATCCCTAGCGGAAAGTACTCCTGGAACGAGATAATATCAGGGCTGAACATCGCAGGGCAAGTAGGAGAGCGTACCAAAATCTAGCTCGTGGCGACTGGAGCATTCTACATTATGCCCACCGACAGTCCAGTGAGCACGCTGGCAGATCTTTGAGCAGTACAGAGCTTCGCCGCAAGCACACGCGCGCAAGGCTCGGGTGTTGCGCTCTTCGTCCTTCAAGGGGCACTGCAGATAATCAGTTCCAACGCCATAGTCGACATTAACTTCACCTACTGCTCCGTTACAGCAAGTCGCTATCCGCGACCAAGATCCTTCGGATTCCGCTAGGACCGTATGATGATACTTGTACGTCTTCACGATAGATACTTCCTGCGCATCGTAGAGCGCGAGCTCTCTCGATACGCCAGGCCGAGATCTTGATGCGTGGAAGGCGCGTACAGCGGGGATCGTGTCGCTGATGCCATTCAACATGCGGTACATACGTGGAAGTAGCGGGGTCTCCGGCGCAGTTATGCGAATGGCGACCATGATCCCGAGAAGATTGAGTTCAATGGCGCGGTAGAAGGTACGTGTGTCTCGAACACACATGCCCGCCAGACAACCCCACGCCACTTTCCAGATAGTCGATGAGGGCGTGAGACGGATGTGGTGTCGGAGGCAATCCATCACCGCCACCAGTAGCTTTCGGGGCAGCCGTCCCGGCATGCCAAGCCCAGCCTCCTGCGAGAAGACGATCAAAGCGCGGAAGAGATCGCCCCTGAACCTCTCTTCGTCATCCACGAATGTATGCGTGATGGTGTAGCGGATGTGCTTGGCGAAGACATGGAAGAAGCGGCGCGGCTGATGGTTTACGGAGAGCAGGATGTTATCGACAACCCTCTTGCGAAGGATTTCGTCATCCTCGACTGCCTTGTAGTGCGAAGCGAGAAGGAGCAAAGAGCCGAAGGTGATCGTTTTCTTCTGCTCCGGATCCTGCGCCGCATTCAGCAGGCCGAGTATCTTAGGCCAGGACATCCAGAGCCTGACCATCACCGCCGTCGCACGCTCGTCGCCGGAGAGCATCACACTGCGCACTCGCTCCTGGGGCAGGTACTGCGTGAACCCCTGCAGGAATGATATGCAGATGTGCGAGAACGTCAGGACGTAGAAGGTCCGCAGATGCGCGGAAGCGGAAGCCGAGGCCAGATCTGCAAGACACGATGCGGGAGTGAGGTAGTCCACCCAAGCGAACGCCCTCAAGAAGAAGCCTGCGTCAAAGGGGCATACGTCGTCGCGATGGATGACGGATGTGAGGTTGCAGAGGAAGCCGGCGCATGAGAGCGCTTTGCCGATGAGATCAGCGCGCGCGTTCAGAGTATCGTTGGCAACGAAGTCGGAGAAAGGCATGGTGGTGGGGGGCACATCCGCGAGTGCGTTCTGCAGCGTTCCGCGGCTGAGGATCCCCAGGATCTTTGTGGCGTCGACGTCTATACGCGTCGCCGCATCAGCAACGCCGCTGTCCTTGATCTTGTATATGTTCCTGCAGAGATAGTTCAGCCTTTCCAGGTCTCGATTGCGCACACGAGACATCGCGATCGGGGAGATGAAGGAAGAAGGCAAGGAACGCGGTTCTCCACCAATGTCACACGACCTCCCAAATCACGTTGTGTCACGGTCGGCCGCAAAGGTCGAAGTCCGTACATCTGCGCTTGGACGGACTCGTAGGCGGTGATTGGCGTTCGAGGATTAGAGACACAGTAATTCGTGTCTTCACAGGTGCAAGAATTGATGTACAAGTACAAGGCATCGAAAGCAAAGCACTACATGGCATACAACCGCGACAACAAGAGCGTTGCAGATCATGAGAGACTATATCGATCACTCGCCGCTTTAGCACTGACGCTGGAAGACCTCCGCCTCCCTGCGCCAGGAGGCATGGTCTCAAGCGGTATACAGTCTTCCTCCTGCGGGGTCGTCTGGAGCTCCGGAGGTCTCGAGAATTCGATAGTGACGGCTTGGAGGTCGATGGTTGCGAGCGACGCCTCGGGCGAGGTCTGCATGGCCGTGATGATGATGATGGCGGTCGGGTATATGCCCTGCGAGCCCGGTTAGCAAGAGGAGACGAGGTGACTGGAGGGGGAGCGAACCGAGAGCGAGGGAATGATGCTACCCATGAGGTACGCGGGCGATGTGGGACCGCCGGCGCCGAAGGCCGCGGGGAGGTCGGAGAGGCAGAGGAGGAGGAAGATGACCTGCAGGAGCGTTAGCGAGCGAGTCAAGATGCGCGCTCGGCGACGTACCCAGATGGCAATATATAGGCCGCCGGATTCGACAATTAGGAGCAGAACGTTCTCGATAGGCGTGCTCGTCGGTTGCGCGAGGTAATCCCTAATCGTCCGGCGATACTCCCTAGATGCACTGATTGGTTGGCGGGCTAATCAAAAGCAGAGGCATACGTACCAGACCTTGACGCTCACGACCACAGTTGCAACGATGTTGGTGAGCAGGATGGGGAGGATGCTCAGGAGGAGGCGCGCCAACTGCATGGAGCGAGTCGACCCGCCCATATGGACCAGGACGATGTCGCCGAGAGTACCGGCTGAGATAATCGTCAGTCCAAGACCGAGCGGCATGCGAGGGACGCGCACCAACAGTACCGGCCATGCAGAACGCTAGCAGCGACTTGACGAACACGCTCTCGGGCCAGAGCGCCCAGGCGCGCCAGACAACTATCAAGTCAGACAAGATGGCCTGTTCGAGAGTGAGCCCGGACTCCATGGGGCACAGAACGCGGCGTACGTTGATGCGGGATAGGGTGAGGTCGGTCTTGTTGAGTCGCATCGCGAGAGCGGCGTCCTCGGGACGTGGGGGAACAGGCACGCGGATGAGGGTGTAGTTGAAGGTCGAGATCAGCCAAGCGGTGGCGAGGAGGAAGATGGTGGTGGTAATGATGGGGACGAAGCTGCCCATCCGCGAGCGTCGGCTATGAAGAGGGTCAGTCGTGTTCCAGCGGAGGCATATGGCCTACATACGCCAGCACAGACATCGCCGAGACGAAAAGCGCGACATGGATGCCTGCCCGTCGCTCGTCAGTCCTGCGTCCATACAATAGGAACTTGGCACGCACCGTAGCAGAGCACGTTGCACGCGATGAAGATGCACAGCGCCTTCAAGCGCTCGACATCCCCGTCAACTATCGGCCGCAGCGGCGCGTTCATCCCCGCCAGGAGCGCAGCTCATCGACCGTCGTGCGATCGCGGGGGGCAGAGAAAAGTTCTGTCAGCGGCAGGGTCGGCGCCCCCATCAGCTGGCATGGCGGAATCCCTCCTGCGCAACGTGCGCGTCGATGGCATAAAATGCCGCCCGCGTGCGAAATCATGATCAGCGTGATAAAGAGGTTGATGTTGATGTATACGCATGTAGGTCCCGCCTTCGAGGGGATGACTACACGGCTGTGTGAGACGTGGAATATATAGGGCAGAAGCAGCAGCAGACAGCCGATCCACGGTCCCTCAGCACGCAAACCAACTACTTGAAAGAATGCAGTCGAAGACCCGGAAGACGAGCAGTGTCAAAGTTGACAACAGGCAGTCTTAAGCTCCCCCTACCGCAATCAACAGGATCGACCTTCTATTCAGTGCAAGAGTGCGCGCAGTCTCGTGGGAGTATCGAATGGCGCGAGCGCTATATGGCAAGAGGAGCTCAGGCGAGCTGCTTCCAGCCCATGAGTCGTCGATTCGCGCGTCTAAGAAGTCATGCCCCAAACTGTCAAGGAAGATCAATGAGGCCTTGAGGGCGTGAGGGGAGGACGAGGGAAAGAGCGCGACCCGAAATCCGTGACGTAACTTCCCCTCGTGACCGTGATTCTGCGTCTTCGTTCCCCCCGTCATCATCTCGCTCGACCTGGACAAGGTGCTGGCAATGTCCAAGCACATGAGCATCTCTGTATCCCCAAACAATGGTCCAATCATGAACGCTCGTGCGCGTGTGATCGTCAGTGTAGCCGCAAACGCCCCTACTCTAGATCATCCTCGCAGAATATCCTGGCAGCGCTTTGCTCACGCGCAAGCGCGCAACAAATGCCGAGGGGGAAAGGAGCTCCCCGGTGTCTGTCTGGATTGATGTACCTTCCGACTTGACGCGGATGGTGCGTCTTTTTGGCCTCGTGGAGGGATAGTCATCACCTCAACGACCCCGTACATGACTTTTCCGCGTTACATCCCTTGCTCCTGTGGCTCAGTTGGGATTTATGCAACTTACAGGGATAACTCAATCATTCAATCTCATACTCCCCAGATTATTGCTGAACTCAGCCTGGTACGCAGACTCGACCCCGTGCCAAGGTTTTATCCAGGAAGTCGACTGCCATATACATCCCCTTCGTGAAGATGCCGCGTCAGCTATCACCTCGTGCGTCGCTCTAATCGACATGTATGTCCTCCTTGTATTTCAAAAGCCGGCACGACCTTGATCGCAAGCAGGGCGCGCAACTCCTCCGCTCCGTCGCGCCCTTTCCCCACCCCATATCTCGTGCGGATCATTCATCACCAAGCCCTCTCATGCGACCTCTTGCACCCACAAATGGCCTGGGCACCTCCATATCCACCCATCGCATCCTCCGAAATGACTTCCCTGTCCTCGGCATCTCAAGCATCCTCCGAGAGTGCCTTTGATATCCCCTCTATGCGCCCTCGTTATCCCCCTACCCGCTGCAGACCTGCGTCCCCGCTACGCTTCCAGCCATTGGATCCGCGGACTTCGACCGCGATTTGCGCTGCGCTGCACCGCGCAGCGGCCGATGAGATGACGTCCCTCCGCTAGGCTGGGCCTACTTAAGCCGTAAGGACGGTCTACATCCCTTCAGGTCCCCGCCTCGATAGACCACAGCGCTACGATGTTCCACACTGTATCGGCCACCCGCACTCTTGCTAGCGTCGGGCGCTCGCTCATCCGGTGCGCTCCCATCTCTTTCACCCGACTCAACTAACGGCCTTCGCTCGATCAAGCGGTCGTGGCACCCATGCTAGACCTTTCTCGTCGAGTCCCATCGCTCGTCGTGCTGCGCCTCTTTCGGCGGCTTCGTACTCCCCGTCCCGCTCCCCTTCATCAACGTACCCGCCCTTCCCGGACGACGTCCCGACCCACCCGCTCATCGTCATCGACTACGAGCGCATCCGCGCCGGGGACCCGACCGAGATCGACCAGCTGTGGAAGGCGGCGACGACGCTTGGATTCTGGTAGTGCGTATGCCCCCGAGCTGACAACCCGTATCCCTCCCCCTCTCACCTCTGTTCGCGGACAGCCTCAAGAACCACGGCACGGAGGCCGAGGTGGACAAGGTCTTCGCCGTCGGGGACGCGTTCATGCGCCTCCCGCTCGAGGAGAAGATGAAGTACGAGCAGGGTGACTCGGGGAATTCGTTTGGGTGCGCGTTCTCTGGATTTCTGATCCCCTGTCCGCTTTCCTCTCCGGCTGTCGTCGTTCTGGTCTGCATCTCCTGCTCAGCGCATCTAACGCTCAGCTTAGATACAAATACGCTGGCGCCAACGCTACCGACGCCGCCGGCACGCCCGACACCATCGAGTTCCTCAACATCGCGCAGGATCACGTACTCGCTCCTGCGCTCTTCCTGCCCTCCACTGCTCCCACCTCTTCCATCTGCCCTTCTTCCATCTCCTCCTCCTCCTCTCCCTCCTCTTCCATCTCCTCCTCCTCCTCTCCCTCCTCTCCCTCTTCCTCCTCCTCCTCCCCCTCCTCTCCCTCCCACGCCAGCCACCCCCACTACGACCCCTCGACCTCCCCCTACCCGCCCACCGTCGACCTCCCCCTCGTCGCCGCCTTCATCCGCCGCTCGCGCGAGATCAACCTCACCCTCATGCGCGCCCTGGGCTGCCGGCTCGGGCTCGGGCCGCCCGCTGAAGGCGGCGCGCTCGCCGGTGATGCTGTTGCTGCTGGCGCCCCTGATGCTGTTGCTGCTGGCGCCGTTGATGCGCTCGCCGCTGACGCCTTCAATGCGCCTCCCACCATCGATATCGACCCCCTCCTCGCCCGCCACGCGCTCGACCTCCCCTCCGGCAGCGAGCTCCGCTTCACGCGGAACGCGGTCCCGGCGGGGCTGGCGGAGTCCGGGCGCAAGGGCATCGGGGCGCACACGGATTTCGGGTCGTTGGTAAGTGGCGGGTTGTAGAGAATAGGGTTTGCGGAGGCGCGGTGAGGACTGCCAGCTGAAGGCGTCGAGGTCGCGCCTGCGAGTCAGAGGAGTCGCTCGCGCGTGCCAGCTGAGGGTGTCCGTCGCACCTGCCAGCTGAAGGCGTCGAGGTCGCGCCCGAAGGCGCCGTCACCGCGTGCGCCACAATAGCTGACGCGTGCCCCCACAATAACTTAGCTGACGCGTGCCTCACAATACTGACTCCACCCCCCAGTCCCTCGTGCACAACCGGCTCGGCGGGCTGCAGGTCCTCGCGCCCGGCTCTGGAGAGTGGCAGTATGTGAAGGTGCGCGCTTTGTTTGTTTCTGGAGTTGTTTGTTTGCTCGATTCGTACTCCCACCCCACCCGCTCACCCACTCTTCCCTCTACTTTTCCCTCCCTCTCCTATACCTCGCTAATGCCCTCCCACCATCCCTCCCTTTTTTTCCCCATCCTCCCTTTTTTCCCCTCGCCCTTCCACTCCACCCTCCCCTCCACTCCACCCGCATCCCCTTTGCCCTCCCCTTCCTTTCCCCTCGCCCTCCCACTCACCCCCCCTCCCACCTCTCCCCTCCACTCACCCCGCCCTTCCACTCACCCTTTCCTTCCTTTCCCCTCGCCCCGCCCTACATCACCCTTCCTCCCCTCCCTCCCTCCCGCTTACCACCCCTCCCTTCCACTCCTCCCACCCACACACACGCTAACGCCCACCCACACACGCTAACCACCCACCCCCCCCCCCCCAGCCGCTCCCCGCGCACGCCATCTGCAACATCGGCGACGCGCTCGCCATCCTCAGCGGCGGCGTCCTGCGCTCGAGTCTGCACCGCGTTGTGTGAGTGGGGAAGTTTTTCTCTGGGATGTGCGCGCGGTGTCGTGTGAGTGGCCCGGTTGTTCGCTTGGTGTGGCTCGGTTGTTTGCTAGGATGTGCGCGCGGCGTTCGATGTTACGCGTCCTTCGATGCTGCCCATCCTTCGATGCTACCCACCCTCTGATATTTCGTGGTGAATGCGCGCTGACTATTTTTCCCTCTTCTCGTTCCCTCTTTTCTCCCCACCTCTCCACGGTCCCCACCCCTCTCCCCACTCTTCCCCACCCCACTCTTCCCCTCTCCCCCCCAACCCTCACACACACACACACCAGCCCCCCGCCCCCGCCGCAGCACACCCTCGCGCGCACCTCCCTCGTCTTCTTCACCCGGCCGAACCGCGACGTGGTCCTGCGGGCGCTCGTGGGGGAGGGGGAGGTGGGGGAGGGGCGGAGGGAGGGGAAGGAGGGGGAGGATAATGTCGAGGTATGTGTCTCCGCCGTCTTTCGTTTCTTCCTGTTATTCCTGCATTCCATTCGTCATTACATCCCCCTCCCCCTCTTCCTCATCCCCTCCTTCTCCCTCCTGCCCAACTGCCCATCACCGGCAATCTATCACCCCCCTCTCTACCTAGCCCTATCACTCACCATCCTCACCCAGCCCTCCCCCGCCCCCCCGACCGCTGGCGAGTGGTCGACGCCCCCGACCGCCGGCGAGTGGTTCGCGCGCCGCATGCGAGGCTGGAGGATCAGGAATCGGGAGGTAAGTGTGCTTGCGTCTGGCGAGCCGAGCGTGTGGTGGCCTGCGAGCCGAGCGTGTGGCGGCTGGTGAACCGAGTGTGTGGTGACTAGCGAGCCGAGCGCGTTGTGTTCGTGTCCGTGCGGGGAGAATGGGCCTACGCGTCTGGCGAGCCGAGCGTGTTGTGTGCAGAGGATGGGGCGTATGCGCACGGCCGTCGTAGCCTTTGCGCAAGCCAGGCGGGCTAAAGGCGCGCGTAGAGGGACGAGAGATGAGGCGGGGTAGGCGGAGTAGACGAGGGGAAGGAACCGAGGTGGAACAGACGCGTGAAGAGGAGGCGTAGGAGACGCGACGTGACGCCATGGACGATGTACTGCCGAGCGCGGAGGAGGGCGAATACCACCGCTGAGCGCGGAGGAAGGAGACCACTATCGAGCGTGGAGAGGGGAGAAGACCACCGCCGTGCGAGTGATCACCGCCGTGCAGGTGGTCGCCGCCGCTCGAAAAAAGCTAACGCGCGCATCGCTAGGGACCCCAGACCTGGATAGCCAGCCGCGGCACCGAAGGGAGGGCGGAGGAAGAGATCTCGGATGAGGGGGAGATTACGGACGAGGACGAGGGGGAGACTTCGGACGAGGGGGAGACCTCGGACGAGGGGGGGATTCCGGACGAGGGGGAGACTCCGGACGAGGGGGAGGCGCGACGCCGATGAGGATAACTGTCGAAGCCATGAGGATAACTGTCGACGCGACGAGGATGCCAGTGCTACGCAGGAGAGGATGCCAGTGCTACGCAGGCGAGGATGCCAGCGCTACGCCGGTGAGGCCGACGCCAGTGAGGATGAGGCCAACGCCAGTGAGGTCGACCGTCGCCGCGCTGATGAGGATGATGGGACGCCAGTGAGGGGGGTTATCGACGCAACGTATGAGCTCTACAGACATAGAATTCGTGAGCGGCTCCGTGAAGGAGTTACTGTATCTTGGTTGTCCAATCATATGTACTTGCACTGGCAATATCATTGTCCATGGACGCAGCACCGTCGTCCATGGACAACAACTTCGTCCACAGCCCATAGCATTGTCACAGCCCATAGCATTGTCACAGCCCATAGCATTGTTGTCCCAGGCGAACAAGGAAGGTGTTCAGAGTGTGCCCGTGCGGCCGACAGGACAAAATCGAAGCAGAAAAAGTGATACGCTACCCATCAGTGTTTATGCCCCACAGCCGACTTGAACGACTGACCTTCGCATTACGAGTGCGACTGACCTTCGCATTACGAGTGCGACGCTCTACCACTGAGCTAGCAGGGCGGTGGTGTGGAATTGGGTGAGGAGGAGCTGCGGCGGGTGAGGAGGAAATGGCCAGGAAGAAGGAAATGGCCAGGAAGAAGGAGGTGGGCGGGAAGAAGGAAGTGGGCGGGAAGAAGGAGGTGGCCAGGAGGAAGGAGGTGGGAGGGAGAGGGAGAAGAGGAAGAGAGGGAGAGAAGGAGAGCGAAAACATGCCGGCCAGCAGGAGAGCGGAGGCCGCACCAGCCAGCAGGAGAGCGAAAACATGCCGGCCAGCAGGAGAGCGAAGACCGCACTGGCGGAGGACGACACGACGAAGATCAGCGCGAGCGACGAAGATCAGCGTGAGCGACGAAGATCAGCGCGTTGGCGGCGAAGATCAAGACCGACGACGAAGCTCAGCGCGAGGGACGCGATAAAGCCAAAGAGTAGACCCCAATGCCATCCAGACCATGATAGGATATGATAGTAGTACAAGTGATGATGATGAGGGTGTTCCAAGAATCCAAAGTTTATCCGCGCGCGCGTTCTCCATCCAAACAGTCAGCGGCCGGCGCTGCCATCGATACCCTGCCTACCCCTCACCCTCTCCCCCCCCCCTACCCCCTCCCCTCCCCTTCCCTCACCCCCACCCTCTCCGTCCCCCCTCTTCCCCTCCCCCCCTTCCCCCTCACCACCCCCTACCCCGCCCTCACCGCCGCCTCATACCGCGCCCCCTCCCCCTCCGCCCGGCGCACCACCGCCTCCAGCTTCTCCTCCCTCGCGCGCAGCCGCTGCTCCATACCCAGCACCAGCAGCCGCACCTGCTCGAGCTGCGAGAGTTGTGCGGCGGGTGGTGGGGGGGCGGGTGTGGGGTTTTCGGCTGGGAGGGGGTTAGTCGGGGTGTCGGATACCAAGGATATCAGGTGCATTGGACAATAGGGGATGCATGGGACTCTAGAGGGAGCATTGGACGAGGTGCTTACCACTAGCACTGCTCTTCGACGGCGACGCCGTCGCGTTCGGATTCGCGTACTTGGACGGCGAGGCGCTCGCGCCGGGCTTGCCATACTTGGAAGGCGTGGCGGGTACGTTGGCGGCGTCTAAAGAGGGGAGATCGAGGGCGTCCTGCAGATGGGGTGTATCAGTTTGGGGGATTGAAGAGTCGTTTGGGAGATTGACGCGAGTAGTTTGGGAGATTGAAGAGAGCGAAGGTCGAAGGGAGCGGAGGTTGAAGAGACGGTGGTAAAAAGTACGATGAGGGATCAAGGGTACGGCGGTGGAATAGAACACGGCGGTGGAATAGCACACGGCGGTGGAATAGCACACAGCCGTGGAGTGGCGCAGAGTGAAGGAACAGTGGTAGGGGCGAGCAGCGCTTAGTTGCAGAAGTAGGAGCCAGAGCCAGCGCAAAGACAAGCGCGCACGCGTCAAACAACAGACGCAGGATGCTCACCTGCCAGTTGGGCCCCGCGAACTTCGCGAGCGCGTTCTCGAGCATCTTCTCGCGCGTCTTCTGTCTGCGGGGGAGGTCAGATGCTGTTCGCGTGTCGCACGGGCCCCAACGCGTGGAGAACGGAGCCCGACGCGTGGAGAACGGAGCCCGGAAACGCATCACCCACACCAGCCACGCACCTCTCCAGCTCCGCCATCGCGCGCTCGTTCTCGCGCTGTGTGCCCTGCAGGAGCAGATCGAGGCTGCGGGCCTCCTTCTCGAGCGCCTCGACGTCGCCTTGCTTCGGGCGCGCGGCGAGCTGGGCGAGGAGGGTCTGCACTTGGGTTGCGAGCTGGTGGAGCGGGAATAGGTGGGGGTGGACGAGAGGGCGGGCGGTTGAGGAGGAAGGGTAGGAGCGACGAGGAGAAAGTAAACATCAACATCGTTCCTCGCGCGCAGCAAGACACGTACGCGATCGCACTCCCTGTCCTTCTCCAGCAGCTGGCGCCGCAGCACGTCCTCGTTCGTCTCGTTCCCCTCGCGCAGCACGCCGAGCTCGTCGCCGGAGAGCGCGATCATGCCAGAGGGCCGGGGCGCGTGGCGCTGTGTTTGTGCGCGGCGCATAGTTGGTGTTGTGGCCGGTGTTGATGTGTGTGGTTGTTTAGGAGGAGGGTGTCGTGTAGAGGTACGTGGGCAGATAGAGTTACGTGGACGGGGAGGTAGGCGAGATGGGTGGTCGGGGCAGGAGGCAAGAGCGAACGCGAATGAAGAATAGGCGTCGCGTGGATCAAGCTGCTTGCTCTCGATCCACGGAACGGGCAAGTCACGCTTCTGAACGACGCCCTGCTAGCTCAGTGGTAGAGCGTCGCACTCGTAATGCGAAGGTCAGTCGTTCAAGTCGGCTGTGGGGCATGAAGTCACCAGAGATATTGTTCTCATTTTTCCTTCCTTTGATTCTGTCCTATCGGCCGCACGAGCACAACTGAACATCCTCTTTGCCTACGCCGGCGATGCTGCTAACCATTATGCAATCACATACTGTATTACCGGACAAGATATGTAGAGTAACCCCCAACCAGGCCCAATCGTGATTTACGTGTCAGAGCTCATGAACACAGCCGATGGAGCATGGGCTCGCAAAACTTGGAACAAGTGTGGGAGAGAGCGACGAATGATTTGTCGTGATCGAGGAGATCAGGCTCGATACTGTCGAAAATATGCTGGCGGAGCTGGGGGATCTGCCGAACGACGTGCATCTGAATCGCGTCAACTGGCTAAGTATTCAAGCTTCAGTAGCAATCGAGGACCTGGTAAGGCACTCTAAGTATCATCCGCTGTGTCAGTAAGAGAGATAGGTGAGTAAACGATGTCAAGCACTGATCTGCATGGAATCTACGTCGCAGAGGATGAAGGTGAGCGACAAGGCGCTGGCTGGCCTCGACGCCACTTACGATGCACGACTACCCGCTGTCTTGTGATGCCATACACATGTTCAACTCGCGCCGTTCATCCTCGGGCTCGTTATTGCGGTGTGGCTCCTGAATGCATGACCGCAGACATCCAAGCTTCGAGTCAGAAGTTGACGCCCTCTTGCCTCCCCTCCCATGCAGACGAAGGAGCAAAAAGCGGAATCCCTTCTGCCCGGTTCGAACGGGCGACATTCAGATCACAATGCATCCTATTACAGTCTGACGCTCTTCCAACTGAGCTAAGAAGGGCTACTTGTTCTGGTATATTGTATACACCACAAGATGCAAAATCTTAATCAAGCTAATGCAGGCATGACTTGCCAGCAGATAGATTTCCGTCGCGCATACACCGCACGCATGTTCAAGTCGTAGTCGTAGTCGGGGCAGGACAACAAAAGCCGTACTTCCCAAAACCCGATCTATGACAAGGTAGTACAATATGAAGAGCCTACGCGCATGCTGCAACTGAAGTACAAAAAAACCCATAACATATCAACAGTCCCCATATTCACCCCGTTGCTACTTATCTGGCGAATAAACAATCCCCGCGGTCCGCGACTATCGCCAGATCCGCCCAAGCGGTCAGCACCACTGTGCAGCGCCGAGCGGTCAGCACCACCGCGCAGCGCCGGCCTTGCTGGACTATAGACATATTGCTGGACCATGGACACACGACACCGCGCGCACAGCATCACCCACGCACCCCCCGCATCCGCGACACCGATGGCGGACGAGGAGCCGGCTTCCCTCCGTGGTGTGGGTGCGACGCCTCCGGCCCCGCGTATGAGACTGGAATAACGTACGACGGCGAGGCGCCATTCGCGTACGGCGAGATCCCGTTCGCGTATGGAGGCGAGGCGCCGTTCGCGTGCGGTAGGGAGATACCGTTCGCATACGGCCCCGAATGACACGGCGGAGGAATTCCGGGCGCGTAGTCCATCGCAGGCGCCCCGTAGTCCATCGATGGCGGCCCCAGATCCATCAACTCAGGCGGCGGCCCCGCGGAGACGAAGCCCGCGGGCGCGAGCGGTGACGGTCCAGAGTATGCGATGGCAGAATGCCCCACAGACGCTTGAGGCGAGGGTCTTAGCGGGGAGGGTCGTGGTGCGTGATATGGTGTCGAGCCTGGCGGTGCGTACGGTGTTGAACCTGCAGGCGCACGCGAACACGATCCCGACGCCGCATATGGAATCGCGCGCATAGGTGCATGATACGGCGTCGAGCCCGGCGGTGCTACTGCCCGCCCGTACCCCGTCGCATACCGCGCAATGGGAGACGACGACCGCGCGCGGAGACGTGGTCGGTGGACAGCGTATGGGTTGAGATGATTGGCGCGCGAACTCAGCTGGCGGAGGTCCGGATGCCTCACCTCCTCGCCCATCGGGTGAGATTCGCCATGCCTAATTCTTCCGGACACTGAGCTGGCGTCAGACACGCTGCTCGTTGACGACGAGTCGCCCGAAGAGGAAGTAGACGATATCGATGCCGTATCCGACGCGGGCGGCGTATAGCAGCCCATCTTCATCGACGCGTACGGATCGACGTCGATTGGCGCGTAGGGAGCATACGCAGGGAACGCGGACGACGAGCGACGAGTGTAGGGCGCCGGTCGCGAAGCGTATCTCGACTCGGGATAATGGAGCACATGCGAAGGCGGAAGATTCGCCACCCTCGACGGCGCGAGGTAGTGCGATGTTCGGTCGAGGTGGCGAGAGGTGCGGTCGAGGGTGCGATTCGTATGGCGAAGAGTATGCTCGCGAGGGGCGGGCGAGGCATATGGCACCTGCGACGACGAGGACGATTGGTGGGGCGGTGCAGGAGGGGGCGAGCCAAAGACGATCGGCGGTGGTGGTGTACCGGAGGCCCCTGGCGGTGGCGCAGGCGCCGGATGCGCCACGATAGGTGCCGCATCGAGCGCAGGTGGCGGTGCGAGCGTCCCCGAGGGTCCCAAAGTGACCGGCGGTGCCGGTGTGATGATCTCAGGTCCATAATTTGGCACTGATGGCTGTTCTGCAGCACCCGGCTGCGACGGGGACGGCGTCGCGGGCTCGAAGTCAACGATGTCGAGGCTAATGGGTGTGGGGAGCTCTCGGTCGTCTGGTGGTGGGTGCGCATGATTTGTCGGCGAGGGAGCGTAGACCGGTGCGTGATTGGGTGGCAGGCGGTTGGGCGGGGTATGATGATTTGACGTCGGTCCCATCCCTGGGACATGGTACGGCATTGGCGGGTCAGCGCCCGGCGCGTGGCTTGAGGGCGGCGGGGGGACGATAGCGGAGTCTCGTCTGGTGCGGGCGGATGCTCTCCTTGAGACGTCTCGACCTGCGCGCGTAGAGGATTCTCTTGCGTCGCGGATGGACCGGTCCCTCGCTGAAGGTGCCCTACGCTCCGTATGTGGCGACGCCTTCCGACTGAACGACGGCACCAATGTCCGTGAGTGTGGCGACGAGGCGGATGTCCGCCTCGTCTGCGACCGTCCGCGCTCTCTCGTGCGCCTCGCGGACTCGGTCTCGACGTGAAAAACACGTTCAGCGGGCTCGACCTGAAAGGGGCACGGGTCTATGCCTTCATTCCCAGCCGTGACTCCTGCGGAGGCGAGGTAGGTCTCTGCGTTCGCTCGAAGAGTAGACGGAACTGACCTCTAATCGCATGACTCCCATACGTCGCTCTACACGCTCCGTATCCCATCTCACCTCCCATCATCGACGACGAGCGCCTCGACGCGGCCGTTGGGCGCGGCGGTTGGTGCGTCGCGGCGGTGGAGCGGGAGCGCGCTAGTCCCGAGGGTGGTAAGAGACTTCCGCCTCGTATTCGTGTGTGCGTATGTTGCCTCGTTCGGGTTTCGGGCGACCCTCGCATGTCATCGAGAGTCGTCGAGCTCGAAGTATCCGCCGTGCTACTGTCCTCCGTCGTACTCGAGTTATCTCCTTGATGTACAGGCCGGACACCATACTCGCCACCCACTGCCCTCGCTGTCTCCTCCGCCCAACGCGCGATGCGTGCTTGGTTGGCGACGAACTTGCGATAGCCATCGTAGGAGAACGAGTATTCGGACATGTGGTTGGGACGGTGGGATGGGGGATGGGTCGGACTGGTCGTATAGTATGGGCTCGAATGATGGGTTGGGTTGAAGTGCAGTTCGGGGCGAGGTAGAAGGAGAGATACGATGAGAAAAGGTCTAATGTCAATACACGTGTTTCGGCTCTGGTCAATCGTCAAAGCGGATAGAAACGATTCAGGAGTAGCTACGCGTACGGAGAAAGTGTTTTCTGGGTCTGTGTTGCCGAGAGTGTATTCCTGGGCCTGTGTCGATCCCTCAGTGTCAAGATCCTCCAGCGAGCAAGCAGCTGGCTGACGCGTGTGGTGGAGCCCGAGGTGGAAGTAAGGAGGTATATGAAAGGACTTCGAACGTCAGGAGCGATATGAAAAGGGCTGCCTTTGAAGACGTACTTCTTTCGAGCTGCGCGCGACTTCTCCGAGGGATACGAATCTCCTTCGCACTCCTCCGTAGCAATATGCGTTCTGCGCGATGATAGTCTCGTCCTTCGCGATGGCGGTCTCGCCCATCCCGCGCGTTCCCCACGCCCTATATAGCTCCGCACACGCGCCCGAGCACGCCCCCCTCGTACACACGTCACCGCGTCATGGCGCGTGTGCGCGACCGTGTATGGCAAGGTACGAGGTCCCGGTTGGCGCTACAGTAGGATAGGTACGCGGCCTTGCTGACGCTACGACGGCCTCGAGCGGGGCCTGGGTGACGGTTCCGCTGGTGTCGTGGGCTGGGACGTGATCGTGGACCGGGGGGACGTGATCGGGCGGTGTTCATGAATGGGGGAGATAGCGCCGCGAGGGAGGGTGCGAGTGTCATGCCCGTGCATGAAGGGCGTCCCCGTGGGTGATAGCGAGTGTGCAGCGTCATGCATCCGTCGATCGCGACCACTCCCGCCTGACGGTCGACGCGCCTCGCAGGCTGGGGGAACTGCACCTCGATCGACGGCACGCCCGCATCCCGGGCCGAACACCGATCTGCTTTGATGCCGACCTCAGTCACCGCACGCGTCTCAGTCTCAACCGCCATCGTCGTCGTCGTTCCCTGCCGCCGCCGTTACACGCGCCTACCCTACCCGCCCTAAATACCGTTCGGCAATTGCCGGATCGCTTGTTTTCGCGCGCGCCTGAGCTCCACCTCCCCTTTGCGCGGCGCGAGCGGAGCGAGCGCTTAAGCTACGCCATTTTCACGCTACGACTACCCTACTTTTGCTCTGACACACTACCCCTCCTCCTCCTCCTCCCTCCCCCTTTTCCTCCCCCTCCCCCCTCCCTCCCCCCTCGATGGCGGGGGAGGGTGGGGAAGGGGAGGGTCAGCCCACCTCGGGAAGAAGAACAGACCACGTACCAGGTGACCTGAATATCCCGCTGTACGTGCCCGTCCGCGCTCGCGCGGGAGCTCTCGGCACTTTTTGAGAGCGGAAACACGTCGAAATGCGCTGGAAATCGTGGTCAGCTAGTCGGTGGGGAACGGGCACTCGACGAAGCTCACCGTCCGTCGTGCAGTCCCCCGCACCTTCTTGGCGATCTATGCGTCAAAAGGGCCCAGGGCGACGTTCCGCTAATGCCAGGTAAGCTCGTGAACATACTACCCGCACGCGATCGCACGCTACGACACAAATGAGCACTCGGCTGACAACTGACTCTGAATACACGTACTTGGCAGGTTTCGGACGGGTCGCCGATACGCAGGCTCGTCGTCAATCAGATCTCGCTCATCCGAGTGAGCAAGCGGGTGGTGGCGCGAGGGCGAGGATTGGGGCTGCGGCATGTTTGTAGTACACGATGTAGTCGTCAGATAGGTGAACATACAGCCTGTTCGTACTTCTCCGACAGCACTCGGTGGACCTGTTGTGACCGGTAAGCTCATCCTCCGTGCATCGTGCTCATTGCACGTACCTCGGCCCCAAGCTAATGCTGCATGATAGGTGCGCATTGCGCACGGATGCCTCCACACGCTGTCGTGCTGGCGGCAAAGTCAGTGCTCGAGTCGGCTGTACGGTGAGTACACGTACCTTGCGAGCGAGCTAATCTCGCCCTCCCGATCCTTGGGCAACTCTACGCTACTCGCCGGCTCTTGGCTCGCGCTCGTCCACTCGGCTCACGCTCTCGGGTCCTCTGCTCGTCTTGTCTCGCACTCGTCTCATCCTCATCATCTCTGTGCTCGGCATCTCTTGTCCTGCGCTCGCCCGACCCCCATCGCTCGCCTCCACCCCATTCGAGCTCCTCGCGAGCTCAAAGGTATTTGTGCTGTCTTCTCTTTGTACTCGGTTGCTGTTCTGTTGCTGATCTTGCTTACAGGCCATGGCGAGCAGAAATGACGAGGAAGCAAAGAGGAAGGAGGAAGGAAGCAGAGAGGAGGGAGAAAGGAAGCAGAGAGGACGGAGGTATGGTGACACGAGACTCGGGATGTGCCGTGATCGCCGCTGTGGCGCGGGACCCTGACCTCAATCCCATCATTCCGGCAATGCTGTGCGCCTGCAGGACCTTCCTCTTCGGGCGCACCTCCCCGTCCGGCGCTCGGGAGATTTTTCCAGCGGCGGGTAAAGTCGAGAGCAGCTCGAACTTGAGAATGGCCTTCTGCTCATTTTGTGAAGACATGCGAGACAGACACAGGGTACCAGCCGTAGGCAACACTATGTGCAGATGCGTGTTCAGGCAGAATGTCATGCGATACACCCGTCGTCGAGTCCGATGAGCTGCGAGAATGAGCAAACTCGTGAGCAAGAGGATGAGTCAAGACAATTCGAGTCTCGAATGGGAAGCCCAAAGCGAAGGCATGTAGCAGCCTGTTGGAGAGACGTACGGAACACACACCGATGTTGAGCGGTCGCGTACGACGGTCAGAAACAACAACGCTCGATGGCAGTCTCGAACTCAGCGGGAGCCGCGCCGGTGAGCCGCCGGGTTCGAACCCGGGTCGAAGGTGTCAGTGTCAGCTCTTGTCTTGCGCTCTCACCACGGACCACGGCCAACTTCGCCGCCGATCCACTAGATACATATCCCTACGCTGTACCGATGCGCATCCACGTCAAAATCAGCATGAAAGCACCGAAAACCTCGAGCTCGCGCAGTTCCCCCAACGTCGAGATAAGATCAGCGGGGGCGAGCCCTCAGCAAGGCGCGAGGGAGCACGTCGACTCGTACAGGTACACGAACAATGAATATCCAAATTGAGATCAAGGCCGTTTAAGCACTCAAAGGCGGAAGAAGGTGCCATGAGCAGCCCGAGCCGGCGCAAGCAAGACAAGCGTGCTCGGAAGCGCGACGGGCTTCTGTCGCCTGAAGACACGTCGAGCGGACCTGTAAGGAACGCAGAAAGCGTCTAATGTGCCTGTGACGAGGGTGAAGGGCACCGTGAGCTTCGAATGTGCGGATGAGTTTGCTAGCACGCGAGCTCCCCGCTCGACTCACAGCAGAGCGCGACGGGGCAGCGCACTCCCAACCAGCGTAAATCGCAGGTAAGCCTTTCCCCCTTCATCTCAACACGGCGCCTACGCTCAAATTCACTGGCAAGTGCGCGTACTGACATTCCAGCAGATCTCACCTCGACCCCAATCTTCCGCTGTCCGAGCCGAACATGTCAGCTCCACGACGCTGAAACGCGGAGCTGCCGGGACTGCCGGAGCGGCGGAAGTCTGCCGCGGGCGCGGGAAAGTCGAGCGGTAGGTAGGACATTTGCCGAAAAAGCAGAATAGCGCACTGACCTGCATCCTTGCAATATAGCAGACCGCAGAGCGTTCAGAGTAGCCTCAGGAGTGAGTGGAATGAGTGAGACACAGCACGAGGTGGTAAGGTCGAGTCGGACATGCTTTCCGCGGTCGTTCTCGCGGGTGGCTGAAAGCCTGCCTTTTGCGGCAAGCCCGCGCTTTGCCACCACGACGCTTTTCGACGCCTTTGCTCATGGGCCTTCGGAACTCGAAAAGCGCATCACGTGAATGGTGGAAGCTCGTCGATCATGCTCAAGAGTTGCCGCGTGCTCCCCCGCCAGCATCCCTTCGAAAATCGCGATATACACCAAAACGACGCTCTCCCGACTTCGCTGGGCGAGCGTACCTTCCCCTCGGCATCTGGTCACTCAACAGTACCCACCCCCTATCCTTCTGACTCCATAGGCCGCCGCGCTGTACTGTTCTTCCTCCCGGGTATTCGTATACCTGCCCTGCTACCTCCTCTCCTACCGCCTCGCCTCGACTCGTAACTTCCACTGGCGCGGAGCTGCTTTCTCGACACCGATCACACAGGGTCCCATCATTTGTCCCGATCAAAACACGCGGGGACCTGGGCGCCGGCTCCCTGAATTCGAAGAGAAGCGCGGAATACGCACCGTTGGGGCTGAGCAGGACGAGGGCGAGCGGCAAGGAATATCCGGCTCACAGAGGGGCGGACTCGCTTACCGCAGGGGTGGGGCATCAAGGGGAAGATGCGGCGAAGTCAGGAGAGTCCGTGCGCTCCTGAATCCGTATAAGAGGCGGGGTGAGCAGTCGGTTTTCCTCACTTCCCCAGCCTCCTCTCCTCTCCTCTCTCATTCCCTCCTCTTCCCCTCCTCAGTTCCTGCTCTCCTCTACTTTGTCTCTCGCATTCACTACGACCTTTGACTCTGCTTTCTCCCTTTCTTCTGAATCTCTTGACGAAGCACATTTCGTCGATTTTCGCACGTCTTGATTCCATCGCCTCAAATCTGATAAGGCGGCTCTCTATTCCTCTCCTTCGGTCGCATTCACTGACTACCACGAGACAGGTAGTCGTCCGCAACTTCGGACGTTTGTGCGCCCTCCCAGGCGTCTGCAGTAGAGGTGAACACACGCTATGCCTCGGATCCGATTTCCATGCTGACTCGGACATTTACAGTTATTTCGGCCGACTAAGATCGACTAGCGACCAGTTGCTGAAGGGTGTCGGGCTCAATACCCACTCGTCCACCTACACTTGGCGAGCGCTATTCCAGCGCTTTCATTTTCGGTGAGCTTATCCATTTCCTTCGACATTTCGAGCGAGATGCTAACTGTCAAGCCCTCCCTCGATGACCTCCTCAACACCACCTTCCTCAGCACGTCCTTCACAGAGACGAGGGCAAGTCTCCAATGCCGCTGGACTCGGTCTTTCGAATCGAGCGGATTTTATGCATCTCATTTCGTACGTCCCTACTTGCTACTCAACGTGATTTGCCTGATCAGCCCTCCTTCAAGCGCCCTCTACCGCACTGCGGTCTGTCCGACGCGTCGACCGCTGTGCCCAACCGTCACCCGCGGCACAATCCGTGCTCGCCGTCACCCATACCGTAAGTCTATTGGGTCCGTTACGACACGTGTTATTAACCTCTTGCTTCCCACCGCCACGTCGACCGCGTCCGCAGCAAGACGCCCCAGAGACGACGACCCGGACGACATGGTCATCCCCCCTCCCCACTTCCTACGCCTCGCGATGCCCAAAGGCCACGATGAAGACCCGACTTTTGAACCATCACCGCCTATTCCGCTACCTACTCACATCCTCACCTTCGCACCCGCTCTCTCTCTGACACTGGGACCACTGAGCCAGTAGGAACGCTGTGCTCGCTGATCGCGACCTTTCCGCGACCCGCAAACCGCCGGAGGCATGTGCCGGGACCCTAGAGCGACCGATGCGGAGACTGGTATGTACTTCTTCCATCCGTTTGAGACGATTAGTGATCCTCAAACCTCAGCTATTAGTTATGCAGGCGCCGGGGGCGGTGTCTGTGTAATTCAAGACATCACCGAGTCGCTTTGAGGTTTTCGGGGTCACTGAGGTGCGCATAATGCGATTTTTGACAAAACTTCTCGCTGACTTCCGTTTAACCTAGGGAATCGTCTTCTGGGCTCTTTCCCAGCGAATGTCTGCGCTGCCCTAGCCGCCAGAGGCATGCGCGAGACCCTGAGGGGGATTGACGCGGCGCTTGCGGTACGTCCTTCGCTTAGACGGTCGTAATGCCCCCTGACGCATCAGATTTACAGCAGGTCCCGGTGGCGCTATGCGCGCCGGATCCCTTTTTCGATGCACATGAGACCCCTCTGAGCCGCCGACCAGGTTCTCGGGGTCATTGAGGTGCGCATCAAGCGTTTTTTCTGATAGAACTCCCTGCTGATTGCAATACACATAGGAAATCGCTCACTGGGCCCTTACACGACGGATTTTGGCGACCCTCGATCCGCCGGAGGCATGCGTGCGGTCCCTAGGGTGAATGGTGCGAGTGCTGACTGCTGGTAAGTGGCTTCCCCGACGCCTCGGAATGCTTGCGCTCGCTGACACGACCTGTCCACCATCAGGTTCTGGAGGTGCCATAGGCGTCGTCTGATGCCCTCGACAAGCAAGACCGCCCTATTGGCGTCGCTAATGGCCCTCATCAGCCGCTTGGAGTAATTGAGGTGAGTATTCGCTTATCTGAACCTCCTCCTCACGCCCAAATTCACGCGCTATCAAAAAAGGCTTACTGACGCTTTCTACAGCGACTTTTCGCGACCCCCGAGCCGCCGGAGGCATGCGCGGGCACCCTAGGGTGAGAGATGCGACAATAAAGGTCTGCTCGCCCTCTTGCAGTCGGCATTGTCGCTGATCTCGCACACGTAACGCCGTGCGTGGTCGCACGAGGGAGGGGAGCAAGCGCCGCTCGCAGCCGCGAAGCGGCGCGAGCACGAGGAGATTATGACTGGAGACCGACGTAGGAGAGCCCACGCGCGCGTGGCTGCCGGCCGGTCGACGAGTTCGTTGGGTGGATGCTGCCGCCCGGAGAGTCGTGCAAGATGTGACGCCGATACGCGAGCGGGAGGGGAGACTATGACTGCAGTCACCACCGGTCGTCCCGCCGGCGGCGCCGTCGTAGGCCAGATGCCACGTATACACCGCGTGAACAGGTGAGACGAGTTTGCAAGCCGTCGTCTTGTCATCTATCTGTCGTGCTGACCCGTGTCCGCAGATTTGACATGCCGTTCCCCCCTCTCCCTTCACGCCGCAGCCCAGCACGCCCCAGGATAGGGGAGACCATGCCGGTACGTCGCAAGGTACGTCCCTAACCCTAATCTCAAATCTTCATAACTGACGTGCATGAGCAGGGCCTCACCTTGATGTTCAATCCCTCCCCACGAAGGTACGTCCCTGCCCCCCTCTTGCTGCGTTGACGACGAGCTGACACGAGCTCAGGACTCGAGCTCAAGCGCCCCTCATCGCCGCACTCCATTTTCGCACCTCTGCCAACACCCTTCAACTCAAGCAACTCAAGTATTTCGACGAGAATACTAAATTTCGACCGTCGAGCGGATTATTGAAGTACGTACACCTTACTTATGAACGATCTCGATGCTTATATACCACGAGATACAGGACCCCTCATCGCCGCATTCCACGCCACTCGACGACTCGGAGCCGATGGATGAAGGGATGCGACACCCCCTCCCCCTCGACGCACTGCCCTCCCCCATCACCCCACCACCCCATCCTTGCATTTCAGAATCAAGGTGAGCTCCTCCTCTTGCTGAAGGAGCCAAGAAGACGCGCTAACCACGAGACACGCAGCTCGGTCGACGACGTTACGCAAGGCAGGGGACGAGAGGGGGGAAGCGCACTCTCCCCTCGTCGAGAGGCACGTATTTTCCCTCAGCTATCTCGCCCTATGCGTTCAGGACGTACTAACATACCTCATAGATGCTGTAAACTCACCGCTGCCACGGCCGAACGTCGACGAGGAAATCCCCGACTTCGAAGGGTGGGGTGGGGTGGGGTGGGGGTGGGGGGATTCCCCACCCACTTAACTCGGTGAGTCCTCGTACTATAGCCATGAGCGCTCATATCTAACATGATCACACTCAGTCTGTACTACCCAAGCCAGTAGCGCGCACCCCTCGGCCCCCAAGATGAAACGGCAGGCAGGGGAGGGGGTTGTGAGGAGGGTGGGATAAGACTGCCGTCCCCTCGGACAACGGTGGCGCGCAGCAACGCGCTCTTTTCGCGAACACGAAGGCTCAACAACGCGTCGACTGCGTACCAAGTATCGTGGCGAGCGCGTACAAAATGCGCCCCTCAACCGATTTTCCTGAGAAAACCTACCCTTTGCACCTGTCGACTCGCCCGAGGTCTGCAGCGCTATGGCGGAGGTCGAATGCGACGGCAACGCGTCGCGTATCCCGGTAGGGACTCTGAGAATGTGCGCGCAAGCCGGCGTCACGCTCGAGCGCGCCCTTCGACCTCGCGAGGGTGGGCAGTGCCGCCCCTCACCCCAGCCCCTCCTCCTTCACCGCAGCCTGCGCTTTCGGTGGGTCCTCGTTCTAATCATCCCCACCGTCGCTGACGAATCTATAGTACGGTGCTACGCGCCCTCGACACGCTTTCGGTGCCCTGGGAAGCGGTGGGGTGGGGGAGTACGTGGAGGAAGGGGGGATGTCGAGGGCGAGTTGGCGCTTGCGCTCGACTTATGTCGACTAGGTAGCGGCGCGCACACGAGTGGGGGACTTGGGAAAGACGTCTGGTACACGGGAAGGGAGTCTGCGAAGGGGAGGGGAGCAAGGTGGGAGGCAACGAGCCGACGCGCAAAGTCGCCGTCTCCATGCTTTTTCCTTGTAGTGTACAGCGTGTACTCGTAGAATAGACATGAGATATATTGCATTCTACTATTACTTACACAGTGTGAGGAGTACGAGAAGGGAGGACGGCGGCCTCGCCTCCATCCCGCCCCATGCCAGACACTCAGAGGCCCTTGGCGGTGGCGCAGGCGCCGGACGCGCTACGATAGGTGCCGCATCGAGCGCAGGTGGTGGCGCGAGCGTACCCGCGGGTCCCAAAGTGACCGGCGGTGCGGGTGTGATAATTTCAGGTCCATAAGTCGGCACTGATGGCTGTTCTGCAGCACCTGGCTGCGGCGAGGACGGCGCCACGGGCTCGAAGTCGACGATGTCGAGGCTGATAGGTGTGGGGAGGTCGCGGTCGTCGGGTGGCGGGTGTGCATGATTTGTCGGCGAGGGAGCGTAAACCGGTGCGTAATTGGGCGGCAGGCGGTTGGGCGGGGTATGATGATTTGACGTCGGTCCCATCCCTGGGGCATGATACGGCATTGGCGGCTCAGCGCCCGGCGCGTGGCTTGAGGGCGGCGGGGGGACGATAGCGGAGTCTCGTCTGGTGCGGGCGGATGTTCTCCTTGAGGATTCTCTTGCGTCGCGCATGGACCGGTCCCTCGCCGAAGGTGCCCTACGCTCCGTATGTGGCGACGCCTTCCGACTGAACGACGGCACCAATGTCCGTGAGTTCGGCGACGAGGCGTACGTCCGCCTGGTCTGCGACCGTCCGCGCTCTCTCGTGCGCCTCGCGGACTCGGTCTCGACGTGAAAACCACGTTCAGCGGGCTCGACCTGAAAGGGGTACGGGTCTATGCCTTCATTCCCAGCCGTGACTCCTGCGGAGGCGAGGTAGGTCTCTGCGTTCGCTCGAAGAGTAGACGGAACTGACCTCTAATCGCATGACTCCCATACGTCGCTCTACGCGCTCCGTATCCCATCTCACCTCCCACACCCGGCATCATCGACGACGAGCGCCTCGACGCGGCCGTTGGGCGCGACGGTTGGTGGGCCGCGGCGGTGGAGCGGGAGCGCGCTAGTCCCGAGGGTGGTAAGAGACTTCCGCCTCGTATTCGTGTGTGCGTATGATGCCTCGTTCGGGTTTCGGGCGACCCTCGCATGTCATCGAGAGTCGTCGAGCTCGAAGTATCCGCCGTGCTACTGTCCTCCGTCGTAATCGAGTTATCTCCTTGATGTACAGGCCGGACACCATACTCGCCACCCACTGCCCTCGCTGTCTCCTCCGCCCAACGCGCGATGCGTGCTTGGTTGGCGACGAACTTGCGATAGCCATCGTAGGAGAACGAGTATTCGGACATGTGGTTGGGACGGTGGGATGGGGGATGGGTCGTATTGGTCGTATAGTACGGGCTCGGATGATGGGTTGGGTTGAAGTGCAGTTCGGGGCGAGGTAGAAGGAGAGATACGATGAGAAAAGGTCTAATGTCAATACACGTGTTTCGGCTCTGGTCAATCGTCAAAGCGGATAGAAACGATTCAGGAGTAGCTACGCGTACGGAGAAAGTGTTTTCTGGGTCTGTGTTGCCGAGAGTGTATTCCTGGGCCTGTGTCGATCCCTCAGTGTCAAGATCCTCCAGCGAGCAAGCAGCTGGCTGACGCGTGTGGTGGAGCCCTAGGTGGAAGTAGGGAGGTATATGAAAGGACTTCGAACGTCAGGAGCGATATGAAAAGGGCTGCCTACGAAGACGCACCTCTTTCGAGCTCCGCGCGACTTCTCCGAGGGATACGAATCTCCTTCGCTCTCCTCCGTAGCGATATGCGTTCTCCGCGATGATAGTCTCGTCCTTCGCGATGGCGGTCTCGCCCACCCCGCGTGTTCCCCCCGCCCTATATAGCTCCGCACACGCGCCCGACCACGCCCCCTCGCCCTCACGTCACCGCGTCATGGCGCGTGTGCGCGACCGTGTATGGGAAAGTACGAGGCCCCGTTTGGCGCTACGTGGGCGGGGATGGGATAGGTACGCGGCCTTGCTGACGCTACGACGGCCTCGAGCGGGGCCTGGGTGACGGTTCCGCTGGTGTCGTGGGCTGGGACGTGATCGTGAACCCGGGGGGACGTGATCGGGCGGTCTTCATGAATGGAAGAGATAGCGCCGCGAGGGGTTTGTAGGTCATGAAGGGCATCCCCGTGTATAGAGAGGCGTCCCCGTGGGCGATAGTCCCGCGTTCCGCTGACGACGGGGGCCCATGATCATGTCCACCGGAGGATACGTCCTTGCTTTGTCGGCTTTAGGGTTTTGATGCGTGCTTGGGGCGTGGGCGGACAGGAAGGTACAAGGGGAGTGGTAAAAGCGCTCGTAGGCGTCGCATCGGATATGATCATAGCAGTACGTTGGGGTGAAAGGACCAAAGGCTACGCCCAGATGGCGGACGTAGCTCGCGATGCAGAAGCTCCTGCATGAATTGTCAACAGGACAGCACGATGAGGGAGCAAGTATACGCACGCGGAACTTCAGCCTGCTGAAACTGAAGCAAGGCGCGTACGCCATGGACAAACAGCATGACTGATTACGGTCAAGGTGGGGAACAAGATCGTTGTTGACGGCGTCTATGCCGATCGTTGGCTGCTCGACTGTGATTGCCTCCCACATTACAGCGCGCCATATCGATCATTGTGCTCGCGCAGAGATTCACCATACATGTGGTGTACAGGACGCAGCGCCGGGCAAGAAAAAAAAAAAGAAAACGAATGTCACTGTGATTGCCCCACAGCCGACTTGAACGACTGACCTTCGCATCATAAGCACGTGTACGAGTGCGACGCTCTACCACTGAGCTAGCAGGGCAATGGTTAGCTTTGTCATCCAAAACATGTCTAAGGAGAACTTCTGGCTTGGCTAGTGGTCGTCAAGCGTCAGCAAATCATCTGCCTGTCCTTCCCTGCAATGGTCGGCCCGAGATCACCCATCTTTGCTTTGAGGTCGAGACATTGCTTTCAATGTGCATTTGTCACGAGATCGTGGGGAATCTCCGGTTACATGCGGCGTGTAGTCTCCCAAGACGTCTTCTTTGACGGTGATCACTATCCTCTCAACCTTTTACCTTGAACTCTGCATGCACTTGATCGCGCTCTTCACACACCCCATCACACCCCATATTGCTTGCTAATTCTCCGGTCAAACTGAGAAAATTCAACTTTTTCCTGATCGGCTGGAAACTTTCGCCTTTGTTGACTCGATGCACGTCGTCTGGAGGATACCGGAGCTCCGTGAACTCATCTTGCAGAACCTCGAAGTAGGTCCCAAGGCCCGGCAAAAGCCTCTTGTTCCGCTCTCGCAGACATGCCGTGACCTTCGCGAGCCCGCGCTCTGCCGACTGTGGACCTGGGTTTGCTCGTTTGATAAGATACTGAGGCTTCTGCCAACGTCGAAGCTGGAACCTGTCAGCCCGGTGAGTCCTCATCACGCTGTTGGATGCTCTACCAGGCATACTTACACTCCGTCAGCCACCCGCAGGGACATGGACGGTGATGAGGCATATCGTCGGGACCATATCCCCCGCCGACGTTTCCCTCATCCGCTACTACGGAAAATTCGTCCGCACATTCTGGTTCACCCATCCACTCCAGAACGACCCATGCATACTGGCGACCGACTTGCGCCAGATCATCGACGCGATGGGAGGTGAGCCACTGTTCCCGAACCTGTCGCGTCTCACGTACGACGGGCCGATGTTTGACGAATTTCTGCCCGCGGTACTCGTCCCCTCGATAGAGAAGATCGAGCTGGCGCTTCACCCTGGGAACTCCGAGCACTGGAATCAGACGATGGAGCTCCTGGCGCGGGGCGCACCGCATACCAGCGACCTTCACTTGCGCTTGTTGAGCTGCACGCGCGAAGAGAGCGCGGACCTGCAAAAAATTCTCGTCAATCGGGCACCGATGTTTACGAGGCTACAACTGCTGAGTCTGGAATACCTCGACTCCGGCACGGCGCTCTCAATCGCATTGCTCCCGCGCGTGCTGGACCTGTCCATATCTGTCAGATACCCGCCCATCTCTACAGAGTTCGCCCGCCTGCAGCCTGCGAGCCTCTCACTACACTCTGGCAGCCCCATTCAAATTCTCCAGGCTGGGGTCTCGAACGAGTATACAGGCAGGCGCGCGCGAACGTGCTTCGGCGCGGACATCCTGGCGCTCCTTCGCCCCCGGGCCCTCCGCCACGTAAACGTCAGCGAGATCACCGGCCCCGCGCATATGCGCCACCTCTGCGAGCTGCTCGGGCGACACTGCTCCGACACGCTAGAGACCCTAACCCTTCGGGGCTTTGGGCCGCGCGACCATGCGCGCGTGCGGCTCTCGGACGTCGCGCCGCTGCTCGAGTGCGCCAATCTCGAGTCCGTCGTTCTCTCGTCTGTGCACTTCCGCCCGGCCGAGGCGGACCTCCCGCGCCTGGGGCGCGCGTGGCCGCTGCTCCGCCACCTCGCCATCGAGGACCGCACGCACGACGGTCTCTACCCGCTTCGCGCGCTCGCCACGTTCGCGACGAGCTTACCGAGCCTGAGGACACTCCAGGTGTGCCTGGATGCGACCGACGCCAGATTTCTAGATAGCGCGGTGCTGGACACTTCGCTCGCCCCATTCGCGCACAGCGTCGCATCTCAGTATGCTGAGCATGTTCGTATGCGAGGGGACGCTCGAGTCTCCCACGCTCGTGGCGTCCTTTCTAGCGAAGATCTTTCCTGCGCTTACACAGGCAGGAATGCGCATACCTGGTGGGGGTGATTATGAAGGGTGGACGAAGGTGCGAGAGGCCTTGAAGGAGCAAGCGGAAGCGCGCACATAGGATGGGTTGTTGTACCCAAGTATCTGAGAGGAGAAAGGATGTCAGTAGGAGCATTGAGGTCAACTGTGTATCTGAACATGCTACATGAATACTCATGTAAAGCCCTTATGCAAACTTCCTTCCAGCACCTACGTCGTCACGTCGCTTCTCCATCCGAATGAGTCGCGCCGCTCCCTTCCTGGGTCCCGTACCGTCTCATCCCACCATACAATATCTCCATACATCTCTCTACAGCGTATCATATAGCTCTTTGCTATCTCTAGCCTCTATCATGACGATCCAAGTCTTGACAATGAGAAGCTTCACAGCACTGCGGGAAGACGGACATCTGCTACATCACATGACCGTGGGTCGCCTTGTCATGTGGCGTTCAGCCGGCCGACATCGTCTTTTAAGTCCGACGCCCACCATTGTCCTCCTGATGTCTAGTGCTCTCGCATTTGACGCTTTTTCTTTTAGCTCGTTCTGTGAATTGAGCATGCACTCTACTGCTGCTCTAGACCAAGCACTCGTCGCGCACCGACCAGGAGAACTCTCCGCGCGCTGACCGAGATCTGTTTCTCCTATTAGTTTTGAAGACATTCCAGCCTGGCCGTCCTATATTCCGGCTTTCTCCTCACCAATCGAGGACACAATACTCCTTCGCTACCCCGGAACGCTGATCTCCCTTCGGCAATATACGCCAGCGGCTTCGTGAAGATGATCTGTTCGGCGACCCTGATATTTACAACGCGCGCCACTTCCTCAAGCGCGCGCTCTGCCATCTGCGCCTCGCTCTGCCGTCTGCGTCTCGCTCTGCCGCCTGCGTCTCGCTCTTCAGTCTGCGTCTCGCTCCACTGCCCATTGAGACAGGCTTGTCGCTGGAGTATGTCAGTCCGGTAAGCCTAGGACACTTTGTCGACCGCTCTCGGACGCACGCTGACCTCAACGCGAACACGTCAGGCGCGGCGACATCGGTGGAACACTCCATCCCGAGCGCCGTGGACAGAGTTGTCAAAGGGGCGTGGACAGACTTGCCATTGGGGCCTGGACTGAGTCGCTGTGGGGCCGTGGACCGAGTCGCTATGAAGGTCGTGGACCAAGTCGTCCTGGCAGGGGACCAAGTCGTCATGAGCGCCGTGCAGTTTCGCCACGAGGGCAGGGTTTTTCGCCACGAGCGCCGTGAACTATGCCGGTGTGCGTCAAAGGTACCACCATCCCTCTCCCGGCTTCATGATCTCCATAGACGACCTTAGCGGATTGATTGACAAGGCTTACGCACCGCCGGTGCTACTTCCGACGATTCAAGCATTCTCTCGTCCTCTGGCCCTCCCATCCTCTCGTCCTCGCACTTTCTCTCCCAGAGCCCTTCATCTTCCAGTTCCTTGTACGGACCGGGTGTCTCGACATTTATTCGATTGGACATTGGTCCTCATCGTACTGGGCGTCGACGCCCCCCGACTCGGCGATTTCGACGCCCCCGACTCGGCGACTTCAATTCCGCCCGACTCGGCGACTTCGACTCCGCCTGACGAGTGCGACTTGGACTCGGCGAGCGCGACTTGGAATCGACTGCGCGCCGACTGAGACGCGGAGACCTCGATTCGGCACGACGAGATCGACTTGGAGTCGACGACCCCGACAGGCCGCGCGTGCTTGAGAGGTATTGCGCACACTCTCAGGAGCAACTGTACACTCTGTCCGCGGAGATACTGTACACTCTGTCCGATGATACTGCACCTTCTCCAGGAGCGCGGCCTGGGCGCGCTGTCGACGATCCCGACCCGAGCGAGGACGACGATCCCGCTCCAAGCGAGGACGACGAGCCTGTCCCGAGCAAGGACGACGACCGCGGCGCGAGCGCGCCATCACTGGACCTGGGCAGACGTGCGCGTTCGCACAGGACGAGAGACTGCAGCGCGTGCGGACGCTGAGCCTCCTGCACTCGCGAACGCCGGCGCTCCTGTGCTCGCATGATGCCAGGGAAGTGCTCGCGTGAGGATGGATAGCGTGCTGCAGCGCTTGCGGGAAGACCGGGCAGCGCTCGCGGGAGTATTGGGCATCACAACCGTCGCATCGCTGCTCACTCAATTGCTATCCGCGCCTCCCCCTTCCCTTCCCTTCCCTCCCTCATTCCTCTCCCTCTGTCCCGCTCCTCCTCCTACACCCCACCTTCCCGGATCCGCCACTCTTCTCTCGCCTCTTCGCATCTCGTTCCATGCACGAATCTCTTCCTCCCTCCCTCACTTACCTTCCCGTACCTCCTCGATACTTCTCAATCGCCATCCTCTCCGTATCCATTACCGCTCGTCTTCCTCCCTTCCCGCATCTGCCTCTCTGCCCTCTTACCCTCTCTTACCCACCCCTCTTACCCTCTCTTACCCACCCCTCTCCCCGCCCCCGCCCCCGCTCGTCTCCCTCCCTCTTTCTCTCTCGCCCTCTCGCTACTTCCCAATCTACTCCCGCCTACCCGCACCCGTCACCACCCGTCTCTCTTCTCAAACCGCTTGTCTCCCTTCCCGCACCCGGCGCGTGCCTCCATCCGACTGCGGGGACCGTGCTCGAACAAGAGACCGTGCTCTCGCACGAAGAGGACCCCGGGCCGCGCACGAAGAGGACCCCGGGCCGTGCACGAAGACACCAATCCTTCGCATGCGCGAACAAGACCTGGAGCCTCGCATGCGCGAACAGAATTATGAGCACTCACGGACACCAGCGCCTTACCTTCGTCTACGTCAGCGCGCCCTGCTCTTCTCCAACGTCTTCCGCTCTTCTCCAACGTCTTCCGCTCTTCTCCAACGCCATCCCTGCCCGGATCAGTGTTGCACGCCCTGCTATCTCGCCAACAGCATCCACCCCATTATAGTACCACCACCCCCTCACGCGCACCCCATCCACCCTCCCCCACCCCATCCACCCCACGCCACACCCTGCACCCCAACCCAACCACACCCATCATACACCCAACCACCCCCGCTCACACCACCCCACTCACTAGCACCCACCCCACCTCACACGCCCTGCTAGCTCAGTGGTAGAGCGTCGCACTTGTACGAGCGCGTCTCGATGCGAAGGTCAGTCGTTCAATCCGGCTGTGGGGCATACATTCAAGGGCTACGAGTAATGCTCTTTTTCCATCCAATCAGTATCGAGTAATGCTGTTTTGTGCATACACACATGCTGGCCACGGCATCCCCAATGTCTACCCTTCCTCCCCAATGTCTACCCTTTCTCCCCACGTCTACCCTTCCCCTCCCCCCTTCCCCTCCACCCCTCTCCTAGCCTCATTCACTCCCACACCACCCTCACCCTCGCACTCCCTCCTTTCCCTCCACCCCCATCGCCTTCCACCCCCCTCTTCCCTCCTCGCCCCATCCACCAGCACGCACGGATTCGCCGGTGCGCCCTCGGATTCGCCCCATCCGTCGGTGCGCCCTCGCCTCCTCCTCCTCCCTCGCACCATTCGTCGGCACCCTCGGGCTGCTGCGTCCGGATTCGCCACCTTTCTCCTCGCCCCCCCTCTTCCCCCACCTCCCTCGCCCCATCCACCCTCGCCCCACCCCATCATTCCACTCCCCTTTCCCTCCTTCGCCACCATCCGCCGTCGCACCACACACCCTCCTCCGCCCTCCTCCGCCCCCCTCGTCCTCCTTCCACAACTCCCCCACCCTCCCCTCGCACCTTCCACCCCTCCTCTTCCCTCGATCCCCTCCGTCCACGCACCTCGATCCCTATCGACGTGAGCGTGCCTTCCTGCGTGACCGCTCTCAAGCGTCTTCCTGAGTGAGCACGAGCGCGCGTCTTCCTCGCTCGTCGGCGTGTGCGTCTCCCTGCGTGAGCGTGTGTGCGTCTTCCTGCACCGTCGGGCGGGACGCGTCTTCCTCGCTCGTCGGTGTGAGCGGGTGTCTTCCTGTCGGCGTGAGCGAGCGTCTTCCTGCCGCTGTGAGCAAGCGTCTTCCCACCGGCGTGAGCGTGACGTCGGCGTGAGTGAGCGCGTCTTCCTCGCTCGTCGGGGTAAGCGTCTTCCTCGCTCGTCGGTCGGGGCGCAGCTCCTCCATCGTCGGCGTGCGCGCGCGTCTTCCTCGCTCGTCGGTGAGAGCGTCTTCCTGCGTGAGTGTGAGCGGCAGCATCCACCAGCGCCTCCTCGCCCCCCCCCCCCCACCTTCCTCCCTCGTCGCTCGTCACGCGGGGCGTCGACCTCCGCCTCTCCTCTTCCCCTACCCCCCTCCCACTCCACCCGCCGGTGCGCCCTCGGATTCGCCACCACCCGCCGGCGCTGCTGCGTTCCGATCGGGTCGGGTCAGGGTGGGCAAGGGGTGAGGGGGCGAGAAAAGAGGAGGGAAAGAGGAGGATGAAGGGTGAGGGAAGGGGGGTCGGGGTGAGGGAAGGTGGAGGGGCGGGGAAAGGAGGGTAGAGGGAGGAGGGGTGGGGGGGAGGGAACAGTAGGGGGAAGGGCGAGGGAGGGCGGGGCTGAATGTATGCGTGGCGATTGGGGTCGGGGGTGAACGACGCGTGGGGGGTAAACGACGCGTTCGAAGGAGCCTAGCGTGCAGCGGCTGAAGGAGCCTAACGTGCATCGGCTGAAGGAGCCTAAGGCGCGTCCGCCGAGACCTGGGAGACGGGATCGCGTCATGTCGCGCAGTCAGGCGAGGCGGTGACAGAGGCGCGTAGAGGCGTAGGAATGAGGCGCGTAGACGCGCGCTCGTCGCGCGAGGCGCGAGCTCTCCCTCCACAACGTCGATGGGCGCAGCTCTCCCTCGCTCGTCGTCGATGGGCGCAGATCCCCGTCTCTCCTCCTCCCCTCCCCCCCTCCCCTCCCCCCCCTTCTCCTACACACCCTCGCACCATCCACCTCCCACCCCTCCTCCCCACACCACCCCCCTCCTCCCCCTCTACACCCTCGCCCTCGCCCTCGCACCATCCCCCTCTTCCCACCGCACCCTCTTCCACCCCTCCCACCCCCCTCGGCCGCGCTCTGTTACTTACTCCCCCCCATTGCGTGCGTCTTCCTGTCGGCGTGAGCGTCTTCCTCGCTCGTCGGTGCGAGCGTCTTCCTGGCGGCGTGCGCGCGTCTTCCCATCGGCGTGAGCGAGCGTCCTCCTGGCGCTGTGAGCGAGCTCTCCCTCGCTCATCGCGCGGGGCGCAGATCTTCCTCGCTCGTCGGGCGGGGCGCGAGCCCTCCACAACGTCGATGGGCGCAGCTCTCCGTCTCTCGTCAGACGCGCCCGTCCTCCACCGTCGGGCGGGCCGCCCCCTCCTCCACCGTATACACGCATCCCACCCTCTCCCTCGCACTCTCCACCCCTTCGCCCTCCTCTCCCCTCTCCACCCTTCCCCTCGCACCCTTCGCCACCCCCTCGCCCTCTCCCCACCTCTCCCCCCTGCGTGAGCACGGGCGAGCGTCTTCCCATCGGTGTGCGTGAGCGTCTTCCTGTCGGTGCAAGCGAGCGCGTCCTCCACCCTTCGCCACCCTTCCCCTCGCACGTGCATACGCCTCCTTCTCCACCGTGCATACGCGCCCGTCGTCCACGTGCATACGCGCCCCATCCACCGTGTATACGCGCTCCATTCGGCGCCCCATCGATACGCGCCACCCCCCTCCTACACACACAACCTCCCCTCTCCCTCCCTCCCCACCACCCCCCTCTCCCCTCCCCACCGTATATATGCGCCCCCAATCGTCTATATGCACACCCCCAGTCTCCCGTCGAACGCACACCCTCTTCCCTCCCTCTTCTCCTACACACCCCTCCCTCTTCCTCCTCTATCCTTTTCCTCTCCCCCTTCTCTCGCTCGTCGCGCGGGGCGCAGCTCTCCGTCTCCCGTCAGTGGCGCGCTCTGTCCACCGTCAGACGCACACCCCCTAGCTCCCGTCAGGCGCACACCCCCGGTCTCCCGTCAGACGCGCGCTGCTGCGTTCGGTTCAGGGTGGGGAAGGTGGGGTGGGGAAGGGTATGGGGAGGGGAGAGGGGCGAGGGAGGGTGGGGTGGGGTAGAGTAGGGGAGGGTAGGGGAGAGGGGAAGGAGCGAGGGGAAGGGGGAAGGGGCGAGGGTAGGGGACGGGGGGTGAAGGGGAAGGGGAGGAGGGAGGCGGGTGGAAGGGGCGAGGGTAGGGGACGGGGGGTGAAGGGGAAGGGGAGGAGGGTATGAGGACGGCGCTGGGTATGAGAACGTCGGGTTAAAGGAGGAGCCTAACGCGCATCAGCTGAAGAAGCCTAACGTGCATCAGCTGAAGGGGCCTAACGTGCATCGGCTGAAGGACCCTAAGGCGCGTCGATCGAGGCCCATGAGGAGACGGGATCGCGTCCGCCGAGACCTGGGAGACGGGATCGCGTCATGTCGCGCAGTCAGGCGGGGCGGTGACAGAGGCGCGCAGTGAGGCGTAGAAAGAAGGCGCGTAGAGGCGTAGAAAGGAGGGGTGTAGAGGCGTAGAAAGGAGGCGCGCAGGCGTGTAGATACGAGGCGCGTAAACGCGTAGAAAGGAGGCGTGTAGAGGCGTAGAAAGAAGGCGCAGTGGGGCGCTGAAAGAAGGCGTGTAGATGCGTAGAAAGAAGGCGCGGAGAGGCGGTGAAAGAAGGCGCGCAGTGAGGCGTACGCACGAAGGCGCGTAAACGCGTACGCACGAGGCTGGAGTTAACAAGGACAAGTACATCCGAGAGCCAATAGGGACATCGACGTCTGTGAGCCAGCAGGGACAAGGACATTTGTGGGCTAACACTGAAAGACACGACGGACGCGACAAGAAACGACGGACGCGACAAGAAACGACGGACGCGACAAGGCACGACGGACGCCGACGGGACAAGACACGACGAAGCGCGCACCGACCCCTCGCACCCATCCCATCCGGACGCACGGGGGAGGACCGAGACGCGGGTAGGGAGAGGTCGATCGCTTGTAGGGCGATCGCAGCCAGCCGCACTCGTCCTCGATGTCGACTGCAGGTAGAGCTACGTCGATCGTCGGTAGGGTTAGCGAGCGCGACCATGCGCGCGTTGTCCTCGTCCTCGTCAACAATGCGTCCGTAACCCTCGTCATCGTGCGTCCGTGTGCGCAGAGAAACGAAAAAACAACCCGCGTAGAAAAAGAGATGTGGTCTGGTATTGGGATGGGAGTGCCCCACAGCCGACTTGAACGACTGACCTTCGCATCGGATGCAACAATGGGCGTATACGAGTGCGACGCTCTACCACTGAGCTAGCAGGGCGGTGAAAGCGGGGGAGGAGAGGCGTTGCGCGAGCCAGGGAGGGCACGGCGAGAGCTAGGGAGGGCATAGCGGGAGCCAGGGGGAGCACGGCGGGATTCCAGCGGTCCGCAATGGCGGTAAGGACCGAGGAGAGTGTAGGAAGTCAAGTAGAACGGGCAGCTGTGCGAGGAAGGCTGGGACGATCGGAGTGCTTGCGCTGATGGTGGTACGGAAGCAAGGGACAAGACCGCGATCACGGCTTGACGCGCAGTGGCCTGTCCGGTTGACGCGACCCACAAACGCTGTCTGACGCGACTTGCGATCGTTGACGTGACGCGTGCTGCGATGACCAACGCCCCCGCGACCCCGGACCGATCGACGCTGTGGGCGAGGATAGCGGGCCTGCGATCGGGGATGGCCGTCTGCGGCTAGCGACGTCATGTCTGTCATCGAGGACGAGAACGGACCTACCTGCGATCGAACGCGCCCTACCTGTGACCGACGTAGCTCTACCTGCGATAGGCCGCTGCCTTCCACGTTCCAGTCCTTCCCGTGCGTCCGGATGACATGTATGCGTGTTCGAGGGGTCTAGGGTTCGGTGGAGAGCTGCGGTGCGTGCTTCATTGCGTCTTGTCGCGTCCGTAGCGCTCGCTGTCTGTCTCATGTCTACCTGCACAATCACACGTCGACGCCCAATCTCCGTGCACGTCCACGCGCCCTTCCTGTTCCGCGCGTACTGCCCTCGAGCCTTCCGAAAGCCCGAACGCCTCCACCACCTCCATCTTCGTCGCTCATCAACACCCTCACGTAGGCCGTCCTCTTCCCACTATAAACGTCTATACTTCATTCCACATCCTCATCCTCTATCCGCTCTCCCTTCCGCCCCCATCCGCACGAACCCCATATACGCGGACCGCCCCAGGCGTACCTTCTCAAGTCACCTACACCACCACCCGATGCCCCCTTACCCCTTCCTGCCCTCCTCCCCGAACCCTTTCAAATCTCTTCACTTCCCGCGCCCCCTTCACCATAACCTCCCGACTGCTCCTCCCCTTCTCCCCTTCCATCCATCCCTTCTCCTCTTCTCCCCTTCCATCCATCCCTTCTCCCCTTCTCCCCTTCCATCCATCCCTTCTCCCCTTCTCCCCTTCCGTCCCTTCTCTCCTCTTCTCCCCTTCCGTCCCTTCTCTCCTCTTCTCCTCTTCTCCCCTTCCGTCCCTTCTCTCCTCTTCTCCCCTTCCGTCCCTTCTCTCCTCTTCTCCCCTTCCGTCCCTTCTCTCCTCTTCTCCCCTTCCGTCCCTTCTCTCCTCTTCTCCCCTTCCGTCCCTTCTCTCCTCTTCTCCCCTTCCGTCCCTTCTCTCCTCTTCTCCCCTTCCGTCCCGTCTCTCCTCCTCCCCTCCTCCCCTCCCCCTTCATTTCCGTCCCCGTTACTGCCCGCTCGCCACCCCACGGCCCGCCCTTTTGCTCAACGCTTCCCTCCACTCCTCCCCCATCCCTCCACTCCTCCCCCCTCCCTCCACTCCTCTCCTTCCCTCCACTCCTCCCCCATCCCTCCGCTCCTTCCCCATCCCTCCGCTCCTTCCCCATCCCTCCGCTCCTCCCCCATCCCTCCACTCCTCTCCCATCCCTCCGCTCCCACCTTCCGCACGCCGTCTCCGGAAGCGCGCGAGAGAGGGGGCGAGATGGGGGGGGGGGTGCGAGATGGGGGGGTGCGAGATGGAGGGGGCGAGAGAGGGGGCGAGATGGGGGGGGCGAGAGAGGGGGGGGTGCGAGGGAGGGAGAGGGAAGGGCACATCGCACCCCCAGAGGGAAGGGCACATCGCACCCTCTCGCATGTCGTAGCCCCTCTCGCATGTCGTAGCCTCTCTCGCATGTCGTAGCCTCTCTCGCATGTCGTAGCCCCTCTCGCATGCCGTAGCGCTCCCATACGAGTAGGCATTAGTATCGAACGTCTACGTATCATCAAATGTCTACGTCTACGTATCATCGAATGTCTACGCATCATCGAATGTCTACGCATCACCGAATGTCTACGCATCATCGAATGTCATCTCTCTTCATACTCCGACGCGATTTCCCACCGTACCGAAGGGCGATTTTCCACCGTACCGAAGGGCGATGACCCGCTGTGACCCAACGCGCCATCCTCTACACCCCAGTGCGCCATCCTCTACACCCCAGTGCGCCATCTTCTGCACCCCAGTGCGCCATCCTCTACACCCCAGTGCGCCATCTTCTACACCCCAACGCGATGACCCACCGTGACCCAACGCGCCATCCTCTGCACCCCAGTGCGCCATCTTCTGCACCCCAACGCGCGATTTTCCACTCGCCAGTGCGCCATCTTCTACTCGCCACACGACGGTAAGATAATAAGGCCCGGGCGATTGCGTGCGAGAAGGGCGAGCAGATTGCGTGCGAGAAGGGCGAGCAGATTGCGTGCGAGAAGGGTGAGCAGAGGAGGTGGAGGGAGGAGGAGGTGGAGGGAGGGGTGGAGAGAGGGGTGGGGGACGAAGAGGTGGAGGGAGGGGTGGGGGACGAGGTGGTGGACTGCGCGCGAGAAGGGTGAACAAAGAGGGAAGGAGCGGTACTATAACGTTGGGGAAGGAGCGGTACTATAAAGCTGGGGAAGGAGCGGTACTATAAAGTTGGGGAAGGAGCGGTACTATAAAGTTGGGGAAGGAGCGGTACTATAAAGTTGGGGAAGGGGAGAGGGACGAGGAGGCGGACGAGGAAAATAAGGTGGACGAGGAAAATAGGGCGGACGAGGAAAATAAGGCGGACGAGGAAAATCAGGCGGACGAGGAAAATAGGGCGGACGAGGAAAAGAAGGTGGAGGCGTGAGATGTGGGGAATCGCTACTGAGAGGTTGGGAATCGCTACACTGAGATGTGGGGAATCGCTACTGAGAGGTTGGGAATCGCTACACTGAGATGTGGGGAATCGCTACTGAGAGGTTGGCGGAAGGCAGACGGCAGGCGGAAGGCAGACGGCAGGCGGAAGGCAAGCGGAATCCACCTACGAAGCAAAAGCGGAATCCACCTACGACGCAAACGCGGAATCCACCTACGAAGCAAAAGCGGAAGCCACCTACGAGCCTAGCAAACGCGAAAGCCGCCTACGAAGCAAAAGCGGAATCCACCTACGAAGCAAACGCGGAATCCACCTACGAAGCAAACGCGAAAGCCACCTACGACGCAAGAGCGGAAGCCTTCTAGTACGACGCAAACGCGGTGCCCTGAAAGCGCCCATATGCGCGCATTCTATTCCAGTGAACTCGATCGAGTACATCGCGCCTGGACTTGATCGAGTACATCGCGCCTGGACTTGATCGAGTACATCGCGCCTGGACTTGATCGAGTGCATCGCGCCTGATACAGTCGTCGGTGGTTGGCAAGGCCGCTGTTAGCACCCCTCTCCTCCATCGTCTCGCCCCGCGCATGAGCCGCCGGACGTGATCCCACCGCCTGCTCACGCTCACCACGCCTCCCTGTCCTCGCGAGCCCGCCACGCCCTCCCTGTCCTCGCGCACTCATAAAGCCCTCCCGTCCTCGCGAGCCCGCCAAGCCCGCCCGTCCTCGCGCACTCATCAAATCCTCCCGTCCTCGCGAGCCCGCCGCGCCCTCCCGTCCTCGCGCATTCATCAATCCCTGCACGGTCAGCTCCGGGAAGCACCGCGGTCAGCTTTGGGCAGCACCGCGTCAGGAAGGCCGGGAAGCACCACGCCAGGAAGACCGCGGTGTATCGCGTCAGGAAGACCAGGAAACACCGCGCCAGGAATGCCGCGGTGTATCGCGCCAGGAATGCCGCGAAGGGTGCTGGCGCGGCGTCCACTTGTGAGGATCCGACGGCTAGGGAGCGCAGGTGGGGGGAGGGGGGAGGCTGGGAGGATTTCGGAGGACGGGGAGGCGCAGGCGAAGATTTCGGAGGACGGGGAGTTGGGGAAGACGCCAGAGGGGGGGAGTTGGGGAAGACGCCAGAGGGGGGGGGGGGGGAATGAGAGGGGTCGACGGCGGAGAGGAAGGAGATGGCAGTAAAGGGGGAGAAGTAGAAAGCGCTAGCACCACCGGGTGCCGCCCTCGTACCACCGGGTGCCGCCCGCGCATCGACCTAGACCTCAAGCTCCTCCAAATTGGGAAAGTACCGCGCGAACGCGGCGAGCCGCGCCCCTCGCGGGCCACCGTTGCGCGCTCCCGCCGCGTCCGCATCGCCCCCACCCAGCGCGTCCGCACCGCCCACACCCTCCGCTGCGTGGAGTTCGCGTGCGCGCCCCTCCCCCTCCCCTCTACCCACCTCCCTCGCCGCGAATCGCCTCAGCCTCGGCCACGCCGCGCCCATCTCCCGAATTTCCTCCTCTTCGGGGCTGGTATCCATGTTCTCCTCCTCGAGACTGGTATCCATGACCGCCTCTTCGAGGCTGGTATCCATGACCGCCTCTTCGAGGCTGGTATCCATGTTCTCCTCGAGACTGGTATACATATTCTGCACTGCGAGCCTGATACTCCCCCCCTCGCCCATCCGCTGCACTTCGCCCATCCGCTGCACTTCGCCCATCCGCCGAACACCCCCCACCCCGAACCTGATCTCGAGCCACACCAGCTCAAGCTCTTCCAAACCGCGACATACATGGAGCGCGCGCAGGTCGCGAGGGGAAACACTCGTGTCGGTCCAGTCTCCGGTGAGGGTGAGGTGCGTGAGTGTCCGGGCGGCCGAGGAGCATGCGATGTCGGCGCACGCCTGCCGCATATGCCCCGGACTCAGAATCCGCTCCATCGTGAGGTGCGTCAGCGCGGGTGGGTCGAGGATGCGGAGGACGGCGCCGCTGATGTAGGGCGCGAGGACGCCCGGGGTGAGGATGTCGACGGCGAGGGACTTGAGGCGCGGGGCGATGTTCTTCGTCGCCGGGGAGGTATCTGCGATCGTCCTCGTCGCCGGGGAGGTATCTAGCGACTCGTCCAGCTCAAACGAATGCGCCCGATATCCACCGTAGACCTCCAGGTGCTCGAGGCTGGGCATGGTGGCTATGGCGCGCAACGTCGCGGTGTCCAGGTGCGAGAAGTCGATGACGAGGGATTGGAGGGTGTCGCCGAGGCGCGACGTGATACTAGTATTTAGGTGGGGAGAGATGGTGTCGCCAGGGAGGGTGGGTATGTCGTCCTTGGGGTGGGAGGAGATGGAATCAGTGAGGGGTGAGGAGGTACTATCCCCGCAGAGCGAGCGGGTACTGTCCCCGCAGAGCGAGGGTGTACTGTCCCCATAGTGCGAGCGGGTACCATCCCCGCGGCGCGCCAGCAACTCGCGAAACAGATGGTTCTGGTTATCCGGATAGTCAAGCACAACGTGCAGCTTTTTGACCGATGGGGGAAAGCACCCGCGCCGAGAACGAACCGCGAGTCCGTCGGGGCCCCCTCGCCCAGCGAGGACCCCGTCGCGCTCGCCCAGCGCCATCCCATCTCCCCGACTGGGACACACCCCACCGAGCAATACCCCCATCGTCCGATACAGCTCCTCGACGTCCATACTCCGATGATGCAAGATGAGCTCGAGGTCTGTCACGGACGGCGCCAAGAGCACGGGGAGGGAGTCCGCGTACCCGGCTACGAGGCTAAAGGTGCGGAGGTTGGGGAAGATGAAGGGTGCGTGTTGGCGCGGGTTGGCAGACTTGTCGCCTGGGGAACAGAAGCCTGACGCACACAGCGCACGGGCGACCCGTGCGACAGATGGCCCATCGACCTCGAAGCTGCTGGTGCTGTTGCGCAAGTCGAGATCGCGAACGAAGGGTGCGTAGAAGCGCGCGCGGGACACGTCGGGGGGCGTGAGGTCGTCGATGGTGGTTATCCGGGTCTTTCGATGGGTTAATCAGGCTGGGAGGAAGGGACGAGGAAGAAGCAAGAGGACAAGGAGGGCCGTCGCTCCGGTACTCAACGAGAATACCCACTAACCTCACTATCCCTATACCTCTTCGACTCCGGTAGAAGCAAGATGAAGGGCTCAAGTGTGACGATCCGCTCCCACAACAGGGCGAGCGCAGGTCGGAGGAAGGCCCGACATGTGCGCGCGAGAGCGTTCAGAAACTTTTTCTCGCAAACGTGAGAGAAGATGAGCTCCAGGAGCTCGGTGGTGCATAGTGCGGCATGCATCCGTTGGGCGCCATGGGTCAGAGAATGTCGCCGCCTGCGCGTTCGGCTGTTGCCGGGAAAGCGCCACAAACGCGTTGCCTTTCGGGGCTCAGCATTGTTCTTCCTTCCTCTCACACACGACTCGGTACCGAAGGCCTTCGATTGCGCCATTCCTTCAGCCTGAACGCATAGCCCTCGTGAACTCGTGAACTCGCGACTGCCTCCGCATTCTGCCGCCCGAGCCCGAGAGGGATCGGCTACCCTTTGCCGGACGCGCCTCCCTCTCCATATCTTCCCCATCCTCAAGCTCCGTCGTCTCCGTGTCCAGTGACTCTGGGAATTCCAAAGTCAGACTTGAATATGACCCCGCACAAATCTATGTACCCGCGTTCTACGATACAGTATGCAGGTCCGCCCACGATTCCTACCCGCGCTAACACGTACTGAAGGCAGACATTGCACTCCGCCCTTCGCCACCCCTGTCACGTCTTGCGTCAATCGCAACGCCGCTTCTATTCATCGTCTCCCATGCATACACCCACCCTCCGCCACCTCCGCTGAGCCGGTGATTGTTTACCTCCCGGAGTCCTGGACGGGCGCTTGAGACCACGGTAGATACCTCCCCGGATCCCCCCTGGTCGCACGGCGTCCTCGTCTCTGCTGGAAGCAGCAGTACTACTGCGCACAACTCACAAGAGAGTCGAACAATGAAAACGGCTGTAAGCCTGTCATCCCTCAAGCGAGCGCGTGGGAGCGTGGGAGGTCGCGCGGTGCACCGGCAGGCGCTCCAGACCCCCATCCGCGCAGGGTCCCGCGCGCTTGCCCGCCGCGCCGCTGATGGGGCGCACGACTCCGGCGGCGTTGATGGTCTGGGCGCGCGCCGCCCGCTAGGCATGATGGGGGAGCCCTGATGGTGAATGGGGGAGCCTATCGGGGCACGGAGGGGCCTATCGGTGCAAGACGGGGGAGGGCGTGCGCTCGGCGGGGGGGACCGCGGGGTGTCGCTTGCTTGCTTCTTACGCGCTCGCTCGCTTGCTTCGTACGCGTCCGCTCGCTTGCTTCCTGCGCATCCGCTGACTAGGCTAGTATCGACGTGGTGGCGCCCTCCTGCGCGCCTTCGACCTGATTTATACGACGGAACGCGTTCTGCTGCCCTCACTACCCTCGACGCGCGCCTACACTCTACTTCCTTATCACCATGACCGTCTCGCCACCCAACCTACGCATCGCGATCGTGTACGTAGCCCGTCCTTCTCTCGATCACCTTCCCCCCTTCCCCGTGCATCCTCACTCATCGGCCGCCGTCCAATCCCATCACCCGCATACCCCGCCATGCGCCACTCCTACAAGCACTAACCGATCCTCAGTGGCGGCGGCATCGCCGGCCTCTCTCTCGTCCTCGCGCTCCAGCGCTTCTGCTCCTCCGTCCAGAACCTCGAGATCACCGTCTATGAAGCCGCGCCTCTCTTGGATCAGGCGGGCGCAGGTCTCGGCATGTACACGCGCACCCTGGGCATCCTGCGCGATCTCGGGCTAGAGGAAGAGCTGGCGAAGTTCGAGGCGCAGGATAAGCATAGTCTGGGTGAGTTCTGGCGGGGATGGGTGGGTTGAGAAGAGCAAGGGCTGACGATGTGCTTCATTCAGTATGGCGAGTACGGAAGAGCGATATGAAGGAGGGGAAGCATGTACACGATATGTATCTCGATGATGGTGTGTATTCTCTCTCTTGTTCTCCGTCCTGCTCTCGTTCCACCCCTCTCGTCTGCAATGTCACTAACCCCTCTACCTCAGGCCCCCTCATGCTCTTCCACCGCGCGGACTTCCAGGGCATGATCCTCCGCCACCTCCCGCCCTCCGTCCGCGTCCACCTGTCGCACCGCCTCGTCGGCTTCACGGAGTCGCCTCGGGTGTCATCCTCATCATCGTCCGCAGTGTTCTCATCCTCATTCTCAGCCTTATCCCCATTCTCATCCTCATCCCCATTCTCATCCTCATCCGACACTGCGGGCAACTCGACCGAGATCCGCCTCGAGTTCGAGAACGGGGCGACGGCGGTGTGCGACGTGCTCATCGGCGCGGATGGCCTGCGCTCGCGCGTCAGGCGCGGACTGGCGGATCTCGCGGAGGCGGAGGTGGCGGCTGGGTCGGGGGAGGCGGCGCAGTCAGGGATGGCGAGGGCGGATAGCGGAGCAGCTCACCCTACAGAGACAACCGCGAAAGCATCGACGAACACGCTGAAAGCATCAACGAACCCGCCGAAAGCACACAACCAGCCGCCGACGTTCCACTCCGCCGCGCTCTTCGCTGCGCGCGCGGAGCCCGTGTGGACGGGGACGTACGTGTTCCGCGGGCTGGTCGAGACGGCGAAGCTCGCCGAGCGCTGGCCGGGGCATCCGGCGCTGACTGTGCCACTCCAGGTGCGTGCGTCTTGACTAGCGTCTAGTGGAGAGATAATGAAGCTGACTTTGTGCTCGTTATAGTATGTCGGGAAGGATAGGGTGCGTTTGCTCTCTAGTGTATGCGGCGCGCTCTCTAGCATATGCGGCGCGCTTTCCGCCGTGTGCACTTTGTAGCTCGTCGCTCACCGCGCCACCCGCAGCACGTCACCAGCTACCCCATCGCGCAGGGCAAGTACATCAACGTCGTCCCGAACATCACCAACTTCGCGCGCTCGGGGATCCGGATGAGTCCTGAGGAGGCGGCGACGGCGAAGGCAACGACGGAGGAGGTCCTCAAGGAGTTCGAGGACTGGGAGGACGAGGTGAAGGTGTTGATCGAGGTGCGTATGGCAGATGGGCTCCATGCTCTCTTCTGCCTGTGACGCCCGCGACCCAAACATTGACCGGCGCTTCCAGCTCATGGAGGTCCTCGGCCGATGGCCCATCCAGACCCTCGACTCGCTGCCAACGTATACCGCAGGCAAAGTCATCCTGCTCGGTGACGCGGTTCGTATATCTCCCCCTTCGTCCTCGCCCGCCCTCTCTGACGCGCTTGCAGGCCCACGCGATGTCCCAACACCTCGGCGCCGGCGCAGGGCAGGGCATCGAGGTGAGCTGTCTCGACGTTAACACCAATATCCGCTCGTCGCTCATCCTTCCCCAGGACGCATACGTGCTCGGCAAGTGCTTCGCCAAGGCCTTCGCCGAGGGCCACGCCGACCCCGTCCCCCGCGTCGCTGCGCTCTATAACGCCCTCCGCCTGCCCATCGGGAATCACGTCCAAGAGCGCTCGATGCTCATGGGGCGCGTCTACACCTTCGACTTGGACCTGATCTACGAGGACAGGCGGCTGAACGGTCGCGAGTCAGCGAACGGTCGCGAGTCGCCGGACGCCCCCGCGCCGGAGGTCACCATCGCGCACGACAACGAGGCCGCAGCGAATCGGGAGTGGGAGCGCCGCCTGAGCGCCCGCGCGAAGAAGGCGTTCGCGCTACCCGCGAGCTGGGCGGCGATGGACGATACGGCGCGCATGTCGTGGCTGACGGTCGACAGCTACAACTGGCAGAACAGCGCATTTATAAGGGAGCGCGACGCGGAGACAGCGCGAGTGCTGGGGATGTGAGCTTTGGTTTGTGAGACTCATTATCGTCGCCGTGAATGCCAGCGATCAGGCAGAGGTACTCAGCTCCTTGTAGTATTTATCGATTAGACCCTTGTTATCCCGCTGTGCTATAGATGGCAGATATATATTCTTCTACTCTCAATATGTGGCAGCGCATGCACAAGAATGAGCGCTTGCAGGTAGGTACAGAGAGATGAATGGCGACGCACAGTAACTAATCCGTGTGACAGGCTACGCTGAGGTCACAGCGTCTTTCTTGCCTTTGACGATCGGGCTCTGAAGATGCATGTCGCGCTGCAGATACCAGAGCTCCTCGAACACATCCTTTGCGATCTTTACAACGATGATTGCTTAGGGGACCTTGCCAGCTTGGCACGCACATGCAAAGGCTTTTCGGATTCAGCCCTCCGTACTCTGTGGGAAACGGTCGTCGACATAGGATCTCTGATAGAGTTGCTGCCCTCATCCGCAATGATATGGCCAGGCAAGGAGTACCGCAGCAGCGCGGTACGTGTATGCATCTTTTATCAAGTAGGCAGAATTGCTTACGCGGTCGTCAGATCCTATCGCGGCCTTTCACTCCGCAAGAGGTTGTCTCGATTATCCGATACGGTCTCCTCGCTCGTAATCTCCAACTATCAACTGAAGAACTTGCCAAGTATCATGATATCTTAAAGGCGATAGCGGAAGTCTCTGGCCAGGTCACACTATTTCCCAACCTCCTCACCCTCACAGTCGACATCGATGCAACATCCTCGGATGAGATTGCAGAATGCCTTCTCGACCTTATCCCTTTGTCACTCCACGGCATCAACATGTCTGTCATTACCTCGCGGGCATCTTCTCAGGTCCAGCGCATACTCTTCGCCTTGAAAGGCCGACAACCTCTCAGCATCCAGTCTTTCGCCTTCAGATCGGAGGCTGCATTCGTGGAGGGCCGCAGGATGGTGGAATTATTGAACGGATGGAATAGCCTCCGTCGCGTCACAATATACGGCTGCCTTCGTCCAGAGGTCGCTCTCGCAGCCCTTGCGCTTCCTAACCTACATTCGCTGGACCTTGGGACCAACGAACCTCGAGGAGAGTCGCTCAAAATAGGCAGCGTATCCACTGCGCGTACTCTACGCAAATTAAGCATATATTATCTGGACGACTACTCGTCTGCGACCAACTTCATCACCTTACTCCCGAATGCATCGCTCGCAACGATCACCGTCACGGCATACGGCAGCATCGCGCATCTCAAGGAGTTCTTCTTGGCGCTCTCTCGTCGCCGTCCCGTCACGGTTTTGCGCGAACTCGACTTGCGTCTAAGCTGCAGCCGTGACCCTGAGATCGCTCCGGCACTCTCCTTCCACGACCATGTCTCGTCGCTTCTCGTCTTCCCCAACCTAGTCCACCTATTCATTAATATTGATGCATCCCTGTCTCTGAGCGACGAGGACGTGCGACGGATGTCCCTCGCTTGGCCTCGTATCCGATGGCTCACCCTCTATGGTGCCACGCCGGAGAGCAGACAGCTGCCCGAATGCACCCTGCCGGCGCTCCTGTGGCTCGCCCGCCATTGCGCTGAGCTAGCCTGGCTTGATATCAGTCTCGACGCTCGAGTGACAGCCATTCCTAGCGGCATTCCATCAAGGGCCACCCAACGCTCGCTGCGCACACTCATACTGCACCGCTCGCCCATCGCGTCCAGCGCCGATGTTATCCGATTCCTTGCGTGCCACTTTCCCGGGCTGCGTATCATCGATGGAGTGGATCAGGTGGGGGAGCAGCCTCGATGGAGAGATGCTCAGGAAGAATTCAGAAGGATTGCCAAGGAGGTTTAGGTGCGGAAGGAATGGCAGCGCGTGGTCACGTCGATAATGGGTCTGGACAGTTGACACTTACCCTGTCAATTATTTTCGGGATTTCTATATGCTGTCCAACCCTTCACTGGGCTCATACGAGGTCCGTGCAGGCCCACTTGCTGGCATATACAATGCACTGGCGGCTGCAATCGAGAGGCTGCGATGCAGTTCGAATTTGTGGCGTTGGCGGCAACGAGCGCGTGGCAACTCGGTGTCTTCCCGAACACCCACCTGAAGTGGCACACAGTGCACAAGCTCTCCTTATCCCCGGGTACCACAGCTCCATGTACGTACTTCTACTTCTCTCTATCCTTGGGTGTCTCGTGTTGCTCTCGATGCACTTACGCTCATCCATCAGGCAGTCAAGATGCACCGCGTGCTTCGTACGCCCGAGCTAGTCAATCTGATCATCGACCTCGTACATTGGTACTCGCTCCCTGCCGTTACCAGAACATGCGTCGGCTTCTTTGAGCCCGCAGCACGCAGATTATGGGCAAAAGCCCACACATTCGTGAACTTGGCAATGTGCCTGCCGGATTCATGCTGGAAGTGCTCGAAATACGTGCATGGATTATGGGGCTATAACTCAAAGCTGGTCAGTCTCGCACGCGGGCCTTCTCGAGCCAATATGCAAGTGCTGACTCGCCGATTTGCAGACCATCATCCGCGACCTCACTATGCACGACGTTCAGAGATTCAGGCTCTACGCTTCATTCGTTCGGGAGCTCGACTTCCACCCCGAATTTGCCGGAGTCAGGCCGCGGAGTCTCGAGAAGATTGCTCTGGCGCTGGGAGACGCGAACCTGCTGCCCAACCTTCGCCGTCTCACGTATCATGGCCCGTCACAATGGTCTCGTATACTTCCCTTTCTCATTCCAGCATCCCTTACAGAATTCACCTTCGACATATATACGGTGAACAGGGGAGACTCCGAGGATATCGACCCTGAGGACGGCGAGCACGAGCGATCCGCGATCGCCACACTCAGCAACCGTCGATCTCTCGACATGCTCGAATTGACGTGGCCTGTACGCTTTCCATCCTTGGAAGACACAATGCGGGGCTGGAGCAGCCTCAAGCATCTTCGTCTTTCCGGCTCGGTCGACGCTGCCGCGCTGTGCGCGATTGTCGATCTACCTCGCGTTGAGTCTCTCGCGCTGATCAACTGCATTGTGCAGTTACCGGATACTGTGCCCGTTAACTTCCATATACGCCACTCGCTGAAGACCTTGTGCGTATTTGGGACCAGCGCGCCTTGTGCCGCCTGGTTCTTCGAAGCAGCAGGGCACGTCGAGCTCGAGCAGGTCAAATTGGCATGTCACACCTTCCGAAGGCCTAACTCGTTGAAAGCGACATGTCAAATGCTCGAGAAGCATTGCTCAAAAGCCCTACAGATCCTCACCATCATCGAGATCGAGCCCGAATCACACGGCGAGGTGGTACAAGACGAGGAGACCTCGACATATACCATCGACGACCTGCTTCCCCTTCTCAGCTTCCCAAACCTCTGGTTCTGTTCCATCGAGCTGCGCAGCAGGCTCGTTCTATGGGACAAGGACATCCTGTTGATAGCTCAGGCCTGGCCTGCGCTCGAGCAGCTGGACCTCTACGGCATCGCGGTCCCTCGGCCCACCTGCACTCTCACCAGCCTCCTCATCCTCGGCCACTTCACGCCAGCGATACGCCGAGTGGCGATGAGCATGGACGCTACCACGATCGACGCGCTGAACGAGGCTCTATCGCAGAGCCCGGGCGACGTCATGGCAGCGTTCACCAACCGCTCACTCAGGACCCTGGCCGTGCTCGACTCGCCTATCAATTCTGAGTTGGCGGTCGCATCTTTCTTGTCGAGGTTCTTCTTGTCTTTGAAGGTCGTCCACTGCGTGGCAGCGAAGGACGGAGAAAGAGAGGAGGAAAATCGGCGACGTAGGACGTGGGCCGAAGTCGCGAAAGCGCTGCCTTACTTCATGGAGGCAAGAGCCGCCGGGATGGACGGGCCCTTAGAAACGAGATGACAAAGACCAGCGTGCAGCGATCAGAATCCGTGTAAGTGTTCTTTCGATCCAGTTTTACGTGCTGTATTTACTCGTACTCAGTCCGCCGTACAGTTCCTGCTCTGCCATACACGCTGTGATTTACCTCATCAGTTACTTTTGTGACTTCTTTTGCTATACAAATCATCGCCCGGACTCATCCAAAGGCCCACAAGCTGGAGCCTCATACTCGCCGAACCAACGGCTGCACTCGAGAGGCCTTCGGAGTTCAGAGTCAGACTGGATCCGAATTTGTGGCGTTGGCGACAACGAGCGCGTGGCAACTCGGTGTCTTCCCGAACGCTCATCTGAAGTCGCATAGTGCACAAATCCTGGCTGCCTTTAGGTCATACAGATCCATGTACGCTCCCGCTCCTTACTCTAGGCGTCATTCTCTCTCTCAGTCAGAGAGAAGTTGCCAGTGGCACTGCACGCCTGTGTCCCCTTTCAACGTGCTCATGCTCGTTCATTAGGAAGCCAGAATGCACCGCGTGCTCCAAACCCCCGAGCTCGTCAGTCTTATAGTCGATCTGGTTCATCACTACACTCTTCCTGCCGTTGCAAGGACGTGCTCCAACTTCTTTCACCCCGCCGCGCGCGCCATATGGGAAAAATGCCATACGCTCGTGAATCTGGCGATGTGCTTACCAGAATCCTGCTGGGAGTGCTCGGGGTACGAGCATGGCATATGGGGCTTTTATTCGAAGCTGGTAGCTATGAACAGTAATCCACGTCTCACGAGTGCTAATTTGCCGACCTGCAGACTGTCATTCGGGATCTTACTCTGCAAGACGTTGACAGAGTCAGGCTCTATGCGTCATTCATTCGAGACCTTGAATTTCACAAAACATTCGTGGGCGTGAGACCAGACAGCCTCGAGAATATTGCTGCCGCAATCGGAGGTTCAAGCCTTCTGCCTAACCTACGCCGTCTCGCATACAGTGGTCCTTCCGAATGGTCCAATGTACTCCACCTTCTCATGCCATCAGTTCTTACGGATTTCACCTTCAGCATACACACATCGATCTGGAACGACCCTGATGCGGAGGACATCGCCCCAGAAGATGGTGAACACGAGATATCAGCGATCACCGCGCTGAAATCAGGCGATGGGCGCTCTCTAATCAAGCTCGACTTGACGTGGCCGAGGCGCTTCCCGTCGTTAGGTCAGATGCTGCAAGGCTGGCGCAGCCTCAAGGACCTGCGTCTCACTGGTGTGGTCGATGCTGCTGCGCTGTGCGCGATCATCGACCTGCCCCAGATCGAGACCCTGACGTTCGTCAACTGCGACATGCATGCCCCGGGGACTTTACCAGCAGACTTTCGTATGCGCCACTCACTCCGAACGCTATGCATACACGGAGCAAACGCGTCTTGGGCAGTGTGGTTCCTCGAAGCTCTGGGGCGCGTCGAGTTGGACCAGCTTAAACTGACCTTCCCGGAGTTGCGACTCACACCGTCGCTGAGGCATATATGTCAAACAATCGAGAAGCACTGCTCGAAAGACCTGCAGATAATCACTATCGGCGAGTGCGAGCCTTCGGCAGCGAACGGAGCGGGCCATAACGACGGACTCCTCTCATATTCCATCGACGATATACTACCCCTTCTCAAATTTCCAGCGCTCTGGCTCGTGTCCATCGAGCTACACGGTCAACTCGCTCTCTGGGATAAAGACATCTTTACTATGGCTCAGGCCTGGCCTACGCTCGAGCAGCTTACCCTCCGCGGCGTTGCGGTCCCTCGTCCCACATGCACCCTTACCAGCCTCCTCATCCTCGCCCATTTCACGCCGGCTATATGCCGAGTAGTGATGAATGTGGACGCGACCACGATCGACGCTCTGAACGAGGCTTTGTCGCAGAGCCCGGGTGACGCCATAGCAGCGTTCTCCACCCGCTCACTTACCACATTCTGCGTGCTCGACTCACCTATCGATTCGGAGTTGGCGGTGGCATCGTTTTTGTCGAGGTTCTTCCCGTCTTTGAAGGAAATCTACTGCCAGGCAGCGGAGGACGCAGGAGCAGAGGTGGAGAATCGGCGACGAAGGAAGTGGGCCGAAGTTGCGAAAGCATTACCTTACTTCCTGGAGGCGAGAGCCACCGGGATGCACGGGCCGGTAGGATTGAGATGACGAAGGACCAGCATTCGCTCAATGTCACACGCGTGTAAGTATTTTGACCATCTGAACTTGAATCGTTTTATTTACTCGCATTCAGCCCGCCGTGCAATTTCTTCCTCCCCAGACACGCTCGATTGGACCCGCGGTCTGGCCGTCTGTATTCTTAAGCCGCTCATGGCGGTGTTTCTGTAGTATTTCTATAGCCCTGGGACCGATGGCTTTCCATCCTGGTGACGCAAAGAATGAGTGAAAAGCATATACAGAGTAAAGACATACTTTTATCATTGACCGGGTACTTCCTCCACTCCGTCGCCTTCTGAAAGGCGATTTGCTCGTTGCTATTCATATACCAAAATTCTACCTCGAGTTCGGGGTCGTGCAGCTCCACGTATTTCATGAACCTGTCCAGGTCAGCGTTGTCAGCAACCAATGGCGAGGACCAAGTATCGACGCACTGTTTGAGTTTCTCCACAAATCTCTCTCGAAATGGGCGTTGATATTCCCGAAGCCAGCGCTGGCAGGCCTCATCATACTGCTCACCCGGCTTTGAGCAGCGATAAGAACGCGCAAGCGATGAACAACATACCTCCTTGCTTTGTCGAAGCAGCGTCTTACGCTTCTTGACCCATTGCTCGCGCGCTTCATCGTCATCGACCACATTGGTGTACTCGTCCTCGAGGCGTCGAAGGTAAGGGGTATAGAATTGCGGGTTTTCTATGAGTGCGGCGCTGTTGTCAACCAACCGCATCCGAAATCTGAGTCTGCTCGACGTACTTCCCCCTTTAGTTGATGGCACGAGGTCCAAGACATCTGCTCTCTTCACTAACGCCATTGACGACTTGCGGACCCGGCGCTCGTCGTATCTCCACAGACTTTGTAGCATATGAGTTCCTGTAAGTGGTTTGCCAGCGGGGACATACCTCGGCGATGCGCACTTGTAGCACGCCCAGATGAACGGCAAGCTGAAGCTTCCAAAAGGGTGCGGTACCGCCTTTTTGCAGAACTGAAGGTATCAAACACGTCATAACTTGCCGAAGGACAAGACGCTCATCACGAACATGGCACTTTCCAAGTAGCGCCTCCACCACCTCCGGCTCAGCGCATTCGTCGGGGTATGGTACCGGTGGCAGGCCAACAAGCTCAAAGCTCCGCAGCCAAATATACCGAGCCGAGCGCTTCATGAGCAAGCCTCGGAACCACTTGCTGGTCCGGGAGAGCGAGAGTAGATCGGGCGGTGGAAGATTGCTCATCGTCTGGGCGGCGGGGTTTGTGTCAGCGAATTACCGATATTGAACCCATCGCGCACCTCGTAGATGATATCAGGGGGCATATCGGTAAAGAAGGACTTGAGGAGACGACGCTTCTTCAGCAGCTTCTGATCCTGTTTCTCCGGCTTGGGGCAGGAGATTGTGCGTCCGATGACAATGCCAGGAGTGGCCGCTTTGTCGTCGGGCGCGCTTGCACGCTTACGCTTAGCGCGAGTTTCCATACTCGAAGAGAGCGGGAGGAGGCAGGAGGCAGGATTACAAAAGTTCCACGTGTACTCTGCAACGTCAAGCGAGGCGATGATGGAGGCAGGACGCAAGGAGCGAGCTCCCGAGCTAGGCGCCGAACGTGAACGTGACTAAACGTGACGCATGTTTGACTTTCGGAGCTTGCCGAGCACCGCCCCCAGCCCTTCTTGTCCAAAGCAAAGCACGTCGAGACGCTGCGATAGACCGAATACTAGTCACAGGCACGTCACCGGCGATGCAGAGCTTTTTTCAACCGCAATCTTTGGCGTAGCTACACGACAGCGAGAGTATATACAGCAGGATAGCAAGACGAAAGCAAGATACGAACGAGCGACTAGTGTAAAGATGTGCAAGAGTCCGAGAGCGTGACATAACAGAGTAGCGGTAGACTGTAAGGTACTGTATGAGATCCGTTCATTGTCCCGAGGTATGCTACGACAAGCGAAGGGTAGAGTACCATGTCCTTCCAGACGTTCGGTGAGTCCATTGTCTTACTAACTATAGAGTCCAACGTACATGTATGATGTTCATAAGGAGGTGAGGGTAGAGGAGGTGATTCAAGCGCAAGCCGATAGCAGCGGAACAGGAGATTGTCCGCGGGTAGAGAGGTGCGACAGCAAGAGGGAGTGGGGGGTACTAGAAGGCGATAGGAGCGGCAGGGAAGGAATTCGCCTCAAAGCGCCAGCCTCGCCGCCCACCTGGAGAGCAACGCATCGCCCAAGAAGCCCAAAAGCAGAATTGCTCCAACTTTCGGGGTCAGCAGGAAATATTGCAAGCATTGCTTCGGCACATCGACGTCGAGAGTCCGGAGCGGTAGCAGCAGCCGCGCGAGCGCAACGAAGGCGGCAACGTAGAAGATGGGCCCGTGCCCGTTGAGGAAGGCGGCAGCGGAAAGAAGACCAACGAAGGCGGCGGCCGTGGTCGCGCAAAACGGGACGGTGCGGCGACCCATGAAGAGCGCAAGGGAGCGCGCGCCGATGAGGATGTCGTCGAGCTTGTCCTGAGTAGGAGCATCAGCGTCCTGGTCAAACAAGATTCAAGCCGCAAGCGCAAGCAGCCACAGAGCGGTATGTAGGGATAGATATGGTGAGTACTTACCTGATGTTGGTAGACAGTCTCGAACGTGAGCGTCCAGAAGCCGCACGCGGCGTAGACGACGGCGAGCATCTTCCACGGCACGTCGTTCGGGTCGACGTCCGTCCATCCCATGAGGGCGCCGATGTTGAACATGAAAGCCTACGAAGGCGAGTTAGCCTAAGCTAGAGCGCACACGAGGAAGCGGACGAAAGAGGCAAGGAATGGCGATGTAGAGCAGTCGCAATACTCACCAAAGGGACGGGCGCGAAATCCATCCACCGCTTGCACGTCGGGTAGATCACGAAGATAGGCCAGACGAACATAGAGATGAACAGCCTGCGAGTTGTAGTCAGTACACCTTGGACGTTCATACGCATCACTACTCACGTCGTCCTATTCAGGAGGACCCAACCCAATCCTACCCCAACTACGCACTGCAGGACGAACCACAACCAGGCGCGCTCCCTCGAGATAGCGCCGCGAGGGAGAGCCCTGTTCTTCGTTCGGGCGACGCGTGCGTCGATGTCATGGTCGAGGATATCGTCGATAGTCATAATGACGGACTTGATTCCGCTGCAAAGCCCTAGGTAGAGTGCGAGTCGGGCGAGGAGGGTGGCGAAGGGCATGTCGTGGTGCGCGTGATATGCCATGGTCATGGAGAAGGCTATACGCAAAGTGTTAGGCAGGGTCGAGCGAAGCAAGAATTCGCAAAACGCACCGAGGGGGAACCAGCATACCCAGCAACCCATCCCATTGCTCAGGCGCCCGAGTTCCCAGCAGGCGCGGAGCTCAGTCTTGGTCGGTAGCGCAAAGAGGGAAGGTGGACGCGGCGTAGATGCATCCAGCGACGCGGAGGCGGAGCGATCTACGTTGAGGGGAAGCAGAGTATCGCCCGTGCCGACATAGCCCTCGTCGAAGGCGCTCGTTGAGGGGCCGGAGGAAAACATAAAGACGGTGTTGGCGTGGGAGGACATAAAGGAGAGGTCGTTGTCGAAGGAAGGGACCTAGGAAGGATGCAAGTCAGCCAGAAGTACAGAGGGGATCGAAAGGGGGACGCACAGTTCACGCGACCAGCGTGCAGGATTGAACGAAGCCAAGAGCCCGATGAGCTCCCTTTGTGCATCCGCGCCACCCACGGAGGCAAAAACTGCTGCGAATCCGACGCCCATCCTCGGAGTAACGACTGCGCCGTTTTGTCGACTTGCTCCTCCGGTCGGATGCAGGGATGCGCATGCCGCACCCGCATCAGCGTACTAGCTCACGGCGCATGCATACAGTTCCCTCGGAGACCCTGTTCGACTCCAGAAGCGTGTGGTTGAGGAAGTGTCGTGCGATTCGGGGCTCTGCGCATGCAAGCAGAGATGGGAGGGGAATGCAACATGACTGCAATGAACAAGGCCGAATTGATATCGACGCCACAAACTCGTTTCCCCGACTGAGCGTCACAACCCAACTTAACACACACGACGACGAAACGGAGGGCTCGAGTGTTCAGTCTATGTCCAACCATTCTTATGTTGCATCGGTATTTTACCGGCATCCCCCGGAAGCACCAGTAACCTCCTCCCATTCGTTGAGGGTCGTCAACTCGCCCACTTCAGACTCGACTCATACACTGAGTATCCTTGCCCGTTATCATTATCACCGTCTCCTGGATGTCATCTATGTATATCGTCTTGCCTACGCAAGCTCCTCAACAACTATATGGCGACGTGGATCCTGCGCGCACTCGTGCACGTACCTGCCAGTGCCTCCCGCTAAAAAGCATGCAACCAGGGAACGAGCGTTCCCAGGGCATGCCTTGGCAGACACCACTGTACTGTGTCCCACTTGCCGCTATTGTATCTGGACGAGGGATGATCTGGCTGCTGAATCGACTCCAGATTCGGGAATAAGGTCGACAGGAACGCAGCGACGTCCGCGGGCGACTCGATGGGCGAGTGATGGACTTGTAGCCGCCACAGCGATGACTGCACGGGCACGACAGAGGGGTCTAGCGCACGAACGATGGTGGCATCGAGCTCCATCCCCAGCAGGCGCAGCAACGGGCAATGACGGGCGAACGACAAGAGGGCATTGATAGTACAGACGGGCGGCAGCGCGGGAGAGGGACGCCGCACCGTGTATACCTCCAGCACCTCGAGTCGCGGCCACGCTCGCGCAAGCGTATCCACATCATCATCGTCGAGAGCAATCTCAATATCGCTGGTAACAGGAAGGACGAACCGGACGAGATTACTAAAAGGGAGCAGGGGTCGGAGCGTGTCGAGATGGACCCTTTGCTCTGGCGGGAGATTGCTGTTAACGCCGAGTATATGTCTGGCCATCGTCACATCCAACGCGAGCTTGAAGACGAGCTCCAGTAGGATCGCAGGCTCCAGACGCTTTCCCAGAAGCCGAACAAAGGCATCCAATGCGGGAAATCGCTCGACATCCTCAATATACAGCTGCGAGAGGTCTAGCACGGTAAGGGCTGCGAGCACTTGTGATGCCTCGGCGAGGCTGCTCAATCGAAGCGAGATGTGGGTGAGTATCGGACTAGCGACGGGCAGAACATCTAGCTTCCCGAGAGACAACCACTCGGTAGCCTCGTCTACCATGTACCATTCCGTTCCGTCCAGTGCCAGCGAGTGAAGACGCGGGAGTCGGAAGACGGACGACAAGACCATCTCGTTGATCGAGGCCTCGATGCACAGATCCTCCAAGCTATCCCATCCATCAAGCAACTCGTCCAGGGGCCACGGGAGGTCGGTATGTACTCTGAGATGGAGAGATGCGATTCGCGGAGAGTCACGGTCGCGCGCCTTCAGACCGAGGAGAATCGAGAGCTCCGTTGCGCCGTAGACAGGTCTCCCCGCCCGCTGACTTCTCCATCGCTCATCAGAAGCCTCGATGATCACAGTGAGCTTGGTGAGAGTAGGGGCGAGGAGGAAAGTCAGGCAGGGCGCGAAATCCGTCGGTCCATGGTAGCGCAGCTCGCGTAGATTCGGGAAGAGCTCTTGACCACTAGCGGCGGCTACAGAGACGATCTGCTGCATACCGCTTTCAGATGCGCGAAGGTCCTTGAAATCGACGTCGAGCGTCCGTATGAAAGCCGCGTAAAAGGAAATACGGCTAATATCTTGAAGGGTGAGGTCGCCTCGCGCACCCTTGAAGAAGTCGGAGTCAGCGTTTGGATGCTATCCCAGTTGTGATATATCTGCATACCACGACACGCTTGCGGTTCACCCTCGAAATGGTCTTCTTGGCATCGGGTAGCAGGTCCAGAATATCGCGGATGTCAAAGCAGTACGACCAGAGCATGCTGAGGGCCTCTCCGGAGAACTCCTTGCACGCTATTGCCAGAGCCGTCAGATCGTATCTTGTCAAATCCTTGAAGATGGTATGGCGAAGCTCGGGAGTCCTCAGGACGGCGTGCATGAGGCTCTAAGAGAAAAGTCAATCAAGGCGTAGCAAGAAGCGAAAGAGCTCACATATCACAGTATCAGGCAGAGCAAGAGAAGTACGCTCCGCGAGAGGTTACAGTTGCCGTGGATAGTAGCAAGGCAAGGAAGGGTGGGAGGCTCGCGACGCGCGTGTGCCCCACCGCTGCCATCGGGCCGGCTCTCCGAGGGAATGACATCATCTTCTTAAGCTTCAACGGTCGCCTCAATCGCGGACGCGATCTTGCACACCGATGAACGAACGCCACGAACCGCTCACCCAAGCAGCACAGACTCCAGCACATCAACAGAAGTCCATCGTAAATCCAGTGGTAAAGATACAGGAAGAGCCTATGGTAGTGACGATGCAATGGTATCGATGAGCAAGGAGAGTAGGAGCGTGGGTCGTAAACAGGAAATCATGGACAGATTTCGAAGGTCATGGACAGGAGATTTCGAAGGTCATGGACAGTAGATTCGTTAAGCATGGACAATGGAAAGAGGATTGTAGAGCATCGGAGAGATGAGAGTATAGAGCATCGGAAAGATGAGAGATGAGAGTCAGAGCAAGGAGAAGCAGGAGACAGATATACAGCGTTGGGTTGTAGATGGTGAGATGCGCACAGACGTCATGGGCGGTAGGACGACATGATCATGGGCGGCGGGGCGCGACGTCTTGCCAGCGCAAGTTGGCGACCGTCATCTCCGCGCGCACGGTCGGCCAAGGGGTCCCGTCGTCCCGATCCTCCTCGATGACGACCTCCAGCATGAACGTCCGCGGCGTCGACCCGCGCAGCCAGCCCGTCGGGATGCGAATCGTCACCAGCCGCGCGTACCCGTCCAGCGGGATATGGCACCCCGCGACCTTGATATAGTTCTGCGGTCGCTGCCAGGTGGGGTTCACGCCGATGTTATCCTCGACGAGCGTGTTGAAGCGCGGATCGACGGAGGGCTGGAGCATGGCCGTGTCGCTCCGCCAGCGGAGCGCGTGCTCGGGGACCGAGGACCATGGGGAGGGCGGAGAGGAGCAGCCGGGGCGGGGCGTGGGCGCGGTGCTGCAGAGGATCTCGATGGGGGCGGATGGGGGCGCGGAGAGCAGCCCGGGCAGGTTCATCGGCACGAGCTGGAGCAGAACATGGCAATCAACGAAGCTGTAGTTCAATCCGATCAGTACAGCGCCCCGCGCGCGATAAGATAGCAGCACGCACTCGCTCTTGTCCCACTCCTCAAAGTGCCGCGTCCCGAGGAAGTGCAGGCGCGGCTCGAGCGCCGGGTGCGTGCCGTAAGATGTGGACGAGATCGGTGGCGTGAAGACGGTGTTGACGTCTTCGTCGCTGCTGGACTCGTCCTCGATATCGGGCAGGTCCTCCAGCGCGGGGGTGCATGGCGAGCTAGGGGCAATGAACTCCGCGGCGCGGAATAGCTTCGTGGGCGACGTGTCGAATGCTGGCGTCTCGGGACGCGCTGGCAGCCGGTCGTCCCACTCAAAGTCGTTGTCATCGTCGTCGGCGTCGCCGTGCTCGGCGTGCCAGGCCTCGAACACGGCGGGCAGCTTCTGGTTGGGCCTGCCACGGATTGTGGCGGTCGAAAACGAGCGCGTGCGCCGGAAGGGAGACCGGGAGGGGGACTTCGCGACAGGTGCATCTTCGTTGACGAGCACGAGGTCGATCTCGTGCGGGTCCTGTGAGGACTCGTGCGCGGTGAACGCCCACTGGTCGCTCGTGTTGTTAGTGGCGGGGAACGGAACGCAGGGACGCATGTCGTAGTCGTGAGGGTTGGATTAGACAAGAGCAGAGTATGTTCGAGTTCCGGTATGTGCGCTGGAGCGAGTGGCGCGGGGCTAGGACGCGTCGGAGGCGATTATGAGGTGCAGCGCGGGCTGATGATAGTATAAGACAAGGTGGTTGAAGAGAAAAACGCGTCGCGACCTTTTTGATGGCTGTCACGGGTCCGCGGGCCTCGTTTATGAGGCGGCATTGTTCTGTCCATTGTAACACTGACACCTGTGGTTTGAGTGCACACGTGTTGATCAAGTCGTCTTCATGTCGCGGCACCGGCACCGGGTGCTTCACCTTGTCGAGAGCAAACGATTGTTGTCCGGGGAACGACAAGAACAAGGACGATTGAATGGTGGAAGAGAGGAGGAACAAAGCCTGCGCGGTGGGAACAACTCCACGCGGGTGTCGACAAACACGGCACAACAACGCGCCGTCAAGTTCAACATGTCACTTGACGCGCACCAGCGGTGCTGAACGTCAATGCCGTATCAACTTGCCTATGGTCATCGCCTTGCATACGATAGGTCTAGCAAACTCACTAGATCGGTGGGCAGTAGAGAGTTAACAGTTCAGAAGGACGCAGTACTACCGATATATCAGCGTGCTTGCGCTTGCGCCATTGAGCATGAACGTCGATCGCAGATCCCCCCAGGCATGGACTTTCTCTCTCACCCGAAGGAGAGAGAGTGCGTGCGCAAAAAGTATTCGGATACGGGGAATCGAACCCCGAGCTGCCGCGTGAGAGGCGGCAATGTTAGCCGTTACACCATATCCGATTGTCTGGACACTTTTAATTTTAGTCTACTCATGGCCCGTTCCCGATTCAATTTAGTGACGTCAATATGCTTGCGCTTACCGCGCTTCCTTCCGACCATCACGAGAGCCTACCACTCTGGGCCTCTATGGGGTCGCGGGCCTGCAATCCACTCTCCGCCACGATTACACTTCAAGGATATCATCCTCCTGAACTGATTCGTTGCCTAACGGTAGGTTCCCATCCTCTCCTACCCTTGACGCGCGCTTGACGGCCGCTATCGCGTAGGTGTCGCTTTGGTAAGGGCTAAGCCCGTCTGCCGACTTCGATATCGTCGCGTGGCGTGGTTCGGCTGTACGGAGGCTGTACGCAAAGCTGTATAATCCTGTGGGCTGAACGCTTCTGCATCACTCCCTCATCGCCAGCATGTCGTCCGCGGGCGGTGGGAGCGCTGGCCATCGCCACAAATCATTGGCTGAAGTGACTCGGCCGTCTCAGCAACTCTTGAGCAACATTTCAAACACCGTGGTACGTATATGAGCAGGATTCGACGTACGTCTTCACTGAAGCTGCCCAAGTTCTCGTTCTCTGCCCTCGCGTATTTGTGGTCAACGATTGGCTACCAGACTGCCTTCCGCGAGCCGTACGTCGTGCTAGTCGGAAACTTTCGTGAACTGGTCGTCGCGGCCATCACTGTGCCCTTTCTTCTCCTGAATCCCATCGTCGGTGCTCTGTCGCAGCGCGACCGGACTCTGCGCACCGCACGCATCCACAGCGGGATACAATGCATGTCCTTCTTGACCTTCGGCATCGCGACGTACCTCTTCACGTACAAGGCGAAAATCCAGCAACATCCGGGCCGCATCGATGTCACGCTCGTCTTCAACCTGAACGAGTGGGGACTCGTTGGCGACATCGCCAGATACGCCATCCATGTCTGTATAGTGGCGCAGGCTATCGCAGGAGTAGTCTCGGGCGTCGTGACACTAGTCGCCGTATGCGCGCTCTACGTCGTAGCTCGGCGCGCGTCCCAACGGCTAACCGAGCTTGCCGAAGTGGAGAAGACATTCTGGATTGAGGAGGGGCCGCGCATGCGTCTCCAGGCTCTCACTCCGTCGGGTCACCCTTGGCTGTCCATCGTCCCGCCGGAGATAGTCGACGAGATATGCAAGCATCTCGGCGTCTATCATCTCCTCTTTGTATGCCTAGTCGACAAACGTATGAATGCGGCTGGTACTCGATGGCTTTATCGTAGCGTCACGATGAAGAATGCCCGGCAGAGCGTCAAGTTTTTTCGCACGATCATCCGCTCGGATGTCGCTGCGAAGTCAGTCAGGACGCTCGCGCTGTAAGTTCACATCTTCCGCGCTTGCAGATACTACTTACCGACTCGTCTGCAGCGACCCTTCGATGGGGCTCTTCATATGGGACTGGCTCCCCGCATACCATAAGCTGATGGCCACCGCCATGCGCAGGATGGTCAACATCGAGAACCTTCCCCTCCAAGCCTCCCGCAACCTCCCCCTCCTTTTAGCAGACGCCCACTTCCCCTCCTTACAACGCTGCGACCTTCACCTTACACCTGCCACCCCAGCCTTCCTCGCCCGCCACCAACGATTGCGCACGGTCCACTTCCGCAGCGGCCTCGCCAACAACCTCAATCACACGTTCTTCCACGACGAGTTCGCGCGCGGCTCTGCTGGCTTCTCGCGGCTGGAGATCCTGACTTGTCCTAGCTATGTCGCCGGCGCCATTCTGCCTCAGCCGAATATCCGTAGCCTGGCGATAGTCTGGAACGGGCCGACCATGGCGCAAGACGCGCCAGAGGTTTACGCCAAATTGTCCATGCTCGACCATACCCTCGATGTTCTCCATAATATCACCACCATGAGCGAACTACCCACCCACATCCGTGCGATGAAGGACCGCGTTTTGCCACTTACGAAACTCAATTTTCTTGTCACGGATATTCCAACGCGTCCGCATCAGGTATGGCAGCGCCTTGACTTTGTTCGTCGTATGTCGACTGACTCTATTCGTTGCTAGGATGTCTTCTTGCAGTTCGAAGACGCGCTTCGTAGTACACCATTGCTGAAGGTCTTGTATATCACGGGAGCGACCAGACGACCCGTCCTGCCCGACGTTGATGCGCTAGACGAGGAACAGGACGTCGTCCAGGCGCTATGCGTCCGCCGCCCTTCGCTCACGCAGGTCATCCTCGGAAGTAAGGCCGGTCTCTTATCTTGTCGAAACTACCACTGATCTATCGCAGGCGGCACGAACTGGATAGTAGCAGCGCCAAGCATCGTCCTCCCATCGTTCCCGCAGCGACCGCTATACGCGGCGATACCCGACAGCAGGCTCACCGCGCGCTGGGTCGAGCGCAGCGTTCGGTCAGGGCGCGTACGGTGGGACTACGTGCCGCAGGTCATGGAACTCCCGTACGTGAACAGGCTCGAGCTTATAGTGCCCATGATCTCCTGGGCGCTGCGGGAGCGGCGATACTCGTAGCGACTGTGTCCTTGCGTATCCAATATCACATTCCACTGCGACAGCAGACGACGTGCCCGCCCCGACGTAAGTCCGCCCAACTCAGCCCCCCGACGGTCAGACGTAAAGCGGTAGGTGTCTCGCGAGACTATGCCGTCTGGAGAAAGGGTGCGTGGGCTCTGTGTTCCCAGCAACTCGCTCGGTGACTGAACACGCCAAAGGTCCAGCTGTCTTTGCAATTCATCCCCGAGCGTTTCGGAAGGAGATCGCCGGTCGTGAATGCAATCTCGCAGGCATTTTGCTCAATGGAAAGGTTCACGCAGTTGTTAGCACATAAGAAACCATTCAGCTCAGAGGACGCCGCTCGGACGTATGAATCGCATCGCTGACGGGCTTGCGGCAACCCCTCGAATACAGCCCTGCAGTCGCGCCCCAGTAGCTTCCACTTTACGAAGTAATCTCCGCGCTCAGGTGCAGGCAGTTTGGAGCCCTTCTAGTCTCGCGACCCGCCCTTCTGTCCTTCTGTTCACCGCGAAGGACTTCTGTTCGTCCCGCGACCGTCCAGCGTGAGTCCGCGGTTCTCTCGTGCCTCCTAGCTGCTTCCAGAATATACCGGTAAGCCCGCCTTCGCGATCGTCCATGCATGTTGGGCAGCACCGCCGCCGGCACCCAAATCGTCACAAGGCCCGTCGCTAGACAGAACTCTGACTGCCTACTATGAAATCGCAGTGCACGTACCTGCATCAGGCGGAGGCGGATGACTCTTCTTCTTCCACCGATGGGGCGAATTCGAGTCTTACCTTACGTATGGAGGTCTGTCGAACAGCGCCGCCTTTCTCACTGATGCTCCAGGTGCGGCAAGCCCCTTCGTGCGCCGCCGCCTAGCAGGGGCATGTACACGTACGTACAGCCAAGTACTGCCTGCGTTGGTTGATGGATCTCACAGGCAACTAACGCGCGGACCCGCTCGCGTGGGATGCGCTGCTTAACAGTGTTCACTAGCACACGACCGGCCCTTCCCCGCCAGGCGCATGGTCCGCGCAGCCCCCAACATGAACTTCCAGATGTCTTCGCTCCAGTAAGCGGGCGACTCACAGTGTCCACACCCACGGCGGGCAGCCAACCGGCAGCTGCCCATGGAGCTCGCCCTCCCGCGAACGCGTCGAACATTCATAGCCAGCTGCCCTCACATGCAGCGAACGCCCGAAGCCTCCCGCCCCCAAAACGTCCACCGCGTCCGCATCGAAGATGGTTCCCATGCCCGCACTGCATGGCAGTAGCGCTGAGTTCGAAAATGCAGAGATTCCACGGAACGCGATGGCGATGGTATCGGCATGCTAGCGCAGGACACCTCATCGCGATGAATAAGATAGAGCCCTGTACGAGATGTGTCTGGGCAGCTACTTAGGTAAAGGATGGTATACGGCGCGATAAGCATGCAAGTCGAAGCTAGGGACAGATGACTGCTCTACAATGGGGTCCATGGGACAGACAGCACAAATAGATACATAGATACTTGGGACGTACTACTTACTACAGATAGACTAGATGAGCAGACAGAACCTGGTAGATGCGCAGGATGGTATCGTATGAGGGGATATTGTGCATGAGAGTGGTAAAAGTCCAAGAAACAGCGGGCGTCCCGCATTTGAATGAGCATACAAGGCGTCCGCGATGTACAACCAGTCCATTCGCAACCACGTTGAGTACGTTTTCGTCTAGGCGGAATGCTTGTCCTCGACTCCCCGTGGTCGGACGAAGAGTCGAGGACCTCAAGCACTCGCCCTGGCCTTCTTCTTGTCATCCTCCTCCTCGGCCTTTTCTTCCACTTTGGCGAACGAGAACGGACCCTCCAAGAAGATCTCCGCGCCCCCTTCGCCCGCGCCTCCAATATCCTCTGGTCAGAAACATGAGTGAGACTGAGAAAGCAAGTCAACACGCCGACGCACCTCCATTCTCGCCGAACAAAACCGGCCCCATCGTCCCGTCCGGGAACACACGGCGCCAGGTGCCCACAAAGTTGCGCCCGCCGTGGATGTAGCCGTAGAAGAACGTGTACGACGCGTGGAAGTGGCCCGTCGCGAACGGCGAGCCTGAAAGAAAGAAAGGGATATTAAAGTCAGCTCGCGCACTGCAAAGGGTGTCGACAATTAGCCTACTCACCAGCCTTCGGGAACCTCAGCAGCCCAATCATCCCATCGCAGCTGCGCACGCGGCCGTAGTACTCCCAGTCGAACCACGCAGCCGCATGCCGCTCGTCCGTGGTCCCGACGAGCAGAATCGACGACGTGTGGCAGCACTCCTTGAGCGCGCGCGGCGGGGTCGTGCGGCAGTCGCAGGGCGGGCGGTGCTGATTCGCATCTGCACCGACGTCCATCGGGCTGCCATCGTGCGCGTCCTCGGTGGCGTCCATCGCCGCGCCCTCATCGTCCGGGCTCCCAACGTCCCACCCATCATCCTCCTGCGCCGGCCTCCCAAACGCGTACATGAAGTCGCGAGTCGGGATCCGCCTCCGCCCCCCGCACTGCCCACACGCCTGCCCGGCGACCTCGCGCGCATTCTGGCCCATCGCGACCCGTCCGCCGCCCACAGGCGTGCCCAACCCCAGCCCATACTGCTCGAACACCCGCTCCATGCCCTCCCGGCCGACGCGCTCCCGAATCACGCACCCCTCGCACGTCTCAGGGTCGACGGGCTCGTTCACAGAGCGGTACGGATAGACGCGTCCATCGGCCGTGACGGCGTTGCATGTCTTCCCGTCCTCGGACACCACGAGGCGCGTGCCCGGCGGGAGCCAGCCCGAGCGCGGCGCGTTGTGCGCTGGGAGACGCGGGTCGAGCGCCGAGTGCGCGCTCCCGTGGTGGTGCGGGTCCACCCGGCCGCACCCCAGCGGCATCGCGCACGCGAACTCCTTCATGCGGAAGACGACGGGGCGCATCTGGATCGTGTCGGAGTGGATCACGTCGTTGCTGAGCGGCCGCTCGTCGGTGTCGAGCAGCGCTTGGAGAGCGGGGACGGAGGGGACCTAGATGAACAGGCGCGTGAACGGTTACGAAGACGGATGGTCAGTATACATGTCAATATTGTAGGTAGAGTCTACTCACCAGCATCCTCCCCTGCCAGAGCCCCTCCATCGAGCCGGGCTGGTACATCTGGCCAAGGCGGATCGAGTCCGCAAGCTGTGACGGCGGGTGTCTAGGGTCATCTGCGCGTACGTCAGTAAACAAAGTCGAAGCTAGAGAAGTCGTAGTCATCCCACTCACAAGCAACATGCGCACTGTTGCTCATAATGCAGCGCGCCGCATCCGTGTCCCACGCCATGCTCTTCGTGAACGCGGGCTGTCGGCCGAGCCTGAGGAAGGGCTCGACGAGGGAAGCGGGCGGTGGAATGTAAGTGTCCGGGGAGATGTCAGTGGTCGAAGTTGCAGTAGAGGCCAAAGGAGCGTCCGAGGCCGTTGCATTGGGCGATGTAGAAGTCCCAGAACCGTCCGCGGATGCCGAGGTAGACGTCGAAGGTTGGTCCGCGGAGGCCGAGGGACCGTTGTTTGCAGCGTCCTCCACGTTCGTAGTCGACGCCGCGTTCGCATTGTCCGTCGTCGGTGCCGTGCTCGTGTTGCCCGCCACGCTGGCGTCCGCCTGAGCAGCGTTCTCCGCGTTAAAGACAGGGCCAGAGTTCTCTGCATTCGCAACTGGACTCGCGCTCGCATTCGCAACTGGGCTCGCGTTCGCGGCTGGACTCGCGCTCGCAGTCGACGCCGGCAAGCTCAGCGGGTACGGATGCCACGGGAGGCGCACCGCCTTGTTCACGTTCACCTCGTGGATGTCTTGTTGGGTGAACTGGACCTGAGAGGGTTGGTCAGTATGAGATGTAAGGGAGAGAGAGGACGAGACCAAGAGAAAGGACGCTGGCGCCTGAACTGCGAGCCAAAAGACGAGAGCTGGGAGCCGAACGACGAGACCGACGAGCCCACAGCAATGGAGATCGACGAGCCAAAAGACGAAACCGACGAGTCGAAAGACGCTACCGTTCGCCGAATCCACGTTCGCGAGCAGCCGTCAACCGAACTACGCAAATCAAGCCTCACACCTTCCCCACCACATGGATGACGAAATCCACTCACCCCCATCGCGCCCACCGCATCCCACCCCTCCCTCGCCACCCGCTCCGCGTGTGCCGCCTTCCTTTCCGCATACGTCTTCGCCAGGAACTGCGGGATCGGGATGTGAATCCGCTGTCGGCGCGCGAACCAGTGCAGCTTCGCGACCGCGGAGAGCAGCGGCGGGGGAAAGGTGAACTGGTAGCCGACGTAGGGCCAGAAGGGAGGCGGGCTGGGTAGATGTAATTAGTGATTTATGGATGATGGGGGATAGAACGGTGCGGAGAAGCGACTAGGACACGCACTTCGATCGCGGGAAGACAGGATAGTTCCCGTGCACGGTGCGGAGGGACTGCGGGAGGAACATGCCCTGAGGTCCGACGCCGAGGGGCGGGTAGAAGAAGTCGGGTGGGATCTCGCCCGCGGCGTACTGTATAATCGTGAGTAGAAGCGACAAAGGGGGAACGACGCGACGCACGCGAAAGGGCATGACGATGAAGGGGAGGAGACCTTCGAGGATCTTGAGGACCTGACTTGTGCGCTCCGCGGCGAGTCGTTCTGTGTAAGGTGGACGCGTCAGTTTGAGTACGCGCGCGATGGGTAGAGCATGCACCCTCGGTGGTCAGGTGCCAGGCGACCCAAAGCGCGGCCGCGAGCTCGTCGTCCATCGACGGCCAGGGACACGCGCCGCGCGCCGCCTGCTCCGCGTCCTTCGGCTGGCTGTCCGCCTCGATGCGCATGAGCACGTAGGCCATCGCGAAGTCGTACGCGCCCCAGCGGTCGAGCATCTGCGCGTTCCGGCCGTCGTCGACAATGAGCATGATGAAGGCGTGCATGATCGCGGACTCCGCGTCCGGGTCGGAGGGCGGGACGCGCCTGAGCAGCGGCGTGCGCACGTTCTCGAAGTACGCCTGGAGCTGGCCGCTGAAGTGGTGGGGGCGGAGGTGGATGCCGCACGCGCCGGGGGGCGCGCTGGACGCCTCGGGCGCGAGGTGGCGGGCGGGGATCCAGCTGACGCGGCGGTGGATGGCGCCGGTGTTGAAGACCTCGCCGAAGATGAAGGCGCCGGTGTGGGGGGAGGCGATCACGTCTTTGAGACGGGGGCACGACGCGGCGAGGGCATCGAGCGCGTCGGGGTCGTCGGCAGCTAGATGGCTGCCGACCTGCTGGAGGAGCTCAAAGGGGAGCAGGCAGAGGCGGTGAGCGCAGGCGAGGACGGCGGTGTTCATGGGGGCAGGTGGTGGTGGTGGTGGTCGGGAGGAAGAAGCGTCGGGGGCGGGGGGCGCTATACATACTGGGACAAGGCGCGGACGTACACTGGTCCTAACGACATCGCGCGCCGGAATAGCCGCCCAGAGTCCGCCACGGCACATCCGAGCGTTAGCCCCGTTCATCACCCCGTTCCCACGCCCCCGCACCACCCCTGCCGCCGGCCCATTATTTCCATTGCATGCTTCCCCTCCTCCGTCCCCCATTCCCCTCTCCCTTCGCACGCACCCAGTCAGCCCACCCACAGCAGCCCGCCCCCCTCTATCTCCCGCGACGCAGCAGCTTACCCAGGGCTCCTTCCCACTGCCGTCAGCACCCCACTTTCAGCCACTTTCGCGGACTTGGAATCTTCAACCGGCCACCTCGGCACGCCCGCCTCCGCCTTCGACTCTTCGTCTCCGTCCGTCGCCCGTCGCCATACGTAGCTTTTCTCCGTCACCCTGTCTTCTAGCCTCTAAACCGCCAGGCACGCACCGAAGAACTTCGCCCCAGCGTTCGCAGGAGCGTGTCCTGGCCTTACCCTTCTGTCGTCACCCTCCGTCTCACGTACCGATCTGCCCTCCGCCTCAATCGGGACTCGCTGCGGCGAACTGAATATCGGCTGCGAGTATGAATATCGGGCGGCGCGCTGAGTTCAATTTCGCGGCGTCCAGACTACTCTCCCACGGCGCGTGCTTGCCTTCCCGCCTCGCCTCCCTGCAGCCTCGCCTAATAACATTGACACTCAGCCGTCAAGCTCGCCAGGGTGCGGCCTGCACCTTGTTTCCGAGTATACGCCTGATAAACGCCCTCCATCGGCGTCTCGTCTCCATCGTTCATGCTTGTTCCACCGCGCCCACTCCGTGTTCGCATCTGCCAGCGCATGTTCTGATCCACCGCATCCGCATCCAGCTTCCCATTTGATCCCCGTCTTTCATGCTATCCCCGCCCTCAAAGAATGGCCGCTTTACTCGCCGATCAAACCCATCAATGACAACAGGTCCATCAAGATCGCCCGCGCCCTTGCTTTGTGCGCCGGCTTTGCTCGCCACGCCGCGTGGCAGACTCTGTCCGCCGCTCCTCGTGGCGCTGCAATTCATGCCCGTTGAATCGCGTGGTTGCTACTCCGTCGTAGCGCGTGGCTTCGTCTTTGACGCCCTTGATGCGCGGGCTTTCCTCATCCGTCTTTTCATTGCTGCTTCTACGGACAAGTCCGGGCTTCGCCATGTTCTTCAACCTCAAGTGGAATCTTGACGGTGAACTCTTGTCCTCACCTTGTCCTCATCTCCTTGGATCAACTTCCCCTCATCTCCTTCTGAGAGCAGCGCCCAAGTCTCTCTCGTCTTACTAAGCCTCTCACGAACCTCGCCCCAACACTCACGGCCATCGTCGCGGAGTTCGAACTCGGATCTCGAGATGTCTGATCTTTCTTTCACGACCTGAGTCAACGACCTCTGACCTGAGCAACCTCATGCGCTTTGACGACTCATCGTCGCCCTCTCGTCGCGGGGTCTGATTTTCTCATCGCGCCCGGCTTCCCTTCATCCATCGCGGTCGCAGTCCCCTCATCCATCGCGGCCGACCATCTTACGCAACCCACGGCGGAGTTCGAACCCACATTTGCACATCTTTGAATCCCAACCCGGACATCCTTGATGATGATTCAACGACCACGGTTCGTGATGCCTCGTCTTCAACGAACACGGTTCGTGATGCCTCGTCTTCAACGAACGCGGTTCGTAATGTGCCTCGTCTATCAACATCAGCGCTGCCCCCTGCCGCCGATTGACACCCTTCTCTGCCGCCGCTTGACACCCTTCACTGCCGCCGGTACCGAGGAGCGGAGTTCGTCTTCAATCAAGGGGCTCGACCTGAATCAGCAATCCTAGTGTGGCGTCGACTCTCCTCTGCTACACTCCCCAACCTCAACAGCGTCTGACTGACCAACACCTCCGCTCTCAATTACTACCCTCCGTCTGCGATTGCTCGCCTCTGGTTTCAATTATCGATTCTTCGCCCTCAATCAATTACCCCCGCTTTTCAATCAAGCAGACGACGTAAACGCCCTCGCCCGCCGACCGGCGAAGGCCGACTCTACCCTGAGCGGGATGACAAACCACCTTCGTGGGGTGAATACTGCTGTAAATACGGGCTGCCGACTCAGACGTACTCGTTCTGCGCGATGTCACTGCTTCCCGCGCTCAAATCGCGTCGACAGAGACGGCTGTGCAGGAAGTACTTGATAATGTTCTCAACTACAGCTCCGCGGTTTCGCTGGAAAAACAACTCCCTCGTGCGAATCAAGCAAAATTCGTGTATAACAGCAGCTCTCTCGCCGATACCAATCCCGTCTTTGCTGCGTGTGTCTGTCCTCCTCCGACCCGCTAGTCCTGTCTCGACCGCAACTTCCCTACACCGACATTCCATCGACAATCTCTAGACTACCTCCGCCGATTATCTCTTTGACGTCGCTGGCCCCTCTTCTAGTCCGCCAGTGCTGCTCTTCGAGAACCTCGCACCGACACTCCGTCGACGAGCGCAAAACTATTTCCGCCGATAGCTTAGCCATTTTGAATCTTTCAACACTGTACTCTCCGCCGATGGTATGATGTCTTGTCGTTGTTCTCCGCCGCGCCATCTCCCTGCTTACCACCAGTCAAGGGGGAAAGGAAGACTCCGCCTCCCTGCTGAGCTACTTTCTCACCTGTATCAAGCAAGTGTTCAACTTTGTTGCTTCGTGACTCCCTTCCTGAAAAAAGGGGAAGGGCTTGTCTTAACGTCGATCGAGCTGAAGGCCTCACAAAGTCCAGCGCTCGCATGTCGCCAATGCTCAGTCTGATGAGAACATCGCCTTGCCACTTTGTACAACCCTATCGACAAGAAAATAGTACTTCTGAGCCTGCTTCCGCTTCGCAAATTCTCTCATTGGCCTCGCAGAAAGGGGAAGACCCGCCCGCTCTGCAGACACGATTTCTAGCACTGACACAGAAGACAGCTCCTTCTTGACGACAAGCTCCGCCCTCCCGACGATGAAGCACCGTCCTGCCAACGGCGAAGCCCATGCACTTATCAAGCCCTCAGCTTGGGCCACGTCCTGCCCAAAGCGCTCAACGTCTCCGGTTGATCTGCGAAGGTTCCCAGTTTGGAAGGCGTTTCCCCGGCGAGTGTATTTGACGATTATCTGCCGTGGAGCGAATGATTGGCCTTTGGTTGTTGTTGGAAAGGCCTCATTTGTCGAGCGTTTCTGTCGAGTGGGGTGCTGTCTTACAATAAAGCCAATCTTGTCCCTCTGCACCCTCGCGTGCAGCTCATCTACTTCTATGCCAAGTCGATGGGCTTGCATGCCACTCGACGAAATAATTGCTAGAGCCAAGTCTGCCTCAGCTCTTTCACACAAGTACAGAGTGTTGATTAATCCATTAGGCCCAAAGGCATGATTTGTGTAGGGTATCTCAGACAATAGATGACCTTATAAATCCTCCCCCGTCCTCTTGCGTGCACGCCTCCTCAAGTGCCAGGGTATCTATCCTCCTCACAAAGCCAACTCACCCCCACTCGTTAGCGGCGGTCGATCCCATCCATCTACTCCCTCCCCCTCCCACCAGTCGTGTCTTTGTCGAACACGTTCGTCGCATCGAATCGTTATACAACATGTTCATTCGTGTCTGTCTGTCTTCGGGTCGGGGCTCTACAAAGGCAGTACAAGCGTCCACGTCTTCCCCGCCGGCGAGCGCGGCGGCGGCGGCAACAGCAGCTATCGTACAACAAACAACAATCAGTCCCGCGCTCGATGCTCGTAAATTCAGTCGCGCTTAACCGTCTTCGCGTCGCGTACATGGGGCGCTTTTCCCTCCTTCTCGTATGGCCTGGGCTCCTTGGCGCCGGCCGCCTTCATCTCGTGCGCCTTCACGTCGCGCGCGTCGTGCCATGCGCCGTCGACGTCGCGGCGCTGGACTGAGAAGCACGCGATGCCGAGGTAGTTCGTGATGTCGCGGATGACGAGGGTGACGAAGCGCGCGTAGAGCGCGGCGGACACGGTGAGTGTGAAGTACACGAACTGCGCCGTCCGCTCGGGCGTGGTCTGAATCAGCGGCGCGCTATTGGACCCATCAGCACGAGTCTCAAAAGAAATGAGAAAACCGTCCCACTCACCGTCCAATAAGCCTCGGAAGGTTCGCGTCCACCGCTCCCAGCACTGTCCACGCCCACATCCAGTCGAACCAGGGGAAGTCCCCCTTCGTCACATGCGCCAATATCATCCGCCCTACCTGGTGCGCAAATTGCAGCCCAAAGGCCAAGATGAACGCGACGAACGCATGCGAGTGCATGATCATGCTGCGCGTCGTGTCCGGAGAGGCGGCGAGCACGTCGGCGGGCGCGGGGCTCGCGAGCCACGCGACCTGCACCCCTGCCATGACGGGGAACGGCATGAGGTAGAGCATCGGGCGCCAGCGCGAGGCGTTGGTGTGGCGGACGGCCTTGAGGACGTTCCCATAGCTCGTGAAGATGTTGAAAGCGAGGCCGACGGCGCCGAAGTACATGAAGGCTTCGTTGAGGCCGATGTTGGGAATGCGATCGAAGGGAGGCACGTTCTCAAGGTTGGCGACGGTGAGGATGCCGGTATCCCAGAAGGTAGGGCCTGGAGTAGATATCAATACGGTGCATGACGGAGAAGAAGTGGCGCGACTTACCATAAAATCCGGTTATTATGTAGAGGAAAACAATCATTATGATGCCCTCGACGGGGCCGGAGAAGACGCCAAGGTATAGTTGGCCTGAAGAGCCGGTAAGCAAGGTGCGGACAGCAGGCCCATTGGGAGCGTACCCGTATGGTATTCTTCCCATGTCGTAAGATAGAAATTGGCGAGCGTAGCGATTTGCGAGGCAACCGTCCACCACGAGCGGCCCAGGTTCAGCGCGTAGCAGGTCAAGAGCGCCTCGAGCTGGTCAAGGCGTTCAGCAAATGGGTTCCCCTGCCCAGATAAGAACATACAGTGGTGTTCAACGCGTCACAGCCTGACATGACATCAGCGGGGGCTCATGCGAGACCTAAGTACGCACCATGATCGAACATCTCCCCCAGCGGCCCTGCCATGCCTGTCCGGCGTGCTTGCTTGCTGTATGGCATGAGTGAGAGGGGGGAGCTAAGAAAGGAGGAGCGTACCCATCGATCGCGTCGAAAGCCTGGTACCAGAAGAGACCTGCGGCCCAGCTGTAAAGAGCTTCGAGTTAGTTCCCTTCACCTCCGACGGTGGACGAGCGACACACGTGAAGTAGATCCAGTTCGGCGGCACGTTCCCTCCCTCCTTCATCGTAAGATATTGGGGGTCGTAATAGAGCATCGTGAGGAAGTTGAATCCGACGAGACAGAGGCCGGAGAACGTGATCTGCAGCAGGACATCAGGCACTTCCCCCACTTCCTAGCGGACCACGCACCGTGTTCGGCGCCACGCTCGTCGGCCAGAGCGTGACGAACCAGTTCCAGAACGGATTGAGGACATACTGCGACAGCAACGACCTGCACCGCGATCAGCACTTCTCAACGACCTCATGCAGGGAAACCGCGTCGCGTACTTGTCCACCCCCTTATATGAGTACTTCTTGAGGTTTTCGAGCGAGTGCTGGGGTATGTAGCGCGGGGTGTAGGCTGCCATTGTCGTCGTCGCCGTCGTCCGGGGCCGTGTCCTCGCAGCCGGAAGATGGAAGGTCGGGAGAAAGACGCAGGCATGACGCGAAAAAACCGGACGACGTCGGCGGCGCGCGCGCACGTGCGTGGTCCAGATCATTCACGTACTTCTCATCTTTTATCCAGCGTTCGTCTCTCATGGACTTCAAGTCCGTACTCAAGGCAGCTCTATGGTCGTCCATCTGGATTGAGGAATCGTACAGTGATGCTCGTATCAGACGGACACCGCTCAGCACGGAACCATCAGGTGCATGATCCTGACGGTCCGTTGCCGAGGGACCACGACGCGTCCTCGGCGCTTATTCAGGCTGTAACGCACAAGGCATAGCCCCCACATACCTCCTTGCTCCCAACCACCATGCCTCCTCTCGCAGCAGCCCGCGCCGCGAATGCTGCCTTCAAGTTCACCTCGCCGAACCCCGTGCGTGCCGTATTCGTCGGCGGTACAGCCGGCATCGGTCATGGCATGGCCCTCGCCCTTGCACGCGCAACGAAAGGGAACGCGCAGATCGTCATCGTCGGGCGCAACCAGACCGCCGCGAAGGAGCTCATCGCGTCTTTTCCCTCCCCTGCCAATACACTGTCGACCTTCGTCTCCTGCGACGTGACGCTCATGCGCAACGTGCACGCTGCCGCTGAGTCAATCAAGTCCCAGCTCTCAACAATCAACTACCTCGTCATCTCCGCCGGCTTCTTCACGCTTAGCGGGCGCAACGAGACAGAGGAGGGGATCGACCGCAAGCTCGCGGCACACTACTACGCGCGCTGGGCGTTTATCAACGACTTGCTGCCTCAGCTGAAGGCCGCGGCGGAGAAGGGGGAGGAGGCGAAGGTCATGAGCGTCTTCTCGGCAGGTCATGGAGGCCCGATCAATGTCAACGATCTCGGCCTCAAGCGCACCTACTCCCTCAAGAACGCCGCTTACCAAGGCATCACTTACAACGATCTGGCGCTAGAGGTACGTCCCCTCTCTTCGTGATCGACCGTCTACTCACCCCGACGCAGGAATTCGCCGCTCGCAACCCCAACATCTCCTTCGTCCACACCTACCCTGGCACCGTCCGTACCAGCATCGTCAAAAACTCTGATTCATATCTCATCAAAGCGCTCACCTACCTCTTCTACCCCATCGCCTACCTCCGCACCGTATCCGAGGAGGAATGCGCGGACTGGATGACCTACGCGCTGCTGCACGCGAAACCCGGTTTCTCGCGCTTCAACAACCATGGAGATGATATTGGGCGCCTCAACTACGACGGGACCGAGGAACAGAGGAAGAGATTGTGGGAGCATACCATTGAGGAGACGAAGTCGCAACCTACCTGCTAGATGTAATGGGGATTGGAACGCAGCGGTTGGTTATCGCGTTGTATGCTTGCCCAACGGACTGAGATGAGGGCAGCAGGAGCGGATTTGACTGGATTGGCCTGAGTGGCTTGCCTGTACTATCTACGTATTGTTTTCGCCAAAATGATCCTCTTTTCCACTTCATTGTCCTCTGGCATCTATGATGGCTGATATTTGCTCTTTCTCATCGCGTGAAACCCCCTAACACGGGCCCGATTTCGACTGCAGGAGGTTCAATATTTGTGCACGTGCTCGTTCGGATATGGCCGACAGGATAGATCTGCGTCACCGCCATCTCACTTCCTTCCAACTGCCTGAGCAAGTCCAGTAACAGGTCCATCGTCCTCATCACTTTTGCAGACAAAGAAGACTTCCCTGTGAAGTTAGAGGCTTGCGGGTGGCGATCTGAGGCTCAGATTACGCTCGGAATGATGATCATGGACCTGACGATGCCGAACGCATACGACACCCGACACGCGTCCCCCCTCGCTGCGTATAAGCCCACAGGATATGTCTTAGGCGATCAGTAGTCATCCTCCTGTCTCCACTTTCACCATGCCCTCCCTCGCCGCAGCACGCGCCGCGAATGCTGCATTCAAGTTCACCGCCAACCCTGTCAACGCCGTCTTCGTCGGCGGCACGAGCGGGATCGGTCACGGTATGGCCTACGCTCTCGCTCGCGCGACCAAGGGGAACGCGCGCATCGTGATAGTTGGTCGCAACCAGGCTGCCGCGAAGGAGCTCATTGCGTCCTTCCCCTCCCCCGCGAACACCCTCTCCTCCTTCGTCCCCTGCGACGTCACCTTGATGCGCAATGTACATGCAGCAGCGAAGGACATCAAGCTCCAGCTGCCCACGATTAACTACCTCGTCATCTCCGCTGGCTTCTTCTCGCTCAATGGGCGGACGGACACGGACGAAGGCATCGATCGGAAGCTCGCGGCACACTACTACGCGCGGTGGACCTCCATCAACGACTTGCTGCCGCAGGTGAAGGCGGCGCAGGAGAAAGGGGAGGACGCAAAGGTCATGAGCGTGTTCTCGGCGGGGCACGGGGGCCCTATCGACGTTGACGATCTGGGCTTGAAGCGTACATACTCGCTGAAGAACGCCGCTGACCAGGGCACCACCTACAATGACCTTGCGCTGGAGGTGCGTCTCACCCACTTCCCTCTGCTCCCATTGCTAACCTCGTCCCAGGAATTCGCCGCCCGCAATCCCACCATCTCCTTCTCGCACATCTACCCTGGCGGTGTACGCACGGGCATCATCAAGAACTCCAACTCCTACCTCATCAAGGCCATGTCTTACGCGCTCTACCCCCTCGCCTACCTTGCCAGCGTCCCCGAGGAAGTGTGTGCGGACTACATGACCTACGCGCTGTTGCATGCGAAACCTGGCTTCTCGCGGTTCGACAACCACGGAGACGATATTGGACGCAAGAACTACGACGGGACGGAGGAGCAGAGGAAGAAGCTGTGGGAACACACAATCCAGGAGACGCATTCTCAGCCTACGTCCTAGGTTTAATGTGGTGCTGACTGAGGCTTCGCGCGTCAGAGCGGAGATGCCTCGCATCGCCTGGGAGGTTTGGACCAGGGATGACCTGATGTTGGGTAGACTCGGTGAGGGTTCGTGTGTTTGCTTTACTGTGTATTGTTCCTTCCGGTCCTATGTATGACATGTTGGCTCTTCTAATACTAGGATGCCGTAATGTGCGCCTACAACTCTCATGCCGTTGACAGAACCTGGGCAGACTGCATGTCTTGGGCGTCTTCGGGATGCATCTTTAGCGCTCACATGCTATGCTCTCGGAGGCTCGACGTGTCCGTCCTCCGACATCACACCCTTCCGTTGAGATCGGCCATCCCAGCGCCACATCCTCGTCCTCCACCAAATGTTCGTCTGTCGACAGTGCTTTCCCTTAGCGATCCGCGCTCTTCAGACCCTCCTCATCCTTCGAGTTACCTCTCGATGGAGCGCTATCATTTGCACCATGAAGATTCGAGGATGCGCCATGGTCTGCTGAACACGCTTAGCCCCAAATTCGAACGTTCGTATCGCTGAGAGAACGGCAATCAGACGACGTCCTGCCACCCGCTGGCATCGAGCGCCGGTGTATATCCCACAAGGGCCGGCCTCTGACGTCTCCTACCGCCCGTTCCTCGGCTCTCTGTGGTCGGGGTATATAAGGTGGGAGAGGGCCCACTGACGTCGATCTCCTATCGTCTCGTCGTACTCGTCTGGTAGACGCAGTACGCCAACCACACTTGCCCGCTCGACCGTACGCTTCGCCGGCTTCCACCATGCCTCACATAAAGAACCTCCTCACTGAGGACACGCACGACATGGCCGGCCGGAACGACGCCGGCGGCTTTGACTTCCACAACATCGAGAACGCGGCCACCGTGCCGGAAGACAATTCGCACCGCTGTCTGATCCTCGCCTTCGATGGGACGGGGAATCAGTTCGACGATGATGTGAGTTGCAGGTCTGCAGGAGAGGAGGGAATGAGGGCGCCAGTCGCGACGGGTGAGACCACCTCATACTCACCCCGCCACCACAGAACTCCAACGTCGTCAACTTCGTCTCCCTCCTCAAAAAGGACAAGCCCGAGAAGCAACTGGTCTACTATCAGGTGAGCAAGTTCGGCCTGCGGTTCAATACTGCTCTACTAGTCCTCCGCGTCTTCCCTTTTTGTCACTGAGAGTTCAACGGCGCGCTAACGGTGGTCTACTAGGCTGGAATTGGGGCATACAATATGAAGCATGGCGCAAGCCCCGTACGCGCGAAGCTGTCACAAATTGTCGATGCAATGATGTGAGTGAACCTTGTCTATCGGATTTCCTCCTTCTAATACGCCTCGCAGTGCCAAGAACCTGGATCGTAAGTATACGACGTCGACACCTAAGATACCTCGCTGAGGAACACACCAGGTCACGTCATCGCTGGCTACGAATTCCTGTCGGACAACTGTACGTACAGTCCAGGTAAAGATAAGCAGTCCGCGCTGACCTTGCCTTACCAGATCAGGAGGGTGACAAGATCTTTCTTTTCGGGTGCGTATGTGGAAGTACTCCAAGCATAGGTCGCATCTAACCAGACTTTCAGGTTCTCTCGCGGCGCTTGTACGTTGCATAGACTCCAACTAGTTGACTGGGTGGCTGAACGAAGCGCATCCTAGACATTGCCCGCTCGCTGGCTGGAATGCTGCACAAGGTAGGTTTTGACATCATTAGCGTAGACAGCAAAGCTAACGAGGTCTTGTAGGTTGGCCTCCTCCCGCGCGGCAACCGCCAGCAAATCCCCTTCGCCTTCACTATGTACTCCCGTGAAGATGAAGAAGGGTGGCGCCAGAGCACCGCCTTCAAGCGTTCTTTCAGCATCGACGTCAGCGTCGAGATGGTTGGAGTCTGGTACGCACCAAATCGCGCGAGACCCCGTCCTTTCACGCTGATCTCAACAACCTCCTCCCTCGCAGGGACACGGTTGCCTCCGTCGGTATTATCCCCAAGCGGCTGCCGTTCACCCTCAGCAATACGCACATCCGCTACTTCCGCCACGCTCTCGCGCTCGACGAGCATCGCGTGCGCTTTCAGCCCAGCTTCTACATCCGGCCTCGAAAGAAGGATGTCAAAGAGCACAAGCACGACCACAGCAACAGCGAGCATACCCGCCAGGCCAGTGGTAGCAGCTCCCACGGCGATACGAACAGGCGCTTGAGCATGGCGAGTACGGATACGCGCGTTGGAGGGTCGGTTTGGGGAAAGGGCGCGGACTTCGACCACGACCACGACGAGGACGCGGGGAAGAAGAACGGCAACGGGAAAGACAAGGATAAAAACGGGAAGGACGGCGACAAGGACAAGGACGGGAAGCGCAAGGGCACGAAGATGCGCCAGCTCGAGCGCAAGTACGGCGACGGCGGGAAGTACATCACCGACGTGCAGGAGGTCTGGTTCTCCGGGTGTCACTGCGGTGCGCGTTTCCCTTCTTCCTTATCCTCCCTTCGTCCATTCGGCTAAATCAACCCCCCTAGACGTCGGCGGCGGCGCCGTCCGCAACGACGAGCGCTACTCCCTCGCCCGCATCCCCCTCCGCTGGATGATCCGCCAGTGCTTCATGCTCAACACCGGCATCCTCTTCTACCGCGACCTCCTCCCGCGCGTCGGCCTCGACCCCAGCACGCTCTATCCCGAGATCCAGCCGCGCCCGCCGCCCCTCAGCGCCGACGACGCGCGCTATTCCGCGCACGCCCGCAAGGCGACGGACGCGACGGTGGTCGAGGGCGCGGACCCGTTCGTGAACGAGGAGGTCGAGGACCTGCGCGACGCGTGCACTCCGACGAACGACGAGCTGAAGCGCGTGAAGGCGTGGTGGCTGCTGGAGTGCATCCCTGCGAAGGCGCGCTTCCAGAATGAGAACGACGAGTGGGTGAAGAAGTATAAGTGAGTATCATTCTCTTGTCTCCGCCCGCCTTCCAGCTTGAACGCTGTTCTGTCAATGCATCTGACCGTACGCTTCAGGTTCCACCTGGGCAGCGGTCGCTGCGTTCCTCGCCGCAAGAACGAGGAGCCAAAGATACACCGAACAGTCAAGACACGCATGGAGGCCAAGAATCTCACCGACGGTCCTTACAAGTGCAAAGCAACTTGGGCGCCTCAGAACCCCAAGTGGGTGGGAGGTTGCGAGCACGACTGAAGGTGTAGGGGAACAGAAAGATGATTTTTCTTGTACTTGTAATGTATTCTCTTGCATCCCAACACCTGGTCGTCAAACATCGCATGTTGTTTTGCCACAACGTAGAGCCTCACGATGTATCTGCAGTTTTTTACTGACCACTCTTGGACCATCGGGACATGCTCAAGACCACACCAGACAACGACAGGAAGTGACCTGCATATTTAAGGACCTACCCTACAAGTATACAGCGTACAGGCGCACGGGGCAGGTCAACATAACGTATATAGCGAGTCCTCGCACAAGCCGTTCTCGAGAGCCTTTTCTTCAAAGTACCACCGCACACACCGGACCCAGCCAAGACAGAACACATCACATAGCCAGAATACCGCAGAAAAGACAGTCCATATGTGCGGATTGGGGACCATATATGCGGGGAGGGGACTACATGTACGGCGAAGAGACCGTACATGTGGCACCCATCCATCGCGTTGACTTACACATAACTTAGTACCGAGGCTCAGCAGCGGGAGCAGCGCGGCGGTCGTCGTAGCGCCTGCTGTCGTACTCGCGGTCACCACGACCGCCACCGCCGTAGCTCGGGCGGTCACCACCGCGGTCATAGTCGCGGTAGCTGCCGCGGTCGTAGTCGCGGTAGCCTCCCCGGTCATAGTCCCGACGGGGCTCGTCGTAGCGGTCGCGCCCACCGCCGCGGCCACCATGACCGCGGTCATCACGGTAACGGTTATCGTACGGCCTGGGGTCATATGGACGCTCCGCTGGAAGAACGTGAGACGATGATGGAAAGTACAGTGGGAAAAGACGGACAGTCAAAGCGCTTGGGCGGGCCATAGTAGCGGCCCGGTGTTGGTGTGCGAGCACGGCCGCGACGAGCCTGGAAGGTCAATTAAGCTGCAGTTACAGGGGCCAACTCTCGATCGACTGACCTTCTCGACGCGAATGATCTTGCCCTGCAACTCGGTGCCATTGAGGCCATTGACGGCAGCCTCAGCTTCCTCTGGGCTCTCCATGGTCACGAAGCCGAAGCCACGAGACTCGCGAGTGTGAGGGTCGTACATGACAGATGCCTTCTGGACCTAATGCGGGCGTCAATGAAGGGAATGGTTCGGAGGAGGGTTTGCGCATACACGGCCGAATTCCTTGAAAGCGGCCTCAAGGTCGCGAGTGTCTATCTTGTGGCTAAGGCCAGAGACGTGGAGGTTGTTACCGGGGTTAGTGCGCCCGTCGCCACGACTGCGAACAAAACAATGTAAGAAGTACGTCTTTGACGGAGTCGCCACTACGCACCCTCCTTGGTCGCGTTCACCACGGTCACGATCATCCCCTCGTGCTCCTGGGCTACGGCTCCTGCTCGACCGACGGGGACCATTGTCGCGAACGGGCGAGCGCCTGCCATAGTCGTCGACGCCCGTCATGGGAGCGCCGTTGCTCTCGTTCGCCGGAATGCTGATGCCTGTGACGGAAGCCGGGGCTTAAGATGGATATGCAGTAGCGTTGGGAGCAGCGAAAGGCGGGGGTTGCGTCGGACATGGTTGTAAGAGGACCGGACGGTTGGGGGACTGGGCGAGGAGGGTATGTATGCCGACGCGAAAAAAGAGCCGAAAGACATGCGCGAGGGTTGGAACTGGCCGACCGTGGCTGGACGCGTCGCATGCCGTCTGAGAGCTCGTATACGAAGGGGAGCACCGGGAAAGGGTGGTCGGTAGTCGAGAGGTGGTCAGCCTTGAGCTGACGCAGGCCTGACGAGGAGCGGCTGGCGGGTACGGGAAGAGAAAGAGCGCGTCGCTGGCGTCGTCGACGACGAGGTACGCGTTGCCGTCGTGGCGGATGGCGAGAACGTACCGTCTTCCATTTTGCTGGTTTGCTGGTTGCTCGTGATGGTTGGGGACAAGTCGCGCTCGTTTGCGTCTCCAGCCGCGCAAAAGGCACCACATCGCGCACAGCCACGCGCCGATGACGGCCCAGGTCCAAACATGGACCCACAAGTCGAACCTTAACCACCCTGAGCACAAGGGCCTTTCACAAAATTATCTCCGTTACCGCGTCTATTTCGAAGCTCATTCATGCATGGATTCGATGTAGTGCGTTGTCGTAGAATGCTTGTCAAACACAAGTCAATGTATATCTACTGCCCGTCCTCCAAGAGCTCGAGCGGTACGAGCGAGCGCGAGAAAGAGTCCCGTACTGATGAAATCACTCAGCTGCCTAAGTTGTCACAGCTACAAAGCACTCACCTGGATCCCTCTCGACATTCAATGCCACACGCGATGCAAGGGCAGGCATCTTGCCCCGGACGAACGCGGTGTCTGGCAATTCGGACACAACCTTGTTGATCCAGTGCTTTTTAGGGCGTCGGAGATGCAGCGTGACAGACTTGAGCGTGCGCCCCAGCTGCAGATTATAGTTTATGAGGGTCCGACTTAACTCGTTCCACCACCTATCTTCGGCGTCATCCACCGGCGAAACGAGGTAAATTTCGATGGCCAGATGCTCGACGCAGACGGCGGTCGCGAGGACGCGGGTGACATCGTATATGATGAGCTCCCACGCGTACTTATCCTTGGAGGAGCCGCGGATGGACAAGAGTCGAAGCTTCTCGAGGCGATTCAAGTCGAGCCATATGTTGCCTACTGCGGACAACCTCGTTCAGCACAACTCTTCAAAGGGACAACAGAAGCCCTGCTCACCGAGGTCAGGACCATAGAGATCAAGCGCGCGCAACGTGTTATGACACTTCTGCAGGATCATGACGATATCATGCCTCTCTTTGTGAACGACGCGCGAGTCCACATTAGGACCTCGAGGCCGCGGACGTCCAGAGGATGACCCTGGGATAGGTGACTGACATAGCGTCGCGGAACGTCCGCTGGCACATAATGTATCCCGCTCAACACCAAACTCTTGAGGGGCACCTTTGGCGTCCTGTCCTGGCTGTAGAAGCCTGCGCGAGTCTGGATCATGCGGAGGTCACGCACTTGACAACGCTCGTCGCCCAAGATCTGGTCGTGTATCCCACCAGAGCCGTACCAACCCAGCGTGTACAGGCAGCGGCGCGAGGCGCGTTCGAGTGCGTCAAGGAGAGGCACGTCGTTGATCCCAACGGCGCAGCTGTCGTTCCATGACTGAATGAAGAGGGTACGCACGATGGGGAGCAAGTCGAGAATTTCCGCCAGGACCGTCCTTTCCTTCGTTATCCACAGATACGACGTCCACTCCGCCTCGTGATGCTCATAATACTCGAAAAACGCGCGTGGAAGCGTCTGGCCGACGGTCCCGATCCCAACCGAATGTGTCGAAAGAGATACTTCTGACTAGTCGTTCGGAATGAGCTGTGAGCAAGAGCGCAAGAGGCGAGCGAGCGGAAGTCTCTCTTCGAGTAGAGCTCGTCGATGATGGCGTCTTTCAGCTCTTGAGCTAGCTCGACTGCCGCCATGGCGAAAGGAGAGCGACAGTAAAGCACACGTTAACCAAACGAAGGTCCGCGCTACAGAAATCGCACGAGGCATCGCTAAGCTCGCTTCTGCAAGAAAGGTAATCGTTAGCGCACTGTTTCCGAGACATGCGCATTCCACGCATCTGGATGGACGATCATTGACGTATCATCCCCGCTCAATGATCCTGTTGGCTTATCATCAAGAGTTGGAAGCATCACAGTCAGCGGCGCAAGCCCAAATGGCTTCTGCAGTTCCATTGCGTTGGTCACAAGGATTGGATCAGAACCATCTCGTATCAGAACTCGAGTCTGAGTCCGGTCATGAGCAGAATCATCCGCCACATTTTCAGATTGCGAGACGTAGGCCAAGGTCGATAAATACTGAGGAATGGGAAACAGTCCACAAGGTCGCTGCCAAACAAAGACACCTTCCGATTTCGTCTTCCCGTCAGCTCCTCGGCGTGTGCGCCACATATATGTATCACCACTCAAGGGAAGTATTGGGAGCATGGAAATCGAGATCGAGTTTCGCTCTATAACATTGTTCAGTCACCCTAGCCGAAAGAATGGTAGTAAACTGACCTCATTAACCTGCGTCAATGTTGAATACCTCGGCGAACTGATCTACGTGCTTGATTGACCCGTCGCCATAGCTGGCGACGACGTAGCTCCCCCTGATCCTCGTGCAGTCCAGCACGCCCCTTCGGTATGACAGCCATTAAGTACGGAAAGAATCTCCACAAGAACGACGCGACAGCCATTTCAGAAGCTATGGGTGATTGATGAACATAAATCAGTATGAGCGACTGCTGTACAACGTCGGTGGGGGTGCCCTCGGGTATACGGGTCTCCCTAGCATCGACGGCGAGGGTGAGATACGCGAGGCACGGGCAGTAGCGAGCCAGATGAAGCAAACTGAGCATGGTGCACTTCGGCGTGCGCCACACGTTTCCCCCTAGCTCAAGCGTGTTCAGGTCTGGAAGCGCCCGAGCGATGCGCAGGACATCCTCGTCGCGCAGAGACAAAACGCTGTGCGATTTGATCCGCAGCGACGTCAAGCGCCGAAAGGAGAGTAGCGGCTCGAACTCAGTGATATCGTGGACCGGTCCGTCTTCGGCGACTTGAGAATAGTAGTCAGGAGGGGTCAGACGTACGCTTGTGAGGGACTGTACGTTGCAGGATTGCCCAACGGCGCGACATATGGCTCGAATGGGGTTTTCTACGCCGTCTTGGACATATATGACATCTAGACTTTCGATAGGAGCCATTTGGAAGCTGTGGATGAACGCCACCGCAGAAGCAACCAGAGACTTAGAGAGTTTGAGCGAGCGCATGGTCGACGATGAGCGCCACTGTGGCGGTACGCTCCATGGCACAGGTTCATGCTGGTTGTGAAGTGTCAGTGTATGGAGGCAAGGTAGGTTTGCGATGGAAAGCAATGCAGCGTTGTCGATATCATCGGAGATGCTCAGAAATCGCAGGCTATCCCAACCGGCGAGGAGCTCAGCCCAAGGAGTAAGCCGGACCCGTGGATCTCCGAAGTCGATGGCGAAGGACAGTGACGTTATGCTGGCGATGCCTCTCGCCTTGAGCAGGCGCAGGGCTGAGATCTCTTCCGCAGCGCCTGCTAAATCCATTGCCGAAGGCGATTCTGACTTCCAGAGAGATATCATGAGAACAGAAAGCCCCGGAGGATGTAGCAGAGGCAGTATAGCGGATAGAGAACGATGACGGGGCCCGTGGTAGTAGAAGCGACGCAGGTTGGGCAGGAGATAACCCCCGTCCATCACACCGGCAAGGTGTGCGATGTCTGAGGGAGCCACTGCGACCTCCATTCCGAAGATGCTGAAATCGGATATGAACGCGGCGTATATCCGCAATCGTTGAGTGTCAGCGACGGCGATTTGGCGAGTAATTCTCTATGGCGCATTAGAACTCTTTGGAATTGTATGATTGGTTTAAGAATACGTACCAGGCTCAAACCATCGCTTACCACTCCGGGAGTGTAGTCTACACGCTCCCAGCAGGAAGTGGGCAAACACATGACCAAGTGTAAGAGCGTATCACATCTGCCCCAGACTCTGCAAGCCGCCGGATGGAAGAAAGATCCGCATGTTCTCGCCAAGACAGAAAGCGAGGAACGCGGGAGGAAGCTGAATATCTCTTCGATGAGCTCAGGCGTCCGCAAAACGGGATGCATGGCGCGAGAGCGAATCGGCAATCTGCTAGGGAGCCGTGACAGAGAAGGCGAAAGCACAGGATACCTACTAAGCTGCTTGACTATCAGCGAAGACGTTCGATTGCGACTTCCAGAACCATCTCACCGTAAACTACCGCAGAAGAAGATTTTCCGTCGAAGCGCTGATGGTGGTAGCTTGCAACTTGCAATGTGCTCGGGGCATGCGTCTGCCTGCACATGTTGGCGTTTGTTTGGCAAACGCCCTCGTTACGACCAAATATGGCGAATTTTGTTGCTAATGTCCGAAGGTCCTAGGTGCCGTTGGCAACAACTCAAAGAATCCGGAGATGATTTCAGCGCACAGAGAACCATGAAGAGGTCATGGAAGGCAATGAGAAGAGAGGCAGCATATACACTATGGCATTCAGCGCTTACTCGCTCCCCGACGTCCCAATCCCCAACTCTGTGACATATTTCTCGCGTCCCAGCCTCCGCATCTCCTCCACCACCTCTCCCACCTTATGCAGCTCGCCCCACTTGCGCTCCACTGCCTTGCTCGCGTCCTGCTCCTCCTCGGGCAGCGCGTCCAGAAATCGCAAACGCAGTGCCAGCCACTGCATCGCCTTCACGCGGTCGACGAAGTCTTCGACAGCGTCTTTGGGGCCGTAGGCGTAGATAACACCTGGATAGCCGACTTTGGCGAAGCCGGAGATGTTCAACGAGGCGGTCCAGGATTGCATGTTGCGGCGCTTAGTGGGCGAGACGAGGTGGTGAGAAGTGAAGAGGGCGTGGAAGAGAGGTTCGGGAGAGGTAGGAGTGTCTGTAAGACTAACTGACGATAATGAGGTAGCTTCGGCACTGCGTTTCTCGGCATCTTCGTGTAGAAGGGGAAAGAGGTTCAAAGCGACAAGGTTGTACGTAGGTTGCCTGGAAGAATATGTAAGGAGGGTGGCAGGACGAACGTATTGGGCGCTCACTCATTGTCCGAAGCTTCCTGTAGTCTCTCCCGTATCAGGCTCGTCCACCGGTCTTGTTCTGCTCGACTAATAGTAGTACCCTTGACCGCGACGTTCGGCAGCTTCGAAACTTCCGGGTAATCGACAGGAAGCGACACATAGACACGGAGGTCATGACCCTCGACCCAGACTTTGAAAGAGATAGGCAGAACAGGGATATCATCGTCGGCAGGGATGGTACGTTCAGCACTGAACCTATCCAGCAGCGCCAGCCATCGATCGTGATCGTCGACAAAGGTCAGGACTTCGCCGGGCATCACAGAGCATCGTATGAGTTCCAGCTCCTCCAGCTGACGCTCTAGCGTTGTCGACATTCGCAGCAGTTTGCGTGACAGTGCAGACCTGACATGGGCGCTTAAAGCAAGAAACGCAGATCGAAATAGCCCGCGTGGGGCGTTACTCTCGCAGCGTGACACCCGCGTCGCACATGGCGCCAACCTCCTTGCTCCGGACGATTTGGATGGAATGGGCGAGGGCGATGATAGCGCGCGATCCCCCCTCGTCGACAATGACAAAGTGCGCGGCTCCCTTCCCCCTGACAAGCGAACCTTCCCGACTGACGCGCGCGGGCGTAGTTCTTGAAGGATCTGGCCGCACTCTTCGAGTCACCCAAGGGCTCGATATGGCTTACGCATAAGCGCCGTGCGTGGTCTGCGTCAATGCAGTGCAGGAGGTGGCTAACGAGATGCCAACAGTGACCCACGATGGGCAGGACACGACCATGAAGGCGGACGATGGGTCAGAGGACACGCGCGAGTACCCCTGCCTCCTCCGCGCCGTCGATGGTGTCGGTACCAAATTATCCACCCGCGTACGCATTCTCTGCCTCTCCCCCTTCATCCCGTCTCTTTCATGCGCTCCTCCTCCATCTCCCTTCATCCTCCACTAACCCCACACCCCCAGGTCGAACCCGGCCAGCTCGATCACTTCTATACCGCATACGGCGCCCTCCTCAAATCCTCCATGTCCGCGCTCCGCAAGCGCGACAAAAAGCGCGAGAAGCAGCGCGCCGAGGAGCTCGCGCGGCGCAAAAAGCGGCTCGCCGAGCCCGTCATCGTCGAGGGCGCGAAGCGGGGCGCGGGGAGAAGGAAGCGGCAGCGGCTGGTGAAGGCGGCGATCAAGCAGCAGGAGACGAAGAAGCGGCTGGAGGAGAGGGAGCAGGGGAGGGCGAAGAGGATTGAGGAGCTGGTGCATGCGCAGTGAGGGGTTGTGCGCGCGATCGCTCTGGTCCTTCTTGGTATCTTCAGTCCCCTTACACCTCACTCATGATCTTCGCTTTACTATGCAATCTATGCCTCCATGCCATCATGCCGACTTCTGCATCCTTCGACTGACAGATCCGCTCTTGAACCAAAAGCCAAAGGCTACTCGAACCACGAAGACAGTGCAGATAGGCCCGCTGAACAGCAATGCATTTCGTCTTCTACATCCCTTTCGCGCCACACTCGACAGGTATGCGACCATGAAGTGCGTGAGCCCTAGCCAGACGATCTGCATGCGAAGGTAGACAGATCACTGTACGAGCTCGTAGTCGCTCTCCGGATCCTTGTCCTTCGGGTCGTTCTTTGGCTGCGGTATATGCTTCACCAAGTGCGCAAACTCCACCTCCTGCGACGCCTCCCCGATCACCTCCAACAACTGATAGAACGCATGGATCGCGACCTCCCTCACGTCCTCCGCGATCGGGATGAGGTCCATGCCGAGGTCCTTCTCAAAGTCCCTGTCCAGCTTCTCCAGCAGCGCGTGGATCTCGCGCGTCTCCTGGCGCACGATGTCGAGCGCGCGCGCGCGGAGCGCGGGGTCCATGGTGCGCACAAAGCCGACGAGGGCATCGACGGCGGGCGCGGAGGCGGGGTCGAAGAGCGCGGAGCAGAGGCGCGCGAGGTGATCGAGGACGGCGTCGTCGGAGGTGAGGTCGAGGGAGGGGTAGTAGGAGTCGACGCGCATCATGAGGATGAGAGTCATAAGGACGGCATTCTCGAGGTCGAGCTCGAGGAGGTCCTGCGCGAGGATGAGGAGAGAGGTGCCGCCGACAGCCGTTACGACAGCTGGAGGGAGTGGGTAAGCGCGGATGTGAACGGCGAGGGACATGGAAACGCACTCATGAAGAAGCCAAACTTCTTGTTGCGTGGGGACCCATCCTTGCGATAGAGTAGTCTCGGTATTATGCCCGACGGCCGCGGCGCGTACGTCGTGTACTGCGGCATATTGGTGTATGGCCGTGGGTTCGTGGTGTACGCTCGTCTAGTGAAAGACAGCGACGGTACAAAAGAGGTCTGCCTAGGGCATGTTGTCCTTCTCGTCGCTATTCGAAGCGCCGAGGGTAGTCTGGCCAAGCTCATTATCGAGCTGGTGGGAGAGGATGACGGTCGTCTGTAAGGATTATACCCGATTTGGGACAATGACTTTTAAGCTTGCTCTTGTTTACTCGGCCGCCTCGCAGACGCGTCATACTTCGGCAACTCCCTCTGAAGAATCCATTTCTGAGCCCGCAATATTGCAACCACAGGCATGATGGGATAGTAAATCGACTCTTTCTTGTTTAACAAGGCCTCAGGACTGCTCTTATCCATCGTCCGTCACATCTTCGCCTCCTCGATCACCTTTGCCTTTCGTCCACGCTTCTCCCACTCCGCCCGTGCCACCTTACGAAGCTCAGTCTTCAACGGCTTCAGAGACGCATTGCGCTCGAGGGGATGGGTTTGAATCACGATAAGCACGGGCACGGCGAAGCGAGGGAGTCTGCATGGTAGTGTCAGCGTCAAGATTCCTTCGAGTACTGCATTCTCTGCGGCCTCCGAACGCGAAAACACACACCTGCTCCTCGCTAGCTTGATCAACCCTTCCTCAGTGACCCGTTGCCGGTGACCCTCCTTCACCGCTACTACCGCAGCGGGCAGTTCGCCCAATCTCTCATCCGGCACCGCGACCGCGGCAGCCTCAAGCACGCCCTCGTCCGCGTGCAGCGCATTCTCGACGGTCGAGGAGTCGATGTTCTCACCACCGCGGATGATGATGTCCTTTACTACATGGTGGATTTGCTGAGCTAGTTGACGGGGACATGATAGACGTGGAGAGACGTACGTCGATCGCGGATGTACAAGAACCCCTCAGAGTCCATGACTCCAAGGTCGCCCGTGCGCATGTAGCCGTCCTTCGTGATAGCCTGAGAAGCGCATTGTCAGACACCCGTCCTTCTCACCTATGCCTACATCAGGGGGCAGAACATACCTTCGCCGTTGCCGCCTCGTCCTTCCAGTAGCCCTGAGGATCAAAAACGAGGCGTTAGCTTTCGGTGGACAACGAAAGGACAACAAAACCAATAAACACTTACCCTCATCACATTCACCCCTCGTATCCACACCTCACCAAGCTGGCCAGGCTTGCAGACCTTCAGCGACTCCGCATCGACGATGAGGAGGTCGTTTATGGGAGAGGCGAGCCCGCTAGAAGGAAATGTAGTATCAGCACTTGCATTTCCATCGCACAATTCGCCATCCATGTGTATGGCGCAGAAAACGAGAGAAAGGACAACACCCACCAAGCACTCGGTCTTGCGAGGTATTCCTGCCCGACTACAGCTTTTTCAGCCCCGAGAATATTCACCAAGGCAGCACGACCACGCACCAACCCCCACCGCCACCGAGTTCGTCTCCGTCATGCCGTATCCGGAGCCGCTGTACTAGCCATGTCAGTCTACCGAATTACGAGACCACTCCCCTTCCTCCCGATGATGTTCTCTAAACAGAACAGGAGAAACTGTTATTCGAACAGAACAGGAAGAACACTCACATCGACACCTGCCCGAAGCTCCTCCTCGCCCTCTCGATGAGCGCCCTCGGCGACGCCGCGCCGCCGACCGAGGTGCCCAGGAGCGGATACCCGGCGAGCGGCCCGCCGTTCTCGGCCATGGTGACGACGTCGGAGACGAGGGAGGGGACGCTGGGTAGGTGAGGGGGATAGGTAAGCAAGGGATCGATGGGTAAGCGCGGGATCGATAGGTTGGCCGTTAGGATGACTGAGAAATTGAAGAGGTGAAAGCTCGATACGCACCCACCGACGGTAGTGACCTTCTCTTGGAGGATGAGGCTGCAGGCTGTTATATTGAGATGAAAGAAAGAAAACGATGAACACACCGAGCGCCCTCTTCCGGCTGAGGAAGCAGTTAGTGTGGACAGCGTCACAAGAAGGGAGATACGCACATTCCACTTCTTCATCAACACCAGCTTGCCGCCGAGGCAAGTTACGACGAGCTAGATACAGGGTTGTGAGCCATGTTTGACCTCCGATGGCTCGGATGACCTACCATGATGCTATGCAAGCCCGTTACCTATGCAGTATTCCATCAGCTATATCATGTACATACATGAGGAGACGGTTGAGAGACACCCACATGAAAGAACGGAATCCCAACTAACGATACGCCGCGCGGCTCGGGCGGGTCGATGTTCCTAGATACGGCGTCGATGAGACCGTTGCGGAGGGCGTCTTTGACGCTGCCGGCGAGGACCTGGGTGATCCGGTTATTAGCAGGATTCGGGACAAAGACAAGTCGCAGGGAAAGGGACAGATAGAAGCGGGCCACCGGGAAAGGGCGTACATTGATGATGTTGGAAAGGCCAGCGCGCTGAGTGCTGAGGACGCCCTCTGGAGCGCGAATGTCAGGACAGGTCGGGCTTGTACGCTAAGGGAAGAGCGTACTAGGAAGGCCGGTCTGCAAAGACAAGCTCGTCAGCAACACAGCTTCCTCTCGACAGCAGACCTTCAAGCGCACCGTCCCAGAAGTAAACATCACCGTCGCGTTATCCTCCGGCAAGATCCCAGGATCAGTCTGCAAAACACTGCGTTCATCCTGCTTATACTCCGTCAGCGCATCTACGAGCCGTTTCATGCCCTTAGGCTGCCTATCGCCTCCGCGGAACACCAAGAGCTCAACGCAGCCCGCGTCCTTCTTGATTTGGTCGACCAAAGGCTCGAGACTCTGCGCGCGCTCGTCGTCGAGTAGGATGACCTTGCAGTCGGTGTTGCATAGGCAGTGTTTGACGACGTCGGCGGGGAGCCATCTGAGGATCGCGCGTACGGTCAGTCTCAGAAGTGCATTGTCAACCGTAGGAGAGGATGGACACGCACGCATTCGGGCCCACAGCGACCGCACCCAAAAGCTGGACGGCCCAGAAAGCGAAGATGAACTCCGGATAATTGCGGCTAACGATGCCGACACGGTCTCCTGGCAAGAATCGCATTTAGCACCTCACTTAGTCTCGTGAACGCGCCTCGAGGCCTCATTAGCAGACTCGAGGAAGCGAAGTATCCTTGACTTCAGGGGGACAGCATAGTCTCGGTCGAGTTTACCAGCCTCCCCCTCGATGCCTAGCGCTGCAAATCGATCCAACTCACCCTTCTTCACACCATACGCCTTGCTCAGCAAGCCCGCAATTTGCAGGACCTCCTTATGCGCGTCCCCATACGTCCATCGCTCGCCCTTGAACACAAGATACTCATGCTGCGCGTGCCTCTGCGCGCACTCGAGCCAGAACGCGCGGAAAGTCGGCCAGAGGTGGGTGTACACGCGTTGAACGCGCCCGTCGATGACACGCTGGTGCATCTCAGCGAACGAGTTGGGCGCACTAAGGATGCGGTCGCCTGGGGATGGGGTGGTGAGTGAGAGGGGGCGAGGGACGGGGGATAAGGAGAGAGGGGGATGTGGGGTGTGAATAAGAATGAGAGACTATACGTACACTCCGCAATCGTTCTCGCAGGTGTCCACGCCATCTTTCAGTCCAAGGTCTTCTACGGCTGCTCACGGAGACGGTGGAAGGGGAGATGGTGGAAGAAGGAGGACAAGGGTCGCCAGAACTGATACATGCCGCAGATAAATACGGTCGCGTGAGGCGAGGGCGGCAATTACATAGCCGGGGGGCGTTGATGGTGGGAGTCAAGTGAGGGTCGTTCGCGAAGTCCGGTGATCACGGTCGGCTCGTGGCAAGCATCTCCTTCAGTATCTGCCAAGATGGGTAGGCACTGCAAGCGTCCGAGTCGTAGTCCTCGGTAGTATATCGGCTAGTACACCCGCCTGTCATTTGAATGACAAAATACTTACTCGCGCGGGAGAGCGGGGTTCGACTCCCCGCCGAGGAGCTTTCTTTTGCACCTCAATTTTCATCGCCAATTCCTTGGGCTTTTGAGTACTTTCGAGCGCAACCAACCTCACGTATCATAGTCATCGTTATCTTCCGTATATATGTTACAAGATTAGTGATTCCTAGCCTACGAGGCTTCCTCAGTAGCAAAAAGTGAGTTCAGAATAGCAGCCAGGCGTATACCAGCCTGCGCCATGAGCTTCTCGACGATACGACGCTCCGCGATAACACCAGTGTACTCCGGGGTATCGAGCTCGAGGTAGGGGCTCCTCGGCCGCGCCTCGCCACCGATGAAGTGTCCCTCCTCATCCATCATCGCGTACTCCTCCTCCGGCGTGTCGGCGTGGCCCATGTCCGCGGTGTCCCAAGCGCCCATGAGCCTGGACGAGAGATGAGAGTACGGTGGCTCGTCGAGGGCCTTCGGCCATACGATCTCGCAGTTGAGCGCATGAATGGGCTTGGCCCAGTGGTGCGGGCAGAGCACGTCGTCGTCAACATCTTGCGAGATTCCAGTAGTGACCGCGGAGAGGACTTGTTGCCAAATGTCAGGGGTGGAAGATTCCGCAGAGGCGGGCGTGACAGCAGGACACGCCAGCCAGTCCGCAGCCTCGTCCTTCCATTCGCCCATGAGGCCCTCCCAGATGACACGGCGAACGTAGGGGTCGTAGATCGTGTCACGAAGGTTGTACTCAATGGCAGGGTCGGGGAGAGGCTTGGTATAGTTGTAGGGGATGGTGCGGAGGGCTTTGGCGATGAGTAGTCCATCCCAGACGGAGTGGAGGTCTGGGGATCTGGTTAGTGGTGTCTACACAAACGGAGGTATGACGCACTAGAAACCCTCCCGTCGAAGGTGACCTTGTCCGAGTTGCCTCCACGATCGCGACCAGTGAGATGCAATGGCATGTGCATGTCGCCGACAAAGTGGACGAGGAACTTGAGCGCTTCGTTCGCAGTGGCGTCGTCCGCCTCTCCCGCCACCCAGTCCTCAAGCAGACTCGTCGTGTTGCGGATGCCCGCGAGCACATTGCCGCCGACCCTCCCTGCCCAGCCCCGGTCACCCGGGAACAGACAGGTCTCCGACGGGTAGTCGTCAAGCGCGCCGACATAGTGCAGTGGCGCGGACCAGCGCATGCGGTACTTGAACCTGTCCGCCCACGTCGCGATCGGCGCGAGGTGACACGGCGGCTCGTCGGGGTTGGGGGACGTGTAGTTCAGGATCTCGCAGATGGCCGGCAGTGCGGAGGGGTGGAGATACGCCTGCGCGATGGTGGCGACGATCTCGTGGCCTGTGCATTATTGAGTTCAACTTGGGAACAATAGCATGCTATTTGGGATACTACGCACCTGCAGCGCCCCAAGCAGCGACGAGCGGCGCGCTGCTCGCCGCCGCAACAGCCAAGAGGCATGTGGATATGTGAGTGCGCATGATGGCAGGAAGCAAGAGGGATGAGAGCCTCAGCGCCTGAGGTACTATACTTGCGGCGGGGCGGCGGACGGAGACAAAAGCGGCGCCGGCAATGCCGGTGGCGTCGCATCACGCGTGACATCACAGCGCTTGTCGACAAAGTCACAAACACTGAAAGCACCTTCACCCAGACAGCCATCACGCTGGCAGTATCTCCTCATCTAGGATCTGAGCGTAAAAGTGGTGGGTAACATGCTATGTGCTCACACTGTTGCTCATACTAGGTCCAGCGTTGGGCCGGCCAGCATTACAAAACAACATCATTTGCGCGCTTATCCTGAAGCTCCCCCCCTTGTTGTTCATTCCCCATCTGTAATCGCTCCGAGCTCAGCTGTGTTTTACGTTTAGGCACGCTAACCGATTGGCCTTTTCTCATGCATGTCGTACTTCAAACTCCCGAGCTCCTCAACGCAATTTTTGACTATGTACCTCGTCACAGCCTACCTAGTCTGATCAGGACTTGCAAGACCTTCTTCGAGCCCGCAGCTCGCAGGATCTGGAAGAAAAGCAACACCCTCATCCATCTGGCGAGATGCCTTCCCGAGTCCTGTCTGGATTGCGGAGACTACAAACCCGGGGATGAAATGCTCAATGTGGAGATAGTACGTACAGTATACAGCAAACGATTTCAGTTCCGAGATCCTCACATATTTCAGAAATTCACTCGCCCCATCACTGCCGCCGATGCTCAGCGAGTGAGGATATACGCGGAGTTCGTCGTTTACTTCGATTTCTTCGACACCATCATAGGACTCAGCCCGGCGAATATCGCACAGCTTGCAGCTGCAGTAGGCGGGGACGTTCTCCTGCCCAATCTCCGTCACCTCGTCTACAGCGGACCCAGCCCTCTTTCCGCAGTCTTGCCTTTGTTGTTCTCGTCGGTTATCTGCGAGGTAACAATGACACTTGGGGAGCAGGTTCCAAATATCGCAGACGCTGCTGCCGCCGAGATTTCCGCCATGAACCACCTCAAGGCCCGCGGTCCCGCCAGCATCACAACTTTGTATCTCGAAGCCGGTGAGGGCTACCCTCTCGCCAGGCTCCTCGCCGGCTGGGATAGTCTACAAGATCTGGATGTCAGCGGCGACATCGATGACGCCGTACTATTCGCTGTCGCGAAGTTACCTGCTCTTCATACACTCGGGCTGCGCTGTCGTCGTCCCCTTCCAGTAAGCGTACCAACGCACTGGCGCGCACAAGAGACCATGCGCTCGCTCTCCCTCTTTGGCGTGCAAATCGCTTCTGCAGTGGACTACGTCGGCTGCTTTCGGTCGTCTCCCCTGGAGAAGATCGCCATCTCCTATATTCCATACGGCTCGCAGAATGCGCTCAGCGACATATGCCATGCCATCAGCCAGTCCGGCTGGTTGCAGTCTTTGCAATGCATCCACCTCTCTACTGATCTCTATACCGAGTCCGACCCCCCGGCCCCTGAGAACGGTCCAGCTTACGAAATGCGCGACATCGAGCCCCTGCTCGCATTTCACGGCTTAACCGCGCTCTCGATTCGCCCAATTCGCGTGCTGGCTTTGCGCGACGAGGACGTCCTGAGCATCGCCCAGGCGTGCCCAAACCTCGAGTCCCTCTTCCTCGGCTGCACCAAATGGCACGCGCCGACGCTGACCGCGCTCAGCCTCGTCCACCTCGCCCGCTACACACCCCGCCTGCGCGACCTCAACCTCACCTTCGACGCGACGGACGTGAAGGGCATGGAACCCCCGCCGCCGCAGCTCATGCTCCTGACAATGTACGTGATCGCCTCGCCGATAGAGTCCGAGTACGCCGTCGCGTCCTTCCTTTCGCGGCTCTTCCCTGGCCTAGAGTCGATTCGGGTGTACAGGCCGCCGCAGCGAGAGCAGAACCAGGGTGAGGTACAGCGTCGGAAGTTGTGGAAAAGAGTGGAGGAAGCGCTGTCGTATTTTGCGGAGGCGAGAAGGACTGGATTCTACGGCGGTGGTGCGAAAGTATAGGGTGAGTTGTTGTGCCCAGGACATTATGATCAATGAAGCTTACGACCCACCCAGCCAATACGAGCGCGAGTTCATCAAGGAGATTGACTGTATTTGTGCATAAATAGCAGGAAGATTACTAGTAGCATAATCGTAACTAGAACGTCGATGTCTGTAATACGAGCAAAGCGCTCATGGAAATATGCGGAGCAGAATGCAGATGCTATAGACAATAGTACAAATGCGTGATAAAAGGGGAACCCATTGTGTAGCTCTAGTGTATGCAGCCTCCGGCCAAATGTCACACGTCGAGCATCGCGGCTACCCAATGCCCGACTACTCTTCCTCCAAACACCCGACGGCTACGACGACCAGGGATTCGAACTGAACGGATCCGTGCGTTTCCTCCCCGTACCCAGATCTGGCGGGACGCGCCACGGGTCTGCGAGTGCGGGTGCAGAAAACTCGGAGGTCGTTGTAATCGTCCCATCCGCCGCCCCGAAGGTAATCCCACCATCCGCACTTCCAAAGGTCAGGCCCGGCGCCCCGCCGCCGAATCCTAACCCCGCACCGCCACCAAAGGACGGTCGAGGGTCGGCGAAGGGGTTGCCAGCGAGGGACTGTTGTGATGACGCAAAGGGGTTGCCCGCCAAGGACGTCTGCGAGGCGCCGAAAGTGGAATAGGGAGAGCCAAGCACGGATCGGTTGGTATCGAATGTCGACCCCCAGCCGGACAAACTTGCCGTCGAGGGCGAGGTGAATGCAGCGCGCGGAGTGGGTTCGTTGCGTTCTGACAAGTCGGAGACGGCATCGTCTGACTCGTGCTCGTCTGCTTCATGCAGCGACATGGACCGCAGACCGGCAGCGAGGTTCCCCTCTGGATCTGGTGTTCGCGCATGTCGCACCTCACCTCCAGGCGGTGGCGATAGCGGTGGCGGGTGCATCGAGGGCATGGACACGGTACGATTCGCAGCGCGAGGGATCATGGGCGCCGCAGGAGGGGTACTGGGTGTCTTCGTATCCTCTTCGTCAGCCTGTCCAATCATCTCCTTCATCGCGGCAAAGTCGAAGCCTGCATGCTTGGGTGGTAGCTTCGATGGAGTCGACGGTCCCGACCCCTGCGAGTCCATGCTCGCACGTTCGGGCGTCTCCGGCTTCGGTGTACTTGGTGACGACGTCGGAGCGCCCTCCCTTGGCGGCAGCTCGTCATCTTCCACCGAAGTCCTCGTCGACTGACTCGTTCTCGGCTTCGCGAACGGCGACGATGTTCCCGGTGGCCGCGAGACACGCTTCTGCTCCGTCTCCTTCTTCGTGAACCACCCACGCTTTCGCTTCGGCTCGCCCTCGCGCTCAACAATGCGGTCTTCCTCGAAGTCGGGTTCTTCCGGCTCGTCGAAGTAATCCGCGAAGACAGGGAAGCCGAGCTGGTCCAGGATAAGGGGCATGAAGGTGCGGTAGCTCATGTGGCCGGCGATCTTGTCCGTCACATCGACATTCTCCAGGCCGGGTACGTTCTGAACGGGTCGCAGGCCAGCGACGGTGCCTACACCACCACTAGTCGCGCGGAAGAGGTAGTTGAGGACCCAGTCGTTGCGCGCGTATGCGTTGACGTAGCGTCCGGAGACAACGGAACGAGTCGCAATCCACGTCTGCTGTGACGCGGAAAGCGTGCCGCCGAGGATGAAGACGTCCTGCACAACACCATACGCCTTCTGCCTTGCTAGCTCGACCAACGCGTAGAAGATCACGCGTGCACCGAGAGAGAAACCGATGAGGGTGATAGGGCGTACGCCGAGATGTCGTTGGATGAGCAGGTCGGCAAGAATGCCTCCAGCGGCCTTCGCGCGGTCGAGCGCATTATTCCACGGGTTGTCAATGAGGTAGCCAAGCTTCGTGAGGACTACAAGATGTGTCAGCCAGGGCTGCAGGGTGAAGGTGGTGATACGCACTAATGGGCCATTGCAAAGCACTCATAAGGGCGGTCATGACGGTAGCCTGAAGGACCGTCTGCCCGATCTGAGTCAGGACTTCTCCTGTGAGGATCTTGAGAGCGCTACCAGTTTCCTGGATCATCTCTGGTTCCCATAGAACACTGAAGACATCGCCAACTATAGGATCGAGTACGCTGAAGGGTAATCGCGGATCGTCGTTGGGACCGTTGAGGAAACTGCGTATAGTCAGAAAAGGGGCCTCACCGAGAGTAGATTGCACACATACCCCGGAACAGTCAGGATGGCACTGACGCGCTTATTGTTGTGCAAGGGCAAGATGTTGAAGGTCCGTACTTGCTGCGTTCGCCGTGCCATGCCCTTGACAGCGATTCCTCCACCCGTAAGAGCGCCACCAGTTGTGATGATAGCAGCACCGCCGGTACCGGCAAGAAAACCAGTAGTGCCGCCGATTCCGACAGTGGTAAGGGCAGCACCGATACCTGCACCGATGACAGGCGCGAGCAAACCGGCGGAGAGACCGATGACAAGACCGCCGCCTGAACCGCATCAGTCCCTGCCTGAATGCCGTTCAGCGGCAACTTACCCAGCGTCGCAAGACCCATCATGACGAAGCGCTTCTTCCTTGCCGCCTTCCTGCGTCCCTCTACCACCTCTTCATTCTCCATCTTGTTCACGTCTTCTTGAATCTCGAGAGCCTCGGTCACGCGACTCTCGAACTTCACGACGTCGATCCATCCGAGGCCGAGCTTGAGCGCTACCCGCTCGAGAAGGACTCGCGATCGTGCGTCGTAGACGCTGTCGGCGATGAGAATAAGGAAGAGATCACAGAGGATGGTCCATCGTATGTCGAGGGTCACGTCCTTGTCGGTGGTGGATAGTTTGGTAGAAACGCCAGGGATAGCGGAGGTGGCAGTTGGATCAAGAACTCGCGCGGTGGTCTGGAAGCCTGTCTGGGCGGCGGAGGGAGATGTGGCAGGATGTGGATCGTCCTTTGCTGGAGGTGGAACAGGTGTGCCGACGTCCTCTTCGGGCAGATCATCGAGCTCCTCTTCTTTCCGCTGTGCTTCCCTCCGCGCCTCCTCGGGGTCGTACTCGGGATTTGCGATGGTGTGGGTAGTCATCAACGATGGAACAAGATCCTCGGCGCGCACGCCGTGTTCAGCGAGGCTCTCAATCATTTTCTGCTCTTCGCATCAGTTCAATAAGCGCCCTCGCGGCCGTGGCCTGCGTGTCACTCACCCGGCGTCTCGACCTCCATATGATAGTACAGCCGCCCCATAATCTTGAGCCCCCACAACTCCATGTCCGCGAGCGCGCCCTTGAGCTCCTTCCGTCCGGGCACGCGGAGCGCGTGCGCCATCTCGCGGGCTGTGAGCGCACAGAGACCAACGTAGGCAATGCGCTGGGCCTCCGTGAGCAGGTTCTTCGTCGCCTGCATCTGGCTGAGCGGCGTCATCGCCTTGTCCTCGTCGAAGAGGTACTTGGTGCGCAGGGTGACCTCGTCCGCCTCGTCCTCCTCCTGCATCCGAAGGCGCGTATACTCCTTCTCATTCTGCTCCGCCTTGCTGCGCCACTCGTTCCCCGCGTAGTCGACGTCGATGAGCTGGCCCGTAGCGTTGGCGGTCGTCGCTGCCTTCGCTGACGCGACGTAGTGGTACTTCTTCTGGTCTTCCTCGTCTAGGCCGCTCGCGTCCTTGTCCTCGCGGACAATGGGCATCTCCTGCCAGCCATCGTCATCGTCGTTGAAAATGTCGGAGATGGGCTCAATGCGGGCCACTGGCATGGCTCAAGTCAAGATCATGCTTGCCGCCGTCCCCGCCGTCGGCGGCGAAACGCAAATCCAATCGGCGCGGCCACATGGCAAAATGAGATTCGTGTTCGAATCCCGCGGTGCACTCCTTCAGGCCTCAGGAGTTGCTCGAATGCGCTCCTGAGCTCATGAAACCTGATATTCCCGCATGAGGAGGGGAGATTCTTGTCAGAGGCAGCCGAGCTGCGATAATCCCAAAGCTGAGGATAAATGATTTGAGCTTAGCGATGCAACGTCGACCCGCTTAGGACAAAGTTCACTAGCGCACTGGCAACAGCTGATCGTCTCGTTTGCGTACTCTCGTAGCTGCTTGTACACAATTGCAAGACATGCTCATTGTGAGTGAAATGCAAAGTAACGGTGTCAGATATTTTCCCTAGTACAAACATGCAGTCAATTCTCTTGCTATTTATTGTACAGATCCATTTGATGCACTTAGATGAAGCCGCGCTCGTACTGGTTGGCTGGCTTGACGGGGAGGCCATGCGGGACGAGCTCCTTGCCGGCGGTGATAGCCCAGTGCGGGTGGCGAAGGAGCTCGCGCGCAAGGAGTATCACATCCGCCTTCCCGTCTTGTAGGTACGACTCGGCGATCTTGGGGTCGTAAATGTTGCCGACAGTAGCCACGACGAGACCGGGGTTGGCCTTTTTAATGATTTCGGCGTAGGGGACCTGGCCACCGAGGTGAGAAGATGATCCTAATCCTCAGAAAGAGAGCAAAAACCCACCTGATACCCATGCACAACAGGCGGAATGACCTGCTTCGAATAATTCCCTCCAGACGAACAGTCCACCAGATCCACGCCCAGCTTCATCAACTCCCCTGCGTAAATTGCAGTCTGCTCCGGGCCCCACTGCAGCCACATCCCAGCCTCGTCCTTCTCCGGCCCCGCCGCCCAATCCGTCGCCGTCACCCTCACGAAGAGCGGCTTGTCCGCCCACGCCTCGCGGCACGCTTTGGCGACGCGCAGCGGGTAGCGCAGGCGGTTCTCGAGGGGCTGCCCGCCCCACTGGTCGGTGCGCACGTTCGCGAGGGGCGAGCAGAAGGTGGAGAGCAGGTAGCCGTGCGCGGCGTGGATCTCGATGAAGTCGTAGCCGACCTGCTGGGCGCGGGCGATGGCGGCGACGAAGGCGTCCTCGACGCGCTGCATCTCCTGCTCGGTGATCTCCTTGGGGTGCGGGTACCCGTCAGCGTAGGGGATAGCGGAGGGCGCGACGACTGGGTCGGGCGAGTCAGTGCGCTGACGAAAGCGACGTGCAAGATGTAGACGAACCATCGTCGGGCCATCCGTTCTCATTTGCGCCAGCTGCCATCGGCGTGCCTTTTCCCGCGCGCCTGGCAATCCAGGGCGCGAGAGTAGACGCCTTGCGGCCCGCGTGTCCCAGCTGAATACCAATCTTCGCACCCTGCGAATGAGCAAAATCGACAATCCTCTTCAGCGGCGCGATTTGCGAGTCCGTCCAGAGGCCCTGAGTATATCGTCAACGCAAGTAGCATATCTATCAGAGCCCATACGTACCGCATCTTCGGGCGAGATACGCCCTTCAGGGACGACCGCAGTGGCCTCCATGATGATAGCGCCGACACCTCTGGTGGCAAAGCCCTGTTGAATACGGGTGAACAAGAGACAGGCGACGCTCATGGCTCAAAAACCCACTCCGACATGAACGAAATGCCAGTCGGTCGCATGCCCGTTGTCCGAGCTATACTGGCACATCGGCGAGACAAAGATACGGTTGTTGAATGTGACGCCTTTCAGCGTGAGCGGCTCGAACAATTTCGGGCAAGGCGAGCCGTCCTGCGAGATAGATATGGTCAGTCAACACGGTCCCCGCCGCCGCCCATCTCATGTACAAGCCCACCTGCGCATTGAACGTCCCAATAGCCGGAACATTGAGCGGGAAGTACTCGTACGAGTCTGGCACAGCGGTGTTGACGCGGTTGTTAGACATCTTTCGAAGGGCGAGGGAGTCGTTCGTCTGGCCTTTCCCTGTCGATGAGATAGCCCTTTATAATGGAAGGTAGTTAGCCTTGGCGTGCTGCGCGTAACCCGGTGCCACTTGCGAATGGTGAGAGATTGTGCTTGGGCGCGCGAGGATACGAGAGCGCTCGGGTTTCGGTGCAGGTGGAAGTGGGAGGACGGTCTCGAGACGGGTGTTGAACCGTCCTTTTGTGGCGGCTCGGAGTATGCCGTGGGATCGTGACGCGACAGCGATTGGTAGCATCGACTCAGCGTCGACTGTGAGGTGACGTGAGTTGGCAGCGGGTATTGCAGATGGCGATACGGCTGAGATGCTTTATGCAGTATATTGTGGTCGTGGCCATAAAGTCCCATTACTAACCTTGATGTGCGGGGTTATGATTGAATTGTACGACGACCTTGCGACTGTTGAGGTTCTCGAAATCGAGCAGCGGGAAAGGGCAGGTAACGAGCTCAAAATGAGATCAGCAAGTATTACGCCCATTCATTATTAGAGATGAAGCAGCGAGGCGATCCGGAGGTAACAGCGGCAAGCGGTTCTTCAATTTGTCTACTACGGACAGGGTATAATAATTGGAAGCCCGCTGCGAGCATGGGGGTATCGTAAAAGCCTAAAAAAGGTTAGGAAGGTCCTACAACAACGTCAGCATCATGCCGTAGGATGAGGATGGCGTCGCAATCTCAGGGACTTGAATGGTTCCCGAAGGAGTCGATCCATAGCACGAAGGCGTTAAAAGTGTGCAGATTGTTCTCGTCACCGATTGAAAGCGGGACGTCATACTCACCATGAGGGCGCACTGTCTCAGAGCACGTACGAGACGCGCAGTAATCAGAGAAGACGACGAGGGGATCGAACAAGGCCGTTTGCCGTCGAAGGGGTCCTTTATAGCACCCCTTTCGGTATTTCCCGAATCGCACGTGGTTCTTCGGATCGAAGTCGCCCTTCATGTTCGCTCACTTGCCCTGGTCGACTGCACTGCATGGCATCTTAAATAAAAGAGCACGGTATGTCCTCTTCTTCATAGTCTCATCCATCGCCCCAGAATCTGGCTCGACCCGTTGCTTCAGTTTGACCTTTCTTGCCGAACTTCACCCGAGTTCACTGCGTATGAACGCACACGATGTGCGCATGTTATAGGGCTCCGCAGACGAAGAAGTTCAACTCGCGTGCGTGGAATTGCTCTGGATCCTCTACGTGACGTTCGCGTGGCAGAACTTTCTCTGCATGAAGTCAGCGGGTGGTTGTCGAGAGAACTGCATCTTCAAAGGGTCTAGGGCTTGGCCATAAGTGGACTGTGCGCACTGAACGTGTCCAACAAAGCATTCCAGAACCTTTTGGGAGGGCTCGCTGCAACCGCACGAGAGAAGCTTACAAGCTACTTACCTCCTTCGACTACCTTTCTCTCGATAGCGATCTCTCCTATCAGTCCATCTCCCCCTGTCCTTGCCGCAGACCCGATTACTGCAGCTCTGCAGCATCGTTGACGCGAGCACGGCGCGTCCGGCATTCTTTCTCAACTTCCTTCGAACTTTCACAAGGGTTTTCGTCCAGGGATAGCAACGGCTGCTTCTTGATTGGCTGGACCCGGCCAGCCGCACGGCTGTCAGCCTGGACTCGCGACTGTCGGCAGTGAAAAAGCTATCCCGGGTCGACGCTCGGCAGTATAAAAAACAGAGGCAGCGATGGAGTCGTTCTCGCTGCTCGTCGTGACCCTCTGACTCGCTGTCTGTGTCCATTAGGCCGGCCCGTGCGCCACCAAAGATTGGCTCCGCCCGGCCCGCTCTTCCGGAATCAGATTATTGGAGTTCCCCACGGGGCGTGTCGTGTTCCCCCGCGCCGTCATGACTACACTCGTCCGCGCCGCCGCCTCTGTCAGACGTGCGCCTCCTCCCCTCCGCGTCCTCTATGCATCGACATTGTCTCCAAACACTGCTCGACATGAGCCGGTCTCCCAGTACTCCTCGCGGACGATTCGTAAGGAGAACGCGGCGCAGGTAGCATCCGCAGCACATGAATCTGAGCCCAAGGCGCGTTCGAAGGGGAGGCGATCGCTGCTGACAGGTGCGTTGTCTATATCTCTCTTACATCCAAGGCACGTCTAACACGTCTGGCAGCTTCCCTCGCCGCTCTGATCCCACTTGTACTATACAGTGCATGGCATGTTTCCTCCATAAGCACCGCCCGTGACGCATTCCACGCCCTCTCCGACGCAGAGGAAGAGTTCTCCAGACACTCCAGCCGTCACACCATCGACGCGCAAATTGAACACGTGCGGCGTTGCCTCTGCGCCTGCTTCGGTGAGAGCACAGCAGCCGGCGCCTTCGACGCCCCCGCGAACATGCTGCGCCACCTCCTAAACGAGCCCGCCGCGCGCTCGCCCGAGCTCGACGCCGCCGCTGCCCTCGTGCCCGCCCTCTGCGCGGAGATCACCACGCAGGTGCGCGCCGCCGCAGCCCGCTCGGCCGTGGAACGGCGCACGGCGATGCGCGAGCTCGAGCGCAGCCTGCAGGAGCGCGTGATCGAGCTCAAGACGCGGTGCGCGGCCGCGATTCAGAGCTGGGAGGAGAACCTGTACGAGGAGGGCCGCTGAGCGGCAGGAACTCAGGAAGGACGCCCCTTCTATCCTTCGGTGCGTGACCGAAGCGGACATTGCACGCGAATTGTACCTCTATACCCCCCATTTGTATACTATAGCTGTGGCAAGACATGCACATTCACTAGCAGGCGAGGTCGAGGCGAGGTTCATGGCCGTGAGGGGAAGCTTCTCTTCTGAGTGTGGCGAAGGTTTGAGGGTAGGTGTTGCATCGACGCAGACCAGCGGCTGGCGATCGAGCAGTTCGACCGCCTGCGTTTGCCCCTGTGCAAGTGGATAGGTACGCGGGATGCACTAAAGGGGAGAATCCACCGCAACGGCATCAGTGTAGTCCCGCGCACGTCTTCGTACCCACCAGTGGGCGACGGCGGCGCCGTATAGGACGCAGTCCATATGCCCGTGTGAGTGCTATAAGGACTCGGACCGAGTTCCCTGCCCAGGCTATCCTGTAGTGAATAGACGCACGCACCTCTTACACGATAATCCATCCGGCATGGCTTCATACTTCCAAACATGAATGCCTTGTAGACGGACAGCAGGACTGTTAGAGCTCTTCCGAGAGCAGAAGAGCAGAGACGAGAGCATGCGGTAGCGGAAAGTGGCGCAGGAAGTCTTTCGTACAGGCCTTTGCCGGGCCCTTGAGGAGCGATACCAGCCTCCACGATCGATAGCCAAGCTCCGTGAAGCGCACGCTTGAAGAGTCTGATTCTTGCATTCAACCGTGGATGATAGTAATACAACCCATACCCGGTGGCATACGCCCTGGCTGGAGCTCCCGTTTATAGCTTCTCTGTTATCCCTACGCCTCGCCGTCCACCTATCGGCCCATCCAACCCTATAGGCAATGTCAGTAAGAGTGGCGCCCGGCAAGTAGATAGAGTGAGGACGTACGCCATCAACGAGCAGCAATTCGCCGCTGACATACGTGCTAGCGTCGCTGGCAAGGAAGACCGCCGGCCCGGCGAAGTCCTTCGGTTCTCCCCACCGGCCAGCAGGTATGCGCTCGGATATCTGGCGCAGGCGCTCCGGGTTGTTTAGCAGCTTTTCATTCCTGGACGGATGGTCAGCAATGTGCACCCTTGTACGTGCGAAGAAGCCGATGGCGATCGAATTAGAGGGAGGGAAGGGGTGGGATATGAACGAGGGGCGAAGAAGGCAGTTAACTTACATGTCCGTGGCAATGTAGCCCGGGCAGATGCCGTTTACCTGTAACAAGCGCGTTAAGCGCGCTGTGGTATGCGGAACAAGCGGACCGAGGGCGCACCTGCACGTTATGAGAGGCCCACTCGTTGGAGAGCGCCTTGGTAAGGGTGCCCAACCCGCCCTTCGCAGAGGCGTACGCCGGGACGGTGATTCCACCCTGGAAGGTTACGAGCGAGCAAACGTTGATAATCTTCCCGCGGCGCCGCGGCACCATGTGCCGCCCCGCCTGCTGCGCGAGCAGCCAGACCGATTTGAGGTTGACGTTGATGACCTGCGCGCGGCGTCAGCAACGCGTATACGGCGCCTCCTAGCAAGCCTCGCGCACGTCATCCCAGTCCTGCTCGCTAAAGTCAACCGCTGGCGCGCGCCGCTGGATGCCCGCGCAGTTGATGAGGATGTCGATCGTGCCGCCCATCGCGGCGAGCGCCTTCTCGAAGAGGCCCTTGACGGCCGGGAGATCGGCGAGGTCGCAGTGGACGATCTCGACGCGACGGCCTAGTGCGCGAATCGCGTCCGCAGTGGACATGTTGGGCTGCGTGCCCGGCGGCGGCTCGCGCATAACGAGGCAGATGTCCGCACCGGCCTCCGCCAGCGCGATGGCCATACCGGCACCGATGCCTATGAGGAAATGGCGGCGTCAGTCGCGGTATGATCGTGGCAGGTATAACCGCACCTCGTGTCCCGCCTGTGATGAGTGCGTTCTTACCCGCGAGCGAAAAGAGCTCGGGCGCCTTGAGTGCGGGAGTTGGGTCCATGGCGATCTCGAGGCGATATGAAGACACGTCTTCGTGTGTCGTCCGCTCGACCGCGACGAGCTCCCCCAATTTAAGGAGGACCCGCGGGGGCACCGATTACCCTGTTCCGGTACTCGAACCGAGGGTCCGAGTCCAGGAGGTCCATCGCACGGAAATTGGGGGAGAAGGTGGGACGAAGTTTGGACCCATGATCGGATTTCCGTACCGGTGGACCGAGATAGGAGATCGCGGTGATGAAAGCGGGGCGGGAGGCGGAAGAAATATGCGCAATGGGGAGTCTGCCGCCAACGCGCGGGGCTCATATACCCCTGTTCCTGTAAGTAGAACGCGAACTGGGACGCTCTTACCACATCTCGCGCCTGCTTCGCACTTCACGCGCACAGAGAGGCTGCCCGAGGGACCACCAGTATGTAAGAATGCTCACCACGACCTCCCGATGGGGCGCGCCAACGCGGCATGGACACAGTGTGAAAGCGTTCTGTTGTCTCGGATGTCGGACCGAGACCGGAGTAGGATATAGCCCTCTTCCTCAAGACGGAGGGGCACCCTGGGATATAAGGCGAGCACTCCTTGCGCGGATATCACCAGACTACCCACCCACATTACCCTATCACCATGTCGCCCTCCACGCAGCCTGCACAGGTCGCCGCCGTTCTATACGGCGGCAAGGACCTTCGCATCGAGGAGCGCGAAGCGCTACCTCCGAAAGAGGGTCAAGTCCAGGTTGCCGTGAAAGCAACTGGACTCTGTGGGAGCGACTGTGAGTCGCCAGTTCAAGCTGGAGGTTGTAGACACTGACCTGATCATTTCCGCAGTACATTACTATACCCACGGACGCAACGGAGACTTCAAGCTTCAAGCCCCCATGGTCCTTGGCCACGAAGCCGCAGGCATCATCACCGCCGTCGGCCCAGGCGTCACAGGCCTCTCACCTGGCCAGCGCGTCGCCATCGAGTGCGGCATCATGTGCAAGACGTGCCGATACTGCAAGGCCGGGCGCTATAACCTCTGCAAGGGGATGCGCTTCTGCAGCAGCGCGAAGACCTTCCCGCACCTCGACGGCACGCTCCAGACGTACCTCAACCACGATGCCGACCTGATGTTCCCGTGAGTCGTCCACCTGCCCACCGACGAGGGGCGGACCGCTGATACGCCAGCGCGCAGGCTCCCGGATGACTGCTCGTATGAAATGGCCGCGCTCGCGGAGCCGCTATCCGTGCTCATCCACGCGTCGCGACGCGCACAGTTCGCGTCCGGGCAGACCGTGCTCGTGTTTGGCGTCGGCGCCATCGGCCTGCTCGCCGCCGCCCTCGCGTCCGCGCAGGGCGCGTCGAAGGTCGTGGCCATCGACATCAACGAGACGCGCCTCGCGTTCGCGAAGGAGCATGGCTTCGTGTCCGAGACGTTCTGTTTGCCGAAGGGCGATCGCAATCTGTCGCCGGAGGAGCAGCTGAAGGCGGCAAAAGATACCATTCTCCCCGCGGTGGCGCGCTTCGGCGAGCCGGATGGGTTCGACGTGGTTTACGAATGCACGGGAGCCGCGCCGTGTATCCAGATGTCGATCCACGTGAGTTCGTTCATTTGATTGGTGGCATCGTCCGTGCTAACGAGCTGCATAACATAGGCGGCGATCACAGGAGGGCGCGTGATGCTGGTAGGTATGGGCACGGGTGCGTTGATGCTCCCCGTCGCAGCAGCAGCGACGCGCGAGGTGGATGTACTGGGTTCATTCCGGTACGCGAACACGTACCCGGAGGCGCTTGCGCTGCTGGGGTCAGGGAAACTGGACAAGATCGAGAAACTGGTCACTCACCGCATACCGTTGAAGGAGGCTGTGAGCGCCTTCGAATTGCTTGCGAAGGGTCAGGATGAACGGGGAAACATGGCGCTAAAGGCCGTCATTACGGGTCCGTGAGGTGTTGAAGCTCAAACTAAGATTATTCGCTGTATTATTACGATCGTGATGGGGCTATATGAAGCCATAGAGATGAGGACTCGAACGAAGGAACGCGGTGAGAGATAGAAGGCTGACCGCAGGGCGCCGAGGTGAATGCAGAAGCCAAGCCTGAAATTTGCAAAATTCGCGGACGACGGTTCGACGGGCCGCCCGCACCGTCGTCCGGTCCTCGTCCCAAACGGTCAACAAGCGATTGCTTCTGCCATCGACCGGGATACTCTGCTATCTGGATCTCTGCTATCTTGCCATACCCTTTCTTCCATCTCTCTACAACCGGAAGCATGACCCGGATTGACCCTTGGATCGTGAGCACTGGAAGATCGGCTAGCGCCCTGGGCTGTTCTGCGATTGAACACCGCGAGCTCGTCTGCGTATACTCAGCCTCATGCAGAAAGTCCTCGCTCAGCGTACCCTATTTGCTGATGACTGAATGGTCCGACTGAGCGCCTCGTCTTACAGCTGAGTCAACCATCCTGCTGCGCCGAGAGCGCGCGCGTGCATATGCCTTTTCCACACAGTTTTCAGAGGAGAACCCTTGGCGGAAGGTGCTCTAGAGAGCCGACGGTAATCTGTGTTCAAGGCGGGTGGGTATATACATAGGTATGCTGCGCATACTGCCTTCATCGTCCATCGCTCAGTAGATTCCAGCGACGAGACGGCGTGCTAGACTTCTATCGCCCCACCTCCACTGAAGGCGAACTGCTCCAGGAGGTCTGATCTTATGAGCGCGCTATACGCTCATCTAGACTCCGCGATGCGCGAGTTCGTCGACCGCGGCACAAACCTCCCCGTCCGCGATCGCGAATGCGCTCTTGGTCAGCTCGGTCAGCTGCAGAGGCTCGCCAATTATGACTTGGCGAGGGCGAGATGTGGCGAGAGGACCGGTTGTTGCAGCGCAGATTTGCAGAGTGCTGGTGGAGGACGTGGAGAGGCTAGAAGATCTGGTGGGATTCCAGAGGAATGACGAGTAGTAAGGCCGATGGGCGCAAGCGACATCTTATGCTGGCCTTATAAACATTGCCCGTTTACAGCCTAAGGAAGGGGGCTGGTTCTTGCTTGCATCATGAGGGCTGGCGTATCGCGCGCCTAATTGTCTCGCATGTTTGTACGAATCACTCAGTTATTTCTGATAGTTCTGTTTTCGCGTGATATGGTCGACCGAAGTCGCACGCGGGTTCACGTGGTCGACCTTTGAACCTGCGCTCATCCTCACCCACGGTCGGCCTGAGTCATAGTCGACATACGCATGCTTCCCCGACCCCTTCGTTTGTACAGGCCGGCTCTGCCTTGTCACGCGCGCGACGTGCGCGCATGGCCGTCGAGGAATCCTCGATCGATTAAAGACTGCCCTGTTGTTCGCAATAAATTCAGCGCACCCCTGGATAGCGCGGCTCTCTTGCACAGCAACAGGACCCGCTGGCAGAAGTTATTCTATCGAAGCAATGGCCAGCCGCGCTCATTGCGCACAGGCCTATGTCTGGGTACGTTCATCTAATTCGCAAGCACACAATTGTTGATTTACCATGAGACTGCTCATTCTAGTGACCTCCCTTGCCTTCGGGACATACTTTTTCTCTCAGACGGCGGGCGGCCTGGAATTTCAGACATACATGAATGATCGCCTGACCGCCTACATCCGTACCGCCTTGCTCAGCCGGCGCGCGGCGGAGATCAACCCGAAGGACAGTCGAGCCCTGATCGCGCATCTGCAGGCCGTGCTTGCATTCTATTGTCCCGCTCTTGATCGCACTTATATGACAGCCATATACAAGTCAACCGGTCATACACAACTCCTGCAGGAGCATTTCGACGTCCTGAAGGAGCTGGTTACACACCCAGACCCCGATACACGCGATTCCCTCTATCGCATTCTGTGTGGTTCCCTCACCACAGTCATCAAGCGCAACTTCGATCAAGAGGGGAGGCCTGTAACATCCAAGTCCGTGATAAAGGATGTGATATCGGGACCGGAAATGGTAGTGAGAAGCTTCGTCCTGGTGGCGGCCATGGCGAAACTTCATGCAGGACGGTTGCAGAAGGCAGGGTGAGTAGTGATACCAAGGCTGCCCAGATTTTTCACCAATGCTCAGCAACTTCTAGGAGCGTCAACGATAATCATCAGCCTGAGAGTTAAGGGAAGCACTGACTAACTGTTATCCTGTAACGTGGGACGCATATGTCGCATTATTTACATGTTTCCGTCGCTGGGTAGATGAGAGATAAAAGTGCTGCTCTCAGGCGCTCAATCTGATTGGCAGGGTCGTCTTTACGTGGCGTATGCCGAGTCGTCGAAAAGTTCAACATAGCGCACGTGCTTCATACCGGCAGTTGCCGAGCGGGACTGAATGCTGTCCACCGACGGTTGGTGGCTTTGCCTCCTCATTCGATCGTACGAACGACATTCAACAGTATCTTGGCTGCATGAGGATATCAGATTTACGCATCCTGCAAATTACCAGTATTGCAGACTCGGAATGGACCGCGGGGGTGATATCAGGTGGCCAACTTCGCAATTCAGTAACAACCTTCATGCTCTGGCACACCCCGACTCATTCTCTGTAGCCCTCTGCAAGCACTAGGCCGGAGTTCCAGACACTCTGCGGGTTTGAGAGTCTCTCAAAGTCTGTCACCAGCGTGAAGATAACCGTTGTGATAACCGTGGCGTGGGCGCCTAGCGCCTGTTTACATGCGCTGCCTCGTGGGATACTCGCGCCGCGCAGACCATCGCCTCGCGCTGACCAAACACCACTCTCGCGCCTCGTTTGTACCCTTATCTTGCGCCGGCTAACTCAGCTTCAGTACATTATGACCTGCCTGACATTTGAATTTGAGAACAAGACTGTCTACATCCCGAGACCGCGAACTTACGAGGTGAGAAATCCAGTTTATCCATGCTCATTTGTGAGAATCGAACTTTGTCGCTCACCCACTCCCACCCGCGCAGGGCGCCCTCCGCTGCGCGCGGGACGCCTTTCCATCGCTCAGAAACGTCCCCGACCACGCCATCACGTTCCTCACGCACTGGCGCCTACACGGCAAGCGCCTCAAATGGCAACAGAAGCCCATCGTTATCCCCCACTTCACGTGGACAACCATCGTTCCCGTCATGGCGCAGGGACTCGCTATTCTCATCGACGTTTACGACGCGGCGAACAGCGGCGCTGGCCGTAGGAGACGAAGCATGACGCCGCCTTCGTCGCCCGAATTAACCCCTCCGGAATCGCCAGTAATTATAGAAAGGGAGGATATCGAGCCAATGTCGGTGCACGAGAGCACGGGGGCGAGGCCGGTGCTGATGCATGGTGGCGAGGAGCATCCGCCGTTTGCGGGTGGAAGCCTACCGCCAGGCAGTGGGGGATCGAGGCCGGGGAGGTCGAGGGGCGGCTCGCCTTTTGCGGGGTCGCAGAGGGGAGGATCACCGTCCATGGGGGCTCCGTCCGCGTATACTGGGGAGCATACGTCGTTCGCTGGACCGCCCCGGACGCACACATCATTCAGTCGGTCGAGACACGGGACGCCGTCCGAGCACACGCATCAAGGCGAGTAGAAGTGTGGCGCGCGAGAATGTCGTGTCGCAAAGGTTTGAGGACATTGTGGCGAGAGGCGCGAATGTGGCGAAAGAAGGTGTACATATATAGCATGGCATCGGACTTGTCTATATCTATCAGGGTATCCAATCATGATCTCGATAAACGATAGTGGTATCAGTATCAGTAGTACGACTAGCATACGATTAGCAGCGCATATTATATAGCAATAGTGTAGGGATCCCGGTGGGAGGTATCGGATGTGGAGGTGTAACTTACTTTTACAGTCGCTACAGCAGTGGGAATGATAAGTTACATGAGCACGCAGCCCAGAGCGCAGGTCAGCGCAAAGCCGGGGTTGTCTTCGCTGATGGATTCGCAGAATAGCTGAGGTCTTTATGAGCGACAGGCCATGTCAAGTGAAGTATAAAGACTTACTTGTCCAGCATATTCGGCGCGTGCCTCGCGTGCTTCACGCACAATTTCAGTAAACATGATTTGCGCATGCGCCTGATTGGCGGCGGGGATCTCGAAGAAAGAGCAGCCTAGAATTTTTGCCATTTCCTTGCTCTCTGCAGGACTTGTGTCAGCGCTGAAGCAACCATGTCTCGAGCGGGGTTCATCTGACCTTCTGTTTTGACCTCCCGCTTTATTGAGCTTTTGACGTCGTCGAGTCCGTCAGGCCTGACGCCGACGATAAGCATGGGTGGCGGCTTGGCCTTGGTGCTGCAAATGACGGGGCGTAGGTGGTGGAGCACGTCGTTGTACGACCGTCGAGAGGCGACCGAGTACATTAAGATGAACGCCTCCGACTGCTCAGACAAGGCGTGTATCTTGGATCTGTAGAGTGCATGAGCGCCAGAGACGCGACTATGAGCGAGGGGAACTTACGGAAACTCGATGAGAAATTCGTGCGCCTCGGTATGCCCTTGGCAAATGTGCATGACGACAGGGCAGCCCTCGACAGTGAACTCCTTCTTCTGGAAACCTGTTCCTCTAGAAGCTATCGAGGGGTTAGTGGCTGGACAAGTGGCGATGAGGGGTAACTAACCTTGGCATTCCTCGTACTCAATCGACGACGTGTGCGCGCACGACGGACGCTCTCCGTCGGTAAATAGGTGAACGAACGGGCATGTCAGGTCTGCGTCAACTATTAGTGGCAGCGCATGGGATGAGGAACGAGACGAACCTCCAGGACCCATGACAGCGATATTCCAGTTCTGGACGGCGTGTGGCACCTGCTGAGAGGTGAGCGAGCCATCGTCCAATCAGCCACATTGTGGACTCACAGTAGCCATTGTGGGGAAGCTCGACGAGTGATGGTTGAGGGTGAATGTCGTTCTCGGTGGCAGGGGGTAGTTTTATAGGGTAAATGGGTCACAAAGAGCTGGGTCCCGGCACCGACCATTGTCATATCACAGCGCAGGCATTGTGTGACGCAACATTCATGAATACCTTTTAATGAAGTGCTCCGTAGACAAAAGGTGGGGTATATTGCAGTACTTAGATGTCGGACAGGCGCAGTCAGCGGGGACTCGGAAGAAACCTTGTTTGGCTGTGTAGTTGTCAAAACGTTGAAAAGCGTCTTCGTCTCTTGTTTCCTGCCATCACCATCGTTGCAACCGACGACCGCCACTGACTCGAGCGCAGATCCTGTCCGTTCCAGCCATTGTCACCTATTTCGAAACCCACTGTGATCGGGGTGACATAAACAATGCCCATGATAATATTTGATCCAGGAGCAGGTCTCGATTGCACGGTCGCTGCTCATTGTCGCTGCTGTGTGTTCGGGGGAAACATGGTAGCACGAGGTTGCCATGGACGTTCGGGACAAGAACCGTGTGCATCAGCGCAAACCCGACTGTTAGGATCCTGGTTCGAACCACACGCCGAACCGTCATCTCCAAGCCTTGGAAATAAGCGCCGAGTCATTCCTGAACGTGACTTCAAATTAGATGCTTCGCACAATTCGCCCTTGTCTCCATCGATATCCGCGCCCAGGACTTGTTCCACGACGACTATACGCGATGGACGCGCTCAAGGAAGAGATCGATAAACAGCAGACGCTCTTCAACGACCTCAGGGCGCAGAAGGCGGACGCCGCGACGCTCGACGAGGCTAAGAAGCGCCTGGCCGACCTCAAGAAGCAGCTCGGCCAGTCAAAGGCGGCGGCGGGCGTGAAGGATGGGGGAAAGAAGCGCGAGCGGCTGCTGCTCAAGACGGCAAAGGTGCGTCCCCTGCGCGATCGCACCGCGGCCCGTCATCTACTGAGCCAGAGCCCAGGGCACGCGCGATTACGGCCCCGGGGAGATGTTCTGTCGGGAGCACATCGAGAGGATAGTGCGGTCCGTGTTCACCGCGTACGGCGGCAGCTGCGTCGACACCCCTGTCTTCGAGCGCAAGGACATCCTCACCGGCAAGTACGGTGAGGACTCGAAGCTCATCTTCGACCTCAAGGACCAGGGAGGGGAGGAGCTCGCCCTGCGCTACGATCACACTGTCCCCCTCGCTCGCTACCTCGCCATGATGGGCGGTAACAACACGCACTCCAAAATCTACCAGCTCTCGAAGGTGTACCGGAGAGACAACCCCGTCATGTCGAAGGGACGTATGCGCGAGTTCTCCCAGGCAGACTTCGACATCATTGGCCAGTGGGACACCATGATTCCCGACGCTGAAATCATCAGCGTAATATGCTCTGTCATCTCGAAGCTGGACGTCGGAGACTTCACGATCAAGGTACGAGGTATATTATCCGCGTGAGAGGCTTTGCTCATTCGTCCGTAGCTCAACAACAGAAAAATTCTGGATGGCATCTTCGAGGTTTGCGGCGTACCGGAAGACAAAATCCGCCCAATATCATCTGCCGTTGACAAGCTTGACAAAGTGCGCGCTATGTTCCGTTGCCAGGCGTCATTCTGACCCACGGCAGGCACCATGGTCAGAAGTACGGAAGGAGATGACGGAGGAGAAGGGTCTCGACGGTGCTGTGGCCGACAGAATATGGGAGTACGTCCAGCACAAAGGTATGCACGTCCTTCTACCATCCCCACATGCACTGACGACTCGTAGGCGGTCCATCATTACTCGAAACGCTTAGGGCAGACGAAAAGCTCATGGGCAACGCTCGCGCTAAAGAGGGTGTTGAGGAGATGGGTCTCCTCTTCAAGTACCTCGATGCCTACAAGCTTGTCGACAAGGTGTGTCCCAAAGCGCTTGGCCCGGACCAGCAGTTCACATGTCACGCAGATGTCCTTTGACCTTTCCCTCGCTCGAGGCCTCGACTACTACACCGGTGTCATCTACGAGGCCGTCTGCGAAGCCTCCGCACCGCCCGGTTTCACTGCCTCAAACGCCCTCGCTTCCGGATCCGCCTCTGCCCTCAGCTCCTCCACCGCTCCCATCACCGGCAACACCTCCACAAAGAAGCCTAAGAAGGCCGCCACCGACGGCGAGGAAGATGAGGTCGATGAGTCGACGGTCGGCGTCGGGTCTATTGCCGCGGGCGGCCGGTACGACAACCTCGTCGGGATGTTTACGGCTGCGGCAGCCGGGGAGGGTAAGAAGGGACTAAACATGCCGTGCGTGGGCGTGGCGATTGGGTTGGACCGCATCTTCTCGATCGTGTGGCCGAAGTGGGTGGAGAAGGGAATGCGGAGCAAGGAGACGATGGTGTACGTGATGGCGGCGGGCGATGGGCTGCTGGTAGAGCGGATACGGTTGGTGCAGGAGTTGAGGGAGGCAGGGATCAAGGTGCGTGACTCTACGAAAGAGTGAGAATGGCGGGTAGACTGATTCATCCTTCTACAGGCGGACTTCTTGATGAAGAACAAGCCCAAGTTGCCTGCCCAGTTCGCGGCCGGCGAGCGCGACGAAGCGCCCTTCGCCATCATCCTCGGCGAGAGCGAGCTCAAGGAGGGTCTCGTCACCGTCAAGGAACAGGCCTGGGAGTTTGTCGATGGGAAGAAGGAGAAGAAGAAGTCAAGCGACAAGGGCACGCAGGTGAAGCGCGCGGAGCTGATTGACTGGATCAAGAGCACGAAGGTGTTCAAGGACTGGGACCTGGGCAGGTTGATCGTAGAGGCCAGCGAGACGCAGTGAAGACACGAAGTATCGGCTACATAATGTGTATATATACGGTGTACATACAGTGCTCTCTCCTGCTCGTTGGATGACCTGGAGTCGAGATAACTAGAAAGGTCCGCGGAGATGGCTGTGCGCGCCGATGTGGCGTAAGCGCTCGTCCGTGATCAATATCTTGTCTCTGACCACCGTCTTTCCGGACGTCCTTCTACGCCATCTGCTCTCCTCTCTATTCTCTCTGATACCGGAAGAACATGTCGTCCGAAGGCGCAAGCAACAGTGTGTGCTGATATACCCCGAGACGCGATCAGGGCTTGACGCGTGCCAGACGAGCGGCTCATGGCAGCTGCGCGCGACGACAACGTAGAGATGCTGCTGGAGATCTTTGAGCAGGGAGGCTTCGACATTAATTACCAGGATGGGTGTGTGCACAGTCGTAGCGGCTGATCCAGGCACTGACCTTCGCTCAAGATTGGGAAACACAGGTCCGTGTTAAATTCTTGATCGTGTGTCGGGCGCGTACCCAACGCTGTCGCGTCCACGCAGCCCTGCACGTCGCGTGCGTCCCCAGCCTCTTTTTAGAGCACCCAACTCACATCTTCGTCAGTGTATCGCACGGCTCGACGGACGTCCTCGAGCACATCCTCTCGCATGAAGATTGCGACGTTGACCCAATCAATCGCATCGAGAAGGCTACACCACTACATCTCGCCGTTCAGGTAGATCATCCTGAGCTGCGCAAATACCTGGTGGAAAGCCTTCTGGAGGCAGGCGCGGATACGAGGTGTGTCAGTCCGCTAGGAAGGGCGCGTCGGATGCTCACGCACATCGCGCCCTGCAGGATCAAGGACAAGAACGGGGAGACCGCGCTCGACTTGGTCCCTACGGATGACACGGAGACGCGGGCATTGTTCAGAAAGGCCGCAGCAGAGAGGAGCAGGGCAAGGGAGGAGGTCGTCGGTACGTGGTCGTGGTGATCATACTTCAAGACGATTGCTGATAACCCATCGCAGAGAGCGATGACGATGAGCCTGGATCAGGCTCTGGGTCAGAGTCCGAGTAGAGGACAGGCTCGACTCGCTAACCTCGCAATCCATGCGACGAACGGCGCACATAACATACATTATTGGATAGGTAATATATTCAAGAGGAACTGCTGCAGTCTACACATGCTCCTGGTCTGTTCTGTGCGTCAACACTCTCCTTGTCCATCTAGACGGCGAACAAGTAGAGGAAGTGGTGCGTCCAACACTTTGGCCGTAAAGCTGATGGCTATAAGTCCAGGCGACATTGTGCGTTCTGCTCTCGGTTGACGCAAATCTGCACGACATTGCCCCCGTCCAATATGTTCCCCATGCCTGGTGCTAACATTGACATCCCTCCGCGCTGCTTCCAGGGCAAATATACGGCTATTCTACCGCATAGAAAGCCTGCCTACAACATTTCGGACAGTAACGATAACTTTCCAACGGGTGCTTGGCGCAATGGTAGCGCGTTTGGCTTCGATTGCCTCACGGTTTCCGTACCAAAAGGTTGCAGGTTCGAGTCCTGCAGTGCTCACTCGTTTCTTTTTGCTCGTTCCGCTTAGCTCTCCTGAGGTACCGGTCGTGGTGCGTCTTCTCTCTCCTCGTGGGTCACGCGTGCAGGCTCACTCTGAACTGAGCATCAGGTTCTTGCATCGTGCGTCCCACTGGACGCAGGCTCGCATTCTCGCGGACTGGTAAGGAAGGTACGGCATAATCGACGAGACCCGCCCGTTCCGGTGAGGCCCATGGGAGATCCAGAAAGGACAATACAGGGCATCGGCCCTATCCGACGATCTGCATGAGCTCATTCAACGAACTCTTGCGTATGAACTTCTCCGACTGGACTAATCCAACGAACCTACTAGGAAGCTCTCGTTGCATGAAGGCCTTCCGATGATCCTTCGGACAGAAGCATGACCTTCATGTGCTACGTACAATGAGGCTGCACCTTGGTCCGCTCCTCAGCATGACCCTGGCGAAGCCCTTTCGCTCGCAACATCAGCCTGAAGATTCTTTAGGCTGACGCGGGCCCTCCGGGAACACGGCTTTGCACCGTCGATCTTTGCGGCTCGTCGAGAGAAGCTGCCCGGTATGTATACGCTTCCTCCATTCAACGGCCCGCCCGCTGAGTGCCATGCTCGTCACTCGTGAGTCCAGCACGCTGATTGCGCACGATATAGCCGTTCATGTCGAGTGAATGCGGCGCTCTTCCGCCGCGCGCCCAAGTAAGGACAGGGCCTATGTTATCGCAGGACAGCGAGGATCAAAACGAGGCGAGGAGGCCGCCGTGGGCTCCAAGGTCCCTAGGAGCTCGGGGGCGCACAATCATGGATTTGTGGCTGAAGATCGATGGTGGCCTCGAGGAGAGGGGAAACAGGCGCGGGGTTGCCTCATTTGATGGTTTATGTTTCCTCATAGAAGACGCGTCGTCATCTTCCAAAAGCGAGCAGAACAACAGTCGGATCCACAGACCGCGGTATAACGAGTGCGCGCAGCGCTTTGCGTTGCTATGGTCGTGATAACATTGACGATGCAGGCGAGTACTAGCAAAGGCTCTATATGAGTATCTGCGAGTATCATGGAGTTCATGTTGTACAACGACACTGGGTATCGTAATGATGAGTGCGGGATGAGTAGAACGAACGACGGGCCTATCGCTACCGACGCATAAGATAGTGATGAGGGATATGAATGACATCGTGGACATGAAAACTGAGACGCTACGCGAGGGCAGTGTCGGTCTGCGTGTCCATCCAGTGCTTCGGCTAGGGATATGGATATAGTGCATGCTGATGGCGAGGCATGGCGTGAGAGGGCGAGGATAGCCCTCGGCGAACGCGACGCCCGCGAGTCAGAAGCCGCCCAGACAGGCAGCGTCGTCGTCCTCTGACGACTCGGCGAAGGATGAGAAGGGAACGCGAGCACTACTGAGCCGGCGTATGGGACCTGTGGGGCGTCGTGTGTGCTTGCGCTTCGTCGGAGAGGGCCGTGTATCCTGATCCATCTCCGCCCCCGGTGCATGGGGCAAGAAGGACAGCCGACGCTCCTCCTTGGGCGACGACACCGGCGGCGACATGCACACGTCCGACTCGTCAGTCGACTCCGAGGAGGACGAGGACGATGATGACGCAGACGTGTCCAGGATCAGCGGTGGGGGACTGCTTGGCGACTCGGGCTCGATCGCCTCGTAGGCGCGAGGGTGGAAGTAGCTGCCCTTGGCTGGGGCTGTGCGCCGCTTCTTGCTCGGCGGGGAGCACACTCGTCCGCCCCGCTCGGGGAGCGCACAGGCGTTGGGCTCGATGACGATGGGCGCCCGATCGTACTGCGCGGGCGAGTGGGTGGTATGATGCGATGCGAGGCCGGGCGTTGGGGGGAAGTGGACGTGCGGGGTCTGCATGCCGTGCGGATACGTCGCGAATGGGAGCGCGCCTGAGAGCGGGGGCTGGTACTGGGTGGAGGCTGGGATCTCTTCTGAGGCGAACGCCTTCAGGATCGGGCGCGGTGACATCGTGGGTAGGGGGTGGATGGTGAGTAGGTGATGGGTAGGGGCGAGTTCGAGCGTCGCGGGAAGCGACTGCGAGCAAGGGGAGGAATAGGGGGACGCGATGGATCGATGGGAAGGCGCGGCCGTAGCAGTCCGGCGACTCAGAGCACAGTGGGGAGCATGGTGGTAGGTCCGAAGGAAGATATACTTGTAGTTGCCCGAGGCCTGGACGCGCTAAGCTAGGCACAGCTCCACTCGTCACGGGGACGGGTGATCGTTGAACTTCGCGTGTTGCCGTTTAGGTATCGTAGTCCCGGTAGAGGCGTGTTGCGCGGAGTTGGACGAGCGGGATGCTTGTTGGCTAATGACACCGTGGAGGAGCAGGAAGAGCGTGCTCTTGCCTTCTATGTGTATGGTGAGACTTCGTGCGATGGAGCGCCTACTGCAAGCATGCGCGATGGGTTGCTGGAGGGAAAGTCTCTCATCGCGTTCAGTCGTGTACTGTGAACGTGTTTGATTCCGATAAGGACAGACGTCTCATCCCATCGAACTGTAATCACAAGCGATCAGTTCGCATTCATACACGACAGAGCAGATCAGTTCGCATTCATACACGACAGAGCAGATCTGCATGGCGTAAAGGGAACGATCGTACTGCGCGGAAGGGTTGCAAAGTTGGCGATCGAAGAGTAAGACGATAGCCACTTAAGCCAACGTAGCCAACGTGGTTCACATACAAAGGCTAACCTGCAGCTCCCGCCACTCCAAATCAACATGGACGCGGTGAGCGACCGCGCGAAAGGGTGAGAGGACGAATTCCGCAAGCAGCTGACCTGACGAGAACAGATGCGAAGTCGGCAAGGCCCTCTTGCGGATCAGCGGGCGGCAAAGGCATCCCAATCGATGAACTGATGTGCCCGAACGGGGGCATTGCGGCCCCGGTAGAGATGCAGATAATCTGCGCCCCACCATACTCGACCGCGCGCGCAGGGAGTAGGGACGCCGACGGCGGTGGCGTCAACGTGAAGTTTCCCCCCTTGGGCATCCCAGTGACCTCAACGTGGACTGCGAAAAGCGGGGCATCAACCAGGGCGAACTGCCGTCGTTGTCCTTCTGCTACTCCTTCGAGCGATCGTCGGCGGAAAACGGGTAGGCAGAGGGTACGAGCATGAGGTCAGAGACGATGTCCGCGCAGTTGGTTGAGCGAATGACGAAGAGTGTGGTGTTGACGAGAACAGCATCGAAGCAGCAGCAGCAGCAGCAGCAGCAGAAGACGTGCTGCGAAGCCGTGGATCTTCCGCAGAAGTCTGGCGCACGAAAGGTACAATCGCGGTAAGGGAGTTTGAGTGAATCTTCGAGATAGAAGAGCGCGTTGTGAAGCAGATGACTCGCCCTGATAGACGTAGAAAACACCAGAGAGCAGCCAGTCAACCAGTCGCATTCAAGTCGAACGCGATTACGAGAAGTGGCGCTTCCGAGCCCTATCGATGTTGTCTCTTTCACTCCGTAACTGTGGTTAGCTCTTGGTTGAAGCGACTTCAGGAAAGTATGTCAAAGGTTTGTCGGAAGGAGTAGCGGCGGAGACACGATGGGAAGAATGGAAAAAACCGAAAAGGTGCCACGTGGCGTTCGGAAAGGACCGAAGGGGTGCTATAAAGGACCCCTTCGCAGGTAAATGACCTTGCTCATCTCCCTATCTGTCTTCTTTCGCCTTGTCTACCACACATCCCAATCAACAACGTCCCTTTCAAGGTGAGTCGTGCTCGCCACTTGTCATCGGTGATGAGAACATTCTGCAACCTCTTTGACGCGTACGCGCTGTGGATTGCCTCCTTCGGGATCCATTCAAGTCCCTGAGATTGCGCTGTCATGGCTATCCTCTGTTTTCATACTGACATTGTGATAGAACTTCCTTCTCAATCCGCCATAAAAAGCTCGCAAGTGTGCTGCGAATCATCCGAGCTTTACGATGCGTGCTAGATGCAGCTGTCCGTCACGGTGATGTCCATTGTTTGATTTTCCCTTCGCCCTGCTGTGGCCCGCCTTCTGAGGTCCATCACCAATGGCTCGACGTGCCGACTTGTGCGGCATCACGATTATCCTAATCATTAACCACCCTGACCTCGAGCATCCCCATCTCCGCCGCATCGAGCGCAATCTCCAGCTGGAAGACGAAAATCATCTGCAGCACCGCCTTCGCCGTATCCTTCCCCGTCTCCGTCTGAACCAACGACTTGCCCGCCTGGTTGTACAGAGCGCGCAGGTACGGCACGAGCACTAGACAGGCGCGCGCGAGGACCTCGCGCATCCGCGAGTCCGGGTGCGCCTGCAGGATATCCACCGCGGCGCACATGTTCGCGAGGTCAGGTGCGTCGAACGACTTGTCGAGCGGGCGCCAGAGGGAGAAGATGGTGTGCAGGTGCGCGTAGAGGGCGGGGAGGTCGCGCGGGTCGAAGGGGCGGCGGGTGAAGAGGGCGGTGCGGGCGTAGGCGGCCAGGACGTCGCGTGCGGCTTCCTGTTCAGAGCTACGGGTGTATGCTTTCAGTAAAGCGTACGGGAGGGCGGTGAGAAGTAGCACTGAGGCGCGTCAGCTAAGGAGGGGGACAAAAGTGATGGAGAAGTAGAAGGAACATACGCGCACAGAGCCCAGCGCGTTTCGAGCGCGGGTGTCCGTCTGCGCGATAGAACATCTTGTGCCGCAGGGTCCTGTCGGGAGATGAAGGCATTTGCGTGTACATGCGCGCGCTTGGTGTCGTGTGAGGCATACAGAAAGCACAGAGCATTGAGGACGTTTGCCACGAACATGTCCGTGCGCGGCTACGGGCCAGAGCAAAGTGTATTCTGCGCCCGCTCGGAACACGTCGTAGCGTATGCATAGTCAGAGAGGGCAAAGTATGGCTTGTAGATGGGCGTAGATGTCTGAAGACCACGGGAAGCCGCAGCCGACTTCAAGAAGTCACACCACGAAGGCAGTCAGCGATTCGTCCGTCTTTGATGTTAAGAGGGAGGTTTATACAGAGTTCGATGCTGGTTCTACCATCCAATGTGCATTGACAATAAGGTCAGAGGGCGTTTTCAGTGTTTGAGATGCAGGCGTAGGACAAGCAGGTCCGGAGAATGCCGAGGACAGCGGTCCACCTCCCATTGCTTGATTCCGACGTTGATCTTGCTCCCCTCGTCTGCTTGCCTCATACCCTGATATTTGAGGGCTTAGTGGATACTTAGCAGGACCGAACGAACCTTCGAGCAATCATTCGATCACGCCCCGACTTCCCAAGACAATGAAAGGCATCCAAGAGCTGGTTAGTGACCTGACTCTCGCCCGACGCGCCACCAAGCTCCCCAGGATGACCCGATCGTCATCGCAGAAGGCATCGCCTCTAGTGTCGTCAAGGTCCGCGGGCGCTTACCCAGCCATCCAGGCGAAGCGCAGGTCGTAGCCCTCAAGTCCTCGACCCTCCGCAAGCGCTTCGCGAAGGAGCCGCACGACATCGTGAAGGAGCTGAGGATCCTGCGCAGTCTGTCGCATCCGAATGTGCGTGTCGACACAGTTTGTTGCGCATGAACTTACCCCAACTCTCCCTCAGATCATCCCCCTCATCCACCACGAACGCTCGGGCGACGACCTCACGCTCTTCCTCCCCTACATCCCCTTCGCCCTCCCCCAGCTCCTCGCCTCGCCCTACTTCTCCCCGCACATCTACCCGCCCTACCTCCGCCCCGGCCCAGACGCTCTCGCGGAGCGCCGCGATCGCTTCTGCGCCGTCGCGCGCGCGATCATGGCGCAGGTGCTCTTTGCCCTGGCGTACCTCCACGACGAGCAGCGCGTCGCGCACCGCGACATCAAGCCTGCGAACGTGCTGCTGACGGAGCGCGGAGTAGTGCAGGTGATCGATTTTGGGATTGCGAGGAGGGAGGGGGAGAAGGAAGAAGATACGAAGGAGGACCTGTGGCCAGAGCCAAGGGAGAGGATGTACTTCGAAGTGTCGACAGGGTGAGCTCATCTCTGTCGAGCCCAACTTTCCCCTCTTACAACTCCCTTAGCCCGTACCGCGCCCCCGAGCTCCTCTTCGGCCCTCGCACGTACGACGCGTTCGCCATCGACATGTGGAGTCTGGGCGCTACATTCGCCGAGTTCTTCACCCCGCTGTCCCTCTACCTCGATGAGGACGATGAAGTTTATGGAGGCTTCGGCGGCGCGGGCGGCGGCTTCACAAGCTCAGGCGGTTCCGCAGGTCGCGAGGACGACGACGAAGAGAACGACGCAGAGGAAGACACAACCACCCCACCTTCCCCCTTCCGCATCCCCTCCCACCTTCGCATCGGCTACCCGGGCGCGAAGTGGGCGCGCGACACGCTCTTCAACGGCGCGCGCGGGGAGATCGGGCTAGCCTGGAGCATCTTCCAGATCCGGGGGACGCCGAACGAGGAATTGTGGCCGGTGAGTAGAGGCAGGATGCTTGACTTGACTTGTGGAGTCTGGGCGCTGTCGCTCTGTGATGACGGCATAAACTGGCATGAAAATTCGCAGGTGTCTAGCGCCCGTCCCTCCTTGGCTGGGCCCCCCGGGCATGGTCTCCCCCTGCAGGGGCCCATGTCCGGGAGGCGTGGTGCTAGCTACCGACTACTGACGATGATCCTCGGCATACCCTCCCTCCCACCAGCATAACTCCCACCAGCATGAGTCCCCCAACCAGCATGACTCCCCCCACCAGCAGCACCTCCCCGCAGCATGACCTCCCATCGTAGGGGCAGCATAACGGGTAGCGGCGGCCACGACGACCACGAGCAGCAACACGGACAGCAAGCGAGCGAAGAGGGGGGAGGGGAAGGACACGGTAAGGGACTCGCCCACCCCCGCGCAGCTTATATACCCTCCCAGAGCCTGCCGCCGCGCCCGAGTATTGACGCGTGAGCCGAGTACGCTAGCCTGCGACACTGCGAGGGTCCCCCTCCCTAGTACGCTAGGGTTGGGTCTGTTCGCGTCCGACGAGACCGACGAGGGGATGGTGGTAAGGCTCCCTCTTGTACGACCCTTCGCCCCCTCCCCTTCCCCTCCTGCTTCGTCTTAACATCATATACAAGTCCCCCTCCCCCTCCTTTGTGATTCTCCTCCCCCCTCCCCCTGGCCTCCATCGCCAACGAGTGCGGCGGGTGCACCTCCCATAGGTACCCGCCCTTCGATAACGTCTGCGAACCTCCGTAGGCCCCGAACACTGATAGATAGTACCTCGCCGACATCCCCGATGTAGTAGAGAACACCGAATAGAGCTATCTTTCTTGACAGCCCCACCCGCGCGTTTGACGATAAGGTGGGCCGACGACATAGGGTGAGGGGCTATTAAGACCTCGGAGACTTGGGAAGGGGTTTGTTTTCTCTTCATTCGAACTCTGTGTTGTTGAACACGATTTCATTGTACTCTAAAGTCAAAATGTAACTAATAAACTACGACGGGGAAGCACGTCCCTGCCCTCTTAGGCGGGGGCCAAACATCAACAAGCAAGCCATGACGCTCGACGCCCAAGCGGCCGCGCTGCGTCGGAAAAGGTGCGAGGGGGACTGCAGACGATAGCGCAGCGTTCGATAGCCGCGAGCCCGCGTTCGACGGCGACGGCGACGAGCGGGTGCAAAAGTCGAACCGCTCACGTGAGCATCGGCTCCGAGCGCTCGTGACGTGTTGAAGTCGGTGGAAATGCGAAAGGAGGGGGTGGCGAGGAGCGCGGGGAGCGTCGCGCGACAGTAAAGAACTGGGGAGAAGGTCAGCAAAGGGATCGCAACTGAGGTAGGTGGCACTTGCCCTCGCTCGGCGGACGGCGATACATATACTCATCGCCTAAGGGGGCCGGAACAGCATGGCGTATACGAGGGCGACGGAGTGAGATATATCCTGATGAGAAGATCAGCAAGAAGCGCATGGACTACAAGTAGAAAAGCTTACCCTCGCTCGCCGGCCGAAGGTGCATCGCTTCGGAGCGTGTTCGAGGCTTTCCCTCAGGGTGATAAGAGTCATAATCCGTGAGGGCTGCGCCGGAATGGACTATGCGCACAATGAGCAGGCCTCCTCAAAGCTAGGGAGGAGGTAGAGGCGTCTGAGGAGAGGAGTGAGCGAGCGAAAGACGAGACGAGATGAAAGAGGAGAGCAGGGTCGGGTAGGGCAGTGATGGGAAACGCACAAGGGGGAACAAATGCGTACCCCAATGAGAGCAAAAAGGAGGTCGAGAAGGGGGGAAGCGACGAGAAAAGATACGAGCAGAGGGGACGCAAATAGCGCAAAAGAAGGAGAAGGAAAGGACATACCTTCCCTTATGTCGCCAGGTGGTATAGCGCGAGGGAGGTGCGATGTCAGGACGCAGAGGTAGCGCGAGGAGTACTTGAACGCGTCGACGGAAGATCTAAGAAGGATGAGTGTCCGGTTACTTAAAGAGAACGCGGCGAACGTACCGTGCAGCCCTCGTGTGACTACGGCACTCATGGCGGCGCTGCGCGCCGCGCCGCCCCTTCCCCCTCCTCAACGGGCCGCGGCCGTCAACGAGGACTTCCCGCGCGGGCCTCGGCGCATTTGATGTCCATTTGCAAATTTTTGGGGTATAGAAACGCCTAGGAAAACGTCGGAAATGAGGCTCAGAATCGACAATATACGACACATACGTGAACGCACGGCACTCGCGGCTACCATCTAGTACCTCCCGCGCGGACCTCGGCTCATTTGACGTCAATTTGCGATGTTTCCCGCCACCGAAGGCGCCTTAAAGATGTCAGAAATCGTCAACAAACGACGATGCCGGAGACGCACCTGCAACGCAGCGGCGCTCCGCGCCGCCTCGCGCCGACCCCAACCCTCCTCCGTCTGTCTCCGAGTATCGTCGCGGCGGTCAGCGAGAGCTACCGGCGCGGACCTCGGCGCAATTGATGTCGATTTCGCGTGTTTCGGGCCTTGGAGAGCCAGCTGAAAATGCGAGAAAATGAGCACAAAATCGGTCAGAAACAGCTGAAACGGGAGGTCCTGCACACGCACCGGAATGACCGCAGGCTCAGACAGCTTGATGGGCGTGCGGAATGAGCATGTTGGAGCAGAACTACGCGAGGAAGGTCAGCACATGAATGAGGCAGTAGTCTCGAGCAGCTCACCGAAGCGCGGACTCTGATTGCAGCAACGCTCGACCAGCTTTCTGAGCAGTCGTTGGCGGGTGTCGAGTGCGGCGGCGCCGGCGGCCGGGGCGACGGGAAGAACGGACGGCGGGCGGGCGTGGATGGGGGCAGGGAGGAAAGTACCACCCCTCCGAGCCGCGACCGAGTATATATACGCCTGTCATAAAATTTTATCCGTCGTCCGATATCCGCCTGTTATAACGGCACTGATACCTGCTGCGCACCTTCAAGCTTTCTCGCTTCCACTCAATCCTCGGGGGAACATGCGATTTGACTACCTGCGCGCGGGGTTAGTCGAGTACGATGCCCGGCATGCAGATTTACATGGAGAACTCGTACACGTCGCCTGCAAAATTCAGTGACCCTCATTCCTCAATGAAGAGGAAGAGCAGCGTGCTCACCAATGATTACAGCTCGCTAACGTTAACCTTCGCCGCGGGATTTCACAAGCACACCGAAGCCGGCAGGTATCCAATGGAGTCCTAATAGAAAATATGACGTGGGTTTGTATGAAGCGAGTCGCGTTCACCGGCACATACCTTGCAAGAGCGCAGATCCTCCGCCTTCCGCTAGCGTACCCTGACTACCCTACGGCCTCTGCATTCCATAAAAAGAAAAAGAAACGATAGGTTCGATTTTCATAGGAGGATGGGCGCATGCGCAGACGGGAACACAGTGTGTCTTTCACACGCAATGAGCACAGCTCAACGCATTTCTTCATGTTAGGCACACGAGCGTCTGCTATTGCCAACAGACTGAGCATCAGTCGCTGGAAAGGGGCCGCCAGCGCGAGAAACAGCGCTTCCGCCCATGCCGTCGTGTTCGTGTCCAACGAGTTCAGTCGAAAGCCTTCCTAATTAGGCTCAATAAGACGGGCTCGCGTGCTCTCGAGGCACAAAGCTAGAATGCCGGTCAAGTCGCAATGTCGGAGTGCAGATCTTGACGTATAGCTGGCCTTGCCGCTTCCGCCGCCCGTGCTTTTCCGAGGGCGGGCGAGTTGAGCTTGACCGCGGCCTTCTCGAGGCTCACTACGAGCGGGGAGGGTCAAGAATATCATCATATAGCGTTATGAGGGGTCAGTTAGAGCGTTCCGGCAGTCAGCGCGGCGTCCAAACGTCGATGATGGTGGTCGAGAACAAGACGGACATTGTTTGTGGCGCCGACAATCAGGGACCGGAGGGCGGCCCGTCAAGTCCGTGTGCCCGCGCTGCTCATCTTGTCCTCGACTTTCATCCATCGCGGCAGTCCGCCGTCTCGGAATGACCGCGAAATGCGTCGAGATGCCAATCGCTACACATCTATGAACTACGGAAGCGCTGCCATGTCTGGGCGCGACGGAATTCATGCAAACCTCACCAAGACGCGATCCCCGAGACTTGGAGAGGTCTACAACGTCGCGGGGAGCCCCACGATGGGTCGTACACATTCAGCCCAGGAGCGCCATGTGTCCAGAAACTGTCCCAAGGTTCTCGATGGGCGAGATACGCGTTCTAGCTTATCGTTCTGGGAGGTCGAGCTGCTTTGCATGCGGAACTCGACGTCTTCCCTTCCATTTTGCGCGTACTCCCCCAAAAATACCGGCCGCCCAAAATCGATGCGGAATATCATTCTGAGCAGGCTTTGTATATTGAACCCCGCCTTCCGCGCCCTCGTTGCAGTGCTATAGCGCGACGAAGGTGGTTTTGAATTTGTGGCGTCGCTTTTTGTGCGTCTCCAGTGCTGTCGCTTCGGGCACTCGCGGGCGGAAAAGTACAGGAACATGCTCGCAGACATATCCTCATGTGGCCCATGGAGTATGGTGAGCTCGCGACGTCTGCGCGCCATGATACTCACCATGCTCACCTCCTCTCCCTTAGGTCTGCCACACGCTCAATCTTCCACCTGCCGGCACGCAATTGCAGCGACCGATCTCGTCGGGTGCCACGAGCACCCGGGTGACGTTGCGCCGGCCGAAGAACGCTCTCGAAGCTCGCAGTCCCACACTTGCAAAACCAACCTCCTGGAGGATACACATCTTCCACTCGTTCTAGGCGCGTTTCCGCTGTCAGCCCGCAATTCGGGTCGGATGCATGCTTACTCGGAGGTGGTGAAACGGTGAGCCGAAGCTTGGAAGATTGCGCTGCCCTCGCATGCGCAATCGCCGTTTTGCTGCTTACAGGCGATTTACAGCACGCCCAGAGCGCGCAGGCACCCCATAATTTGCCAGGGGTATGTCAGCGACATACTAAATATTGTGGTGTTGCACTTTTTGCACGAGAGCGCGAGCGCTGCGATGCGCAGGGCGCGCGCGCAGGCGCCTTGCCTTTATGGACTCAAAGCCTTCCCAAAAGGGAAGGCCTGCCTTCGACTCGAACCGCGGCGTCGACGTCTGGCACCGCCGCCCTCCGACCCTCCGTCCTCGTCGCAACTCATCAAGCTTTCGAACATTCCATCGACCACACCCTCCTGCTTGCATCGGTGCGCCCTGCACAATTCCCGCAATTCAAGAGACTTCAACGCGCGCCGCGGACATCCACGCACAGACCGACACCCAGCACCTCGAGGCCTTCTTCCGCCAACCCGCGACTGACATCCGACGACTTCCGACTTGCTCTGGCGCGGACCTACGCGCTGATCGCACCCTCGCCAGTACGTCGAAAATTTCAATCCACACGCACGGGCAATCTTCCGCGCTTTCGTAACCATATCTCGACGCGCGCTTGCTGCTCGGGGGCGCGTCGGGTCCGCTGTATGGGCTGCTGCGGTTGACGAAGGCTATCCGACGCGGGGGGAGGTACATAAGGCGGGAGGTGGGGAGGTTGGCAGGCAGAGCTCGATGCTCTTCCTTTCCCCCTCGACTGCCTCGACCGCCTCCTCCTCCACTGCTGGCCTGGTCGCCGCCGTCTGCTATCAGGTCAGTACCCTCGCTGCCGGCCTGTCTCCTTCTCGCTGATGCGCTCGTTCAGGGTTGTTCAGCTTGGCGTCGTCGGTGGTATATAGACCTGGTACGTCGTCTCTACTCGCCGTTCTATTCACACATACTGACTCGTCCTATCAGTGTAGCCCATGCCCTTCGTGTCTGTCCTTACATCAGTGAGTGCTTTTGCTCACCCCGCCTATCGCACGCTCACCGTCTATCCTCTAGATTCTATCGATGCGAATATATTGCTACTTTCCCCTAGTACGTCGTCCCGCCTTCTACGCGCCTCGCCAATCACTGATTATTTGCTTACTTAGTGATCCCGACGCGTCATTTTTAAGGATATTGCTTGCCTGATTGCGAGCGCGAACGTTGGGTTACGGGCACGGGTCTTACCTGGGTGCGTCCTCTACTCATTGACATTCATGACTTACTGCGCTCTGTAGGCGACGTCCTCGTGCTCAATCGTTGAGTAAAATATCGCGCTGGCTGTCCACACGCGCCCGCGTCTTCTCCCTCGCCGTCAAGCGCATCCTCGCCTTCCAGCGCCTCCTCTCCCTCAAGCGTAGCCTCTCACTCCAACGCATCCTCACCATTCGCGCAGAGCCTCGCCTTCAAGCCCAGCCTCCTCCTCGTCCTCCAGCTAGACCTATCCCTCAACATCCCGACCAGATGACCCTGCAGTCATCATTCGGTGAGTGTTAGCTTTCTTTCTACCACCTGTTCTTTCTATTCGTCGCATGTCATGCTCTTCCCTTTGCTTCCTAGCCGTCGCTTCGCCTTCATTTGTCTACTACGTGTACTCTGCCTTATTCTACTTTCTTACCTTTCTCCTCCGATTTCTTACTTTCCTACACCGATTTCTTACCTTCCCGCTCCAATTTCTTACCTTCCTTTACCCCCCGCACCTGAGCGAGAACCCGCTGCCGTTCTTGTGCGAAGTCGGCTGGTTTCCTACTTGTTTAGTGGCCTTGGGGTAGTGACTGAGTTCGTAGTTTAGTGACTTCGTGGTCGTAGTTTAGTGACTTCGTGGTCGCGGGTTAGTGATCTCGGAGTCGTAGATTACTGCTCTCGTCTACTTACTCTTTCCTTCGTTTTCACTGACTACTGACCCCTTCGTGTCCATGACTGACCCCTCCGTCTTCTATTACGACCCTCCCTTACTGTCCAGCTCACTGACTTCTCCGTCTTCTACTACGATCCCTCTCGTCGTGTTTACTGACATCTCCATCCTACTTACTGACATCTCCGTGCTACTTACTGACGTCTCCGTGCTACTTACTGCCGCCTCCGCTGTGTTTACTGACCCCCCTCGTCCCGTCTCGCACGTGGATCACTAACTGACTTGCATTGCAGACTACGGACTACGCATATGTCATCTGCCCTACCCGCCGGCGACGCGCCCGGCCTCCCTGCCCTCCTCCCACCGACTTGCTGACGCGGTTCCTGCTGTTAGTTAATGCTCGTCGAGGGCGATGGAGGCGTCGACGAAGGGCGGGGAGCTGTCATTGCGGGCGGCAAGGCGTCGACGAAGGTCGGGGAGGACGTCGGGGAGGTCGCGGGGGACGTCGTCGCGGGCCGGGGAGGTGTCGGCGAGGGAGGCGAAGGGGTCGTCGAGGGAGTCGAAGGCGTTGTCGAGGGCGGGAAGGCGTTGTCGAAGGCGAGGGAGCTGTCGTTGAGGGCGGGGAGGATGTCGCCGAGGTCGCGGAGGACGTCGACGAGGGTAGGGAAGCCGTCGTCGAGGTCGCGAAGGACGTCGCCGAGGGCAGGGAAGGCGCCGCCGAGGTCGTCAAGGTCGATGTCGAGGTCGGGGCGGGCGGGAGCGGACATCCTCGACGGCCGTGGAGGTCGGGAGCGGGCATCCTCGACGGACAGAGAGGTCGGTCGAAGACGGAGAGGTCGGTCGAAGGGGGGATCAGCATCATTAGTGACCTTTTGTACGTCGCCGTACCTTTGGAGGGGTTGTTAGGGTACGGTAAGGGTAGAGTATGGTAAGGTAAGGGGGTTAGCCAGTTAGGACGGGTGGGGGGAATGAATAGACGAGAAGGGGAGGGGCAGGGGCAGGGTAAGCACGCACCTCCAATGAATTCGTGACCTGTATAGACGGCCGTGCGAGAGGGGGAGGGAGGGTTGGTTGAGAGCGTAAAGGGGGAGGGCAAGTAGACGAAATCACGAGAAGGGGGGGGTCGAACGAAAGGGGAGTGGTAGACGGAAGGGGAAGCGGAGGAAGGGGAGAGGGGAGGTGAGTACGCACCGCGTTCGTCCGGAAAGCGCGCGCTAACTCATCTTCTTGCCCCTTCTAGGCGTGCTGGCTCGTGGGAGGCGGGCGTGGGGAGGGTTGGCTCGTGCGCGGCGAGCGTCTTCTGACGACGGTGAGCGCTCCCTCGACCTTCGCACCTTCCCCCTTTCCGCGACTCCCCTCCCGCTTCGCGCATCTCACCTTCTCTTCTTCGCGCATCCCCCCACCCTTCCCGGACATCCCCCCACCCCCTTCCCCGCCCCCACCTCCCCCTCGCGCCGTCGACCTTCCGTGTGTTCCCTTTCACTTACTCCCTCCCCCTTCACTTTCTCGCTCCCCCTTCACTCGCTCCCCCTTCCCTTCCTCCCTCCCCCTTCCGACCTCTCGCCCTCTCGCCCCCTTCCGACCTCTCACCCTCTCACCCCCGCGCTCGTCGCCCTTCGTTGCCTCCCTCTGATCTCTCCCTCCTCCTTCGGTGGTCTTCCTCCCCCCATCCTTCGGTGGTCTTCCTCCCCCACCCTTGTCCACGCCATCCCCCTTCGCATTCCCTTTTCCCTTCGCATTCCCTTCCCCCCTTCCCCCCTTCCCCCCTCCCTTCGCCCACCGGCCCCCTTTGTGCCCCTCCTCGCGCACGCGCCTTCGCCCCCTCCCCTTCGTTCCCTTTTCCTCTTCCCCGTCGCGCCCCCGACCAGTTCCTCCTCCCTCCCTCTCCCGCTCCCTTTTCCTCCCGCGTCGTGTTCCGCACCGTTCGCGCCCTGGACTGACTGCCCATCGCAGGGCCGCGATCGTCGCGTCTGCGCACGCCGTCGACGCTGAGCTTGATGTGCTGCGTACGTCTCTTCCCGCTCCCCCTCGCATCTTCCGCTTACGACATCCTCTAGACGGGGCGAGGCTACGATATCGTCCGCGTCGCGTGATCGGGGGAGGGGGACGGGGAGTCGAAGAAGGGAGAGTAATATGTGAAGGAGGGGAGGGAGATGGAGGGAAGGTCGGAGATGGACGGGAATGGGAGGCGGAGGGGAGTGAAAGGTGGAGGGGAGTGGAAGGCGGAGGTGGTGGGGAAGGCGGAGGTGATGGGGGAGATGTATGCACGCGCTGGGTGACTGGATGTATGCGGCGTCGATCGCGAGTCGGCGGCGGCGGCGGCGGGTCAGGACGGCGCGTCGCTGGAGCCGGCGACGCGACGGTGACGCGCGGGACGGGCCAGAGTGGCGATGGTGACAGGCGATGGTCGACGACGCGCGGGTGAGATGACGGTCGGGTTGAGGTTAGGGGAGGAGACGAGGCTGATCGGCGTAGATGGCTGAGGACCGCGGGAAGCCGCAGCCGACGGAGAAGAACGCAAGCTAGCGACGAGGGTTATCTGTACAGTATCCGGTGTACATCGACGATGACGTTGGACAGGGAGAGTCCGTCGAGGACAAGCTGGTCCGGAGAATGCCGAGGACTTAGCGGTCCACCTCCCACTGCTTGATTCCGACGTTGATCTTGCTCCCCTCGTCTGCTTGCCTCATACCCTGATATTTGAGGGCTTAGTGGATACTTAGCAGGACCGAACGAACCTTCGAGCAATCGTTCGATCACGCCCCGACTTCCCAAGACAATGAAAGGCATCCAAGAGCTGGTTAGTGACCTGACCCTCGCCCGACGCGCCACCAAGCTCCCCAGGATGACCCGATTGTCATCGCAGAAGGCATCGCCTCTAGTGTCGTCAAGGTCCGCGGGCGCTTGCCCAGCCATCCAGGCGAAGCGCAAGTCGTAGCCCTCAAGTCCTCGACCCTCCGCAAGCGCTTCGCGAAGGAGCCGCACGACATCGTGAAGGAGCTGAGGATCTTGCGCAGTCTGTCGCATCCGAATGTGCGTATGCACTCAGTCCGTCAGGCGCCGACTTACCCCAACTCTCTCTCATTCAGATCATCCCTCTCATCCACCTCGAACGCTCGGACGACGACCTCACGCTCTTCCTCCCCTACATCCCCTTCGCCCTCCCCCAGCTCCTCGCCTCGCCCTACTTCTCCCCGCACATCTCCCCGCCCTACCTCCGTCCTGGCCCCGACGCCCGCGCGGAACGCCGCGATCGCTTCTGCGCCGTCGCGCGTGCGATCATGGCGCAGGTGCTCTTTGCCCTGGCGTACCTCCACGACGAGCAGCGCGTCGCGCACCGCGACGTCAAGCCCGCGAACGTGCTGCTGACGGAGGGCGGACTGGTCAAGCTGATCGACTTTGGAATTGCGAGGCGGGAAGGGGAAAGCGAGGAGGACACGAAGGAGGACCTGTGGCCAGAGCCGAGGGAGAGGATGTACTTTGAGGTGTCGACGGGGTGAGTAAATGCGCTGTATGCCGAGGTCGCTCCAGCTCATCTAGCGATCCACTCAGCCCGTACCGCGCCCCCGAGCTCCTCTTCGGCCCCCGCACTTACGACGCCTTCGCCATCGACATGTGGAGTTTGGGCGCCACATTCGCCGAGTTCTTCACCCCACTGTCCCTCTACCTCGACGACGACGACGAGGGCTTTGGAGGCTTTGGTGGTGGCTTCGCAAGGTCGCACAACGCTTCCACCGATGCAGACGAAGAGGACGACGAAGACACAACTACCCCCCCTCCCCCCTTCCGCATCCCCTCCCATCTCCGCATCGGCTACCCGGGCGCGAAATGGGCGCGCGACACGCTTTTCAACGGCTCGCGCGGGGAGATCGGGCTAGCCTGGAGCATCTTCCAGATCCGGGGGACGCCGAACGAGGAATTGTGGCCGGTAAGTAGAGGCAGGATGCTTGACTTGATTTGTGGAGTCTGGGCGCTGTCGCTCTGTGATGACGGCAGAAACTGGCATGAAAATTCGCAGGTGTCTAGCGCCCGTCCCTCCTTGGCTGGGCCCCCCGGGCATGGTCTCCCCCTGCAGGGGCCCATGTCCGGGAGGCGTGGTGCTAGCTACCGACTACTGACGATGATCCTCGGCATACCCTCCCTCCCACCAGCATAACTCCCACCAGCATGACTCCTCCCACCAGCAGCACCTCCCCGCAGCATGACCTCCCATCGTAGGGGCAGCATAACGGGTAGCGGCGGCCACGACGACCACGAGCAGCAACACGGACAGCAAGCGAGCGAAGAGGGGGGAGGGGAAGGACACGGTAAGGGACTCGCCCACCCCCGCGCAGCTTATATACCCTCCCAGAGCCTGCCGCCGCGCCCGAGTATTGACGCGTGAGCCGAGTACGCTAGCCTGCGACACTGCGAGGGTCCCCCTCCCTAGTACGCTAGGGTTGGGTCTGTTCGCGTCCGACGAGACCGACGAGGGGATGGTGGTAAGGCTCCCTCTTGTACGACCCTTCGCCCCCTCCCCTTCCCCTCCTGCTTCGTCTTAACATCATATACAAGTCCCCCTCCCCCTCCTTTGTGATTCTCCTCCCCCCTCCCCCTGGCCTCCATCGCCAACGAGTGCGGCGGGTGCGCCTCCCACAGGTACCCGCCCTTCGATAACGTCTGCGAACCTCCGTAGGCCCCGAACACCGATAGATAGTACCTCGCCGACATCCCCGATGTAGTAGAGAACACCAAATAGAGCTTTCTTTCTTGACAGCCCCACCCGCGCGTTTGACGATAAGGTGGGCCGACGACATAGGGTGAGGGGCTATTGGGACCTCAGAGACTTGGGAAGGGGTTTGTTTTCTCTTCATTCGAGCTCTGTGACGTCAAACGCGATTTCATTGTACTCTAGAGTCATAGGAAATGCATTGTAACTAATAAACTACGACGGGGAAGCACATCCCTGCCCTCCTCGGCGGGGGCCAAACATCAACGAGCAAGTCATCACACTCGACGCCCAAGCGGCCGCGCGGCGTTGAGAAGGGTGCGAGGGGGACTGCTGGCGATATTGATAGCCGCGAGCCCACGTTCGACGTCGACGACGAGCGAGCGCAGAGTCGAACCACTCACGTGAACGTCGGCTCCGAGCGTGTTGAAGTCGGTGGAAACGCGAAAGGAGGGGGTGGCGGGAGGCACGGGGAGCTCGGGGAGCGTCGCGAAATCGAGAACACCGCGCGGGTGCGAAGGAGTGAGACCTGGGAAGCGGTCAGTAAAGGGATGCCAACTCGGGTAGGAGGCGCTTACCCTCGCTCGGCGGACGGCGATACAAATACTCATCGCTTGAGGGGGCCACAAAGCGCAAGGAAAGCACGAGGAGGGCGGGGGCGAGAGAAGCAAGACATAATCTGATGAGGAGGTCAGCGAGGAGCGCGTGAAATGCAAATTGAAAAGGCTTACCCCTGCTCGCCGGACGAAATTCTGTTGCTTCCGAGCATGTGCGAGGTCGTTATTGAGGATTTTGGATCGTTGACTGTGAGGGATATATTGAAAAGGACTGTGAGCATGATGAGAAGGCGTCAATGAGGCCAGAGAGGAGGTAGAGGCGTCTGAGGAGAGGCGATGAGCGAGCAAGCGGTGATGGGAGGGATGAAGAGGAAAAGAGGAGTACAGGAAGGAAAGGGAGGGGCGAGGAAGAGATGGGGAACACAGGAGAGGGCACAAAGAAGACTAAAAAGAAAGTCCAGAAGGAGGAGTGCATTGAGCAAAGATATGAGCAAAGGGGACACGAATGGAGCGAAAGAAAGGGAAGGCAAGGACGGACCTTTGCTCATGTCGCCGGGGCGTCTAGCGCGGTGGGGGTGCGATCGAAGCGCGGAGAGGTAGCGCGAGGAGTACTTGAAGGCGTCAACGGAAGATCTAGGAAGGATGAGTGCCCGGTTACAAAAAGAGAACGCGGGGAACGTACCGTGCAGCCCTCGTGTGACTACGGCACGCATGGCGGCGCTGCGCGCCGCCCCTTCCCCCTCCTCAAAGGGCCGCGACCGTCGACGAGGACTTCCCGCGCGGGCCTCGGCGCATTTGACGTCCATTTGCAGATTTTTGGGGTATAGAAACGCCTAGGGCAACTTCAGAAATGAGGCTCAGAATCGACAATATACGACACATACGTGAACGCACGGCGGCGCTTCGCGCCGCCCCCTGCCCCCTCACGGCACTCGCGGCTACCATCTAGTACCTCCCGCGCGGACCTCGGCTCATTTGACGTCAATTTGCGATTTTTCCCGCCACCGAAGGCGCCTAAAAGATGTCAGAACTCGTCAACAAACGACGATGTCGGAGACGCACCCGCAACGCAGCGGCGCTCCGCGCCGCCTCGCGCCGACCCCAACCCTCCTCCCGTCTGTCTCTGGGTATCGTCGCGACGGTCAGCGAGAGCTACCGGCGCGGACCTCGGCGCAATTGACGTCGATTTCGCGTTTTTCGGGCCTTGGAGAGCCAGCTGAAAATGCGAGAAATGAGCACAAAATCGGTCAGATACAGCTGAGATGGGAGGGCCTGCATACGCACTGGGATGACCGCAGACTCAGACGGCTTGATGGGCGTGCGGAATGAGCATGTTGGAGCAGAACTACGCGAGAAAGGTCAGCACATGAATGAGGCAGTAGTCTCGAGCAGCTCACCGAAGCGCGGACTCTAATTGCAGCAACGCTCGACCAGCTTCATGAGCAGTCGTTGGCGGTGTCGAGTGCGGCGGCGCCGGCGGCCGGGGCGACGGAAAGAACGGACGGCGGGCGGGCGTGGATGGGGGCAGGGAGGAAAATACCACCCCTCCGAGACGCGACCGAGTATATATACGCCTGTCATGAAATTTTATCAGTCGTCCGATATCCGCCTGTTATAACGGCACTGATGCCTGCTGCGCACCTTCAAGCTTTCTCGCTTCCACTCAACCCTCGGAGAACATGCGTTTTGACTATCTGCGCGCGGGGTGAGTCGAATACGATGCCCGGCATGCAGATGTACATGGAGAACTCGTACACGTTGCCTGCAAAATTCAGTGACCCTCGTTCCTCAGTGAAGAGGAAGATCGGCGTGCTCACCAATGATTACAGCTCGCTAACGTTAACCTTCGCCGCGGGATTTCACAAGCACACCGAAGCCGGCAGATATCCAATGGAGTCCTAATAGAAAATATGACGTGAGTTTATATGAAGCGAGCCGCGTTCACCGGCACGTACCTTGCAAGAGCGCAGATCCTCCGCCTTCCGCTAGCGTACCCTCATTACCCTATGACCTCTGCATTCCATAGTAAGAAAAAGAAACGATAGGTTCGATTTTCATAGGAGGATGGGCGCATGCGCAGACGGGAACACAGTGTGTCTTTCACACGCAGTGAGCACAGCTCAACACATTTCTTCATGTTAGGCACACGAGCGTCTGCTATTGCCAACAGACTGAGCATCAGTCGCTGGAAAGGGGCAGCCAGCGCGAGAAACAGCGCTTCCTCCCATGCCGTCGTGTTCGTGTCCGACGAGTTCAGTCGAAAGCCTTCCTAATTAGGCTCAATAGACGGGCTCGCGTGCTCTCGAGGCACAGAGCTAGAAGTCCGGACAAGTTGCAATGACGGAGTGCAGATCTTGACGTATAGCTGGCCTTGCCGCTTCCGTCGCTCGTGCATTTCCGAGGGCGGGTGAGTTGAGCTTGACCGCGGCCTTCTCGAGGCTCACTACGAGCGGGGAGGGTCAAGAATATCATCATATAGCGTTATGAGGGGTCAGTCAGGGCGTTCTGGCAGTCAGCGCGGACTCCAAACGTCGATGTTGGTGGTCGAGAACAAGAAGGACATTGTTTGTGGCGCCGACAATCAGGGACCGGAGGGCGGCCCGTCAAGTCCGTGCGCCCGCGCGCCCCGTCTTGTCCTCGACTTTCATCCATCGCGGCAGTCCGCCGTCTCGGAATAAGCGCGAAATGCGTCGAAATACCAATCGCTACACATCTACGAGTTGCAGAACCGCTGCCATATCTGGGCGGGACGGAAACCATGCAAACATCACCAAGACGCGATCCCCGAAACTTGGAGGGGTCTACAACGTCGCGGAGAGCCCCACGATGGGTCGTACACACTCAACCCACAAGCGCTATGTGCTCAGAACCCGCCCCAAGGTTTGCGATGGGCGAGATATGCGTTCTGGCTTATCGTTCTGGAAGGTCGAGCTGCTTTGCATGCGGAACTCGACGTCTTCCCTTCCATTTTGCGCGCACTCCCCCAAAAATACCGCCCACCCAAAATCGATGCGGAATATCATTATTAACAGGCTTTGTATATTGAACCCCGCCTTCCGCGCCCTCGTTGCAGTGCTATTGCGCGATGAAGGTGGTTTTGAATTTGTGGCGTCGCTTTTGGTGCGTCTCCAGTGCTGTCCCTGTGGGCTTTTGAGGGCGGCAAAGTACAGTGACATGCTCGCATACATCTCCCCATGTGGCGTAGGAAGTATGGTGAGCTCGCAACGTCTGCACGCCATGATATTCACCGTGCTCACCTCCTCTCCCTTAGATCTGCCACACGCTCAATCTTCCACCTGCCGGCACGCAATCACAGCGACCGATCTCGTCGGGTGCCACGAGCACTCGGGTGACGTTGCGCCGGCCGAAGAACGCTCTCGAAGCTCGCAGTCCCACACTTGCAAAACCAACCTCCTGGGGGATACACATCTTGCACTCGTTCTAGGCGCGTTTCCGCTGTCAGCCCGCAATTCGGCTCGGATGCATGCTTACTCGGAGGTGCTGAAACGGTGAGCCGAAGGTTGGAAGATTGCGCTGCCCTCGCATGCGCTATCGCCGTTCTGCTGCTTACAGGCGATTTACAGCACGCCCAGAGCGCGCAGGCACCCCATAATTTGCCAGCGGTATGTCAGCGACATACGGAACATTGTGGTGTTGCACCTTTTGCACGAGAGCGCGAGCGCGGCGATGCGCAGGGCGCGCTCGCAGGCGCCTTGCCTTTATGGACTCAAAGCCTTCCCAAAAGGGAAGGCCTGCCTTTGACTCGAACCGCGGTGTCGACGTCTGGCACCGCCGCCCTCCGACCCTCCGTCCTCGTCGCAACTTGTCAAGCTTCCGAACATTCCATAGACCACACCCTCCTGCTTGCATCGGCACGCCCTGCACAGTCCCCGCAATTCAAGAGACTTCAACGCGCCGCGGACATCCACGCACAGACCGACACTCAGCGCCTCGAGGCCTTCTTCCGCCGACCCGCGACTGTCATCCGACCCCTTCCGACCTGCTCTGGCGCCGACCTACGCGCTGATCGCACCCTCGCCAGTACGTCGAAATTTTCGATCCCCATGCAATACCCATGCACGACGGGCAATCTTCCGCACTTTCGTAACCGTATCTCGACGCGCGCTTGCTGCTCGGGGGCGCGTCGGGTCCGCTGTATGGGCTGCTGCGGTTGACGAAGGCTATCCGACGCGGGGGGAGGTACATAAGGCGGGAGGTGGGGAGGTTGGCAGGCAGAGCTCGATGCTCTTCCGGATCCTTTCCCCCTCGACTGCCTCGACTGCCTCCTCCTCCACTGCTGGCCTGCCCGCCGCCGTCTGCTATCAGGTCAGTACCCTCGCTGACCGCCTGTCCCCCGTTCTCGCTGACGCGCTCTTTCAGGTTCGTCCAGCTTGGCGTCGTCGGTGGTATATAGACCTCGTACGTCGTCTCTACTCGCCGTCCTATTCACCCATACTGACCCGTCCTATCAGCGTAGCCTACGCCCTTTGTGTCTGTCCTTACATCGGTGAGTGCTTTTGCTCACCCCACCTATCGCACGCTCACCGTCTATCCTCTAGATTCCATCGATGCGAATATATTGTTACTTTCCCCAAGTACGTCGTCCTGCCTTCTACGCGCCTCGCCAGTCACTGATTTTCTGTTTACGTAGTGATTTCGACGCGTCATTTTCAAGGACATTGTTTGCCTGATTGCGAGCGCAAACGTTGGGTTACGGGCACGGGTCTTGCCTAGGTGCGTGACCTGACCTCTACTTATTAACATTCATTACTGACTGCGCTCTGTAGGCGACGTGCTCGTGCTCAATTGTTTGATTTCGATATCGCGCTGGCTGTCCAGACGCGCCCGCGTCTTCTCCCTCGCCGTCAAGCGCACTCTCCCCTCGCCTTCAAGCTTGTCCTCGCCTTCAACCGCCGCCTCGCACTTCAGCGCATCTTCAACCTCGAGCACATCCCCACCCTCGCTTTCAAGCCCAACCTCCTCGTCCTCAAGCTCAACCTCACCCCCACCACCCCGACCAGATGACCCTGCAGTCATCATTCGGTGAGTGCTGGCATCCTTTCTATTCGTCGTACATTCTTCTTTTCCTCACGGTTGCTTTACTCCGATCTCTTGCCTCGCTACCCTACCCCCCGCACCCGAGCGAGAACCCGCTGCCTTTCTTGGGCGAAGTCGGCTGGTTTCTTACTTGTTTAGTCGCCTTGGGGTTAATTGGTGATTGAGTTCGTAGTTTAGTGACTTCGTGGTCGTAGTTTAGTGACTTCGTGGTCGCGGGTTAGTGATCTCGGAGTCGTAGATTACTGATCTCGTCTACGTACTCTTTCGTTCGGTTTCATTCACTACTGCCCCCTTCGTGTTCACTACTGACCCCTTCGTGTTCATGACTGACCCCACCGTCTTCTACTACGACCCTCCCTTATTGTCTAGCTCACTGACTTCTCCGTCTTCTACTACGATCCCTCTCGTCGTGTTTACTGACATCTCCATCCTACTTACTGACCCCTCCGTCTTCTACTACGATCCTTCTCGTCCTACTTACTGACATCTCCGCCGTGTTCACTGACCCCCCTCGTCTCGTCTCGCACGTGGATCACTAACGAACTTGCATTGCAGACTACCGACTACGCACATGTCATCTGCACTACCCGCCGCGAACGCGACTGCTGCTCTACGGCATCGCGCCCGCGCACGTCTGCCCTACCGCCGACGACGCGTGCGGCCTTCATCGACGATGCGCGCGGCCTCCATCGACGACGCGCTCGGACTTCATCGACGACGCGCTCGGCCTTTCTCGACGACGCGCACGGCCTCCATCGACGACGCGCACGGACTTCATCGACGACGCTCAAAGGCAAGCACCGCACCGCGGCCTCCTACCCTCCTCCCACCGACTTGCTGACGCGGTTCCTGCTGTTAGTTGATGCTCGTCGAGGGCGATGGAGGCGTCGACGAAGGTCGGGGAGGACGTCGGGGAGGTCGCGGGGGACGTCGTCGCGGGCGGGGGAGGTGTCGGCGAGGGAGTCGAAGGGGTCGTCGAGGGAGTCGAAGCCGTTGTCGAGGGCGGGAAGGCGTTGTCGAAGGCGAGGGAGCTGTCGTTGAGGGCGGGGAGGATGTCGCCGAGGTCGCGGAGGACGTTGACGAGGGTAGGGAAGCCGTCGTCGAGGGAGTCGAAGGCGTTGTCGAGGGCGGGAAGGCGTTGTCGAAGGCGAGGGAGCTGTCGTTGAGGGCGGGGAGGATGTCGCCGAGGTCGCGGAGGACGTCGACGAGGGTAGGGAAGCCGTCGTCGAGGGAGTCGAAGGCGTTGTCGAGGGCGGGAAGGCGTTGTCGAAGGCGAGGGAGCTGTCGTCGAAGGCGAGGGAGCTGTCATTGAGGGCGGCGAGGATGTCGTCGAGGGCGATGGAGGCGTCGCCGAGGGCGGGAGAGGCGTCGACGAAGGTCGGGAAGGCGTCGCCGAGGGTCGGGAAGGCAGAAGGCGCGGAGGACGTTGGAGAGGTCGGAGGTGTCGGGACCGGGCATCCTCGACAGACGGAGAGGTCGGTCGAAGGGGGGGATTAGCATCATTAGTGACCTTTTGTACGTCGCCGTACCTGTGAAGGGGTGGTCAGGGTAGGGTAGGGTAAGGGTACGATAAGGGTAAGGATAGGGTAGGGTATGGTCAGGGTAGGGTAGGGTAGGGTATGGTAAGGATAGGGTAGGATAGGGTTTGGGGAGTTAGCCAGTTAGGACGGGTGGGTGGGGAGGATAAGTAGACGAGAAGGGGAGGGGTAGGGGTAGGGTAAGTACGCACCTCTAATAGATTCGCAACCTGTATAGACGGCCGTGCGAGAGGGGAGGGGAGGGTTAGTAGACGAAATGACGAAGGGGAGGTAGACGAAAGGGGAGGGGTAGACGAAAGGGGAGGGATAGACAACAGGGGAGGGTCAGACGAAAGGGGAAGCGGAGGAAGGGGAGAGGGGAGGTGCGTACTCACCGCGTTCGTCCGGAAAGCGCGCGCCAACTCATCTTCTTGCCCCTTCTAGGCGTGCTGGCTCGACGGAGGCGGGCGTGGGGAGGGTTGGCTCGTGCGCGGCGAGCGTCTTCTGACGACGGTGAGCGCTCCCTCGACCTTCGCACCTTCACCCTTTCCGCGACTCCCCTCCCGCTTCGCGCATCTCATCTTCTCTTCTTCGCGCATCCCCCCACCCTTCCCGGACATCCCCCCACCCCCTACCCACCCCCACCTCCCCCTCGCGCCGTCGACCTTTCGTGTGTTCCTTTTGACTTCCTCCCTCCCCCTTCACTTCCTCCCTCCCCCTTCCCTTCCTCCCCCCCCCTTCCTCCCTCCCCCTTTACCTTCTCGCTCCCCTTTACCTTCTCGCTCCCCCTTCACCTTCTCCCTCCCCCATCCGACCTCTCGCCCTCTCACCCCCCGCGCTTTTCGCCCCCTCACCCCCGCGCTCGTCGCCCTTCGTTGCCTCCCTCTGATCTGTCCCTCCTCCTTCGGTGGTCTTCCTCCCCCACCCTCGTCCATGCCATCCCCCTTCGCATTCCCTTCCCCCTTCCCCCCTTCCCCCACCCTTTCGACCTCCCGCGCATCGCCCCCCTTCGTGCCCCTCCTCGCACCGCCCATGCGCCTTCGCCCGCAACAACGCCCCCTCTCCTTCGTTCCCTTTTCCCCTTCCCATCGGGCACCCTCATCCTTGCTGCTCGCGCGTTCCTCTCCCCTTCGCGCTCCCGACCAGTTCTTCCTCCCTCCCTCTCCCGCTCGCTGGGTCGCTTCCCTTTCTCTCCCTGCGTCGCGCTCCCTCTCCCTCCCCGCGTCGATTTCCGCACCTTCTGCGCCCTCAACTGCCTCGCCATCGCAGGGCCGCGATCGTCGCGTCTGCGCACGCCGTCGACGCTGAGCTTGATGTGCTGCGTACGTCTCTTCCCGCTCCCCCTCGCATCTTCCGCTTACGACATCCTCTAGACGGGGCGAGGCTACGATATCGTCCGCGTCGCGTGATCGGGGGAGGGGGACGGGGAGTCGAAGAAGGGAGAGTAATATGTGAAGGAGGGGAGGGAGATGGAGGGAAGGTCGGAGATGGACGGGAGTGGAAGGCGGAGGGGAGTGAAAGGCGGAAATAGTGGGGCAGGCGGAGGTGGTGGGGAAGGCGGAGGTGATGGGGGAGATGTATGCACGCGCTGGGTGACTGGATGTATGCGGCGGCGATCGCGAGTCGGCGCGTCGTTGGAGCGGGCGACGCGACGGTGAGGCGCGGGACGGGCCAGAGTGGCGATAGTGACAGGCGATGGGCGACGACGGGCGGGTGAGATGACGGTCGGGTCGGGAGTCGATCCCAGCGGGCAGACGGTCGATCGCCCGTGTTTGGCGCGACGATGGGGACGGGAGGACGTGGACGGGTTGAGGTTAGGGGGAGGAGACGTGGCTGATCGGCGTAGATGGCTGAGGACCGCGGGAAGCCGCAGCCGACGGAGAAGAACGCAAGCTAGCGACGAGGGTTATCTGTACAGTATCCGGTGTACATCGACAATGACGTTGGACAGGGAGAGTCCGTCGAGAACAAGCTGGTCCGGAGAATGCCGAGGACAGCGGTCCACCTCCCATTGCTTGATTCCGACGTTGATCTTGCTCCCCTCGTCTGCTTGCCTCATACCCTGATATTTGAGGGCTTAGCGGATACTTAGCAGGACCGAACGAACCTTCGAGCAATCGTTCGATCACGCCCCGACTTCCCAAGACAATGAAAGGCATCCAAGAGCTGGTTAGTGACCTGACCCTCGCCCGACGCGCCACCAAGCTCCCCAGGATGACCCGATCGTCATCGCAGAAGGCATCGCCTCTAGTGTCGTCAAGGTCTGCGGGCGTCTTCCCAGTCAATCAGACGAGCCGCAAGTCGTAGCCCTCAAGTCCTCGACCCTCCGCAAGCGCTTCGCGAAGGAGCCGCACGACATCGTGAAGGAGCTCAGGATCCTGCGCAGCCTGTCGCATCCGAATGTGCGTGTCGACACGGTCTGTCATGCGCCAACTTACACCAACTTACACCCAGATCGTCCCCCTCATCCACCACGAACGCTCGGGCGACGACCTCACGCTCTTCCTCCCCTACATCCCCTTCGCCCTCCCCCAGCTCCTCGCCTCGCCCTACTTCTCCCCGCACATCTACCCACCCTACCTCCGCCCTGGCCCCGACGCCCTCGCGGAACGCCGCGATCGCTTCTGCGCCGTCGCGCGCGCGATCATGGCGCAGGTGCTCTTTGCGCTGGCGTACCTCCACGACGAGCAGCGCGTCGCGCACCGCGACATCAAACCCGCGAATGTGCTGCTGACGGAGGAAGGGCTGGTCAAGCTGATCGACTTTGGGATCGCGCGGAGGGAGGGGGAGGGGGAGGAGGAAACGAAGGAGGACCTGTGGCCGGAGCCGAGGGAGAGAATGTACTTTGAGGTGTCGACGGGGTGAGAGGGCGATTTTTCCGTGTGTGGCTAGCGGTCTGCGTGCTCACAGACGTCATGCAGCCCGTACCGCGCTCCCGAGCTCCTCTTCGGCCCTCGCACATACGACGCGTTCGCGATCGACATGTGGAGTCTAGGCGCCACGTTCGCCGAGTTCTTCACCCCACTGTCCCTCTACCTCGACGACGAGGACGAGGGCTTTGGAGGCTTTGGTGGTGGCTTCGCAAGGTCGCACAACGCTTCCACCGATGCAGACGAAGAGGACGACGAAGACACAACTACCCCCCCTCCCCCCTTCCGCATCCCCTCCCATCTCCGCATCGGCTACCCGGGCGCGAAATGGGCGCGCGACACGCTTTTCAACGGCTCGCGCGGGGAGATCGGGCTAGCCTGGAGCATCTTCCAGATCCGGGGGACGCCGAACGAGGAATTGTGGCCGGTAAGTAGAGGCAGGATGCTTGACTTGATTTGTGGAGTCTGGGCGCTGTCGCTCTGTGATGACGGCAGAAACTGGCATGAAAATTCGCAGGTGTCTAGCGCCCGTCCCTCCTTGGCTGGGCCCCCCGGGCATGGTCTCCCCCTGCAGGGGCCCATGTCCGGGAGGCGTGGTGCTAGCTACCGACTACTGACGATGATCCTCGGCATACCCTCCCTCCCACCAGCATAACTCCCACCAGCATGACTCCTCCCACCAGCAGCACCTCCCCGCAGCATGACCTCCCATCGTAGGGGCAGCATAACGGGTAGCGGCGGCCACGACGACCACGAGCAGCAACACGGACAGCAAGCGAGCGAAGAGGGGGGAGGGGAAGGACACGGTAAGGGACTCGCCCACCCCCGCGCAGCTTATATACCCTCCCAGAGCCTGCCGCCGCGCCCGAGTATTGACGCGTGAGCCGAGTACGCTAGCCTGCGACACTGCGAGGGTCCCCCTCCCTAGTACGCTAGGGTTGGGTCTGTTCGCGTCCGACGAGACCGACGAGGGGATGGTGGTAAGGCTCCCTCTTGTACGACCCTTCGCCCCCTCCCCTTCCCCTCCTGCTTCGTCTTAACATCATATACAAGTCCCCCTCCCCCTCCTTTGTGATTCTCCTCCCCCCTCCCCCTGGCCTCCATCGCCAACGAGTGCGGCGGGTGCGCCTCCCACAGGTACCCGCCCTTCGATAACGTCTGCGAACCTCCGTAGGCCCCGAACACCGATAGATAGTACCTCGCCGACATCCCCGATGTAGTAGAGAACACCAAATAGAGCTTTCTTTCTTGACAGCCCCACCCGCGCGTTTGACGATAAGGTGGGCCGACGACATAGGGTGAGGGGCTATTGGGACCTCAGAGACTTGAGAAGGGGTTTGTTTTCTCTTCATTTGAGCTCAGTGATGTTAAACGCGATTTCATTGTACTCTAGAGACAAAATGTAACTAATAAACTACGACGGGGAAGCACATCCCTGCCCCCCTCGAAGGGGGGCAAACGTCAACGAGCAAGCCGTCACGCTCAACGCCCAAGCGGCCTCGCTGCATCGGAAAGGGTGCGAGGGGGGGACTGCAGACGATAGCGTACCGTTCGATAGCCGCGAGCCCGCGTTCGACGTCGACGGCGACGAGCGGGTGCAAAAGTCGAACCGCTCACGTGAGTATCGGCTCCGAGCGCTCGTGACGTGTTGAAGTCGGTGGAAACGCGAAAGGAGGGGTTGGCGAGGAGCGCGGGGAGCGTCGCGCGACGGTAAAGGACTGGAGAGAAGGTCAGCAAAGGGATCGCAACTCAGGTAGGTGGCACTTCCCCTCGCTCGGCGGACGGCGATACATATACTCATCGCCTAGGGGGTTGGGAAGTGCAGGGAAAGCATCGCGTATACGAGGGCGACGGGAACGAGACGTATCCTGACGAGAAGGCCAGCGAGAAGCGCATGGACTACACGCAGGAAGGCTTACCCTCGCTCGTGCATCGCTTCGGAGGGTGTTCGAGGCTTTCCCTTAGGGTGAGACGAGTCGTGGTCCGTGAGGGATGCGCCGAAATGAGCTATGCGCACGATGAGCAGGCCTCCTCAAAGCTAGGGAGGAGGTAGAGGCGTCTGAGGAGAGGAGGAATGAGCGAGCGAAAGATGAAAGGGGCCGAAAGGAGGACGACGTAGGTAGGAAGGCAAGAAGGCAAAGGGAGGGGGCGCGGCAGAGGGAAGGGATGCAGGCTCAAAGGGCATCGAGGTGCGATGAGCGAAAGTTCGTGGGGAGGGGGACGCGAAATGGACTATGGGGAGGAGGGAACAGGACTTACCTTCGCCTGGGCTGACAGCGACGTAGAGCGTGGGGAGGCGGACGAAGCAGGTAGGGGTTGTAAAGGGCTTCACGGCGTTGGCTGCACATCTAAGAATGAGCGCTGAGCAGAACCACATGATGTGGCGTACGCACCAACTGTTGCATCGCATGAGAACGACGCTCATGGCGGCGCTGTGCGCCGCCCTGCCCCCCTCCCTGATCGTCGCGACGATCGACTAGGACCTCCCGCGCGGACCTCGGTGCATTTGACGTTCATTTGCGGATTTTTCGTCCATAGAAGCGCCTAAGATACCGTCAGAAATGAAGTGCAGAATCGAAGGGATGAGACATACGTGGACACACAGCGGCGCATCGCGCCGCCCCGGCCCCTTCCCACCGCTCGCGGGTATCATCTAGTACTTCCCGCGCGGACCTCAGCGCATTTGACGTCGATTTACGAATTTTCCTGCCAGTGAAGGCGCCTGAAAGATGTCAGAAATCATCAACAAACGACGATGCCAGCGACGCACCTGCAACGCGGCGGCGCTCCGCGCCGCCTCGCGCCGACCCCAACCCTACTCCCGTCTATCTCCGAGCATTGTCGCAGCGGTCAGCGAGAGCTACCGGCGCGGACCTCGGCGCAATTGACGTCGATTTCGCGTTTTTCGGGCCTTGGAGAGTCAGCTGAAAATGCGAGAAAATGAGCACAAAATCGGTCAGAAACAGCTAGAATGGGAGGTCCTGCACACGCACCGGGATGACCGCAGACTCAAATGGCTTAATGGGCGTGCGGAATGAGCATGTTGGAGCAGAACTACGCGAGGAAGGTCAGCACATGAATGAGGCAGTAGTGTCGAGCAGCTCACCGAAGCGCGAGCTCTTATCGCAGCAACGTTCGACCAGCCTTCTGAGCAGTCGTTGGCGGCGGCGGCGGCGGCGGCGGAAAGAACGGATGGCGGGCGGGCGTGGGTGGAGGCAGGGAGGAAAATACCACCCCTCCGAGACGCGACCGAGTACATATACGCCTGTCATGAAATTTGATTGGTCGTCCGATATCCGCCTGTTATAACGGCACTGATGCCTGCTGCGCACCTTCAAGCTTTCTCGCTTCCACTCAATCCTCGAAGACCATGCGGTTTGACTATCTGCGCGCGGGATGACTCGAATACGATGCCCCGCGTGCAGATATACACGGAGAACTGATCTGGACCTGCAATGTCAGCACCACTCGACTTTCAGTAGAGATGAAGGACGGCGTGCTCGGCGTTGAGTTTGGCTCGCCAACCTTCGCCGTGACATCCCACAAGCCCTCCAAAACCTGCGGCTATCAGATTGGATCCCAAATGAAGCCATGCCGTCAGTTCAATGCAGAGACCCGCGTTCACCGGCGCGTACCTTGAGAAGAACAGGCAGTTCTCCGCCTTGCACTGGTACCCTTCCACCGCGCTGCTGTTTCCGGATGCCGGAGTGCCACTGAGCAGCGACGAGTCTGTTTTCGCGCACGCGCGGGCGAGAAGACGACGTCATGCGCCTGAACTTGACTACACCTCGCCTCGATGCTTTTCTGCAAAGCGCAGGGGGCTCCGCTATCGGAGGGAGGTAGAAGACCAGTCTCACAAGTGACGCGGCGAGCGCAAAGAACAGCGTCTGTGCCCACGCTGCCGCCGCCGTCACCCCACAAGCTCGACGGGGGTGCCGTCCAAAGCCTTCCGAATCAGGCTCAATAGACGAGCTCGCGTGTACTGAGGCACAGAGCTAGAAGTCCGGTCAAGTCGCAATGACGGAGTGCAGATCATGACGTATAGCTGGCCCTGCCGCTTCCGCCGCCCGTGCTTTTCCGAGGGCGGGTGAGTTGAGCTTGACCGCGGCTTCTCGAGGCTCACTACGAGCGGGGATGGTCAAGAATATCACATATAGCGTTATAAGGGGTCAGTTAGGGCGTCTTGGCAGTCAGCGCGGCGTCCAAACGTCGATGATGGTGGTCGAGAACAAGAAGGACATTGTTTGTGGCGCCGACAATCAGGGACCGGAGGGCGGCCCGTCAAGTCCGTGCGCCCGCGCGCACCGTCTTGTCCTCGACTTTCATCCATCGCGGCGGTCCGCCGTCTCGGAATGAGCGCGAAATGCGTCGAAATACCAATTGCTACACATCTATGAACTACGGAAGCGCTGCAATATCTGGGCGCGACGGAATTCATGCAAACATCACCAAGACGCGATACCCGAGACTTGGAGGGGTCTACAACGTCGCGGGGAGCCCCACGATGGGTTGTACACACTCAACCCACAAGCGCCATGTGTTCAGAACCCGCCCCAAGGGTTGCGATGGGCGAGATATGCGTTCTGGCCTATCGTTCTGGAAGGTCGAGCTGCTTTGCATGCGGAACTCGACGTCTTCCCTTCCATTTTTGTGCGCACTCCCCCAAAAATACCGCCCGCCCAAAATCGATGCGGAATATCATTCTGAGCAGGTTTTGTATATTGAACCCCGCCTTCCGCGCCTTCGTCGCAGTGCTATAGCGCGACGAAGGTGGTTTTGAATTTGTGGCGTCGCTTTTGGTGCGTCTCCCGTGCTGTCGCTTCGGGCTCTCGCGGACGGCAAAGTACAGGACCATGCTCGCACACATCTCCCCATGTGGTCCAGGAAGTATGGTGAGCTCGCGACGTCTGCGCGCCATGATATTCACCATGCTCACCTCCTCTCCCTTAGATCTGCCACACTCTCAATCTTCCACCTGCCGGCACGCAATTGCAGCGACCGATCTCGTCGGGTGCCACGAGCACTCGGGTGATGTTGCGCCGGCCGAAGAACGCTCTCGAAGCTCGCAGTCCCACACTTGCAAAACCAACCTCCTGGAGGATACACATCTTGCACTCGTTCTAGGCGCGTTTGCGCTGTCAGCCCGCAATTCGGATCGGATGCATGCTTAATCGGAGGTGGTGAAACGGCGAGCTGAAGCTTGGAAGATTGCGCTGCCCTCGCATGCGCTATCGCCGTTCTGCTGCTTACAGGCGATTTACAGCACGCCCAGAGCGCGCAGGCACCCCATAATTTGCCAGCGGTATGTCAGCGACATACGGAACATTGTGGTGTTGCACCTTTTGCACGAGAGCGCGAGCGCGGAGATGCGCAGGGCGCGCTCGCAGGCGCCTTGCCTTTATGGACTCAAAGCCTTCCCAAAAGGGAAGGCCTGCCTTTGACTCGAACCGCGGCGTCGACGTCTGGCACCGCCGCCCTCCGACCCTCCGTCCTCGTCGCAACTTGTCAAGCTTCCGAACATTCCATAGACCACACCCTCCTGCTTGCATCGGCACGCCCTGCACAGTCCCCGCAATTCAAGAGACTTCAACGCGCCGCGGACATCCACGCACAGACCGACACTCAGCGCCTCGAGGCCTTCTTCCGCCGACCCGCGACTGTCATCCGACCCCTTCCGACTTGCTCTGGCGCGGACCTACGCGCTGATCGCACCCTCGCCAGTACGTCGAAATTTTCGATCCCCATGCAATACCCATGCACGACGGGCAATCTTCCGCACTTTCGTAACCGTATCTCGACGCGCGCTTGATGCTCGGGGGCGCGTCGGGTCCGCTGTATGGGCCGCTGCGGCTGACGAAGGCTATCCGACGCGGGGGGAGGTACATAAGGCGGGAGGTGGGGAGGTTGGCAGGCAGAGCTCGATGCTCTTCCTTTCCCCCTCGACTGCCTCGACCGCCTCCTCCTCCACTGCTGGCCTGGCCGTCGCTGTCTGCTATCAGGTCAGTACCCTCGCTGCCGGCCTGTCTCCTTCTCGCTGATGCGCTCGTTCAGGGTTGTTCAGCTTGGCGTCGTTGGTGGTATATAGACCTAGTACGTCGTCTCTACTCGCCGTCCTATTCACCCATACTGACTCGTCCTATCAACGTAGCCTACGCCCTTTGTGTCTGTCCTTACACCGGCGAGTGCTCTTGTCCACCCCGTCTATCGCTCGCTCATCGTCTATCCTCTAGATTTAATCGATGCGAATATATTGTTACTTTCCCCAAGTACGTGGTCCCGCTTTCTACGCGCCTCGCCAGTCACTGATTGTTTGTTTACTTAGTGGTTCCGACGCTTCATCCTCAAGGACATTGTTTGCCTAATTGCGAGCGCGAACGTTGGGTTAGAGGCACGGGTCTTACCTAGGTGCGTCACCTGTCCTCTACTCATTGACATTCATGACCAACTGCGCTCTGTAGGCGACGTGCTCGTGCTCAATTATTGGATTAGGATATCGCGCTGGCTGTTCAGACGCGTCCGCGTCTTCTCCCTCGCCGTCAAGCGCACTCTCCCCTCGCCTTCAAGCTTGTCCTCGCCTTCAACCGCCGCCTCGCACTTCAGCGCATCTTCAACCTCGAGCACATCCCCACCCTCGCTTTCAAGCCCAACCTCCTCGTCCTCAAGCTCAACCTCTCCCCCACCACCCCGACCAGATGACCCTGCAGTCATCATTCGGTGAGTGCTGGCATCCTTTCTATTCGTCGTACATTCTTCTTTTCCTCACGGTTGCTTTACTCCGATCTCTTGCCTCGCTACCCTACCCCCCGCACCCGAGCGAGAACCCGCTGCCTTTCTTGTGCGAAGTCGGCTGGTTTCTTACTTGTTTAGTCGCCTTGGGGTTAATTGGTGATTGAGTTCGTAGTTTAGTGACTTCGAGCCCGTAGTTTAGTGATCTCGGAGTCGTAGATTACTACTCTCCTCTACTTATTCTTTCGTTCGTTTTCATTTACTACTGACTCCTTCGTGTCCATGACTGACCCCTCCGTCTTCTATTACGACCCTCCCTTACTGTCCAGCTCACTGACTTCTCCGTCTTCTACTACGATCCCTCTCGTCGTGTTTACTGACATCTCCATCCTACTTACTGACATCTCCGGATCCATCCGTGCTACTTACTGACGTCTCCGTGCTACTTACTGCCGCCTCCGCTGTGTTTACTGATCCCCCTCGTCCCGTCTCGCACGTGGATCACTAACTGACTTGCATTGCAGACTACCGACTACGCACATGTCATCTGCCCTACCCGCCGGCGACGCGCCCGGCCTCCCTGCCCTCCTCCCACCGACTTGCTGACGCGGTTCCTGCTGTTAGTTGATGCTCGTCGAGGGCGATGGAGGCGTCGACGAAGGGTGGGGAGCTGTCATTGCGGGCGGCAAGGCGTCGACGAAGGTCGGGGAGGACGTCGGGGAGGTCGCGGGGGACGTCGTCGCGGGCGGGGGAGGTGTCGGCGAGGGAGTCGAAGGGGTCGTCGAGGGAGTCGAAGGCGTTGTCGAGGGCGGGAAGGCGTTGTCGAAGGCGAGGGAGCTGTCGTTGAGGGCGGGGAGGATGTCGCCGAGGTCGCGGAGGACGTCGACGAGGGTAGGGAAGCCGTCGTCGAGGTCGCGAAGGACGTCGCCGAGGGCAGGGAAGGCGTCGCCGAGGTCGTCAAGGTCGATTTCGAGGTCGGGGCGGGCGGGAGCGGACATCCTCGACGGCTGTGGAGGTCGGGAGCGGGCATCCTCGACGGACAGAGAGGTCGGTCGAAGACGGAGAGGTCGGTCGAAGGGGGGATCAGCATCATTAGTGACCTTTTGTACGTCGCCGTACCTTTGGAGGGGTGGTTAGGGTAGGGTACGGTGAGTGTAGAGTAAGGTAGGGGGGGGGGGCGGGTTAGCCAGTTAGGACGGGTGGGGGGAATAAATAGACGAGAAGGGGAGGGGCAGGGGCAGGGTAAGTACGCACCTCCAATGAATTCGTGACCTGTATAGACGGCCGTGCGAGAGGGGGAGGGAGGGAGGGTTGAGAGCGTAAAGGGGGAGGGCAAGTAGACGAAATCACGAGAAGGGGGGGTCGAACGAAAGGGGAGTGGTAGACGGAAGGGGAAGCGGAGGAAGGGGAGAGGGGAGGTGAGTACGCACCGCGTTCGTCCGGAAAGCGCGCGCTAACTCATCTTCTTGCCCCTTCTAGGCGTGCTGGCTCGTGGGAGGCGGGCGTGGGGAGGGTTGGCTCGTGCGCGGCGAGCGTCTTCTGACGACGGTGAGCGCTCCCTCGACCTTCGCACCTTCCCCCTTTCCGCGACTCCCCTCCCGCTTCGCGCATCTCACCTTCTCTTCTTCGCGCATCCCCCCACCCTTCCCGGACATCCCCCCACCCCCTTCCCCGCCCCCACCTCCCCCTCGCGCCGTTGACCTTTCGTGTGTTCCCTTTGACTTCCTCCCTCCCCCTTCACTTCCTCCCTCCCCCTTCCTCCCTCCCCCTTTACCTTCTCGCTCCCCTTTACCTTCTCGCTCCCCTTTACCTTCTCGCTCCCCCTTCACCTTCTCCCTCCCCCATCCGACCTCTCGCCCTCTCACCCCCCGCGCTTTTCGCCCCCTCACCCCCGCGCTCGTCGCCCTTCGTTGCCTCCCTCTGATCTGTCCCTCCTCCTTCGGTAGTCTTCCTCCCCCACCCTCGTCCATGCCATCCCCCTTCGCATTCCCTTCCCCCTTCCCCCCTTCCCCCACCCTTTCGACCTCCCGCGCATCGCCCCCCTTCGTGCCCCTCCTCGCACCGCGCATGCGCTTTCGCTCGCAACTCCGCCCCTCTCCTTCGTTCCCTTTTCCCCTTCCCATCGGGCACCCTCATCCTTGCTGCTCGCGCGTTCCCCTCCCCTTCGCGCTCCCGACCAGTTCTTCCTCCCTCCCTCTCCCGCTCGCTGGGTCGCTTCCCTTTCTCTCCCCGCGTCGCGCTCCCTCTCCCTCCCCGCGTCGCGCTCCCTCTCCCTCCCCGCGTCGATTTCCGCACCGTCTGCGCCCTCAACTGCCTCGCCATCGCAGGGCCGCGATCGTCGCGTCTGCGCGCGCCTTCGACGCTGACCTCGTTGTCCTGCGTACGTCTCCTTCCCCTTCCCCTCACATCTTCCGCTGACTACACCCTCTAGACACGGCGAGGCTACGATATCGTCCGCGTCGCGTGGCCGGGGCAGTGGGAAGGTGGGAGAGTATCAGGTGAAGGGGAGGTGGGAGACGGAGGGAAGGTGGGAGATGGAGGGGAGTGGAAGGCGGAGGTGGTGGGGGAGATGTATGCGGCAGGCGGGACGCGACGTATGCACGCGCTGGGTGACTGGATGTATGCGGCGGCGATCGCGAGTCGGCGGCAGGACGGGGCGTTGGTAGAGCCGGCGACGCGACGGTGACGCGCGGGACGGGACAGATGGGCGATGGTGACAGGCGATGGGCGACGACGGGCGGGTGAGATGACGGTCGGGTCGGGAGTCGGTCCCAGCGGGCAGACGGTCGATCGCCCGTGTGTGGCGCGACGATGGGGACGGGAGGACGTGGACGGGTTGAGGTTAGGGGAGGAGACGTGGCTAATCGGCGTAGATGGCTGAAGACCACGGGAAGCCGCAGCCGACTTCAAGAAGTCACACCACGAAGGCCGTCAGCGATTCGTCCGTCTTCGATGTTAAGAGGGAGGTTTATACAGAATTCGATGCTGGTTCTATCATCCAATGTGCATTGACAATAAGGTCAGAGGGCGTTTTCAGTGTTTGAGATGCAGGCGCAGGACAAGCAGGTCCGGAGAATGCCGAGGACAGCGGTCCACCTCCCATTGCTTGATTCCGACGTTGATCTTGCTCCCCTCGTCTGCTTGCCTCATACCCTGATATTTGAGGGCTTAGTGGATACTTAGCAGGACCGAACGAACCTTCGAGCAATCGTTCGATCACGCCCCGACTTCCCAAGACAATGAAAGGCATCCAAGAGCTGGTTAGTGACCTGACCCTCGCCCGACGCGCCACCAAGCTCCCCAGGATGACCCGATCGTCATCGCAGAAGGCATCGCCTCTAGTGTCGTCAAGGTCCGCGGGCGCTTGCCCAGCCATCCAGGCGAAGCGCAAGTCGTAGCCCTCAAGTCCTCGACGCTCCGCAAGCGCTTCGCGAAGGAGCCGCACGATATCGTGAAGGAGCTCAGGATCCTGCGCAGTCTGTCGCATCCGAATGTGCGTATACACACTGTCTGTCGTGCACGGACTTACCCCAACTCTCGCTCAGATCATCCCCCTCATCCACCACGAACGCTCGGGCGACGACCTCACGCTCTTCCTCCCCTACATCCCCTTCGCCCTCCCCCAGCTGCTCGCCTCGTCCTACTTCTCCCCGCACATCTACCCGCCCTACCTCCGCCCTGGCCCCGATGCCCTTGCGGAGCGCCGCGATCGCTTCTGCGCCGTCGCGCGCGCGATCATGGCGCAGGTGCTCTTTGCGCTGGCGTACCTCCACGACGAACAGCGCGTCGCGCACCGCGACATCAAACCCGCGAACGTGCTGCTGACGGAGGAAGGGCTGGTCAAGCTGATCGACTTTGGAATTGCGAGGCGGGAAGGGGAAAGCGAGGAAGACACGAAGGAGGACCTGTGGCCAGAGCCGAGGGAGAGGATGTACTTTGAGGTGTCGACGGGGTGAGTAAATGCGCTGTATGCCGAGGTCGCTCCAGCTCACCTAGCGATCCACTCAGCCCGTACCGCGCCCCCGAGCTCCTCTTCGGCCCCCGCACATACGACGCGTTCGCGATCGACATGTGGAGTCTGGGCGCTACCTTCGCCGAGTTCTTCACCCCGCTGTCTTTGTACCTCGACGACGAGGACGAGGGCTTTGGAGGCCTTGGTGGTGGCTTCGCAAGGTCGCACAACGCTTCCACCAATCCAGACGAAGGAAACGACGCAGAGGAAGACAAAACCACCCCACCTTCCCCCTTCCGCATCCCCTCCCACCTCCGCATCGGCTACCCGGGCGCAAAATGGGCGCGCGACACGCTCTTCAACGGCGCGCGCGGGGAGATCGGGCTAGCCTGGAGCATCTTCCAGATCCGGGGGACGCCGAACGAGGAATTGTGGCCGGTGAGTAGGGGGATGATAGGGTATCGACACACGGTGAAGCTCGATGGACTAACGACCCCTCGTAGACCTTCACCTCCCTCCCAGACGCCCAGCGCGTCAACTTCACTGTCGTCCCGCCTCAGCCGCTCGCCAACTTCCTGCCCAACCTACCCAACGACCTCGACACGCACACCGACGATCTCAACACACACACGTCCAACCTTGACACCCGTACCGCCGCCCTCGACCTCGTCGACAAGCTGCTCGCGTACCCTGAGACCGATCGCTTAAGGCCCAGAGACGCCCTCAAACAGCCCTGGTTCCGCGCGTCTCCATTGTTCCTCCCGCCTGATTTCCCGGAGGATCTAGTGCGCAAGTACATGGGTGAGGATATTGAAATTATGCACGAATGCAGCGAAAAGACCCTTGGCGAGTGGGTGAAGTTCTACGCTGACGATTGAACGAGGTGGGCGCGCGCGCTGTAGACCGAGGAGAGTACTACAGACTGAAGAAACATTCGAGAAAGCGCATGACATTCGAGCTCGTTAGCAGTAACAACAATACAGTAGAGTACACTCCAATACATACACAACCCAAGAGAAACAAGAACAAAACAGTCATCTATCGTGCGCGAACGGCGGGGCTGCGCGGCGAGTTCGCCGCGGAGGAAGCTAGCTGACGCCGAGGTGTCCCCTTCGCCGGGGAGGCTGCCGTCTTCCGAGGCGAGGCGGATGCGGCTGCTGCGTCCCGGGCAGCCTGCGCCCTCGCCATCAGCGCGTCGTTGTCGACAGCGATACCTGAACGCGGAGTCAATCGCGCTATCCGACAATAGACAGATGTCACGTACTGTGCGTCTCGTTCGACGTCTTGTAGATGCCAATCAGCCGGTTGCTCAGTTCGAACATGTCGTTTCTGCGCACGTCAAACGGTCAGCCAGCGCATGGGAGACGGGACCAGGAGCATACGTACCGAAGTGAGATGATGATGAACTGCGCGTTTTCCGTCCGGTCCTTGATGTAATTCGCGATGATGGACACGTTGCGGAAGTCCAGCGCGGCGTCGATCTCGTCCATGAAGTACAGAGGCGTTGGCTGCGGGGGCCTGGCTTAGGTTCGCGGTCAACCGACGAGGCACGCTGGCCGACATACCTTGTATACATGCAGAGCGAAGACGAGCGCGAGCGAGCTCAGCGTCTTCTCGCCGCCCGAGAGGTTGCCGATGTTCTTCCAGCTCTTCTTGGGGGGCATCACGCTGAAGTCGATGCCTTCCGAGAACGGGTCCAAGCTATCGTGGTACTCCAGCTCCGCGTTCCCGCCGATGGTGATCAACTAGACCAAATTAGCAAAACGTAGCCTTCAGACCGCAAGGCGCGCACCTGATACATCTCCTTCAGCTTGAGTGAGATTTGGTTGAAGCCGGTCGCGAACTCGGTGAGCCGCCGCTTGCGCAGGTCGTCGAACTCGGCCTTCTTCGCATCGCGGCGGGCGTACACGTCGTTGTACTCCTCCAGACGCTCCATGAATTTGCGCTTGACCTTCTTGTACTCTTCGAGGACAGTCAGATTCGGGCGAGCAGCCTTGATCCGTTCTGTACAAGGATCAGCGAGCGCAATGTCGATAGCGACAAGTTGCACGCACCGTCGAGCACTTCGTAGTCAGCAAGCAATTCGTTCTTGTTTAGGCGCCGCACTTCGTCTTCCTGCCAGACTCGCATGCCACGTTGGTCGACTTTGTAGTCTGGAGTGGATTTGCGCTTGCGCGACTTCGGTTTGGTGCCGGGCTCAGTCTTAACCCCGGGCTCAGTCTTAACCCCAGGTTCGCTCTTGACGGGGGGATCGTCCGCTTCAGCGGGAGCCGCAGATGCACCAGGCGCGTTACCGTCTACGTCCATAGCCTGTCCATCCTCACCCTCATCATCTTCGTCCTCGTCCTCATCATCCTCGTCCCTGCGCCGTAGTTAGTCCCACATTCAGCCCCGACGACTGCGGACTTACTCGATGGGGATCAACTCCAGTTCGCCCTCCTCCTCAGCAATCTGCTCACTCTTGGCCTCACACTCCCGCTTTGTCTGAGCAAGCTCCTCGAGCTTGCGCTTGAGCTGCGCCTCCTTCTTCCGGAAGGACTGGACTTTCTCCTCCTGCTCGTCCACCTCCGTCTTCAGCTGCCCCAGGATATCTTCCTCCTTCTCGGCCTTCTGGCGAACCTGATTGAGACGATCGCGCACAGAATCAACGTACTCCTCCATCTCAGAGAGCGCCTTCTGAAGCTCCTCGGCGTCGGCCTGAAGCTGAGCCTGCTCCTCGCCAGCCTTGTCAATGACCTCGCCGTACTTGACGAGGTCGCGCTCGGCCTTAGCCTTGTCGACCTCCGCCTTCGTAATGGCGTCGGTGGCGATCTTGATGAACTCCTTGATACCGTCGATTTTGGACTTCTGCGCGCGCAGCTCGGAGCCGCCGACGTCGAGGATCTTCTGCTCGAGGTCATTGATGACGGACTGGATCTTGCCCGCCTCAGCTTCGAGCTTCTCCAGAGCGCGCGTAGCTGAGGTTATAGTGGCCTCCAGGGAAGCAATGCGCGCTTTGTCGCTCGTGTTGGGCCTCTGCGACGCAGCCCTGATGATCATGTTAGGCAACATTTCCGACACTGGGAATCAAAGACTGACTTCAGATCCGAGACGCGTTTCTCCGCCTCCTGAATGAGCTTCTTGCTGTTCTGTAGGTCCATCTCGAGCTTGTCGCAGGTTACAGACAGCTCAGGGGCGGAGCGCTTCAAGCGATCCAGCTCCTGCTCAGCAGCCTCCAGCTCATCGGTCGCCAGACGCAGCTTCTCCTGCGCCTTCTGGTGCTGGTTGTCGAGGTCGCGCACCTGCTGCGGCGACACCGTGTTGGTAAGCTTGGAGCTCATACCGCCAGACTGAGGGCGGCTTCCACCACCGGACATGACACCCGACGGCTCGATGAGCTGACCGGCGAGAGTGACGACCTTGTAGCGCTTCTCCGACCCGTAGGCGATGCGGTTGGCCTGCTCTAGGTTCTCAGCGACGAGCGTCTCGCGAATGACGCTCCAAAAGGCTGGCCGGAAGCGCGGGTCCTTGGGCTTGACGAGGTCGAACAGACGGGGCACGTTCTCAGGAGTCGGCGCGCGATCCGGAATGTTGTTTCTTAGCTTCTCGAGGATGAGGAAGGTCGCGCGGCCCACGTTGTTCCTGCGCATGTAGTCCGTACAGAGCTGACCATTGTTCAAGTCGTCGACGACGAGATTCTGCAAGCCAGGGCATGCAGTCGTGATCGCCACGTCGTACTTGTCGGGGATCGTACCCAAAGTGCCAAGTTTGCCCTGGAAGAACGTCAGCGTCTGTACAAGCTTACGCGCAGATACGTACATGGAAGCCGCTGATACGCCCCTCAGCCTGGATGCGATTGAGAGCGTCGACGACATTGCCCTGACTCTTGCTCTCCGCTTGGGACGCCCGCACCTCATCGAGGCGTTGCCTAGCGGCTGAGGCCTTGCGACGACAATCTTCCACAGCGGTACGTGCAGCCTGCCGATCGTCAGCAAAGGAAACGCCCCAATCAACTGACTACTGACCTCCACGCGCATGCTCGCCTCCCGGATGTCATCGTCAACGGAAGCCCTCTTCGCCTTCGTCTCATTGAGGCCGTCCGACTTCACTTTCTGATCGGAACGTAGCTCCTTGAGGTTTTCCTCGGCGGCACGCAGTGCCTCCTCGTGGTCTTGAGCTTTCTTCATGAGGGCATCGCGCTCGCTCGTAGCGACATTGATCTCAGCCTGCTTGTCGTTGATCTTCTCGGTCCAGGGCGCCAGCTCCTTCTGCCGCTTCTCAATCTCGACGGTGAACTTCTGCGTCTTGCCTATCTCAGAAATTAGTAGCAGCTCGGTACAGTCAACTGAGTTCGACGCACCAGAGAGCTTGGTCTGCATTTCCATGAGCACGGCGTGTTCGTCGGTCATTCGCTGCTCCTGCTTCTCGAGCTCCGCCTGATTCTTCTCGCGCTTCTCGGTCGACTCGTCGATCGTGTTCTTCGCGTTGTTACGCTGCTTCGTCGCCTGAAACAATATAGTCAGGGAATGTCCCTTTCATGGCCAGAGGAACAAGTATACCTCCTGAACGTCCTTCTTGAGCTTCTTCATCTTCTTGTCGACGCCCTTGTATCGCTCCTGTAGAGTAACTTGCTCCTTCTCGTTTTCCGCAAGCTCCTTCGTTGCAGTGTCCACGGCAGTTTTGAGTTCCTAAGACAGTCATTAATACGAGTCATCGCCGACACTGATGAGTTATCGCTTACCTTGAACGCGGCTTCTTTGTCGTTGTAATGCGCCTGGAGTTGCTCAAAGTGCTCGATGTCGTCTTTGTTCTTCTCCTTCTCGGACGCGAGCTTCGCCTCAACCTTGGCCTGTGATGACGCATGAGTATTTGCCGAGTAGCGAAATGTGTCCGACGTACCATTTGCTGCCTGCAACGCTCGGCCTCGCCTTCCATCTCCATGGCGCAGTAGTACAAGTACACGGAGCGCGCCTGCGTGCGCTCATTGCAGAGCCTCAGATAGCTGTCCGCCTCCTCCTTCTCCTTCGACAGCCCGTCCTTCTCCTTCTCCGCGCGCCTCAGCTTCGTCATCATCTCCGCCTTCTCCTCCGTGAGCTGCTCCATCTCAGCCTGCGCCTTCTCAATCTGCTCCACATACTGCGACGTGCCAATGATGTCCTCCAGGTATTCCAGCAGCCCCTCCTCGTGCTCGTTCGTCGCCTTGGGCTTCATCTGGGCGATGCTCTCGACCTCGCCCTGCAGGATGAGGAACCGCTTGTGGTCGAGGTCGATACCGCGGCCCTTGAGGAGCTTCTGCACCTCGGTGTAGTTGCTCAGGCGCTCGTTGATGGTGTAGCGGCTGGCATTCTGGCGGTTCGCGTGGCGCGCGACGCGGAGGTCGGAGCCGGGGACGACCTCGAACTTCTCGTCGCCTGGCTCGTCGATGATGTCCTGGAAGTGCACCTCGACGGAGCACTCCTCGAGGTCGGGGTGGCGGGCGGAGTTGTGAATGAGTTCGGAGAGCTTGGCCTGGCGCATCTTGGTGGCGCGGTACCCAAAGACGAACAGGAGGGCGTCGATCGTGTTGGACTTGCCCGAGCCATTGGGGCCGACGATAGCTGAGAACGACTATGCGACGCGTGAGTTCGGTGGGGAATATGCATGATGCCTTGCAACGCACCTTGTGGAAAGGACCGATGACCTGCTTCCCCGCATAGCTCTTGAAGTTGACGAGCGTGAGCTTGTGAATGACGAGACGTGCGCGCGGGCCCTTGCGTTCCTCCTTCGGCGCCTGCGACGCTGCCGGCTGCGAAGCTGGTAGTGTTTGAGGGGGCGGGGTAGCATCCAACGGGCCCTCTTCCTCGTCGTCCGACACGTTGTCCCGTTGAGCTGCTGCTGCCGCGCCCTTTGCAGATGTTGATGCCTGCGAAGCAGCGAACGTAGGCTGCTGCGCAGGTGGAGGACCATTGTCGTCCTCTTCCTCATCCTGAGCCTCCATCGGCACATCAGACTGCTCCTCCGGCTCTTCCACAACTCTTTGAGCGCGCTTGCTAGCTGCCTTGCCGCGACGTTTGGAGGGAGGGGGTTCGTCGTCCTCATCCGCCTCCTCTGGGGCATCGGATTCGATCTCGACGGGCTTTGAGCGGCGGGAGCTTGGCTTGCCCGATCGCGTCGACGCTGGCTTCGCCCTCTTCGCCCGGCCCTCCTTCACGGGGGCCGCCTTCCTCTTCGCAGCGATGCGTTTCTTCGGTTTCTCTTCCTCCTCATAGTCGTCCTCCTCGTTATCATCACTGTTGTCCAAAGACGGCCGTGCCTTCTTCTTCACGGGGACCACCTCGTCCTCTTCATCGTCCTCGTTCTGATCCTCCTGAAGCTGCTCCTCCACCTCTTCCTCATCAGACTCCGCTACGTCAGGAAGCGAGTTCTTGGAGTTCGTCGACGTGCGGGATCGCGACCCGCTGGCTTTGGCCGACGAACCGCGCCTCGACGCGGGTTTGCTGCTGCTCTCGGGCGCGGCCGATCTCTTGCGCTTAGATTTGGGTGGCTCTGGGGGAGGCGTGGGCTCTACCGACGCCCTGGCGCGCGACGAGCGTCTGAGGGTCGACATGATGGACTGAGACAAGGGATTTCACCAACCCCAATTCCAACGCGACGCGTCGCGTCACGCGCGCACGAGACTAGTCATGTGATTGTGACTGAAGTTCAACCATAAACACTTCTGACTGCCACCATAATTCTAGTCTATACAAATCTACTGATATCGAGCTCTAGGTTGTGCAAGTTTCTCTACATGGTCGGGACCTGTTTGGACGGAACGGGCTCCCAGAATGGATAATCGGTATACCCCTTCGCATCCTCAGAAGCACGACTGTAAAAGTACTTTCGCTCAGGGATGATCAGAGGCGCGTTCTCCATCAGGCGGCGTGGAAGATCAGGCTAGATGTGCTTTGTGTCAGCCCGCGCATTTAGTTTGCTAGGAATCTGAAACTCACGTTGCCGATGTACAACTTCGAGAACCCAATCAGGTCACCCTTCTCCTCGGCAGTCTTGATAGCTGTCTCGCGTGTGTAGCCACCGGCAGATATAAAGGGACGCTCCTTTGGCTTCCAGATCTCGCGCAGAAAGTCGTTCGACGCGTCCTTGGCGTACTTGTCGGGGTCGGCAGCGTCGTCGGCAGCTGCGCCAGGCTCGACGACGTGCAAGTAGGCAAGCTTCGGGTAGCGGTCGCGCAGCTGCGTGGCGAGGTAGCCGAAGGCTGGCTTGGGGTCCGGCATGTTGATCTCTGCAAAAAGTGAGCTATTGCTCAAGGATAAGAAGGGAAACCAGGCGTACCCTGGTAAGTACTCCACGGGCTAACCCGATACCCGACCCGCTCCTCGCCCACCGCGCGCACCACCGCCTCCGTAATCTCCAGCGCAAACCTCGCCCGATTCTCGATGCTCCCCCCATACTCATCCGTCCGCCTGTTCGACCTGTCCGACAAGAACTGCTCGATCAGATACCCATGCGCGCCATGGATCTCGACCCCATCATAGCCCGCGCGGAAGACCGCGTTGCGCGCCGCCGTCGCGAAGAGCTCCGCGTACTCGTGGATCTCGGGGATAGTCAAGGGCCGCGGGTGCTGCTCGTGCTCGCGGCCCTTGAGAGGAATATCGGACGCGCCGATGTAGTCCGCGTTGGGGTCGTCCTCGGCGAGATAGTTGAGGCGGGCGGAGAAGCCGGTGGCGGCGATCTGGAGGAAGACGTAGCAGCCTTGCTCGTGGATGCCGGCGACAATCTGAGGAAGAATCATTATGGGCTTGTGGCGGCACGCAGCGCAGGAGAGGGACTCACCTCTTTCATCGCCGCCACCTGCTCGTCGGACCAGATAGCGGCGGCGTTACCGAAGCCCGCCGCCTTGGGTGCGACGACCGCGGCCTCGTAGATGATGAAGCTTCCCGGTACGCTTGCGCGCTGGCGGTAGTACTCCTTGACAATCGGAAGGGGGACATGGTTCTTGTCGTTCCTGAAGCGCGTCGAGGGCGCGAAGACGACGCGGTGCGCGAGCTGCATGTTGCCAACCTTGATGGGCTGGAAAAGCTTGGGCGTTGCGGTCGAGACAGTCATTGTGATGAAGCAAGCGAGGAAATAACGCAGGCCTTCTAGATGTTGAGAGCAGCCAACGGAGCACGCTGTATATATGCAGCTGGCAAAGGGGGTATAGTAAGTCAAGGTCATCCATTACCAGAGTAGAAGGGAATCGTTCTATCCGAGTCGGTTGTATTGGCATCGCGCAAACGCGTAAGGCCAAAGCCTCGAATCTCCTTTTGAACGACGAATGCTCGTTCAAGGTGGGCCGGGAAGACCGAGTGCGGGCTTGACTTCCTAAACAGGTAATTTTGGGTCGACGATGACGCGAAGTCGATGTGTCGCGCACCGAGTCGGCTGACTCATCATCCAAACCCACGATTGAAGCTTCCTCATCCGCCCCATCGAGTTTAGAAGTTTCCTCAATACAAAGACGGCCCGGAATACAGAGGAAAATATATCTGAGTGGTATATGCCCTGGATAGGTTGGTGGCTAATGCAAGCCACTGGCCAGGTTGGGTTCTAGTGACGATCAACAGGAATATACGCAGGTTCGGTGTCGAGGCTGTAGCGACCAAGTTCAACACAATACGTCTTGCTGTAAAGTTCGCGACTCACCTATCGTCAACCAGCGACTTCTGCCTCGCCTTGTCAAGGACCGGCAACAGTGTGTGGTCTATGACCTTCATCAATGTCAAGAGCGATGCAAGCACATCTCTCTTCACAGTCTGCAGGTCGATGGACCTGTCCTGCTGACGATAGATATCGATGGCGAACACCAGAATAGTCTGAATTGCGGCAACGAGACGAGCGTTCACCTCGGGATCTGACCTGGCGACCATGACTGCCCCGCGGATGGCTTCTCCTGTCCGATCAAATTTCTCGACGCTGGACACGGGCCTGTAAAATCCAAGTATGCGCTCAAATTGTTGGAGTAGCGCATCCCTATCGAATGCGTTGACAGGCCGATGGATGATGAGTGCATTGCGTATGTAGGCGTCCACCATGCCGTGCACGATGCGAAGTTTGGCTCGTGCTTCGTACATCTCCTTGAGGACAGATATGAGCAGCAGGAGGTACGCTACTGCAAGGGCTGTTAACACTCCCTATCTGCTAAACAAAACGCATCTCCCTCACCTGTTACTGTCCCGGCCGTTATTGAACGTTGATGGCCATCGGCGCGATACAGGATAGCTTGCAAGAAACTTCGTGCCTTGAACGGAGTCGATCCCTCAGTGTGTATACGCGCTCTCGCAGTGGGGCCGATTGGGGCGAAATACAGTGAGGGCCTTTGCCCCAAAGAAGGTCGACTGTCATGCGCGATGCGGGGCAAGACAGCCCGTCTGCTCGCTGCGTAGGCTGCAGCGCGCGTAGATAGCGTGTTCATGTGAGAGAGTACGCAGAGAAAAATCAAGATGCGAGTTTCTCGGGGTTCGATGAAGCAAGTAAACTTGGAAGGCGATCCGTGTGAAGCTTAGACTGCCGGCGGGCCTGCGTCACACGCGGCCGAAGACTACGCCGCTTGAGGTCAAGAGGTACGAGTACGTGATATGATACTTTGAGTCCCGTGAAGGTCAACACGGAGATGCGAGCTCGACAGGGATGGCGATGAGAGCAAGGACAGAGAGCGAACTGCATCGACCGATTCCTGGAACTTGCCGAAATGCCACGTGATTGCCAGCCTGGCCGGCGAAATCCGACCTCTTGTCTCGTCACCTCACCGCGCAACGTCCGCGACGGCTGACAAGCATGTCCAGCGGGCGGCTACTCAACGCTCCTCCTCTAGTGTTATTCTTTGATATATCTTGTCTTCGACCGTCACCCCGCACGCCAGTATGCCTCTGCACGGCACTTGTGATCGTAAGGCTGTCTATCCATCCCCTGCGGTGAATGCGTTGCTCTCCAAACACCTTCGCCTACTCGTCAAGACCAATCAGTAACTGTCACCGAGGCTCCGCTACTATGACTCGGAACCACCCTACCCGCTGGTTATATACCTTGCCAGACTGACGAAGCAGCATCGACAAACCTTCTGACCACAAACTTCAACCATGACTGTCGAGTTGTCTCCTCAAAAGATAGAAATTGCCATCATGTATGTTCTCCGTGCTTACGTCGTCTACTTCAACCTGCTTCTCGTGCTGATTTATCTTCTGCAGCGGCGGGGGCATTGGCGGTCTCGCTTTCGTGCTCGCCATGCAGCGCTTCTGCGTCATGTCCAAGTTCAATATCAACGTTTACGAAGCGGCGACCAAGATCTCGCAGATCGGTGCCGGTATCACTGTATGGCCGCGCACAATCGAGATGCTGAACGACCTTGGGATGAGGGAGGACTTCGAGGCGTTCTGTGTTGATAATGAACAGCTGCGATGTGAGTTAGCATCTCCTATGCTAGACGATCTCCTCAATATTTGCTCATCGCCATTTTCAGCGTTTATCTGTCGCAAGAGCGACCAGTCGGAAGGCCACACCTTCCGCGAGATATTCCTCGAAGACGGTCAGCTTCGATGGCTTACTTCTCGTAGTACTTGCTGACCTGACTTCTTAGGCAACATGCTCATGGTCCACCGCGCCGAAGTTCAGGAAATCTTCCTCAAACACATCTCCAAAGACGTTCACTTCCACCTCTCCCATCGCCTTGAGAGCTATACCTACGCGGACGGCAATGGTCCCCACCGCATCCACCTGAATTTCCGAAACGGCCAGGTGGCCCACTGCGACCTCCTCATCGGTGCCGACGGCGTCAACTCGGTCGTGCGGCGCACTTTCTTGCCACATTTGGCGGAGAAATATGAGCGGCCCGAGTACAAGGCGTCGATTGAGCCGTTGTTTAGCGGCAGTTGTGTGTACCGAGGACTGATCCCGAGGGAGAAGCTGGCGGAGAGGTGGCCTGGGCATCCGGCGCTGGATAGGCCGTATCAGGTACGACATACGATGTTTGGGTATCTCGCGCAGCGCTGATGTCCCTCTCAATGCAGTACTGCGGTAAGGACATGGTAAGTCCTCCTGGACGCTTCCTAGCACGGTGAAGAGCTGAATGCCAACCCTTAGCACATCGTTGTCTTCCCTGTACAAAAGGGTCGCTTCATCAACGTCGTGCCATTCTACTTCGACTACGCCCGAGAGGACTCGACCTGGGAAGGCCCAGCGCTCAGAGACGCGACTTGGGACGAGATCCTGAAGATGTATGAGGGCTGGGAGCCTGAGGTTCAGGCGCTGCTTGAGGTGCGAATCCCGGCGACTCATTGCGTACGCCAGCAAGCTCACGTTGCGTGACAGTGCATGGAGAATCCGACGCACTGGGCGATCCTGACCGTCAAGCCTGTCGATATATACGCAGACGATGGCGTTATACTTCTCGGTGACGCAGTGAGTTCGACTCCTTACAATGCGCTCCATCCGGAGCGCCCTCCCTGTCATGTCACTGATGTCCTACCCAGGTCCATGCCCTCACCCCGCACCTCGGCGCCGGCGCTGGGCAGGCTATCGAGGACGCCTACGTCCTTGGCCGCATTCTCGGTCACGTCTCGGGCACCGCCAAGAACGGACTCACGACCTCCTCCCTTCACGGCGTGATCCTGCCCTCCAAGTTCAGCTCCACCGTTGCTGCCGGCATCTCCCGCGCCAGTGACATCTCGCCCGCGCTCATCTCCTCCCTCTCCGAGAAGACAAATGCCATCTACAACCGCCTGCGCCCGCCGATCGCGAACTTCGTGCAGGCGCGGGCCCGGCTGCAGACGCGGTTCTACAACTTTAACGAGGTGGGGGCGGATCTAAGCCTGATTGAGGCCGGCTCGCCGGTGCATGCGGAGGTGAAGGAGGGAGCGGACGCGCTGGATGAGGGGAGGTTGGCGAAGCTGGGTCATGGCATCTGCGATGGGTACCATTGGCGGAAGCATAGCATTGTGCGCGAGACGGATGAGGAGATGAAGAGGCTGCTCGGCGATGCGGTGTAGGGTCAGGGGATGGTGCGCGATGGAAGATGAGGGAGACAAGCGTGTGTCCTTTGTTTATCTTACCCGCGAATGAGGATGATTGTTTTGTATAGGGAGCGTCTGCGTCGTGCTGTCGTACCCATTACTTGTGCGGCACTTATCTTGGGACCAGGGTTGTTCGTATACATTGAGGGCCGCATTCCTTGCTTGCGGCGCTAGGGTGGGACGGCGCGTGAATCGTCACCGCGTGTAGGCGCGTGTACCTACCCGCACTCGTCGCGAGTTCTGGTCTGCCAACTTGGCATTCACCGATACTGACTCAGCGCAGCTTTCCTTTAGCATTGTGTTGCTGACCTCTCGTCATGACCATTGGGCGCTTAGCGGGCGTCTTCCGTAGTGCTTCTTCAAGAAGGTGAGTGCCTCCTATCTTTGGAGTAATGTCGCTAAGTGTTGCATACTTCATCTCGATCCCTGCCCCGCTCGTCTTAATGAAAAACGCTCTGCTGTTACAGTGAATATTGGGCAATGTCTCCGACAGTAACGGCGCAGTGGCACCCTCGCAGTTTCAAGAACTATCAATATGTTTCTTTAATTTCTCTTGTAGAATTCGTAGCGCTCTCCCCTCGGTTTGTGGCGTTCGATCATCGTGCATCTAACGACTCTCACGGGCTCCCACAGATTTCCACAGACGTACCGCGTCACCAGTTGCATATCGGCACTACTCATGCACCAGAAAGCATAGTGCATTCTCTTCCCGCTCACCTTCGTGCAGATCGGGAGTCCATAGCACTAGCTTCGCCCCCATATTCCTATCCGCTGCCGCCGCAATTCACAGGTCGACATTCTCATCATCCCGCTGCGCCTATCGGCCTCCGGGGGCACACCGGGGAACCGATGAGAAAGAGGTCGGCACCGTGTACTCCAATATAGCGCTGTGGCCGCCCATCTGCTGGATAGGTATGTCAGCCTCGTGCTTCGCCACTGCGGGTAGCCAGAGTACTTATAGAGCGCAGGGGGACGTCTTCAACTATCGCTCACCTGTTCCCAGAACTTCATCCGACCTATTCATCATGGCCGCACCCGCTCCTCGCAAGATCAACATCGCTATCATGTGCGTGTCCTTCCCTTGCTTCGACTCCCAGCGCCTGTACGACTTACTCACGTTCTTTCAGTGGTGGCGGCATCGGCGGCCTCGCCCTCGTCCTCGCCATTCAGCACTTCTGCGACCTGGACCAGCTCGAAGTCAATGTCTACGAGTCCGCCGCCCAGATCTCGCAGATCGGCGCGGGCATCAATGTCTGGGAGAGGGTGTACGACATCCTCACCGAGCTTGGTATGGAGGCGGAGTTCGCGACTCACCTGCGCGAAGGGGAGACTTGTGAGTGCGAGCGCGTCGCCCGCCACCGTTACGCCGAAGAGGCCCGTTCCAGCATTCACCTGCCGCAAGAGCGATCAGCCAGAAGGCGTCACCTTTCGAGAGGTATCTTTGGATCAGTCAGGTGAGTCTGATCGTACGCCCCTCTTTCGCGTTCTAGCGCTCACACGACCGCAGGAAAGATGCTGTTGATGCATCGCGCGGACGTCCAGGATATCTTCCTCAAGTATATCTCGCCGGACGTCAAGATGCACCTCTCGCACCGCCTCGAGAGCTACTCGTATAACGACGCCGCGGCCCAGCGCATCGAGCTCAAGTTTCGCGGTGGCCAGAAGGCACAGTGCGACCTGCTCATTGCTGCGGATGGTGTCCATTCCGCCGTTCGCCAGGTCTTTTTGCCTCGTTTGGCGAAGAAGCTTGACAAGCCGGAGCTCCTGGAGTCCCTCGATCCCATCTTCAGCGGCAGTCGCGTCTTCCGCGGCCTCGTACCTGCCGAAGAACTATCCAACGTTTGGCCCAACCACCCCGCGCTGACCAAACCTCATCAGGTGCGTTGAACGCTTCAATCCGTGCTGAAGTCTAGCTGATTATCTCCCTCGGGTAGTATTGCGGACTGGACAAGGTACGCGCTCTCCCCGAGCGACTGTCACAAACGTTTGACATCTCTGCAGCACATCGTTACGTACCCAGTCTCCCGCGGTCGCTTCGTCAACGTCGTACCGTTCTACACCGACTACTCTCAGGAGGATACGCCGTTCACGGGCTCGTACATAGGAAGTGCGACCAATGAAGAGCTCCTGCAGGAGTACGACGGTTGGGAACCGGAAGTAATGACGTTGCTCAAAGTGAGTTCAGCCTCAAGTACCGTCTACCGTATGCTCACGAAGGATGCAGTGCATTCCCACTCCATCGCACTGGTCTGTACTCACCATGAAGCCGTTTGACATATGGGCGGACGAGGGTGTCATGCTCCTCGGAGATGCTGTACGTATCCTATACACCGATACATCTCGTGCTCACTCATAGGATAGGCCCATGCAATGACGCCGCATCTTGGCGCTGGCGCAGGACAAGCGATCGAGGTCAGTACTCGGTCTCAACCGCTCTATATTCAGCTGACATCCTCAGGACGCTTACATCCTCGCGCGAGTTCTCGGTCATGTACAGAAGAAAGGCCCTCTGGAGATGCTCTCCGACGAGACCATGAAGCTCTACAATCGTCTTCGCCCACCCATCGCTAATTTTGTGCAAGCTCGCGCAAAGCTACAGACTCGCTTCTACGAATTCCGCGAGGAGGATGTGGACCTATCGCTTGTCCAGGCTGACTCCCCGATCTACACAGAATCCGATCGCTTGGCCAAGCTGGGTGCAGGGATCTGGGATGGGTTCCATTGGAGTCAGCACAGCATCGTACGGAAGACGGATGCAGAAGTGGCCAATCTGCTGTCCTGAACATGCCGCCCCGTCGATAGAAGCATCAGTAGAATTGTGAAAATGAACTGCATCCTTTCGAACCACGAGGTGCTCCTCAAAAGTTTGTAAAACAGGATCCTGATTTAACAGACCAGGATACATGGGATGCTCATTTCGGAAGACTTAATCGTGATCATGGGCACGGAAGAATATATTGAATCAGAACGCCAGAAAGTTTGTTTGTGTATGTTGCGCATTGTAGGTGCAGTGTCGGCTATTGCCGAGCCTGCTGCCGTGATCCGTCGCCAACTCCCGAGTGCTCCTTGCTTCTGCGCCTCATAACTGGAAATGTCATTGCTGATATCCTTGAGCTTCAGGCGCCTATATGGCCGTTCATGGAATCAAGATTTCTTGGATTACGTTCTGGCGCTGGCGGCTCTTTCGGAAGGCGTAGGTGACGCAGACTGAAGTATCTCTTTCCGCACAAGAACGGAAGTTCAATGGCCTTCTCTGTTCTTTCGCACACCTGGAGGCCACAATTATGTCTGATTGAACCTCATTCTCTTTAGTCATGATCCGCTGCATCAAGTCTCGTCGCAGTCGCCTTGCGAACCTCCAACACCGTGGCCATATTTGGTATGTAAATGCTCGTCGTTTTTGACTGGACTTTATCACGGCGGAGAACTGCCGTGGCAAAATTCAGCCGTCCCACGAACTATAAAGACGTCCACTGTACGCCTCGACGTTTTCATCCTCGACTTCGACCAACCTTTTGCCAGACGTACCAAGCATGACCACCGACGCGCCTCGCAAGATCAACATTGCTGTCATGTACGTGTCTCGCTGCTCATCGTAGACGCTTTCTGACCTCCTTCTCCTGCGTCCAGAGGTGGTGGCATAGGTGGACTTGCCACCGTCCTCGCCATACAGCACTTCTGTGACATGTCCCAGCTGGAGGTGACCATCTACGAGTCGGCTTCCCAAATCAACCAGATCGGTGCCGGCATTAATCTCTGGGCGAAAGTCTGCGAGATGCTCAGCGGGCTTGGATTGAAGGAGGACATAGACGCCCTCCTGCGTGCGAACGAGAATTACGGCAAGTGCCACTTCACTTGGATATTATCCGCATGAAATGACGAGCACTTTAGCCTGGACCATTCGCAAGAGCGATCAAGCCCAAGGCGTTCCCATGTGCGAGGTCCAGCTCAAGGACTCCGGTCAGTCGTAGCGCCACGTCCGATACATCGTAGCTGACCCAACACAGAGAGACTGCTCCTACTGCATCGCGCTGTCGTCCAGGATATTCTTCTGAGGCACATCTCTCCGGCGGTCAAGATCTGTCTCTCTCATCGCCTAGAGAGCTACACATACACCGAAGATGCCGCGCTGAGGAACCAGTTGAACTTCAAGGACGGTCAAGTGGCGCGGTGTGACCTGCTGATTGCTGCAGATGGCGTCCATTCGACCGTCCGCCGCCAGTTCCTTCCTGCGTTGGCGAAGAAGCTCGGTAGGCCCGAGTTGCTCGAGTCCGTCGATCCTCTCTTCAGTGGTAGCAAGGCCTATCGCAATCTTGTTCCCACGGAGAAGTTGGCGGCAGAGTGGCCTGGCCATCCCGCGTTGACGAAGCCGCGCTCGGTACGTCGACTAGTTTATGGATACGTTATAACGACTGACTGTCCTGCCTTGCAAGTATTGTGGCAAGAACAAGGTACTGTCCCCGTCACAAAAGTTGTCGACCCAGTACTTACAATGTCGTTCAGCACATGATCACCTACCCGGTTTCCGGTGGTCGCGTCGTGAACGTTGTACCCTTCCACACCGATCCATCCAAAGTCGATACCCCCTTCCTCGGTTCGCAGATCGGGCAAGGGACCGCCGAAGAAGTTCTCAAGATATACGAAGGATGGGAGCCTGAAGTGCAGGCCGTGATCAAGGTATGTCTCGGTCCTCTTTTACAAGCAGCTCGTTGACTAGGTTCGCAGTGCATGGAGAATCCCTCGCACTGGGCGATCCTGACGCTGAAGCCATTCGATACGTGGGCTGACGACGGTGTCTTCCTGCTCGGGGATGCGGTGCGCTCCTTTCGTCGTGCAAGCACTTACTAGGTGTTGAGTCTTTTCGCAGGCTCACGCCATGAATCCTCACATCGGAACGGGCGCTTGCGAGGCCATCGAGGTATATGACTGTAGAAACGAATCATTTCTTCTACTGACGTGTTGCCCTCCTCAGGATGGCCACGTCCTCGCCCGAATCCTCGCGCGAGCGCAGAAGAAGGGACCCCTCGAGATGCTCTCCAACGAGACGATGGCGCTGCTCTACAACCGTCTCCGCCCGCCCAAGGCCAATTTCGTATCAGCGCGTGCCCGACTGCAGGGCCTGTTCTACGAATTCAACGAGGAAGGCGCGAACTTGTCCCTGGTGGAGAAGGACTCACCGATGTACACGGCGCCGGATCGATTGGGAAAGGTCGCCGCGGGGATCCGGGACGGATACTACTGGCCCTACACGCATAGCCTCGTGCGCCAGGCTGAGGAGACCGTGGCGCTGGCTTTGTCCACGGCGTAAGGTCGAATACAGCTTTTGGCGAGTAGTGAACGTGATGAGTGTTTGGGAAAAGGGATTGCTAATGAATCGGTTGACCGTGCGAGTTTTCACCCCGGCATGCTTGCGCGCGGAACGCAGCCGCATATGAAGCGCGCTCATGTGATCTGCTGACGGCTTGCCACAGACGCGGTCTTTCGCGTCTGACCCAGTCTTGGTCCTTCTATGGCCTCCCTACCTCTGTCGACCGCTCGAAGCACCCCGACCCTCGCGAACTGAACTGTACTCACTCGCCTCATAGACAGATGTGCGCTCTCAGAGGACGCATATAATTTTCAAGACCTTTACGAGCGCGTCAGTAGCGAGCTGCATTCGATTCACAATCATCAACATACAAGAGCAAGGCAGTGAACGAGCGCTCACCATGCGCGTAAATCATATCTCCCAGGCTTTCATTCCTCGTAAGTGGTTCCCATGAAGCGGCATCTTCCCTCGGTTGCTGAAGCGCTACAGCCCGATGTACCCACGCGCTTGAGCTCACTATATAAGGCGCCTCTCATTCGACGAATATCGAACCCTCAAGGACCTTCTACTTCTGTTCCTCTCTACTCCCACCACTTCACCATGGCTGAGAACGCTCCCCGCAAGCTTACCGTCGCCGTCATGTGCGTACACATCGCCATTAAGATGAGCCCCTGCTGACCTTCTCTTCCCTTTACCTTTCTATTCGTGCTGGCCTTCGACTTGCGTACTCGCAGAGGTGCCGGCATCGGTGGTCTCGCGGTCGTGCGCGCCATTGAGCGCTTTTGCGACATGTCCATGCTCGACGTGCACCTCTACGAGGCGGCGTCGCAGATCTCGGAAATCGGCGCGGGCCTCAATATCTGGCAGAGGGTGTACGACATCCTCACGGACCTAGGCTTGGAGGACGATATGAAAAAATACCTTGATAACGCCGAGACGACTTGTGAGCTTGCTTCACTCATCGCCTGCTTGCCACTTCTCACTATAGGTTCCCAGCCTTCACCTTTCGTAAGAGCGACCAGCCCGAAGGGATCACGTTCAAGGAGGTGTACCCAGAGAATGACGGTGAGCTATAAGTTCCGATCCACGTCGCCCCCCACTGAACACCATGAATAGGGAAAATGTTCCTGCTGCACCGCGCCGAGATCCAAGGCATGCTCATGGGGCACATCTCCGCGGACGTCAAGATCCACCTTTCCCACCGTCTCGAGAGCTACGAGCACACCAATGATGCCACAGAGAAGATCGTACTGCGCTTCCGAGGCGGCCAAGAGACCCGTTGCGACCTCCTCATCGCCGCGGATGGCGTTCACTCGGTCGTCCGCCACCAATTCGTCGCTCGTCTGGCCGACAAACTCAACCAGCCGGAGCTGAAGCAGGCTCTGGACCCTGTCTACAGCGGCAGCAAGTTATATCGCGGTCTAGTTCCGCAGGAGCAGCTAGCGGCGGCGTGGCCGGACCATCCGGCTTTAACGAAGCCTTACATCGTAGGTATCCTCTCTTTTCAGCGATGCCATGATCGTACTCACCACGATGTATGAATAGTACTGCGGCAAAGACAAGGTAAGCGGCTACCTCTCGCCTGGTCAATAGCGCGCTTACTTCCCCTCTTCAGTACGTTGTGACGTACCCCATCGTCAATGGTCGCTTCATCAACGTCGTCCTCTTCTACACCGACATGACCGACGTCGACACCACTTACACCGACCCCGAAATCGGAGAAGCCACCGCGGACGAAATCGTCAAGATGTACGAAGGCTGGGAGCCGCAGGTGGAGGCGCTGCTGAAGGTCTGATTCGGCGCGGTTGAGACTTTCTTCCTCGCGCTCATAGCCTCTACACAGTGCATGCCCAACCCGTCGCGTCATTGGGTACTGCTGACGCAGAAGCCTCTCGAGACGTGGGCTGACGAGGGGGTGATGTTGATGGGAGACGCGGTAAGCTCTCTCTACACTGATGTCGGCCATTCTGACTAGCATCGCAGGCACATGCGATGACTCCGAACCTCGGCACCGGCGCAAGTCAAGCCATAGAGGTATTTCTTCTACTTCTCTCCTCTCGTTTACGCCGCTCACCGATCCTCCAGGACGGCTACATCCTCGCTCAAATCCTCGCCCGCGCGCAGAAGAAGGGCCCTTTCGAGATTCTTTCGCAAGACACCATGGCGCTCTACAACCGCCTGCGCCCGCCCATCGCCAACTTTGTGCAGGCGCGCGCGAAGCTGCAGTCTCGGCTCGTCCAGTTCAACGAAGAGGGCGTGGATCTTTCGCTTGTCGAGGCCAGTTCGCCGATGCACACCGACACTGACCGCCTGACGAGGCTCGGAAACGGGCTTTGGGATGGTCTGCACTGGTATAGGCATAGAATCGTGCGTGAGACGGATGCGGTGGTGGTGAAAGCTCTGGCGGCGCACTGATTATGCAGTTTCTCTGACACTGGACTTACAATATTCAGTCGCATAGCCTCGAGTACTCATGGTTAATGTCGACATGCCTGCCCGCAGCCTGAGTTAAGTGGTGTAATGGCAACACGAGCGCTTTACAAGACTTGGCGGCAAAGAGGGAGAGAAGTATGTTTTTGCAATGTGCAACTTTACAAGCATCAGTGGTGTAACGGTAACATTGGAGCTTCCTGGTGAGCTCTCGCGAACTGCCGCTACGAACATCCGGGGCCCGCCGAGCGCCAGCGAGGAAGGAGGGCCCCGGATGTCGTTGCGGCAGTTCGCGGGAGCTGTAACCTAGTATTCCCATCCGCGCGGAGCCCGAGGGGTTAATTGCTCTAGCCTCGGGTTCGACTCCCGGCTGATGCATGTCTTTTTGCCATCGAGGGACGGCAGAGGCGCCGCCAACGATCACCAACCGCAGGTGTCAATTGACGTTGACCGTTGACGCTGACACGATGATTGATTGGCACTCAGTATTGAGCAGGAACGGAAATACAGCAAGTATAATTCAGGTTGCGCGGACTGGTAACCCGTTAGCGTGAAGTAGACACAGTATAGTCGGTGAAGCGTTACGGACGGGTAGTGACACCACGCCAATGGACGATAATCGTGAGTAACCTTCCTTTATCATAAATACTGCAGCATTGTGCCCAGGTGAAACAAGCCTAACGTGGCCAAGACACGAACTCCGGCTCAAACGGCACCCGTGGTCTATCTGCGTGATGGGTTTCGTGAGAGATGCAGTTACGAAGGTGTACTTGTAATCACGTACAGAAATCTATTGTGAGATGGAAGGGCTCGAGCAAGTCTGGCCTGACTCTATGGACGATGCGGAGGACGTTGATGTGGCGCTCCTTCACTGCAAGTTCCAAAAGCGATGAGGCCTTCGGTGGGAAGCTGCTCACGAAACGTTCCACAGGCTCATACAGGATCCAGAACTCCTTCAGCGATTTGTGTGCATAGAACGACCAGAACTTCCGCGCATGATAGTGTAAGGGATAGCGTCCTAGCAATCGTTTCTTGGGAGTGTCTGTAGTGCCCACGGCAGACAGGTAGGCTATGCACGTGAAGGCCATCCTTGTATAAGCTTTCGTGCTGGAGAATTGCATTGGCGTGCGAGGGCCGAGGAAATAGTCGCGAATCGAGGCATGCGCAATCCGAACGAAACCTCCGTAGTATGAGACAAAGGCTGAGTTCACGATGGTGAAAATCTCGTCCGGCGACGAAGGTCGCAGCTCGGTGTCGAAGACTGGGAGGTCACGATCACTGTGTTTGGACCACTCGAATGCCAGCAGCTCGGAGTACTCGTGTTTATCCAACAGGCCACGAGCGAAGAGGAGCCATTCGAGCATCCTCTGGAGCTCATCACGCTGCGCCTCTGGCATCATCGCGAAGGCCAGATCATAGGCATCATTGAGCGTCTTCGGCATGTCGTGCAGCATTCTGCGCAGCTGGGTGGGTATGCCAGCAACGCCGGCCAGTTCCTGGATCTGGAGCACTGTCCAGCGAAAGCTGGGCAAACGTAAGCAAGAGGCATCTCAAAGCAAGGGCGGTATGCATACTTCCCATCTGCCCTACTTGTGAGCATCTTGCGAACAAGGCTGATGTTTTGGCCCTTCACCTTAGCGAGCGCACCTCGCGCGGCTAGCACGTCATCTAGATGAACTGCTATGTCGCGCGCGACCAAGTGCTTCTTCACGAGAAGTCGAGCACTGGATAAGCGCTCGAGATACCGATTATAGGGCACCTCGGTACGGCTCGACAGGAGGAGCGAGACGTTCTCGTGTTTGATAAGATCTTCCAGAAAACATCCTTTTCTCGAGTCGAATTGAATGATGGCCTCGTCCAAAGCATCTAGTGCGACGAAGACTCTCGCGACGCGACTTTGCAGCGCGGCATCGAGCATGCACTGAACTTTATCGAGCGATATCTCGGAGCGACCCGCCATGAGATTGTCGTGGAGGGTCTGCAGCGCTTCAAGTACGTCGGCCCCGTGATGCGAAAGCTGGCACAGAAGCGAGGATGATAAACCTTCGAGATTGCGATGCCGCAGATTAGGATTGGTGGCGTCGAAGAAGTGCGTCAAGACGAGGGATTGAGGGGTCACGAGCGCACAGTGCGCCCGAAGTTCGCATATAGCACCAGCCCTGCGCGTGTTCGTATCAGTACTACTTCCAGCAAAGCGATCTGACGTACATGATTGTGCTCTTTCCACATCCAGCTGCACAACTGCGATCAGCTCGAGAAGTAGGCGTCCGACCCAGGTCACATACCGCTGCCTTGTAACAAAAGAACACGCTTCTTTCCCGCCTTGAATGCCGAGAACTCATTGCTATCGAAGAACCAAGAGCCGGTCCCTCTGGCTCGCTCGTATAACAGCGCATTGATCTTCGCCGAGCAATCCGGATACTGCAACCATTCGTATATCCTGCCCTGATTGTAGCTCTCTGCAACGATCACATGAGTGCGTAAGTCAGAGAAAATGGACGGCAATACGAACTTTTCTTCAGGACTTCCTCGTTCAGTTGAAAGAGCTTGTTCTGGATGTCCTCCAAAATCCTGCGGTTCGCGGTGTTCTGTCGTTGCGTTGCCGATGCACTCTTGCGAAGCAGATCTTTGACAATGACTCATCAGCCGTGTGATCTCAACGAGAGAGGCAGGCGAGAGAAGCGCATACCGTAGATCTCCCGCGTTGTGTCCAAAACACGTTCAAGGAAAGTTCGCAGGATGTTATCTGCGTCGTTCCCTGGGCATACGCGTAAGCAAGCTGTCTTTCGGATACTCATGTCGCCCACTTACAAGCGGCGCTGTCAGTGAAGATGGACAGCGTCCGCTGGGAGACGAGCAGCGTCACGGCGGATATTGTCTGATGCTGGTTCGTTGCAAGCTGGCGCAGCTCCTCTAACGCCTTATCGAGTACATCCGAGTGCCGAATGCTTCTCAGCCAGGCCGCTACGACCACGTCAGACGGCTAAGCCAGAAAGCCAGTGGATGTCACGTACTCAACCGCCCGGACTTCTGCATCTCCGTGATCACGCCCAAGATAGCGAGGATCTGGACGAGTAACTTCAAAGAGGCTTCTCTCAGGACGACGTGCATGATGGGGGCAGCGCTCGTCTTGATGATGCGCAGATGGTGCGCCATGGTCTCGAAAGCGTCTTCAATAGCATCAAAGTCTTTCTGCACCTTCATCGCTGCCTACCAGAGATAATCAGAAGCAAGGTCACTATGCAAAAATCACGCGTACTTGGAGAGCGACGCCGATGGCGGTAAAGATTGCTTTTCCGGGCGAGAAAGGCTACGATGCGCTCAGCAAAACGACCTCTGGCGCAAATATCATTGGCATAGCTTACCACAGCGAACGCTTCTCCGAGGATACTACATAGGGTCTGCACCGTCCACGCGATGGGCTCCAATTTGGACCGAAGCTGTTGTCCGTCCTCCCGGAAGTTGCTAAACTCCGTCCGACGACTATCGATGAACTCGAAGATCTCGTCCGACGACGCGAAGGGTGGGAACCCAGGAGAGGAGAGCTTGATCCCGGCCCGCCGCTCATACGCATCGAGAGCGCCTCGCCAAAGGTCAGCTAGAGAGTCCGTGGCCATTCCCTCGGCGTGTCGTTAGAAGGTGGCGGTTGCTGCTACTCGGAGAGCTATACTGGCGCTATGAGAAATGCGCTGTGATCGGCGTAGCACAAAGCGTAGATATCCGCGCAGTGGTTGACGTGGTCGACGTGGCGAGAGTCAAGGAGAAGTCTCGCGCTTCACAAGCGATGCTGTAGCTGACCAGTGCCGTGATGGGCATCACCTGTGCGAGATCAGATACGGACGAAGAATCGCACGCCCGAGCAGTTCTTGCCATGCTATGCAGTGAATGAGCGGGAAGTAAGTACCCGTACCGTATAGCGTCTACGCAGTGCGCATTTCAACGGAGTAGGGCTGTGCTGTCACGGGGTGAGCAATCAATGAATGGAGTGGTCGGCCGCTCTTGAGTTACAATATAGGTCTCCCCTTCAAGGTTAGATCTAAGTTTTACAGTATGCTGCAAGGAGATGATTCAGCAAGATAGGCGTGAACCGTCCTCCACGGCTAGCCGCGCTACGACGGGACGTCGCCTTCCCGCTGTCCCTATTCATGCGCAAAGTGGCGCCAGGCGCAACATGCGGACCCGCGGACAACGGCTAGACGTCGTCAGTGCTCGTCTAAATGCGTCAACGGAATGATTAGACTAGTCGACTCGCCAGTGTAGGAAGAGTCTAGATGCACGGGCCGTACGCCCAGCGAGCGGAAGCCTTCTCGGGCGGCAACAGCTTGCGCGTTGAGAGCGTACAGACTTTGCCGAGGGGTTTCAAATCGGTCGTGCGAGCTCCGAAACATCTTCCAGGCGGTTGTATCGTCCTGCACTGAGCGTATGCAACGACATACAGACGTCAGGTTGACAGCATATACAGCAGAGAAATAATGCCTCTCGAAGTTGAGGCAACAGATACAGGTTTTTGTCTAGATCACAATCATTCCAGTACATCGAGCAGCCGGATCCTGTCACTTCGCTGCCATTGAATCACCGTGATGGTCGAGGGTAAGGAGAATGCAGGCGCCACAAAATCCAGACAATAATCATCATCGTGTGAAATCCGGCCCGACGTCATCACCGCATCCCGCACGGCGCGTTTACTCCAGATTCCAAGTTCCCGCCTTCGCGCCTTCCAACACTCATGCTCTCGACAAGCATCGCCGCGGTCTGTTCTCTTACGAAAAGGACCGCAATCGCGACCTGAACGCCTTGACGCTCCGTTCAGTATGGAGACCAGTGCAACAACCGCGTCCCCCACCGCGTCCGCGGTCACCCCACCGCTCGATCTCTCCAAGGCGCTCCCTTACCTCCTTGCCATCTACCGCTGGTCCACCCGCACCGCCCTCGCCAGCTTTCACCTTGCCTACCGCCTCAGCAAGTCCGCCGCCCTCCTCGCCCACTCGTCCTTCTTCAGCCACGTCGTCGGTGCCACGCTCTACCTCTGCGCGCCCCTCATCGTCTTCGGCTCCCTCGTCTTTCAGGCGTTCGTGATCGCGCCATACACTACGATCACTTGGATACTCGATCTAGCTTACCCGGTATATGTGCTCGTCGGCGTCGCGTGTATTGTGGGAGGGATTGTGGGCGGGGTTGCGAGGTTGGCCGCGCAGTTTGCGGTAGAGCAGTCCGTGCCGGGAGAGGTGCAAGGAGCACAAGCGACCCTAAGGAGCGTCGAGAAGCAGAGGAGTAGACCGGCTCGACCGAGATGAGGTGCGTACTTACGCGAAGTCGGTCGTGCTGTCGCTTACCCATGCTCCAGCTTTATCTGGCTTTTGGCTATGGCCCATGACCTCTCGATCCTCCCCTGTCATCTTGCTGTGCATGCTCCGCATACTCTTCATTGTGGATGACATCGCATACTGCACCGAAACCTCGAAGCGCGCATGTATCCGACGGGAATGTCGCGCTATTAACTTCTATTTGTTGTACTGTATATACCCAATCCTGTTGTCTGCGAGCCATACAGAACAGTTTTTGAGTCAGTAGTGCACGAGAACTCACGTCGAGTACAGGATGGTAGATACGCAGCAGCGGAATACAGCTCGAAGTGCGAATGTCATTTAGCTTCCAGAAGTCTAGTCTGTCGTATTCGAGCGAAGTGGCGGGCAGAGTCGTAAGCAGGAAGTGTTTAAGCGACGAGCCCGTCCGCGTGAGGTGCTGAGGTGACTTAGAGCGGTATACGCATGCTGGAGGGAAACAGCGTCGGAATGTGCGTTCCCTGCGCGGAAGATTCGAACGTTCCAGGTGTGGCTGTGCTTCTACAAGCGCCATTCCGTGCCCCCCTTTCTGGCCCATGCTCCCCCTCCGACAGCTCGTGAAAAATCAATCAAACTTCTGTTGCATGCTTGAGACTGCCTTGCAAGTTTCGGGCTGTCGGAGAACGAGGAGAGGGTGTTGTGCAGGGATCTTTCATTTCCAAAAGGAGAAAGCGCCTTCGGCTTTGCTGAACTGGCGCTCTCGTGTTCTTCTCTCCTTGCAGCGCTCTCAGTCCGGTCAGACCGCTCGAAAATAATTCAGCATGTGTACCGGCCATGTTTCAATCACTCTGTCCAATATCTTACTCCAGATCGACCCGGGGCTGCGTACAGAAAATCATCTTCCAGATATTCCCAATCTTCCGACTTTCGAGGCCGCGAAAACGGGCCCAAACAGCGACGCATGGACCATCCGAGCCCCGCCGTGGGAATCTTCCGTAAAACGACAGGGTCTCTGAACCTCCCGCCGTCGTTCCTTTCCTTCCTTCCCCCAGGAGCCCCGCCAACAAGCGCCGCCGAACTTTCGTCAAATCAGCTCTAAACCGCCCATCTCGTCGTCATGGCCCGTACCAAGGTGAGGGCAAATGGCTTTTGGGCTCGCTGACCGTTTGCTGACCGTCGTGCTCGTCGTGCTCGCCGTCGTCGTTCACAGCAAACCGCCCGCAAGTCGACTGGAGGTGAGATAAGACTCGCTCACCTGTTGTGCGTCTCTCGCTGACTCCTCCGCGCAGGCAAGGCCCCCCGTAAGCAGCTCGCGACCAAGGCCGCGCGCAAGACTGCCGCCGTGAGTGTCCTGTTCGCCGTCGTCGCTGTCGCCACCGCGCCGCCACCGCAGCTGCGTCAGCAGGCCCAGTGGCGGTGCCGCCTCCTTCCCGATTTGGAATGTTCGGATGTTCTGACGCTTTGCCCTCTTGCAGGCCGCCACCGGTGGTGTGAAGAAGCCCCATCGCTTCCGGCCGGGTACGGTCGCTCTCCGTGAGATTCGTCGCTACCAGAAGTCGACGGAGCTGCTCATCCGCAAGCTGCCCTTCCAGCGGTGAGTCATGGGTGATCGCTCGCCGAGAATGTTGTCGCTGATAGGCCTTGTCCAGCCTCGTGCGTGAGATCGCGCAGGACTTCAAGACGGATCTGCGCTTCCAGTCGTCGGCCGTCATGGCGCTCCAGGAGGCCGCCGAGGCTTACCTCGTCTCCCTCTTCGAGGACACCAACTTGGCTGCCATCCACGCTAAGCGCGTCACCATCCAGCCCAAGGATCTCGCCCTTGCGCGCCGCCTCCGTGGCGAGCGCACCTAAGCGCTCGACGTGTTTTTACTAAGCGGCTGTACACGTATGGCTAGGGACCATGTACGCTATGTTCACGGTCGGTCGTCCACAAGTCCTTGACTCGTATCTTTCTGCCTCTCATGCGGTGTCTTGTAGTATGTATGCCTCGTACCCTATGTGAATCTATAAACTGGTAATATGGACTGAATCGTTACCGCTGGGTCGGGTTCGAATCGTGCGACAATGGTGCATCCTCCACGTTTGGGTGGGCGACGTAAGCACGGCGGCAGACCGCTGAAAGCGCTGTACGCAATCTACGTCTTGCAGGTTTCATAACTGCTTCTTCCCCATATCGGGGAGCGGGCTAACTGTGTGCACAGGTCGTACAAGTGCCATGATGTTGGAAGTCGACTCGCGGGTGAATGCCAACACCATCCCGACACGTGAAGACAGCGTGCTTTCAACACACTGGCACTGCGCAGACGACATGGAAGGGCAGCATCGGGGCTGGGGGGTGGGAGAGTGGCAGTGACCGTCTTGTTGATGCTGTGAAAACGGGCTCGCGGCGCATGCACTCTCTTTCTCTACGTCGAGGACGGCAAAACCACTGTTATTGGCCTCCATCCTCGATCCTTCCCAACCTTCATGCCATCGGACCCGCTAGTAATTCGTCTGCAAGATGCTGTTGCAGAATACGAGCGCCAAAGCGGAGTTGCGCTCTCCTCGTCATCTCTCGATTCGGTCAGCGCCATTTTGGAGTTGGTCGAACACCGTAAAGCGGACTTTCTCGCTTTCCGGGAGGACGGGCGCCGGATGCGGGACAAGGTGAAGCCAGTTGCTAAAGTAGTGCAGTCGCTATGTCCCATCCTTGGAGAGGCTTTTACAATGGTGCGTATCGCTCTCGGCAGTCGTGCTACCTTCTGAGTCGTTTCCTCTAGCCCTTCTCCCCTGTCAAAGCTATATTCGCTGCGATCGGCGTCGCCGTCGAGGTATGGCCGTAGCTCAGAACTTGGTTCCCGCTAAAGCACGTCAGGCCTCGACAAGAGTCAAGGAAGATTACGACTCCATTGTGGATGCCTTCGACACAATGGAAGTTCACCTTCGTATCATCACTCCAATGCCTATTGACCATCACGCTGCACTGCGTGAGCCATCGGTCAAATTGCTCGAGCAGATGCTGGTCATTCTCGGGCTCGTCATGCGCCTCCGAAGAGACGGCAGACTCAGTCAGATGTATTTTTTCCCTTTCACAACTCCCGTATTGATGTATTTGAAAGAACGGTGGCTGCAGCACATCCGTCAATCGGATGAGGTTGCGTCGGCTCTCGCCGACCTAGGGCGTCTCGCCATGAATCACCATGAGGCTGTCGCTGCTGTGACGCTATCTGTAGCCCAACAAACATTGACTATACTCAGCGATAGCATTCACTGTAAGACTGGCTCTGACACAGTCTCTTATCGTGCTCATTGTCGTGTAGGGAATGCTCAAAATATGGTGCCGATCTTCCTGAGGCGAATCGCATTACAGACACAAGAAATATATAGTACGTCACCTCCTGCGACGAACTTCCTCACCTCATCAAGAGACTTTTAAGATGAAATGCGCTCCTATGCGTCAACGTGTCAGCAACAACTTGTTGCCAATCGAGAGCTATTAGAGGAGTTTCGTAAAAGATTGGTCGACGTTGGCGAGGAAACGAGAATCAAAAACAGTACGCCCCTCTCACAAGTCAATGCGCACTGCTTGACGTCGTCTTTCAGGGGCCCATGATATAGACAAGATATTCGATTGGCTCGCTTACCCGGACTCTTCTGGTGTGATGAATGCCCTACTGGGCGCTCGAGTTAGCGGAACAGGCTCCTGGGTATTGGACAGTCGAAGCTTCGCTTCTTTCATGTCTGGTGATAAACACGCCATCTGGCTTCATGGAAGCGGTGAGCTATGCGTATTGATATTCAGAAATTAGCTGACGATACGCTAGCTGGATGCGGCAAGAGTACGATGATGTACGTATACTGGGTTGGATATTGCTTCGTCTCACGCTCCGTTCGCAGGTCAGCCGCTATTCTCGAGCTTCAGGCGTTTTGCGTCATTTCCTCGTCACCCTCGATCATACTCTCGCATTTGTTCGATGCAACAGACAGCTCCAGATCTGGAAAGCTAGGGGAACTTCTGGCGTCCCTGCTCTGCCAAGTAGCATATCATACCACCGAAGGCTTATCCGCGCTGCTAAAGCTGCATGAAAGGCAGATGCACGGGCACTCCAAACCGTCGCCGGACGTCATGCAGCACGAGCTCATGTCGATTTTGGCACGAGTCGCCATGCGCACGCGAATCTTCATTGCTGTCGATGCATTGGACGAGTCTTATAGCAGCGATCTAATCTCCTTGTCGCTACGACGCATGCTTCAGGTGCACGGGCAGATATCACTTATGGTATCCAGCCGAACCGAGGCGCCGATTCACCAATCCCTCCATCGATCGTGCGACATCGAGTTTCATATGCACAGAAACCTTGTCAACAAGGACATCGTGACAGTGCTGGACAAAGCGCTTGCGCCGTGCGGGGCCCTATCACATGTGGCTGCTCTAGAGATGCAACGTGTGCGGAAAGCGCTATGCGTGGGCGCGGATGGGAAGTGAGTAACGTACTGCTTGTCCGAGCACGTCTAACGTTGTGTTCCCAAGTTTCCGATGGACCGCACTGCAGATTCGTGAGATTGCCAAGGACGCAGGCGTTCCAGTTCGGCTCCGTATGAAGCTACGGCGGATGCCAAGGACTCTGCGAGGGATATACGAGGACCTCTTCAAATCGATGACCGACGATGAGAAAGAGGTGATTCGTCCCCTCCTGGCTTGGCTCATGTTTTCTCGAGGGCCATTGAGCAAGGACGTAGTTGCTGAGCTCCTTGCCTTCGATCACGAGCTGTCCACACCCAAGTTCGATCGATCTCTGCGCCCCTCTTCGTCGCAGCAGGTCCTCAGCATGCTGAGTTCGACTTTGGTCTCGTACTCCGGCGATTACATTCGCATCGCGCACGCTTCAGTACGTGACTACTTGCTGGATCGTCTTTCATCGGGCTGCGTCGACGAACAACAGGCGAATCTCCTCATGGCTCGTATGTGTATGTCCTATCTTACGGAGGTCGGCTTCGCCCAACGCCCAGTACGGTTGTGGACGAAGTTCCCTCTGCATTTCCATGCCGGAAGGTACTGGTCTTCCTATGCCGATAAAGCTCTGGAGCGATACCCGGAGCACCGGTCGGAAATAGTCGACTTCTTAGCCAAGATTCCTTACCGCGACGGTCGCATCCTCTGCGACTCGATGATGGCTGAGCGTCATCTCAATGTGCTCATGGTTCTTTCCGAAACGCGGGTCGACATATACAACGATCTGACGCGGCGCGCAAGCCACGTGTATATTCGTGGAGGTGCGTCGCCTATGTTCTGCATCCACCTCCGTCAATGTGACTGAAACCGCGGACCATGCTCGTGTAGTGCAGCCCAACAAGAACTCTTTCAGCGAGGCGGAGACTTTGAAATCGAAAGGGATCACGTGGACATATACGTCCAAGCCGAAGGGCCAGCAGGTGATGTGGACGTGCACTGTTTACGGTTTGTGTTCACCCACGCACGATTGCTGGCTTCATTCTCACAAGTCACCTTAGTGCGCGGAAAGCGATTCTGCATCGAAAGTAGCGATGACATGGTCACTGCGCGTGGGCATGCAGTGGCTCATGCTCTTTCCGCGCTTCGCAAGGAACGAAGGAATAATTGTATTGGTCAAAGTGGTTGAACCAGACGTCGAATCTTCCAGAGTCTTTAGCGAGGCTCATCCACTTTGACTGTCACTAGTGGCTGGCACACCTGAGCCATACTTATACTGCGTCCGAGCGACGAATATCACACTACTTATGTGGGTCTCCCTATTTATGCAGCATATTTTATCCCAGCGTGCGCACGCTGCAGTCGAACACCGGAGAGATCAAGCATGTTATAAACGATTCATAATTCGAAGGTAACGCAAACGCAGTTCATAGGGCTAGTCCATAGGATCCAGTGCGCCAAGTGCTCGAGGTAGATCATGGTAGTTACAGAAAGGTGAGTCGGCAAGTAAGCAGGCGCAGGTAGGATATACGAGCGAGTACGACAAGCACACGACCATCATGATAAGCAAGCGATGATCTCGACAAGCATGCGACGATCACGACAAGCACGCAACGACCACACCAGACGAGCACGGATGACACGGCAAGCAAGCAAGCAATGAACACAATAGATAGGGCGGACGGACGCGAACGCAAATGAGGGATAAGGATATGCACAGGGGCGATGCCAGCATGAGACCGGGGAGATTGCTCATATGTATGACGTCCGTAATAGAGGATGCTACGCGACGTAGAGAGGGCGAGTGACGCGGAAAGCATGCGGTGAACGACGCTCCGCCAGAGCGACGATAGTCGGATTGATGGACGCGGGGATGGTAGTACAAGATTTGGGGAGTGAAGTATGCGCAGAGAAAAAGCAAGCAAGCAGGAGAACGAGATTAGCGGAAGGAAAGGTTGCGTACGGGGTAGCGATTAGTATTAGATGACGAGCAGACCACTACCATCGGTAGGGTCGAAGGGTGCTCAGAAAAGCAAGCAATTCGACGATGCCTTGGCAGCGTCGAACGAGGAGGCGAACGACGGCGCGTACTGGGAACGCGTCGGAGGCAGCGCGTACTGGGAACGCGTCGGAGGCGGTGCGTACTGGGAACGCGTCTGAGGCGGCGCGCACTGAGAGCGCGGCGAAGACAGCACTCGCCGCGACTGACGCGGGAGCGCGATCGAGGGGACGCGGTGGCCTGAGGAGGGCGCGCGGAGGCCGACTGACGGGGCGCGAAGGCCGGATGAGGGCATACGAGGTCCAGGTGAGGGTACACGAGGTTCGGGCGAGGGTACACGAGATCCGGTGGAGGGAACGCGCAACTCTACCGATGACCTAGGCGAGCCCGCCGACAGCACGCTCGACGCATCCGAAGGTACACGGGACGCCGTCGACCCCGCGGACGACACCCTCGCCCCCCATCTCTTTTCCCCCTCCTCCGGGATCGCGTACAGCGGGCGCTTCGGGAAGCGCGTCGGCCGCAGGAAGGTGAGCGGGCTCACCGTCCGCGGGCGCGAGACGTCCGTGCGCGGGCTGGCCGTGGGGAGGTGCGCGGCGACGGACGGGAGGCTCGCGGCGACGGAGGCGAGGGCGCGCGAGGTGGGGGACAGGGAGCGGTGGGACGGGCTTGCAGAGCGTGTCGAGCGCGCCATCGAGCCAGCCATCTCTGAGGAGGAGGTGGAGGTGCTGGCGCTGGCGGACCCACATGCACCTGAGGACCCACATGCACCAGAGGACCCGCGTGCGGCGGCCTTGGCCTGGGCCAAGGAGGGGAGCCCGAGCCCAAGCCCTGCGATGCTCTTCTTCGTGCGCGGGGCAGGCGCGGGTGCAGCAGGCGCGGAGACCTCGGACTCCGCGGCGCTAGACGATGCATGCGAAGCAGCGCTTAACGGTGCACGCGAAGTAGCGCCGGATGACGCACGCGAAGCAGCGCTGGACGATGCACGCGAGGTCGCGCCGGAAGGGGCCCGTGAGGACTGGCGGAAGGTCGACGGGAGGCCTAAGCCGAGCCCGATGGGACGCTTCTTGTTCGAGTTCGGTGGGGAGCTGTTCGAGGCGGGCGATGAGGAGGAAGAGAGGTTGGGTATCTGCTGCGCATCCTGCGACTGAGCTCGCAGAACGGGCATGCTTGAGGTCGGGCCCCCGCTGACGGGGGTAAAGGAGGGTGTTTGGGGGTTCGGGGTGAAGGTTCGGCGGTTCGGGGTGGAGGTTCGGCGGTTAGGGGTGAAGGTTCGCTGACGGAGGGATCAGATGTCAGAGGTGCGACGTGCATGATGGGTAGGTAGAAGGACGCACATTAGAATGCGACAACTTTGCTAGCTGCCGCACGGGCTCTGCCTGCGCAGGTTGTTTCGCGAAGAGGCTCGACAAGGTGGTCGAGGAGAGGGAGTAGAGTCGCTCGGCTGCCAGCGCGTCAGTACACAGTGTCCCTCTTCTGACCACCTCCTCTCCACACAGCGCACCTGACCAAAGCGACGGAATTGCCCACCCTGAGGTCGGCGACGATGACAGACGCGTCTGCTGAAAGAAGGTCTGCATAGAAAGGTTCTCCAGCGAAGTGTGTGATGCTCGTGTAGAGGTGTAGGTGAGTGCAGCTCTGCTGCACCGTAGGAGGGAAGAGGAGAGGAGGAAAGAAAGGACGAGGAAGAAGAAGACGAGGCACTTCGCTTTCGAACGCGCCGCGTCGAGGTCAGGAGGAGGGAGGTTGGTGATCGGGTTAAGCGATCCCATTGTTCGTTCTCCCGTTTACGTCAAGGTCACGCCGTGCGGCGTGTGACGGGCTTCCGCCACGTTCCGATGCCTTCGAGGCCATTGTTCGCGCAAGATTTGGGGGGAGGGTCAAAACGAGCATTTCTGAGGAGGAAACGCGTTAAAAACGCGTGTACTTCTGGAGACACAATCGGAACGCGCTGATAGAGTCGCGTCATGTCACAGTTCGACTTCTGTCGCAGTCACGTTGATGATGACGCCATGAGCGGTAACGGGTCATCTACTCTTCAACTTCCGTCACTTAGACACTGCGATTTCGACCTCGCTTACTTGCTGCTAGTGTTGCCCTGAACGGACTGAGATCTCCTCACCACAGAAGACAGTTTCTTCCTGATTTTTTTCGATATGCAGGTCGAGGTCGCCGCTCTCGCGCCACGTTCCTCGGCGACCCCGCGGATATGACCTCGCACTCCACGACGGCGGCTACGAGTATGACATCACCCCGGATGTCACCTCTATGTCACCCTGGCGCGGACGCGTCCAAGTCGTATATAAGGTGGAATCTCTAGGCCTCCTCCTTTACTTTTCGCCACTTCACGAACACCATCACACAACCGCTTCACCCTCACCACACTCGCCACGCTCGCAAACCCATCATAATCATGTCTGGCGCTATGCAGTCGAACGTTGGCAACTCGCAGGTCTACAACGACGGCGACCAGCGCAACCCGAAGGGCTCGGTGCACGATCGCGCCGCGTACGAAGAGGGTGTACCCAACTCGCACGATGTCCTAGACTCGAAGTGCGTATCCCTCCCTCTCTACAGCATCTTCGATTCCTTTTCCTTCCACTTGTCCCGCTCTTCCTTCTCTCTTTCCTGTCTTTCTCCCTCACTCATTCACCTCAATTCCCTAAATCCTTACTGACACCCTCCCCAGAGACGAACGCTCCATCGCCAACCGGCTCGCCGCTGCTGAGAAGCAGGACTCGCCGTCACCACACACCATCACGGACCCGTTGAAGCCCGCGCAGGATCATGGCAACGAGCCGAGCCGCGGCGCACAAATCGATGCGGAACTGCAGGCGGAGGACGAATCGAGGTTAAAGGAGAAGGGTATCAAGCACTGAGCGGGTCGTGAATAGAGATGGGCAGAGAAGACGTACGCATCCACGGACTAAAACCAATCATTGTACCAATATAATTCGTCTTTCGGGGCTTTCGCAAGCCTACCTGCGTGAACAAGACCATGTCAGGTCGAGTACGACTCTCGTAAGCTCGAAACTGTACTTTCCATCTCGCAGCGCCCTGCGTACACATCGATCGCGAAGTCGGCGCCCATAAAATCGGTGATGTCATCGGGGAGCAAGTGCGCTACAAAGGACGGCATTGCTGCAGTTCTGTACTGCTGCACACGCTCAAGTCTCAAAAGTGAATTATTGTACATTGAGATTCCGTCCTGATATCCAAGCTACAGTACACAAAGATCGCGAGAGAAAGATGCACCACCTCGCACCGTATCATAGACCGTCGCACACCTTCACAGCTTACCACCTTCCACCTCCCACCGCCCGCCCACTATCCACCGCCTGCCGCCTACCACCCATCGTCCTCATCCTCCCCCATCAGATACGGTAACGCCGAGGACGGGATCGTCTTCACCTCGTCCACCGTCCTCACGCACGCCACATCCCCCACCGCCCTTGCCTTCACCCTGCACAGCTCGCCAAACGCGACCGTGAACGCATAGTAGCCCAGCGGTCTCGCTGTGTAGGCGCACGACGCCAGCACCGCGTCCAGCGCGCCCGTCGCGCGAAGCAGCTGGAGATTGTCCCCTTCCCCGCCACCCAGTGCCGCCTCGTTCCGCACGCTCGCAAACGCGCGCGTCACGACAAGCATGTCATCCTCCTTCGCCTCTCCCGGTTTCCTCCTCCTCTTCTTCCTCTTCTTCTGCGCTTCGTCCTCCTCGATATGCCCAGGCACCTTCCACGCCTGTTCCGGCCCGTGCAGCTTGTTCAGCCACTGTGCATGAATCGCCTGCACGTGGGCGTCCAGAACGGCTACCTCGTCGGCGAGGCAGCCAACGCTTAGACACCGCCGACGAGGCTCGAGGAGCGCGGCGTCGGGCGCGGCGGACGTGCAGTCTGCCATCCGGGCGAACTCGCTCAGGACCTCGCCCTTCGTCTGCCGCGCGACGGAACGGAGGGCGCGCAGGACGTGCGGCTTCTTGTGTTCCTGCACCTCTCCCTTGTACCTCTTCATATCCTCGACGAGAATATGCGGCTTCACGCGCACGCCCGTCTTCTTCGCGTCGAGGAGCGTGTTGAACCTGCGCGGCCTCGTCAATCAGCACACCCTTCACCCGACCATCGGTCACCCACATATGCGCGATCCGCACCGTCTCCGGCGCCCCGTACCCATGCTCCGCGATCGCCATATCATGGTACATGCTGTAGATCCCAACCTTCGAGTCGCCCAGCTCCGCCAGGAACACCCGCGCGAGCGCCGCCTGCCTCTCCGCGTGCGAGCCGTACTGGGCGACGCGCCCGCAGAAGTCGGCAATGGTCTCGCGCTCCTTCTCAAAGTTGCGGCTCATGAAGTCGGGCGTGGGCGCGGAGTAGGGGCGGTTCACGAAATTCTTGGTGAAGATGCCGCGGAGCATGAAGAGGATGTCTGGTCGAGGAAGTGTCAGCACTGTTCGGAGATCGGCATCGGGTTGACGCACCTCCATCGCAATCTGTATATGTAGGTGAGCGAGTGGAGCCGCAGAGCCAACAGAGCACGCACCACCGCCAGATAGCAGACTGACTAGCGAACGCTCGCCGACCGTAGGCACGAGTATGACATTCGTATACTGGTGTAGAGCAGGGCGATTGACGGCCTTGACCTTCCGTAGATCAGACGGTAGCCGGATGGGATAGCTTTCGGGACGCTTGAATTTGTGACCTTCGCTGTCAACGAGCGCACTCACCGGCCAACCTTAGATGGTCAGCCATCAGCCAGTTCGTCACAGGTCGGCAATACTCACAATGACCTCGCCCTCCACTGCTTGGACCATGACCTGCTCCTTCGGATCCATGAACGACGGCGACGGCATGTAGAAGATCTCGTCCTCATTCAGCACACCTAGCGGGTCTGCACAATCTCCCATCAGCCTCACTCGCACAAGCCCACCGACCTCCTCACACTCACCGGGGACCACAAACGCATTCAACCCCCTCGAATCCGGCACCGGCACCCGGTAGTCTTCCACCGCGGACTGGCAGACCATGTCGAGCACCTTCGCCATCTTGATGCGCAAGTACTCGCACTCCTGCGGCTTGAACCCCGCCTGCAGGAGCTCGACGACTTGCTCGTGGACCGACCTCGGCGCTGCAATCGACATACTCAGCCACCCGTCCCACTGCACATTCCCAAGACATCACTCACCTCCACTATACGGGTCCCTCCCCGTCAACGCCGCCTCCATCTGGTCCTCATCCCCCGTCGGGAGATCCTCGTCCGCCCCTGTCTGCCGATACCCGCTCACCAGCCTGTGCATGACCTGGCTCCCGCGCACGCGCCGCGAGCCAGTGACGTTCCCGATGTCGCTCACCGCCTTCCACAACGCGCCGGCGGGCTGCGTCCAGTTGAGGAGCGGCGCGGCGCGCTCGCGGAGGCCGTTCCGGGCAAGGACGGTGAAGTCCTCGGTGTGGACGCCGTTGTGGGACAGGTTGAGCACGGCCTGCTCGGAGAGGTCGAAGCCTTCTGGGTTGGGCTAGGTCGGCCGAATTGTTAGCGAACCGACAAACAGGAAGATCAAGTACCTACCTGCTGCGCGAACTTCAACAAGTCCAGGATCCGATGCCACCTCTCCAACCTCGGAAGCTTGATCTTGTTCTGCGAGTCGCGGATCCACACCCTCGGTTCCGGGTGCTTGTCGTATGGATGTAGGAGGAACATGCCCTTCGCGCCTGCTACGCGCCCCTGCACAGCGGTAGGCATGCCGTATGGGAGGGAGAAGCGACGACCGATGTCGGTGAGGGCAGCGCGGTTGATGAAGCCGCAGCCGTCGGTCATCGTCTGTTCAGCAGGTGGCGCGCCAGAGGAGCGGTCCCAGCCAGTGGCGTCTACGAGTAGAGGGTTAGGAATATGAGGAAATCAATAGGCAAATCGGATACGACTTACACTCGTCCTCGATGAGGAACATATTCTCCTCGGCAAACTCGACCGCGGGAATCGACGTCGAGAACGAGAGCGAGAATCTGGTCACCCATTTCGTTATTGGCTGTCGACCGTCGTCAGCCAAAGTCCCTTTCCTTCCCCATCGTCGCATTACACACCTGATTACAGTTCATCACCCACGGATTCTCCGACTCGATGAGCTTCTCTAGCGACAACCTATGCTGATCCCCACACCCCGTCCTCGCCTTCCGCTCATAATCCTCATCCACCTCTACCAGATACGCGCTCCCATCCTTGCTCGCATACGGCACGAACACCCGCCCGCACAGCACGAACTTGCTCTGCGCGAGGAACTCCGCCACGCCCACTCCTTCCTCCTCCTCGCCCTCCTTCTCATTCCCCTTCCCCTTCCCTTTGTCCTTCGCCTGGTTGTTATACTCCTTGTCCAACCTCACCTGCACAATCCTCCTCGACCCTAACCTTCGCGCGAGCCGATACGACCTCTTCTGCGCCTGCATCGGCAGCAGACTGAAGCTAAACTCCCCCTTCCCCTCCCTCGTCAGCCTTACCACCTGCTGTATCTTCCCGCCGAAATAGTCCTCCGCGCTGCCCTGCTCTTCCCAGGGGCCCATGAGGCCCAAGCCGCGCCCCTTGCCCTCGACGAGCGCCGCCTGCTCGAGGTCGAGCTCGCGGAAGGCGGCGACGCGCGCGGGCTTTGGGGCGCGGGCGCCGTGCGTGGCGAGCAGGGCCTCGCGGACGCGCGGGCCGTGGCGCTCGTTGGAGAGGGAAGGGGCGTCGGGGGAGAGGGCGCGGAGGGCGAGGAGGCGCTCGCGAGTGACGTCCGACCAGGACCAGTCGCCGGCGAGGACGCCACGCGCGAGCTCGTATTGCACGCCCCATGGGACGTCCATCGCGTCCATGATGGCCTGCGCCTGCCGGTCGTGCGCGATGAGGACTGGCGTTAGGTCCTTCGTGAGGCGTCCGCCGAAGAGCTGGCTGAGGGGCAGAACACCTTGGGGTACGGTCTTGGGCATTGGGAATACCATCGGGCGCGTCGTCGTACCCTCTGGGAGAGCGAGATTGGGGTCCGGTTCCTCTTCTTCATCAGCTATCAGGTGGGGAGTCGGGCGTGAAGTACGAGCGGGCGCCGCACGAGGTCCCGCGGGAGCCAGGATGGTCACATCCGATTCCGTCCTCGGCGAGCTCGAGATATGCGGCGCATCGGTCCACGGTCGCTTGCTACTGCTCGAATCCGCCGTTGTACCACTCGAGTCTGTCGTAGTTGCACTACGCTTCGCCGGCGCAGGCATATCCGGGTCGATGGAGTCCATCGTCGTACTCCGAGACGGGTAGGAGTCGAACACAGGCGATGGCGGGCAGGTAGAAACCCACGAAGACTCGCTCGACAGCGAGTCGGTGCGCACGATGGAGTGCTGGCTGGGTACAGGGGCACACTGGCCAGGTTCGGGGGAGCGCTGGTCGCGCGGCGCCGCCGCTTGACTAGCCTCTTCTGCCCACTTGCTCACGGAGCGCGATATGGATGCCCGGGGAGGGGCGGTCGCTGATGGCTCTTGCGCGCGCTGGTATGGCGCCCGCTTCGGCGCAGACGAGGTCGGTGCCGAGCTTGCTTCGCGAGATACCGGTCTCACAGGAGGAGAAGGCGTACCACGTTGGGGGAAGGCTGGGAATGCTGTCATAACACATCGGTAAGAACGAGCGAAGAGAAGACTCACCCGCGGAGATGCTCTGAGCCATCTCTTGTATGCGACGGCTGCTCGAGGCCTTCGGTGGCGCTGTGATGCTTGAGGCATGCGCAACGCGTTCATCGTCAGACGAATCCGCGTCATGAACCGGCTGCGAGAAGGCATCTGGTAGGATATTATTGTCAGTACCGGGTTCGAGGTGAACGTCGAGGAAGACTACGTACACGCCGAGATCGAGCGAGTCATCGCCGCGATGCGGCGGCTCTGCGCGGACTCCGCCGCGCTCGAGCCGCCGGTATGAGAGGTAGTGCTTCCGCTGGCGCGCAGGGGCGCGCTGGCGGTGATATTCGTGCCGGTCTGTTTACGCTCAGGTGCATCGACCTTCGTACGCTCGGGCGCGGCGGGGTCCGTACGCGGAGACGGTCGAGAGAAGGGAATAGGCTTCTGCGAGGCGCTCGAGCGGTAGGGCACGGGTACGGTCGTCCGCTTCGACGTGGGAGGAGGGCTTGCGGCGGCCTTGGTCCTATCGGAGGTGCCGGCATCCGTACGTAGAGGCGTGCTTGCAGATACGTTGAGCAGTTGAGACGTACTCGAGCGGTACGGCGCCTGTGAGGTCACTGGCTTTGGCGGGGTAGCCTTGTGCGAGGTCACCGCCGGCGGGCACGAAACCGTGGAAGGGGGAGCCGCCTTGCGACTCGCGCCCTTTGACTTGTCGGGACTAGTAGCTTCAATTCTGGTCAGTCGACGCAGAGCTCAGTTGTTGGCGCCGCACCTGGTACATCGAACGAGTCCTCCCAGACGGCAGAGAGCTGAGAGGCCTCCGCCCAGAAACCAGGCGGATCATCAAGATCGTCGAACTCGTCGTCCGAGTCGTAGCTCTTGACAGGTTCCGTCAGCCTCAAGCTCGCAAATCACAAAGGGGACTCGGCAGCGCACCTTGTGCTTCTTCGCAGCCATCCTCCGTGGCTCCTTCTACGCCAGCTGTCGATATCCCGACTTCGACTGAGGTTCCGTGTTATATGCAAGTGCGAATTGAATATTCCGTCCAGGTATCGATCCTAGTATCCAATCCCAAAGAACATCGATGAGGGCTGGGAATGCCGAGCGGGCAGATGACAGACGCCGAAGGAGAAGGACACCACGGCCGGAACGCGTCCCTCGACGCGACGGCATCATCACGTGGGAACTCATTTCGGAGGCAAACATACCTGAGACATACGCTTTAGGAAGTCCTTGTTCTTTGGCATCACATAGCCGAGACCTCAGTGCTGCCCTGCCCTGTACTCAACATACAGGGCACCTGTGGCCTTCGTGTGCCCCGGAGGATCGTAATTTGTGACTGGGGTATTCCAAAGACAAACTGAGATTCCAAGAAGCTAGGCCGTGACAACACAATGTATAACTTAGAGGGATGATAATAGAGCGGAAGTGGGGAAAACTAAGGGGAAAGAGGCGGTGGTAGAGGAAATAACGTAGCGAAGGTTCATGCTGTCTAAAGAGTGTGTGGGTAAACGATGGTATGGAGTTGGTAGTGTTCGGGTGTTGAGAAAGCGGTCGGGGGGAGCTTGAGGAGGCGGTCGGGGTGTATGTGGTGCGTAGGAAGGCGCAGGGAAGTGGGTAGACGTAGTGGTGCGAGACAGGCATGAAGTAGAAGAGGTCGAGGAGTGAGGATGCAGGGAGTCTGGGATCGGGGAGAAGACAGCTTCAAGGCTGGACGGGAACACAGCGCGGGGCACTCAAACCACCATCGCCCCCACCGCAAACAGCGCCACCCCCATCCCCTTCAGCGCCACAGCCAACCCCTCCGCCCCATTCTCCCGACTCTCCGCCGTCCCATTCTTCGAGCTCGTCCCCCCCGCACCCGCCGCGCTCGGATCCACCCCCGCATCCGAGTCATCCTGCCCATTGGCCTCCCTGAAAATTCTCGTCTGCGACACCTCCGCCCCCATCATCGGGTAGTCCTGGTGCGACACGCCCTCGATGTAGTCGAACTTCGTGCGCCCGGGCATGCCGCCGGACATGGCGTTCAGCATCGCCTCGAAGCCCTGGCCGCGCTCGAGGTGCGTGGCGCCCTGCGCTTGGGCCTCGCAGTGCGTGTCGCCGGGCCCGTTGTCGGCGAGGCCCTGGGCGTGGCGGATGTAGCGCGCGCGCTGGGCGGTGGGTCAGGACGAGTTTGTTCGGAGGCAGATGGTGGTGAGCACTCACGTATCTCTCGACGACGCCATCCCAGTTGTTCTTGAACTCCTTCTTGAAGGTGCTCGGGAACGGGTGGAGCGCGTGCGTGGTGAGGCCGCCGTACGGCCAGGAGTTGTACGAGTCCGAGCAGTCAGAGTTGATCTCCTTCGGGCGATCCTCCGTGAGCCAGGCGCTGCGAATGTGGTCAGAATCCGTGCACCATAACGATTGCAGGGTCGTCATCAGGCAGAACAATGAAAAGATGATCCGCGGGTTTGGCGGATTTGTGGCAACGTCCGCCGACACGCGGCCGCAAACCCCATCCATCACGGCGCGGATCCCATCGACGCGCAGAGATTGCTCGCCACCATCGACCTCGTCGCGTCGCCCCACAAGCACACACCACTCACAATGATCCAGGGTTGCCCACCCAATACCTCAGCTTGTCGTCCTTATCGTCCGCATCGCGCATCAGCGCGTACCGCTGCGTGAACTGCGCGCCCATACTGTGCCCCGCAGAGACCACCTGCTCGACCGCGGGGAACGCGCCCGCGTCGAGGAAGTGCGCAACGAGCAAGTCCATCGCCGTCACGCTCAAGATCTGCGTGTCCCCCGGGCCCGACGACATCCCGCCCTCGAACCAGCGCGAGGACTTGAAGTACACGTCCGTCGCGCCGACCGCGCCCGCCTTCTGGTCGTAGTCGTTCAGCCAGACGGGCGCGGCGAGCAGGATCTCGTCCATGTTGACCGGGTCTTGGTCCGCCGCGGCGGCGCAGATGAGCGAGTTGCGGAGGAGGTTGACGTATTTCCTGCGGGCGGGTGGGTCAGTAAGGCGGGATTGACGGAAGCACGCTAGGCGGGACGCACCAGGCATCGCGCGGCTTCCCCGGCTGGGCGATCACGACGCGCTTGATGTTCGCCGCATCCTTGCCGCGCTCGACGAAGTAGGGGAGCACAGCGTTGCCGTAGCCCTCGAGCGGGAGCCGCTGGAGGTCGAAGCCGACGACATTCGGGAGCTGCTTCCACCCCTCGTCGGGCGTGCCGTCGACCGCGGCGCTTCCGATGAAGATCGTCTGGCAGTGGTCGAGCTGGCTGGTGCCCGTGATGTCCTCCTGCCCGGCGAGGAAGACGGTCTGGTTGCCCGAGTCCCCCTCCTGCCAGCTCGGCGGGTTCTCCCCACCCTGGTAGCTCGACTGCAGCCACTGGCTGTCGATGGCGGAGACGAGCACCGGAAGGGCGAGCGTCGCAGTGAGTGCGGCGCGGATAGACATTGTGGATAGGATAGGCGTGGGCGGGGGAGTAGGAGGTGAGGAGGAGGGAGTAGGGGTGTAAAAAGAGTGTGAGGGGAACCGAGGTGGAGGAGGAAGAGGGAGGAAGCAAGGAGCTAGCGAGGCGGGGACGACGGGCTCAAAAGTTAGTTTGTCGCCGCGCCCGCACAGTGCTGATGGCGCGTCAGCAATCGGGATCGCGTCGCGAGTCGCGTCTGATAGTCTGCCGAGTTGCTCACTTGTCGCGTCCGCACCGGGATGCTTGGCGGCTGGTTGCGTTCGGTCCGTCTGGGACTTCGTTCGAGGAGGACGAGGACGAAGGTGGAAGGGAGACTAGGGCTCCCCATTGCGCGTCTTATACGACCCGCTCCATCCGATGCCGTCCTTGCCATCTTGATGATGATCCGCTTCTCAGCCACTCATCCTCCCCAGGCAGAATTGCAAGGCACCGAAGCATGGGCTAGAGCTCGGTAGTGACGATACACTGCCATTGTCAATCCCGATGTATAGAACACGTGTCAGCAGCATACTCGGAACAATCACTGCCCAAACGAGCTCGGAGGACGCGAAAATCAGGTCTGAGAACTGGGATGTTTGAGGTGGATGAGCTATGTTGTGGGGACATGATGGAGGATGGAGAGCTGCGCGCGTGACGCCTTCGGAATTCGAACCGTGACGTGAATGTGACAGTACATCGTCTTGACCTTCTCCCCGACCCTCGTGCATCCTTAGAGCCGCTGCCACCGTCGCGCAAACTCGTCGGCTGTGCGCAGCCTAGCGCTATTACCCCACGCATGCTGTCACATTGCTCGCCGCACGTACGCTGTCTTGGCCCAGACCTCCTTCCTCGGGCCCGCACGAACCGTCGATAACACCGCACAAAGCTCGCGTTGGTCTGGCGTTCCCAAGCACGGGTCCACCGATAGTTCGCCCATGGCTCAGTACGTTTCTTTGCGGTGCCCGCCCACACGACACATACAGACAGCCCGCCTAGACTTGGCGCCAAAGTACACAAGCTAGACTTGAACGTCGATCTAGTCGCTCAACCATCCAACATAAGCACCTCGCTCCTTGCTAATTTGCTAGTCTCGCCTGGCTACTGTGCTATCCTCAGTTCTTGACGCCTCGCTCGTTGTCGGCCTCGAGACGTGCTCGCTGCCTGCCTCGAAACGTGCTCGTCGCTGCCAGTCGAAAAACCTCGACGCCACTCAGATGTAGCACTTCTCTGAGGCCACCAACAACATACTTGAGGATACACGCTCATGCTGGAGCGACATATCAGGCCGATGACGATGAACGTTCTTTCTCTGGACACTCGCGACCACCTCCTATAGTCCGCTCATTTCTGATTTCCGCTGGCCGCGGTCGTGTAGACCTCGTACAAGATTCTCCCGCAGTATCACTTCCGAGTGGAACTGGTCTCATCCGAGTATCTTGGCACCAACTTCTAATACGACTGCTCAACCTCAGATAGGTGGGTGCTTTCAGGGAAGCCCGACGAGGCAGCACGCCATTCTGCCGTCCATTACTTACTATGCACCAAGGACAAGCCCTTGCGCATCTTTCCGCCGCAGACGTATTTATCGCCTCAGCCGACTCGCTTCTACAATTGTCATGCACACCGAATGGTTCATACTCTCCTTCGTCGACCGAGTCGTTGAGAACAGTGCGACCTTCAGGGTTCCGGCGCACAAACGGTTGTCCCATGCACTTCCAATACCGATGATGAAAGACTTGCTGCACGAACCCGGCGTCGCTCCGCTCCAGATCCTCTCTCGCAATGATCGCATGTAGCGGTTACATATACAGTCAAGCGCTAGACCAATATATGTACCATATCAACACCGATATATGTACTATATAAACGGTGTCCCAAACATGGCTCTGTAGTGTAGTGGTTATCACCCGGGATTCTGATTGTGCATTCCCGTGACCCAGGTTCGATCCCTGGCAGGGCCTTGACGCGGCATGTCAACTTTGTTGCTTTTTTGTCTGCTTTTTGCCGGGTTGGCTACTGTAGCGTTTGCCGGCTAATGTAGCACCCTTCAGGGCTCGGGAGCGCTACCGTGACTAGCTGCATACGCGGAGCCCGATAAGTACCTGCGCTTGCTTTCGAATACATAAGCCTGGGATCCGTACAGAGTGCCTATGAGTGCCTGTCCGAGGTGGTATAGTGGGACAATGAAGCCGGAAGCGCACCGATGAGAAAAGATGTTCATTGGTAATGGAAGAAGAAAAGCGCAATTACAATACAGAGGGTAACAATCTAGCGGGTCGATAACTTGAACCTTGACTCGTCAATTCGAGGGTCAGTACATTCAATTCGACGGAGCATCGAACGCGAGCAGGGGAGGGCGCATCGGTGTCCTACTGTGCGATCCGGATCCTGCACGCAGCCCGCCGAGCGGGTCGCGGGCGTACATCGCGAGTGCGATCCTCCTCGAGCTCAGTGCGCGCCAATCCTTCAATAATTGCCGTCTTCAACTGTGCGAGCGAAGGACCGCCATCGTACACGCTCTCGTCGACGATCATGAGCTGCAGATTCCCAACATGCTGGGCCGTGAAGCCGGTCCACAGCATGATGATGATGAACGAGCGCAAGTCGCTCAAAATGTGAAGTCGTTCAAAATGTGAACGAACGCAAGTCAATCAAAACGTGAAGGATCGCAAGTCGTGCAAAACGGAGAATACATCTGCGGCCAGAGCATTTGATGGGGCATCATGATAGTAAATAATGGACGGCACAACGGCAATAGCCAACCCGGCAGACGGTACATTGGTCAACCCGGCAGACGGTACAATAGCCAACCCGCGGCCGGCAAAAAATGCAGCCAAAACAGTGGAAGATTGCGAGCCATCTAAGGCCCTGCCAGGGATCGAACCTGGGTCACGGGAATACGCAATCAGAATCCCGGGTGATAACCACTACACTACAGAGCCATGTTCCAAGGACCGTCTATAGTAACCATACTGGTCCAAGGCTTAACTGGATCCTCTAAGGACATTGTTGCGAGAGAGGAACTGGAGCGCAGTGGCGGTGGGTTCACGCATCAAGCCTTTCGTTATGTTTGTGCGCTGGGCTCGTGCATTGATACGCTTTCTACGAGCTGCCGCTGACATTGGCGACTATCATTTGTCACCTCAGCGGTGAGGTGAACGAAAGCAGCGGGGGCGTCTGCGAAAGCCTCCCATCCTGCACCTCTGGTGTCTGCATGTTAGCGAGACATGAAGATTTTCGACGCCAGGGGACACTCACCATGAGCCATACACTCCATGACGACGCGTATGCACCGTCCATCTGCGCCCCTCAGCACGCCCAGGTCTTCTACCGTTCTCTCCTTCTCCTCATCCGATCCATGACGTTGTAGAATGCCTTTGGATTGGTCGAGTGTATGAAATGCGACAAATTTGATCCTCTTCAACGCGCGCCACGCCTCGAGGGAAGCAGCGCTAAGCAGCGTGTTCCCTTGCAGGCGCGACGTCGCCCATTTCGCTTGCTGCACCAGTGGCTTGTCGCTCACCATGCCCTCCTCCGTAAACCGACAGGCGCGCAGCCCGCGCGGCTCCGCGGAATGCCACAACACCAGTTCCTCGACATTGGGCGCCGCCTGCGCGAGGGCGCGGACCGCGCAGTCGTCCCACAGCGGGCGGCTGAGGACGAGTGTGTGCAAAGCAAGCAGCCGGACGTGCTGAGACGAGTACCAGGGCGGACGTGTCAGCCCTGGCACGTCCAGGTCCACCTCGAGCGCGCGAAGCCTTGACGAGCAGCTGCGAATCATAGCGTCCACGCCCCTTGGCGCCTGGACAGAAGAGCGACCGTCCATGTCGGGGCTCTCACACCATGCGTCCGCGCAGCGCACGGCGAGCGAGTGCAGATTCGGAACCATCGAGATGACGAAGGTCAATTCGGACGCTGCCTCCTTGATCCAGCGTACCCTGACGCGCGGGTCCAATTCCGTGAGGAGGAGCTGGCGAACATGGGCCGCAAGATGCGGAGACGCATCCAGAAGTTGCAAAAAAGTGCGGCAGTTTGTCAAACCAGTCAAACCGACCGAGGAGAAAAGGAGGGATTGCGCTACCGCAGCGAAGTTGCGGTGGACTTGCGCGCATGCAGAAATAGAGGATGTGTCTCCGAGGTGCTGCAGTATCACGTCCTGAAGCTCTGTGGGCAGCGCGAGGGCGAGGGAAGGTCTCGACATTGCTGCTCTTCGTGGTTGGAAGGAAGGCGGTCTTGATCCGCAATTTGCCGAATAGACCACCCATTTTTCTTCCTTGCTCTTCGTGAACAGAATTCCACTCTGACCAACTCTGAGAACAATCATCTGCATCAGGTCTACAGTCCGAAAACTACAAAACTAGAAGGAAACACGTAGCTGCAGCCGACAAGGATGAACAGAAGCTATCCAGTGTGCGCGCGCCCGTCAGACGCAACGCCTCGACACATCCGAACACGCACAGAGCACAGACAGTCGCAGAACGCCGTGCGCCCGAGACGAGACGCCTACGCAGGACGCGAACGGAACATGCGAACTAGACGCGCGCAAAACATGTAGATACGTACGCGAGACATACGACGTACGCGCACTATAACATAGATGAACGCGCATTAGGTATATATAACGGACGTGCGTACACTACCGGGAGGTTCGTGGGGGGTAACATGACCAGCATCGACAGCAGTGGCGGTGGTGGTGGTGGGTGGTTCGAAACTTCGTGGTAAGAAGAGGTAGCGATGGTGAGAGCGGAAGGTGGGAAGTCGGTAGGAGGATACCAGCAGATGGCGGTGGGGTGGAAGATGGTAGGTAATCAGCGTCTGTTGGAGCGTGAAGTCTTCCAGGTTGATAGTCCAAGAGCGAGCGAGCGGATTAGCAGCGTCAACACACAACGTGTATCGCGCGTCTAGCGCGTCTTCATGCTTCAAGCACGGTCGTGACGATCGCGCCTACAGCGCATCGAGCACGCCTTACAACACAGCGAGCGCACCCAAGAGTGCGCTACCCAATGCAGCGACGATGCCACCCGGCAAACGGAGACCAGAGGCACCGTTGTTGTTTTCCGGCGCGGTCGCCGCAGTGGCCGTGCTGCACGTCGCGTCATCGCCGACGGTGGCGTCGCCCACCGAGGTGTCGGTCTCAATGAAGATGCGGTACTGGGATTGCCAGTTGGCCATCTGGAAGAAGGGGTTAGTCAAGAAAGTGGACACGAAAGAAGAGGTGCGCACCATCGGGTAGTCCTGGTGGGACGTGTCGGGGATGTAGTCTGCGAGGAATGAGTTAGCAATCTTGTCAACCCAACCGACATGGCAACAGGAAGAGAGAGAAATGATGTGAAGAGCGAGAGACAAAACTCGTCGAAGTAAAGTCGTGCAGTCATTCCCGTCGGTCCAACAATTCGTCCATCCGCTCGCGGGAGGCATCCGTCAATGCATACACCACGGCTAGCGGACCGTCAGGTATCCGCCGAAGCGCTCGTCAAGCGCCACAAGGCCCTCCACGGTAGACAGCGGGACGTCATCCGTTAAGCGCCCCATATTGCGAGACCTAGCTGACGCTCGATGTCTCTGAAGCGCCAGACTTCACAAGCAAGCGCCCATGGGACGGCGGCGCGCATCCGAGGAATGTCATGCTAGCGAGCCATCTTTGAAGCAGGCTGATGTGCAGGTGCTGACGCCCGACAACCCACAAGCAGTCAAGTCGCCCAGACGCAGCCCAGCAAGCGAGGATGGGCGGCTAAGCATCCGCGGCACAACGGTCGTCCAAGCTCGTCCGCATCTCTCGCGGGGCGGTCACGCTGCCGCAGGCCCGCGGTTCGGAGGACGGAAGGTGACAAGAACAGGAGCATGCTGACGGCGCATCGCAAGACGGAGGGTACGTCCGCGGCTCGGATGACGGAGTGACTACACCTCGGAGGACGGAGAACGACCGCAAAGCGCTGACCGCCCTCGGAGGTCGACCCGGGAAAGCACTGGTGACTCGCAGAGTTCGAGCGGAGGATGATCCGACAGGACGGGCAATTGACGGACTATCGTCCACGGATGTGTAGTGGTGGGCCATAGGCATGACCAGCGGATGGTCGCCGAGGTAGAGTGTAGAGGGATGAGCCATGGCCGTGTGCAATGGGGCGAGTCCGTAGCCGTGTGCAGAGGGTCGATCCGCGGGATGAGTCCTTCGGATGACAAGCCGCCACAGCTAACACGCGTCCGCGGGAAGATGCCAGCGCATCCTCTGAGAGGTGCGTTCGTCCTCGGGATGGTGTCCGTCCTCGTCGACATCCCAGGAAGCACATGATCGGATGAGAGGCGCTCGTCCGTGGGATGACGAGCGCGCCCACTGCCAGCGCATGCATGAGCGGCTCGGAGGCGAACACCCTCGGGATGAGTATCTCGGAGGTGTACGAGCGGCGCGAAGGCGTGTATCCTCGGAATGACAATCCCCGAAGGAGCACATCCTCGGGATGACAAGCCTCGGAGGTCTCGCAAGCATGACCAGCGGATTCGACCCATCGGTTGCGGACCCGTGCGCACGCGACTCGCGGAGGACGCCCTGACGTGAGGTACTCAGAAGTACCTCGCTTCGCCCACTCCCCTCGCCTCTCCTTCCTCCACCCCCCATCTTCAACCTCCACCAGAAGTAAAATATCGCGCAAAAGATGCACCAAAAAGAGAGAAAAAATGGATTCGCAAGCACAAAACGATGGACTCACCAAACACGATATTCCCCGGGTTCCCGCCGTCCATGCACTTGAGCATCGCCTCGAAGTTCTGCCCGCGCTGGAGGTGGCTCGAGCCCTGCGCCTGCGCCTCGCAGTGCGTGTCGCCGGCGCCGTCGTCGGCGAGGCCCTGCGCGTGGCGGATAGTGCGGGAGCGCTGGGGACGATGTAAGTCGTAGAACGATGGCGTGGATGTGCATGGTATGTGTGCGGTGGTGGTGTGGATGGCATATATGCGCAGTGGTGTGGATGGGATTGGGATATATGCGTAGCGTAACGTGCGGCCAGTGAAAAAGACCCCAAGGGTCCCCACCGAGGACCCTCCACGCATCGCGACTGAGAACCCGCAACGCATCGCAGAACCACCGACATCGCAGAACCACCGACAACGGAACTGACAACAACGGAACCAACCACGAAACCAACAACAACCAATCGCCCGCCATACTCACATACTTGCTAACCACACTATTCCAGTCGCTCTCGAACTCCTTCCGAAAGGCGCTCGGGAGGATGCCGGACCCGTCGGGCTTCTCGCCACCGTACGGCCAGGCGTTGTACGAGTTCTTGCACGAGTCCTCGATCGTGGCCGGGCGGTCGGAGGTGAGCCAGGCGCTGGGAGGGCGGGTGAGTATATGCGTTGGGAAGGGGATATATGCGTGGGAGAGGAGGCATGCGTTGGGGAGAAGATGAATGCGTCGGAAGGTGAGTGAATACGATGCGAGGTCTATAAATGCGTCGAAAAAAAAATCGAATGAAATATGCACGGAATTCGTGAGAATGAAAGGGTACAATGGGGTGATCGAGGACTGAATGGGGAAGAATGGAGTGTATTGTGTGCAAAACAGGGCTTGATTAAGGCCCTCCGGAGGCTGATGAGGCGGGACTGGACTCTGAAGAAGAGCCGAATCCGCAGGAATGCAACGCAGAATATTGTGAAACACGAAAGAATGGAGCAACGCAACAGAAACGGCCAGCGAAACAGAAGAGTGAAAAGCACGCACAAGGAGCCGGGGTTGCCAACCCAGTACCGCACGCGGTCGTCGTTGTCCTGCTGGGGGCGCATGATGGCGTAGCGCTGCGCGAACTGCGCGCCGAGACTGTGGCCGATGATGACGACGTGCTCCATGTTGGGGTAGACGTCGGTGTTGAAGAAGCTGTTGATGAACTGGTCCATGCTGTTCGAGACGAGGGAATGCGAAGGTTAGCGAGGTGAAGTGTAGCGGGGACACTGAGCACGCACGCAGTGACGCTGGAGATGTTGGTGTCCCCGGGCCCGACGGAGAGCGCGCCCTCATACCAGCGGTTCCCCTTGAAGTAGATGTCGTTGTCGCCCACGGCGCCCGCGCTCTTGTCCTTCCGGCTGAACCACATCGGCGCGGTAATGAGCACCTCGTCCATGTTCACCGGCGCCGAGTCGTTCGCGGCCGCGCAGATGAGCGAGTTGCGCGCCAGGTTCCCGTACTTCCTGCATGGCAAGGCCCCGATCAGCGTCCCTCGTTCCTGAGCGCACAAAGCTCCCGCACGCACCAGGCGTCCCGGGACTTGCCCGGCTGCACGACGATCGCGCGCTTGATGCTCGTCGTGTTCTTCCCGCGCTCGATGTAGTACGGGAGGACGGCGTCCCCGTAGCCGTCCAGCGGGAAGCGGTCGAAGCTCATGCCTGTCACGTTCGGCATCTGCTGCCACCCGTCGTCCGGGCTCCCGTTCACCTGCGCGCTGCCGATCAGGATCGTCGGGCAGGTTGGGAGCTGGTAGTTGCCCGAGGCATCCTCGCCGCCGTCCGTCTTGAAAATGGTCTGCCCGGGCGCGTCGCCGTCCTGCCAGCCCGGTGCGTTCTCGCCGCCCTGGTAGCTCGACTGGAGCCACATGGGGTCGATGGCGCGCGCGAGGGCGGCGAGGAGGAGACAGCTCGCGGCGGCGCGCGAGCTGGTCGTTGCTGCCCTAGCCATGATGGTGGGGATGGTATCCAAGAGAGTCGAAAGAGTGTGGAGGAAGCCGGAGAGGGGCGCAGAAGCGAGGATTAAGTAAAGGAGGAAAGAAGCGCGCGGCTGACGGTGAGCGAGCGGGCGACGTTTCTTCCTTGCTTGGTGGTGGTTGAAAGAGACGGTGAGCGGACCTGGAACCTTGTGCGAAAGTGGCGCCGCCGTCAGCCGTGTGCCAGGACCCTGATCGCTTTTTGATCCACCCACATCTGGGGCAACCGGCCTCGTGCCTAGACTCCGCACCGCCCACAAGCGCCCATGTTTGTTGTTCACCGTACCCTCGTTCTCCGTGCACTCCTCGCAGGCCTTCCATCCCCCAACCAGGCCTGAGTGACCCCCTCCTTTCTCGTGTCTCCCCGCACACGCCGCAGCGAACGGAACGGGCGGCGGACGTATCACTGCGCAGCATCACCCACGCTGGCGTCCGACACTCGTCAAAAGCTGCTCATGGAGCTCTGAGGAGCTTCGTCGCTTCGCTCGCCAACAGCTCGTCAATCCACAGTCGCTTGCAATCTTCCGGTCGCTTGCTTATTGCTCCAGTCACCTATTCGTTGCTCCAGTCGCCTATTCGTTGCCCAGTCCTTTGCTCGTAGCTTCCTCGTCGCCAGTCTGCTGCCCAAACTCGTCGCCGAGGACTCCATTTTCTCATCCGCCTGGCTTCCGTAGCCTCAAATTTAGTCGAATTTTCCGCACCGAAGACGGACCAGAGCTGGGAGACAGCACACGGAGGATTGTTATCGGAGTTCTTGATCCTGAGCTTCCTCCGTCAAGTCCATCACCGAAACTGAGCGCGCCCCGACTGATTCTGAATCCTTCTTTCCGGATATGGCGCTCGTTCGCCATCTCGGCTTGTCGAAGCCAAGCGTCGGGGCTGTGGGCGCCACGAAATGCTGAGAGGGCCGCGAAGGGCTTGAGAGCAGAGCCATGGATGGCTAATAGCAAAGCGGTGACAGGCTAAGCACAACGCCATGAAAGACCAAGAAGTCTTGTGCATCCTTACGCGCTCTACCTGCACAGGTTAAGGACTCAGGCTGGGCCAAGACCCACACATGCATTAGGCGACGCTTGGCAAGCGCCGCCTCCTGCACCGTTTCAGGAACTATACCCCTCCCCTTTCTCCACCTCCCCTCGCGCGGATGGTGATTCCACATCGCTCTTCCATCACACGCCCGATGCGCAAAAACAAAGGCTGACCACTGCAGGACTCGAACCTGCAACCTTTTGGTACGGAGGCAATCGAAGCCAAACGCGCTACCATTGCGCCAAGTAGCCTTGGCAAGGCAAGCTGTCTATTAGCATATTGATTACGCCACGCTTCGACCCAGTGGCACATTGAGCGCAGCTCGTTGGAGTTCACAGTCGACGAGAATCCATACCTAGCTTGTCATCAATCCACTTTGATACGGTCTCTGACGAAATTAGCGGTCTCACAGAAAAGCCTTAGTCCAAAGCGCGCTGGCTTGATTCACGCCAGTAGTTTGACTTGAGTCCAAATCTATCCATCAAGTATATCAGACCCGCGCATGGATACGCGATGCTCCCCGCTGGAAGTATCAGCTGTCGTATGTCAGCAACGCGCGCGAGGGAAGAGGATGATGAAAGAAACCCAAAACTCACGCCGATGAACCCACACTCTCACCACCTCCGCCCCTCCCTCCAACACACCGACTCGCACCTCCTTCGGCAACGTCGACCCTCGCATCGCATGCTTCGCGCCACAGACCAGCTCGACGCGCTCGAGCGCGCGTCCCTCCTCAAGCACATTTCCGCTTACCAGCACGCAGCCCCCGATCTCTAGATCCCCGTCGACGAGGCGGATGTCGCCGCCGCTAGCCCTGAGCACAAGCCTCCGAAGGCCGGGTGCGGCGCGCAACCAAGGACGCAGGAACTCGCCTTCTGGCCCGTAGGAGCGCAAGGCAAGGGTGTGCAGTGCGGGCAGTGCGTGAGGTGGGGGGATGTTGTCATAGGCCTCGAGCACGCGGAGCGTGGACGCGCAGAACGGGACGAGCTCCGCGGCGTCGGCGGCGTCGAGGCGCAGGCGGGTCAGGCGTCGCACGTCAAGACGAAGGGGGGAGAGCGCGCCTGAAGATATCTCGCGGAGCTCGAGCGCCTCCGGCGCGCAGGCAGTGCTGCTATGTGGCGCCCGCCCCGCAAAGCTCACGTCGACGAGCCGGAGGGATGCCAGCCGCCCGCCGGCGACCAGGTCCGGCGGCACCATCCGGATCCCCGCTAGCTCCAGCCCGCGCAGCCGGAGCACCACCCGCCTCAGCGCGTAGCGCAGGTCGCCGAGGTAGGGAAAGGACGTCATCGCGCATCGCAGAGCGAGCATTTCCAGGTTCGGCAGCGCCGCGAGCACGGTGGCTAGGTCTGGCGCGGCGGTCGGGATCCAGTGGTCTTGCGCCTCGTCGGTGGTGTGCACGTCGGCGATGATGAGGCGGCGCGGGTGCGCAGCGAGATGAGGGGCGCTGTGGAGGAGGCGGCGAAGGGCGGGGGCGTGGGAGGCCCGTGTAACGTGCAGGGTGTAGAAGAGGAGGGACTGGGCAGTGGGGGTGAAAGTGCGGTGGGTAAGGGCGCAGGCGGCCAGGGTGGTGGGGGAGGAAGCGAGGTGGTGGAGGACGGCGTCTTTCAGTTCTTGAGGGAGAAAGAGAAAGGATGATAGGGGAAGACTGAAAGAGGAATCCGAATGCTCTTCTGTTGGGGAGCGCATAGTCATCATGATCAATGGAGGGGGACCCGAGGGGATGCTTAATTGGACTGGATTGATCGCTAGCATCTGAACAACATATAGTATAAGTGTCCGGGCTGTGTCGGCCGGAGTAGGGTACGTTGAGCACCTGTAGGATCCCTCCGAGCTCCTGAGACGAGTTTTCGAGCAGGGTTAAATGCAGATGTGATGATGGTCACTGTCAAAGAGCATTCCGCGCGCGACTCTGTTTGTGACTATTTTTCATTCACGCGGCCCGACGTAATCCCGGGCCGGCGGTGACCTGAGTTCGCACCTCTTCTGCTGCTACCATCATCAGCAAGACCATGGCCGCTGCTTTCCCCTCTCCTCCTCTACCGCAGGAGCTGAGGGAAATCATTGTAACATGTCTGGCGGACTGTCCTCAAACCCTTGCCGCCTGCGCGCAGGCCCATCCCAGTCTGACTCGTCTCGCTCAATCTCTGTTGTTCCACACCATCAGTCTGACGAGTGCAGAGCACATCCACGCCTTCGTTCGAACCCTCCGTCAATCTCCCCATGTCGCGCTCTACGTCCGCCACCTTCTCATCATGCAATCGCCTCCCCCGGCGAGAAACTTCCAGGGAAATGCGATCTCTCTGGGGGCGTCGTCGATGTATATCGACTCTCTCGAGGGCTTGCTCCCCAACGTCGAGAAAGTGGCTCTTCGATGCTCGAGGTACTACCACAGAACGCCCGGGATGTCAGCTAGGAACAGGGGGAGTATAATGATGTTCTCAGCCCCGCACGGTGATAACACCTTCATCGCCCGATGTTCGCAGACCCTGCGCGTCCTGGAACTCGACTACGAGGTCCATGGGCTCACTGACCGTGACTTCGATCGATCGTACCATCTATCTCTGCCGGCACTACACACCCTGATCCTCGGCCACCGCTCGCTCTTCACTGATCGCACCCTGCGCGCTTGTGTGGCGACGGCGCCCAATGTTGAGCGCCTCGTGCTGTGGACAGACTTTACCCCGAAGCAGATGGCAGAACACTGTATTACTCAAGAGGGTGTCGTGGACGGTAGCTCGCTGCCGCCTGGGGGTGGGATGCCGAAGGTACTCCTGAAGACGGCCATCGTCGACGGGTGGCCTAATTTGAAGAAAGTCGAGCTCGTCAAGTATGCCCATCCGCCGTCGAGCGATGCAGAGCGTATGACACAACTCGGCGATGAAGGGGAGCAACGGCTGGGTGTCCTGCGCTGCACAGATGGACGGGAGGTAGAAGTGGCTGTTGTTCAAATTCCTCCGAGTCGCCGTAAGCACAGGCAAGTTTGTGATGATGAAACTGTACGCGCTAACAACTGCCCACAGAAGTTCCCAGAGATAAAAACACGCCTGCGCCGTTGCTCGCATTCGAATTACCGTCTGAATGATGATGTTTTGCCCTTGCATAACACCATCGTCGTGCGTGAGTCTCGATGTTGACTGCGAGGCGCATAAGTACTCCGCCTCTGCCACGAGGAATGGGTTTACCGCGCGTGCCATATCCTCTCCGTTGCCGCCGCCCTCAGTAAGTCAGTCCCACTCCCGATCGAGAATGTCGGGCCAAGCCATGCCTGGGTATAGGAACCCCTTCACGAAATCCACTGTGTCGTCCATCAATCGAATGTTACTATCGATATGCATATCTGAAGGGTATGCTCACAGTCTGGTGCCCATACTTTCATTACCTTCACCGTAGGCCCAAGGGTACCGATGAGCTCCTCGCGTTCAGCCATTAGCGGCCCTTGCGGCTCATCCGCCTCGAAGACGCAGTCTATTCTTTTCAACTGCGGGCAGGCTTTCAACTCCTCCTCGTGGACTTTGTCCTCCCCTAGTTCGAGCGTAGGACCATGAGAGGTACGCGTTATAGCGGGCTCATCTTGCCTCGTGCAGAGGATAAGTCGCCTGAGATTAGGTGCGCTATGAAGCCAATGCAGCAGAGGATATTCTGCTAATGGGACATCAAGGGCGAGGGTACGAAGTCTCGGCAAGACGGGCAACGGTATAGGGCCTCCTCCGCGCATAGCAATCTCCAGCACTTCCAGGGTGTGTGCACATCGCGCGATTAGGGCAAGTCCGTAAGGGTCTGCTGCGCAGATCGACCGGTCGAAGCGAAGGCGAGCGAGGTTGCTCGTGTCGATACTGCCGATGGTTTTCTCGAGCGTGTACGGCTCGAACAAGACGAGCTCGAGGGTGCTCGGCGCGCAGCGTGGGGGAGGTGTTGGCTCGCAGGGGGCACCTGCTGGCCAGTATCTGGAAACCGACTCTGATGCAACGGAAGTATGGGTTCTGGCGGGAACCACATTGATAAGCCGCAGGGAAGCCAAACGATGCCCTGTGACGAGCTCGGGAGGCATATCAGACACACCCATCAGCTCCAGCGCGTATAGAACACGAGCTCTACGGCGCAAGACGTGCTGAAAGTAGCCCATGTCCCCATATGCAATACGTTTGCTGCGTAATGCAAGTGTCGTGATGTTCGACAGAGCGTTGAGAATTGTGGCCAATTCAACGTTCGCAGACGTGATCCAGCCATCGGCAGAGTAAAACTCGCTGATGATGAGGCAGCGAACATGTCTGGCAAGATGCGAGGATGTATGCAGAAGGATGTTAAGGCTGCGCGCACGATGTGCGTCGGTGAGAATGATTTTCTGGAACAGGAGAGCCTGAGCAGTCGGGGTGAGGGTGCGATGGGCGAGCGCACAGGACGCAAGGGCGGTAGGTGAGGTGTGTAGGTGCTTCAAGGTCTCTTCTCTGAGTTCTTGCGGAAGAGTGACGGACTCGGAAGACACATCCATCCTGACAGTCGCGCTTAGAGGCAATGGACGATAATCATGATTGCCACGAGGACAGACTTTGATATCTTCGGTGATTTCCGGCCCAGCGCTCTTGCGCTGTTGAGCGGTGCCGGGATGAGGTTGGGGATGAAGAGCCTCAGCGTGCAGGTGAGGACATTCCTCGATGGCCACTGGGAGGGTAGGTTGATCACCTGCAGCCGGCTATCAACAGTTATGGCGCGGTATTGTATCTGACGCTTTGGAGGGAATGGAAGGCGCAGACCGGTTGAGGCGTCCTGCTCCTTGCGAAGGTCTTTCGACAGACAACAAGATGCGCAGTTGTACCATGGTGATATGCACAAGAGCAGTGCCAAAGTCAAGTGAAAGCAGTAAAGTAAGTCATGACGGTCGTAACGTAATCGCCAGAGGTATCGATATATGCTAACAAACCCATGTATGTACGTATGTACGCCTCGACATAGGCGACAGTGTCATATATACAGACCAAGAACCCATAGTCATAGACAGCCGTGAAGAGAGAAGACGTTCAGGTCGGAGACAAGAGAAGATCACTGCGCGCCAATACTTCACCTCTGCGCCACCTGCTCCGGATGCATCTTCCCCAGCTGGTCGAACAAGTCCTGCAGCGCGTTCGAGTTCAGGTCCCCAGCATCGTCATCCACGCCCCCGTCCTGCTCGTCCTGCCCGCCGCGCGCATGCTCCCCGAAACCTCCTCGCTCGTGCTCCCCGAACAGGGCGTGCGCTATATGCGCAAATGCCTCCGGATCGACACCCGACAAGTCAATCCCATCTTGATCCTGTGTCGCATCAATCGTCTCCTTCGGGTCGACGCCCTCCTGCGTCGTCGGGTTATCTCCCAGCGGCGGATTGTCAGCCCCCTCTTCTCCCGAGCCCTCCGTATGCGGATTCGACGCAGGCCGCGCGGTGTCCACCACTGGACTCTCCTGCGCCGCCCCAGCCCCCGGCCCCTCGTGGGGCGACTGCGGTATCTCCGTCCGCAACGACGAGATCGCCATATTCGTCGCAATCGGCAGCTCCGTCGCGCCCGTCGGCGCATAGGTCGCGTAGCCCATCTGCGAGGGATAGCCGGCCTGCGCGACGTACCCAGCCTGCGCAGCGTACCCTACTGGCACGGGCTGATACCCAGCGGGCACGTACGCGGCGAACTGGCCGTACGCTTGGGTGAAGGAACCGCGCTGAGGGTGTGCATAGCCAAAGAAGGATGCGTGCGTTGGCTGCTGGGGCCCCGGATCGTAGGCGGGGACGCGGAGAAGAGGCTGGGCGGTGGCGGATTTGTTGTAGGGGGCAGTGGGAGTAGTGGGGGATGCGGCTGCGTCGTCAATGGGTGGGGGAAGTTGGGAGTAAGAGCTGGTGCGGTCTCTCGTATTGGTTTGGGGCGACTCGGGCATGTCCTTGTGCACTTTGAGGTGCTGGAGAAGGTTGTCGTGACGGTTGAAGGTCTTTGTGCAAGTAGGATAGGTGCATTGAAAGGCTGGAGGAGGTATGAGTATGTATGGGGATCGCATGCAAGGGCGGACGCACGTTTTTCGTGGGTATGTATAGATCGTATATGCCGCTTGAGATGCTCTCCGCGGTGGAAGGCCTTCCCACACCCGTCGACCTTGCATATATACCCTCGCGAGTCGGAGGAGCTTGAATCGGGACTCTCTGTCGGTTCTGTGGGTTTGATGGGTACGCGGCGTCCGCGGCTCTTCTTCGTGAGATTGGGAACGGGGATGGGGAGAGTGGCGCGAGCGCGCGGTCCAAGAAGTGCGGCGTAGTCTTGTATCTGGGTCCCTGGCGAGTTCAAGAAGGCGACAGTCGTATGCGAGTTTGTTGTATGTTTCTGGGGGGATTCTGCTGCGTTCGTGGATTGGGTGGAGGTGGATGGTCCTGCGGCTTGGTCTGCGTCGTCTGCCTGTGATTCCCTCGTATCACTTGCCCCCTTCTGCGTCTTCGCGCGCTTCCTCGGCGGTGGTTTCCTCGGCTCTGGCGTCTCCTCCTCCCGCACCCTTCTCCTCGGGGCATGTCCTGTCTGCGATCTTGTCAGAGGGCGCGATCCCTCCACCGCCGATCCTCCACTTTGTGCTGGCTGCGTCTATTCCCACCAGTCATGAGCAACTGCGATGATCTGTCCGAGCATGAAGGCGCACCTGATCGTTACCAGACGCCGGATAGGCCAAAGTGGGGTCGATGTTCGCGTCAAGAGTCGCGTCCATCTGCCGCTACTGCTGCGCTAGGGGCTACACAGGGGCGTCGGTCATTACCGCGTCGCGCGTGTGATGGGGGCGATATTTACCCTCCCAGTTGCAGATTCTGGAGTAGAATACAGTAGAGGTGCTCTCCGAGGTTCTCTGAGTGCGTTGGGGCGAGGAGGAGAGGGTCAAAACTCGGTGGACGGCGTTAACCCCTAAAATCGCGTACTACGAGATAATGGGATCTTTTTCCCACGATATGGCGGGCCGGCAGCCCGCAGGCGTTCGACTTGGAGAAAATCCTGAAGCTCGAATGAAAAGCAGTGTCAAGCACGATTCATACGATGAGCCTAGTATCTGCGCAATTAACGATAATGCAGTTTCCGTTTCTTCGTGTGAATGGCAAAATGCAATGAGACGGGTCGGTAACTCATCTCATGGAGAAGAAAAACACTGGTAAATGCCTGGTCAAAGACCCTCAACGGGCGTCTGGTTATTGAACTATAGGACCGACATAAGCAACGGCGGACAAAGGGGCCAGCCTTCCGGGCCGGCTGTTGCTCAAAAGTAAGCGCGAGAAATGAGGGAGAGTAAAACCAACGTACTCTTGGGGATCCTTACAATGACGACCTCCACCTTCCTTCCATCCTTGCACTCGTATACACCCAGAGGATCTGTTTGCACCTCGTCCCGAGCTCCGTCGCCCAACCTCGTCGTCTCCTCCTGATAAACCACCATCTCGATCCTTTCCAATTTGCTTCCCTCCTCCATGATCTCCGCCCTCAGCCACCAGTCTCCGCCCATAACCTCTCCGTCCATCCAGTACGGCTGGCCATACACCAGCCCCTGCTCCGTTACCTGCAGCCCTCTCAAAGCCTTCGCGCCATTCATCACCCAAATGACGACGCGCCGAATAGCGGGTGTCACCATCAGCCAGCCCTGTATGGTGCTCTCGTACCAGACTTCATGACTGAAGATGAGGGTGTGAAGAACGGGGAAAGAGTAGTATCGAATGTCGGTCGACCAGGTGTTGAAGTAGAAATCCAGCTCTAACACACGCAGTCTGTTTGCGCATTGCGCGAGGAGCACTAATGAACCAGCCGGGGCTTCGCCGCTGACGTCAGATCCCACACCGCATCGCATGGCGAGTGCGGTAAGGTTGGGCAGCGCCTCGAGCACGGTGAGCATATGTGGGACAGCGTCGGCGACCCAGGGCCCATCGAGCTCGGTGATCACGAGCTGAGTGACGAGCGAGGCAAGGTAATGAGACGATGCGATAGATTCGTGAAAGGCATTGGCACGATCGGCGCCGGATAAGTGCACAGCGCGGAAAAGCAACGTCTGAGAACTCGAGGTAAGGCTTCGGTGCGCGAGAGCGCAGGAGGCGAGTGTCGATGGAGATGCAGAGAGATGCTGAATGATGACATCCCTGAGTTCTTGAGGGAGCGTCAATGGGAACGATGGCGTGGGCCGGGAGATCATGATGGTAGGACGAAGGAAGGAAATGAAGGAAGGCCGTGCACCCACGAGTACCATCAACGGCCCGGATGTCCCAGGGTCCGCTCAATCGCCTCAGAGGAGCAAGGAATATTGTTACATTCGATTACCCGACGCAGTACAGTATACTTATGAGAGCTGACGCTACATGGACCCCAAACTTGGCTTCTAGGTATGATACATATGCGGGCGGCCCGTCCATCTATTCGACATCCTCAGCTCACTCGACCCAAATTGGCTCCACGTCGTCGAAGACCTTCGCCCGCGGCTTGTACTTGAGCTCCTCCGCCTCCATGCGGGTCCTGACCGTCTTGTGGATATGTATGCCGTGCTTCTTCTGTCGTTTCGGGATGACGCGCCCTTGCCCCAGGTGCCAACGGAAGCTCCTAAGACGGAGATCAGCCATTGGCCGTCCAGAAAGAATGGACAGTGGGCACTCACAAGAGCTTCTGTAGCCAGGTCGCGTTGTCCGCGAGCTTGTACCGCACCTTCGCGGGGATCACCTCGAGGAACCACCAATGGGGCTTCAGCGAGAGCTGGTCGTACACCGGCGAGAGCGCGTCCCGCCTGTCCTCTTCCTCCTCGCCGAGGAATCTCGCCTCGTCCTTGGTGCTCGCGGCAGACGACGATGAAGACGACGTCTCCATCGGCTTCACCTTCACCTCATCCTTTGGCCTCACCACCGGCCACAACGTCTCCGGGTCCAAGCCCACCTTCGGCAGCAGCTCGCGGTGGAAGAGGATGTCCGTCTCGAGCAGGAAGCACTGCCGGATCATCCACCGCAGCGGAATGCGCGCCAGACTGTGCCGCTCGTCGTTGCGCACCGAGCCGCCGCCGACGTCGCAGTGACATCCCGCGAACCAGACCTCGAGCACGTCCGTGTGCTGGGCGGCCGCGGAGAGCCCGGCCTCGGCGTCGTACGTGCGCTCCTTCTCGCGGAGGGAGAGCTTGGTCTTGGTGGACTTGGGCTCGGGGCGCGAGCGCGGCATCTCGCCGGGCTGGACGCCGAGGGCGTGTTGCGCGGGATGCGAGCGGATCCAGAAGTTGGGCTGGAAGCGGACGCGGCGTTCGTCGAGGGCGAGGGCGTGGCGGAAGTAGCGGACGTGCGAGTTGGAAGTGGTAAAGGGGAGGCGGCGGGGGAAGAGGCCAACGGAGCCGACGGTATCCCTGGCGAGCGTAGTTGATGATCCGTCGGGGACCAACGTGATGATGACCTACCAGACACCTAGCAATTCGATGTTTACATCGATGCAGAAGGCTTTCTTAAAGGCGTTTGACTGCTTCCAACCGAGGTCGTCTTCGCGCGTGTACATTTTGTACGCGAATGCGACTTGCTGCTGGTTTCCGCGAGGCAGCAAGCCAATCTAGTCGTCCGCTGAGCACGGCCGTCCCATGAATGCTCGAGGAGCACATACCTTGTGCAGCATACCGGCGAGAGCGCGGGCAATATCTGAATAGTACGTCAGTTAAGCAGCTTTTGGAAGCGACGGAGATGCCTAACATGCTCCACGAGAGAAACTATAGATCCGTTAGAGTTGTGACAAAGAAGAAAATGGGGATCGACGTACCCGAAGATGTAGATCTTGTCTCCCACATGATCTGCGAGCCGGATGTCAGACCGATAGAGACGAGGAGCGGCGGGCATGCTCACAGTGGTTCATGATGTACTCGTAGCCGCCCATGACATGAGCTAGTAAACGTTAGATCATGCACGACGGGATAAGAGGCGCTAAGTACCATTGAGGTGTACGGCGCTAGCACGATCGTCAACACGGGGAAAATTTGTAAGGAAAGGACGGCGTACACCATAGAGTCAAGTAGCCGCTTGAACTTTGCCATCATGGGTTTTGCGATTTGTGGGATGTTGTACGTCCCGATGCCGGACTGAGAAAAGGTCAGTGCATGGTCAGCGAGATAAGGAACGACACGAACCTGATAATACACCAACTGCTTGGATGGGTCGTCCTTCTTGAGCAGGGAGAGGAAGCTGACTATGTTCGAGTTCTGCGGCGCCGTGAGCTCGAGCGCCAAGATACAAGAGTATACGGTACTCACATCCTCGTCGAACTGGTCTCCAGTTCCATCGAAACATAAGACAATCGCACGGTGGCGATTGTTCGGCGGAATCGTCTCCTCCAAATTCCTGGTCGGCGACGCAATCTGCTCCTTGTACGTCTCGAACTCGGGCGAGCCCGTCCGTCCCGTTGGTTGCGCCATTGTTCTCAGAGTAGGGGAGGGGAGGAGAGGGGATAGTCACCACCTGTCATCGCCCCTCTCAATCTTATATACCGCCGCCTCCTCCCCGGCTCCTGCTAAGAAGCTCACCGGGTCCCGATTACGACGCGCGCGAATCGGCATAGCCCGTCATCCGCCTCCGCCAGTGATACTAGGAGCGGCCTGTGGCCCACGATGGCGGTGAAGACGCGGCGCAGACGGATTCAGAGCGAAGCCGACGTCAGAAGCGTGTTCCTCTGATTCACTCCGTCTTCCCTCTATAGCGCGGCATGCTCGGCCAGCCCTCGGCGGTATTCTGGGCGCGCGAGGCTGAGCAGGAAGCCCGAGGGTGTCGCTGAGGATAGGCGGGCTGTATAGACGGCGCTTACCAAGGTCTATCGCTCATGAAGGACGGAACGGACGAGAAGAGGTTGTATACGATTTGCCTTTACACAGGACAATTGATCAGCTGCACGCGCGTGACGCAAACTCTGTAAGTTTAGAAGCCCGATGAAGATCGGGGCGTCCTAGTATCCCGCCATCTGTATGCGCGCGTCAGCCAATCACTGAAAGTGAGATGTGGACGCGCTCACTTGATCACCACCACGGTCAAGTGAGCAGTCTACTGCTGGCTTATGCGACGCAGGAATTCCACCAGCGGCCTATGGCGCTTTAGCAGCTCTTCTGGACGGAAGGTTCTGGTTCACTTACCTCACAGGACGTCCACTCATACCCTTTTCCATGTATGGCGTTGGGCGCGTATGCTATGATTGTATCCTGTGAGCATCAGAATCGTCTTCACTAGCGCGCACTCACCTCCATGACCCCAGCGATGTCGACATGAGCCCACCTAAGCTTCGGAGGCTCCTCTCCCTCCGCCTCGATGCCGGGGGCGAAGGCCTTCAAGAATAGGGCAGCGGTACACGAGCCACCTTGAGAGCCTCCGGTCTTGGAATACCCGTCAGCTAGACGCTCGCGGAGCGAAACTGAGAAAGCTTACGTTACACAGATCGGCATTCGTCCCGTAGATCTGAGGCCCAAAGTCTTCGTCCAGCGGCATGCGCCAGAACCGGTCATACTCCGACTCGCCTGCGGCACGCAGCTGCTCCCAGAGGTCGTCAGAAGACTGGGATAAAATCAGAACGGTGATTTCGTGTTTGAGAACGAGTGGTTTACATACCGAGAACACGCCCGTGAAGACCTCGCTAAGCGCGTAGCCCATCGCGCTAGCAAACGCTTGTCAGTCTTTTCCGCTTTGGATATGTGGCGCATCATCTACTCACCCAGTCAGCGTCGCCACATCGATCAGCGTATGCGGCTTGTATTCCGTCGCGGTGTAGTAGATTGCGTCTGGTGGGATCTCTGTCACTCCTCATCTGCCAATCTCAGATGATAGTAGACGTACCAGAAAGCACCAACCGGCCCTCCGCGTCCGTGTTGTCAATCTGGATCGACTTGCCGTTCATGGCGTACACGCTAGGAAAGGCAAGATGTCAACAGCCCGCTCCTCTTACGCCTTGACGAGCGCTCTCGAAAATAACACATAACACAAAAAAATTTACTTACATGTCTCCCGGCTTCGTCGCGCGCCCGCCGGGCATGTTTTCCGTAAGCGGCGTGGTCACGACGAGGTTGATACTGGGAAAATCATGCTAGTTGGCCTGCGAATGAATGTCGAGATCCAGATGGACTCACGGCAGCTTGAGTTGCGCAGCGGCCAAGGTCGTAGCCACAACAACGGCCGCGCCGCCTAAGATCATCGAGACCCATCAGCGGATATACAAGCCAAGCGATATAACGTTAGGCTCGTGAACCAGCTCATCGGCCTACGTTTGAAATCCGCTCGTGGCCTCGCGGAGCCGTAGGCCGGCTGGGCAACTTCGTATAGCAAATGCAATCCTGGGGTCCGGACCCCAGGACAACTCTGAAAGTTGAAGCTCTCGCGCGACCCCAGCAAGCGTGTACTCCGTATTAGCCAGCTCGTCGAGGGAGAGAATGGTAAAGAAATCGGTAAAGAGCAGTTGGTATATTCATGCAGTACTGTTTCGAGATGGATATACAAAAGCAGCGACAGCCAAAAGCCATGAAAACGAATGGGGGACGGTACCGTAGTGGAGAGTTCAGCCCTCGCACAAGCAAAGGACGCTCGCGCGGCGGATGATTTTGTGGATCTGCATATTTCCGTCGGTGCTGATGCTGTAGCAAAGTATAGCGGGGGATAAGGCCTTGCCGACGAAGCAATTCTGCCCACCCAACTCGCGAAGCGCACATTGATTGGCAAGTTGCATGCTGTCGGGCTGGATTACGCTCCCGGGCTTTGGCATGATTTGTGCGACCCTGTTGGGGGTATGTAGCGGTCTCGGTGTCGCAGCCGACGACGCCGCGATGAGGGGATGATTCGTGGGATGGACTGAGAGCGGCGTGTTGGGAATGGACGAGGGAGGGCGACTAGCCTGCGAGACGCTCAGCGGTCGTACGTGTGGCGACCGTGATTCTAATGGTGTGTGCAGGAAGGTCGTCGGGGGATGATGTGCGCGGGGATAAGCCATAAGATGGGTGGCGGCTATCCCAGGCGTATGGACGGCTGCGCCGAGATGCTGGCGCGGTGGTGGGAGGGGCGTGCAGGGGTACGACGGCGCAGCGCCTTGTGCGTACGCTTCGCGTCCGAACTGGCTCGCTGCACCGAACCCGTTCCGTGCTGAGATGGGAGTAGGGGTCTGCGGGGTAGAACTTGTCGTTGCGGGCCCACTGCAGAGTGAATGTGTGAGATGTGCATATGACTGGTCGATATGCCGTCGGTCCTGCGGCCTAGCAGTGCCGAAGGCCCATGACTGAGCAAAGGGAGGTTGCGAGATATGCACGGGGCCGTGATCTTGAGCAATTGGATGGACGCGATCGTGCAGTGAGGAAGACGGTGGCAATGGTACATGATCCACTAGGTGAGGCTATTCGGGAATAAGCAATGGAAGCGCGCAAAGAGCACCGTTCACGCACTTGTCGAGATGGCCCTGCTGCACCGGCGGCAGGCTCCTGATCGCCAGTCTTGCGACGTTTTCGGGGCTGTATCGCGCCCCGAGCCGGAGGACGCTTTGCCGATGTTCGTGGAGCGGTACCGGACGCTTTTGACGATGCGTTCTGCTTGAGCGCAGCAAGAGGGGAGCGTCCGCCTTCCCTCCCCCGCGGAATCGTGGAGGGCCCTCTGACCAAGGGGGACGCCGCGCTGGGGGGGTTTGTTGAGGAAGGCACATTCTCGCCGTACAAAGGAGAAGGAGGGCGAGAGACTGGCCGCTCGGGTCCCGAGATTTCCGTAGGAGGCGGCTGGGTCTTCGCTTTTTTCGGTTTCCGTTGGGTCGTAGCGGCTCGTTTGGCTGGTCGTGCTGATGAGGGCGGTACTTGTGCAGCATTGGTGGACAAAATGGTTGGGTTGTCGAGACGAGAGGCGCATGTGAGGGTGTACTCAAGTAGCTCCTGCCCTAGAGCGTCCCAGAAAGGCCAGTCGGATCGGAGCACCTTCTGCACGAACTCTCGCAACTTGCCGGTGTGGCGCTTCAGGCGCGCGATCTTGTCTATAACGTCCTTGGACAGCAAGCAGCTAGCCCCCATCGCGCCATACACGGGATCGGTCCTCGCCTTCTCCTCTCTCCAGTCATCTAACATGTTCCACCACTCTCGCGAAATCTCCTTCTCGTAACCCAGGCGAACATCAAGTTCCCCTCCGTCTGACTCCTTCCTCGGACGCGCGCGGTCGAGGAGCCATGGACTACAGATGTCGCAGCACGGCCCAGTACCCTTGTCGTCTGTAAGAGTGATTAGCGTCGACAGTAACAACACCACAGTACGCACTCACCTGGCCTGTCGTTCTCGAAGACAGTCTTCAGGATCTTGCGCCTGCAATCTGTAGTCTGCACCAGATGGTACAGGCCCTCTGTCGTGTCGTCTTCCGCAATCGGCAGCTGTCTCCATGTCGACGGCGGTAAGCCGTCGGTACAGCCGCTCTCGCTGCCGCGATGGACACCGTGAGCGCCGGCGTACTCCTTGAGGTCGTCTCCGGACAGCTTCGGCACTTGAGGCGATCCTGACGCCAGCACATCGGTGTCTGCTCGTATGGCGATGACCTTGTCGTATGCCGACTTCTCGACAAGCAATATACCAAAAGCGGCCGGCAATGCTCGTCCAGCCCGTCCTAATCGCTGCTTGAGCGTCGAGGAACTCGCCGGTAGCTTGTATTGGATGACATATTCGATGTCGGGTATATTACACCCCTACTTATTGTTAGTCCCGACACTCTGATGCGCAGGAAATTGATCTTACCATTCCCGCTGCATCTGTACACACGAGAATACGCACCGTGCCGTCACGAAAGGCCTCGAGGGCTCGCTCTCGATACTCCGTCGTAAGGACAGCATTGAAGCTGCGGATGCTGTCACGAAGGTGCGCTGGAGCGAGCTTGCGCAGGTGCTGTACGATCTTGTAGCCAGTATTGATGTTGTCTGCGTAAATCCAGGTTTTCGGGATGTCGTCCAGTTTGTTGGCGGAAGGAGGAATGACGAAGTCGAGGTCATGGTACGAGTCAAGGGTATGGTGTAGGGGACGCATGATGTAGGCGACGTTGGGGCGGTCATTGCCGGCATTGAGCCACAAGTACGGCCGAGCGGTACTCCGGTTCAATTGCAAGGTGTCGACAACGTTTCGTCTGACCCGTCGTGTCCACGTAGCCGAGACAGCGATGATGGGTACATCGCGCGAGAGGAATGCACGGATAGCGCCTATACGTCCATATTCCTTCCGAAAGTCGGCACCCCAGAAAGACACGCAGTGCGCTTCGTCAACGACTACAGAATAGATTTTGCGAGCGAACTTTGGGTTGCGCAAGACCTTGTTGAAAAACTGTTGCGACCAGAGCATCTCGGGTGAGAGCAGGACTATGCGAAAATCGCCACGAACAATGCGCTGCGAGATAATCAGCATGAAAGCATCGTAGTGGAGCAGGAGGGCTCACCTTCATCTGAAGCTGGCTGTCTTCGTCGACCGACGAGTTGAGGGCGGCCGCGGTTACTCCATGCTCGTTTTGAAAGGTGCGGACCTGGAAATACTGAGTCCTTACACTATGAAGCCTGTCGGTGGGACGCACCATCTCATTTTGCAGCGCTATCAGCGGCGAAATGACCAACGTCGTTCGATCTGCATTCTTCTCTAAGACATAAGGTGCGCTCGCCACCACCGTCCTCCCTTGCCCCGTAGCAGCCTGGCAGATAGCATCCTGACCTTCCTCTTGTGCTTGTGCGAGCCGGAGCTGGAAAGGACGTGGCTCTTGTCCGCGCAAGAGCTGTGTTTGCATTCGAGATCGGAGGTCCTCCAGCGCTTGCGGCGACATGGGCTCTCGTGGTGCGCTAGAGCGTGTCTGGCTTGCGTGGCCTGCCTGAAGGCGGTGTCCCTTGTATTTTGTGGTGCGGCGGGACGTCCGAGCGCTCTTGGGAGGCATGGTGGCTGGGAGAGCGAGAGAGAACGTGTGAACGCGATTTGCTCCCGAACGCGCGATCGTTGTTCGGACAAGTCCTTATTTCGCAGGTTAGAGGCCACCGTCATTAGCTGCAGATGGGTGAGCACAATTTTGAGCACAGGGGACTGGGCTGACCACAATGCAGAGCACAAACCTGAGAGTGGATGCGAGTCAAGCCCGCTGACCTCGCTCGCCACCAGTCCTCCAAACGGCGACATCTCGTATCGTGATACACCCTCTCCGCTGCCTTCCAGCTCTCCCCCACGCACCTCCCCTAGTCAACCAGACGTCAGAGCTACCGAGGAAGCTGTACCGACCACGTTACCTTCTGACACACAGTCATCCATACCACATCTATTTCGCGACGTCGCGCATGCTACACTACCTGAGGAGATGGATGTAAGCCCGCCACCCTCGCGTCAGTCTTCATATTTCGACTCGAGAAAGAGATAGAGCACTCATCTGTACCACAGCAACTCCAATGGCAAGGAAACCAAAACCCTCACGGCCTCTTCCTGCAAGATACGACGACCGACCAATGATGGGTGCCGAGGGAAGCGATCCCGGCGTTCCCATCACCTCGCCAGTGAGAAACGCAGAGGACACGACGCGCAAGCGCAATCAAGATAATCGAGACCGTTATGAGGCGGCTCGCCAGGAGCGCCTTCGTGCAGACTTGGAGGCGGCGGCGGCGGCAAAGGCGGCAGCAGCGGCAGCCCGGGAGGCCGCGAAAGTTGTGGCCATCGATCGTGCACTTGACCTACTCAAAGGGGCAGGGGTGACCCTTGGCGAGTTCATGCAAGACACACTCGGTGACCGCCACGAGGAGACCTGGCGCTATCATCAGTTCTACAAGGACGACGTTGCAGTCAACAAGGTCATAGTCACCATGGCATCGAAGAAAAATCGAGCCAAAGCCCGCCGCAGAGTCGAGAGCGCGATGCTCGAGGTGATCGCGCACGTCGTCGAGCACGAGGCTACAGCCATCACCAAGAGCGGCGCACTTCGCCCTCCTACGGAAGTCAACCAGGACTTTGTGTTAGGCTTCAAGTTCACACATCTTGTCGAGCTAATCAGCCCTGAATGTCCGTCCATCGTCACGCTTATGAGGCGTATCGTCCAGACGCCAAGGCAGACTGAGGATTGCTCGGAGGCGAAGCTTGAGCACAAAGAATTTGTCAGTACTTCTTGTGCACGAAGGGGCAGACCACATACTCACAAATAACGCTATAGATCACATCTATGTACACGGCGCTCCTCCTAGGCGAACGGAGTCAGCACAACTCGTGGTTCCGACACGTTTTCGGACTTTACCTCTATTCTGAGGGCGCATCTCGCCAGCTCATTACGGTCTTGAATCACCTCGGCATTACAGTCAGCTATGTGACCCTCGCAGGAGGCGGGGCCCTACCTGCGCTTCCTGAGACGTCGGTGGCGGAGGGGCATGAGGGAGAGAACGAACCTGTGGAGGATGAGCTCGACGATCCCACGCTCGCGGAAGATCATTCCCATCCCCGCGTTCATGAGCAAGGGGCGAGCGGTGGGAAGATGGGCACGCTGCAGAAGCTGTCCCTCGAGATGCGCAAGGTAGCGCGGAGGATGGCGAAGAAGAACAGCTTCTTGCTGGTATACGACAACATCAACATGATGTGGCGGGTCGCCGAGCAGATAGTAGGGCGTACCGGTGGGTTGAATGGACATCCGTATGCGCTTTCGCTTACTCATGAGCTACCGCATCGCAGACTCCATGCAAAACGGCACATGTGCGACAGCTCTTCCCCTGTTCAACGCAAAGGCGGAAGACCTGCGAACCTCGACGTTAGAAAAGCGCTTCGATGACGCGCGGGAGTTGCAGATTGAGGATCTGCTGCTCACCCCGCAGTACTATGCGCGGCTTCGCAAGCTCTTCGTTCACTGTGTCATGCGAATTATCGTGCGGCGTGGCGGGCAGGTGCTGCAGGCGAAGTTTGGGAAGAAGTTGAAGAGGACCGAGCCACGGACAAACAGCAGGATCGCGCCACATACCACCAGTGTCCATCCCCTGCCCGCGCGTCCTATCAACGAGAACTCGAAGACTGGCAACGCCGACGTTATCCGGGAGTTCATGGAGGAGCTGGGACAGCCCACTACGGCGACTGAGTTTGCAGATGAAGTACGTCTGGTGGCCGGGGATCAGCTTTCCATGGCGCGCTTGAGAGAGGTGGGCGAAGTGAGGGCGGGGAACGAAGGCGGCGCATCTAGCCTGCGCCACATCCTGTTCACACCGGGGCTATTCCATTATCGAATCAATGCTACGACCGCGCTACTGCTCGCTTACCTCGGCAAGAAGAATCGCGACATCTCGAACCCCGCCTCCCTTCACGCGCACAACACCATTCTCCGTCGCAAGCCTATTGTTGCCACCTCCCTGCCGTCTTTTCGAACCTCCGAGGACGTGATCAACGAGTCCAAGGATGCCCGCATTCTCGACTGTGCTCTGCGAGTTTCCGGCAAGGCGTCGCTCGCGGAACACGTGGCGGATCCCGACTTGGACTGGGCGACCTTGAAAGGGCATGCAGAGGCGATAGTAGATCGCTATGCAGATGCGAGGGTAGCCGAGCGCTATCGCCGGGAGCGGGAACGGGGGAACGAAGATGCTGGGGATCAGGTTTTCGAAAGCGCCGTCCTATTCCTTCGCGATGCGCTCTTGTTGCAGGAGTTCAAGGACGCCATCAAATCCGGCGACTCTGGTCGTGTTCTCACCGTCCTCGAGAGCTGGGTCTTCAGCTACCGAGGCCTCGGTCGTGTGCAGTACGCGAACGAGGTGCTCATTCTCCTTCATAATTACAAGATCGTGTGGCCTAAGAAAATTCGGTGAGTTTGAGGCGGTTTGCGCGATAAGCTGCATCTGACTGCACCTTTGTTGTAAGGGACATTCTCCTGCAAAATTGGCTCGTCAACACCACAGGCCGACCCGACGGGTTCCTCGAGGTGGATCGCTTGCAAGAGCACCTCAACTACTGGATCAAGGTCAGCGCTCGCGTCTGCCTTTCGTCACCCTTATGAGAGCTAACCTAACCCTGCACAGAACTATTTTCAGGCCCACGGAAGCAACGCGTCATGGAAGTGGTTAGGAACTATCTCGCCGTGTGTGGTAATCCTGCGCTCTCTCTCGAACGAGATCAATAGCACGCTCGGCGCAAGACAGGGCAAGCGCCACGCCACGCCCGACCGCACCAAGGACATCGACGAACTCATGGCGAGCCTCGCGCGTCACAAGGTCTACGAGTACTGCCCGGGCCGTCGTTTTGATGCGGACGACACAAGTCAAGTCGACGATGTTATAGCTGTCGGACTGAATAAGCTCATGAAGGGCGGCGCAGCATCGCCCTTGGCTCACCACAACGCATCCTTCAAAGCTCTTCAAGCTGCATATCGCATTCCGCCATTGATTGGGACTTCTTCTAGCACCCGGGAGGCGACAGAGGCGACAAATCACGCCTCGGTCGAAGAGGTACGTGCAGGCGCGGCTCCTGGTACGTGGTTATGCTCCTCGCGTGCCCCTTGTATATCTCATCAGTCACTCTGTTAGCAACCGCTCCCGGCTCGCCCTCGCTCGCCGCCGCGATCGATGAGGTGATGGATCGACCTCACATCGAAGTCCTCAACAATGAAGAGAGCCTTTGGGCGGCCATGGAACGTGAAGCTCTTGCCGATTTCGCAGGTGAAGAAGAGGACCCCTACGCGCCCGATGTTGATGCCGACTGGGCACCGGATGAAGACGACGACATCATGTCGAACAAAGATACCGATGTCGATGATCTCAGCGAGGATGAAGAGGGTGTCGGGGGCGGTGAGGACACGGAGGATGGGGACGACGAGGAGAATGTCTTCTAGGACGCGTTCGTCGTGTTCTCTTGCTTTGAAATATAGCATTCATACATCTCTGATTCCCCTAGTACATATCTATGTTATACTACGCACCCACGAAGGCGAAAGGCGCGCTTCGGGCGCGCCACTGAGGCGCCGGGCGCGCGCGCTACTCTCAACTTTCAGAGTTGTCCTGGGGTCCGGACCCCAGGATTGCGTCCCCTCTACGGAGTTGCCCAGTCCGCTCGCGAGCTCGCGGTCCGTTTTCAAATATCCCCTCTCCTTTGCCAATTCCCCCCAACCGAGCCGAACCGCTCACGGACCGCAGCCGCGAGCGGGAACAACTGGCTGGCGAGTCTAATATAACGTTAACTAACCCATATCCGCGCGCATGTCTTGCATGCCCTGAGAAGGAAACAAATCAGTGTCATTGCTTGCGTACGGATACGACCCGTGAGCGCCCACTTACCACTCGCGGCTTGAGGGAGATACCACCGGTGTCAAACGTGATACCCTTGCCGACGAGGGCCAGGGGCTGAGCGTCCTTGTTGGGCGCGCCCTTGTAATGACTACGAGGTTTTGGTCAGCAAGACTGCCGAGGGGCTGAGGGGGGAAGGAGATATGGAGGTAAGCCGTGTCAGGATAGGTCAGCAGTAACATGAGATGTATCGCCCATCGTAGCCGCCACGAATCGGGCGTCCCGGATTGGTTACAGCAGACCGGGCGTTAGATGCTAGAACAAATATCCCCACTCACATCTCCATGAACTTGGCTGGCTGTGCGGATCCGTGCGTCACGGAGAGGAAAGCGTTCATGCCCTTCGACTCGGCCCAAGCTATACAACACAGTTGGTCAGTCATTGGCTAAGCGGTGCCCAGTGTCACAAATTAGGTTTCGCGCATTACTTACCCGCGTCGCGGACGATGATCTCGACATTGTCTAATCCCGCGAATTCCTTTTGGACGCGCTCAGTGAAGGCCTGTGGTAAATTAGCTTTATGCACTAGAAATTCGACTTTACCGATCCGTGCTTACCGTCGGCGTCATCATATTCGCAGGGAGCTCCATGAGCTGGAACAAAATTGTTAGCTCGCCGATTATACCCTGACTCAAGCTACCGAACGCACCGTCCTCGCGAGGTTCTGCGCGCGCGCCGTCACCACACCGCGCACCCACTCCTCCGAGCTCGCGCTGGGCACGATTTCCACCTTCTCCGGCACCGGCACCTGCGCATCGGGCGCAAAGGGCGACGGCGGAGACGTCTTCAAGGAGAATTTGTACTGTAGACGGAAAAGGAATTTTTTTTGAGCTCCGCGCCGGGCGCCCACAAACGAAACACGACCTACGAGTGCGAGGTGCGCCGCCGCCGCTGGGAGACACTAGAGTCAGCCACCGGAATGGGGCGGGAAGTATTCGGAGTGCCTACCGGCTGCCTGAGGCTCGTCCGCGGCCTCCACGGTGAGTTTTGCGAGGTCCTCAAGTCCTTTGACGCTCTTCACGGCCGCGCCGACAGCCTTGCGGACCCGCTCCTTGCGCGCTTCGGGTCCTTCCTTCGCGTAGCCCGCCCCGAGCGCGCTCACCACGGCGTGCCCCCCGTCGGGCCCTGCGCCGTAAAAGGTGCGCGCAGTACCCACCTTGGGCGCCTTTTCCGCGCGGTAGGCGGTCGCCCAGAGCCTCGCCGCCTCCGCGGTGGCGGGCTTCTCCGGGTCGTAGGGGATGATGTGCGCGGTCGTCGACATCTGAAGGCGTCTGCAGCTGGTCAGTCCGAACCTGAGTGTGCGTTGCAAGTTCCGTGCGCCGCTCATCGATGGCACGCGTCCGCTCATCGTCTTCGCCCGTGACCGCTGGTGCAGGTGATCTGCGCTTTGGAAGGTTGCCGTGCGTCGAGTTCGAGTTCGAGTCCGAGTCGAGCCGGTCTGCCGCGTGGATCCCTTACGGAGATACAGAGATGCGCGCGTCCTGCACCCACAGCGATAAACAATGCATGCACTTCAGACTAGCCATTTGCCCGGCCGTCATCAAGCCCAAAGAAGCGTGAAAGTGAGGTTTTTTACTCGAACACGACCCATGTCCAGCATCCAGGAGCAAGATCAGGTGAGCCGTGTGCAACTCGACGCGTATGGGGTGCGAAGTCTGTCAAAATCCGGACTAGAACATATCTTGTTTAACATGAGGCACATTGCTATGAGCTACTCTCTTACAATGCATCTTTCGTCCAGGCATGCCTGCACAGACGCGTGGCACGGTGATTGCAAGGAAGGACCGTACGAAGACGAGATATATACCTCCATGACGCCTCTTTTGTATCCCACGATCAGAGAGCACTCTTCTTTGTGAAGTTTCGCATAGGACTATGTTCAGCTGCCGGCAAAATTCGGTCATCAGAATGTATGTAGATAAGTATTCGGATTTACCTGCCTAAATAAGCAGAAATCGAAAGCTCGACCGGTGAGTCGACTCAACTCGTGATCACCAGTGATCACCGCGCCCGGAACGCGCCGAGGCCCAACAAACCTTGTCAGCGCCGGCGTGCTCGCACCGAGCTGCTAGCCCGCAAGGGGATCAACCGCGAACCCCGCGAAGCAGCGACTCGCGAGCCCGTGGTCCGGAAGAAGGCACGCAGAGCGATCGATTGGGCAAACAGTCTACTCCTAGGTACAAGGTCCATGGCACCGAGACGTCCTGACGAAGTCTCGACACAGTGATAGATAGATACAGGTTCGGGCGGGTACAGTTGTAGGAAGCTATAAATTACTACTAAGGACACTGGCGAACGAGGCGGGGTATATAAGGAAGGAAAGCGGTCGGTCCGTGAGAACGAAACGAAACCGAGATGACGGTGGCCAGCGAGGGAGGCGGAATGCTGGAGGTGCCACGGGAATCGGGTAGGAGGGAGGTGCTACGTCGCAGGCGTCGGCTGGGCAGTGTGGTGGGGTCGCGAGCGCGACGGCATACCGCGCAGGGCCCGGCGTGTCCGTCATCCTCGAATGGTGGCGCAGATCGTCTCCCTCGGCGTGCAAAACCACCCCAGGGCGTACAGCTTCCAGTCTCCGTGTCAACTACTGCGGCGCAACGCAGTAAGCACGCGCGCCACACTCCGAGAATGACCGAGGGGACGTACCGAGTTCTCTACTTCCAGCGAGCAGGAGCAATATGCGGCGGGTGCGCTAATCCTCAAACTCCTTGCAGGGGATGCCGTGGCTGAGGAGGAGCTGGCGCAGGGTCTGCGCGCGCGTCTTCCAGGTGTCGCGCTCGCTCGTCAGCCGGCGGACGTCGTCCTCGAGCGTCGCCATCTTGTCCGCCTTCTTCTGGCGGCTGCGGCGGGCGGCGAGCGTGTTGCGGCGCCTGCGGTACTCGATCTTCTCCTGGTCCGTGGCGCCCGCGGGCGGGGGGTGATCTTCGGGCAGCTCGTCTTCTTCGTCGTCGCCGAAGGCCTGGGAGCGCGCGCGTTTGCGCGCGTAGAACGCGGGGACCTCTTTCTTCGAGGTAGACGTGGGCGTCACGTAGCTGCGCGTCTGGGTGGGGGTGTCGGGAGGGGCGACGTGATCGACGGCGTCCTGCCTGTTCGCGGCTGCGGGGGGCTGGATAGGGGCGTCGGGGGCGGGGTGGTCGGAGGGGGTAGACATTGCTGGGCAAGGGGGGCGTGCGTGCGAGGTGGCGAGGGTGCGGGAGGGGCCGCGGGGGGCGGTGGCAGCGTATGCGTCGGTGGTGGTGGTGGTGGGGGGAAAAGCGAAGTCGGACAATAGTCCCTGCATATTTGAATTGTCCATAAGAGGGACGATCGGGCCGTTTGTCACGCGGGTGCTCGGATGGAAGATTGTGAGTCAGCGGATGACTCGGAGTAAGATTCAAGACGGGTCTGCTGGGCCGGCGAGGGGCGTCGGCGCGTCGGGCTCTGAGTCTGAGTCGCTGGCGTTCTTGGGATCCTGCGCGCTGCAGCTGATGCCAGGCCTCGCGACCCTTTAAGCCGGCGTCGGGGCACTGCCTATCGTCGGGCGGTCTGAGCGTGCGAGCCGGTAGGAACAGAGTGTGCGCCCGGCGTCGGTGGCAGGATGGGGCGGTGTGCGTTACGTCATCCCGACTCACCCAGCCGACTCACGTGCGCGCGCCCGCCGCCTCGCTATTCGCCGTTACACGCGGCGCGCCGCACAGCTCGCGCCTTCGCGGGCAGTGCTCCCGCCCTCCGCGCGCGACAGATGCACCGGCGACACACAGTCGGAATACAGACGCCCTGGTGACGACGATGGCTAGCTTGTTTGCCGAACCCGAAGGCTGCGCGAGTGCACCTGGACGCGTATGCCGGACAGCGCTCACGATGACGCGTACGCGACGAAGCAGCGATGGTTGCGCCCATGGCCATCGCCCATACGTGAGTCATCGACATCTTGCTCGCATCCATTGTGGTGAATCGAAGATTAGTCGATGGATTGCGTATCATCCCCGCCATACAAGTAGGGCATGCTCGAGCGGGTTATCGTGCATCAACCTCGAATGGGCCACCTGTTTGAACAGGCCGTCTCTGATAGGGACGCCGATGCGCTAGCGGACTCAGATAGACTGCCGTGGATACGCATACAGTCCACCGCCTGCGACGCAGCCGAAGTTTGTTGTGAGTCACGCACAGATTCCGGCCACGCTGGCGACGGTCAGTCCACTCTGGCTACGGTCAGTCGACTCTGCGACCACGCTGGCCTAGAAGGTCGGATCTGGGAGACTTCGGCGGAGAAAGATAGACGGCTCCCGCATCTGACTTTGGCAAAGATGGAACAGAACAAAGACAGATCGTGTTGATCAGAACGCGGTCACGTCCGCGGCAATCGCCGATTTATGGCCGCAGACGCGCGGATGCCTGCTGGGCTCATCCGCAAACGACGCTATGCCTCACTGAGTCAAGGACTAACTACTGTGTGGACTGGGTATCTCTTCTCAATGTAGCTGCCTCAGTACGCACCTACATTTGAGTCAAGTCTACGAGCATACTATACCGCGCAGAGGAAAAGCCCGTCATATCCGGAGTCCATTGTTCTCCAGTTCGGGTGAAAAGCAGGCATCGATGATAGTGGGAGTCACAATGTCTTGCCACCGCCCTACCCATACGTGAGAAGCGGGAGAAGGTGCTAGGAGAAGATGAGGGTAACCATATTGCATATGCCTGGAAGTCGCTATTGTGATTAATCACGCGAGGAGAGCCTGACAAGGCAGCTAGCGCAGTGACGAAGGCTGTTGCAGCGCACGATGAAGCACGCGAGCGAACCAGAACCTCGTCGATCACTCATGTCCCCAGCGAACACGAATTCGACAGGGTGCAGTGCTTCTAGGTGCGAAGGCATGCGCGCTTTCACGAACAACCGAGCCGCGCGTCCATGAACAAGCGAGCACGAATAATAGGGTCAGTCATCGCGGCAGAAGGCCTTCGGACGACTGGAAGTGACTCATAAGGAGTCCAGAGAAGCGACATAGATCTCCAGCAGTGAACGCAGGCAGCGAGGGGCAGCGGAGAAAGGGTATAAGGAGGGGACGAAGGGTATCAGGAGGGGACAAAGGGTATCAGGAGGGGACGAAGGGTATCAGGAGGGGACAAAGGGTATCAGGAGGGGACAAAGGGTAACAGGAGGGTGTTACGGTCAAAAGAAGGGGCAGGGAAGGAGTATAAAGAGCCACGCACCTGCGCATGGAACCTCGATACCCACGTACGGGTTGCCCGACGCCTACCTGACTGCTCAAATCGCGACGCTTGAGCACACTGGTGGCGGGCTGGCGAGATAGAAGGGAAGGACACCGTACAAGAGCGATAGAGAGCCAGTGGTCTTGCGTGACTGAATATGTGGGGGATGCCCAACCCTGCCGCGGGGAAGCTGGGATATCGTGAGCGGCGGCGAGCACGCACTGCCCGAGTGCTTTGCGGGTCGGGGACGGCACAAGCCGCAAAGCAGACGCTAGCTTGAGAACGTTGGGCGCCTGAAGAGCATGAAGAGTCGAGACACGATGACGAGGCGAAGAGGGCGAGCCAAGGGCGGAGGGAAGCAAGTGCACATGGCTGGAAAAACAGGACGAAAGCGCCTCAAAAACCCTGCTGCTTGGCATTCCTGTGGCGACGAGAACGGACTAGGGCAGCGTAGGCAGTGGACGAGGACGCGGATAGAGTAGAGTAGTGCTGGTCTGCAGCCTCGGTGAGCCCGTAGACAGTGATGTCACACCTTATGTCGGCCAATCATAACGCCTCAATGACAATATAACAACAATGACTTCCCCTTTAGTCAATTATCGCGTTGAATGTCCCAGTGTTCATACCGCGGCGCATGTGGAGTTCGCGTAAAAGGTACGCGCAATTTACGAAGTAAGAAGGCTTCAAGAATCCGTGATGCATGTTGCAGCGGGGCAATTTAGCGGACACTTGGGGGAAGGTATAAGTTATGCAAGCGAAAAGGTTTTATTGATTCCAGAGTAAAGGCAGTCTGTGCGCGCGTCAGCAAGTAAGAATATGGTACGAGAAGGGGTGGACACGCACATCTGAGGGGTAGGCGATCTGCTCATTGGTGGTAGAGCTCCTCCTTGAGGGGAATGCCTGCGCGAAAGATTAGAATGCATACTTCTCACAGCTGGACGTATCACGCACCAAGCTCCTCCCGAACGCCCTTGAGCTCATCAACGTACGCCTGGTACTGCTGCTTGTTCTCAACCTTCTCCTTCAAGCCCTCAAACACGCGGACCGCGGTCGACAAGCTGTCCACCCGACGCGACGCGCGGAGCGCCGCCTCGATAACCTCCGGCGCGGGCACGAGGTCGTGCGCGAAGCAGTTGTTGAGCCCGCGCTGGACCTCGAACAGGTCCTCCGCGTTCTGGAAGAAGGCGACGTAGCGCTGGGTGAAGCCCTCGAAGGTCTCCTGCGCGTGGCCGTGCGCGAGGCGCGCGCGGATAAGCGGGGCCGCGGAGGCGACGCGCAGGGGGGCGCGGGCGGCAGCGGGGCGGGCGGCGCGGAGGGCGGTGGCGAGCATGGTGGTGGTGGTGGTGGCGGACGAGTGAGGTGGTGCGTGCGGGGGTGTTGGGCGCGGTCGGAATGGGAAAAAAGCCAGGGGCCGGGATCGGAACGCGCCGGCATCGGCCGGGAGGGTCTCGGCCGCCTTCTGGGTTGGCCTCCTCCACTCACGGGAACGCCGTTTGCCATGTCCTCTGCGGGGTGTCTGCGGGGAGCGGAGGGCACGAAGATCACCTTCTGGCTCGCACCTCGGGTTTGACGTGCTGAGGCGAACTACTGGGCTTTTCCTCCTGCGATTTTGGCCGTCCTTCTCAGCGCCGCGATAAGTACCTCTCGAGGCTCTCTTGAACGTCGTTGATCAGCCGTGTTCTCTTCACGTCCAGCTATCACCGCCTCTGCGGTCATCGCGTTCTCTAGTAGCCATACTATGGGCTCAGTGAAGCCGCAGTTCTCGTGGTGTCTGCACATACTCATCCCTTGACAAGGTCTCTGGAAGCAGGTACGCTTTGCATGTTCATGACCTCTTGATACGGCTGTGACAACTATCCTGGCTGCTATCCTGTGCTGTCATCCAACCAATGTATCTTTCAATCTGGACTCGGCCGTTTGTTCTGCTTGTGCATGCGCAGGCCTTGAACCCACCTGCTGCTTACCTTCATCTCTTGTTAATGAATAGTTGCTTGATGTATGCTCGAACGCGTCCTGCGTGGCATATTTTCCCCTCCTGTACAGTAGACATCGTTGAAGACGTTGGAATAAATCGTCAGCGCCTCCCGAGAACATCGGGTTCGCTATGTCATTTGTGGCGTCTCCGTTTGGAAGGATCCATTGTTCTCGGGGGTATGTTGACTTCGTACTTCGTCGTGCGCTACCGACTTCCTCGCCCAATGACTGTATATTGAGACGACATCTCCCCCATCCTTCTAACCACGTAACCTATCTAGTCTACCTGGCGACGCTGCGCTCTGCTGAATCATCTACATCTGCACGAATCATTGAAACCTGATTTACGTTAGTGAACAGCGCTCGAGCGACGCGCTTCTTTGCACCTACCAACATGGCGCCTGCTGCGAGCAAGGAGAAGGAGAAAGAGAAGGAAAAGGAGCAGAGACCGCGCAAGAAACCAGGACGGGTGTACGTGGAGCGCGTATAGCTGGATCGTGACGGGCGCTTACCGTTCCCCCTGCCCTGCCAGACCAACGTCGTGCGCGGAATGCCGGCGCTTGAAGCTCAAATGCGACAAAGGGGTGCGTGGCGTGCTGCACATGCGTTCTGCAAGCTCATTATGTTTTTCCAGGTCCCTTGCCAGAAGTGCGTGAGCCGTGGCTGCGGCTCGATCTGCCCGGACGGTTAGGCGCACGTCGCTCTACCCCTCTACCACGTTGCTCACGATCCGCACCACAGGCCAGCTCGTCAGTGGGAAGGGCAACCGGTGCGTTCGCCCTCACATCCCTCATCCCCACCATACTGATCCCCCGACCCTTCCCCAGATTCTTCCTCGCGAACACCGAAGAGCTCCACGACGAGATCGACCAGCAGAAGACGCGCATCCGCGAGCTCGAGCAAGCATTGCGCGACGTGCAGAATGGCGTGATCGGCAACGCGCAGCCCAGGGAGAGCGATCCCACCTACCCCCTCGCGTCCTCGTCCAACCCCTACCCCACACCGTCCGATGCGGGGCCGTCGAATGGGAGGCGGCAGTCACCGGACTCGATGGAAGGGATCCATATGCCAGAGATTGTGCGTCCGGCGCAGGACGAGGAGAGCTTGCTGGATGCGTTCGGGACGCTCACGCTGGATGGGAATGGGGCGGCGAGGTTCCTGGGGAACACGGCCAGACCAGAGGTGCGCTGTACTACTCTCTTACCCCAGCGCTTACTGACGAATGTCTCCTAGTACCTAGCAAGGGTACGTGCACAACCACACACCCATCCATCGCCCTCTCATCCTCGCGCAGGTACAGAAGAAATACCAGCCATACCAGCCAGATAGGCTATTCCCCATACTCTTTGGGCAGACGACCTATGGGGCATGCCTTTTTGAGTCCGGGATGGACTGCCAGTCCAACTCAGATGCTGCGAAGGAGATCATCCGTCTACTACCCAGTCTCTCAGAGGCGATTCGTCTAGCGGAGCTATACCTGTGCTACGGCGAATGGCTGTGAGCGTAGTGTTTGTTGTGCTCATATGGATGCTGATTGTCGCTTCAGCTTCCCCTCCATGCGTCGCACTGACCTCTTCGACGACGTGATCCAGGACGTATTCCGAGCAGAGTAAGTACGCTTCTCCCTCGCTCTCTCTCACCCTTTCAATTCATCCCCTGCAGCCACGCCCAAGTCCCCGAAACCTGGTACCACAAGCTGGCCGTGCTTTTCTCCGTCTTCGCCATCGGCTGCCTCTTCAACCCTACCCTCGAGCCCTTCTCGACAAAGGCGAACGACTACTTCCATGCATCACGGACCGCACTGTCGTTCCTGCCGCCGTACCGGTCGACTACGTTAGCATCAATTCAGGCGATTGTGAGTACTTTGGGAAGGGTTGATATGTATCCGAGGCTCACGCGGCTACAGTTACATCTAGTCGAATACATGGAGTTGAGCGATGCGGATGCGGTGGGCCCACCGGAGGTATGGATATACGATGGATTGGGGTTGAGGTTGTGTCAGTCAGTATGTCAGAGATGACCATTTGAGAAGAGCTCTCTTTACTCACGATGCGTCCCACAGATAGGACTTCGTGAGCATCACGCTTTTTGTCAGCGGGGTATTCAGCTAACGTCGTACAGATCTGGACGCCACACGTTGGAAACTCGACCCAGCTCTAGCGAAGAAACGAGGCGAGCTTTTCTGGGCAGTGTATACGCATGATACCTGGCTGGTCAGTTGTTCGTCGCTGGACAAGAAGATGAACGCGCTGATGCCTGTGCAGAGCTTCTGGTTCGGTCGACCACCCATGTTCGACGACCGCTTCATCGACTGCCCTCTACCCGATGGTGACCAAGTAATGTTGGCCAGCGGTGACACGGAGATGAGCTGTATGTACCTACTCCTTCGCCTACCCTTCCCTTACTCAACAGAACCCCCTCTTAGACAAAACCTGGACCTGGCACTACGCCCGACTCCTCCACCACGTCATGACGACCGCCTTCAACGCCCGGCCTCCGCCCTACTCCACCATCATCGACCTCGACCGGCGGATACGCGACTTCGCCGTCCCGGAATATCTGCGCCCAGTGTGCCCGAACAATATGCCGTGCACGGTGGAGACGTCGGCGGCGATGCCGGCGCATGATATGCGAAGGTGGTTCGTGCTGATGCAGAAGGAGTCGAGTGGGTGTCTATTCGTCGTTTCTTCGTGTCAATGGATGAGCTGACCGGTCGCCTCGCAGCCCTTTTAAACCTACATCGAGCATACTTCGCCGTCGCGCTCGACGAGCGGCCGACGGAGCTCTCGAGCCATCGATATGTACCGTCTGTATTGGCGACGTATCGTTCGGCGTGGCGATTGGGCAAGTCCTTGCAGCTTGTGTGGGCCAAGTATCCGGACAGCATTTCGCGAGTCGGCCTGATGTGGTCGCAGGGGCTTTCAGCAGCAGTCAGTGCCCTCCCATCAATCCCATGGCGCGCTGCCTGACTTTCTGCAGATCGTCATGTGTCTAGTCGTCACTCGCGCACCGACAGCGAGTATGGCGCCCTCGGCGCTCGACGAGCTCGGCCTGCTGGCAGACATGTTCGAGGAAGCCGCGCCTAAGTCGCCTTGTGCGGCGAACCTCCTCGAATCCATTCGCGGCCTCAAAGAACGCGCGCTCGCGGTTATCAACCATACGGACGCGCAGGAGCAGGAGGCTTTCGCCTCCCGCGCCGAGCTCGACCGCATCGGCGGAAAAACAGGGTTCGTGCGCGTCCAGGCCGAGGCGACGAGCGTCCGTACGGCGTCCTCGAGCACGCTGTCCAGCTTTATTTTGCACACCCCCTCTGGCGACTCTACGGACCTCTATCCCTCGTTCTTCCCCACCGGCTCCGCCTCGAGCATCAGCGCGCTACTCGATCCGCCGAGTGCGGCGGCGGCGGGTGGTCTCGGTACTGCACAACCGCAAGCGCAGGGCGATCTGGACCATTCGTCGTGCTTGGCGGAGAACCTGCATCCGACGATGATGGACGATTTGCGCAACTTTGAGGCGGCGCTGGGTGCATTGGAGCAGGGGATTGCCATGGAGGGCGAGGCGGGGCAGAGCCAGGGCTTGGGAGGAGGCGCGACTCTTCTGCATAACGTCTGCCCGTTGGGTGTCGGAAATGGTGTGGGAGGCCCGTCTCTGCCGGGGGAAGTGAGCGGGGGCGGTGGTGTGTCCAACAACGCCGCGGGGACGAACGGTGCGAACTTTATGGGCGCGAGTGCGTTCGATGGGCTGCAGCCCACCATGCCGTTCGGTGGAGGTGTTCCCGTGTTGGATGCGACATGGCAGAGCTTCGTGGAGCAGTTGGGATTCTAGGATATGGATATATAGTAATTGTGCCGAGTCGTATGCTCGGTCTGTTCGTTGTGCTTCTAATTTATGGTTCGGCCCACTGTCTGCTCTGAATTCATGTTGGTTGTGGCAATGGCATGTCACGATGATGCTTGGGGGACGGATGAACTTTCTATCATCACAATCACACAATCATAATCTCCATTGGTCTCGTTCGCTTGAAGTCGAAGCTGCTCTCTTTCTTCTGTCATCGAGTCGAGTGAGGTCCCAGCTAGCATCACCTTTACGTGCTTCCAAACACCCTTCCTCTCGCCGTTGCCCTGCCGCGTGATTAGGCGCACCATGCCTAGCCGGAATGGCCCCCATGTGGGGACCCATATACCTCGGGGATGCAGATAGCAACTGGCCGACCCAAATTTGAAGCTCTGCTCAGGATGAAGACTAACCAACACTCAGTACAGACGCAGCGCACGTCGTACAGCAGGCAATCCGGGAAGTAGACCCAGCGCCAGGTCACATATTCGTCGTAGCGCGCCGGGAAGGCTGAAGGAACCGCGGCGCGCCGTCCTGTATTCAGCGGCCAATCAGCACGATACGCGCTCCCACACCGATCCTCCATCAAACAGCCGCCGGCGACCGTCCCTATAACTCGCTCGAGGATGACTCAGACGCACCTTCCCTCCTCCCCCCCCATCTCCCCGGACACCATGGCGTCCACCAGCCTGATGCCAAATGTCCTCGACCTCGTCGACAGGAAGGACAGTTCGTGGTCGCACTCCACGCTTGCGCGCCTCTCGAGGGAGTCGCTGGCGAAAGACCCCGCGACCGAACGCACGTCCCCCGTACCAGATCCTGAGAGCGGGGCGGGGGATGAGACGGAGGTTACGCATACGCAGGCGCTGGAGGACGTCGCGGACGAGTTCCGCCTACCGGACTTGTGGTCGCTGGTCGTGGTGATCGGGGGAAATGTCATGTTCCAGGTGCGTAAATACCCCTTTTTCGTGCTCGAGTAGCTCATGGTGATCTGCATGATAGCTCGCATTCTTCATCATCGTGTCCTCCGCGTCCTCGTACGCGGAGTCATTGGGCGGTACGGCCTTGTTCTCCGGTCTCGCCATCGGAATCCCCCCAGCCGTATCCGCAATGCTGCTCTTCCCCCTCACGCGCATAGATGGAGGCAAGTACCGGATGCCCTTCAACCTGGCCTACATATCCAGCGCCTTCGGTTGCATGCTCTACGGTCTGGCATACAAGGCCAACTTCCTGTATTTGATCCTCATCGGCCGCATCGTGAGCGGCGTGGGCTTCGTCGCATTCATGTGCGTGCAAGCCTTCCCTACCTTGTACTCTACTAAGGAGATCATCAGGTACTCTAAGCGCTACGTGACGGACCAGCGCATCGTCGGCATCCGCCGGCGGACCACGCTCGGCTCGTACCTTGTCCTCGGACAGGGCATTGGCTTCAGCCTCGGCCCCTTCCTCGGCGGTGTTCTCTACAAGTTCGTTGGCTTTCAGGATGGCACCGAAGGCTTCCGCAGCTCACATGCGAACGACGTCTGGAATGGCTACACGTCGCCGGGTTGGGTGATGGCCTGCGCTTGGATCGCGTTCGCCATCTTCGCGTACTTCAAGTTCGTCGACGTCAAAGATGCCCCTGCCGCGGTCGAGCTGCACCACCCCGCCAGCCCGCCTCGGCGCACGCCGCCGCAGGTCAAGATGGGGCTCCGCCAGTGGGGCGTCATCATCACCATGATGTACTGGTCCATGACCTGTTTCCACATCCTCGGCGCCTGGGAGGCCAACATCCCCATCTTCACCGCCGCCGAACTCGGCTACTCCCCCTACGCCGCCGGCAACTTCATCGCGCTCGGCGGCGTCGCCACCATTCCCTTCCTCCTCGCCAACACCCGCTACTCGCGCAAGTTCCAGGACCGCACGATCCTCGCGACCGGTTCTGCCCTGGGTCTCGCAGGCGTGCTCATCGCGATGGCGCTGGTCTCTACCGATAGGGTTTCGTTCGGCCCGTACTTTGTGTGCTGGTTCTTGATTGCGCTGGGCTTCAATTTGGCAAGTACGTGCACGGTGGCGTTGCTTTCGAAGCAGTTCCCGCCGGAGTGGAATGGCAGGCTGTCGATGGCGATTCAGTATAGTAACTATACGGGGCGTGTGTCGGGAGCGCTGTTGGGTGGTGCGGGTGTCAGTATGGGGATGAAGAACTTCATCGGAGTTCAGGTGAGCGTGATTTTCTACATGAGGGACGCGTAAAGTAACGGCTTCGTAGCTCGCGATAATTGGCTTCGGTGCAACCCTGTACTTGACGCTGTGGAGGGAGCTGAAGGCGAAGACAGGTTGATTGAAGCAAAAGTAAACTCTGCTACGACCTTGCTAGATAGATGTACTGTTCAACTCAGTAGATACAAGGGTGTGCATGCAAGTAGAGGTTTCATTTGCCTGGACTTCACTCCTTCTGCTGTTGTCAGGTTTTCACGACGAAGTCCGCGCGACCAAGCAAGCGCAAACTCGCCCCAAAATCTGCCGAAAATCCCCTGCACGCGTCCTTGCCGCGCATTCGACGCGTCTCGCACACCGGAAACCATGTCCTGGCCCACCGTCCCCTCCCCCTTCCTCAAGCTCTTCGAGACGTTCCCCCTGCACACATACCCCGCGATACCCCCACCCTCCCACCTCCGCTGCACGCCCTCCGTCCCGACGCTCTGGATCCACCCGCCGCCTGAGCCCTCCGACTGCCTCAGCGCGGACGTGGAATGCCTGAAGTGGCAGGCGTATCTAGCCTTGACGCACGCGACAGCAAGGCAGCAGCAGCGCATCGCGCTGCGGTGGGATATAACCGCAGAGGGCGCGCTCGAGGGGCGGCTGCCGAATCTGCATCTGCCGAGTGGGGATCTGATACCCGCGCATAATATCGCTGCGTTCGAGGACGGTGCGCTCGGCGAGGAGCCGGAGAACGAGGGGTACCGCGGGTCGCAGGAGAAGGATGAGAGCCGAGCGTGGGTCGAGCTGCTGGAGGGCGTGGTGCATGCGGCGCTGGTATGTGGTGTGCTAGCTTGAGCCGGGAATCGAGTGTGCTGACGAGGATGGGTCTGTGCAGATCCTTGCGAGCCCGCCGAAGCCGTTCTCTCCGATATCGTTGTTGTCCTCGCCCGCACCGGACACGATCGACGCGCTGCTGCCGACACCTGCGCCATCAATAGCGTCCGCGTCCCTTCTTCCTCTCACATTGCCGCTGCATCTCCCCTTACCCTGGATCTCGAAGAAGATGGACAGGCAGCGGGACAGCGTATTCACGCAGTACGCTGTCGCGGTACACGCGCTGTCCGAGCGTTTAGGGACGGATAAATGGTTCTTGGGTTCTGAGTGCGTTCTCTATTCCTGTCCTTACCAGAAGGATTGTTGACACGTCGCACAGCGCTCCCACACCTCTCGACGCCCTCCTCTTTGCCTACCTGCATTGCATCCTAACCTCCCCGCTCGACAAATCAAAACGCGACCTTCGCGAAGAAATAACCCGACACGTCAACCTCGTCGCCTGGGAATGGCGCGTACGCGGGCTCGTCAGGAAGGGATTCGTACCAGAACAGGCTGGCAAGGCATAGCGATACAGACGGGATTGACTTGACTTCGAGGACGGTATGATATTCCTGGTTTACCCGGACTGGCCCGTTGCACACATTCACTTGTACTACAGTACCATTCACCTAGTGTCACCATAGCCACAACCCTGCTCTACGCACGCATATCTATTTGCACTGCAGATACAGCAAAAAGGGGCGATTCGTACATTGGTGAAGTGCGACGAATAGCCTGGTAAGCTCGGGCCGCACGATTTGAGTATGGTCTTGCGGCCAGCATGACCTTCTCGCGCTTTCGTCTCTACCGCCATGAGTATAGCAATCGCACCATTAAAGCCTCTCCATGCCTCAAGGGCTTGAGGATGCCATTCCACAGCATCTCTCTGCCTATTGCCTCGTGCGCCCTCGTTCACAGAATCCTTACAGTGACCTCCGAGTCCCAGCCTCTCCTTTTCCGTACTGTGAATTTGTCCCGCAATTTCTGTGCTCAGGTCTTTCACGATTCTGTCATCTTGTCTCCTCCTCTAGCCTCGCTTGTTACTCAGCTCTTCATTACCGATTAGGGGGGAGGCGGGGGTGGGAGTAGCCATGCCCTTATACGCTGACACAAGCCCACGACGACCCAGAACCCGAACATCGGCCGCTTTCTCTTCCTGCTCAAGGACGGCAACGCATCCGAGCAGCGGACCTACTCATAGGTTCGTCTCGGGACTTACCTTATTGGCCGGTGGTGCGGCCGACGAAGGATGAGGTGAACATGAAGCCGATGGATATCGTCCTTGTCACCTTCGTTTGTGAGCGTGAAGATAGAGACAGGCGGGACGCGCTTCGCTGGTAAGTATACGATCAACTCTCTCTCGCACAAGTCCCACGCATGGTTCCTTGAGCTCATCTTTGCGAAGGTGCGTGGACAACGCGATTGATACATTTCCACAGGCCGGTCAGGACGCGCATAGAGGCGGAGGAGCTCAAGTACAAGCCGCGCGCGAAGGCCTTCGACGATGTCGAGCCAATATGGATCGACTAAGAGGTTAAGACAGGAGTCTAAGACGGACGGATCGCTCTCATATGTATTGCACCTGGAAGTCAAGTTTGGGGTTCATGAAGCATTCAGGTCTCAAAATTGCTGGACTACGTCTGTCGATAGGGGATGTAGTGATATTTTGCGCCAACGTTTGCTGTGCACGAGCACTAATAGAGCCTGCTACGACCATCGCAATAGGCGCCCGGGAAACCCGGCCCGCCGATAACCTTCGCGTGAACATCGCCTCTTCTTGGTTCCTTCTTTCGTCCTACCATCATGAGCTCCGTGCCCACATCGCCGCTTTCATTGACCCTCCCACAAGAGATCAAGGATATCATCATACAGCATCTCTCTGCATATCCATCGACACTCGCATCCTGCGCTCTTGCGCACCGAAGCCTTACCTCGACTTCTCAGACGTTGCTTTTCCGCGCTGTGCTCTTATCCGGCGCCGATCGTACCAATGCCTTTCGCGAATCTATCACATCGTCTCATTACCTTGCTTCCCTTGTCACTCAGCTCGTGATCGCCGAGCTCGATAAACCCTGGGTTGCCGACGCTGTCCCACAGTTGCTCGCCGTGCTCGAGGCGCTGCCCAACCTTACCGCACTCGCCATGCGATGCGGTGCACCTGGGAGTCTTGAATGGGCTGTGGGCCCTGACGCCGGCGAAGCCCCGGCTGATACATCAGTGCTCCTCGCGCAATGCGCGAACAGACTGCGTGTGTTAGAGCTGGATCTCTACTTCGACTTCTGGTCGACCTACATTCGATACTACTCTTTCCCCGCTCTTCACACCCTCATCTTCAGTCATGAAGTCTGGTACGAGAGCACCATACAGGGCTGGCTGATAGTGACGCCCACTATCCGGCGTGTCGTCCTTTGGGTTATGAATGGCCCGAAGGCCTTGAGAGGGCTGCAGGTGACGGAGCAGGGCTTGGTGCATGGCAAGCCGTACTGGACCGACGGAGAGGTTATGGGCGGGGATTGGTGGCTGGGGGCAGAGACAATGGAGGAGGGAAGGAACTTGGAAAGGATCGAGATGGTGGTTTATCAGGAGGAGGAGTCGGGCGACGGAGCTCGGGACGACGTGAAAACAGATCCTCTGGGTGTATACAAGTGCAAGGATGGAAGGAAGGTAGAGGTCGTCATTGTAAGGATCCCCAAGAGTACGTCGGTTTTATTCTCTCTCATTTCTCGCGCTTACTTTTGAGCGACAGCCGACCCGGAAGGCTGGCCGTTTCGCCCGCCATTGCTTATGTCGGTTTTATAGTTCGATATCAGGACGCCCATTGAGGGTCACATACTGGACCTTCAGTAGAGTTGTCAGCAAGATTGTAACAGAGCACGCAAATTCAGCGCCTAATTTTCAGAACGATTGATATACCATGCGCATGTTGAACACTATGGGTTCGGCGCACGTGGTCGGTATGTCCTCGGGAATTGCCGCATTCGCGGCTAACCTCCCTCCGCCATCTTCTCGTATGGGTTCTTTGACTATAACAGCTCCGTTGGTATTTGCCGAGAACAATAAGAGCATAACAATGACGCTTCTCTATTCTCCTGCTGTGCTTTTCTGCCATGGCGATGGATTCGCCGAATTTTTCTTATTGTCTTTCGGTACGAACCACCCATACCGCCGAAGTGGAATCCGACATAAAGGGTGGTCTTGCGCCGGAAAGAAGGACTCCTCATCCCACCTCTCTTCATTGCTTCGGCTGAGTTGCTTGCGGGGCTTGCATATCCAGCTGACTGGAACACGAGTACGTGGACTGTACAGTGCCCGACTTCGCCAGTATTCACCTCTTTGCAGTGGAAAACCGAAGGCTGAATACGGCGTCTCCTGACGGCGGCTTTGGTGCTGAACCACCGCAGGCGGTACAGGATGCTGGTGTGTATGCTGGTAAATCAATGGCGCTCGAGCTGATGTGCAATATTCAGGACACCCTCCAGCGCCGATGCGATGCCATCCTCCGTCCGAGGAGGTGGAGCTCGCCTTCCTTAGTAAGGATTGCTTGAATGATGTTCCTGGTGGGTAATTATGCCCACCGAAGACGACGACGCGACCGCTAATCGTGCATGCAGACGAGTTGAAGGGCCTTTCGGTGCTATCTTCGGAGGGAAATTACCTCGTTGTTGGACCGCCAGGTATGTTCGTCTGCCTATCTTTCCTATCCACTCGCTGAGCAGAAGTAGATGTTGCAGACGCATATGGAGACCACTCCGTACCATTGCAAGGTACTCTTCTCGTCTTGAATATTCAAGGTGTCCACTCATCGCCGTCCAGTGGTCATCGCACGGCACAGACGCAAGAATGCCACACTCTCCCCCCATCCGTGCTTCATCCATCGGTTGCCGACGGAAGTTCTGTGCGCCATCTTCCTGATGTGCGGCGACCAGAATAAGGTCTTCGATTATACGCGGGACGAGCGTATGGACTCGGTTAGCGTTCACGCGGAAACCTCTTTCTACATCCGGTCGACAGTGGCCATTGGGGGCGTCTGCTGGCGCTGGTACACGGTAACGCGCGGATGCCCTCAACTCTGGACCTTGGTCGACGTCCCCTTGCCTCAGCCTCGCGATGTGGCCACCTTGCGGCTCAGTCTCAAATACTCTAAAGGCCTACCGCTGACGCTTCGTATCAACGACCTCCATTACTCCCCCAAAAGCAACGTCATTGCTTGCCAGAAGTTCATGACTCTCGTCGCCAATTCGTCTCGTCGTTGGGAGGAGATATCCATCATTTTAAGGCAAAAATCTCCGACCCCTGACGAACTGGTCTCGCCACTACAGCAGTTACCTCAAAACGCCTTCGAACTCCTGAAAAAGGCCATGCTGCGCTTATTCGAAGATGATCATGAGGGCACGATCTCTTCGCGCGTTTGGCAGAAGTTCTATACCTCGCCTGCACTCCACGCGGCAAAATGGTTCTATGTACCAGTCGACGCCCCTGCATCCATTCTTCGCCGTCTAACTCACGTTGGAGTCGAAGTCATCCTACCCGAGGAAATTATGGAACTCCTTCGAGCGTGCCCTCTGCTCCAGGCTTTGCAGGCTGTGGTCGTTCCACCCGAGGACCTCTTCCCCGGGAGGGACGATGGATACTTATTCCCAATTCTGCCAACGCCTATACACCTACCATACCTTCGCGCTCTCACACTGCGCGGTATGTATGACTGGTCGCACTTCTTCGACGGCATTAAGGCCCCTCGTATCAGACGCATAGAACTGGTCATCGCAGGTGTCCAGGCCACCCCCATATGTGCGATGTTGAGTCGCTCGTCGGCATCTCTAGACATGCTCGCCCTCCGCTGGGTATTTCCTGGCTGTGACGGCGAGATAGCGACACTGCTGCGAAGCCCACAATTGAGACAGCTGAAGATATTTCGCTACGAAGGTTATAAAGGACCGGAGCGTGAACCTGATCGCTTTGACCCTTCGCCATATCTACCACCTAATCTTGTTACATTCACTAAGATATACGAGGTAGCGGAAAAAGCGTATTGTGCATTGGGGATGTAATCGCCCAGATGGAACCGTACTTGATGAATCGTCATATATCATCGTATACGCACAGAGACTTGTTACTGAGTAGCTAGAGTCCAGCTAGCGTGGTGAGCGAACAAATTCTGTACTTGAGACGACACTCGGCCACCGCGGACCCTAAGACGGATGTTCGTCGTTACTGAATCGGCGGCTCGAAAAAGGGGCAAGAGTGCCGTTGGATTGTCCGCCTCGATATACATCGCAGGTGGAATGCTGGCATCAGGTGATATCTCAGCAAGGCGAGTACCGCGAATTCGATCGAAGGCTCCTCGATTGTCGAGGCAAAGGATATCCAGCATTTTTGCGCGGCAGAGGATAGCCGACATGTTGGCGGTATTCATCATCGACCTGATGACCAAGTGCCGAAGGTTGTACAAGGGGAAGAGAAAGAGTCGGTCCAATGTCACTCCTCCGTCCACAGATAGGGACAGAAGGCGAGCAAAGCCATCGGCAAAATCCGCCTGCTCCGGCAAGTCGCACGGGACGGCCCGTTCATCCATGACGAGCTGTACACCGATAAAGCAATGCAGGTATGAGCGCAAACCCTGCATGACCTTGAGCATCGCATCCTGGCCCTTAAAATTCGACCTGCGGATTCGCAGAAAGAGTTGCGACCACTCAACCGCGCGTTCGGCGCAGATACCGGGAAGGCGTTGGATCGCCATGTCGAAATCACCAAAGAAGAGAAGCATGTCGCCTTTGTCAATAACGCCGTCGGTGCCGACATCGATAACAAGCTGTAGAGTACCAGGGCAAAGCTCGCTGGTTGCGCGGCAGCCTACGAGCGTGAGGACGGGATCCTCTACAAGCTCCGCCTGGGCATCAACGGCCTGCGGCTCGTAGTCCCCGGTCGTTGCGGCATTTGGAGCTGGATGTGGCATTCCTAGTGGCCCCTGCCAGCCAGTCTCTTGGTCGACGCCAGCGCTCAGTATCGAAGCTGGTCGGGAGAAGATTCGGTTCGCATCGAGAGAAGTCGACGCATTCCCACCCGTACCGGCCGCGATATTGCTCGCCTCGTCTACGGGAAGAGACAGAGATCGGAAAGCATGGCGTCGTCGCAGCGTTCGTTCCCCATGCGCACTGCCCTCACCGCCGAGCTCGCCGGATGGTTGAGAACCAAGAGGCTGGCGATCATGTCCTGCAGCTGCTGGAGGAAGGCTGCTGGCTGCGCCAGCGATCATGGACGGTCGCCCCAGCGGTGCACTGGCACGAGGTGTCTCGGTCTCGGTGGAGGCGTACATCGAGCTATACGTCTCTGAGTCTGCGAGCGGCTCCGGCTGCATTGATACAGCGTTCTCAGCACGGACGTTCGGGTCGGCGGTCGGTGCAGGCGGCGCTCCAGCATCATTCAAAGCAAAGACCTCCGCGTTCGCGCTATGGAACGACTCCGAAAGCGTATTGAGGTTCGTGTCGCGTATCTGCCTCATGGTCCCGTTCAAGCCCTCAAGGTGCTGGATGATGAGGTCGAAGTTTTCGTCCAGATGTTCGATCATCTCGTCATGGTTGTCAGCGAGCTGCTGGCCGATGCGCTCGAGGATGGAAGCCGGAGACTGCTGAGTCGCAGGCGCGGCGGGCAGCGCTGGGTCAGCCGCGGGCGCGGGAGACGAATACGTAGGCGGCGGCGTCGGGTACTCGTTGTGAGTCACGGCAGGCTGCGGCAGCTGAGATGAGGGACCTGCCTGGGCATTTAATTGCCGAGTAGTTCGCGAGCGCGCGCCACGAGTAGGAAGAGGCCAGCCTTGAGCGATGCCAGAGCCGCCGGCGGCATTGCCAGGTCTGTTTTGGGCGCCGGGCTGGTTCATTGTGCGCAATATGTCGTTCGTATGGGTGATCACAGGCCTAAGTGGAGTAGGGGGTCGATATTCATTACGACGTGCGAGACTGCGCACTCCAGAACGAAGTCTGCAGAACAGGCCATGGCGATGGGGTTCCATCGAGGAAGCAAAGCCTGAAAGTAAGAGGTAGGAGAATAGATCGAGTGCAGGCTTCAACAAGTTAGCACTTCTGTGGTACAATTACATTGTGGCGAAGCTGACTCACGGGAAATCGTGCGGTTGGTTGTGTTGAACGTGTGCGACGCGGCGTGCGGTTCGTTAACAAGCGACGTAAAGGGCGTAATCGGGACGGGGCGTTCTAAGTCGTAAGAGCAAGTCGTTTCTGAGGACCAGTGGTAGCTTTTCCGCACCTTTAAGTGCCTACTGGAGACGGTTGCCCATTGTTGGACGTCTTGGAAATTTTTAACGGATATGGTAAGCATTGTGTGCTCGCGGAGGAAACAACGGACATACCGTGAGTTCGTGAGAAGGAGTGACGTGACGTGGGTAGACCGGCGGTCTCAAGGCCAACCGCGTCGTCACAGGAGAACAAGCATAGAATGTATGAAGAACCTGAGCGAATGGGGTAAGTGTTGTACGATGGGGAAGGAAACAAGGGCACGCACCATTCATTCTCGAGAGAGACAACGACGAGGCGTGAACAGTCATCATGAAAGAAGCCGTTCAGAGCAAGAACAAGCAGGTCCTAATACGGCCATACTCTCATGCAAGATTTGCGGCGATGCTGCTGCCCAAGCAGTTTCACACCAGCGTATATGCTCGTATCTTATATCCATTTGTTTCTCCGCAGAAGTTGCTTATGTAGGTGCTTCAGGCAGAGGATGGTGGCACGGCTACGAAATCCACGACGCTGCAGTTTGGGACGGTACCCAGGCGTACGACAGTTGATGAGGCTAGGATTCGATGACGGGACTTATATGACTTGATACTGCTGCACGAGTTCTCGCTCGTCACAATGTAGAACGAGCGGCCAAAAAGTTGCATGATGGCGAGAAACAAGCCGCTTGTTTGACAGGCACGTGCATATCACTCCTCGGCGAACGCCGGTCCCACGGTTGAACTTGCCGAATTCGGTTTTAAGCGGTGAGCTATCAAAGATCCCCTAGCGCGCATGCACACAAACCACCCAAATATGAATCATGCTGATACTGTCGATTCCATTCCAGAACCTAGACGTAGCTAACCGTGCTCCAACGTGGAAGCTCTGTAGCTACGCATCCATTCGCGAGTAACAAATCCAATGACTGACGGTCCAAAGGCCACAGGATAGCGTGCAGTAGTAAGGTAGTGTGTGTTAGATATGCAGATCCAAGTCCCAAGCCATAATACTGGCCATAAGCGACCATAATGACGGTCATAAGTTACGCAGCCTTGGGCAACGAGCGCGATAGCGAATAGTCGCCGAGCTCCATTATAGTTGCCCAAGCCCGATTATAGCTGACCGAGAAGGCCAACGACGCCAACCGTGCCTCCAACAAGCGCAAGGAGGAGCGACGGAAGGAGTATGTCCGCGCCATTCGGGCCGTTGAACGTCGATGAGCCGTCATCATCGTCCTGATCCTCGTTCCCGAACGAGTCGCCCTTGTTGCCGCCCGTGAGGTTCGCACCGTTGGGCCCAATCGGCCGCGTCGTGTCGTGGAACTCGCAGGTGTCGGACGTGCAGATGCACTCGCCCTCGATGGGGTCCCAGAACGCGGTGGTGCAGTTATCCGGGACTGGGAAGGGAATCAGCAGTCGCTCGAGGAAAATATCGGGAGTGGGATGCTCACGGCGGTGACGCTCGGACTCGCCGTCGGGCGGCGCCTGCTTCGGGTTCGGGTTCTTCACCGTCGGCAACTCTTCAGGGCAGCCGTACTGTCCGATTCTGATGAGAATAACGCACGGCAAGGTACCCGGCTCAACTTACACATGTGTCGAAGGGGTACTCGTCAAAGGTGCACTTGCTTTGGAGACCCGACTCCTTGTCCGGCATGCCGTTGCAGATGTTCTTGTCCACCGACGGCGTCGAGCACTTGAGCGCGCCGACACTGTCGAGCTGCGAGACCGGCTTCGGGTCGCGCACCCAAGCCAGAAGCTGCTCGTTGGAGACGATCCAGACTGCACGGGGTATGAGCCCGGCCCGACCACATGTATAATCTCACGCACCATTGTCCTGCTCCTGAGCCCAGTCGAGGAAGGCGTTGATCATGTTGATGATGCCCTTCGGCGCCTTGACACCAGGATAGTTGGATGCGACATGGATAGGATGCGTGTACAGGCCAATGGGCTGCCTGTTGTTCTCGTAGTGGGCTGTGAACGTGTTCTTCATGTACTCGAGCGTCGCCTCGTTATCGACCTTCGAATCGCCGTTGGCGGCCTCGAGCCAAGGGTCCATTAAATGAGGCCCCGCCGCCCCACGGTCGTCGAAGAACGAGTACATCGGGATCTCCCAGAAGCCGGGGAGCTTGGGTTCGCCCTTGCAGAGACCGTCGACCGCGAGGCAGTTGTTCGCCATGCCATAGTCGAGGGTGTACGGCCAGAACGCGTCGGTGCCCTCGTCCGTGACCGGAACGGAGGCCGCGGCGCTAGAGTCATACGTGAAAGAGGCGTTCGCGAGATGTTTGAGCGTGTCGACCGTGAACTCGAGATAAGGTGCGCGGAAGCCTGCCACGCGTTAGAGAAGGTGCGCTGTATTGAGGCCGACACACGCGGCGCACCTTGAATGGCTGATACGGGAATTCCGGAAAGCGCATTCAACGCGATTATATTCCCGTTGATCTCCTCCGGGGGAGGGCTGCCCACGTGGGTCATGCTGGTGCGGGCGCGTCAGCTGCCTTGGCGAGCGAGGTCGAGTTGCCACCTACGTGTGGTCCGCGATCTCGTTCCCCGCAACAAACCAATCTAGGCGTTTGGGTGAGTGGCTGCCAGCGAAGCAGCGAGGAGGCGAGGTAAGGCGCACCTGTCACGAGTCCGAAGTTGGTGTAGTTCAGCGACGTGAAGTAGGTCATCTTGGGCTGGCAGCCGTTGGGGTTCTGGCGGTGCTGGAGGAACTGGTTGACGGCGTCGATAGTGTACGTCTCGACTGCATCGTCGGCGGTGAAGACGATGAACTGGGGGACGTCTTTCTGCGGGGGGAAGTTAAATGGCGGGACGACGCGCTGAAAGGCGGGGACGTACGGGGTCGAGACCGCCGGGAGGGCTGGTGCTGGCGCAGTTGCAGTCGGGCAGCTTGCACTTGTCGGCGTCGCAGGAGTAGCCCGCCGCCTCCGGGCTTGACTGCGCGCCAGAGATGCTGCCCTCCTGGGCAAGGACGGAGGAGGCGCCAGAGAGAGATAACGCGAGAAGGAGGGATCGCAAAGACATGGCCGCGGGTCCGCCTTGGGAGGGGAGGTGGTCGCCGGATGAAGGGAGTGGACAAGCGCGGGGTGAAAGGGAAGGACAGGCCGCACCAGATAAAAAGAGCAGACGGGCGGACGGCTGGGCCCGCTGACGCCCAATCTCAATCAAGCTTCGGAACCAGCCATCATGCTATGTTCTAGCGGCCGTCAAATTGACCCGTCAGGAGAGTTACGGGCATCCCTTGCCTCCTCGCCATGTGGGGCCGTCGTTTGCGCATTTTCAGCGATTTTTCTGAGCGCGAGCGCGCGGCTGGGCATGACGGATTGAGAACAAGGACAGGACTGCTGCGGATCCCTGGGCGCCTAACGGCATTTCATCTCCATTGCAGCCGTCAGTCGGGCGTCGGGGCGGGGAGCCACGTGTGATGCGCCTCGGGGCGGCAATCAAACTCTCAGAAATCGTGGCCGCCGGGAGATGGTCGCCGACGACGAGCACTGGCGTCCGGGAAGCCGACAGGACGACCGGCTTCAGAGGCGAAAGTCCTTGGCGGACCGGGAAGGCTATCGCCGTAGATTGGCGTACTGGTCCCGTCTTCGAGGTAAACGTTTGAAAGGACAATTGAGGCCGCACTTCACGGTTGTAGCTGTGATGACCATGGTGCGGGGGGGTGGAGAGCAGTAAGTGAAAGGCAGACGTTGCATTGCTCCTCTTCTGCATGTCTTTCGAAGAGACCAGGGTGTGATTTCATCGTCAGCCGCAGGGCCGGTCACCAACTTTCCCGTCACCTCGGACATTGCCGACATTACACGTGACCATGTTCAACTTTTGCACGTCACGACTTCGCACATCCTCATCAAGCGATCCTACCTCCTTGCGTCCTGCGTCGGCTGCAGCGCGCCTTTGCGAATATAGCATCAGGTACAGGAAGGCAGAAAGGGGAAAGGAAGAACCGTAAGACTTGAAAAGGCAGCAAAGAGCATCTACAAGAAGTGGGTCAATGACTCGGGAGCAAGAAAAAGGAGACCATAAGAGGAAAACAGTACTTGCGGCCTGATAATGGAGCGGTTACTTGGCACATAGACGAGGGCGGGAAAAAACTGGATATGCGACGCGAGCGAATACCAGGGACAACAATTCGGAGGTCGAGGAAGATAGAGAAGAGATATCAACGCCAACAAGAGACTGAGCCTGAGCGCTACCACGCCAAGCTCGTGTCCGCATTCCTCTTCCATAGGCTGGCGAATGGACCTGTTGACTAGATTAAGCCCCCCTTCGAGACGTTGACGAGACTTGTGAAGCGTTCGTTCTCGGGTCGATGCAGCCTCTGAGCATGCTTCGTTGCAGCGTTACACTAAAACCGTTGATAGGGAAGCAGGCTGGTTGTACCCTGCGTGAGCGATAGAAAGACATTCTCCCGCGCAACAAGCACATGCTCGCGTACACTTCTTCAGAAGCTGAGAAGGGAAGGCGTCCGTGCTGCGCCGTTGGTGTACCAAGCATAACCCAGTGACCTTTGCATCTAGACATATTTAGGCTTCACGTCCAAGTAACGCACGCATACATGAGAGTCCACGTTGAAGGCCGCCATCAAAGCTGAGAAAAATCATGATTTGCCATCAAAATTTGACGCGCTCACATGACTCAGCAAACGCGCTGCAACGTCGCGTGACGCCGCGTTGATGTTGATTCAACACGCGTCCGCCTGATTCCGCTCCTGTACTTCCACCACCATCTTCCTCGTCCGCGGATACACCCTACCCAGCCTCCACCCACCCCTCCGCCCGTCTCGCCTTCTCCATGGACCGCGTCCCGACCGCGCTCTCGCGCACCTCCTCGACAATGAGCGCGTCGAGCACGGCGAGCACGGACAGCCGCGAGAGCCTCAGCCGCGCGTGCACAAAGAGTGCGAACGCCGCGAACGCGGACATCGCGAAGCGCACGCGCAGACGCTTCACGCACGCGCAGCTCTCCATGCTCGAGACGCTCTACCACGAGACGTCGCACCCGTCGCGCGAGCAACGCGAGCGCGTCGCCGCCGAGGGCGCCATGTACGTGCCTTCTGCCACCTTGGTCCTCCTCATCTTATACTTATACGCTTCCAGGGAGATCAAGTCCGTCACCATCTGGTTCCAGAACAAACGCCAGACGGAGCGCCGCATGGCCGTACTCCTCGCAAAGGACGCGACCCACGAGCACCCCTCCGCCCACATCCATACCCATACCCATACCCACACCCACCAAAAAAACACCGCCCCCCTCGGCCCCCGCCCCTCCCTCGAGCGCGTCGCGTCCCTCAGCGAGCTCCGCGCCCCGCACACCCCGCGCGCGCGCCGCACCGCCGGCATGCCCTGGGACAACATGCCCTCCTCGCCCTCGGGCCCGACGTCCCCCGCCGCGCGCGAGAGCGAGTACGTCGAGTTCGGCTCGCGCCGCACGCTCGAGTGGGCCTGCGCCCGGCACCGCGTGCGCCGGCGGACCGGCGCGCCGCACGCGCAGAGCGACGACACCGACGTCGACGAGCCGCACGAGGCGATCACCCCGCGCTCGTCGATCAGCCAGGACAGGGAGAGGGGACCGCAGGCGCTGGCGCGGAAGCCGACGATGGAGGAGGTGCTGATGGCGAACGAAAAGTCTGGTGCGCTGGACGCAGAGCGGACGCTGGAGAGCGTTGATGAGGAGGACTGGAAGGCCGCGCTGGTTCTCTGCGGCCTCGGGCGTTCGTGAACACGGTGGAGGACAAGAGACAGTATATCATCGCACTGTGGATAAGACAGCATCTAACCTTATTGGATATTTCCACTTCATGTCGACACGCCACGCCCTTCACGATCTATTCCCAATCAAGAACAATGTTTTTACCACTGTAGATAGCCTCCGAAGTCATTCATCTGAAATTTATGCATACACTCGGGAGAGGAAGGAGGATATAGAGCATCCATAGTCAAGAAGAGCCCACGCGGTCCTACTACGAATAATTTACAAAGCTGCCTGAAGCCCGACCGACAATAACAAGCAAGCGCAGCCGAAAGGAAGGAGGAAAAGTAGTAACGTGGTATGATACAGCACTCTAATCCAACGTATTCAGATCCAGAGAGTCCAACTGGCCGCGAATCGCCCGCACGCGCGACTCGACCTCGTCCAATGTCCTATGCAGCGCGGAGACCTCGTCCTCGACCGACACCGGCTCGTCGGGCGAGCGCGCCTTGCCCGCGCGCGGCAGAATGACCGGTGGTGCCCCGATACCCGCCCTCGTACTCGCCATCTCGTCCCAGAGGGCACCGACGACGCCCTGTACCCAGCGCTCGCGCTCCTCCATCTTCTTCATCTCCTTCCGCCGGCCGACCTCCTCGCGCGAGCCCATACGCATGAGCGTCCACACGTTGCTGAGCACGAGCATCACGATGATGAAGTAGAGCACCGTCGTCGAGCTGCTCTGCTCCCACGAGTCGCGGATGAGCGCGATGGCGCCCTTCGTCGAGCTCGACGCGACGTGCCACGCGCCGTCGAAGGTGTCCCAGGCCCATTGCAAGCTGCGCTGGTTGCGCTCCTGCTCGCGCTGCTTCTCGGCGCTAGTACGCCCATCGGCGACACCGTCGGGCGCTAGAGGCACGGTCGTGACCGCAGCTGCCACCGCGGCAGCGTCGACACCGGCGGGGACGAACTCGGACTGGTGCTCCTGGATGTACGCGCGCATCGCCTTGTCGAGGTCGGCGTGGTACGTCTTCTGCCCATCGATGCACGACTTCTCGATGATGCCCTTGATGAAACTGCGCCCGGTCCACTCGACCTGCGTCGTGACGAGGACGCGCACGGACACAGCGCTCGCCCAGGTGATACATGTCAAGGTCTTGACCGAGAACACGCCGCCGCTCGGGACATCCGGCGTGCGCGTCGTGGTGACCGTCGTGACCGACTCCTCGTAATCGCAGTGCACGAGTTCGTCCCGGAGCTCGCACTTCGTCTGCTTTGGCCCGACGCTGCCGTTGAGCGGCTTGATATAGGACATGTTGCGCGTCAGAAGCTTTGACCCAGGTTCGACCGGCGTCCAATCGGAAACCTGGATGTCTGCAGGTACCCGTGAGCATGCCAACAGTATTTTTACGCACTCGCTTGCTTACCCATGAGCTTTTGATCGACGGCCATGAACTCTTTTATAAACGCGCTCGCGAACATGAGGTTATATATTTTCTCGGGCGTCCCTGGGAGGACGATGTCCATGGCGACTTGGTCGTAATGCGGTGGGTGGGTGGCATCCGAGCCACACTTGCACTGCGTCGCCTTGCGCGCAGCTACACCAGGGATGACAGCTACAGTCTCCGCGGTCTGCTCACCAACGACGCCCTCGACGAGCCGGGAGGTATCCTGGCCATCGCCTTCTACCGCGTCCGTTGGTTTGACGAGCCGCCATATGTTGAAGATGACGTCGTATGTGGTATCACGTGCAAGGAAGGACGCGAAGGTATACTTCGACTGCCGAGTGCTGATCTGCAGGGCGTTGGGGATCACGAAGGCGGTCATCTTCTTCTCGAGCGAGACGATCTCGCATATAGGGACGATGAGCTGCAAGGGGGGTCAGTCCGTGCATACAGCCGCATGACGGGGGACGCACGTCAGTGATCCAGCCAAAGATATTTGCATGGAAGCAGATATGATTCTCGGAGATATACAGGCGGCCTTGGATGAGGATTTCGCGTTGCAGCGCACAGCCGTAGTCTGCAGGCAATGTTAATGAATTGACGTATGAGCAGGGTGTCCACCACGCACCTTCGATCAGGTAGTCGCCCTCAGGGACAGCGGGGAACAGCTCGTGGAAGTCGGCGTTGCGCTTGCTGCTTGCGACAGCAAAGCCGGTGACTGGGATGTCGTCCGGTATACTCTCGTCGCCCAGCCGGCTGCCGCTCACACCGCTTTCGGCCTCGTCACTGTCGCTGTCACCGAGACTATCGTCATCGTCGAGGCCCGAGTAGTAGTCGACCTGCGCGTCCTTGTCGCCGTATTCGGACGGTCCAGAGTTGCGAGACGCGGTGAGCGAGGCCCTTCTCCGCCCTCCGGTGACGAGCGACGCCTTCGACCGCGGTGAAACCGAGACGTCATTAGTCGTGGCGGCCCGCATGTGCACGGACGAGCCCGAGTTCGGCGTCGACGAGTCTCCGTTCATATAGGGCGAGGTGTTGCCGGCGACGGAGGACTTGCGAGGCGCGCCGTTCCCGTTGCTGAGGAGTGTGTGTTGCGGAGCGAGGGCGGGGTTGACCATAACGAGCCCGGAGGCGGCGATCGCACTGGCGAGACCAGTGGGCTTGCGGTTGCTGCGTCCCCAGCGGAACTTGTCCTGGTTCTGTTGCTGTTGTTGGCGGTCGACGTTCGGCGACGAGGACGGCGACGACGGCGGCGGTGGTGATGGTGAGGAAGTAGGAATTTCGGGATGGGTCGACGTCGGAGGCTGCGTGCCGGTGGCGGTGCTATCCGCGGGCCCCGCGGGCGCTTCGAGCGACGTGGGCGACTCGACGAGCTCGGGGCTTTCGACGGCGTCGGGTCCCGGCGAAGTCATCGCGCGTTTGTCCGCCGAGACACCGAGGGCCTCTTTGCTCGTATCCAACTTCTTCAGCTTGTTCAGCGACTTTGATGACGCCTTGCTGCGCAGTGATCCCATGAGCGTGCTTCCGTTGCCGTTGCCATTGGTGGCGGGAACGGGGGGAACGTCGCCAGCATCGCTTCCGGCGCGAGATCGACCTTTGGTGGACGAGGGGGTGCCCGGACGAGAGTTGGGACGCGATGTCGGCGTGGGGGGACGCGATCGGGACTTCATGCCTGGCAGCGAAAAGCCATAGCTGTTCAGTGTCGGCATCGGGGTCCTGTCCACCGTCGGCGTCCTGTCTTCGTCTACAGGCGACATCCTCGACACCCGCGACGACGTGGAGACCTTGCGCTCGCGGCCAGCACCACCGAATTCGCTGGGGTACCCCGTGCCCTCCACCGTCGAGTGCCGACCGTCCGACGACGCAGCGGTGCTGGAGTGCACGCTTGGGGAAGGGGGGACGATTGTCACGTTCGGCTGTGAGCTTGTCGTGCTCGCAGCGTCGCTGTGCGCGTTCGCCAGCCCGGTGTTGATGCTCACGACTCTGCTCCTGCCCCCGCCAGCAGCCAGCCCATTGCCCGTCGCCGACCCCGTGCTCGGGCGCGGACGCTCGCTGCTCGTGCTCACGGCGGACAGTGCACGGCTGCGTCGCCCCCCGCTCTCGCCGTCGATGGAGCGATCGGAGCGGTCGCGGGTGTGCGAAGACGGGTTCTTAACGAGTTTGGAGAAGAAGTTGGGCGGCATGTCAAAACAATTTCAGGCAGCACTCGAGGCTCGGCCGATTGGGCGCGCGTGTGAGGGACGATGCTTCGAGGGGGACGTAGACGCGCCGGCGCTGTCGCGGTCGATGTGGACGAGAGCAAGCCTGGGAAATTACTAGCAACGGGGCAGATTCGTGGAAACAAATCGAACGGTCCGTACTTCCGAAGTTAAGCGCCGAAACCCTTCTTCAGGCGTACTGAGGCCGTCAAGGGACTTGGACGTGAAGCCGCAGATGAAGCAAGCAGAAAGCGATGGAGGGGGAGGAAGAAAAGTGCCAAGGAAGATCCACTCGCAGCAGGCTTCAAAAAGATAAGTGACGCGGTAGTTGCGTAGGAACTACCGGAAATCAGTGATTGACTGCTAGACCACATGCACAAGTAACACTACAAGCAACAGATCACTACAAGTCCTTTGGACCCAGTACAAACACTGTATCGACCCCTACGACTTGCGTGCTGACGTGCTTGAATTTCCCCCCGCTCTTTGACATGTTTTAGTCACAAGGAATTGGAGGCACACGATCAAGGGAAGCTTGCTCACCTCACCCAGCTGTACGCCGTACCCGACGCCATCTTCCCCTACAAAGGTCGGTGCGACTGTCACGATGATTGTGTCCACCACACCGCCCTGTGATGCGTCCAAGAATGACTTGATCACGCTCGCGCCACCTTCGACCATGAGCGAATGCACTCCGCGCTCGTGCAAAGTCTTCAGCAACGCCTGGATCGACAAAGTGCCTGTAAAACCACAATAAGCTCTCCCTGTCCCCGCGTTATAGCTTCAAATATGGAAGAGATACTCACCATTTCCCAGATCTCCCTTCACGATTACCACTCTTGCTCCTGCCTCCTCCAACGCCTGCTTTCTCTCCAACCACTCAACCTGCTGCAGCGGATTCGGTGACGCGGAACCGTCGAGGGTGAAAACCCATGGACGCCTCCCAGTGCCAGACTGAAAGTTTCCTAGCAGCTTGCACGAGGGACTCAGACGCAGGCGCGCGTCGAGGATCACGGGGCGCGGGAGGTTATACGGCTGGCCGTGCTCGGACGAGGACTCGTACGTCCCAGGTGAGCGCGCCGGCAAGTGGCGAGCTACCAAGGAAGGGTAAGTTTACACTATTGGCGAATTGGGAACATTCATGACAGAGAAAACCAGGAGACGACGTACCATTCAGCTGAGGGTCATCGTTCAGCGCTGTTCCGACGCCAATGAGAATGGCATCATGCATCGTGCGCATCCTGTCTTGATACATCGATTCCTTTCCTGTATAGCGTAGCAAAGCGACAGAGCAATCTTACCAATGCGTCATGATCATACTCTCCTTTCCACTCAAGATCAGCTGCTTTCCGCCCGTCCCAGCGATCTTAGCATCGAGGGACTGGGCGAAGGTGAGCGTAACGCTGGGCCGGTCAGCGTGATGTTTGAGATCATAACCAGCAAGTGCAGTGGTAAGAAAGGGAGGGGGAGTGGTGCTGGAGGACATGATGGTGATGAGATACAGTATTGAACCGAACTCGAAGGTGCAAGAAGGAGAACTCGGCAATTTCCGAATGAGCAAGCCCACGTGGTGGATATGGTCGTGTTCGATTCTCTTATGTCGGTGTCGTATGTTGGCGTTGTTCAAGCTTACCCTTGCCCGGAAGGTCTCTATTCGGTGGAGGCCAAATAATTGCATTTGTGGGCGCCAGTCGTGGCAAGTCGATTGAAGCGGCATTGCCGCAAATCTTGCGTGTGGGAGTGTGGACATTCTCGGTCATCCTTGTTCGTGTGCAGCGTCCATTTGAAACGATTTGGTCGAGCGACGTTATTGTTCTCTCCCAGGCGTGGATGGTACGTGTCTTTTTTTTTCTCTCCACGGCTAACAACGCTTACTCTATTTGCTCAGAATTGCCATGTTGAATATCAATGGGCGATTACGTGGTGACAGAGCTTATAAGCTTCGCCATATCGTCAGTCTCCTCACCAACGATCTCCCCGGACGACCTTCTTACGCATCTTTTCTCTTACGCTACTCACGTCGCTTGTTAACGAACCGCACGTTCACGCCGCATACGTCGAACGCCTCTTAGCGCGGCTGGCCCGGGCTCAAAGTAAGTGATTACTGGCATTATTGGCGTCACATACTGAACTCCATTCCAGCAGTGCACGCTTCAAGCTCTTACTTTGCCTCATAAACAGGACTCCTTCGCCAATGATACCTAATTCGCGCCCCAAACACGGTGTGTACTGCCGGCTCCGCTCGCGTATCGCACCCCTCTTCGCGCGCTCGCGTCCCGCTGGATCTCAGTGCGTCGTATCTGCGGTCCGCAACACTACGGTAGCTCTTAACTCGTCCGACGCCCGGGACGGCGAGTTCGAGGCTTCGAGTGTTACTGCAACGCCCATCAGGAAAAAGCTCCTTTGTCAATTGACAAGGATTAACACAGGTCGGTGTTGTGCTGTGTTCGCCAGGGCTTCACGTGGTTGAGAGTGGTTTGCGCGGTTATCAGAATCTCTGCTGTGTACCAAACAACCATTAGAGTGTGTCTGTTCAGTAATTTATTCTGGGTCTAGTCCCTATCTCGTCTCATCTCCCTCAAATGATTTACTAAGGAGTTTACAGAAAAGCGAAACATGTTACCAAGATGCGGGCCTTGGAGCAGAGGTTGTCGCACAGCTGGGCGCGCGCTAGCACTTAATCGGCGCTCGAATGTATTTCGACTCCCAAATGATTTACGAAGACCGCCCGACAATGTACGAAGTCGCGCAAGTAAATTACTCAAACTTCTGTGAAGATCGAAAGAAATTACTGAACAGACACACTCTATTGAAAAACCAGAACTAACCAATAATGCGCTACAGTCAGATACATAGAGGTAAATTTGATATAAAATGTGGTATAGGTGTCTTTGAGTGAGATATATGACATAGAAAGACTTGCACTGGTCGAGCACATTACTACTTGTCCAAGAGGGGGGTGCTTGCCTGCCGAACTTCGGGAAAAGATGAACACCACGCTCCAGATTGTGAATTGCACCAATGCTCGAGAGTAAGTATGCCACGAGCATCAGCAACGCTCGGCAAGATCTTCAATGGCTCAGACCAGCAGGAAAATGATGTGTACCATCTGATGCTAGGCCAGATTTTTTGGCACCCGCAGCCCCAGGCAAAATGTCGCTTTCAACGCAGCCTGTGGTATGGAGAAGATAGCTCGTACATACCAACACAATTGCTTGGAAGATGGAAGGGGCATTTAAGTAGTACGAATGGCGGCTGACGGTCGGTGGACCGTGCCGGGCTTCCGGAATCACGTGACAAGCCGGAATGAGTCCGGCCGCAGTCGATCTATCTCTTGTCTTCGTCTTTCACCATCTCGATGTCTGCTCGACGTGCGTCGGCCGCCAGGCCGCGCGCTGTCTTTTGCATGCTCAGGCCTCTTCGATGACGGCACTACCTCCACTCAATGTCATGTGCAGAACACGTACAGCAACGCGCCTCCGGGCGAAATCGGAAGTGCTGGGCTGGGCTGGCCCACGCTTCCTGCCCTCCCTTCACGCACCTCTTCGAGCCCAGCCGTCCTCCCCTTGATGGCAAAGCCCTCCGAGTGGCACCCTCGCCGCCGCTACGCGAAATTGATGCGTATCCGCCGCTGTGCGCTCGCGCCGGCTGTCAGGTGACGTGGCGATGGTGACGCGGCATCGCCACGTCACCACGCGCGGAGACCTTGCAAGAGGATGGCAATCGCGCGTGCGCTAGCGCATTTCATGGTCCGCGACGAGGTGTGCTGGCTATAGCACATTTCTAGCCGGCGAGGGCATAGGGGCGTGCACTGATGCTGCCTTCGCGTGGGATGGGTTGCGCCGGCCCGATCCGGCATCTGCCGGCTGAGCGTGCGTGCGCGCAGGCATTCGCATCGATGACCATGCCCGACGACGACAACGCTCACGCATTTGACGAGCGTGCCCAACGTCTGCCGGGAGCGCGCAGCTTGACGGCGCTGATCAGCATCTGCCGGCCGAGCGCGAGCCCGTGAGCAGATGCGACGCGCGCTGCGCACCCTGTGGTATGTGTTTTACATGTCCTCTCGTATCTTTCTCTGATGTGTGTGCTATTCATGCATGTTGCCCCTGCGCTACCAGCCTGCGCTCCACTTCACTCGTGCTCCTTAGGTGGGTGTCCGTCAATGTTCCCATTCTCTGATGTGCACTCTTCCCGCAGGGTTGCGGAGCTGACGTCTTGGCATGTGCTCCGCGAGTTGGACGTGTTGAGCGGTGATCATCGACATCGAGGCCCTTTACACTATCATGACCTATCTTAGAATATCGTATGAACTGTAGTAGAGGTTACCCATTCTCATGAATAGATCACCACTTTTGCTGCCTCACTTGTCAAAGCTCGGTCTGATTGAGGTTAATGTGACCCTGGCCCTCTGGTTATCTTGGGTGTTAAAATTGTTTTTTCAACCTCGGCTTGGTTAATCCTGGTTGCCACTAAAGTGTATATGTCCTATAACTCACAACAGTTCATCAATGTTATGCATGGCTAATTTTGGTCAAATCTGGTATGTATGGGTCACACATGGTGTTTTAACAGCAGAGCTTTTTCCTGATGGGCCCACAGCCTCCAATCACCGGGCATGACCGTATTGCCACGCAGGGTACGACTGCGCAAAATCTTCCTCCGCTGCAGGAAACGCAAGCGACTGCAGTCCAAGTATCGGCCCCGATCGTCGTCTCGAGTCCCTCAACGTCGTCAAATTCTGCGCCGACGCATCCCAGTGCATCTTCTAGTCCCAGCGCGGGTCGCGAGACATCCCAGGAACCTGTTGACTCTCTGAGCCTTCTCCCAAGCGGGAGGAGAGAGAGTCTTCGGGCCATCGTGTGGAGGCTCGTTAGCTCCACGGGGGTCGCTCACCAGTCGAGCGGGAGCCAACACGGAGTGGTCGCCTACTGGCGACGGAGCGGCCTCGTAGAGGCGCGGGAGCGTCAAAACACGCGTCGAACACGCGTTCGCGGCACGTTCCGCAGGCGACGGTAAAGCCGGTCGCTCTAGGACGTGCGGGAGCGCGCGTAGCGCGCGACGCGGGGAGTATCCGCGGCCCGAGGCTAGAGAGCCTGCAAGGGACTTGGGATCGAGCCAAAGGCTGGCGAAAAGGTAGATGGAAGTAGGAAAGGATGATATATTCGTATGTAATGGGCCTTTTAGACCACTACGTATCTAATCTTATCAATCAAGCGTGAGGTAAATACAAAGAAGAGTCCTCGAGCGAGGTGACTCGAGAGTAGCCCTGACCCGTAAGGTCCAGGTCTCCACAAAGCCCCCCACTCTCGAGGTGCCTCGTTCAGCTGCAAAGTCGTGAAGAGATACAAAATCGTGTTTCGTGAGCAGTCGTAAAGCCTTGAAAAAATGGAGGAAAAGAAAAGAAAGAAATGGAAATGATCGCCAGCTGAGACTCGCACCCGATCGCGCTCGTGTCCTCCTGCTGTCCTCTTCTCACCAAGCCCGAGCTTGAGCTTCCCATCCATTGCGACGTTGCCTTGATCCTCGGTGCGCTGTTGCCCTGCGCGCGGCCCTCGCTACGCTCTGGCCCCGAGGATGTGTCCCCTGCGTCTGCCATATCCATGCAGGCTATAGTCTTCCTGGTGCTCATTAGGCCTCTCCCTGTCCGTTGCTCCTCTCCAACCCAAAAGGGATGTGTAACGCGCCGTATGCGTCTGTAGAGGCTGGCCGGCCGTGGATCTATGGGCTGCCGGCCTCGTCGTTCCCTCCTCAGTACTGCCTCCACCCTCTGAGTGGCTTGCTGCGCCTCGCCCTGGCCGTCGCTCCGCTCCGGCCCAGAGGGGACGCATTGCACGTACTACACCTCCCCGGAGACTATGAGGCAAGAACCCAAGGAGGCGTCGCACCTCGTCGGACCCTCCTCGGTGCTGCCTCGAGGACCTAATCCCCCCAGGGGAGCCCCCCCATTCGCAGTGCGCTTGCGGGAGCGTCACGCGAGGGTGCTGCGAATGTAAAGCCGCGGAATTCCCAGACAAATACAAAGTCTTGAAGACCCGAAGCAGTGCGAGGAGTAATTGAGAAAAGGAAGAGACCGAGACCACTCCAACCATCAGGACTGAGTGCGGGCGGAATTCAATGCGTGACGGGTGGGCGGGTGGGAGACGAACACTGAGGGCGGGCCCAGTGCTCAGTAGAAAGGCGTGAAGACAGCCGGCCTTTCGCGCGCGGATCGTTCGCGCGGAACCAGCGTACCGGCCCGGAAAACCCGGCTCATCGCCCTGCCTTGATCCTTCCCCCAGCACGCTGCCTCGTAGTCCGCCCCGAAGATCGCCCCCCGCTTCCCAGCACGAAAGGCGCCCCTCACTCGATGGCCTCGCCTTACTGGAGGGTTTGGGTGCGGGAATCTGCGGGAAGCCATCGATGGGCATCTGGCCGATCTCCCTTCGCTCATACTTGCTCTCCCGGCGCGCCGTCTCGCCAAATGCTACGCCCCCCTCCCGAGAAAGTCGTGGCGCAATGCTCTCGCGACGCCCCCCAGACTCTCTTGGCGACTCCGCAACGTCTTGGGGCCTGTCTCGCGTGATCGCGACGTGACTGGTCGCAGACGCGCAACTGCTGGGGTGGAGGTGCTGCTGGGAATGCGTGCCCGCGGCGATCTCAACGCACGTTGCCGGCTGCCCGGGATGCGTTCCTGCCTGCGTTGTTGCCCTATCGCGCAATGCCGAGGCGAAGGACAGCGGCGAGAGAGATCGCCGCGTAGCAGGTGCGTTTCTCAAGCCCGCCACTCGTGCTGACTTGCTGACCGTCTCTTTATCCAGTACGTGGCGCGTGCTCTTCTTTCGCTTCACGTTCGCGCCCCCCACCGGTATCAGGGCCGCCATATGAAGCTCCTCCGCATGCTCGACTAGCCCAAGCGCGGGCCCGGGAGCGAGCAAAGCGGAAAGTTGCCGCTGAGGTTGCGCCGTCACCAGCATTTTTGACCAAGGTGCGCTTCGCGTGCTGCTCTCCCTTTGCGAGCTGATGTCGAGCTCCGCGCTTGTCAGCTCGCTCGAACTCGCAGACGGCGTGGGGTGCGTACGAGCCCGCGCAACTGTCAAATCGGGCGACTCTGGGAAAGGAGATGGCGATGAGGGCGCTCGTGGTGGAGATGGTGCGTTCTGGTGCACCCATCCCCCTTTGTTCTCGTTCGCGTCCCTCGGCAGCTGAAGTCGGATCCCCACACCCTGTAGCTCCACGTCCTTTCGCGGCGAAGAGTCTACGTCCCGACGAGGCAATTTTTCGACGCGCTCCCTTGTCCATGCGGGACCTCGCGCGGAGATGGGCATCTTTGGTCTTGGTACGTATTGCGCGCTGCTCTCCCTTCGCGCGCTCGTGTCGCATTCAGTGCTTGCCAACTCGTACGAACTCGCTGCTGGCGCGGGAGGCGTCCTTGAGCGAGGTGCGTGTCGTGTCCGGCTTCCCCCTTGCGTGCTAACGTCACATTCCGCGCTCGCCAGATTGTTCGACTTTTCCAATTGCGCGGAGCGCGCCGATTCGTCCGCCTCGGTGCTCCCTGTTGTCCGGAGTTGTTGAGGCCCCTTAAGCTCTCGCCTCCCCCTCTCGAGACGTGGAGGCGCAGCTGCCCGATACATGTCGCGCGCCTCACTTGGCTTGGGCGCGGGCGTGGAGTCGCTCAAAGGGGGACGGCGATGGGAACGCGCGTCTGCGTTGAGCTCATCCCGCGCCTTCAGCAGCCCCCCAGCCTCTGCCCATGACCCCGCGGCCGCCCCAGCTTCCGCCCGCGCAGTCTGGACATGCGCGACTGCCGACGCGGGAACGCTGGCGTGGACGTGAAGGCATCGTCGCCCTCGCGCACGCGAGATGCATGTATGTACTGATTCATCCTGAGGTGCGCGTCGCGTGCAGCGTTCTTCTCGTGCGCTGACGCCGAATTCCTTGCTCGCCAGCTCGTTCGAGTTCGCCAATCTCGCGGGGCCGATCTCGATAAATTTGACTGCAGACGCTGGATTGTGCGGGGAGGGACACCGACGTGGCGAATATGCAGCCAGGAGCGTTTTCGGCCATGGTGCGTGTCGCGTTCGGCCTTCCTCCCGCGCGCTGACGTCGCTTTCTGTGCTCCCCAGTTGATCGAGCGAGGAGAGTTGTCGCTGCTGCCAATGCGCGGCCGGGAGCGTGTTATGCCAAGGTACGTGCCATGCTCTGCTTTCTCCGAGCGCGCTGACTACGAGCTCAGTGCTCGCTGGCTCGTCTAAGTCTGCGAGGCGCATTTGAGTCCATGCGGCTTGCGTATCGCGCCATGCCCGGCACAGCAACGGCGAGGAGCGTGGGGGATGGGGTACGTCTCGCGCGAACCACGCCTGAGTCGATATGCTGATTGACACACAGCCCGGCCATCCCAATTCGCCCGTATTCGTGCTCCCTGCCGTCCCGGATCGTCGCACCGCCATGAGTAATCGCCCTGCCGTCTCCGGATGCGGTATCGGCGTCGTCCAACGACCCCTCTGCGCCTGCACGTTGTCGACTAGCCCGGGCGCGAGCGCGGGACCGCGCGCGGTGAGACACCGCCGCGGCGAGTGCGCGGCCCAAGGCGCCTTCGAGCGAGGTGGGTGTCGTGGTCCTTTCGCTTTTTGTATACTGACGGCGACCTCAGCAAATTCGATTGGCGATGTCCGGTGGCCCGAAGGGAGCGAGTATTGTTCTCGCAGGCGTACGTCACCCGCACAGTGCGGTCGCTCCTTTTGCTCTAATTCGTGCCCCACGCCTTCGCCTTCGCCTGCGGTGACATTCCCTCCAGCATTCGCCAACTCGCCCGGATTCACCATTACCGCGGGACACATCAGAGTCCACGTATCCGCTGTGTTGCGTGATGCCGTGGCCGGAGGCGAGGGCGAGAACGATTGCAGCAGCGAAGGTGCGTGTCGTGCTTGGCTTTCTTTCCCCTCGCTGACGTCGCATTCAGTGCTCTCCGGCTTGTCTGAGCTCGTCGGTCGCGCCGGATGCGCCAAAGCTCGCGCGTCTAGCGTACCGAGCGAGGAGAGTTGTCGCTGTAGCGGGGGACGCTTCCCTGTCCGTGTAGCTGGCATGTCGCACCCAGCCGGCTTGCGCGAGATATCTACTGCTAGCAACTCATGCCGAGGCTTCTGTCGCGTGTCGCTCTCTTCTCGTGTGCTAACGACATCTTTCGTGCTCGCCTGCTCATTCACATTCTCCCAGAGCGCAGGACGCATATCAGTCCGCGCAGCTAGCATGTCACGCGATGCCGTGGGCGATGTCTGCGGGGGAGAAGGTACGTTGTAGCGCTCTTGTCGTGTGCCGACGCTGAGTTCTGTGCTTGCTGGCTGGTCCGAGCTCGAGGATGGTCCGAGGCATGTCCGAGGCCATGCGGCTTGCGCGTCTCGCCATGCCAGGGACGACGACGGTGAGAAGAGTGGCGGACGAGGTACGCATCGTGCAAACATTGCTTGAGTCGACGTGCTAAGGCGCGGCCGTCTCGACTTTCCTGCTCTCGCGCCCCCCATCCGTGAAGCACCGAGGTTCGTGCTCTTTGGTCGCCGCCCAGCCTTCACGCACGGTATCGGGGCTGCCAGACGATGCTCCTGCGCGCTTTCAACCCGCTTGAGCGCGGGAGTGGAGCCGCTCGAAGGGGGACGGCACTGCCGGAAACGCGCGCCCGCGATGAACTCTGTACAGGTCTTCAGCCAAGGTACGTGTTGAGCGCCATTCTCCCTTTGTGTGCTGATGTCGAGCTTTGCGCCTTCTAGTACATTCGCGCTCGTCCGAGCTCGGGCAACCAGCTGCTCGCGCCAAGTCATATTTGCGCCCGTTTCCTGCGCGTCTTCCATCAGCTCGACCATGGGCGTGGGATCGCTGCTATGGAGACACTGCTCGTGCGTGCGCGCAAAGGCGGTCAGCCTCTCGTTCCAGGAGGTACGTCGCGCATTGTCTTCCTTACGCACGCTAACCCCGTTTTCTGCGGTCAGCAGCTCGTTGGAATTCTTCGATGGTGCGGGATGTGTCCGAGTCAGTGCCACTGGCTGATTGCATGGTGCCGGAGCAGGAAACAGGAGTGGCCGAAGAGCGAGATGTGGTGGACAGTCGAGCCGACCTGAGGAGCGAGTGGGCACTGGAATTGGGAGTTGCACTCCATTGCTTGGCGACGCTGCCTCGGACGGCGTGCGTTGAGCTCGCGACCCTTGTTGTGTGGCTTCGTTCACCCTCCTGGCCAGTGCTGAGCTGGAAGATGGATGCTGTGGCTTGACCGCCAGCCTTGCAGCATTGTCTGTGCTGCCTGACCCCTCCTTAGGAGAGCACACTACATCCTTCTGAGGAGGTGCATGGGCTGGCAATCCATGCCCGCCCTCCTCATCCTCTGCCGGCGGTCCTGGCAGAGGCAGGGATGGTGCGCTAGCTCGAGTCGAAGGGTTCAACACAGATGGAGAGCATTCGGGGGTGACGCGGGAAGGGTGTTGTCCCGCCGAGGGTGCGGTAGAGGCTGGTGGACCGGTTGTTTGTTGAGTGGGTTCTGGCTGAGGGGTAGCGCGCAAGAGATCTTCTGCCTGTTTGCGGTATTTACGGTAAAAGTGCACGGCTCTCGCGCACTGCCAGGAAGCCGCGACGTGGGCGAACGAAAGGTCGGAATGACTTCTTGCCTCTCTGAGGGAGCGAGCGTGCTTCGCCATCTCAAACTGGAACTGCCACGCTTTCGGGGCTGGCTCATTGTCTGCAACCGTTGCCCTTACCAACGTATCCAGAACCGGCTGCATCTCCATTGCAAGGACTTCCAGGTAATGCGCAAATTCAATCGCGCTAGCCTTCCACCTCCCCAATCCGCTCTCGTACGAGAAACAACCATCTTTGTCCAGCCTCGAGGTCCAAGTGGCAACTCCGTGCACACGGTTACGCAACGAGTCGGGTTGAATGGGACAGGCTGGAGTATACGCACCGTAGTAAGCACGGTCAGCCACACGCATAAAGCTTCTGCGGGTGATCCCAGACATAGCCAGAAGCACACAATTGCGGAGTGGTCACGGTGCGAGTCAGCTCCCAATACAGGGACGAGAAGGAGCGGAGGTCAAAGCCGGCAATCCTGGCAATCCTCCCGCTCCACCCAGACGGTCCTAGCCAGTCAAAGGTTTCTCGTCTCGATATCAGAGCAGCAGGCAAAGTGTGGGCTGCAGCTCGACTGGGACCCCTTAACGTCCACTTTGTGGAGGCTCGTTAGCTCCACGGGGGTTGCTCACCAGTCGAGCGGGAGCCAACACGGAGTGGTCGCCTACTGGCGACGGAGCGGCCTCGTAGAGGCGCGGGAGCGTCAAAACACGCGTTGAACACGCGTTCGCGGCACGTTCCGCAGGCGACGGTAAAGCCGGTCGCTCTAGGACGTGCGGGAGCGCGCGTAGCGCGCGACGCGGGGAGTATCCGCGGCCCGAGGCTAGAGAGCCTGCAAGGGACTTGGGATCGAGCCAAAGGCTGGCGAAAAGGTAGATGGAAGTAGGAAAGGATGATATATTCGTATGTAATGGGCCTTTTAGACCACTACGTATCTAATCTTATCAATCAAGCGTGAGGTAAATACAAAGAAGAGTCCTCGAGCGAGGTGACTCGAGAGTAGCCCTGACCCGTAAGGTCCAGGTCTCCACACATTGTGGGGAACCTGGTTGGAGACCCACTAGGCATACTCTCGAGTCACGCTCGCACTCACACTTTTTATTTTGCTCGTCTTTTACATGAACTGTAGATTAGATTAGATACATCGCAGGCTGCAAGGCAGCCTGCCGCATTAGGAAGAATCATCTATCTCTACTCTTACCACCGTCTGCAGCTCGAATCAGCCTCCTCGGAGAGAGGCTTTGAGCAGCAGGCACCGGAAGGGTCGCCTCCCGCCTCGTCGTAGAGTATCACTCCGACGCGGGCACTCTCTAAATCGATCTCACGCGCGCGCGTCGTTACACGCGCACTACACGCTACCCGAGCGCTTCCGCGCCCGACTGTCGCCAACGGGCGACCACTCCGCGCTCGCTCCTACCCACTCGACTGGCGAGATCCCCACTCGCGGGCCCAGAGCTCCCGCAAAGTGGACACTGTGGGATCCCAGTCGAGTGTTCCACGTCTACAACTTCGCCCGAGCGACACGTGTTCGACTCCCGCCTCTCGCCGACTCGCATACCCGCCATCGTGCTGACGAGGCGGTCCCCAAACTCGTCTCTGCTTGTACAAGCGCTTTCTCTGCTGTATTACCCTAGAGAGTAACGCTGGTTCGCGGTTACCGCGAGCGGGCTAGAGAGGTTGGTCGGGTGATACACCCGGCGAATCCCTCGACTCTCACCTCAATACAACATCGTCTCTTCCTCGACCTTTGCTCCATTGCGCGCTCTCCCCTCCGGAAAAGGCACGTGCTCGACGAGTGACGATTGGCTAGCGGATACCGCGAACTGTCTGGACGTCGGCGACGCGGTTACCGCTGAACGGACGTCCAACTCTCGTCGAGACAGCTCAACATCGTGCCTAACCTCCGTGCATCCGCAAACCCACCTGATCAAGCTTTCTCGTGCTGTCATCAAGGCTTGCGCTCGGCGAGCATCCTTGCTTCACACCGACCAGGCAGACTGGCTCTGAGCTAGTCGGTACGCAATGAAGGATGGGTTGCGCAACTCGGACTTCGTTCGCAGCAATATTCTCGAGGATGTCACGATTCGCTTTGAATGCACTAGATTCCACGCACATCCGGCGACTCCTTACATATACTCGTCGCTCTTGAATTGCCTCAAAAAGCTCAAACGAACCGATCTGTCCGAGCACGCAATTGATCTTGGTGCACAAGCGCCGTATCGCTACCGTTATGGATTTCCGAGGAATATACAGCTTCTGGTGGGCGCAGTCAGGGACGAGGTGCAAAGACTGCTCAACAAACTCGTTCTTGCGACAGCAGCTAGCTTGGACGACCAACCGGCAGCATGGCAGTTCGATGCGGACTTCTCGGTTATTCGGACATTCACAACACCCCAGTCCTATCCTGCTGCCCGAGCAGCAGGTTGTATGTTTATCAACCAGTGTATTGTGGCAATCCGAAAATACCAGGAATACAGCGAGCGAGTCCGGAGGATATTATTCTCACGGCCGTTGCTTTTCCCCGCGGCAATCGTAGGAGTCCCGCTCGCGCAAGACGACACAGCTTGCCGGTACCACGACAAGGAGAGTTCGGTCGTGAGTGGAGAAACTAAGTCGGCGGATGCGACTGGCTTCCCTACGGGGCAGTGCCGCCGCCCGCGAACGGAGGCGGCGCTATCCAAGGATGTTGCTGGTCGCATCACGGACGTCGATACAGCCAGCTTGGATGAGGAGGAGAAGCGCTTACCCCTCCAATCGTACCCCAGCAATGCTCCATCGCGCTCGTTGCCATGTTCCAGTGGGATCGATCATCAGGTCATCGCTAGCTACCCGGAAAGCGGGAGCTCTCCACATGCGCGAGACTCATTCGGTCAGCTAGGGATGTATCCCGAGGGGCAATCTTCGTTAGTCTCCTCTGGAATGGATGTCCAAAACCGGAGCTCGCGCGACACGGAGGAATACTCGCCTCGAGACACTGAATTGGACTCAAACGCGAGGAATCATCGTCTCTCGGAGGCACATCGTCAAGCTACCGCCCAAAGTGACTTAACGCGCGTGCGCGCTGGGGGGCAGACAACAGTCTCGTCTTGTAACGACGGAAAACCCTGCCGTGGACGTGATGTTGAGGGGAACATACCTCAGCTCGTTGACCGCGATGCCGTCGCAACGACGAGGAGCTCCTCATCGTCCTCAGCTGTCAGCGTGGCGTTATCTTTGGCTCCGACCGCTGCCTGCCATGCCACGCAAGGCTCGACTTCACCAAAGGGATTTGGACGAACAGACTCAGCCGCTCCGCCCTGCTCGTGGGCGCACGTGCCGCCTGACTCGTCCCGCACTTCAAGCCACGATGCGAAGGCTCGGAAGTCGCAGACGAGCGACGTCCCGGCTGGCAAAGAAGAAATCCAAGGTCGAACGAGCAACTCCTCCCAAGTGTTGAGTTTGTCCCCGAGCGGCGAGGACACGCTGAGAAACACCCCTTCCGCACCGCGCTCTCGCCCGGGGAATCCCTCTCGAACGCGAGCGGATGATCTGTATCAAGTTGTCGCCAGGGACCATGTCCAGCTGCGAAGTGAGGAAGGCGTCGCCTGCAGATCTTCGGCAGATGCGCGCGACTCGACAGGTGTCGCGCTGCCCCGCCGATCTCGCGAGAAGCCGACAAGCCCGAGCTCTTCGAGTGGTACTCCCACTATGGTCAAGCCACACGTCGGAATCAGCTCGCATAGCTCGCACGACACGCCAGAGAACTCACCTCAACGCGCCGAACACGCTTGTGATAATCCCGCGCAGTTTTCGGACTCGGAGGGTGGGTGCCGCGCTCTGCGAGCAAGTCCCGACAGCTTCTCGCCATCGCCTTCCTCCGCGCCTCGCATCCATGCAGCTTGCGAGATGCCTGACAGGACGACCTCCAATGGCCCGGTCGCGCACAGCAGCCAGACCGCTTCGTATTTGCACTCTGCTTCTGTGCCGCTCGTCGCTCCTCTCCTTCAGTCGTCTCACCGTGCAACCACTGGAAGTGGTCCCGATAGTGCGAATTGGCGAGCGCGTAGGCGGCCAACGACCTTGTTGCTGCGGGAGGTCGGCACCATCAATGCTGACGCGCAAAGCGGGAGCATTGACGAGCATGAGCGAGCTTCCCAGGCCTTCGATCTGAAAGTGGACGTCAATAGATCACCCAGTGCATGCGGCAACGAGAAAGGCTCACCTCGAAGCGCCGAACGTGACGGTGACCATGAGAACGCCCCGCAGTCTCGGGACTCAGAGGGTCAGCGCCGCGCTCTGCGAGCAAGCCCTGATAGCCTCTCGCCCTCGCCTACCTCCGCGTCTCGCATCCAGGCAGCTTGCGGGACGTCCGACAAGACGAACTCGAATGACTCGAGCTTACACAGCGGCCAGTCCACTTCGCATCCGCGCTCTGCTACTGTCCCATCCGCCGGTCCTCCATTTCGGTCGTCTTATCCGTCAACGTCTGAAAGTGGTCCTGGTAGCGCAAATTGGCGAGCGCGTGGGTGGCTGAAGGCCTCGTCACGGCAGGAGGTCAGCGCCGTTGTGGCTGACTCGCGAGACAAAAGCATCAGCAAGTGCGAGAAAGACTCGCCTCACGGAAGTCCTCACCGCCCACACTGGGAGGCGTCAACTCAAGCTCTCGCTCAAGACCGCCCGCAAGTGTACGCTGGGGGGCAGGTGTTAGCCTCGTCTCGACGAGACGGCAAACCCGGAAGCTGGCACGACGCGGGGAAGTGCTTACCACAGGACACCAAATCAAGTACCGCCTTGACAGTCCTAGACCAATCACTTCGCGCTCAAACTATGGTCAAGCCGCGCACGCGAATGAGCTCGCATAGCTCTCTCGATGCACCGGAATGCTCACCTCCGAGCACCGAATGCGACGGTAATGAGGAGCCCGTGCAGTTCCCGGACTCGATTGGCCAGTGCCGCCCTCAGCGAGCAAGCGCTGGCGGCCTCTCACCATCGCCCTTGATCGCATCACGCTACCATGTAGCTCGCGAGCCGCCCGATGAGTCGACCTCAAACGGCTCGAGCCTATGCGGTAGCCGGTCGACTTCACTTTCGCACTTTGCTACGGTCCCGTCTGCCTCTCCTCTCCCGTTGTCGCCGCCATCTGCCGCGTCGCGCATCCTTGGGGCTCGCAAGCCACCAGACAAGACCTCAGATCGCTCGAGCGCAAACAGCTGCCAGCCCGCGCGACGGAGCCACCCTGCTAGCGTCCTGTCATCCATCCCTCTCCCTCGGTCGTCCCGCAGGCCTAAGGGAGCGAGCGAACCGGATAGCGCACATTGGCGAGTGCGGGAGCGGCCAGACGCTCTCAAATTGCCGCTGCGCGAGATTGGCGTGAATTCTTGGGGCGCGCAGAACAGAGAATGGCTCTCACCTCGACTTGATGTTGCGGACACCGCCGCGCCGAGCACGTCGCGGCGTCACTTTCACGCGTTTAAGCGCGGACATGTCCTAGAGGACGGCGCAAGCGATCTGAAGCGCACACATGCTGGGGGGCAGACAGTGTTCTCGTCCTGGAAACACGTCAAGCCTCTGAATGCACGTGGAGGGAAGAGGGAGTCACCACAGCTTACCGCATCGGACACTGAGTGCCAACGCTCGCCGTCCTTGGAGCTCAATCAGGCAATGCCTCCGACAGGTGGCAGAGGAGACCTGGCGTTATGTTGTAACGGCCGAGATATCGGGATTTTGCACGCTGAAAAGCCGCCGTGCGTCACATTGTCGCGCAGCGTGGACGTCCTCGATGCTCTAGCCCTAGGTTGCGCTGCGTTCCCGGACGTGATGCTGCGACTTATGGGAGAGGTTAGCCTGATAGACAAGGACAGAGGATGCGTCGCAGGCTACGTACAGCGCTTATACAACGATCCTGGGGGGCCGGCAGATGTCGCATCTCCAGGAGATGGTCATCTCTCGGACGCGTACAGCATTTCGTCACCCTCACGACTTCTGGTCTGCCGCTCCCTTTGTCAACCAGTAGTGCGCGCAGAGAACTCGAGGACACACCACACCGTGGACAGGCGCGTATCCTTCGAAGTTCCCGTCGCTTTTGCTCTGGTTGGCCCGCAGAGTGCAGAGCGGGACATGTCAACTCGACTCGCAGTTCATTCGCAAATTGGTGGCGACACGTTCAGAGAGCCTATGGACAGGATCAGAATCTATGGCAGGAAGGACGGCACGGCAGCACAGGACTCACCAAGGTGCAGTGAGTCCGCCACGTACAAGAGCGCATTCTCTACGACTGGATCCCACCTCGAGCTTCGATCCGCGTATGTACCTTCGTCTCGCCGTGAATTGGCGCTACGCGTGGGATGCCGGCTGCCCGACATCCGCGAGATGACCCTAGGGCGGAAGCAGAGCGCAATTCAGCGAACGCATCTGGTCTCCTCGCCCAGAGCGACGCACCTTCGTGTTCCGCGATGGGAGATGCGCGTCATGACTCGTCCGAAGACGGGGGCTGGGGGGACAAGAGAATGCGGTGCACAGAACGGCGGTGAAATTGGTCAGCGCGAAGGCCTCGGCAGCGGAGCCTCTTATCGACGCCAAATCAAGGGTGCACCCTCTAAGCTGAGCGGCGTACACAAGCTTTCGAGAATCAGCAACTCACTTCGAACGACGCGAGACTACTCACCTCCCAAGGTAGTCATCATTTCCTACACAGTTTCCATGACGTATCGATGCTGTCTGGTCGTCAGTCAAGACTTTCCAGCTACGCTTCGACGCGAACCTCGTCGATACCCCCACTGCACGCGGGACACAACGGGCGCCCAGCAATCGTGCCTCGCACGAAAAGCGTCGCATATCTCTCATATCTATCCATCTCGATGTTCAGGATCCGACGCAGGCAGCGTCGCGCGGCGTGGCACATCGACGCTGGTCAAGCACCGCATCAGCAGGCGTAAAATGCCTACGGCGCGCGTCGCGCGCGCGCTGTTGAGCATCGGTCGCTCATCAAGAGCGATACGGAACTCCTCACCTCAAGATGTCAGCGCGCATGCTAGTGTCGGCGGGCGACTCACAAGAGCAACGGAGGCGCCAGCTCTATCACTGATCCTGACTACCGTAGCGGAACAAAGCTGGCGGTTGGTCAGTCGGCCCCTTCCGACCGTGCTTATACACGCACCGCGTTCATCCCCTAACCGCGCGCGCCCCAGGAAGGCTACCGGGCAATCGAGACCGCCCCCGTTGTCTCCCTTATGCCGCGACTTGCCTCGTCCTGGGAAGATGCGCGTGTACTACGAAGCGCGGCGATCCGAGTGGACTCAAAGCGCGCGCCCGAGGCTCTTGTGGTGGATGACGGTCAGCCGCCGCCAGACGCCCCCCCTAGCCTTTCCACCCGAGCAGGAATCTGGGGGGCAGGTTAATCTAGAGTATCGCGCGGTATACGACATACTGTGCGCCCAGTATATGCCGCGACATGGACGGTACGACACACGGCATATCGACGAGCGCCTCAATCAAGAGCGGAATGTCGGCCCGAACGGCCCGGCGGCCCCGTCGTCTAGCGCTTGCAGCCTCCGTCTTGTATTTTCCCTCACCGCCACACCCTCTCTCGCGCAAAATTCGGCCGACCCTCCCTCCCACTCTATTGGAGTGCCTCGCTTCCATCTCATACGCCTCAGCTCGGCTCAACACTTACGACGGAAATCCTGCCTCACGCCCACATCTCTTGCCGCGGTACATTTGGCTTGTCCTTCCAGCGGGCTTTACATTCGCAGCACACCCCCGAATCCCCGAGTCTGCACTGCGAATGGGGGGGCCCAGGGGGAGGTACTCCCCTCTGGATGCGAGGAGGGAACGACGAGCAGCTTGGCAACGGCGCGGTGGCTAGCGGGACGCAGCCACTCACTCGACAGAGGTGCGCCGTGTTCGAAGGAGTTTGGAGCTTGTCTTGTGATTGGCTTTCCGAGAGGACGACAGCCGAAGAGTAACGAAGGCTGTCGACGCATCGCGAAGCGATGTCAGAGGCTTCCGACACGCTTTCGGACGAGCGTAGCGAGGACGGGCTGCGTGCTCCTTTGCGTCGTACCTGGCGAATCTCGAGCTCTTCATATGAAAGCCGACCCCGGAGCGGACAGTGAGACATAGTGACAAGCAGCGACAAGAAGACCGTCACATAGCAGCCGGGCCTAGCAAGGCAGCGCTCATGCTGTTCCTCATCGAGCCGGTCCGAGGGCATGTGTATGCACTCGGAGCTCTTTTCACGCACGTACATTCACGGAGACACGACAGAGACTACGCGAAGGGGGAAATTTTCCTTTTCCTTTTTTTCGTTCCATTTCGGCAAATTCCTGATGCTACTTACGACTGGACGGCTTACAATGCTTACTCACGCACCTCGAGAGTGGGGGGCTTTGTGGGGAACCTGGTTGGAGACCCACTAGGCATACTCTCGAGTCACGCTCGCACTCACACTTTTTATTTTGCTCGTCTTTTACATGAACTGTAGATTAGATTAGATACATCGCAGGCTGCAAGGCAGCCTGCCGCATTAGGAAGAATCATCTATCTCTACTCTTACCACCGTCTGCAGCTCGAATCAGCCTCCTCGGAGAGAGGCTTTGAGCAGCAGGCACCGGAAGGGTCGCCTCCCGCCTCGTCGTAGAGTATCACTCCGACGCGGGCACTCTCTAAATCGATCTCACGCGCGCGCGTCGTTACACGCGCACTACACGCTACCCGAGCGCTTCCGCGCCCGACTGTCGCCAACGGGCGACCACTCCGCGCTCGCTCCTACCCACTCGACTGGCGAGATCCCCACTCGCGGGCACAGAGCTCCCGCAAAGTGGACACTGTGGGATCCTAGTTGAGTGTTCTATCGTCTACGACGTCGCCCGAGCGGCACGTGTTCGACTCCCGCCTCTCGCCGACTCACACACCTGCCATCGCGCCATCGAGGCGGTCCCCAAACTCGTCTCTGCTCGCGCAAGAGCTTCCTCTACTGTGTCTCCCTAGAGAGTAACGCCGGTTCGCGGCTACCGCGAGCGGGCTAGAGTGATCGGTCGGGTGTTACACCGGGCGGATCGCTCAACTCTCAATTACGATCTCTCCTCTTCCTTCACGCCTCGCTTCATTGCGTGCTCCCCAAAGAAGCACGCACACGACGAGTGACGACTGGCTAGCGGATACCGCGAACCGTCTGGACGCTGGCAAGGTGGTTACCACCGAACGGGCATCCAACTCTCGTTAAAGCGCAACTCCGCAGCGCGGCGCAACAGGGCGCTGCGCCACACCCCCACGAGTCCATTACTCAACGAGTGACGGCTGGCTAGCGGCTTCCGCGAACCGCCTGAACGCCTGTGAGCGGTTTCCGCGAGCCGGCGTTCAACTCTCGTTGAAGGAGGGCCTATATTGCATCAAAAGGTTTCCAACACACCTGGACCTGGGGAGAATGGGTGCTGCACCTCCCGATGCCGACTTCGTCCGCAGCGATATCCTCGAGTACGTAGAGGCACGTTTCCAATGTCGTAGATTCCATGCCCATCCAGATACCTCATTCATATTTTCCTCGCTTTTGCGCTGCCTCAAGAAGCTCTCAAGATCCGAATACTCAGCACACGTGGTGGACTACGGTACTCAAGTGGAGAATCGCTATCGTCATGGATTCACGAAGGATTTCCAAAGGCTAGTGCGCTCGGTCATAGCTGCAGTGCAGAGGCTGCTCAACAAGCTGGTCGTCGCAACAGTGGAGGACTTGCAAAGTAGTCGGACAGCCTGGCAGTTCGACGCGGATGGCTCGATTTATCAAGCGTTTACCAGACCTCAGTCCAGCACTCGAATTGCCGTCACGAGTTGTATATTTTCGGGGCGGTGTATCGTGGCTATTCGTATGTTCGAGGAGTATCGGGACCAAGTGCGTGAGATGCTCCTCTCGCGCCCCTTGCTAGCGCCTCCATCGCCTGTCGTGTCCGAACCAATCGAGAGTCCCCAACGGACAGCCCCAGCGGCACCCAAGAGCGCAGAAAAGGGTACTGGTCGGCGCCAGGATGGAGCGCCTATCTCCCCGGAATCCTGCCATTCATCGCGCCCAGCCGCGCGGTCCTCGTCTGGAAAAGATGCCAAATCCCAGGGCTCGGGCGACACGGTAAAACTCCTGCCTCAAAATAAGGGATTGGACGCGAAAGCGGAAGATCTTCGCCCACACTTGACAATCCCTCGCCGCGCTTTAGCGCAAGGCGACCAGATGTGCATACCCACCGGCGGGCAGACTGCAGTCTCGCCTAGTAAGGATGACGAGCCAATCCGAGGGCGCGATGCTGAGAGGAACATACCTCGAGTCGTAGATCGTGAGGCCGATGCAATGACAAGTAGCTCCTCGTCCTCTCCAACGATCAGCGTGGCATTTTCGTTGGGTCCGATTGCTGCTCGCCACGCTGCACGAGGCTCGGCTTCACCAGAGGAACCTGGACGAAGAGACTCAGCCGCTTTACCCTGCTTGTTGGTGCACGCACCGCCTGACTCGTCCCGCACTTCAAGCCACGATACGAAGGCTCGGAAGTCGCAGACGAGCGACGTCCCGGCTGGCAAACAAGAAATCCGAGGTCGAGCGAGCAACTCCTTCCAAGTGTTGAGTTCGTCCCCGAGCGGCGATGACACGCTGAGGAACACCCCTTCCGCACCACGCTCTCGCCCGGGGAATCCCTCTCGAACGCGAGCGGATGATTTGTATGAAGTTGTCGCCAGGGACCATGTCCAGCTGCGAAGTGACGAAGGCGTCGCCTGCAGATCTTCAGCAGATGTGCGCGACCCGACAAGCGTCGCGCTGCCCAACCGATCTCGCGAGAAGCCGACAAGCCCGAGCTCTTCAAGTGGTACTCCCACTATGGTCAAGCAACACGTAGGAATCAGCTCACATAGCTCGCGCGACACGCCAGAGAACTCACCTCAACGCGCCAAACACGATTGTGATAATCCCGCGCAGTTTTCGGACTCGGATGGTGAGTGCCGCGCTCTGCGAGCTAGTCCCGACAGCTTCTCGCCATCGCCTTCCTCCGCGCCTCGCATCCATGCAGCTCGCGAGATGCCTGACAGGACGTCCTCCAATGGCCCGGTCGCGCACAGCAGCCAGACCGCTTCGTGTTTGCACTCTGCTTCTGTGCCGCTCGTCGCTCCTCTCCTTCGGTCGCCTCACCGTGCAACCACTGGAGGTGGTCCCGATAGCGCGAATTGGCGAGTGCGTAGGCGGCCAACGACCTTGTTGCTGCGGGACGTCGGCACCGTCAATGCTGACGCGCAAAGCGGGAGCATTGACGAGCACGAGCGAGCTTTCCAGGCCTTCAATCTGAAAGTGGACGTCAATAGATCTCCCAGTGCAGGCGGCAACGAGAAAGGCTCACCTCGAGACGCCGAATCAAATTCGAACGTCGTAAATTCTCACCGCCCGCGCTGGGAGACTTCTGGTCAAGCTTCCACTCAAGGCTGTCTGCATTTGAGCGCTAGGGGGCAGACAGTGGTCCCGTCTTATAACGGCGTCAAACCCCGCACAATCGAGGCGAACAGCGCACCTCTCCAAAACGACTCGGGCCAGGACAAGATGACGAGCGGCTCATCGTCCTCCACCGCCTCTGGGACGGTGTTGTCTTCATCCTCGACCAACGCTCTTGTCGCGCGAGGCTCGCATTCACCCAACAGACCTGGACAAACGGACTCAGCAGCTTCACCCCTCTCGATAGCGCACACCTCACCTAACGCATCTCGCTCCTCAAGCCGCGAGAAGAAGGCTCCGAGTATGCGTGACATTCACTCCCCGGCCATCCAACAGGTCGAGTGTCAACCGAGCAGCTCCTCCCAAAGTTGTGTCCTCTTCCCGAGCCATGAGGACACGCTAGCAACGGCACCTTCTGCTTCTTCTTCAGCAGCTCGCGCGGTCAATTCCCCAGGAGCGCGAGCCACGGAGGCAGTCGATATGGGTCAAATTGTCGCTAGGGGCAGCAAGCAACAGCAAAGTGCGGACTTCAAGGGGTCAGGAGGTGTCAGCGCGGTCGAGGAGGAAAAGGGTGAAGGCGTATCCTGCAGAGTTTCACCAGAGGTGCTTGACTCGAAGAGCATCCCGCAGCCCGACCGATTCTGTGAGAAGTCACCAAGCTGCGACACTTCGAGTTGTGCTATGCTCGAGACGCGGACACGAATCAGCTCGCATAGCCTGCGCGACACGCCAGAATACTCACCTCGAAGCGCCGAACGTGACTGTGATCAGGAGAACACCGCACGTTCACCGGACTCGGAAAATCAGTACCACCTTCGCCGACCCAGCTCTAACCGCCGCTCGTCATCGCCCTCCTCCATGCCGGAAAGCCATGCAGCTCGCGAGCGGTCCGACCAGACGACCTCAAGCGGCTCGGGTACACGCAGCTTCTCATTCACTTCGTATTCACGCTCTGCCACTGTCCCGTCCGCGGCTCCTCCCCCAAGGTCGTCTCGCCGTCCAACGTCAGGTAGTGGTCCCGATAGCGTGAACTGGCGAGCGCTTGGGCGGCCGACGACCTTGCCGCTGCGAGAGGTCGGCATCTTTGATGCTGGCTCGCGAAGCAAAAGCGTCAGTGAGCGCGAACAAGCTTTTGAGGGCCTCAATTTAGAAGAGGATGACATTAAATCCCTCGATACAAGCGGTGAGGAGAAAGGCTTACCTCAAGACGCCAAAGCGGATGCGAACGTCGGGAATTTTCACCGCTCACGCTCGAAGGCGTCTAGTCAGGCGTCGGCACAAGGCTATCTACGCGTGTACGCTGGGGGGCGGATGTTAGCCTCGTCTCGACGAGACGGTAAACCCCAAAGCTCACGCAACACGGGGAGGTGCTCACCGCAGAGCACCGGATCGGATACCATCACGACAGCCCCGGACGATTCAGGTTGTACTCCTGCTATGGTCGAGCCGCACTCAGGAATCAGCCCGTGTAGCTCTCGCGACTTTTGGGAATGCTCACCTCGAAGCGCCAAGGACGATGGTGGCAGGAGCCCAGTGCAGTTCCCGGTCTCAAATGGTCAACGCCGCGCCCGGCGAGCAAGCGTTCTCGGCCTTTCGGCCTCAACGTACACCGCCTCGCCCATGATTGCGGCTCGCGAGCTGCCCGACAAGCTCTCAGACCGCTCGGGTACGCACAGCTGCCAGGCCGTCCAACTTCAACACCCTGCTCGCGTCCCAGCCACCGGCCTTCCTCGTCGGTCATCCCGCATGCCAAGGAACACGAGCGGTCCTGAGACGGCAGATTGGCAACAAATCGTAAGCTCCTTTCGCAACGACACCACTCCGTGCGGCTCGCGAGACAGAACATGGCTCTTATCTCGACTCGACGCCGCGGACACCACAGCGCCCAGCGCATTTCGGCTTCACTTCCACGCTTTTAAGCGCGGACGGATTCCTGAGCCGCTGGAGGACAGCGCAGGCAGTTTGAAGCGCGGGTATGCTGGGGGGCAGGCGGTGCTCTCGTCCTGCAAGGACGTCAAGCCCCTGGATGCGCGCAAAAGAGAGAAGGACCCATCACCTTTCACCGCGTCGGATGTTGAGCACCAACACTCGCTATCCTCGAAGCCCAATCGGGCGATGCCTCCGGCATGCGGCGGGGGAGACTTGCCGCTAGGCTGTAATGGGTTAGACGTTGACCAGGGTTCCTCTTGCTCACCAGACAGTCCACCGCTCTCGTCCGCGCGAGAAGCGGAGGTGATCGAACCGACACGTGAATCAGGCTCGAGCACGGAGGACGATGTCAGATTGATCGGCAGAAGAGGGCACGACTCACCTGGCAAGCACTCGGTCAATGCGTACAGTGAAGAGAACCACTCTCCTCGCCTTGCCAAAGCAGATACCACTCGGAATTTGGGACACTGCACGCACGTGCGCGACTCCGAGGAAGAAGTGTTCGCTCTTCTCTCGATGCGCGGACCACCAGAAGGGCGACTGAGCGACAACGCGGGGAGGTCAATAACGATGCTGTCTTGCGTGAGTGGCGAAAAGCTCAAGGATTACCATGAATGCGCGCGCTTTGTCCCGGTCCTCCGCACGCGCCGTGTGCATTGCGCGTCTCCCGCAAGCGCGCTGAACCCGCTTTGGAAGGATCGCGAGGTTGCTGTACCCGATGCGTGGGATACTTATCTGCCGCGTGGACTGCCGGACAAACAAGCGGGTGGAAATGTCGGGGTCCTCCATGTCGGAAGGCCAAGCACAGATGCGACTCCGCGACCTGGTGGAAGGATCAGCTTGATCATTACGGATGGAGAATGGACCATGGGCTACACACTGGACTTTTACAATGATCCTGGGGGGCCGATACGCGTCACATCTTCAGTGGACATCCATCTCTCGGGGGTCTGCCAGGCTCAAGCAGTCTCGCCGCCGCATGCCTGCCTGTCTTTGCGCGAATTAGCGGCGCACGTCGAGCGCGCGAAGGAGGCGCCAGGCCGACCTGAGAATGGTGCACAACCGGTCGGCGACACGTACGCGAGTTCGGGGCGCGAACTCGCGCACAGATTCCATCAAGGCGCGTACAATACCTGCGAAAAGAGTCATGGCTTTTTCGGTACAGGCAAGGCGGTTCGGGACTTAGCAAAACGCGGCGAGTACGTGTTGCGCAAACGGCGCAACAATAACGCGCTCCTTGATGTTCGCATTGTGCCGCACACGAGTCAGTCGCCACTCCGCGCGTTCTCCACGGCCAGGTCAAACTCCGTACCTCAAGCCTCCCGCGCTCGCTCATTTTCCCGTGCGCTGGCACCGCTCATCAAGTGCCCGTTCTCATACGCAGGCGAGATTGCTCTTATCTCTGAGGCGAGCATGGGTGAACGATGTCGCCAGCTCTTCACGCGGGAGAGGACGTACCTTCTCAGTCCACGGAGGGAGATGACCGCGCCGATTCGCGCAGAGACGGAAACTGGGGGGCCGACTAATTGCAGCCGCCGGTTCGACTGTCCGCTTCTCGGGCCTAGCGGCGCGCGCAAACTATCGTATATCAGCAACTCATCCAGAACGATGCGAGGCAACTCACTTCAAGATCTCGTCCCAGCTCGCCTTGCGGCGGAGCCACAGGAAGTACGTTCTCGAGCGAATCTGCCGTTTTTCGTGGCAAATCAGCGCTGTTTGGCTGCCGGTCATCACTTTTCGGCCGCGCTTGTGCACAAACTTCAGCAAATTCCCCTCCGCGCGCAGGCCACGTCAAATGCTCACCGATTGCGCCCCGCCACAGAGGAGCTAGTCGCATTCCATCGCTACCCATCTCGATCCTCGGGGGTGTACACATGTAGCGTAGCACCGGGCTACGAGTCGATGCCGCCCATCGGCAGACACTCCAAGTACCTGAGGGTTGGTTGCCGCTGGACAGTCTGCATGGTCTTCTCGCGCAACCACGATGCTGGGGGGCTGATAAGTCAAGAAATCCGAGCGCGATTCGACATGTCTCGCACACATCGGGACCACGACGGCAAGGACGCGCCTTGCAGTATCTGGGCAAGCCAGTGCCACTCAATCGCGGTATCTCGGCCCGGCGACGCCGATGCCGAGCGCCAGCTTCGCGTCTCCCCCATCGCTCTTCGCAGTGCCGCGTTCCATGCGCGCGATCGTCACCAAAAACCTTCCGCCCGCCCCATCCACCGACTCCGCTCCCAGATCTGCTGTCTATACCCGGCTCGGCTTGGCTCGCTTCCCTCCGCACTCGCGTTCGAGGCGCAATCGTCTGCATCTTTCCCGGCAAGCTCGCGGACGATATCCAACGGTGTTTACATTCGCAGCACACCCCCGGGATCCCGAGTCTGCACTGCGAATGGGGGGGCCCAGGGGGAGGTACTCCCCTGCGGATGCGAGGAGAGAACAACAAGCATCTCAGCGTCGGCGCAGTGGCTAGCGAGACGCTGCCACTCACTCGATAGAGGGGCACCGCGCTCAAAGGAATCAGGGACTATGCTAGCGGATGTGATTGGCCGTACGAGAAGACAGCGGCCGAAGGGTAATGATGGCTGTCGCGCGTTGCGGAGATATGTGAAGGAGGCACGCCGGAGAGAAGCTGTCGGCATATAGTGCATGCAGGTTACCGAGCGCAGCGAGGGCAGGAGGTCCAACGGATGGCAGAGCACGACAGGCGGCGACCTCAAGATATCTGCTCACAGTTGATGGAAGGTTCCGCAATACCTCGGTCGAGTCCATCCGTGGACTTGGGCTTGCCTACGCGCCATCGCTCACCTGCGTACCATTCACGGAGACACGGCAGAGACTGCGAGAAGGGGGGAAATTTTCCATTCGTCCATTTTCTCTTCCTTTCAAACGGATTCCTGACGCTGGTTATGACCTGACGACTTCTGACGTATACTCACGCACCTCGAGAGTGGGGGGCTTTGTGGGGATCCTGGCCAGAGACCCCATCCGGGTACTCTCGAGTCACGCTCGTACTAGTAGGATTTTCTTTCGCTCGTCTTTCACGTACATTTTAGATTAGATTAGATACTTCGCAGGCCGCAAGGCGGCCTGCCAGATTGGGAATAATCACTATCTCTACTCTTACCATCGTCTGCAGCTTGAACCAGCCTCCGCTAGGAGAGGCTTTGAGCAGCAGGCACCGGAAGGGTCGCCTCCCGCCTCGTCGTAGAGTATTACTCCGACGCGGGCACTCTCTTATTCGATCTCACGCGCGCGCGTCGTTACACGCGCACTACACGCTACCCGAGCGCTTCCGCGCCCGACCGTCGCCAACGGGCGACCACTCTGCTTCCGCTCCTACCCACTCGACTGGCGAGATCCCCACTCGCGGGCACAGAGCTCCCGCACCGTCTACCTGCTGGAACGGAAGGTCGTTCAACAGCGCCGGCTGGCGCTCCTGCCTGGGTGGCGGAGGAGCAAGCGACCGACGAACCCCGGACGCATCGCCTACACGCCCACATTATGCTGCCCCCGGATGACAAGGATCAGGCCTCTGGTTGCGCCATTCAGCCTGAGCCTCGTATCGGGCTTCAGGATAACCATTCGAACGCGGTCGACGAGGGACCGGCGACCGATGTCGATGCTGATAACGCCGCTGACTCTGTTCCCCTGCCTGCTATCCCTGAGGTGTCTATCATAGCCCCGACCCTTTTGGACCGTGAAGACGAGGTGCTTCCCAGGCGCGATCCCGCGGCCCCTCCGGCGAACTCTCGACCTCTTATAGTGGCGGCCCAGGAAGCTCGACTCGAGGACGCCGAAGAGCAGGATGGACGAGCGACGGGCACCGACGTCGGTCCTGATGATGAAAGTTCTGCGTCTGCCGCGGATCCTGCTTCCCCAAGTCCGCCTGCAGAGGATGGCTTCATCGACAGTCCCGAATCCACCGCCCCGGCTGCGCATGTGCAGGCCACGACCGAGGACGACCCCATTTGGACCCTCGTAGGCTGCCGTACGACCAAAGAGCTCTGTCCGGGAGCCCTCCAGCTCGTCATTGACGCCGGCACTGACGGCGAGGTCGGCGATTGCCAAGTCCTCCTTCGCGCGGACTTCAACGAGGCGATGGAGCGGCTTCCCGGGATCTGCGAACCCCGGAAGATTTGGTTGTCCCAGCTTCATTTGCGCATCGGCAGGGCTCAGGATCGACAGGGAGAAGATACGATGCTGAGGGTTATGCGCTGCCTCAAGCCTTATCTGCGCTTCTTCTCTGCCGTCCATCTCGACCTAAAGCAGGAATGCGACGTCGACCTGGACAGCTCGGGTCGATTCACTGAATTTTCCCACCTGCTATCCTTGCGCATAGAAGGACAGGCGAATCTGAACCATTTCCTATCTTTTCCGCTTCACAACCTTCGCTACCTCGACATCAAGGTTGAATTGGATTCCTATAGCATCTTGAAAATCATAGACCTTTCCAAGACGCTGGAAGTCCTGACGCTGGACTACGCCAGCGAACATTCTGCGGGTGGTACTCGTCCTACGAAGTCGCGGACGCAGGGCGTGCGCTTCCCGCCAGCCATGTTCATCACGACAGATGATCCTAAGGAGCTGTTCACTGTGGACCCCAAACCGGGTTGTAGCCACCCGACTTTTCACCCGATGAAAGCAGTAAAAAGGCCCATCAAACCGAGTGAACTCAAGGAATTTTAACCATAAGACACGGTGACTCGAGTAGGTGAAAGCACCCTGACAGCAGGGTGAATTGATGAGTGAAAGGAGCCCGGTGAGAACCCGCTGGTTGGGTGAATTACGGCGCAACCGGGTCTGGCCCGCGAGGCTGTTTTGCTGCTTACACAGCATTCAAATGTGCAGGGCTAGATATGAGAATACAAAATGTATAGAGGGCGAGCAGTAGAGACTATTGGGGCACAAGGGGTCGTACATAGGGATGCGCGGGAAGTAAAGCCACGCCGAGGGCGTGGGGACACCGCCTGAGGATGATGACGGGAAGGCATGCGTAGCCTGGCACGTGGTGCCCTTACAGTACTGGTGTATTGGGCACATATCTGCAATGGTGTCAGTACGTATGATGGGTGCACGTAGCTGAGCACGCACCTTAGCTGCATCGCGCTGGGGCTATGACGAGGGCCCACAACTTGTTTTCCGCGTCCTTCCCGCACCTCTTCCTCATCATGTCACGTCTTCCGGCACTTGCTCTCGCTCCGAGGGCGCGGCGAGTGGATGAACTTGAGGCGTCATGAGCCAGGAGAGTGGTAGAAGGAGACAACGAACGCTCCGCTTTGACCGCTAGACGTGGCGTCATCATTTTCGATGCATGTGACAGACGGACTTAGAGATTTCGTCGCGTCTGGCCTATGGCCACAAGTGAGCGTGTGGCCGACTTGTAGCAGCCGTGGACGGCCTTCCTCGTGCGTGATATCATTAACGCTGGTGCGTACATATTTATTTTGTATCTTCAGACCATTTTCTCTTGATTGCTGGCCACGGTAACACCGAAGGCAGAAGCGGGCCTCATGTTATGGCGGTGACACCACGAAAAGTTGGTAGCCGCACTCATCAGCAGCAAGTAATTGTATCGCAGTCACGAAAACCTCAGTCCTGCAGTAATCTATAGATGATAGCCCATAATATAATCAAAATACCTAATTCACCCTGTTTTTACCCTGCTCAACCATGTTTTAACCATCGCAGTGGGTGAATTTGGGACACGACCATGTTATCGGGTGAAGGCACCGGTGACTGTAACCCGGTATGGGGTCCACAGTGGTTTCCGCACTTGTGTGCGGCCGAGTCGATGTCAACCGATGTCCGACTTACGGTTTCGCGCTCCGACTCGTGCAGTCATGACGTCCGTCAGTTGTTCTCTCGACATGCTCACTGGCTTCTTCAAGTCTTGTAACGATCCTCGTATGAATGTATATGAACCGTATTCTGATAGCTGTGTATTCAAGACACCCATATATAATGTTTATGCCATGCCAGCCTGTACCAGCGTTGATGGGATCGCGCGCCTCCGAAGAAGTGACAAAGTCAAGCAAACTGTGCTCGACGACCTCCACACTGACACCAACAACCAAACAAACAACCAAAATGCAGAGGGTGTCACTCCGTAGGCAGCGCAGCGAGTCCGTTGTATTTGTATTGCTTGGGGATATAAATGACCTGCTAGCTTTCGAGCTTCAGGGAGTGAGGAAAGTACTCGTGTACCCCCATGGAAGCGACGATCGGGCCAGTTCCAGGCGCATTCGTGATGTATCTCAATATTCACATGGATCTTTCAGGAGCAATCCAAAGTATATCTCAGTTATCGCTGGTACAAAGTGCTAGAAGCGCTCTGAACTGTTTCTCTGTTCACAACCTAACCTGGCTGGTAGGGAACTACACAACCGCTCGAAGCGGAGGGGGAAGTCCCTGAAAGTATCTACAGTGGGGCCTTATATACAGATTCCCCTTGTAAGTATGAGTAAAGTACCATAAGTCATGACGGAGTTTAACCGAGGTCTCGGCAGGTAGCCGAGCGGAACTGGCTGATTGATTTCGTATATTTGGGCGCTTGGGCGGCGCGAATACACGTTCCCCGGACCCGCCGAAGGCAGATGCCGAAAATACCGCATATTTCGCCTTTTCTCGGATTTCTCTTGCTTGGCAGAGCGCCTTGCGTCGGATAGACATGCTATTCCTCATGCTTTCGCAGGGGAAGGGCTTGGGCGAGGGCCACAGCGCCCAAGGAGAGCAGCAGAGCACCTCCGAGTCGGAATGTCACGTCACGTCACGGTTCAACTTCGGCACGGTCACGTGACACGTGCGCGCCACTGGCGGGTAGTGGATCAAAGCTGCGTGTGCAGCCTCGCTTGGTCCCTGCCTCCGGTATATGATAGGAAGAACTGTCTCGAAGCCTGAACACGAGTAGATAGAACCAATAGAACAATGGGTATAGGGGTATATTGGACTGAGGGTGATGGCACGCTAGTACGCCTACCACCTGGATGATCCCCTCCTGAAGACTCGAGGGATGTCATCGAGCACACACAGATGGTCGGTCTGATGCACAAGAGCTCCGCTCTATCTTAGGGCAGTCCTGAAGAGGTTGTTCATGGTTTATCTCTTGTGCAGTTCAAGGTCCAGCTAATTCTCTCATAAAACCGAAGTAAAATACCTGCGACGCGCCCGTTGTACAGTCACGACGCCGCAATGGTATCTACAGGTCCGTATGAATGAGCCAGTATATAGCGCATATACGCCGGAAAATACACCTAAAAAGGCGATTTTAAAACCCCGGCGTATCAGCGTCTTCGCATATATGATGGCCCGAGGCGGTAAGTACAATGAAGGATCGAAAGGGTCGGGCTCCTCCCCTAGTTCAGTGTAAGGGTCATAGCAGAAGCACGTCAAGTAATCCATCTCGGGTGATTGTAGGAGAGCTGCGATATCGTCATTAGATTCGTGGTATAGCCAGCGGAATGCTAGCGTGCGAAGTCGAGCAGACGAGCGCCTAAGCATCGCACAAAGAGGGGATGCTTGTATGCCTGCGACACACATCTGCAATTGGTCTAGGCGCGGCGCCGTCAGGCCTCCAAAGAAGTTGGTCCAGTCGTACATGCCAGACAGGATGAGAGTGCGCAAATGTAGAAGCATGACGGGAGTCGGAAGCTTTGGAAACAAGCGCCCGTCATCTAATCCTGGAAACTTGTCCGGTGCTGGCTTAACGTTGGCACGCAGGACTTCTAGTTGGGGACATTCCTGAAGTAAACCCATGATCTCGCCAGCCATGATGCTGTTGACGCCGACATGAGTGAGCCGATGGAGAAGGGATGGCGGCGCACTGAAGCGCTGGCAGTACCACTGCACCTCCCTTATCGTCGGAGAAGCGTGGAACTTCGTCCACAGTCGGACCGTCGGCGACCCCTCCCAGGCACCCCCATGAAGACGAAGCATGGCTCGCTTCAAAGAGACAAAGGAGTCCTCCGGAAGCTCAAGTAGAGGCGCCATCATCTCGCAGACCGTTGGGGGCTCGTACTTCATGATGATAGAGATCTCGCCCCAGCGATGCGCGGAGCTGGCGACAAGCTCCATGAACTGCACGCAGACTTTGGTATTCCGAAGACGGCTGGGCGTAAACATGTAGTCGTTGATGCGGAGCGCGAGCGGCACGCCCTGCGAGTGCTTGAGACCGAGCCTCAGGGCGGCGACGTCGCATGGCTGTGGCAGCGCGACGTCGATCACTGTCCATAATTGAGGAGTCCCGCGTGTGACGGTGAACCAGAGTGAGCACACGCGTCCGAGTTTCACGGTAGCCTGGATGTAGGAGAGCGTCCTGACAGATGTGCTGGTAGGGTCCATCCGCTCGTCTCGCGGGTATGCGAAGAGACCGTTCGGATCTCCGCACATCATGAAGATGGTGCACAGCAGCTCGGTTGGCAAGCGGTTTATGACGCAGGGAGAAAGAGACTGTTTGGCCCTCACTGTGCATTGATGTCAGTACTGATTTTCAGCGGCAACACCGTAGCAACCGTCGCACCATTCGTAGGCATGGACTGCTCTACACCTCCTGTAGCCGGAAGGCTGACGATTGAAGCACCGTAGCGCGATCTCGTCGAGTTTTCCAGGGGGTTATCCACTGTCAGGAAATTAGCGATGGCGAAGGCGATAAATGCGTCGACGTACTCATTCGCTTCGCTCGTAGGCCAAGAGTGCGGAGTATGTGACTGGGAGCCCTGCTCCCTCGTCGTCAGCTCACCTTATGAGAGCTTTCATACCGATGGAATCGATGCCGCTCTCGGAGGAAAGACAATAAGGAAAACAATTGGCTGATCCGGGAAGCAGAAGATGACTTCGAGCCAAAGCCAACGGGGTTCGGGAAGGTATCATTTCTCCGAGTCGCTATTGTGAGATCCCTCTGGCGGTACGACATAAGAATCTTTCGCAGCGAGTAGTTGCTATGCACGAGCGAACTTCGGTCTCATTGATGGTGGCCAGCGTCAACCACCGGCTGCGGCATTGGCCGAATAGCTCGGCGAGCACGTGTCGTTTCTCACGGGGGCCCGTACACCTCGCCTTCTTCCCACCATCATCTGCATAGTTCTATGCCCTGACAAAGCGACATACTTGACTTCTCGTTGAAGAGAAGAAGCCATAGACATCCTTCGACCGCTCCTGAGCCGCATGCCCACGCATAATTTACTGACAACAGTGCCTCGGGCTAATCTGAATGCTGCCTACGCTTTGCGTGTTCCCCGTCGTGCCCGCTGATACTATAGTCTTTGGTTCTGACCATAGCATCTAGCTCTTGGTGACCCCCGATACCGCACAATGGTGCCGCCAATCTGTAAGGGCATCGTTGCCTCATATGGGCATGCTTGTTCTCCTGTAACGACGCGGTTGACATAGCGATCGCACATCTACTCACCCCTCGTTTCTCCCACGATTCTACTGAATGTCCCCTTTGTTCCCTGTACGACGAGACAAGACTTGCCGCTTTCATTCCAAATTTCCCTATTCGCGTTCAATGGGCGACGACGACTGTTATGCACTTAAATGCTCGAAGGTGAAGCCGTTGACCCTCAGAAACGACCGCCTCTTTTACGACTCAGAACGCCTTGTACCGATTACGCCCTTTACGTCGCTTGTTAACGAATCGGACGCTTACGTCGCCTACGTTGAACACGACCTACTGCACGGTTTCTCGGTGAGTCCGTGTCGCCACAATGTGACCGGGCCACAAAGTCATTAACTGGCACGCGTAGAGACATACACGCCCTCTACGACTTCCTTTTCTGGATTCAGACTCAGGACTTGCTTGGATTTCTTGAATGGAACCAAAACGCCACGGTCTGTTCTGCAGGCTACGTTCTGGCGTGCGCAGGCTCGCACGTCGAGAGGGAGATCGAGGTGCCTCTCACGACAGCGCCTCATTGTCCTCCGATGACACTCTTCATGGACCATATCTCAACATCAACATTCACGGCTCTGATGAATCGAATTCTACCGCATTCTTATCTAGTACATCCTCATCGACGACAACGCGTTCTGAGGCTATCCTCACCCCGACGGCTTCTGAGCAGTACTCTGTAGATCCTCGGGACCCCGATCTTCGCAGGATCCGAGATACACTCGATTCCATCAGGGGCGCTGGCGCCTCGCAGCCAGGCTCGTCGATGCCGGGAGAGCGGGATGGATCCTCCTCGACCCATGACGCTGGAGGACCTTCTCTTGCTCCTGTCACTGAGGAGGCCGCCTCGCAAGCCAATCCAGGGACGCAATATCCTTCGCCTGCAGTCCCTCGCGTTGACAATGCAGCACCGCCGTCGATACTACCCTCGAACCCCGGGCCGTCATCCGCGGCGCCAATGCCAGTCCAAGGGCAGACCGCTGCAGCCACAAGCATCGGCGGCCACTCAAGCAGTGCCCCGACGCGTCCCCCACGAAATCCCGAGCGGGCCCAGTCCGTCGCTGCTCGTGACGCGGGGGAACCTCTTGTCGCTCCCAACACCGGAGAGGGCAGCGCGCAAGCAAATCCCGAGCCCCAGCCTCCGTCGCCTACCCCGACTCGCATCGAGTATCCGACCTCGCCGCCACTCGTGACTGCCTCACCCTCACCCTCACCCGAAGCGTCGGAGTCGGCGTCGGCTGCACCGCAGCCCGCGATCTTTGACGTCCTACGGCTCCTCTCCTACATTGCGGATACCCTCTTCACCATCAGCGGGCAGCTGGATGCCAACAACAACATACTCGTCGAACGCATCAACGTTACCTCTGGCCATAGCTATAGAATCCTTGGGGACATCGTTCAAGCTACGCAGAGGCGCGGCGGGAGGTCCGCCACGCTTTCATCGTCCTACGAGGCCCCCTCAGGGGCTTCTGGAGCTCTGCCGCCTGAACCACCCGAGGTAGTCTCGGGCATCCCTGCTGGGAGGGCGGAAACTCCTCAGCCTGAGCTGATCGCAGATTCGGAGCAATCACCATACGTTCCCACCGAACTCGACACTCCTCATGATGATGTGCCGGCGAGTTTGTCCATCGATATCGTCGAGGAGGACAACGAACTTCTGCCTGTTGACCTTGGAGGCGGAGGCGATGCGCATGCGGCCGAGGCTGCGACCGCGCCGGCTCAGGCTCTCGACCCCATGAACGGGCCTCTCGACGAGAGCGAGGTGCGCGAATACGCGACCGGAATTCACGAAGACGCGGCGACGCTTGCCAATGCCGCTGGAGTTCTCTCTCAACCCGATCAGGTCGTCGGTGCTGACGTCGGACAGGCGGATGGCAGCCAGGAGCCAGCTGCACCCTTTGAGGCGCTACCCTCAGCCTCAGACGTCGCATCGCTCAGTGACGACGACTCTGAGCGCTCGGTCATGGAGCCGACGGCCGCACCCGACGAGGGTCCCATCGACACCCTCGTAAGCTGCCGCTCGACCAACGAGTTTTGCCCAGGCACTTTGCAGCTCATTGTCGACGTCGGGACCAATGGTGTAGTTCGCACCGGTGACAAGCTCTTCTTCCTCGGTGACTTCGACGAGGCTATCAACCGACTTCCCAGTATCTGCACCGCGCGCGATACTCAATGGTCCAAGCTGCACCTTCGAATCGGTCAGTCGGAAGAACGCAATGGTCAGGACCCTATGCTCAGGGTTTTGAGCTGCCTCAGGCCGTTTCTGCGCCGCTTCATCGGGGTTCACCTTGTCATGGATGTCGATCGCGAAGTTCAAGGCTCGGAGCGAGGCAGTTTCAATCTCGATTTTCTGTGCCTCCGTTCCCTGTGTGTTGAGGGTAAGATAACCCGTAATCGCCTGCTCGTATTCCCCCTTCACCAACTTCGCCATCTCAACATCCAATCGAAGCTAGGCGCTGCTGTTGTTTTAGATGCCCTTGACCGCTCGAAGCTGCTGGAAGTTCTATCGCTTGACGTTCGAAGCCTAGAGGGACGACAGTCTAATCTCGTAGGCGCTATCGAAGGGCCTCTGGTACTGCCACAGTATATTCACTTTCCGCCCGCCATGTATATCATGGTGGACGAGCTCGTCCCGCTCGTGCCGCAACTGGTTCAAGCTGCCGAGACGACGACGACGGACCTTCGTCTCCGGGTTGCAAATCCAGATTCATGCTCTACCGAGATGGAGAGGCTATTCGATCGGCGGAAAGATTGGGTTCTTCGCAGTGGCCAAAATTAAACGAAACCCGTAATGCGATGTAGTATTGAAATGAAGATGTACGTTTACGCTACGCTGTGCTTAGCAGATATTCAATGAACGACATGCATTTTCCATATCCTCGTATGTCTTGGTCAGTGAGTGTAAATGAGGGGGTAAGTATGGGGAAGGGTCGAAGTGGTCAGGTTCAAGGTCATATCCGTCATATCCGTAATAACGAAGTATCATCAGGCCCTGCAATTCGTTACTTCGCAGAAGAGTTACGACATCGTCGTGGTGTCCAGGGTATATCCATTGCAGGCTAAGTGCCCGCAGACGCGCCGATGCGCGCTTCAGCATGGTGAGGATCGCCTCTGCCTGAAGACCTCCCATACTGATATCCAGGCGATGTAGATAGGGAGGCGTTATTCCGCCGAATAGATTCGACCAGTCTGACATGCCTCTGAGCATGAGGATGCGCAGTTGCGGCAGCTGTATAGGAGCCGGGAGGGTGGGAATGAGGTAGCCGTCGTCCGTGCTGGGGTATATGTGCGGAGACGGCTTCACCACCGCTTGGAGTACTTGCACCTGAGAACACGCGCGAAGAAAGCTCATGATTTCTTCAGCGTAGATCAAGTCCACTCCCACATGGGTCAATCCTTGGAACGTCGCCGCCGGGGGTATGGGAGTCGCGTGGGACCACTGTGCCACACGAAGTACGGGTGACATGTAGAACACCTCCCAGAGACGTGAAGCCGTTGCGCGACGCGCATCAGTCCTGCCGAAGCGCAGAATGGCTCGCGACAAGGACGTGAACGAGTCGCGCGAGAGTTCAAGCAGGGGCTCGACCAGATCCGATACGGAAGGAGGTTCGTGTATCACGATGATGGAAATTTCCTCCCAACGACAGGCGGACGCCGCAACGAGGCTCATGAACTGCCGACAAGCCTTTACGCTCCGAGTGTTGCTATTTGTATGATAGAAGTCGTTCAGCCTCAGCGTCAGGGAGAGGCCCTTGGAGTACTCGAGACTGAGCTTCAGGGCTGCGACGTCGCAAGCTTGAGGTAGCGGGATATCGATCAGCGTCCAGAGCTGAGGACAACCGCGCGTGATTGTGTGCCAACGCCAGCAGACGCGGTCGATGATCATCGTCTCCCGAATGTAAAATGACCCTCTCCAGCTGTGGTGCAGTCTATGAGGGTCCGTTTGTTCGTCCCGCGGGTAGTCAAAGAGTTCGTTCGGGTCGCCGCACATCAAGAAGATGGCGCACAGCACCTCTGTAGGCAAGCGATGGATATAGCAGGGCTGGGGTGCGAGCTTGTCCTTCTTGCGCTTGTGACGCGCGATGACCACTGTATATGGCGGCAATGAGTGATCAATCGGAATCTCGAGCGTAAGACCTACCTTCCAAGGGTACCGAGTGATCGCCGTACGCAGGTGCGATGCCTACCTCATCTCAGAACAAGGTCATTCTCAATGCGGACGCTCACTTACCAGGCGGGCCGACGACGAGATACTTGCCCTCCGAGGACAGCACCGAAAGTCCCTTCAGCTCCTCTGCAAGCATATCCAGCGTCCGCATGATCGTGATTGGTCGGAAAGACTGACCGGGAATCTCCTTCAGAGAATCCTTGGCGAGGAAGGCGAGTTCTACTTCCGCATTAGGTTCTGGTGGGGCCGCGCTTTGTATCGACGGAGGAAGACAGCCTGCTGAGATTCCGTATAAGCACCGTACATTACGCAGGAGCAGCCGGGACGTACAACTGGTAGCAATGATTAGAGGCAGCTCAGAGGAAGGGCGCACGTTCTGCGTTTGGGACATGACGAAGGTGAATATAGTCGAAGACAACGGTGATGTAGGCGTGCTTGAGTTCAGCTCGTCTGGCGTGCGGGTACTTCGGAGTTGAGGGACGTGTTGCGCGGCCCTCTCTGTCCCACTCTAGGATCCTTTTGAAGGGGCATCTGCCTTCGGCGCCACGGACGGTTCCTACCCGAAAGACAATAAGGAGCACTCGGTAAGTACATCATCGTTCAGAAAGACGCAGCAAAATGATCAAAAGCGGCGTTGCTATGCTGTTATTGTTCTATGAACATTCTCGCGCGAAGTCTCTGAAATCGCGAAGGGGCCACGAGGGTGAAAGCCAACCGCCGACAGTGATACGGTGTCCAGGTCGTCCGCGAAGCACGCCGGAGCACGTGCGCCGCGCGTGGCGTCTCCTGACGCAATAATTCAACCGTGACGAAAGATTCCTTCGCTACGTAGAATGCCAAGAGCTTCAGCCACATGGGTCACAAATCATCCGAGGAGAAGGAGCAGGAAACACAGGAAACTTGCTAGCCCTTCACCGTCGGCAAGGACGGCCGCGCTGACTACGATGCGGTATCACTACCTACGCAACGCAAGATACGCTTGTTCCGTGGCTTCGTACGTTCTAGTGAAAGCGACAAGATTGAAGGGCAAGTACGGAGAAAAGTCGAAGCGATCCGGTTCGCGGTGCACGCCATCGTAAGGGTCACAACGGAAGATTTTCAGCTGCTTTAGCTCGCGGCTCTGGAGAAGGGCGATAATTTCGTCGTCATATCCAGGATATATCCAGCGCAGAGCCAGCATGTCTAGATATGCAGATGAGCGCCTCAACATGGCGCATATGGGACCCGCTTGAACACCTGCTATGAAGATCTCAAGGCGACGCAAGTTTGGCGCCGTAATCCCATCGAAGAGATGCGTCCAATCGTGGATGCCTCTGAGGGTGAGAGATCGTAAATGAGCCATATAGATAGGCGGGTGTGCCGTTGGTATCAGGTACCCGTCCTCTCGCTCGGGATATATGTGCGGAGCTGGTTGCACTACGGCTTGCAAAACCTGAAGTTGAGGACATGAACGAAGGATCTCCACTATAACCTCCGGTCGAAGAGCATTCGCACCTAGATGCGTGAGCCTGAGGAGAGTAGAGGATGGTGGGTTGAGATCGGGGAGATGGTACCACTGGGCGACATGCAGGACAGGTGACCCATAGAATACTTGCCAGAGGCGCGAGGCTACTGTGCTACGAGAGTCGTCACCGTGGAAGCGGAGCATCGCTCGCTTCAGGGAGACAAAGACGTTGCGAGGAAGGTCTAAGAGGGGGAGGACCATAGCGTGTATCGTCGGAGGCTCGTGCACCATGATGATAGATATTTCCTTCCAACGAGAGGCAGAAGCAGCGACCAGAGTCATGAACTGCCTACAAGCTTGCACGCTGCGGCGTTCCTTTGCCGTGTAATGATAGTCATTGAGTCGTAGCGTGAGGGGGAGGTCCTTCGAATACTTAAGACTAAGTTTCAGGGCAGCAACATCGCAGGATTGCGGTAGCGGAATGTCTATCAGCGTCCAGAGTCGAGGACATCCTCGCGTGATCGTGTACCACCGCCAGCAGACGCTGCCAATGAGCATCGTTTCACGAATGTAGAATGACGCCCCGTAGTTCCTGTAGACGCTCATAGGCTCCGTATGTTCGTCCCGCGGGTAGTCAAAGAGTTTGTTCGAGTCGCCGCACATCAGGAAGATGGCGCACAGCACCTCAGTCGGCAGTCGATGAATGTAGCAGGGATGGGATGCGAGCTTGTTCTTCCTGCGCTTGTGTCGCGCGATGACCACTGCGGGCGACGGCGATGAGCAAATAAGTAGAGCGCCAAACATGGGATCTACCTTCCAAGGGTACAGAATGATCGCCGTACGCGGGCGCAACGTCTATAACCTTTCAGCGAAAGTACGGAGCAAGCAGGAGAACCGACTTACCGGGTGGGCCGACAACGAGATACTTGCCCTCCGAGGACAGCACCGAAAGGCCTTTCAGCTCATCTGTAAGCGTTGTAAGCGCCCGAATCATCGTCAGAGTTGGAAAGACTTACCGGGGACATTTCGCAGGGAATCCTTAGCAAGGAAGGCGAGTTCCACCTCCGCCTCAGTTTCAGGTAGGGTTTGGTCTTGCATCGCCGGGGGGAGGCGACCTGTAGGTGTTTGTATCAGCCCCGTGAGGGCCGTGAGAGAGCATGAGGACGTACTATCGACAGCAACGATCTGAGGCAGCTCAGAGAAAGAGCGCGTGCTTTGTGTTTGGGACACGGCCAATGAGTGAATATTGCCGAAGAGTTATGCGTGTTCGAGTCCAGCTCGCTTGTTGCGCGGATTCTCCAAAGATGGAGGACGTGTTGCGGCGCCTTCTTCATTCCCTCTGGGGTCTTTTTGAGGGCCCTCCGCATCGGCGACATGGACGGTACGTCCCGAAAGACAATAAGGAACACTCGGTAAGCCCATCGCCGTCAAGAAGGCCACAGCAAAAGAATCAAAAGCGGCGTTACCATGCTGTTATTGTCTTATGAGCATTCCGGCGAAGTCTTCGTAGGAGACATGAGGGTGGAAGTCAGCCGCCGATACGGCGTCCTCCGAGCAACGCGCCAATGCACGTGCGCCGCGCGTGGCATTTACTTCAACCGTGACAATGTATTCCTTCGCTGCCCGGAAAGCCTTGCGCCGCAGTCCCACGCGCCACGAATTATCAGAGAAGTGGGAACAAATGATAAATAAATCTTGCGAGGTCCGAGTTCTTCAACATCGATAAAGATGGCTGCATCGACTACGATTGGGTCACATTATTCAGTATCTACACAGTGAACGATACGCTCGTTCCGCAGCTTCGTACGTTCTGGTGAATGCGACAAGATTCGGTGGCAAGTAAGAAGAAGGATTGAAGGACTCCCGTTCGCGTCCTTCATGTGGCTCATAGCGAAAGACTTTGAGCTCCTCTAATTCTCGGCTGCGAAGGAGCGCCACAATCTCGTCGTCCCACCCCGGCCGTACCCAGCGAAGAGCCAGCATGTCGAGACGCGCAAACGAGCGGCTCAACATAGCACTTATCGAGATGGCCTGGATACCCGCGAGGGCCATTTCCATCCGGCTGATGTTGGGTGCCGTGATCCCGTCGAAAAAGCGCGTCCAGTCGTACATGCCGCGAAGCGAGAGAACTCGAAGATGAGGAAGGTGTATAGGTGCCGGCAGCGTCTGAATGAGGTGACCATCGTTCCTACCGACGAATGCGTCCGCAGGCTGGACGACCGCTTGCAGGACTTGCAGTTCGGGGCAAGCGCTGACGAGCGCCATGAGATCCTCGGGTAGGATGACTTCTATGCCCAGGTGAGTGAGGCGTTGGAAAACGAGCGACGGGGCATCGACGAATACGTAGAGCCACTGCACGACGCGAAGCGCAGGCGACGCCTAGAGCATCTGCCAGAGGCGGGACGTAGTTGTGTGGTTGAAGTCGTCCGCGAAGAAGCGGAGCATTTGCCCTTCATGCGCAGTGGATCTGGGGGGTACGAAATTTGACGTCGAGTCCATAGAATAGATACATGTACTCTACGCGTTGCCAAATGCATAAGACACCAATGTACTTTAGGTCAATAAATCTCTTCAGACTCGTACTTTTCTTCGAATTCTTCATAGGTCTTCGTGTACAAGACGACCGCAGGTGGGAGATACGGTGAGGGGTTAAATAAGTCTGGCGACCGCCTACGACAAGGGCCATCGTACGGCTGATAGCAGAAGACCTTTAGCAGCTGCAATTCATGGCTTCGAAGAAGAGCGGCGACTTCTTCGTCGTTCCCCGAATACAGCCGCCGTAGGGCAAGCGCGTCCAAATGTGCCGACGAGCGCCTCAGCATTGCGCTGATCGCTTGGGCCTGTACACCGGTCGTAGACAGACCAAGCCGCCGGATCTTTGGTATGGCGATACTCTCGAAGAAGCGCGACCAGTCGTGCATTCCTCTAAGCTCCAGGAATCGCAGACGCGAGAGGATGATGGGCGGTGATTTGATCGGGAACAAGTATCCGTCATCTTCACCCACAAATACACTCGGTTCAGGGGTGACGACAGCCTGGAGGGCCTCGAGATGAGGACATGCTGTGAGGAGCTTCATGATCTCGTCGGGCTGTATGTCATCTATGCCGATGCGAGTAAGATGGTGGAGAACAGATTCAGAAGCGCTGATACGCGTGTAGAACCACTGGCAAGTCCTGAGGACGGGGGACGCATAGAACAAATCCCACAGGCGCGTTGTCGTCGACCTGTTAGCACCGTCTGACTCGAAGTGGATCATTGCTTGCCTCAGACAGCTATAGGATGCGCGTGAAATCTCCAAAAGTGGATGGACTATATCGGGTGTCACGGAACGTAGAATGATGGATATCTCTTCCCAGCGAGAGGCGTACGCAGAAACAAAGCGCATGAATACCGTGCAAGCGACAGAACCGCTACCATCTTGGGACCTGACATGGTAGTCATTGATCCGAAGCGTGAGCGGAAGATTGGCGGAGTACTTCAGACTGAGTCTGAGCGCGAAGATATCACAGAGCTTCGGCCGCGGCACGTCAATCATCGTCCAGAGCTGTGGGCAGCTACGCGTGGTGTGGAACCATCTTGAGCAGACATAGCCGATGGTCACGGTCGCCCAGCTGTAAAAGTGTGTCCTGTTCTGAGATTCCATCTTGTCCGACGACTCGTTTCGCGGGTACGAAAAAAGCTTGTTCGGGTCGCCGCACATCATGAAGATGGCGCATAGCAGCTCCGTCGGCAAGCGATCGATGAAGCATAGGTGGGGTGAGACCTTGATCTTAACAAATGCAGGACAGGGCCTTACGCCATTCACTGTCGAAGATGGTTATTACAAACAAAAACACTGTAGGAAAAGGAATACCCCAAGAGATACAATGATTGCGGTACGGTGGCGTGTAATATACTGCTCAGAAATGAGAAGAGAAGGGGGGCGTGTAGGAGACAGAGCTCACCACGAGCAGACGGATCAATGAGTATGGTTTTGCCTCCCCCAAGCATCACACGCAGCCCCTTCATCAAGCCTTGAAAACGCGCATTAAGCATTCAGCTGATTGATCGTAGTACGTACACTCACTCAAATCTCCATTCACAGAGTCCCTGACGGCATTGGTCTCCGCTACCTTCGATTGAGCCGGGGATGGTGTGGTAGTCTGCATCGTAGAGGGAGTATGGTCTGGTTCCAACGTTAGTACTGGCAATGCGGAAGAAGAACGAACGCACTGGAAGCGTCTCCCAATTGCGGAAGCCCTACAATCGACGCGCCATAACGAGAGCGCACCTTATCCGGGCTACTGGCAGACATTCCTGGTGACTGGATATCAGATACTCCCGTCTAGATCGCCTGTTGTACTTCGGACTTACGAGGTTGTTGCACAGTCACTTGAAGACAGATCTTGGCGAGGATGGTGGTAAAGGGAGCGAAGGGCGGAGGATTCCTGCGCATCCGGAGACACTGTCCTTTATGGGGACAGCAGATTCGCCGACGAGGATTGATTGTTCTTGCCGAAAACAATAAATGAAGTTCGGCGAACTCATCATCATGGCAGCAGGAATTGTCATGAATATGCTGCTATTGTCCACGGCACACGCCGGGAGTGTCAGAACATCTGCAGCAATGCCATCGAAATGTATATGGGCCGAAGGTCGGCCGTAGAGGTTGCAATCCCCGAGCAGCACGCCGGGCACGTACCACGATCGAACGTCAGATCCCCTCACCGCGCCCATAATAAGGATCACAGTAGATTATGTGTGCACGAGACCAGCCCTCTTGTTGCGCAAGTTCCACGAGGATAAATTAGGGTGCGGTACGGTGCCCTCATCGCCTCCACTGGGGTCCTTTTGGGGGAGCATTCACTTCGGCGACATGGACGGTTCCTACCAAAAGACAATAGGGAAGCCTCGGTGAGCGCATCACCATCGAGGAAGTCATAGCAGAAGGATCAAAGGCGGCGTTGCTATGTGACTCCGTTATTGCTCAGTGAGGTTTCTGGCGGTGGGTCCGAAGGAGCCATGAGGGCGAGGGTCAACTACCACTACGGCATTTTCCGGGAAGCACCCCAGTGCGCCGCATGGCTCGTGAGAAATTGTAGAGGTCAGCACGCGATAGCAACGCGTTACTCCAACCGTGACAGTATACTTCTCCGCAGCCCAGAGAGCCGCACACCGTACCCGGAGGTCCGCGAATCTCTCCAATTGGGAGAAGTAGGACATAAAGGAAGCGACATGACATTGGCGTATAGATAACTTAAAAGTGCTCGAGATTAGTAGATCCCGAAAGAATCATGAGTACTTCGCTTCGAGCTCTTCATATGCCTTCGTATACATTACTGGTGGTGAGATACTACACAATCAGTGCAGTGCTATCAGCGCACTTTTGTCTGGCAAAGGTCACTGGGGCAGGTTTCGAGAGGTCGCTGCTGGTGAAGCTGAGGCCACGGACGTCGTCTTTTATGTGGGTGATCGCTTCGCTAGCAATGTAGCCGCGATACAATAGTGATCGCCCGGCGACCTGTCTCCGTATTGACGGAAGGACATAGCTCGATCGCCGTTATTATGTAGCCACCCGCCCCAATTGTGCCTCCGAAAGACGTACCGTAATGATGAGCCCGTGGCAGCTGAAGTCGACCATCGGCTACGACATTTACCATGGCTTGCGAATTGCGTTGAACCGGCGCTCGAAAGTCTTCGGTTTCGTTGCTTCTGTAAGTTGGTCGGGGGGATCAGGGGAACGGCGCGCCTTCGACGAGGACGACGGAGCGAAGGTCAACCTGTGATATCCGACATCACAATTGTGTGCGGTAGGGCCTGGTCTCATGTTCGAAACCGGATACTCGCAAAGCAAGCTTTCAGAACCGCCGAAAATGCCTTATCATGGAGTCGTAATTGCATGGTGGGCATAGTAAGGTACATACATCTGCGCCAAGTGTGATGGGGGCGAGTGAGAGACAGCATAAGCGACGGCGAGGTAGCGCAACCCCACGGTGCAAGGTCAACGGCGAGGCAGCGTGAACCGGCGCCACCTGGGCGGGCCGGATTAAGCAGCGATCCGTTTAGATGTACGTCTCGTATGGGACCGGACGCATCGTCTGCGGGGTGTTGTCGGCGACGGTGATGGTGTGGGCCTCGCGGGGGAGGGTAGGCTGACGGCGGAGGTTGATGCGCTCTGTGAAGAAGACGGATGAGCTTGTGTTCAGCAAAGCAGGGTCGGATATACGCACCGCCCTTCTCCTTTGCCGCGGTGCGCTTTTCGTGGTTCGCCTTGACGCGGTCGATGAACTCTTGCCGGCACTTGGAGTGCTTCACGTGCTCGACACGGAGGTTGACGCGCTTTTCAATGTAGCGGTTGCCAACGACCTTGTAGACGATCACACCGACGGCGTGCGGGGTGACGTTGTATACGATACCCGTGCGGCTGAGGAATGGATCTGGGTTAATCGCGCGTATGTGTGAATTGGCAAGTAAACGCACCCGTGGTAGTACTTGTGCGGCATGCCCTTCTGCTGAGCAGCGTTGGCCTTGATGTCAACGATGTCGCCCACCCGGTAGTTGATGAGGTACGTCGACAGTTTCACGGGGCCGTGGTCTACATATCGTTAACACCTAGACTTCCAGCACTAAGTCATTAGACGCACCCTTGAAGCCCCGCTTGAACATGTCGCGCGTACGCGCGCGGTAACCGAATGAGTGGGGCATCTTGAGGACTGCTCAGCGTACGATCAGCGTTCCGGACGTCGGTCGAGCAGCAATTCCACACACGTTCGCCTTGGGGTCGTTGATGGCAGCGCCGGCGACCTCAGCGATCGCTCTGCCATCTCAAACTGTACAGAGTTCGGCAAACCCCGAAATGTGGCTCACATCACGTGCTGTCCTCCCGCCGCTCTCCCTGATCGTGTGCTCCGCCGAGGACAGTCGACCCCCGTCAAGAACAAGATGCCCAGGTAATGTCCGTCGTCGCTGTTGTATGCGTTGTGCTGATGGTCGTACAGGGCGCCGCGGAAGCACAGCAAGACGTGAGTGTCGTCGTTCATGCAAGATCCACGCGATGTGGAGGGATATACAGGAGAGCTAATTTTTGGCCCTGTCCCATTACAGTTACAAGGTCCCCCGTCGTCCCTTCGAGTCGGCGCGTCTCGATGCTGAGCTGAAGGTGCGTGTCGTGACCTTTCCTATCTCATCGCGTCCTCATCCCCCTACAGCTCGCAGGCGAGTATGGTCTCCGCAACAAGCGCGAGATCTGGCGCATCGCGCTCACTCTTTCCAAAATCCGTCGTGCTGCTCGTGAGCTGCTCAAGCTCGACGAGAAGGACCCGAAGCGTCTCTTCGAGGGCAATGCCCTGATTCGCCGTCTTGTGCGCATCGGTGTGCTCGACGAGAGCCGCATGCGTCTCGATTACGTGCTCGCGCTCAAGATCGAGGACTTCTTGGAGCGCCGTCTCCAGACCCAGGTTTTCAAGAGCGGCCTTGCCAAGTCCATTCACCACGCGCGTGTGCTCATCCGCCAGCGCCACATTCGGTATGATAATTCTATCTCGAGGAAGTATTGCTCAGACTGACGCGTTTCTTCAGTGTCGGCAAGCAGATCGTCAACGTGCCCTCCTTCGTCGTCCGCCTTGACTCCCAAAAGCACATCGACTTCTCGCTGACCTCGCCGTACGGTGGTGGCCGCCCGGGTCGCGTCAAGCGCAAGCGCATTGCCGCTGCTGCCAAGCGCGAGGAGGGTGGCGACGAGGAGGAGGAGGAGTAAATCACTCGCCAATCTCGGGTGCCCTAGTTGTATTCCATTCGCCTCGCTATGTATCATGTCCACGATATGCTGTTATGGTGCAACATTCATATGCCATCTCCCCCATGCTTGTATCGATATCAACGGAAGTCTTTGAACTTGCCTGGTCTGCGGGTCGTTGCATGGTTTGGCGTTGAGGGGCGAAGGACAGCAAAGAGGTTGGTCTGCATTGGTGAGCACGGCGCCCGGGATGTTCGACCCAGTCCTGATCTGGAGCTGCACCGCCGGGCCGCGGTCCTGACCAGTCTTGACCTTGATCTGCTCGCTTGCAATCCTCTGCCCGTCGGTTCGCACGACAGCAGCCATGGCAGCGTCCCAGCTCACCTCACGCCTTGGCTCCACCGCCCTTCGAGAAACGGCTAGCAGGCCCAGCTCACGCGACACCCTCCATCGCCGCCGCCCCTGATCGCCCCACGACATCATTGCTTGCCCATGACCTCCACGCCCACCAGCGCCATGCCCGCCTCGCGCTCTGCCCTGCTTAGCGCCGCAGAGAAGTTCTGCACGGCCTTCGCCTCGAACACGCCACCCGACGAGCTCGTGGGATACTTCTCCACGCTCTACCAGCCGACGGCGCTCGAACACGGCGAGCCCGCGCTTGCGCCCTTTATCGGCCGCCCCTTCGTCGGGCTCGCCGCGGTGCTGAAGTACTTCGAGCTCCTCGCGAGCCTGCTCACCTACGAGAACATGGACTTCTCGAGCTTCGTCGTCGACCCGGAGGTGCGAAGGGTGGCGTGCCGAGGGCGCGCGGTGTTCAAGTGGCTGAGCACGGGGGAGAGCTGGGACGAGACGTTCGCGTACATCATCGATTTCGACGAGGGCCTGAAGGTTACGGACTACCAGGTGTGGGCGGATTCGGGGGCCGCGTATCTTGCGAGCCAAGGGAAGCTGAACGAGGTCAGGGAGAAGGTGCGTATATCGAGTGCGGGTAGTGATCGGGCCGGTGGCTGATTCTCGACTTAGGCGCCCAAGGTTGGCATGGAACAGAAGGGTCCATGAAGCGAGTGTTCATGAGATCGACTATGTATTGGTATGCTCTGTATATAGGTATGCAGTGATCCTTCCGTCTTTCACCGGTTGCTTATCGACGACGTCAGCCCTTTTACTCCAATTGTACTCTACTCACGATGCGCTGTTTTGTATACTTTGAAAGCCCAGTTCTTCCGCCCGGACACAGCTGTCTATAGTCGAACCCACGGTCTACGAATGCCCGCACGTTCCACTGTGTTCCGACACCTCGGGGAAGCTCGCGAAGGCGAGGTCTTCCGGTTCGAAGCGCAAGCCGCCTGCTACCAGGGCAGACAAAGTTCATCAGCTATCGGAAGATCCTCCGTCTGTCTCGGCAGGCGTATCTCTTCCTCCAGTCTACCGGTGCGTCCCATGTTCTGTCTAGCTGAACCTTGTGAGCGCACGAAAACGTTAACCTTGGTAGTCGAAGGGAGGTATGCTCGACCGGACAAGGAAGCCATGCGCTTTCGACTGAGAACCGGAGAGATGCATGTATGCGACTCCGCGATGGATGGATGGACGTTTGGAATGTGGCGCGCTGGATAGGGCTTCTTCGTCCGAACGCAGTCCGTGCTCAGACCTCAGAGGCGCACCTGCTCATTGTAGCCACTCCGAAGAACATCGGAGTCGACGCCCAGCTAGAAGGTGAGAGCATCGATGCTCGCGCCCACGGCGTTCCCGATTCTACCGTGGCGCGCTCGTTGAACACCTTACCCGCAGGACGATACCTCAGGATGCTTGATGGGCTTCAAGAGCGCGGCGGTGGCGCGCATGTGTCCTCTCGCCACAGTATACAGTTCGCTCACCTTCGGACGCGCACCCCGTGATCCGCTGCGTTCATTAACTCGGTGGAGCGTACCGCAATCGTACTGCACGCGTGTCCCGCGACGCTATCGCGTGCGATATCGCAAGATGGCCGGAGAAGCTCGAGGTTGCGAATACAGAAGCCCGGCGTCGCGAAAAGAGAAGTTGGCGTCTATGGGCGGTTCCGAGCGACGCGGCTCACCTGTGGTCGTCTTCCTCGTCAGCGGCCGGCTTGGGCGTCAGCGGGTGATCTACTCGTGAGCGGACTGCTCTTCTACGAAAGACGACCCAGCTCATCAGCGCAAAGCTTCCTCGTCAGCGGGTACCTTCTTCGTTAGCGGCGCTTCTGTTCATCAACAACGATAGCCAGCCATCGGCGGTCGACCGCACATCAACGTTGAACATCGGCCGGTGGGTACTCGCCACCTCGTCAGTACCCACATACCTCATTCCGTGTATAGCTAGCTTTGCTCTGCAGAGGTGTACGCTTCGGGCTCATTGGGAAACGCTCGCGTTATGGAACCCTCGTGATAGCTAGGCGTCGACGCGGATAGGCCTTCCCCACGGCAGTGGCCCCGTTCATGTCCATGGGTCCGTGCCGCGCATCCATCGCTCGGTCTTGGGCTCACGGAACCCGTCTCGCATACTTTGGTGTGGGTCGCATGGAACCATCTCGGCGTCGATAGGTCTGCTGCACGCGTCGATAGCTGTGTTCCGCGCGTCCCAAGCTATGCACAGCGTCGATGGCGCTGCCCCATGACGCCGCGGCGCCACCAATCGGCGGCGACGATAGGTCGACCCCGCGTCGATAGGCGCCTTCTGCGTTTATCGTGGGTTAGGACGGCCGTCTCGTACCAGATTATCTTGAGGCGGTACGCGGGTCGAGGTGGTTCGTAGAGCGCGGTGCTACAGTCGATTCGCAGGGCGCGGCGCGTGATCCGTTCACTGTGCAGCTCGGTTTACGGGTGAACGACCTGAGATAGGACAACTCCGGGATGGTCTGGGGACGCGACTGAAGATGACGGTGAGGTTCTTCAGATCATTATTGACAGTGGAGGCGTGTTCTTCTCCCGGCTCTTCCCTTCCAAAGCGTAGCTGACGTGCTTCGCAGGCATTCCGGGCCTGGCTTCCGCATCGAAATCCTCCTCACGGTCACCTCGCGTTCGTGAAGCGCAGATATTCTCGCCAACCACTTCAGCACGCATACCATTCATGTTATGTTCACAAGGCAACCTTGAACTCAGTGAAATATCTCTGCACTTGTCTCTAGTGACGTTGTCTACGACATCAACATATCTTTCACGAAACATATTCAGCCTACGCGGACAATACGCCTGTGCCTCCGCCGACTGTACGCCTTCTATACCCGCGGACGAAGCCTATGACTGACAGCTGCCACCCAGCTGTGAGTACTCCCGCATCTCGATCTGCAGATCCGTGAGCTTACTCGACAGGGTCTGCCACTTAAGATCTCGTCCGTAAAGACTACGTCCATGTCACGGAATACGCCGTATCGAGTTGACGCGCATGTCGGTCTGTCACGGTTGATTGTTTGTGACAAGACGTGCGCGTGACTGGACACGCCTCAAGCAGGATCAACAATGTGGCCTGTTGTTCGACGGCGCTCATACCGCACGAAGGCGCCCATGGAGTGTCTTTCCCGATGCGCACGCACGCCAAGTCCCTTTAGACACCAACGACCGTCGGGCTGCACCCCAGATTGCCCGCTACCATGACGGGCTTTGCGAATTGTGGACTGTTATGATGGTCAATGCGATGGCCACTGCCATTGATGTGATGGCGCTCAAACTTCCGCCCTCTATTGGAGTTTATTGGAGTGGAGGGTATGCATACAACAAGCGGATGAAAGCCTACGAGCGTGGAACAGTGGAATAGCTCGGCGGCGGGGGCGGTGATGCGACCATGGCGCGGCGCAGCGAGAGCTCTCTCCAAGCCGCTGGTCTAGGAAAAATCGGAAGTCCCGACGCGGTGGGTAGCCGAATGCCATCACAAGCCTCGCGCTAGACGGAGAACAATGGCCCTCGCGCGCATGCGTGTCTGCATCTATCAACACGCGCACGGCCTGCATTTATCGCGCTAATCATCTTTCCAAGCTACTCTATCACGCTTCTCACATGCGCATTCATCCCTCTGCGGGGTCTACCGACGCTGTATCTCGCGCTTGGACCCATACTGCACTGGAGGTATCTCGGACTCTCTCGGACTCTGCACGCGTTATGCCCGAGCCTACCACGCAGCGTTCATGCTAGTCCCGAGCCCACCATGATCTCCCCGAGCGTCTAGAGGCCCGACTGCTCGCGCCGTGCCTCTCCGCGCAGCTCAGGGAGGGACTCGACATTGACCATGCTGTCCTAATGGGCCTCCAAGGACTTTCGGACTTCCCAGTTCGGCGAGGGCGCTGCGCTCAGCACCCTTCAGCTTCCGGTGTATGGCGCAGAAAATTGAGCGACAAGCTCAAGGAGCCATTCAATGGCGGAAAGCAGAAGAAGTCGGTGGATCGACAGGTACTGAATAGACGGATCGCAGGGGGAATGGGCGGAAGGGCGCGATATCCGTCGAGCGCCCACTCCCAGATCGACGCGGGACGCACGATGACGGGTGGGCGCGTCGACTGCCAGCCGGTGCTTGGATGCCTCGCACCGGTGCAGTGGATTCGTGGCGCACACGGGTATCTGCCCGCGCCGACGCGTTGACAGCGCGCAGGCGGACGCGATGGGAGAATTTTTGCGGGGTGGGTGGATCGGGAGGGCGAGACTGGAGACGTGCGCGAAAGTGATTGGTAAGGACGCGCGGGGGCAGGCGCGTCAGAATTCGAAGGCGCAAGCGCGGATTGGAGGCAGGCCCGACCGCGGATTGGAGGAGAGATTTAAGGCGAGTGCTGCCCAGTGTCCATCGCTGATGGTTATCCCCCGTGTTCTGAGCAGAACGTGCAGTGCCCTATGCTTGGCATTTCGCGCGCGCCCCACGCATTTTTGGCGCACCGGTTACCAGCAGGCGCGCGACTGAATGCGTTGGCAGGCGGGGGAAGAGACGGGGTGACGTGTCGGATGGAGGGGTGACGTGCGTGAGGGGCAGCCGCATTCGCTGGGGGAGACGCTTGTCAACCCCATCACGTTGGGTGTGGCGGCGCTTGGCCGGCAGGCACGCCTGCTTGGGCGCCTATCGCACCTTGGTGGACCTCATGATATGTTGCCGATTCTTTAGCCTAATAGGCGCAGTGTGGGCTGCCGGTGTGGACATGAAACGCGTCGTGGGAGATGCGAATCTATATTTCATTATGTTTTCCTGCCCGGCGAACAGTCGTGGCGTAGATGGGAAGGTGAGCAGCGCAGCACTTGTTGGGGTGGAAGTACGGGACTTGGACGTGCTGTGGGTCGCGCTGATTGGTATTTTGTGTCAGAGGGCGACGCGGGGCTTGGTCCATGCGGTCAGGACAAGGGATTGCCTAATCAGGAAGTTATTATATGAGATCGGCGAGATCTGTAGCCTGATGGGGATAAGCCGTACCCACGCGCGTGCTCCAAACAGAAGATCTGGACGTGGTGGGCCTGCGCGACCAGTCTCGGAGAGTGCCTGCTCGCGGCCAACCCGCGGCCATGGAGACAGAGGCTGAGAGACTGCGCTGCGCGGGCCGAACCTGTGCGCTCGTACCAAGGCCAGTCACAAGCGCAGGGCCGTCCAGTGGCAGGCGACCGGATATGGACATGGGGGACCGAGTGCGGGGCGGACCGGCGCGCCTGAGATGCGAGCTGACTCGACTCGTCTCTTGCGCTGACGGTCTCCCCAGTCTTCGCGTCGACGCGGAGCGCGTTGGACGTCGCCGGCGGGGAGGCTGGCGGGCGCGCTCGGGGAGACCGTGGGGCGTCCGAGAGGGACGGGCGGGCGTTCCTAAAAGCCAAACAGCCAAACAAGGGCCAACAGCCGCCCGAGATATCCTCGACATCTGATCGATCGCCAGATGCAGCCAAGTCAAATGTCGGACAGGCGCAGGTGCGCGTTTATTTAGCGGAATGAGACCTTGTTTGGCTCTGTCGTCGCTCGCTTGGGACGCCGTCGTCGCCTCTTGCTTCCTCCCACCACCATCGCTGCCACCGACAAAGGCACACCACCGACCGCCACTGCCCCGCGTCGATCCTGTCCGCCCTGGCCGAGCCATTATCACCTATTTCAAAACCCGCTGACGCCAATCGAGCAACATCCGCTCTATTAATTCGTCCATTACACCCGCAATTTCCTCTCGCTTTCCTCCCGCGGACGCACAAGCACGCCGGCCCTGCCCCGTATCTCGCCCGATCGTGTATCGCCCGGGCTCCTCAAATGCCTGCCTTCCCGGTTCCTCATCCCGCCCCGCGTGTCGCCCCTCTCCCCAGACCGCAACACCAACACATGTCTTCGCCCTCCAGCCCGACATATCCAACCTTTGGCGGTCGCTCCCCCTACTCTTCGGGCTCCAGCGCCTCCTTCCCCAACGAGGACAGCCCGGGTCCGGACTCCGCATACGAACCCGTCCAGAATCACGACGAGCCCGTCGTCGTAGCCTCCCCCTCCGACTACTCCTACCATCTCGCCATACCAGGCATGGCCGTCTACGCCTCTCAGTCCGACCTCCATTACCCCTCGGACGAGCACGACGCCTTCTCTTATCCGACCTCGCTCATGTCGGCGTGGAACACCGACGCCAAGAAGCGCTCCCTCCAACACCTCTATCCGCAGCAGCAGCAACCGCCTTCGCATTCCCTCCCCGAACTCGACCGTTCGTACAAGACCCTGATGGCATATAACCAGCAGCAGGCCGCGCAGCAGTCGTATCAACCGCAGTCCTCTGTCTCTCACCATCTCCCCAGCACTCAGAGCTACTACGAGCTCGATGGCGGCGACTCATGGCAGGCCTATCCCTCCAGCCTCGGTCAACAGCATCTCGGTCAGCAGCAACAACATCTTGGACAGCATTATGCGGGTCACGGGTACGCTGCGGTCAAGCAGGAAGAGCCGGCGATGTCTATATCGAGCCGTGAGTCATATGTCTATGAACGGCGTCCCGCTGTCTTACCCCTGCCGCAGATCAGCAACAGCAACAGCCGCGCGCCGTGCCTCAGTCGATGCACGCTTACCAGTCGTCGGCAAACATGCAAGCATTCTACGACGAACCCCACTCGCAGTCATATCGCTCGCAACATGCATCCCATGTCACCATCCCTTCCTCCTTTGAGCAGCAATTCGTGCATCTCTCTGACGTCTCACCCGTCGAGTCGTCTGTCTCGCCTGTCGCTGGCATGCAGCAGCCACAGCCCCAATATCCCTCCGATATGACTGTCTGCGACCCTCACTTCGTGAGCGGTCGGCGCCAGCGGGAAGAGCGGTATGGTACGGATCGCACGTCGGAGCCACAGGGCGAGCGTGATGGCGACGGGGAGGACGACGCCGAGGGCGAAGAAGACGAGAGCGACCGCGGAGATGAGGATGTTGATATGGACGGCGATGATGTCGCAGAGCTGGAGGACGATGATGAGTACGTTATTCGTCGCGGTCGCCGCAATAGCGCGCCTAGCGAGGTTGGCGAGTCGCGCAGCCTCCGCTTGCGCTCGACGCCCATGCGCACGGCGGCGGCTCGATATAATCCCTACGCCTCCGAGTCTGCACCTCTTCGCCCTCGCCGCGCTTCCTCCATGACAGCCGCTTCCTCCACCTCCTCGACCGCGACCCTCGACGACATGTACCTCCCCACGCTCAACGGCCAGCCGGTCACGACCCGCCGTCGACCACGCCCCGCGACCAGTCTCCCCATCCCCGTACCCGTGCCGAACTTGACGAAGAAGTCGCGCGGGCGTCGCGTACCTACGGCACCGACGCCTGACAGCGCCCGGCTCGCGACAGTCGTGCGCGCGAACGCAGACGGCCAGCTTCAAGGCGGCGGGCGACGAGGCAGCACGAAGGGCCTTCGCTTGTATACGTGTAAGGTGGCGGGGTGCGGGAAGTGCTTCGCACGCGGTGAGCACCTCAAGCGGCATGTGAGGAGCATACATACGCATGAGAAGCGTGAGTTCATTGCTTCCCTCTCGTCTTCGCCTATACTCACGCCCTCTCCAGCCCACAAGTGTCCATATCCTGGGTGCGGGAAGGACTTCAGCCGGCACGATAACCTCGGCCAGCATATGCGCGTGCACAAGGACTACGTCCTGCCCAAGGGCGTCAGCCTCAACAGTTTCCGCGCATAACGGCGCACGCGACCACACCGAAGCGACGTCGCGATGATGATACCCTGTACTTTTCCCTGGATGATTGACGTTTATGTTGTTGTTGTACGCCTCTTCACACTTCCTTCGCTCGTTTCTCTTTCACCCTTCACCCGCTCGTTCTCCAAGCATGATCTCAGTTGGGCTGTTGGTGTATGTATTCATCGCGTAGGTGGGTAGGTATGCGCCTAGGCGTGTACTTGTCTGCCTGGGCGTATACTTGTCCGCCTAGGTCTCTGCGCGTTACCTTGCCGCCTTCCTTTCCTTTCGCGTCTTGCTTACCCTTTCTTACGCCTTTCTTCTCTTGTTATTCACGGCCCCTTCTTTGTAACATTGACATCGCTATACCTTTATGGACGAGTGACGGGCTTTTATGGCTCGTTTCTCCGCCACTACTCTGGCTCGCTTCCTCCACCACTACTTTGGCTCGCTTCTCCACTACTACTTGGCTCGCTCGGGACACACGCGTACGGACGTTGCTGTTGTTTGTTTGTTCGATTGTTGTAGTTCGTCAGAATCGCCACAATGACTCGATTGGTTTATCTTACTGTATAAAAGCCTAAATTCCGTACCATACTACTCACAATGAATGGGTTGGGTTCATCAGGAAAGAAATGACGATGGGTCGATCAGGAAGGAACGGTGCTATTGGGAGCATGGGTCACTAGCAGTAGAATGGGATCCGCGGGAACGCCAAGGTCGCTAGTGGTCAAGTTGGTTTACGCGCAGCGCACGTCACCGGCCGGCCCCCAAGAGATCGTCGACATGACGAGACTCAAGAACCAAAGCGCAATGCAGGCCTCAAAAGCGTAATGCAGGCGTTGAATACGGGAACATAACGAGCGCACGGGACCAGAACGAGCAGCCGCACAACCGTGATAGTGATAGGCAGAGGCGAGAGGGTCGGGCGTAAGGGTAGTTATCAGATACGACAAGACCTGCGTCGTCGCCCGCGTGCGCCGACGGAGGCAGAATCTGGAGTTTGCGTGGTTGGGTGACACACAGACATGGGGACGAGGGCGGGTGAGGGAGGCAGTGCCGCCGGTACGGTGCCTTAGGACTAGCGTGCCTTGCCCTCAGCCTTTTCCGAATGAATTGCTGTCTGTGGCGCGACCAGGATAGCGGCCTCGCGACCAGGACAACGGGCTCGGCCTGATATACGACTTCGCCTGATTTATGACTGCTCGGGCGCAGCGATCTTGCCCGAAGCCGAGGGCGGCTTGGCGGGGGAGAGTTTATTCGTGAGGCGCGCCGCCTTGGGTGTTTTATGTGTTGGTATTTTAGGCCCGGGAGGGCGGATGCCGGAGGGCTGAAGGATCGTTGGGGAGGGAGATAGGGATTGGGACTGGGCAGGAAAACGGAACTAGGCAGTGGTAGGGTGCATCTATAAGCCAGGTATAGTGTTACAGGATGTGTACAGCAAGGGAGGATAAATGCGACGGGGGCGAGGCCCTGGGGTGATGTCAGTGGGTGGCCGGGTGTGCGGATGGGAAGGAGACGTACTGAGATATGCATAGGACGAGAGCAAGGGCACATTATGCGGGTTTCGACGAGGCGAGGACGAATAAATATGGAGGAAGGGCGAAGGAGGCGGTGGCTACGCGTCATCGGTCATTATGGCGAAGAACTCTTGTTCGTTGATCTCGCCGTCTTGGTCGAGGTCGAATTCGTCGATCATGGCTTGTCTACGAGAGGAAAAGTCAGACTGGAGGGAAGAGGTAGGGCACGCAACACGCACAGCTCATCGTCCTCGAGGCGGTCGCCAATCTCCTTCGCGACGCGCCTTAGGTTTCGTAGGCTAATCTTCCCCGTGTTGTCATCGTCAAACAGCTGGAACGCGCGTCTTATCTCGTCCATGGGGTCGCGCGCCAGTATGCGCTCGCTCACTGAAATCACGAGATCGCGTCAGCTCACATCCCCGCATCAAAAACGCGTCTTTCGCGTACTCACTGATCTTCGCAAAGTCCTCAAAGTCCATGAGCCCGTGCCCCGTCTTGTCGTGGTCGCGCAGAATCTTTAGCACCTCCGCCTTCTTCATGTCGAACCCGAGCGCGCGCATGGCGACCTTGAGCTCGTGGTAGTCGACGCAGCCATCCTTGTCGGTGTCGAAGAGCTCGAAGGCTTCTTTGATCTCTTGCTTCTGCTCCTCGGAGAGTTCTGGACGCGCGTGGGTGCGGCGCTTGGCCTTCTGAGCAGCGGAGGAGGAGTACATTGTCGCGGTCGGGGTAGAGACGCGTTGTTGACGCCTGTTGACCGACGACTTGCCCATGCGCGTCGCGGAGCACGTGTACCGGGATATGCCGCACTCGAGGTTGACTTGCGCCCTCATGGCTCCAATCGCATGGCTCATTCGGTGACTTCGCCAGAACTCTCGTCGAACAATAGCAGAACAGCATAGTAACGCCCACTGAGATCTGTCTACTGTGTCTTCCTCGACGACAATGCGCTTGGGTTCCTTATTGTCTTCCGGTGGAAGCCGACCATGTCGCCGAAGTGGACTCCCCCTCATAAGGTACTCGAGGGGGACGAAGTGAGCTCAGCATCGCGCCCACTACCTTCGAAGTATTTGCACAACGAGCGCCCTGCAAACCCGCCTTCATCATTGTCATCCTCCATTCACCATCCGTCATGACTCAAATGCAGAGCGCCCCCTCTTGCTCTGAGCGACCTGAGACCGTTGGTGATAACGGTACGTTCTCGAAAGCTCTTACTGCGCATAGGAAGTGATGCAGAATACAGCAGATTGTCTTCCCCCGACCATACAAGTCCAGGCTCCATTTGAACCCGAAGCGGAGGTGGTACTCGCTTTCCTAAGCAAGGATTCCTTGGAAGATGTTTCCGGTCGGTCTTCCCTTCTCGTTATGATGCGGGCACTGAATACGCATACAGAAGAGTTGAAGGGCTTTTCGGTGCTCTCCTCGGAGGGAAAATATCTCGTCGTCGGCCCGTCAGGTAAGTCCGTCCCCATGCGTTATACCATTCGCTGAGAAGGTTATAGACGTCGCTCCCGCGTACAATGATCACTTTGTACCCTTAGAAGGTAAGTCTGACGCTTGGCTCATCGTTCGTTCGCTTACCGGTGTCCGTAGCGGTCATCGCTCGTCACAAGGGACTTGAGACTAGGCTATCACCTCACCCATGCTTCATCCATCGCTTGCCGACCGAGGTGTTGTGCGCCATCTTCCTTATGTGCGGCGACCAGAACAAGGTCTTCGACTATCCGCGCGACGAGCTCATGGACCCTGTCGGCGTTCGCGACGAGACCACCTTCTACATCCGATCGACGGTGATTATCGGAAGCGTCTGCTGGCGCTGGTACACGACAACGCGCGGATGCCCTCACCTGTGGACCTTGGTCGACGTCTCATTGCCCCAGCCTCGCGATATTTCTGCCTTGCGACTCAGCTTGAAGTACTCCAAAGGTCTCCCTCTGACATTACGGGTCAACGACTTCTACCAAGTGCCCACGCGGAGAACCGATGTTTGCCAGAAGTTCATGACTCTCGTCGCCGCTTCCGACAGTCGCTGGCAGGAAATATCCATCATCTTGCACTCCAAGTCTCCGACGGTGCACGAGGTGGTCGCACCCCTGCTACAGGTGGCGGACGGCTCCTTCACCTCCGTCAAACGGGCCATGCTCCGCTTCTTCGCGGATGACTTCGACCGCACAACTTCGTCTCGCCTCTGGCAGATGCTCTCTGCTTCGCCTGCGCTTCACGTCGTGCAGTGGTTCTACGTATTCGTTGACGCGCCGTCGTCCGTCTTTCAGCGCCTCACTCACGTGGGCATAGAAGTGATCCTACCCGAGGATCTCATGGCGCTCGTCAGCGCCTGCCCTCAGCTGCAAGTCCTCCAAGCGGTCGTCCAGCCTGCGGACGCATTCGTCGGTAGGAACGATGGTCACCTCATTCAGACGCTGCCTGCACCTATACACCTGCCCCATCTTCGGGCTCTCTCACTTCGAGGGATGCACGACTGGACGCGCTTTTTCGACGGGATCACGGCGCCCAACATTCGCCGTATGGAGATGGCCCTCGCGGGTATCCAGGCCAGCGCGATAGGTGCTATGCTGAGCCGCTCGACCGCGCGTCTTGACATGTTAGCTCTTCGCTGGGTACGGCCTGGGTGCGACGACGAGATCGTGGCGCTCCTTCGCAGCAGAGAATTGGAGCAGCTGAAGGTGTTTCGCTATGACCCATACGAAGGTCGCGAACCTGGACATGATCACTTCGATCCCTCCCCTCACCTTCCACCCAATCTCACCGCTCTCACAAGCACTTACGAAGCGGCAGAGCATGCATATCGTTCATTGAGTAGGTTTTAAATATCGCATTGTGCTGTGATATCGTACTTTGAAGGGCTGAAGGGACCCCTTTATCTCCTGTGTCTACTCTTCTGGTAGTTCTGCAAGCCTTTGAGTGTAGCTCTTCGTCTTCGGGGTAGCGGAAGAATACATAGTTGCGGTCGGAGGAAGCAGACGCGCTACGACGCGGGGCACGTGGACCGGTATCACGCTCGGCAAACGCCGTATCAGCGGTTGACTTTCGCCACTACGATGCTTGTTGTCAGCATGGCTATGGTAGCTCCGACACAGCAGGCGCGGACCCCAGACAATAGCAGCATATCGTCGACGCCTTCTGCTGTGCTCTCGTCATGGCGATGGGTTCGCTGAATTTTTCCCTATTGTCTTTCGGCAAAAGTCACCGTATTCTCGTCGGCGAAGGGGCTGTCCACATATAGATGGGTCTCTTCGGGCACGCAAGCGTTTCTTCCATACCTCTCTTCGTTCTCTCTTCCAAGACCTGTCCTCAACACGACGAACCCATCGGTTCAAAGTACGACAGCTGTTCTGAACTAATATCCTCGTATCTGATCACTAGTCATGATAGTGAACAGCCCTCAGGCGCAGATGGCGCGCTCTCGCTACGGCGCGTCGATTATACAGCTTCCGCCATCCGGAAACGGCGCCAGTGAGCTCTGTTCTCCTTGCGCATCGCCAGTACTGATGCTCGAACAGCGCAAGTACTCCCTCTAGTTCAAACTCAGCCGCCGCCGCCGCCGCCGCGACCGAAGGTGGAGCGGGCGAGCGCGAACTTGAAGAAGGATTCTGTGGAAGGAGATAAAGGTGAGTTTGTACTGCCAAAAGGATCGACTGAGTGTTGAACGCGGGTTTTCAAGGCGAGACTTTGACGGTTATGGAACAATCTACAATCGTCGGGCCGCTAGGTGAGTTTCTGCGTATCGCTCCGGGATTTTACTGACTGGAAGCAGTCTCTCCGCCGCTGTACCACAACCAATACTCCTCTGCAGGTACTACTGTCTCTCTGCCGCTTTCTCTGCACCGTTAACTGATTGGCATATATGATAGTGGACATCGCACGCCCTACTCCTGCGCTCGAAAGCGTCACGGTCTCGCCCCACCCATGCTTCATCGATCGCTTGCCGACGGAGCTTCTATGCGTCATCTTCATGATGTGCGGCGACCCGAACAAGCTCTTCGCGTACCCGCGCAACGAGCCGTCGGACAAGAAGGCCGCTCAGAACAAGACCCATTTCTACAGCAGGGCGACAATAGTCATTGGTCATGTCTGCTCTCGATGGTTCCACATTACGCGGGGCTGCCCACAGCTCTGGACTATGGTCGACATGCCGCTACCCCAGCTCTCTGACGTCGTCGCGCTCAGACTCAGTCTCAAGTACTCTGCGAATCTTCCCCTCACACTTCGAATCAACGACTATCACTACACTCCCGAAGAGCGTCGAGGCACAGACGCTTGCACAGCATTGATGCGCCTGGTCGCTGCGTCTGCCTCTCGCTGGGAGGAGATATCCATCATCCTGCTGGGGCGCGTCAAGTTAGCCGATATGGTCCAGCCGCTTTTGGAAGTTCCGCGAACATCCTATAGCTGTCTTATGCGTGCGATGATTCGCTTCGAGTCAGATGACGACAGGTCGGTGACAATGCGCCTTTGGGAGATGTTCTACGCGTCCCCCGCCCTCAGAATTGCTCAGTGGTTCTACGCGCGTATCAATGCCCCTCAAATCGTCCTTCACCATCTCACCCACATCGGTGCTTGTGTTATACGCCCTGAGAAGCTCACGGAGCTTCTCGCGGCTTGTCCTAATCTCGAGGTGCTGCAAGTTGCCGTCCGACCCGCTCCGGGTATATACCCTGGCCAGGAGGATGGTTATCTGTTCCCAGTCATATCGCCGCCCGTCGTCCTTTCGCATCTACGGACCCTCGAGCTGAGCCGCATGTGGGACTGGTCGCGCGTCTTCGACAGCGTCACCCTGCCCCGTATTAGATGGCTCCGTATGTCCGGAGCAGGGATACAATCTCAAGCGATCAGCGCAATGTTGCGTCGCTCGTCAGCGAGGCTGGAGGTGCTCGTCTTACGGCGATTATTTTGGGGAAACGATGAGGAGGTGACAGCTCTACTTCAGTGTCCTGAGCTACAGCATCTGAAGATCTTTTGCTATCATCCATATGAAGGACGTAGCAATAGGCGACCGCCGGACCTATTGGATCCTTCACCGTATATCCCACCTGCGGTCGTAAAGTATACAAAGGTTTATGGAGAAATCGAAGCTATGTATGATTCTTACAGATTTTGATAGTCTATAGTACACGAATGTCATACATACACCTCACTGCATCGAGTGGTCGTAAAATGCAACATCAGATATCGTAGTTTATCCTCCAGTGCTCGTGAAGATTGAATATCTCTTTGACCACGGAAGGGCATGGCCCCTTGAGCGTGAGACGGAAGTACCGCGTCGTCCGCTGTGCAGCATTAATCTGCGGAATGAGCACGGTTGGATCATCCACGATAATATGCAGAGCAGGGGGGAAGCGGACGTTCCGCGGGTTCAACATGTCGGTCAAACTTCCTTCTGCTTCGCCTCCTTGATCGGCATCATCCTTTTCGTCGGAATCGTCCCGGTGCAAATCATTCTGAAAGTTTACCACCAGGAGGTCCAAGTTCTTCGACTGGTCGATGATGTCCAAGAGCTCGAAAGCAGTCAAGGCAACCTTGATGTTGAGCTGACGCAACTGACTCAGAGGGAAGCAATAAGAGCGGTAGATCGCTGCGCTCCCCTCGATGTGCAGAGACGACAGGTTTAGCAGATACCCATGCAGTATCCCTGTGTCGCTGAGATCACCTGCGTCCTGTTCGCCATCCATGTCGATATGCACAGCGAAGAACCGAGGTAGGAAGGGTCGGAGGTGGTACATAATCCTGGCCATCGTATCTTTCCCACCTTCATCAGTGAGTTTGCCGATGCGGAGGTATAGCTGGGTCATCACCTCCCGGACTGGCTCGAATAGCTCCGGAAGCCGAGGTACCACGTTGGCGAAGTCGCCGACCAGGTAATTTCTGTCGTAGTCTCCGACATCGCCCTTCATCCCAACATCAACGACGAAGGTCGATCTGTTCGAGCAGAACTTGCTAGCCCTGCCGCGTCCAACGAATGTAGGAATGGATAAATCCGGCGGTACGAGCTGCGCGCTATCGCCAGATTGCACCCGGGCACCGTCATGGTTGGCCGGGTCTTCTCCTAAAGACGAAGGAGACCCTTCGAGGGACGGAGTAGGCTCCTCGCCAACGGATGCCGAGGGCCCCTCATCGCCGGCTGATTGGCCAGCGTTGAAAGGCGGACTCTGAAACGACTCGCCGTCGACAGTAGCCGTAAGAGGGTGCGGGACATGAAGCTCTTCAAGATGCTCGCTCGAAGCCCCAGGAAGAGCGCCAGCAGCAGGATCAGATGGCGCAAGCGAACGCAGAGCCTGTACATCGTCTCGGGGGCCGTCTTCGGATGCGCGGCACGAGGTTTGAGCTGGCGCTTCCGGAGAAGCGACGAGCGACTTCTCCTCTGCTTGAGCAGAAGCATCGGCTGGCGTAGGCGCTGCAGGAGCATTCACTCGACCAGCATCGACGTGCATGGCGGAGTCTTCCTGCGATGGAGCAGTTCCGTCTACGGTCTGGGATCCGACGAGGAGACGGCCTGGGAGACTTGAGGACTCGTCGAATTCGGGTATGTCGACTCTGACGTTAAGCTCCGAGGGCGTGTGCGTACGCGAGCGGTGGACTGGCGACCAAACGGGAACATCGCCGTCGATGAAGTTGTTGTTGATCGCGCTAGCAGCAGCGATGGGTGACGCGGGACCTGTAGGATCGCCACGGCCTGCGAAGGTCGAGTCGGTAGTCGCGACCGGCTGCGGTTGCACGTCGTTCGAAAGTCCTTGGGGGGCGGAGGGCTCGAGGGAGGCGTTGTCACCTGGACTTAGCTCCAGCTGTTGCACAGTGACGCCCGCAGACCCTTGAACGTCTTCGTCGTGGGCCGAGGGAGGAGGGCGATCTGCCATGCGCCGCAAAGAGTCGCGCATGTCTTGAAGGAGCTCGATGACCCTCTCAGAATGAACATCCATATTGGAGAGGAGTGGGTGCACGCGCGAGGCCAGATCCGCCGAATCTGTCGCTTGAGAGGAGGAAGGGTACATCGCGGCCGGCGCAGAGGGTGGGGGTATCACAGGTGCTGACAGGAGACTTGCGTGCGTAAAGGTTGGCGACTGCACCTGAGCTTCGCGGACGCCCTGCGAGGCGACGAAATGAGCCGAGGGCCCAGCAGATGAAGAGCTCACACCACTACGGCGGTTCCTAGCGTGAGTGACACCATCGAGAGTATCAAGCCGCTCGCGCGCAGCGGGGCTGTGTGGACCGGATGCTGCGACGTTTGTCAGCGTCTCGTCGAGGCCTGGAGCAGCCCTCTGGCTTGTAGACGTCGCATGCGATGATAACATCGTCGAAGCGGCGTTCAAGCTAGTGTACTGACCCGTATGGTCGGCGTAGACGGGAAGATCTTGCGGATGGGCCATGAGATCGTGGGGCGGCGATGGCAAGGGGCCTGCGCCGTCAGTCCGAGGGTCGCCAGTCGTGGCTGCGGTGTCGCTCCGAGCTTCATGCGGGCGTGCGAGCCGGCTCACGCCATTCGGAAGAAGTCTCCTAAGCAGTCTACGACCGCGGGACAGATGAGACGCCATGGGCCGGAGGATTCAGGTCGAGCTTCGAGTGAGAAGAAGTATGAGCTTCAAGTGTGCGACGACGGCTTCCTGAAGGGCCGTTAAGGTCAGCAAACCAGCTGTATGTGGCGGAAGCACGTACACCAGTGAGCCGCGCAGACTTGGGTCTTTGAATGTTCTAAGAAGCGTGCAATTCGTCGACGGGAAACGTGAGGAACGTGACGGGGGAGGCGTGTGAAGGACGTGAAAGGGTCGTTCGATGCTGGAGAAGCCTGCGCGTCTTCGAAAGCTTATAAGCGTGTATGCCCGAGCCATGGCCATTGACACGCCCGTAAGGAGATTCTGTACAAATTCAGTAAGTGTTGTGTGCCACAAGAGGAACAATGGCACGAACCATTAATGCCGGGGAAGGAACAAGGACGTGGGTCAACTGGCCATACCAATGCTGAAACGCTCACGGCTTGATACAGACTTGAAACAGCTTACGAAGGTGAATTAGAAAGACGTGCGTAGGAACAAGTATACCCTTGTTGGGCTATGATGCATTGGTGACTTTGAGGCGATGGCACCGCCGTTGAACTCGTCAGTATCCCCGCTTTGACTGCTTGCTTGACGAGTCAGATGTCGTAGATTCTGATACCATAGAATGCAATACGCTCAAGCGACACCCGAGACTATCGATTTTTCCATCGTCGGCGTGCGAAGGAAGGAGGGCTAAGCAGCGCCACAAATGTCGGTAGTCCGGAACAGAAACTTCCGGCATTTGCCGCTTTTGCTTTCGCTCCGACCACCTAATGCAACGCCCGTAAAAGCGTAAGCCTGACTCGTACATCCTTTCTTCTCTTAGATGGTCACAAAGGTATGATGATACTTGGGTGAATGGTGTCCCCCGATTCGGCCATAATGCAAGCGTGACACTCGCGAACTGGCCTGAGCGGTCTTTGCTCACGGCGCGCCCATTTACACGACGAGCTTCCATATATAAGGACGACCCTAGATCGTTTCTACGGGCCAGAAATTCTCCCATCTTGAATTCATATGTCATCGACTGACGCTCACCGTACGGATTCCTGTCTCTTCACCTGGAAGCTTGTCGCTCATGGTATCCCAGGTATTCGTGGCGCGAGGTCTGGCGCTTCTCTTCGCGCTGAAGTAAGAGCAAACGACGCTCGACTTAATATAGACTCTGCCACCCTAGGTTAGACAGCGTTTCCATCGTCAACCTAGAGCGAAGGCTAACGTCCAATCAAGATTTACCCCATCCTCGTCCATCAGGTTCTCGCAGTGGCATTATGGACATAGTTGCTGCCTCTATGCATCTATCAACATGTAGGGCTCACCCTCGCAGACTACTTATGCTGGGACTGACAATCTTCTCTAGCCGATATCGAGTGCGTCATCAGACTGCTGCAGGCGCGCGTAGAGTACTTGTATACCTCTACCGCAAAACCAGGTGCGTGGGCCAGAGAAACTTTGACTGGAACACCGCTGATTATGCACATTCTCCTAGCCATGCACATCAACGAGCTTCCCAACGAGATTCTTTGCCACATCTTCGGGTTATGTGGTGATGTGATGTCAGGGCTTGAGTACTCGTGCGACGGCTACATGCATCTTGCAAAACCGAAGGCTGTGATTATTCCGTACTCTTCCTCCCTGATCTGCATAACTCGGGTTTGCTCGCTTTGGTCGGAGGTCGCAAGAAGCTGCCCACGTCTCTGGACGCTGGTAGAGGTGCCTTTCCCCCGGGGTATCGACCACATTTTCGTCAGATTGTGCCTCGAACTGTCCGCAGGAATTCCTCTTATTCTCCGGCTCAATGGCATGATGCTCGCCCCCGGTGCACCAGATCCACCTCTCGTATTCTGTCGATCCCTCGTGAACCTGGTGGCGAGCGCGGCGTCTCGCTGGAAGGAGGTCTCAATCAGCCTTGGGGCTAAACTTGATGGACTCGATCCGTTACGCATGCTGCCCCCGGGATCATTCACCTCGCTTGAACGAGCGTCGATACAACTTGAACTGCGGAACTGGGGAGCCCACCAGTCACGTCCGGACAGCGATATTTGGCGCATTCTGATGCCATCCCCTTCTCTCCGAGCTGTGGACTTCTGGGATGACCCGCGCCGGCATCCCCAGCTTCGTATCGCGTCGATGTCGCTTCGGAACATCACCCATTTGGGCCTCAACCAAATCAGGAACAACGAGCTCAAAGACATTCTTGCGGCCTGTCCCCGCGTCGAGGTTTTGCAAGTTATGCTCGGTCTTACTTTGGCGCCCGGACAGCCGGACACGTACGCTCTCCCGATGCCGCCTTCCATCATGCTTGGGAGATTGCGCGTCCTCATGCTGAGCGGACAACGAGACTGGCAGCCCTTGTACGACTGCCTTACGGCGCCGAGGCTCGACCGTTTGGACATCTCCGGAGCGGGCGTGCAAGCAGACGCTATCGAGGGCATGTTGGACCGCTCCTCGACAAAGCTTCGCATGCTTACCCTGCGCGCGATCCATCCCAATGACTTGGATGACGCCGCGAACTTGCTTCTGTGTGGACACCTCAGGGAGCTGAGGATTCTCCGCGTCGAGGTCTTTAAGCCGAATCCTATGCCGCCTGGGCGCACCGCAGACTTCGATCCCCGGCCGTTTTTGGGTCCGCAGGTCGCGAAATGCTTGTTCGCAACGGAGTTTAGGGCAGCAGAGGATGCGTACGCGGCATTGGACTCGGGAGTAGTATAGCTTCGAATCACTATGGTTTTTGCAGTCGCTCAGTGCTAGCAGAAATTCGAGACGATCGAAAGTTGTCGTGTCACTCAGGGATGACGCGCGCCCAAGCCAGAGGGTGGTCGAGCGGCAATACGGGGTGATACGAATTCGATGTTTATACTATAGGCAGAAAACAGGAGCTATCCAAGTGATGTACGGCCTCCAAATCATGGTTCAATGTGGACTCGAGGACGGACCAACGCCACAATTGTGGGTGATCCGAAGCAGCGACGCTCGGCATTTTCCGCCTTCGCCTTCGCTCCGACCATCACAGTTCGTCCGTGTGAACAACGCGGCTTCCATCCCGTTTACCGTTGCTGTGGGACTGTGGGCTCTTTTCATTCCAATACGGAAACAATGGTGTGGATGCAGCTCTGAATCGTGACGCCAGAGCTGGTCGAACCACGCCCTTGCCTCCTCCCAAGGAAGCAATGGTTCCTGCCTTTGTTCCTCCGCGGGGCGCACAATACCAGCCATGGCCGTCCGAAATTTCCATCTCTGTGCGTCAATCAGCGCTCAATTACAGGACACCCATATAAGCTGCGCGAAATGACAGAGTTCTGCACCAGCAATATCTTCTTACTCCCTTCCTATCTAGCAATTGTTCCTTGACGTTGACATCGTCGAAAAGACTCGCGGAAAGGATACCTGGAGTACGTTCTGTCTGCAACCCCATCGATTACCGTATAACCCTCTCCACACAAGCAGGAACCCTCCGCTCGTTCGAAACTCGCATTACTGCCCCCAAACCTCGCTTACGGTTGATGCTATGGAACCTGGAGCTTCCCGCAGTCGCACGCTTCGATTGATTGTCGCGCACTGGCTTGCGCGCTCGAATCGCGAAGTCCGGGATGATGATATATCTGCGACCAACAAGGCATCGAACCAGGGTGAGCACCCACTTTAGTCGCCCTATATCCTCATACCACACTCGCCCGTCGTATCTACACATCATCTCCAAGATTCCCTTCAGTCTATCGATTTGTGACGCTCACCTCGGCAAACAGCTCTTCTCAGGGTGGAAGAATCCAAGGCCAGTCTCGAAGTTGTTTACGAACACATATGTCGGCTAATCGAGCAGTACTGGCGGCGACGTATGTCCCAGCAATATAAACCTCCTCACTGGAACTGATTGTGCCCTTTTCTCTTTCAGGCGCTCGCATCAACGAGCTTCCCGTCGAGATTCTGTGTCTTATATTCGGGTTCTGCGGCGATGCGATCTCGGGGTTCAACTACCCGCGCGACAGACTGATGCACCACTCTGCGAGCTCGCCGCAAGACTCGCAGACCTACTCCGAAGCCATATTCACCATAACTCGCGTGTGCTCGCGCTGGTCGAGAGTTGCCAGAAGCTGCCCTACCCTTTGGACGCGCATAGAGATGCATTCACCGCGGTGGTGCGACTACAGATTCTTCAGGCTTTGTCTCAAACTCTCCGCGGGACTGCCCCTTATTCTTCGACTCAATGGTGCGCTTCCCAAGAATCGCGCGCAACATCCGCCTACCAGATACTGTCGATCCGTCATTCGTCGTGTAGCGGCAACCGCGCCTCGCTGGAAGGAGATCTCCATTCGCCTTACTCGCGATTTCGACGTCCTGGACCGGCTGCGCACGCTGCCACCTGGGTCATTTGTATCCCTCGAACGAGCATCGATCCGCTTGTCAATGCGAGCTCATGACTCTCAAAGACCGCGCCCGGAAATCGATATCTGGCATATCTTGTGCTCGTCCCCTTCTCTTCGAGTGGTGGACTTCTGGGACGACCCGCGCCTACCTTCCCTCCATATCGCATCTTTACCGCTTCGGAATATCACCCACTTGGGCCTCAACAAGATCAGGAACAACGAGCTCAAAGATATTCTCATTGCTTGTCCCCGCGTCGAGGTCTTGCAAGTCTGGCTCGGATGTTCAGTGACGCCCACTCAACACGACACGTACACTCTTCCTATGCCATCCACTCTCTTGCTCAAAAGACTGCGCGTCCTGATGCTCCGTGGGCAACGAGACTGGCAGCCCTTGTACGACTGCCTCACCGCACCAAAGCTCGATCGCCTAGACATATCGGGAGCCGGCGTGCAAGCGGATTCCATCGAGGGCATGTTGGCGCGCTCGTCGACCAGGCTACGCATGCTTACCCTGCACGCGATTCATCCCGAGGACTTGCCGGACGCGGCGAGTTTGTTGACGAGGTACCCCTTGTGCAGGCTACGTATCCTCCGCGTCCGGGTCGCTAAGCCCGATACTATATCGCCTGGACGCCCAGACTTCAATCCTCGACCCTTCTTGAGTCGTCTGGCCGCGAGGAAATGCCTGGTTACGAAGAAGGTTAAGGTGGCCGAGGACGCGTACGCGGCGTTGCGACGCAGGTAGTGGAGTAGTTACTCAGATAGTATCAATCCTGTCCTGTATTCGCTCCTGCCAAAAATCGTAGTTTATGAAGACAATATTCCTCGCATGAAGTTTCGAATTGCAAGAGGAGACCTAGCGCCACAAAGTCTCAAGGAGCCGGCCACGCGGCCCGGCGCGCCGCTCTTTTCTCCCATCCACCACCAATTCCACAATAATGGACGTGCCCCCCGCTCCCCCGCTGGCCGCGCCGATGGCGGCGCCCCAGCCTGTCGTCCCCATGCCTCCAGTGACTGTGCCCGCTGCGTCCGCGACACCTGCCGAGCCCGAGTACGCGTGCGAGACGCTCTACATCCAGAATCTCAACGAGAAGATCAAGGTCGACAGTGCGTATCCTATGGCTCGTCCTCGAGGACGTATCGCTGACCATGCTTGTGATGATCTCCTATCTTGAATACACAGTCATGAAGCAGACCCTTCGCACATTGTTCAAGACGTACGGCGAGGTTCTGGACGTTGTAGCCCATCGTAATCTTCGGATGCGCGGGCAGGCGTTCGTGTCTTTTGCGGATGTCAACTCTGCACGGCGCGCGGCGCGCGAAGTGCGCGGTTTCCCCCTGTATACCAAGCCCATGGTGTGTGGATGTGTTCGAGTGAGGGCGAGCGATCGCTAATCATCCTGACTCTGCAGCAAATATCATTCGCGCGTACGCGGTCCGATGCAGTTGTCAAGAAGTTGGACGAGTCTCAATTCGACGATCACAAGAAGAGGAGGGAGGAGCATAAGCGTGCGTGATGCATGCCCTTGATACTGAGGAAGATGCTGACAGTTGATTCAGGCAAGACGCGATACACGAACCCCCTCAAGCAGAAGCTCAAAGCCAAGCGGTTGGCATTGGCCAGTGCGTGTTCTGCAATGTCGTTGCCTGGTATTCAGCTCATCGTCCCTTGCAGGCGACGGCGTGTCCCATCTCCCGGCAACGCGGCGGCCGAACGTCCTCATGCCGGACGAGTACCTGCCTCCCAACAAGATCCTCTTCTTGCAAAACCTGCCCGAGACGGTATCAAAAGACCAGCTTACGGCCTTGTTCTCCCAGTGCGTGTTGCTTTCTTCCCCTTACTTCGGACAATTATGTTCCCAAACTCGCCTTCGCACTATCCCCTTTGCTATTTCCCTTTTCGATCCGCTAATTCGACGATACAGATACCCCAACCTCCACGAAGTGCGCATGGTGCCGACGAAGAAGGATATCGCCTTCGTCGAGTACTACGACGAGGCGTCGGCAACGAACGCGAAGGACGCGCTGCACAACTACAAGATGGATGGCGAGAACAAGATCAAGGTGCGTAGGCGCTTTTCAATCCTCAATATCACCGTCCTGCTTCCACTCCTCCTCCGTCGATTTGCAACATCTGCCATCCTCTCTCCATAATGCCGGTTCTCCTTCGCTGACACCCACCCCGCAGATCACGTACGCCAGGAAATGATCCTGGCAATGACCTCTTTACGCTGTACGGCTTGTTGTATCATAATGTTTGTTCAACCTCTTGCACGATGCTGCTTGCGCGCCTGCCCCTTCTCGTGGTCCCTTTTCCCTGTGCGCTCCCGAAGGTCCAAGAAGCGACTCGCTTGTGCGTGGATTCACTTATGTGAGTGTTTTCAGCCTGGCGCTCGAGTGTGTGCGCGCCAATTACTCTTCCATACCTTCCTTAGCTCAGTTGGAAGAGCGTCAGACTGTAATGGATACCTTCACATCTGAATGTCGCCTGTTCGAACCAGGCAGGGAGGACTGAGTAGCAACTTGCCGTTGCCTTTTTGCTTGAGGGCGCGAGGGTCGCTCACACTCAGCTTGCCCATTCCATGATTGTGAATCCTATTCAATGAGCTCGAGCGATGCGGGTGGTATAGTTTCCGTGACTTAATGTCGACTTCGGAAGGCGGTAGTCACGTTGTCGGAGTGACGAACGCGAACCGCGCATCTTGTCTTTAACCATCACCAGCACTCGCTTGTGTACGTCTTGCTGAAGTCGCGAATTTGTTCCTATTCTGCTACCACGATAGCCACCCCGAACAATGGGGCGACCGGGATCAACACAGCAAATCCCTGCCCTCCGGCTCACCCTAGCGACGCTGGTAACGATGGGCTCCGTACCAATTGTGATTCGTGGCTCGTGTGAATCGCCGTTGACCAGCCGTGCTCAGACCACGCCTCCCGCATATAGGGCGCATGAGGCATCGGTCAATCTGCTTTCATGACCTCCTTGCCGCCGCCCTTCTCTAGCGATACAATCCCAGCAGGCTTGGCCAGCATCGACAAGCTCACCGCGGTACGTCGAAGTACGGCCACACAGTGCGTCTATTGTCATCTAGTTGCTCGAACTTCGTACTGAAATCTACGCAGACTTGATTGCGTCGAAGCATTAGCACCTCTCGCCAGTGTCCTCGCGCTGAATCACTCATGGCAAGCTTGGGACCAACTGCGAGCGATAGATTCGTGGCGCCATCCACATGCCCGACTCCCGAGCTCCCTGATCTTGACCTCGTCTTTCTTGACCCTCGTTTAAGCTCGAACCCCGACGAGAGCACAAGTTCAAGCATCGCTGGTTCATCAAACCAGACGAACGATGCTGCTGTACCACCCGCAAATGACGCCACGCCACCAACTCAGCGATACGATAGCTCAGGATCAAGCCCGCCAACTCTTTCCCCGACACCAGTCAAGATCAGCGAGACCGAGGGGCGACGCTGCAGCTTTCTAAACCGCTACGACGATCTTAACGGCGTCTTCGTTCGGTTCGGCCCCAGCAGAGATGAGAACATATCCTTATTAGAACTTGTCGAGCAGGTCTTTCACGAGCTCGAGGATGGACCTGCGATACCTTCTCGATTCAATGTTGCTCTTCCCGCGCCCAGAAGAGGTCTTGCTGGCGAGTATGCCTTCGTCGCGCCAGCTGATCAGTCCGTCTTCGCGGCCCCGACCGACACGACGCTCCCTACTGCAGAGCAGGTGCTGTTTGAAGATGACTGGAAAGGTACCCTCGCCTTCGTCAACTATCATCCTCCAGACATGAACATCTTCCAAGGGAGATTGCTACATGTCACAGTCGGCACCGATGTCGATGAGAAGCCTCTGACGCCGAAAGGAAGACACTTCCAGTTGTATGGCTCTGTTCCGCTCGACGCGGCGCTACGCAATCTTCAAGAACTCGACTACTACCGGCTCACGCAACTCGAGCTGGTCATCAACGAGTCCCGAGTAAGAGGCGGTCTACACCCGGATGAAGATTCGCTCTCGGTCATCTTGGAAGCGCTGGCGCCACATCTGTGGCGACTGGTATTCGTGCGCATCACGTTCAAGGACGATCACACGGCATCGCACGGGGAAGCTCGCGTCACCGCCGCGTCCACATCTGCCGGGCGCACGCGTATCAGAGGATTGAAGAAGGAGTTCGGCCTGCTTTACCAGCTCGAGCTTCACGGACAGACAACGGTCTCCCGCGTCCTCCAGTTCCCCTTGCACCGGGTGTCCTATCTTGTTCTCGCCATGCCTGTCTCCAGTCAGGACCTGATGGACATAGTCGAAGCCTCGTCATGGGCCGGCGGACGCCTGCAATGCCTCTATCTGGCGAACTTCGTTGCGGGACCGATGCGAAAGCCCAGGCGGTTCACCTTGCCAGCCATACTGGATTTGACGACTGTGGATGCGATGCATCCTGGGCTGACGCAGCTCATCTATGAGATTCCGGAGGATGTAGAGGTCCGCTTGACCGCGATTGGCCCTTCGCCGTGCTCGGAGGCCGTCGAAGTTTTGTTCGCTTCTCGTCCTACTTGGTTTCTTCGTCACGTGAATGCATCGTGAGGCAGAAGCCTGGATGTCGACCACCTTCTGTCTACGACAATATCTTCTACTATAGCTCGTACATTCTTCCATCACGATATGTTATGAGCATGAATAACATTGACGCCCGGACTGAAGCCTTCGTGATAGAGATGCGGACCGTCGGGCCGTTGCATTGCCACGAGGTCCGCACTCAGAAGTGGTGCCGCTCCTTGTCCTGAACCAATAATCACTGCATCGGTCCTCGCGGTGTAGCTGTACTCATCTACCCTCTTCCTAGGCATCCGATCTACTTTGGATATGCGTGATCAAGCAACACAATTGCGGCCGAGTGCTAAACCCATCGACTTTCAGGATTCAGAGCCTCCTCGATCTAGCCCATGCCTCGCACGGGAACCACTCTCGAGGATGTCGATGTTCTTCATATCACTGTCGCGGACCACTGATCTGCTTTTGTCTATGCATGTCGCTCCCCATTCATGAATGGCATCGACAACAAAGAACCCCGCAGTGGCCATTCCCACGACGGCACCGACCATCAAAACCGACCAACGCCTCGTATACCTTGTCTCTGACGACCACCAGCGCGACGACCGAGAATGCAGGGCGCTGTGGATTCGACTAACAGTGCGTCACTGTACTCTATTTGCGTAAAATCTGACTGACCTCACCACTTCTTCAGTGCCATATAACGCCACCTATCCCGCCGACGTGGACCCACCACCCGAATCCCCTCCCCCAACATACGCGCAGGCGACCGGATCGCCCGAGCGCCGCGGGATCTACAGTCGAGTGCGCACTCGCATTCGCTCGCTCTCGCACTCTGGACCTCGGCCCCAACCCCGCAATGACCCCGCCCACGCCAGCGTGCCACAAATGCCGCAACATATCTTGGACCAGCTATACGCATTGGGCCAGCTGCCATCCTTTGTGGTCCAGCGCAGCCAAATCAGCCCAGATGCAATGTTTGACTCCTCGCGATCGTCTTCCCACTCTCCTTCCTTTCCCATGCCGCATCGCGATTCTAATGTGGCGCCCTCGAGGGAGGGCTCCGTTGACTCGCAACCTGACATTACCTTCCCGGAACCGGAGTTTCCGCAAGAGATTACTTTCCCCGTGCCAGAGATCTCCGACTCTGCGTATGCAGACGTTCTGGCACGCAACGTCGCTCCTTTGAACATCAGACCCAAGAGCTACCACAACACACCTGACTCAACAGCCGACGACGACACACCTGCGTTTCCGCCACCCAGCCTCACGCACGTTCGTATCAAGAGCGAACTCCGGTCGAAAGCATCGATCTACCTCTCCCTCGCCATCGGTCCTCAACAGAGCGAACGCTACAAGCGTTTCGAAGAGTACATGAACGCTCTAGCCAGCAACGCACGCCGACACCCGCTGGCCAACGCGAACACGACTTGCGACGAGAAGACGGCACTCGCATTCGATACGCTCTACCACAAACCCTCGTTCTACTTCAAGGAGTTGAGTATCGTCCTCCGCCACACCATCGTCCGCGGGGGCATCTTCCACGGCCAGGACGCCTTCCGCGCAGTCCTCGGCCACCTCACGCACCTGCTTCCCAGTTTTCGGACCGTGACCGTGCGCTTCGAAGCCGAGGGAGACATCGAGGCCGACTCTCTTGACGACCCGTACTCAGACTTCCAGGGGTGTTTCACGGGCCTGCAGCGTCTTTGTCTCCTTTTCCATGGTGGCACCGACAACCTCATCGCACGTCTTTCCGCGTTCCCACTGCACTCCCTGCAGAAACTCTTGCTCACCGGCAAAATGTCTGAGGCGGATGTAATTTGGATTTTATCGCAGCCTCGACCGCACCGGCTCAACAAGCTGAGCGTACGCACGCTCCTGTACGACGGCGATCTCGAGCAACCTCTCTCACCCAAGCAACGACGCAAGCTCAAGTGGCCGGAGAGGCTGATCATCACCGCGCAGCGCGTCCCTACCTTTTTGGGCATCGTGCCGCGCAAGTGCGAGTTCACGCTCAAGTTGCCGGCCGCGGACGCGGCGGTGCAGCGTCTGTTCGATGGGGAGGTCATGCCGCGGTGGACTCTGATTGTGGACCCTAGAATCGGTGGTGAAGATAGTGTATAGCAATCAAGACAACGGAATTTTTCTATGGATTTCATGCGGGAGAGTACGGCTTGCCAGCGAGGCGCTTGTCAATGGTGCTGAGGGATGCTGCAAGCGCGACCGGTATGAAGGCTTGCCGTCTTCAGCTCGGTAATGTGCCCTCTGGAGGTCGGCAACCGTTTTGTATTGTCCTCTCGCGGTGTATACGGCATGACGAGAGCGATGAGCACAGCGAAGCCCAAGGATATTAGTTTGAACCATCCATTGGGACACCGCGTTAGTTCCTCCGTCCCAGCCCTTGGCAAGTAATCTGAATATATAGATGCCATTCTAGGTGCGTGTACTATTACAGAAGTGCATAAATACGAGATAGCATAGCTGACTACGGTTTACTTATAGCTTTTACAGTAATAGATCCCAAGTGTCGCAATCGACTTTTGGTTCTGGCCCTATGGCCACACATGCAGACATCACCACCCACCACAACCACCCGCGATCCAAAGATGACCGCGTCGCCCGAATGCGGCTTTAGGCCTTGGGCGGCGTGCCCGCGCGCGACGCGATCCTGGAACCGGAGCGGCTCTGAATCCCGCCTAGCGCCGAGTACAGCGTGTCCTCCTCGTACGCGTTCTTCTTGCCCCTGCGGCGCGCGCGGCGCTCCTGCTTGTAGTGGTTCGAGATGAGGAACGCGAGGTCGAGGGACTGCTCGAAGTTGAGGCGCGGGTCGCAGAAGGACTGGTAGCGCAGCGGCAGGTTCGACTCGCAGAGCTCCATCGAGCCGCCGACGCACTCGGTGACGGAGAAGCCCTTGTCGTCGAGCTCGCCGGTGAACTCGAGCGAGACGCCGCCGAGGCGGGAGTTGTTCTCGGCGTGGATGCGGATGCACGAGGTGAGCTCAGAGATGATGGTGCCGAAGCTGCGCGTCTTGAGACCGGAGGCGGAGGTGTGGGTGCTGAGGATGATGTTAGTTCTGGCTTCGTGAAATGGATCGGACGCTATACTCACTTGCCGTGCATGGGGTCACACACCCAGGCGACGGGGTGTCCCGACGCCTTCACCGCCGCGATATGGCCAGGCAAGAACTCCTCGACCTTCGCCGCGCCGTAGCGAGTGATGAGCGTCACCCGCCCCAGCTCCTTATCCGGGTTCACAATATCCAACAAGCGCACCAGCTCCTCGCCCTGCATCGACGGGCCGACCTTGCACCCGATCGGGTTGCGGATGCCGCGGAAGTACTCGACATGCGCATGCGTGAGCTGCCGTGTGCGGTCGCCGATCCACAGGAAGTGCGCGGAGGTGTTGTAGTGCGCCTTGCCGAGGGGCTTGCCCGACGGGACGTGCGCGCCCGAGGGGACGGGGAACTCGCGCGTGAGCGCCTCCTCGTAGGGGAGCATGAGCCCCTCGTGCGAGGTGTAGAGGTCGACCTCGCCGAGCGGGTCGTGCCCGCCGCCGTGCTCGAAGGACTTGCTGCTGTCGTGGCCGATGGTGCGGCTGAACTCGAGCGCGTCGGACAAGCCATCGAGGATGTTTTCGAACTCTTGGCGGAGGGCGGGACTCTGAACGTGGCCGAGGGACCAGTCGCGGGGCTGGTTGAGGTGGAGGGAGGCGAAACCGGAGGAAAGGAGACCGCGGAGGTAGTTGAGGGTGGTGCTGGAGTGGAAGTAGGCGCTGAGCATACGCTCGGGATTGGGCGTGCGGTCGTCGGGGTCGAGGCCATTGACGTTGTCGCCCCTACAACCGGATGTGAGCGGCGCTAGTAGTGGGAACACGGGAGTGGACTGCATACCTGAAGCTGACGACTTCCCGATCACCGATCTTCTCGGTGGCGCTGCTGCGCGGCTTCGCGTACTGACCTGCGATGCGACCAATACGGACCTGCAGATATAGGGTCAGTGAATGCTGTTGGCGAATAAGTGCTGTGTACATACAACCGGCATACGAGAACCCCAGACGAGAATGAGGGAGAAGGAGAGAATGAGGCCGAGCTTGTGCGCGATAGCTTCCTGGTTGCATGCGTCGAAGCTCTCGGCGCAGTCGCCAGCATGTAGGAGGAAGGCCTCGTTCTGCTGGACCTTGCCAAGCTGGTAGCGTAGACGCTCGATCTAGCACGCGAGTGAGTCATTCGTCAAGGGGAAGGACGTCGATCATGCACACCTCTCCAGGAGTGACGAGAGGGGGGAGCTTGGAGACCTTCTTCAAGACGTTTTCCAGATGATCTTGGTCGGGGTAGACGACGTCCTAAGTCACAGTCAGCGGGGGAACTCCGCCACAACCTCGCATACGCACCTGCGCGATCGGCTTAGTCCTCCACGACGAGGGGGACCAGTCATTGTTGGTCGACGACGAAGACATATTGCTCGTGGTGGTGGATGTAGAGTGTTCCGAGTGGGGGGACGTCCGAGCAGAGTGTGCACCGAACAGACACGTCGGGCAGTTACTTATAGGCTGGCTGTTTGGGCCCGACATTTGCGGTAAAGAGGAGGTATTTTGATTGGATCTGTTTGGGCCCGGCGTAAGCGTTCGTCGGGGACGCGACGTCCGCATGAGCCCGGCAGGGTTACATACCGCGTGTCTGGCCTGGTTCGTCTCGAGGGAGGCGGTGGCGGGCGGGAGTGCTATGAGTCGTGTCCTGAACGGACCTGATGAGATCTAATCTGCGCTGCGGCAATCACCGGTGCGTCGATCGTGTTTTGCTGAGCACTCGGGGTCCGGCGGAGGGCGAGCTTTGGGTCCTCAGAAAGTCAGAGTCTTCAACCTGGATGGAGGGGGGAAGCAAGGAGGACGAGGGGGCGGAACAACGAAGGAGGAATTTCGCTCTGGACCGTCACGAGCTCGCGGAGAGAAAACCTCGTGGCGTTCGGCAAACGCCGGTTCCGGACATTCCGCGTCGATTTCGATGGCTGTAGGCGCCTACCATCATCGTCCCGGACAGGCAGCGGACACCATCGCTCGCTCGCCCCTGATCATACCCTAAACTACCCCATCGAATTTCTAGTGCTTTTTGCTAGCTCTGTTCCTCAGCCTGCAGTCGTCATCTCGGCATACAAAATGACTTCGGGGCGGCCAGCACGCCAATCCAGCTCAGCTCGCGACGATTGATTGCTCGCCAAGCCCGCGTCTGAAGACTGTCTACCTCTATGACCTCAGCCCTGCTCTTCTCCCTCACTGTGACCGCTAGCGGCCGTCTGCGTCGGGGCCAGTGGCTGACGAGATCAGTCAACAGCCCGACAGCGGCCTCCCGATGCAAGCATTGGGACGTTGACCGCCGACAATCGCTCAGAGATGAAGGCACTATATTCGACTGAGAATACCTTGACCACTCTTCGTGTTCACCGCAGACCCAAGCGCCTCGCAGTTGTCAAGCATACCTTCAGACTTTGCCGTAAGGGGCGCCCCTTTCGTGCTAGTTCCACAGGCCATGGTCTCTCTCCTCATAAGCTTCAGAACTCTGAAGAGCTCAACATCATAGCGCTAGCTAGGTGATAGGCATTGCTCGCAGTAAGCAGGTATTCTTAGTTCTTATGTGGCCACGCTTGATCTTCTCAATCCAATCTACCTTCAGTGAACACCCTCGCGTCCTCCGCACCCAGACCGTTCCTCGAACATCGGGCCTCAGTCACCTTTTAGTCGCTCGCCATCCCGCACCCTCTCCCGTCATCCATCCTTATCCACTTCAGTAGCATACGCTGGCCAACTCCACTCAACCCTTGAATGCCAGTCATCGCCTTTCACCCACATCACCGAGATCCCGCATCCCCAGCGCAGCCCGCGAGTGTGTGTGTGCTTATGGCAGGTAGTGACGCGTATCCCTTCTACTCTACCTTGCAGTCCCTCTCGCCGCTGGTATCCGCAGCGCAGTGACGTCCTTCCGTCAACGCAGCAGCCCCCGCAAGCAGCCTTCCGCCAGCAACCTGTCTCTGCATCGCACCCTCATTGACCTACAGGTGCCCTCAAATGATTGACGGGCGCCCGCCGTTGATAACCTCCACGGTGTGCTTAACATCTATCTTGACGTGCCGCTACGGCTGTCCGTCCTCCGCATTCCCTTTGTCTCCGGTGCGCTGTCGCCATTAGGCAGGTGCTCGTGCGGGCATACACACCGTCGAGGACGTATACTCACGCCGTCGAGAAGGGTTCACCACGCCGTCTGATGATGTCGAGAACCCGTTCAGCTATTCAGCCACTCTGTGTGCACGACCGCTAATTCAGCGACTTCGACAAACCATCCTCTCGGGATGCCGTCCCTCGCCTATCTACCGCTGCCCTCTGAACCCTCTCTACCGCCGCACTCCACGGAATTACTCGCTTTGAAAAGCTCAGTCGTATCGCAACGTTACTCTCGCCTATCTCTTTGCTCGCTGGCCAGCGAACGTTGGCTGATACACACTTCAGTATTTCCCGCCTGTGCCCGCGCTGCGTTGCTCGCCGAATAGTTCTGTATAGTCACGCCGTACGAAAGCATTGTTTGCGTCCTGATACAACGGGAGGAGCGTTACCCAGTACTCGGCAGTCTGATTCGACCGTCGCTCGCCCCTCGACAGTGGCCGTCTTTTTCAGTACTGCCTGCTGTGCTTGTGCCAGTCAATGACCTGGCCTCTCGGGATCGTGTAATGGTTCAGTGCTTACATGCTCGCGAGAGCGCAAACCAAGGTGGTAGATGGAATATCTTTACCTTGGCTGATTCACTAAGCCCCAGCAATATACTCCGCCATCTCACGAACGTTGTGAGGGAATACCGCGACGTTGACGCACAGCGCATGGAGGACCGAGATGAAGGCGGCAAGCCTTCGTCGAGTCTAGCGTTTCACGAGATCACCCAGCGACGAGCAACCAAGTGCCCTGTTCTTGACAAACTCTCCAAGGTCGCCGTCCTCTGTTAGATAGTACCGCCCGTGGGAATTCCATATATTGCCCAACAATGCCTTCCTTTTCCGGAATACTTCCGCCCTCCGGCCGTGATGTCATGTCACTGACAGAGGCTCATCGGGCGCTCGCCTGACGCGGTCTCCCGCTTCTGCATGTATGCGCGCCCTTCCTTATCTCCCGCCATCTTCCACTGATCAATGGCGCCCAACGAACAGAAGCAGGTCTTCCGCGTCGCCCTCCGCGGCGACGCGCTCCTCACCTCCCCGCGATGGAACAAGGGCACGGCGTTCACGACGGAGGAAAGGCACGCGTTCGGGCTGACGGGGCGCCTGCCGTATCGCGTGAACACGGTCGAGGAGCAGGTCGAGAGGGCGTACGATCAGCTTTCGGGGCGGAGTGATATTGGGAAGAACTCGTTTCTGCAGAGTATGAAGGCGCAGAATTGGGTGCTATACTACAGTTTGATCGGCAAGCATCTGCATGAGCTGGTGCCGATCATATATACGCCGACGGAGGTGAGTAGGAGCCGGTAGCAGGGCCAGGAGTTGGAGGAGGAGGCTGACGCCCGTTCGCAGGCAGAGGCGATCTCGCAGTACTCGCACTTGTTCAGGCGGAGTGAGGGACTCTTCTTGACGTACCATCACCGGGATGCGATGGAAGACGACTTCCTTGAGCAGGTAAAAGGGAGGGACATTGACCTCATTGTCTGCTCGGACGCGGAGGCGATCCTGGGCATTGGCGATCAAGGTGCGTCGCGTCGTCAGCCTAAGCCGGACGCGTCCTGACCGTACTCTTCCAGGTGTCGGAGTGCGTGCTACCCTCAGAAACGCTCACGACGCGTGGAGTTGACCCTTCATCCTCTTCACGCTCTTCAGGGCATTGGAGTGCGTCTACAAACGGCCTATATGCGCGCTTCATCTAACCACGGAAGCAGATTTCGGCCGCCAAGTCAGCCATATACACGTGAGCGCGTCCTGCCGTACCCAGCCCTTGCCTCCTTCTCATCAAGCTTTCTAGCCTCATAGGTGGTATCGATCCCTCGAAGTGCCTTGCCGTCACCCTTGACGTTGGGACGGACAACGAGGAGTTGCTGGGCGATAAGCTTTACGTTGTACGTCTACAGGACCCGGTGGTCTATTCGGGGCGTAAATACTGAGTTTCTACAAGGGCTGGCCGCATAAACGCGTCCGGGGGCAGGAGTATGACGACTTCATGGAAAGGTCAGTGTGGCGATATGGTTGAGAGGATGACGGGCTCAAAGGCGCTTTGATAGGTTCGTGCAGCTCGTGCGCAAGCATCTGCCGCATTGTCTGCTTCACTTCGAGGACTTCGGTGTCACGAATGCGAACCGGCTCCTCGCACGATATAGGCATACGCATGCCGTGTTCAACGATGATATGTAGGTGACACTTTAGTCGCTCGCATCTGCAGAAGCTGAATACATCCAGTCAGGGAACCGGCGCGGTCACTCTCGCCACTCTGATGGCAGCCGTCGGCGTCGCGAAGACTAAGTTGGGCGACCAGAAGGTCATCATCTACGGCGCAGGCTCCGCTGGCCTGGGCATTGCACGCCAGCTGCGCGACGCCATGGTTGCCACCGACGGCCTCTCAAAGGAAGAAGCCACCTCCCGCTTCTACCTCCTCGACCGCTTCGGCCTCGTCCGCAAAGGCCTTGCCGCCGAGCGCGTCCGCGAGGACCAGGCGGAGTTCGCGCGCGCCGAGGAAGAGTGGAACCCAGACTCCGATACCGCAATCTGCCTGCTCGATGTCGTGAAGCGCGTGCATCCGACGGTGCTCATCGGCACGTCGACGCACGCGGGCGCGTTCACGAAGGAGGTGATTGAGGAGATGGCGAAGCATGTGGAGCGGCCGATCATCTTTCCCTTGTCGAATCCGAGCCGGTTGGTGGAGGTGCACCCGCACGATGCGAACGAGTGGACGGGCGGGAAGGCACTGTTGGCGACGGGGAGCCCGTTCCCGCCGGCGAAGATGCCGAGTGGGAAGGATTATAAGTGCGTTGCGTTTACCCTTAGGCTTTTTCTTACTCGCCCACCCACTGACACCTCTCGCATCCCAGCATCGCCGAATGCAACAACGCCCTCGTCTACCCCGGCCTCGGCTTTGGTGCCATGCTCGCCAAGTCCAAACGGGTCACCGACACCATGATCATCGCCGGCGCGCAGCGCCTCGCCGCGCTCTCGCCCGCCCTCTCCGACCCCGACGACGCGCTGTTGCCTGATTTTGGGGACGCGCCGGATGTGAACTTTGAGGTGGGCGTCGCGGTGGCGGAGCAGGCGGTGGAGGAGGGGACGGCGGGGGTGGGGTGGGCGAAGGAGGAGGTGAGGGCGAGGGCGGAGGAGAAGAGGTGGCAGCCGGTGTATGGGGAGTATATCTATGATCCGGAGGGGGAGAGGTAGGAATAGGACTTGAACAGCGAAGTTTGAACATGCAATGTACCACTTTATAGAATAATCAAAGACAACGGAATACTGTAGCATCGCTGATCCAAAGACACAACATTTACCGGATAGGCCGACCGTTGTGGGTCCATCACGTGGCAAACCTTGTGATGCGTGATTTGGAGGTTATTTGCTATATTTGGTAATTATTGATCTTGCCCTCAACTTCCATCTTGACCACTTTACCAGCGCCCGCTCGGAATGCTGCCCTCTGCAGCTCTCGCAGACCTACGCACAAAGCATGTTGAATAGATTTACTTCCTGCAGACAGCTGGTCGGCTTCATTAAGCCGTGATACCCATGGGAAGCGGATGAGAATAGCTCGCGATGCCTTACACCGCTCCGTGCCCTTCTAATGCGCCTTGCATTGATAGCAATTCCCAAGCGCTCCTCCTGACCAGGAACTTGAATAGGCAAAGGTGCGTTTCTTACGTCGCCGCCAGCCTCTCGGACCCTGTTCACTCTTCCTCGCTCCAGCGCCGACGGCCGAATAGCGGCCTCTTCATGCAGCCCTTCAACGGGCCTTCCAAGTCGGCGGAAACGGGCGCCTCTTGGCCCCGAGGTCTCATGATTGCCATACACAGTGGTCTTCTTCAACCGAGTATCGACTCGGCATCTGATATAGCCAGCTGGCTATATAGACGTCGGTTCTCGGCAGGGATGCCCACTCTCGCTGCAGTGACGTGTGCGCGATCGACTTGCTTTCTCTCCAAACGAGATGGCTCCTACCGCTACTAGCGCCAATGGAACCGACTCTACCACCACGAGGAGCGGCCAGAATGTGAAGAACCTTAAGAAAGACCCTGTTGACCGAACCTGGCGAGGGAATAAGGCGGGGACGATCACCATGGACCAGCGCATCCCGAAGTTCGACGACCCGTACGAAGAGCGGGAATGGATCAAGGTGCGTGGACTACAGTCATTCGGGACACGGGTGCTCAAACGAAGTCGTGTAGGCACACTTGGCTGGGGCGCTGCGATATATGGGAAAGAAAGGGTACGGCGAGGGCGTCACTGGCCATATCACTGTCAAGGATTCGGTCCTCCCTGATCATTACTGGTGCGCGCACTACTTCACTCTCCAGGCAAACGAGGCTGACATGTCACAGGATGAACCCGTTCGGCGTGCACTTCTCGTCGGTGACGGTACGTTTTGTAACTAGCTGTGAGTAATGCAGTTACTCATCGAGCCCCTCAGAAATCCAAGCTCGTACTTGTATCCCCAGACGGCTATGTGACCGAACACGGCGCACAATACCCCATCAACATCGCCGGCTTCTTCATCCGTCAGTCCCCTCCCACTACCTGTCCTTCTTCCGCATATTCTGATACCTCCTCTACTCTCACCCAGATTCCTCTATCCACAAAGCCCGCCCAGACGCGCGAGCCATCGCTCACTGCCACACCATCCACGGCAAGGCCTGGTCCGTCTTCGGGCGCCCCGTCGAGCCACTCACGCAAGACGCATGCGTCTTCTACGAGAACAACAGCGTGTACGAAAACTTTGGCGGCGTCGTGTTCGCGCAGGCGGAGGGCGAGAACATCGCGAAGGCGCTGGGTTCGAAGCACCGAACGTGTATATTGCAAAATCATGGGCTGTTGACAAGTGCGTTTGCCACGTCGTATGTGTGCGTGCGATGCTGACGTGATCGCAAGTCGGTGACACGGTCGACGAGGCCGTATTCACCTTCGGCGTGCTGGAGAGAGTATGTCAGGTGCAGCTTCTAGCGGAGGCGGCTGCGGCGAATGGGATACCGAAGACGCTCATCGGCAGGGAAGAGGCTGAATTTACGGCTTCGACCTTTCAGGATAAGGACCTGCTGGTGAGTGATTTTACCAAGCACGGTAGGCTACGTTTGCTGATCGCTGGTCATACGTTCCAGTACATGAACGTGGGTTTCAAAGCTTTATGTGCTTTGAGAGCGAAACGACTAACCAACCCATTATTCAGTTTCAACCCGATTACGAGCTTCTCTTGGAAGAGACGAACGGGAGATTTCTCGCATGAAGCTCGAGCCAAATTTGATACTCAATCTGCATAACTATTAAGAGTATGAGCTCTGAGCCCGATGGCTAGTTCCCAATTTCCTTGTTCAAAGCGAGACAACACATCGGACGAGAGGCGAATAGAGGTCCCGATGCAATGCAAGGGAGCGGCAGTAGACCTCCTGCATAAGTGCCGGCTTTGTGAGATGGCATAACTGGAGAGAGCCAGATACCGATTTCGGTTCCACTTCGAGCAGTGGCCACTGGCCGCGTTCAAATCAACAAGAACACGTGGTCAAACAAAGGCTCGGATGTTATGCACGTGATTGCCACGAGTTCGCGCGCATGAGTTGTGTCGCGTCGCTGATCCAGTTCTTGCATTCTACCATCACCGCCCTTGCCACTCGTCGCTCGCCCGCTGACCATGACATCCGAGGATACACAGACCAGCATCTCTCCTGTCACTCATCGCGATGGGGCAATATCTGGGAAGCAGAAATTGCGCGAATTCACGATCACAGTCCAGGACATCGTCCCGCCCGGAGTCAACCTCCACGACAAAAGTGTCAAGCACTGCTACATCCAATCTCGACCCACCTATTACTTGGGCTACTTTATGTCGACGAGGGGGTTCTACGAGAGCATGAAGAAGAGCGGGAGGGCGGAAGCGACCATGACGGCCACACTTGACAAGTACCTCGCGTATATAAAGGAGAAAAGTGGAATAACGTGGGGCCATGGGTTAAAGAGGGAGATCCTAGCTGGAGAAGAAAGGTGGTTGATCTGGCTGATGAGGTCTGGGCGCAAGGAGGATGTGTACACCGCAGAGCCGGAGCTGGTTGCCGACTTCCGGAGACTGCTGGGCGCTTGCGTGGATCCCGGGATTATCATATACAATCACTCGAAGGTGAGTTTGCTTGCATTTTCTCCGTCGATCGCGTGCTCACCAGTGTTTTGTAGCACTTTATATGCTGATGGCGTATCGCTGTCCAACGATCGGGTCACTGCTCTACGACAATCCTCTACAGCAGAGGCGTGCCAGCACGTCGCTTGAATGTCGGAGGGAATCGATATATTAGTAGGACTATGCCGGATCATGACGAGACAATTTCTACACAGCTCGTTGTATGTACTCCGGAGAATGAGGAGGATTATAGTAGTTAATGTAATCTTCGGATTGTGCGAACTCCTTAAGCAGCCTCAGTGGCATCGCCTTGACATGATAAACTCTGACACTGGTACCGCAGGTCACTTCCGCCAAGACCAAAACAAGCGACTCGTCTCTGATGAACGTTGACTCGGTCCGATGGATAAGACCCTCGTACCCCGGCTTCTTGAGAAGGCTGGTGAATGTATCGGCCCCGCCAGCAAGTCGATCCTCCAATATGCTCGGTTGTGTGGGCTGGCTGGGATGGTCCTCCTGATCCTCTGGCCAGCTATCCTCGTCCAAGAATACACGATAATCGCAAAACAAGCGCGAAATATTGATCAAGATGGAGATCGTGGGCGGCCGTTCGGTAGGTGGCGCATTTTCCTGCAAGCGCTCGACGCTCCGGAGAATCGCTCGTGCGTGCATGTTCAAGTAGTGGCGCCCACAAACGGAGATGAAATGAGCGTCTTCGGGGAAAAGTGTATCTATATTGTCACGTTCGTGAGCAACCAAGATGGTAATACCGACGTTAAACCACGTACTAAGCTTAGATGAGGAGAATCTGCGCAAGTATCCCAAGTGACTCGCATCACTGCCTGCGCACACGTCTTTGTGCAGAGGCCGATGGGAACGCTGACAATCCTTCGAGCAATAGAACGCGTCAAGGCAGGCACAGCGTCGAAGTTTTTTTGCATGTTGTGCCCGACACTGAAGACCAGGTCAAAATAATCTTGTAGACGCTGCGCTTTCTGCTCACCTCAGGAAGCGCGCAGGCCTTGTAGTATGACGCACGCCGCACCAACTCGCGTTCCTTAATCCAGGCGTCGATGGCGGAGAGCACAGCAGGAGACGCAAATTTCCCACTGATGAACGTCAACAGATGCGTGCCCTTGGGGCAGAGGGCACGAAGCACGCAGAGTCGGTACGTGTTTTCAGCGACGAACCGTATCGCTGCGTAGGCGAACTCTAGCTTCGCTTCCTCTATGTCCCCGTTCACCACCCAGAACAAGCCTGCAAGAGCGTCCTCCCGCAGGGCCCAAGCAATCGAGCGACCGTCCTCGCAGGACCTCCATATGGCGTACAGCACCATGACCACGCCGATGGATTTCGAGGGGCCGCCGCAGCGATGATCGCACAGAGTGCGCATAAGGCGGACGAGAGAGCGTATGGTTTCGCGTCTGTGTTTTGTTACAGGAAGTACCGTCTGCGCAAGCCTGGCAAACGCGGCCATGTGGGTCTGGAATGCGTTGATGCTCACGAAAGCATCATCGCTGTTGGTGCCGGTAGCAATGGCGAGAAGCTTGTGCGCGTGCTGAAGGGCCCGACGGTAGGCCTGCCGAGGGCGATTTCGTACAGCTACGAGCACGCCGGCGACGCAGAATGGATCAGGCGGAGAGACGGAAAGTGGAGCACGATCGATGCTTCCAAATCGGTCTCTCTCCTCGATGAACGCTCGTTCGCCCATCGCATTGGTGACAGCGCACGCAATGGCATCCATGCAAATGCCAAAGTTCGTTCGACGAGTGTAGTACTGGTCAAAGCGCAACCATAGATAGAATAGCAATCGATAGAGCTGTGGTGTTTCTGCGCATAGAGTGGCGACAGGACCCTGGCGGGAGACGAGGGTATAGATCACGAGGGCGAGAATTCGGAGGGGTACATGTCCGAGGCGGCGCGTCCCTTTATGATGCATGGGGTAAAGATAGTCGAGCCAGAGCATGAGCGTAGGCCACAGAGTACGCACGCAGTCATCGAACATTGCGTTAAGCGTCTCGTCGGGGCGATAGCTGGGATCAGGCTGGATCTGGAACGTGCCTGCGCACTCCAAAAACTCCAGTTCCTTCACCACAGCATGGATCTGCGGAGATTGGAGTCCCCAATTACAGTCATTGAGTGTGAAGGGATCAAGCAACAGGTGGTGGAACGTAGTCGCTGGTGTGCTCAAGCGCGCTCTCACAGCTGCGATCTTCTGCCTGGTAACGGGAGGTGGGCCCCTTCGTAAACTCTCGTACGTTGGCATGGCTGCGGCGAATTAACCGTCTGGATACTTGGTTGGTCAGCGACGAACGCCAGCGGTTGGATTTGTCGAAGGGTGTTGCGAGGAGGAGCCGGCATGTATGGGGACTTCCAATCGCTTTATATGAAGGGCGTTACTCGCATGAGTTACGTGTATGATTTTTCTCTTAGAACGATTGCTGCGCCGATAGAACGGTCACCTGGGCTCTTGTGAACCTTCTTCAAAGCGCGGATACATTCATTTGAGCTCACCCATTAGATGCGAAGGTCACGCTCTTAGATTGGGACATGACCCTTGCATCACAGCGTCCGGGCGTCTCGCAGCATGCTTGACTCAGACGTACATCTCCTGTTCCATCGATTTCTAACCACTCGAGGCGCGCAGTCGTCACAATTACACCGACTCATCGCCCGCGCGTGCCTGCAGAAAGCCGCAACGAAGCCAGACCTATCGCAATGACATGTATCCCTTCGCCGCTCTCCGTATCTAGCACCTTGGCTACGATATGCACGGGCGTTTCCTTGTTGACCGTGCCAGGAGGATCGTCCGGAACCTCGTAGCGCCAATAACCCGATGGCGTACCACTCGCGGCGTCCCCCTGCTCGTCGCCGGCGGTCTCAGTGACCAGGGGGGTGACAGAGAGTGTGTACTCGCAATGCACGCGCGCGACGTCGACCTTGAGGATGATGGCATGAGCGGGCCTCATGGGTGGCGTGTTCTGCAGAAAGTCGTCGATGCTCTTCATGACTATAGAACCGTTCGCGAAAATATAGTCCCTGGCGCAGACGCCGATGAAGTACACGTCCATGAGACGGCGCTTTGCTTGAATGAGTAAAAACGTCAATATATGCGAAGGCGCGCAATATGTCTGAACTCACATAGTATAGAGATACCCAGGCTGCGCATGTGATCGACGTGCACGCGGCTGTCGTTGCATATATGCTTGTGCACGGGCCAATCGGCGCGTTGGCACTCCTTCGAGCAGTATCCGGCGTTGAGGCATGGACAACGGCGGACTTTGCGTTCGGCCTTCCGATGGGTGCACTGGCAGTGATGTTAGTTAGGATTGACGGCGATGCTTGCTGTTCACTCACGGTTTGGTTAGAGCACACGTCCTGAGTATATATGTGGGACGCGGACCTCACGCGTTCCGAGATCCTCTGACGCATAGTGGCGATCAAGCGCGGATGCATATAGTCCGCGCAACGAAAGGAAAAGGCGCGATCCTCGGTGGCAAACGCGCGCGCCACGCGCAGATGGAAGGTGCTTTGAGCGACGAACCAGATCGCGTCGTCGACGAGACGTTTGTGGATGTCCACGGTATACTGGACATGGCGCATAATTGGCAGCACGCCGTACTCTATCGCCCACGCGATAGAACGCCCATCCTTGCATGAACGCCAGATGGTCGCGAGCAGGTGGACCACCCCGATCGCGTGTCGGAACTTTCCGTCTTGCCTGATCAGGATCGAACCTGGACAGGCCCTGGACAGGCAAATTGACTTCGTCAAAACGCATGATAGAAAATAACAAATCACACAGTCGTGTAGTCACTGTTCTTGGGATTCCAATGGTACCGTTTTCATGCGGATACGACACCTGAGTGCCGACTTATAGGGCACCGAAATTCAGCTGAGATCGACTCCAGGGTCCTCCAGGATCAAGTCTCTGCACAGCCCCTGCACAGCCCCTGACCAGGTCCGACGGGTTTCTCCGACACGGGGTCACCATTGACGCGGAAGTCCTGAAGTGAACGCAAGATGTGGACGAGAGCGTTGATGGTGCTTCGCGAGTGTGCGCTCAAAGGCAGAGATTCTTCTGCAAGCTGGCAGACTGCATCGATCTGGTGCTTCAGAGCGCTGTTGATGGCCCGGTCGTCAGGATGCGCAAGAGCCTGGGTGGCCAGCGATATGAACAATGTGACCACCATACGATATGCGACAGGCGGCCATAAAGTCATTAGGTAAGCGATCCGCATGGAGGATGGTCAGAGGCGTACTCACCAGTTCGGCCCATCCTCGACGGATTGCATCCATGATTGCTACGCAGTCAACTCCTTCGTCCAGCCATACCTCCACCAGCCGCGACGCGCTCACCGGATGGTGGCGAGTCTCGCGGTCCAGCCCGAGCGGGACCACCTGACCGCCGAGCAGGCGAGACGCGAAGTCCCGTGTCACGATCGTTAGTCGTCGCGGCCCCACCCCGGGCATGATATAAGGGCACACGTAGGTCTCGGAGGCGCATTGACCACCCTTGACCACATTCGACGCGTATACGAGCCCTTTCGACTGCGTACACGACACCCTCGCCCATATTGGAGTAATGGCGAACAACCAGGAGATGAAGCACCCCGCGGCGGCTGGTGAGTTCGCGAGTGAGGCATATCAGCCGCATACTGACGCCCGCGCAGTTAAAGTCGGCGGACAGCGCCACTTTATGAGCAGGAGACCGAGGCCAGCGTCCACAGCGTGAGCATCGCGAAGACACGGACCAATATCCGTCTGACTCACCACCACCATCCAGACCGCGCACGGAGGTACCCGAAGTCGCGGAACCCGTCAGCGATGCGTTCGACGACTACCCTCGCCCGACGCCCAATCATGAGCAGCAGCAGGAGCATCCTCGGCACGATGAGGTGCCGAAGAAGGCGAGGCAGGAGCGTCACTTCGAGCAGCCTCGCTGGAATGCGAAGCAGGCGATGAATGCCATGCCGAGGAATGCTGGGGCCTTTGCGACGGGCGCGCGCATCGCGCAGCCTGCGAGCAAGATGGCCATGTGAGGGGATATCGAAGGACACAGAACACATCACGAACAATGGAAGATAGGAGCAGTAACGCGAAGTTCAATACCCCGTACTCGTACTTGTATTTGTAGCCACGCCAGTCGTCTTGAAGCTTGCCCGGAGCCTCACGAAATTGAAGTTGCAGTGAAGAATGCGTGTCAATGCGGCGCGTGCATGGGTCTGCATAGAGAGCATGGGCGAAATACATGGTAGCATACAACGTCAGACGTCAACGGCGAACCCGCTCAAGCGGTCTCAGCCACGGCCTTCTTCTTGCCACGAGTCTTCTTCGGGGGTGACGGTTTGGGCTCCTTTTGGGCGGCGAGAAGGGCGGAGGTGCGGGCGAGGACAGCCTGTGTGAAGTGTTCCGGTCAGCGTCGATCCATGAGCGCGAAGAGCAAGAATGGAAGGATGATAACACAATGAAAGGCAAAGGGTGATGAGAAAGGTGAAAGAATGTCAACGCCAAAGAGTCGGACGGCCGCGTGGTGCACCGAACGGACCCCGATAGCGACATGGCGAGCACCCGCCGAGGTTTGATCGGCCTCGACGGGATCTTGATATTGCAAACGTGTCCACGCCCAGCCTTCATGCACTTTGCAGTGTCTCCAGTGGGTTCTAACGAGAGTGCGTTTTGGGGAGGGGAGAACAGATGGATAATGAGGAAAGAGGAGGGAACCAAGCAAGATCTTATTTGGCGCGAATCAGGACAGAGACGTACGGGGCGGAGGTCTGGGCGGTAGCCGCGCTTCGCGGGGCTGGCGGCGATGCCGAGGGCGCGGCGCGGGCCGGAGCGCGGGCGGATGGTGGTGGTCGAGCGCGCGGACGCGACCTTGCTCGGCGCGGCCTTCACCTTGCGAGTGGTGATCTTGATGCCGTTGGGGGAGTCCGAGACATCGATGGCCTGCAAAGCGGAGGATGGGTCAGTTGATATGCGCCTGTGTAGGAGGGCATGCGAACGCACCTTGGAGTTGGCCAAGCCCGAGTACTTGTACGAGTGGACGTTCGTGAGGTTGCCCTGTTATGTCTGGTCCGTCATGATCCTGTCTGTCTTTGAGGGAGAGACGGGGCAACGCACGGGCTCCTTGGAGAAAACTGGGCCCTCAGGGACCTTCTTCACAATGAAGGAGTTGTACTTCTGCAGAGCGGGTCAGGATGATGTACTTGCAAGATTGCATTCCGATGAAGCGACGAGAGTCGGAAGGATGGGTCGGCGTATGAGACGGATACTAACGCGGATGAGCAACCACTCGAGATCGTTAGACATGATGACGGACTTGGCTTGTGCTCGTCGCTGGACTCGATGAGGAACAGGCGCTGCCGGCTCGTCACGGGACTCGTGGCTCGACTGTACAGTTACGCCACAAAGGTGGCATACTCGAACCGCCACGTGACAAACTCACTTGCGACCATCTCCCTCTTTATGGCCATGGCATGGGCGATGATAAGCGAAATATGGGCTTCTTAGGCCACAAATCTATTTTTGATGCCTCTATGAGGCCTACCATCAGCGGAGAGTGTTATTGGCCCAGTGAATGCTCTCTCAGTGCTGTATTTCAAGGGAAATCGAAAGTTCATTCCTACCGCTGTCCACCGATCAATACCGACGAGTCGTTCAACCGACATGACATGAAACGTGCTATCATCTTCATGCAAAGCTTAGAGGCGTTGTCCAGCAGCAGGTCACAGTGCACACACTGCGCACTCAATGTATGAACGCGTGGTCAGATTCGGCCCGATCCAGCCGGCCTGACGCACGTTGATTTCCAACAACCAACTTCAACCCCAGCCACCTGCTACCCTCGCCGTCCGCCAGCGAGCGTATCGAACGAGCTTCCTCGCCTGATTGTGAAATTCCATCTGTCTGAATTGTCTTTCTCATACCCTTATCTCCATGTCCCGTGCCGGACCCTCGTCATCCGGCTCTCGGTCGCTCTTGCAGCGCATAAGCTCCCCGCCACCTCTTCTAGATCACAATGCGGCTTCCGGGCCTTCGCATGACAACTCGCGGAAGAGACAACGCAAACGGAAGCGCGAAACGCCACCACCAGAGATGCTGTACACGCCGTGGCTCGACCTCTGCCGCGACCAATTTTCGCGCTGTGAGAGCGCAATGGACAAGTGGGTGGCTTCCTTTGTTGCGCTTCTCCGCTTGACGAATGAGTCTCAGATTGCATTACGAGATACTCGCATACGAGCGATATATGGCGCCGACACCGCAGGAGAATGAGGCGCGGTCTCGGACGCAGTCGCTCATAATGAACGCGCTGCGGGACCTACCTTGTGTCGGCCGCCTTCAGCTGTTTGGGAGCTCAGCCATAGGCATCGTCACCCCTACCAGGTATGCGCAGCTCTACTACACCTATGCGTCATCTGAGTGTCACGTTGCTCTCAGCGACCTCGATATGGTCAACGAGAATTCCCGCCTCGCTCAAGCCGGTCAGCCCGCCTGCATCGACGCGCTCTGGGCCATCGGCAGGCGCCTCCGCCAACGGGGCATCGTCTCTGAGTTCAACGTCAACAAATGGGCCCGCGTGCCCATCATCACCTTCGCCACGCGCCCCGAGTTTGGGCCCTTCGACGTTGATATCGGCGTCAATAATGTCGACGGGCTGAATGGGGTGCCAATTATGCAGAAATATCTGAGGACCATGCCGGCGCTGAGGCCGCTGCTTTTCGTGCTGAAGCGCTTTCTGGGGCAGCGCGATCTGGGGAATGCGGCGAAGTCGGGGCTCGGAGGCTATGGACTCATGTGTCTGATCGTTGCATTCTTGAAAGTGAGTGAAGGCCATGATGGCGTAGCGTGGCGAACTCATCTTGACTTCATGTAGAATAACCCGCAGGGCCGACCCCAGTCTTACATTGATTCGCCGCTTGAGGAGCGATCGCTCGGCATACTGTTGCAAGACTTCCTCGAGTTCTATGGGACGAAATTTGACTATGAAGCTCTCTATATTGCGCCGGAAGAAGGAGCCTATCTCCCGAAAGAAGAAGGCGAGGAATGGCTCGGCGACCTCGAGAAAGCCGCCAACCGTTTGGTCATCAAGTGCCCGGTCACGCCCGGTACGCGCGTATGAGAAGACGCTGATATGCACTCAATGTTTGCTAGGACACGACGTTGCTCGCTCTGCGGGGAGAACCGCACAGATAGTCGACGCTTTTGCTGCCGGCTTGTCCATAATCCAGGAGGCCAACCTGGCGGATGAGACAATACTCGGGGCTCTCATCGGAGTCCCCCAGAAGGTATTGTTACAGGCGATACAATCGATAACTGTGACTGACTTGAGTCTAGGTCATCGACAGACGCGTCAGCCTTCGCCATCTGGTCGATAGTGGTGGCTATGGTCGAACATACGTTGCGCCACAATACCAACCATATGCTCAACCGCGTCGCGCAAGACCACCATCGCCTCCGCGCGGCCGATACCCACCATACCGCAGTCACGATCGTCCTCCGCCTTCCTACAAACGCCCGCGACATGACTATTACTAGCGGGTTGACCAATACAATACCTACCGTATTTGGAAACGCGGAAGCTCTTGGTTGATCGCCGCCGGTCATCACAATTTCGTCACAGATGTCACTCGGCAACTTCTTTTTGACGGTCACAACTCCTTTCAGACAATGGATGGGATTCCACGAGGTGCGTTGAGGCGCATCCCTTTGTATCTCCAACCACGCGCGCGCGGGTATCGTCGGCTGCCCTTTGGCCCACGCGGGGTAGACTGCTTTGAGTGGTTGTTTTATCCCTTTTTCTTGACCAGGCCGGCCTTTCGGCCTTCAAAGTCGCAATGGACAGCTCAAGATAATCGGCGGGCCAACGCGATAGTCTTCGAGCACAATGAACGATCTTCCCTTTGCGCTTGTCCCTTGTCCTCTCTGGGGGTTTAAATACCCAAGATGATGGAGGTTATCCTCATCCTTGTCCTGGCTTGACGCCATCTTCTCTGCGCCTCGTTCTCTGGCCCGCCTTCGCACATTCGCGCTTCGTCTCCTCCTACTTTCTTTTCTACCCCGCTTCCTCGCACATCTTGCACGCCATGTCGTTCAACTTTGAGGCCTACAACGTTACCTTGGGCGTGCACAGGGACAAGGGGTCGCCTTCCTTGGGCTTCAACGAGTCCTCCCTCCGGGCTGCGTTGATCGACAGCCGCCCGCTGCCCGAAACTTATCGTCTCGTCCCTTCGCCGGTGCCGGTCCTCGGTGATGTGACGAACAGGGTGAAGACGGAAGCGCAGGAGAGGATCATCTGGTTCGACCACGCGGATGGCCGTCGCGGGGTCCGTCTGCAGTTCCTGCACCCCCACAGTCAGTCCATCGTCAAGAAGGTCGTGAAGAACGCGGATGATCCGGTGTTCTCGATGCTGGACCGCAAGCGCATCACCATCGTCATCGCTGTGAGTATCTCCATCTACCGTTTCTGCGCCTGGGACTAACAATGTCATAGTGGCCGGGCTACGAGAACGTCTCATTCTCTACCGAGTTGGATCTCGTGACGCCCTACGGGCCCGTCACCCGCGGCATTGTTGCGCACGCTGTCTCTAGTGCCATGGCCCACTTCATGGAGGTTAGTATCGCTCCCGGAAGCTCCTAGGCACGCTCTGACAATCCCTGCAGAAAGTCAAGAACACCGTCGGCCTGGACCCGGTATGGAAGATCAGCCATAACCGCATCCAGCTGAAGGACGTCATCCTCCTCTCGCTGTGGACCGCCGACACCAGCGTCTGGCACGCCAACTTCGCCCTGTCGACCTAGACAGCCCTCTTTACCAGTCGTCGCTCTGGCTAGCGACGGCACCCTCCCTCTCTTACGAACTCGACGACGCGCATCGGCATTGCATTACAAGGATTACCCACAAGCACGTAACTTATTCAGACTCCACATTGTAGCTTTAGCACACCAGCAGTACACCCACCTGTAGCATTTCCATCACACCTACCTTGTACGCTTCGCGTACCACATTGTATCTATACGCATCGCGTACCCATTGTATACTAGTACCTTTCTCGGCTTTTTTCGATGTAGCACCAGCATACTCTAGTACAGCTCACATTAATCCCACTGTACATCGGAGTCTTCTTAAACAATGAGTTCGATTCCTCGAATCAATAAGCTACTCGGCGTCTGCACCCCCAAGCTTGGAAAGTATCATGTCCAACTTCTGCTCCAGCGCCGCCATGCGGTCGTGTACACCCTTCTGTTCGCCTATGAACCTCTGCTCCAGAGCCTTCAGACGCAGCTCGACGGTCGACAACTCTGGGCGAAGCGTCTCCTCCTTCACTAAAATCCAGACATGGTACGACATATGCTCCCGATTGCGGCAGTTTTCGCAGGCGAAGACGTCCTGTTGGGTATCTGGATACGCATCAGATGAGATTCAGGTATGTCCATGTAAGATACGCACTGATATAACAAGAAGCGCAGTACCAGCACGGCAAGATGACGGCGCTGCGACATTCCTCGCAGGTCGGTGGCGCAATGGACTCCTCGCGGCATCCTGAGCGGGTCTCGAAAGCCATCGCCGTCTTCGGCGTAAGTGGCGATTCAAGCGAGAAGTCTTCCAAGCGAGTAGCGATCCTCTTCACTCTATCGAGCGCCTCAAGCGCGTCTTCGTATACGGCCTTCTTCTGGTAGTCGTGCAAGACGTAGTTGAACCTCGCAAGAGCATGAGAACGCTTATGTACGAGGGCGCCGCTAGTTGGAGTCTGGTCACGACAGTCGACGCAGAGGTCGATCTGATAGCGCAAGCCCTCTTCGGCGCACTGGAGGCACATGTATCGGTCGTCGACTATGATACGATGGCAAGCGTTGCACCATGCATTGCTGAAAATCGTGTTAGTCCTTCCTCCCATCTATCTTCGCCGAAGGTATCGAACTCACTGGTGAATACATAGCTGCCTGCGACGGAAAGCGACGATTGAGAAGTAGAAGCGCGCATCCTCGGGGGAGATGGACGCGTTCAGATGTCGCAGCGTATCCCACTCCGCCCACGAGAGCGGCGGCTGAGCAGCGAAGAGACTCCAGTTGATGCGCCGCATATGCAGATCGACATAGAGCTGCTTCTCCTGCAGTCGCTGCCTAAAGTACGTTGCGCTCCAACGTTGGTGACGCACACGATGCAGCACGGCTTCGCGCGCAAAGCGCCAGAACGTCGCAGCCGAGCGACCCTCCTCGTCGATGCAGTGGCGGAATCTGTACACGTCTCCGGGTGTGCGTACGAGGATGAGCGATTCAGGGGATACGTCGCCGGCGTTTCCCCACGAGCCTGACAGCATGTTCGTTCCCTCGAGGTAGCCTCCCTCGAACGACAACGTGTTCAGTGCCGTGGAGGATACCCAAGGGACGGCTTGGAAGGTGACAGTGAATTTCAGCGTGATCAGCCCATCCTCGTCGGTCTCGCACGTCCCGTCAATCGTACAGTCGGCGAGCGCGCAGCGGCCGGTACCAAAAACAACTCCGTCTTCGTCCACGTCGAGCGAAATGTCAAGCAGCCCGGATACCCAGCCAAATTGCATGCCACCGTGATATGCACAAAGGCCGGTCCAAGTGCCCGATATATGGGAGTTGGTGGTCGCGATCGCAGGCGAGGATACGTAGCCAGAGGAATCGTATGCCCAGGTGAGCACGCCTTTGGGCTTCTCTCCTTGGTTTTCCAGAGTCAGGACTTCGTCATCCCCCTCGTCCACGTTGGAGTCGAGATAATAGCTGAACTGCAAGATATTGTCGGCTGCGTAGTCCTCGAGGTTCTGCGAGAGATCGGCAACGTATTGGAACTTTCTCAAGGTAAGCAGGAGTCAAAGATGTTTGCAGTGGACCGCTCACCATGCCGAAGGCGTATGTACCTAAGCGTGCATGGCGATCAAGTTGTGTCTGACGCATGATAGCTAGGACGCTCGTCAGGCTCATGCTAAGAACGTGTTTGAATCAGACTGCACTTACCACTAAGCCTCAGAACACGTTCGTCTACCGCTGCCATGAGCTGGTACAGAGACTCCGACGCCGAGGCGAGCTCAGCCTCATCGAGCAGGTACGCATGGCCCAGCCGTATGATACCCAGATGGTGGCAGAGGGTCAGATACAGCAGTGGGAAGATGTACTAAAGCGTTGTCAGCTTTTGTTCACCACCGAAGGGAGTAACATACCCTGTCAATCCTGCCAGGACCTTTGACCACCTGCAGCGTACTCTGGTCGTCGATCTCGAAGTTGACACCCTTCAGTCTCTGCTTCAGCTTAGCCTCCTCCGCGCGCGTATACGGGCGCAGCCGATCAAGTACGCTCTGGTGCGCTCTTGGGCGCGAGGTATCCAGGCCGCGAAGGAGGAGCTCGATGCGCCGGAAGGCGATATGGCCGAGGTACTGATCGACGGCGCTGCGATTGGCGGGGCGGAGCTCGTCGAGCATGCCATACATCGCTTGCATGGTGCGCAGGATCTTGACGCGGTAGTCGAGGAGGGAATCGTACCAGCCTTCGCCCCAATATACGAGCCAGTGGAGAAGGCTATGATGTGGTGATTAGATAGCGGAAACAGGTCGCATTCGGGTCACTCACCTCCACTTCCTCGGCCGCGAAGAGGTGAAGACGTTCACTTCGCGAGTACTGACTAGAGAGATCTAAGCGTGTGATCCACATCTAGCCACGCCTCACTCACTAAACCCCGTCCCATCATCATCGAAAGCCTCCGAAATTGGCTGCACCGTCAACATCGTCAACGCATTGATCGCCCACTGGTCCGGGTCTGAATCCCTCTTCTGCCTCTGCAGCGACTCCGTGATCGCTCGAGCGATGTCCTCCGGTGGCTGCTGCGACATGCAGGACGCCGTCGAGCCAGGCGAATGCAGATCCGGGGGCGTGTAGACCATGGACATGCGTGATACCTGGTAGGCGTCGGTCCGATGATACTTGCTACGGTGCTTCTCGATAACGTGGTCGCGCAGTGCGAGGGTGAAGTGGTGTGCTTTGACGGCGTTGCGCCAGTGCTTAAAAGGAGGTTAACAATGCAGCCGATTCGTTAGACATCCCCAGCGCTTACCATCTCTTGCCAAAGGTTGTGGATGTCCTCGTCCTTGATTCGCTCATGCGCTCCATGAGTGTACACCCTTGTCAAATCAGTTACTACACGGTCACCCTCCCGATGTATTGACGTCTCGATGTTCTCCAGTGCACCGACCTGGAAGTTGCTTCAGCCCACGAATAGCTATCCAGTCAATGGAGATATACTACACACCAGCTCCTCTTTCAAGGCTCCCAACTTCCTCAAGAAACGATCCATGTTCTTCTCCAAGCTCTCATCCAGATCCTCTTGCAACTCGCGCTTCAGGTAAAACACATCCGAGAGATCAATGGACCCCCTCCTCGATAGCCCGCCATTCATCCCCAGCGCCATGCCCACTGACTCCCTCTGCCGCCCCCTCTCCGTCGTCGTCCTACTCTTCGTCAGAGTCGGCCCCTGACTCCGAATAACCGCCCCCGCCTCCATCCTCGCCAGATCCTCCAGCGCCCGCTCGTCCCCCATGCACGCGTTCGGGCCCCCGTGCGCGTGCACATACGCCGAGATCTCGCGCTCCCGTGGGGAGTCGAGCTTCCTGAATAAGAGCAGCATCTCCAGCTTCGCGTTCATTGCGTCCAGCTTCGTGTGCACCGCGCCCAGATGCTCGTTCGCCTCGTCGACCTTCGCGCCCACACCACCCAGCCCGCCACCCAGCCGCTCGTCCATCGCGCTGAGCCGGTCGCCGACCCCGGTGAGTTCTTCGGTGACGGTTCCTAGCGCTTGCCCGTTCTCGTGCACACCGACCGCCGTGTGGACGGACAGTGCGAGCTCCAAAGAGGCGCGCCTCTGCGCAAATCGCTCGCCAAAGTCGGCCAGTCTTTGCTCGTAGATGAAGGACTTGAGCACCTTGGCGACCATGCTCTTCTTCGTGTAGGCGTCGCAGGCGTTGCCGCAGGCGATGATGTCGTCGGCGATGCGGGGCATGAGGGGTTTGATGCTGTTTTCGAGCGTGGTGCCGTCGGGGGCGACGTGCTGGGAGTCGCGGATGAGGCGGAGACTGAGTGGGGTGAGGCGGGAAGTTAGTGTGATGATGAGGACGAGGATATGTGTACGGGTAAACCTACGGCAAGAGCGCGGACATCATGTCCTGCATCTGTATGTTGAGAGCGACGACCTTGTGATTGTTCTCTCGGCGCTTCAGTTCGAGCGCAATGACGGCCTTGAAGGCCATAACAGCAACTGTAGAGGCGTGTTAGCCCGGATTGTCGGATTCTTTCCTCAGATTAGCAGACCTCTGATGAACGGATGCACGCTCGAGATTTCGTCCAGTGCCTTCATCAACACTGCGCTGCTTTCCGCAAAGTACTCGACCTGTTCACCAATGTTCGAGGCTATCTGGTTGGACGCGGCATTGTCGTCTATGGAGGCGACGTCGCGGAGTACGGTGTGAGGAACGTTCTTGAGAGCGCGGTCCTCTTGGGAGCATAGCAAAGTAAGTCACAAGAGTTACTATAGCACAGCAGGCGCGGACTTGCCGGCTTGGTTGAATCTTCGCTGTCCCGAAGACTCTTGCGTTCGGTTCTTCAGGGTCTGCGCCGCTCGCTCGAGTAAGGCCTCGAACTCATCCTCCTCAGCGGCAGACTCGTCGCTTTGCTACGACACGTCAGCAATCACGACGACAGCACGCAAAAGCTGTAGAAACACGTACAAAGGTCTTTCTTCGGGTCAGGTAAATCTGGGGTAGCTCGTCCTCCAGGACGAGAGGCTCCGCCTTCTCGATAGACGACCTGCGCATGGGTACTCTGGTTCGCTGGAATGCAATGGCCGTGCAACACACGTCGAGTGAACCAAGATGGTGATGGTAGTAGGAAACAGAGATGTCAGTGGTCGTGAAGCAAGGGCGCAAAACAGCTTTATAGCCCGCGCATGCCTGCGACCATGTGACGGTCGTGATAAGCGCCCAGGGAGCCCCATTTGGCGGACTGTTAGTGGGCGCCGTCGAGAGGGGCACTGCCTGCCCTTAGAGGTGTACAGAGATGCATACGAGGCCCGCAACGCCTAGGAGCCCGCGGTGTTTCACGCACCTAGAGCGAGGCGAGGGCATTGAACTCGCCGTGAAGACCGCCTGGACTCCGAGGTTCACGGCAGGGGATATTGCTGCGCGCTCGTCTTGTGAGCTGCGCACTACCCTCAGCATTGGAAGACATTCAATAGCATGGACTATGAGTTTTCATGGCCGACGCCGAGCGTACAGACTGAGATGACGGCGGGAGGCAAGTCGAGGAGCAGAGGTATACTTCCGTCCGGCCCGCCAAATCCGGCTTGAGAGATCGGTCCAATGTGGCTGTGCAGAATTTTCCTTGTTCCCCGGCGCTCGCGAGGAGAACAATGGCGACGAACTTGAAGCGCAAACGCGCCCCAGAAAAGGCGTCTCGCAAGGTTGGGAGTACACTGATGCGATTCTTGGATTATGTTGACGCGTTTACAGACGCGCAAAGTGTCCCCGGAGGAAGAGGAGGTAACAAGCGGGCAATCGGCAGATGAGCAGGCATTCAAAGATCTGGAAGACGATGTTCCCTTTGAAGACCTCGAGGCCGATGGCGCGCCAAATGATGAAGCTGAAGGGGAGGACAGCGACGGTGACCAGCCCATGACACCGCCCCCACAAGACGTACACCACCACACCGGAGGGTCGAAGAAGCTCCCCGCGGGCGCCGAGCTGCGACAGATCAAGGACGCCGCCGACCTTTACCAGTCCAGCTCCTTCAAGCTTCAGGTGCGTTGCACGATCCCTATGACCGGAACGCAGCTTATCCGAAGCCAGTAGATCGACGCGCTCCTGCCGAATGTGAGCCCCAAAGCGAGCCGGATCCCCCCTCTCGAGAAGTTCCTCTTCGCGCTGCATGCGGCTCTGCAGAAAATACCGTCGAAGTCGCCTACTCATCCCCTACGTGCTGCTGAGCCATTGAAGAAGCATGATGTCGTGGTGCCGTACTCCTTGCCTTTGCCGACGGAGGAGACGAATTGGAAGGTTGCATTCGAGAAACCGAGCAATATCACGATCGTTGGGAGCTGGGGAAACAAGCTGTCGGTAAAGGGGAAGGACAAGGCGCCCTTCCGTGTCGATGTCGCAGTCGAGATGCCAGACGTGCGCAGCTTGCTGCATACTGCTTGATCTTGGGACTGACAGCATATGCAGAGTCTCTTCCAAGAGAAGGATTACCTCAACGGCCGTTTCTTCCACAAAAGGGCCTTCTACATCGCGACCATCGCGGCCGCGATCAAGAAGGACAAGTCATTGAACGTCGACGTGTTCTACCACTCGCCGAATGATGACCCACGGCTTACCTCGGTCGTCCTGACCCATCGCAATGGTAGGCCTCGGTCACGCCTATTCCTAGCCTTTCGCTTACCCTGCCAACAGATGGCTCCGAAACCGACTTCACGAAACTCAACGCCGAAGTAAACATCCTCCCCGTCCTCTCCCCCACCTGCCCCATCTCCCTCCGCCATCTCTCCCCCTCGCACGCCAACATCCGCATATCCTCCTCCACCTCCGACCCCTCATCCTCCCAAACCCACGAACCCACCCCCCTCTACAACACCGCTCTCCTCACCGCCACCGCCCCACGCCCCGAGCTTCTCGCCGCTCACACGCTCAGGCAGCAGTCTGCTGCCTTCGCCGACGCGCTCACCCTCCTCCGCGTCTGGGCAAACCAGCGCGGCTTTGGCGTCGGGTCCCGCATGTGCGTTCGAGGCTTCGAGGGCAAGGGCCCGTTCTGGGCCGGCGTTCTGGCGCTCTTGGTATATGGCGAGGAGGGCGCAGGTGCTGGGAGCAAGAAGAGGAAACCGTTGGGCAGGGGCCTGAGCTCGTGGCAAATGTTTAGGGCAGCGCTGGACTTTTTGGGTGAGACGCGGTTCCCTTCTGTGATGTGATGTAGGCGGGGGCTGATTTTGGGTGACAGCGAAGCATGACTTCGAGCGTGAGCCGGTGTTCGTCAAGGCCGCGCAGCCGCGGGAGGTGTGTGCGCAGTGTACATCTTTGTCGTCATGTCGCTAACCCCGTGTTGTAGCTCAATGCCGAGGAGTACGCAGAGAACTTCAGCGCGACTTTTGTGAGCTCTGCGACGGCTGTCAACCTACTCGCGGATGTTCCTCTTGGTTCTTTGGCTTTGCTTCGCCACGAGGCGCGTACGACCCTGGACACATTGGGATCCGACGACTCCTTCGACGAAGTCTTCCTGAAAGAGAAGCGCGACTTGGGCACTAGATTCGACATGGTCTTGCAGTGAGTTGATAGCTAATTCTTTTTCGGCACTGTCATTGACCGCTCTCATAGGGCCGACATCTCGTCCGCCAAGCACAGTAAAGCCTCCACTAGCGACATCCTCGACAAGGGCACCCTTTCGAACGCCTGTCTGGCCGCTATCTCCTCCCTCCTACAACAAGCCCTCGGCAACCGCTGCAAAGCCATCGCCATCCTCCATCCCTCCTCTACCTCCCGTCCCTTAACCTCCGCCCTCCCCACAACCCCCTCTACCATCCACATCGGCCTCCTTCACGACCCCGAACACGCCTTCCGCCTTGTCGACCACGGCCCGCCCGCCGACGACCCCAACCCCGCCCACTCCGCCACCTTCCGCGCCCTCTGGGGCCCCAAGGCCGAGCTCCGGCGCTTCAAGGACGGCCGGATCACCGAGTCCGTCGTCTGGGACGTGAAGACGAGCGACGAGCGCGCACACGTGCCCGCGCTTATCGTGCAGCATATCCTCCAGACGCACTTTGGGATCCCGAAGAGCGCGGTGCGGACGTGGCAGAGCGAGTTTGACGCGGTGCTGAGGCTGCCCGCGGAGGTGGCGCAGGCGTATGCGGCGGCGGGGGTGAGGGCGGGGTTCCAGAGTGCGATCGAGGCCTTTGATGGGTTGGTCAGGCAGCTGAAGAGCATGGACGAAGTGCTTCCGCTCGCTGTGCTCAACGTCAGCGCCGCCGCGCCGCAGCTGCGGTATACCAGTGCGCTTGCACCTGCACCTTTACCCAGCAAGCTGATGTCCTCCTTACCCGCTGGCGCGACGCACCTTGCGCCCATTGAGGCCATTCTCGAGTTCGAGAAGTCCGCCCGCTGGCCCGCCGACCTCAAGGCCGTCCAGAAGATCAAGCTGGCCTTCTGCGAGCGGATCGCGGACGCGCTCATGGGTGCCGTCCCGGGCTTGACCGCTCGCGTCGTTGTTGCTGACGGCGTCACGCGCTCGCGAGTGGTCGACCAGGCGCGCTTGGAGATCGTCACGCCCGAAGGCTGGGCGTTCTGGGTGCGCATCTGGTACGACCGCGAGGTCGTCCTCCTGGACCGCGTCGCCGAGGACCAGTCGCGCCTGCCGCACGTCACGCGGGGCGGCCCCACTGTCAGCGGGAAGGAGAAGCAGGAGGCGCTCGAGGCGAAGGAGGTGTGGGTGCGCCGCTTCTTGCACGGGCCAGCGCACCATCGTGCGATGTTGGCGCTGAGCCATCGGTATGGGGCTCTTTCTGGCACCGTGCGGTTGGTGAAGCGCTGGCTGGCCTCGCATATGGTGCTCGGGGGCCATGTGAGCGAGGAGGCCGTTGAGCTTCTGTGCGCGAGCGTTTTTGTGGGCCGCGGGAAGACGAGGGCGGCGGAGGAGACCCGCACAGGTGTACCAGCGAGTCGAGAACGTGGCTTAGCGGCCGTCGTAGCCTTCTTGAAGGACTGGAAGTGGGAGGAGGGGCTGGAGGTGCCGCTGTATGAGAGCGATACGGCGCTAATGTCGGCCGCGCGCGTGTCGAAGGAGGGTGTCTGGCGAATATCGACGCAGGGCGACCGGGAGGGGTGGATATGGACGTCGAGTGGGCCCGACCGCGTCGTCGCGCACCGCATACGCGAGATCGCGAAGGCGACGTGGAACCATCTGCAGCTCCTCGAGACCGAGGCGTTCAGTGTCAAGCCCATGTTCACGCACCCCCTCGCCGGCTACGACTTCCTCATCCATCTGAAGAAGGCTCACTTACCCCGATACCTCCTTAACGTCGCCTACCCGGAAGCGCAAGGCCGTCACAAGGAGAAGACCGTGCGCCCAGGGTTCGACCCAGCAGAGCTCTTCTTCGCAGACCTTCAGCGCGTTTACGGCGACACGATGAAGCTGTTCCACGACCCATACGGCGGCGACGTTATCGCGGGCGTGTGGGATCCCTCGCTGAAGGAGTCGCGTCCTTTCCGCGTGCGGGCTGGTTACTCGACTGTGCCGCAGGACAAGGTATGCTGTGCAGTCACTACTAATCCTTTCCTCGTACTGATCAGAATCCAGACGTCCTCTGGCAAATCGAAGGGAAAAGATACCGTGGTCCTGAACACTACAGCTGTACTGTCCGAGATCGAGAGATTGGGGCGGGGTCTTGTCGAGAGCATACTTGTACAGCAATGATTTTCTGTATTTCTACAATGCAACTGCACTGATGCTTCTCCATCATGTATTTACGACCCAGTAACCTTCGGAGGGACTGTTCATCTGGCTCTTTATGCGAGAGGGCAGGCGACCGCCTAGGTTAGCAGCGACAGTACCACCGTCACGGGCCGGTTAGCTCAGTTGGTTAGAGCGTGGTGCTAATAACGCCAAGGTCGCGGGTTCGACCCCCGTACGGGCCATGTTTTTGCGCCGTAACGTCGCAACCTCATTCTCTCAGCGCTCGCTTCTCACCATCTCATAACAATGCTGCGTCTGCGAAGGTCCGACATACTACAGTCGATGATGCATTTGACTTTGATGATCTGGATGCCGCCGCTGGATCGGCGTTCAGGACCTTCGGATTCTGCCGACGTGCTGGCTGGTACATATTTGTTCTTGCTCCGAACCGTCACCAGCGCTGATGCAGCAACTTCAGCTTGAAGACTCTAAACACTTAAAAAGTCCTGATATTCTTTTCACTCTTCACTCGATGTTTAGGCTTGCATGAAGTCCCGAGGCTATGCGCTATTGTCTACTATTGTCTTCGTCCGGTGCAGTGACGAGCGCGGCATGCGAATGTACTCCAATGCACAATCACTTCTTTCTACTCATGGAGCGGATGATTCTCTTTGTATCTGTGAACTGTTACACGTTCTCGCAGTCCTATTGTTCTTCCGGACCGAAGCAGATCTTACAGCAGGATCCCTATTGTCTTTGAGCCAATTGTCCTTCGTGCGGAGGGTGCCCAAGAAGGCGGGCGGATGTTCATAAAGCTCGCTTGGGGATCTGGGCTTCGCTCACGTCTCTTTCTCGTCTTGTCCAGGAACTTTCGACAACTTTTTCAAGGGCATGATGTCGCGTAGCCACCCGGTATGTGCCTTCTCCCATCTCCTTTGCGGCCCATTATGACTTGCATTCAAAGGACGACAAGTACAACTGCAGATCAGATCGTGTCTGGTGTAGCTGTCTATGCCATATGCGTGATAGCGACCTTCCTGGACTCGGTTCGCTCGACGCCTCCTCAGCATCGCGACTCATAACTTATGAACTTGAACCTCTTAGAGGATCGCGCTCTATGCAGGATCGAAGCCGATATAGCGGCTGGTATTGACGTCGGTCAAGTGAGGGCCTCAGGTAAGTCCGCCGTGCTACAGAATTTTACGTGAATTGCGCATCTGAATTACTCTAGGTCATAAAAGCGGGCTCGTACGGGCCGGTGGATATTTGAGATCGCGCAAACCCTGTGAGTCCCTTTTCATGTCTACTACCTAACCTGCTGAGGCAGTTCATAGTAAATCAAGACCTTCCACGCTACTTCACTCGGCCAGCGAAGCCATATATCAACAAGCTCCCGAACGAACTTCTATGCGAGATCATCTCGATGTGTGGTGATCCAAACGCCACTTTCGACTACCCACGCGATTCTCGCATGCATAGCAACGACAGTACACCTCGTCATACCTTCAGTTGGGCGGCAATGGTGACAGGTTATGTCTGTTCTCGCTGGCTTCGTGTCACGCGCGGATCCCCTACTCTATGGACGCTCGTGGACCTGATGTTCCTGCAACGGCGCCATGTTGTGGTCATGAGATGCTGCCTGCGCTACTCCGCTGGTTTACCTCTGACACTGCGCCTGGTAGAGACGTCTACGGCAGGCACGACCATCCATGTGACCCGCCGTATCATGAATGCCGTGGCCGACAACGCAGGGCGCTGGAAGGAAATTTCGCTATTCCTGGATAGCGCACTCGGTGTGCTGGATGCAATGACGGCTCTGCCTGCGAACTCCTTTGCTTCGCTGGAAAGAGCGAAGCTATACTTTCGGGAATGTGGCCATCGGCCTCACAGACTCGATAACAGACTGTGGAAGCTAATTTATGGCTCGCCCAGCCTCCGACGGCTCGAATGGTGGTCCGATCCTTTTGACCTTCTCTCCGCCTCAAGTGCACCTCTCGGTCAGCTCACACACGTCGGCGTCAAGCACCTCCAGCCCAAACATCTCATCCCTCTTCTTCAACTCTGTCCTCAACTCGAGATTTTCCAGGCCACGATTGAGCCCGCTATCGAGGATTTGCGTATCCCAGCCTCCGAATTACTTCCATCCGGCACCGCACCAATAACTCTGAAGAATTTGCGTGTGCTGATGCTGAACGGATTGGAGGACTACAGCCGCTTATACGCGTGCCTCAACGTACCCGCCCTGCGTCGCCTTGATTTGCACGGATCAGGCGTTCAGGCGGGCGCAATGAAGGACATGCTCAGGAGATCCAAAGCCAAACTACGTATGCTTACTCTGTTTTGGACGGTTGTAGGATGGATGGACGATATCAAGGACCTGCTGCGCTCCACCGAGATGCAGAGCCTTGCGATACTTCGCTACGATCCCTGCACCGGCGTCCGGCAGACCCGCATGTCAGAGACGACCAACTTGCATCCCTTCGTGCCGTCCCATGTCGAGGTCTTTACTTCGCATTTCAAAGTAGCTGAAGACGCATACAAGGAGACAAACTGATCATGATTCACGCACATAGTACATATAGACTATGGCAATGGTGTCTGGAAGCGATGCATAGACAAGGCGTGGGATAATCATGGAGAATACTTCATAGGAAATACGTAGACACATTAAGGAAATATGAGCGAGGGTCGAGGAGCTGGGAATTGTAGAGACCATGCTGCGTTGTCATGAAAGGGCCGTCGCAGAGAATCTTCACCGAGAGTGACGGACAGCTGCACCCGTCGAGGAATATGCTCTACGATGCACGGGAGAGTCGCGGCGTCCACTTTCATGTACATGATAGAGGGATAATCCGCATCGGATGGACGAGGTCCGATACGAGCATCCGAGGGAAACATGAGGTTGTCCAGTCCAACCGAAGAGAACTCCATAAGATCGATACAAGGGAACGCGGTGACGATTTTGATAACGTCAAGTGCGCAAGACGGTGTCATAACGTGCAGCTCGCTCAGATTTGTCGCCGGAAAGACGGTCAAGCGATCTCCAGAGATACATCCGTCCACGCGCAGATACCGCAACCGGGTCAACGCAGAGGCAAGCTCTTTGGTCGAGGTCTGAGCCTTGTCGTCAGAATCTGCTCGCATCTGCAAGTCCAGGGACAGGATACGGCGAAGATGCTCCTGCAAGTACTCCAACACCGCATTCAAGGAGTCCCGTCCATCGTCAATCTGGATGTGCAGTATTGTCAACGAGAGCTGGGTCAGTTCATGGCCATATATGGCACACGCCCTCGAAGCGTTCGCCAAGGCATCATCGAAAAGAGGATTCCCAGCAGTCTGCGACCCAACAACGATGCGTAACATCAAGCCGGGAAGTCGATCATCAGGCGTCTTTCCAACATGGACGAAGGCGCGCGTGAGGTTTCCTGGCATGTCAGCCACTTGCGCTGCTGACTGGTCCTCCGGAGTCCCAGGTTGGGCTTCAGGCGACGCAAAGTCCGAGGTTGGCCGACTGTCATGCTGACGATCATTTTCCAGGTTGTTGTCCAGGAAGGCCGGCGCGGGGTCATCAAGATCATCAGACGATGCAGGTCGCAGCGGCTTACGACCGTCCTTATGAGCGAGTGTTCGACGAAAAGTAGCAGGAGGGCTTGAAGCATCGCCTATGGCATGCGCATCAGGTGAAGGCGGAGAGGCGGGAGGCGACGCTGAGAGCGCGGAGTCGTAGTCGACATGTGCTGCCAGACCTGTCAGAATATGGCTGGGAAGATTAAACTCGCCGAGCCCCTCGGCCAGCGAGAGGCGAGTTACGGTAGGTGATGAAGGTTCGGCTTGCATCGTGGGGAACGGAATCGAGTTCTTCTGCTTTGGGTCGTCCTGCGCGAAGCTCTGCATGCCATCTTGCAACGTCAGCGGAGCAGCAACTTCGACAGACCCGCGCGTCCATGGAATTTCTGGCAATGACTTATCGCGAACAGATGGAGGCGCCGTGTCAGGCAGTGCGCCCTGGATACGAGTGGGCCATGCATGCTGGGCTGTATCCGTCCTCGCAGCAGAGATATTGCTGGATGCCATCCGCCGGTTGGGGCCCGTGGAGCGTGCGGTACAACGCACGAAGGCTGAGCGGAAGCGGCAGAAGATACCATGCCTTTTGGATGGCGGGATGGACATCTTTGTGACCGCAATGAGACTTGGAAAGAAGTCAGCGCTGATCTTCGTCAAGAGGCCTTGCGAGTATACTCTTCGGCAAGAGTCAGCAAAGCATTCCTTTCTGGCGAAGGTCACTCACAAGGTAATCTTATGTCCTATGCAAGGATATTAGCATAAACGTGCAGATTCGTGACCAACCGACGTAAGAAACGTGAAGGGGGCGTGGAGAAGGAGAGTCGTCAGTATTTTGTATAGCCAGCGACCGCGTCCAGCTTATAAGTGTGTCTGGTCGATCTCATTCATTCACACGGGTATGGAATTTCTGACTGCAATTGGGAACAATGAAACGTTCAATGGCATTGAAGTCCCATTGACTCGAGAGAGGGAACAAGGTGTTCTTCAATCATCTGTGACAAGAGCGACCTACAGGACAGTGACGTCGTCGGCGAGAAGGGGAGAGGCAAGGAAAGTCTTGATTGGCGCCTGAAATGCGATGCGAAGCTTGTGTATGCCTGCTTGTCGTGGTCTGGACGAAGTAAGTGTAGTTGCATACCAAACTTGTATCAGAGTCGACCAGAAACGTCCGTGTGTGATTATGTAGGTAGTCAGATGGATAGTAATGATAAGAAACCAAACCCCCCTGCGGCCTTGTTAGCGAAGTGCGTGACGCGCTCGACAACGTAGTTAACGCACCAAGGAATGAATAGTCAGTCATCAACGCGAACTCGCAGAGCACATCCTCCCACATCTACTTCGTACTCTTCTTGGCCTTCGAGCGCTTCTTGCCGCGGCGCTTGCGTCCGGGCTTGGAAGTAGCTGTCTGTGTTGGGGTCGGCTTGATGCTGGTCGTGGGTGCTGCGCCGCGGACGCGCAGGCGGCCGTCTATGGACATGGTGTGAGTACCTGAGTTTCATAGTGCAGTACGACCACGCACCTCTTAAGGTCTCCGTGATTATAGGACTCGCCGCCGGACGATACTTGAACTCCTCCGAATATCTGCGCGCCCGTCAGTCCCCTCTTCCTTCACTTATACCTCCAACCCGTCGCAGACTACAGAGGTCATAGCTACTACTCACCTACTGGCATATATGATCGTCGGCGGTCGGTTCGCATACTCCCTCAGCGCCAGCGCAGCCCATACGAGCAACCCCAGGGCGACCAGCAGGCCTGCCCGCTTCCAAACTGGCACCGCAGGCCGCGTAAAGCGCTCGTCCTCCGCCAGTGCATCTTCCATCCGCTTCCTTTCCTCCCGCACGCCCTGCCGGTGCACCGTGTCCTCATCTGACTCCTCGTCGCTGCGGTGCTCGTCGCCGTCCGAGTCCGATGCGTCGTAGTCGTCCTTCGCGTCCGCGTCCTTCTCGACGAGTGGCTGCTTCTCCTCAGCCTTGTCTGCGTCCTTGATCGCGGTCATGGGGAGATATGAAGGTAAACGAGCGGGTGAGACGATGGTTCGGGAACAAAAGTGCAATACGCCACGTATGTCCAGATTGGGATTTTCCCATTGTTCTCCGTAGTCACCTTCTCCTCGGCATGATCGCACACACGATTGAAGGACCCACCAGCATTTCATTGCAAACCTAGTATCGAAGTACTGCTACCCGAGTAAACTAGACTGACGCGCCCACCGTAGCACATGCCTAACCATATAGTACAGAGAGGGCCGAGGTCGTGAAGTGCCGTGAAACTATATACACCGGAAGGATACATAAATAATGCCTGGAGCAGAGCGAGATGGGGAATGAGATGAGGATACGGAACTATGTATGTAGATGGGGTTATGATGGGATGAGATGATTGCTGTATGCACCGTGACCATAACATTGGGGAGTAGGGCGTGGTGGGCATGGTGAGGGAATCAGGACAAGGAAGGGGAGAAAACCAAACGACGAGGAGACCTAATAGTACAACATAAGTAAGGATCCCGATGAGACGTAAACAGTATAGTATGTCCGCGAGCCGGATCGTGCTCGCGCAGCGGGCACCCCGCGTGTAGGGCGGGCTCTATGTCCGCAGGATCGTAAACCAAGAACGAGGAAAAAAAAGGACTAAAGCAAAACACAGGACGGTGGCCTTGGACCAGCCTTTCTTGCACCAAGCGTCGATCCTTGGCCTGCCCGATAACTCTAATCGTTATCGCTTGCGACCACGGCCCGAATGAGATGAACACCTGCAGACCGCATGTCCGTCAGCCCATCTGCACGCGAGCCGAGCAGAAACGTCGCAGCGCACCTCTCTTCTTCCACCACTACAATCACAACCTCGCTCACTCCACCACCCGGCTACTGATGCCCACCCCCTCCCCCTTCGGCTCGCTCACGCCCACCGCAGGCGTAGGCCCACCCGCGAAACACCACTGCTTCACGAACGCGTTATACAGCGAGTCCTGCGACAGCAGCGACGGCTTCTGCTGCCCCGACGGCGTCGACGGGCCGAGCGGAGATGATGTACCCGTGCTCGGGGACGACGACTGAGGCGACGCCTTCCGCGCCGCGCCCACCAGAGACATGAACGGCGCGCCATTGCTGCTGGACATCGACGTCGGACTCTGCGGTCGCTGACTCGGCGACGGCGGCGCGGTGAAGAACTCGTTCGGCGAGGGCGAACCAGAGAGCAGAGCGCTTGCTAGCGGCGCAGGTGGGAGGCCCGGAATCAAGAGCGTACCCTTCGTCGGCTTGCCGCTACGCAAGGCGTCGACGGCCTGACGGACGGCGCGCGCCTCGTTGTCGACTTCCTTCGCCGGAACTACGATGTCGACGGCCTCGGCGGGTGCAACAACCTTGAGCGGGACCTGCTCGGCTTCCTGTCGAGGCAGATCGTCGAGGGTATCAGAGCGCTGGCGACCCGCGGACTGTCCCTCGCACGCGCCCTCGATCTCAAGCAAGGGCACGACGGGCGCAGACTCGGGCTGCGGCTTCGGGAGGGGCACGACGAGCTCCGCGCGGGCGATCTTGATGTCCTCGACGTGCTCAATGTCGGCATCGTGAGGGTGCGACGAAGACTTCCCCGTGTCTTTCACGGTCTTCTCGTCGGCGACCTTGGACTTCTCGTTGACTACAAGCTTCTCCTCCGCCAGCTTTCCCTTCTCAAGCACAGGCGAGGTCGGCGGGGTCTCGTCGGAAGCCCTCTTCTCGAACACGTCGTCCTCGTCCTCCTCGGACGCGGTGCTGTTGGAGGGAGAGATCGAGTGCGCGGATGTCGCGAGAGGGAGGAGCGGGACGCGCAACTTCTGCGCAGGGGGAGAGTCCTTCGACGAGTCGTCCTTGACTGACGGCTCTGCAGCGGACTCAGAGACGTCGCCCTTCGCTTGCTCCTTCTTGCCGGCCGACGCCGTCGAGCCCCACGGCCAGTGCAGGTCGACCTTGCGCGGGGCGATATGCTGCGCCTGACTCGACGTTGTACCCGGACCCGTTGTCGAGTTACCCGACTTCGAGCCCATCGGCGTCGTGTCCTTCGACTGCGGCGGCGAGTTCTCCTTCGAGTTGGTAGGCGTGACCTCGGTGCTGCCAGCTGGATAGAAATTGAATATGATGCAGGGAAAGGTAAAGATGACAACTGACCGTTCGGCAAGCCCATTATATTCGGCTTGGAATAGTTTGTGAGGTTCAGCTTGCTGAGGCGCTGCGCGATAACAGATGCGGTCGGAGATGTCGTGGCAGGAGGGACGGGAGGCGCTGCTGTCGGTGCAGGCTGAATGGGCTGCGGTAGTGTACCGGAGGCCTGGTATGATTGAGGCAACGAGATGTTGGCGAAGGACGCTGGAAGAGATAGGGTAAGTAAATGGAGGAGCGCAGATATCGTCACACGCACCAGGTGCGCTGGTCTTCTTCTCCCTTGCCGCCGCCGCAGTCTGACTGCTCTCCTTGTGCGTAACGCGACGGAAGGCAACGCGGAAATCCCGACCGCCATTGTTGTCCCACCACTCGCCGCCTCCACCTGGAACAGAGTACCGGACGACGAGCCAGAGCACGCGTGTGTCCAGATTATGCGCATAGTCGGACAGGCGCACGCTGAACGAGAAGCGATCCCACATCGGCGCCGCCGGGCGCTCCCGCGTGGGGCTCTTCATCGAGTGGGCCTGCGCGCCCCAGTGACGCGCCTGCAGTGCAGGCGGAAGGGCCATAAGCGACTCAACGTGCTTCCCAAGCACTTCGCTCGTCGTGTTCCAGTCGTCGAGTGTGAAGCGCACGGCGATGATCTTCTCGAAGGACAAGTTGCGCACGACGACAGTGCCGTTGATGCGCAGCTCGTCGTTCGGATCGGCGGGCGGCGGAGAAACGAGCTCAAGTGACTCGAGGTAGACGTTGCGTTCGTGTGCAGGATGTGGCGGGGCAGGATCGCCGGACGTGAAGGTCGGGAGAGAATACGAGGGTAGCGGAAGGGAGGGGATCGTGGACGTGACGCTCGTGTCGAGTTCGTAGTGGGTCTGCTCCTCGGGCTCGGCGGGCTTGGGAGGCGCCGCATCGGTGGGGAAGGGCAGCGGCTTGCGCTTGGCGGCGTGCTGCTTCATCATGTTGATGGCGCCAAAGTATCCAAAGTAGCCGCCCTGCGCCTCAGACTCGGTCTCGGTCTCCGTGTCGTTTTCGGCGGCGGGGCCGCTAAAGCTGAGGGCGGCGGGGCGCGCGCTGCGGTTGAAGATGCGGACCGCATCGGTCGTGGCGAAGTGGACGTTCTTGGGAGTGGAGGGCGTCGAGGGCGTCGACATGAAGATGTCGGCAGAGGGCGTAGCAGGTGCAGAGCGGGCGCGCATATGGGCGGTATGCTGTGGGGGCGCGGCTGGAACCTGGTTCCCGGGGGCTATCGATGGGCTGCTCGAGGAGGACTTGAGCGAGGACTTGAGCACTTTGCCATTGGACAGGATAATTTGGGGATTAGAAGCAGTGCGCGTGAAGGCCGGACGCGGGGAAGATATGGATGGGGCATTCGCGAGCGGCTGTGGGGAGTTGAGGGGTGAGGAGCGCGGAAAGGGGATGGGGGAATGCGTCCGCGGCGCATTGGAAGGGACGTTTTGGGTATCAAGCGTGAGGCGGAAGGTGTTGGCTTTCGGCTTGAGCTGGAGCGGCGGGGGGCTCCCGTCGTTGTCGGACTCGACATCGCTATCGGAGTCGGACGATTTGATATGGAAGACGCGAGGTTTCTGTGTAGACGGGCCCGGGGCGGGGCTCATGGGGGCGCCAGCCTTGGTGCGCCTTGGAAGCCCGCCGAGGGGGGCGAAGGCGCCGGGGCCGACGACGGCGTCTGAGAAGCGGTCATGGTTTGAGAAGGAGCGTCGGTGACCGGGCCTGCCATGAGAGTGGGTGGGCAGGGCGACCGGCGCGGGGGAGTGCATGGGCGTCGAGTACGGCATCGGCGGCGGCGGCGACAGCAAAGTCGACGACAACGGCGACGACAACAGCGACGACGATGAGTAAGGGCTCGGGATGGTGAGAGCGGGAGATAAAGTTGTACAAATTCTGAAATCTGAACGACAAAGGCCGGGAACTCGCTGACGTCACGCAAATTGACAACGCGTCTTACCGAATCCGGGGTTGATGGGCCCCCCAACTTCCCCGGTGGGGGGCCCCCGGGTTGTCTTCGACGTTCATCTGGCACTTTAGACTTTGGTTATGACAACCGACGCGTATCCAGGCCTCCGAATGTCTCTCGTGACCCATACCGCCTTTCTTCGACCAGTATACATCCTGTATCGTTCTCCGATCCAGCCCGTATACGTGTTTGCCTCCGTTTCTGTGCTGTCTTGGAATCGTCTGGTGACTCTTAGTCTCTCCCCCGCAACCCGCTCTAGGCCTCCCTTGCGCCTCTCGACCTCCTCCATGTTGAAATCCGCACCGATGTGTAGCCAAAGTTGGCGCAGTCAGCTCCATATCAGCGCCATTCACGCCATTGTTCGCTGGTATCAGCTTCCCCGGCACACCCCGGCACCTTCGGCCTCGGGCGTACCTGGAAAACTTCAACATGCACGCGTCCTCACGCGCTCTGATACCGCTCTCGCAACGCCACCTGTCTCAGCATTCAATCCGTGCTGCTCTTCAAGGCGCTCCACTCTATTGTCCTCCTTCTAGGCAAAGCGCGTTCTTCTCGCGCGTCCTGAGCACTATCTACACCCGCTACAACTTGTAAACGCGTCTCCCACCTAGACCACGAACAGGTTGGTCCTGTGTGAATAGCACCCCAGAAGTCGCACCATAGAGCAACGTGGGCGACTGCTCCGGTCGTCGATCGTCAACCTCTCCTGCCAGCGCGCGGGGTATACTTCTCCACTCACCTCGATCCCGCCCTGGAATCCGGGACTCTGAGCCCGCCCCCACGGGCGAATCTTGGCGGCCCTCCCCAAGTCTGCGGAACGATCCCGCATGCTCGCCGGGGCCGGCGAGCAGGACGCATCCACACGCGGCCTCGCCAATCCACCCTCAACGCGCGATCCTCTCACGCCCGCCGGGCCTACAACTCTAATCCTGGGTCTATAATTCTAACAATGTGACCCGCAAAGGTTGTCGGGAATCCCGCCAGTCACGCGGGAAGATGTTCTATAGCTCGTCCTTCTCGTCCTTGGCCGTTCTCAAGCTTACGGTCACGCTCTTACTCGACGACGCATACCTGGCTCATCGACGCATCTTTCCTTGTCATGCTCGCCTGGATTTTCTCTCATCAGAGTTGCTGACGTCCCGCGATGCGTACTCGTTCTCGAATCCTTCGTGGTCGTTCCCAAAATTATGGTCACGGCTTCGACGACGCACTTACTTGCTCATTCTTCGCTCATCCATTCGTGAACCTTCCTCATTCGCTCGGGCTCTCAACCCATCAACGTCTCTTACGTCCTGGCAAGAACGTCTGGGAACGCAACCTACGTGTACCATCGGGTCTAGCTGCACTACGCATCCGCTTCCATGTCCTATGCGCCCCCGCTTCTATGCCACATACGTGTAAGCTTCAATGCCAGCTCCTCGCAGATCTCAGGCTAGCACCTCCTCAATCGCACTGTCTGACGCTATCGTCTCCAACGACGACCGAGAGTCTGTTCTTCGACGATGGCCGAGCATCTCCTAACGGCCGACTACTACGCTATCGGCGTATCCCCTCCGACGGCTATCCTTGCTGCTGCGGCCCCTTAGCGCCTCTCACAATCTCTTCATCAACGCACAAGACCACCACCGTCTTCAATGCGCACACGACCGCCTCAACGCCCGCTATCGCACCTTTGTTCGCCGCCATGGCATCAACCGTTGGCCGCGACGTTTCTGTTCCTCGCTCGCCCTCCGTGGCGCTGCTTCTAGGATGCCGAGCTCGACTTCTCAATTGAAGGACCTGTGCTCTACTCGTACGACCTGTTCCCTAAGCTCAATGACCTATCCGTCACTCCGGCTTCTCAGCTTACGGTAATGCAATCCTCACTCCGCGCCACTGACCTCAGGTCCTGGGTGGGTCCCACGCGAAGTCAAGGCGTCTAATTATGCAGGGTCCCATTTTTCCTTCACGCGGGACCGGGGTTCCTCAGTACAGGACGAAGCACCCTCCGGTACGACGAATGCACGGCGAAGCCGTCGAAGCAACGTCCTTCTCACCTCCTTCCATATTTGTGCCTTCCCTCTATTGACGCTCGGACCTATCTATGAACTTGAGCCCGCCGCGACTCCGTGAGGTCGGAGAGGCAAGGAACTAGCCTTGGACTGGACTGAGGCTCATTGCGTCTCCGCTTGGCTTACTGGACTAACCTTCGTGTGCTGAACTGGAACCATCCTACCGCACCATCGTACGACCTCATAGATGTCCTGGACCGTTCTATCATCCTTGCGCTCCTTGGCCGGCCTATCGACGCTCGACTGCTCGTGACCTCTCTGCCTTCCTTTCGGCATCCCGCGAAGTCCTATGCGCTCGGACTGTTCCTCCACTAGTAACGTCCGCCTCCTAGCGATGCCCGACTGGGTCTACTAGTACTAGTGATGTCCGACTCTGAGCCTGCTGAGGTCCGGGTTCCCGCTAGCCGCTCTACTTGCCAAACCTCTCAATTGGTCGTCAATATTCGGTTACACGGACTGCGTTTACCCGACGCCTTCGCGGCCGACAACGAAGCGGCTCTCTCGAAATTTCAACATACCCCGTGACCGGCACGCGCCCTCCTCCAATTCAACGTTCAGCCCCCAACTCTTCGCGGCCGCCCACAAGCGCATGCGCCAGGTCCCTCCTTATGCGTCAAGAACCCGCAGCGCCTCAACAGGCTCGGCGAGCCATAAACAAGCTCAGATAGCCATAAATACACCCAACAAAGCCTATCCACCGCTTTAGGTAAGTGTGCACTTTATCGATTGATGATCTCCCGGCTTTCATCTACTTACATTGCTTTTTGGACAGCTTGGCGCTGCAAATGGATTGCTCTTATGACTGCGTCGACTTCACCTGTGATCCCGCCCGCCGACTGGTGGCTGCGCTGCCGCTTGTATCTTATCGAAGCCTACCGCGCCACCATCGTCGCTCGGTACCGACCTCTGCGTCCTTCACTCGAGAGCGACGTGCGGGAGACTTCCGTAGGCTGATGGCGGGGCGCGTCTACGGCGAATGGGATGACACCTTCCATACGAATGGGGCCTTCGCTACGTCTCTGCCGCTGCTTCATGGCAATATCTCGGGGCCATGGACATCCCCTCGGGCCTCCCTGGCGTTCTCGTTCTAGCTGTGGGGTCCTTCTCTCCCAACTGGCATCTCTGAATTCAGTACACCACTCTTGGGCCGTTCTTCTTGCGCGATTACGCGGAGACTCAGTACACTTTCTTCAACGCGAGCCCCTCGTAAGCCGCTCAGCGAAAGTAACTAACCAAGTACGAGGACTTTGGCTGGCTTCTGGCCTATCAGCAGCTCCTCTGCATACCTGTTTAACGCGCGACCGGTGCGGGCCGCAGCGCAATGCACGAAGTCGCGACGCGCTCTATCCACAACTTGGACTCCGCGCCACTGACTGTCTGAGGCCGAGCGATGCCCAGGTCAAGGACCGACGAACTACGTGACCTCTCCGTGCCTGGCGTATACGATGGCGGCAAAACTCGAAGCGGGCGGAAGGCACCTTTAAAAGCGGCGTCGCCACTGCCCGCCGCTCTGCCGACTCCGGGGACGCGATGTTGCTCACCATCAAACCGCCGGACTATGGCCACCGTAGAGGTGCCGAAGGCTAGGCCTGGTACGCATCCGGAAGCACAGAATTTCATACTCGAGAAAAATCAACTGCACCGTCCCGTCGTTCTAAAAAATCACCTGCTAAAATTCCTCTGGAAGTTGAGGCCGAGCATCGAGATGTATACCGCCCCGAGGCTCATCGTTACCAATTTCTCGGCCGGCTTACACGGCGGCGGCTCGAGATCGAGGACGATATCTCTGCGGCTGACATCCCGGAGGTCAGTCAGCGTCGAGCGCTTACAGACTGAGCTACGGCTCAACCGGTGGCACCCGCGATTATCTCCCTTGCTCCTTGCTGATGACAGACGACGGATGAACGCTCGTCCGATACACGCTCTCGGCGGACTCTGGAGGTCATTGGATGGTGCTTGTGGCTGCGTCAATTGTGGCAAGCGCTTCTGACCCATAGTGACATTTTTCTATTCCCTCGACGAGGATGAATCCACAGCATACTCATGTCTTGGATGTTCCTTTCCTATGAGCGTAGTCTGTAAGCACTGATACACGGTTCTGGTCGCTTGCAGTGACCTCAAAGGTCTCAAACTGTTCACGGTATATACGTGGTTAAGCATGTGCCACGCCGGGCCGGGCGTGAGCCAGCCCACTCGAAAAACAGGCTTTATCTGCTAGGTCCCCAGTGAAATGCTCGTAGGTCTTTTTGATCGCGCGCGTGGGACGACGAGATGGTGACTGCGCATCCCTCGCTCATATTCTAAGGCTATGATAGATACCGTCCAGTTATGTAGTTTGTATGACTATTCCACATGCACCGTCAGACCGTTTCCGTGCACGTCACATCGTGTACGATGCATATAGCATGATCAGCGCCGTGTCTCCCTGTACGCGTCCTCGGCCACCCTGTGATGTGAAGTAAAGACCCGGACATGCGACGGTACGAAGGGTGACATATCGATCGTCTCCGACATAGGCGTCTGCCAAACACCGATGCAGGGAGCATAGCGAAATATAGTCAGGCTCAGCATCTCAGGATATTGCAGCAGGGCCTTGATATCATCCGCCCATCCCTTCAGAAGCCAGAACAGAGTAAGCATACGCAGTTGGGCGTCAGACCTCTTCAGCATGTCCCTCATTGACACCGCTTGAACGCCTGACCCGTGTAACTCGAGGCGAGAGAGTGCGGGTACGTGAAGGCGGACGTATAAACGACTGTAGTCCTCCAATCCGTTCAGCATCAACACGCGCAAGTTCTTCAGCGTAATGAGCTCTGTATCAGATGGAAGTAGCTCGGAGTTCGGGATACGGGAGTCCTCGATAGAGGGCTGAAACACGGCCTGCAGTACTTCGAGTTGAGGACAAAGTTGGAGAAGCAAAATGAAATGTTTGGGCTGGATGTGCTTGACGCCGACGTGCGTAAGCCGACCGAGAGGGGCACTTGAGGCGAAGAGTAGGTCAAACGGCTCGTCCCACCATTGGAGCCGACGAAGACTGGGCGAACCATAGAACGATTGCCAAAGACTGCTGTCGAGCCTGGGAGGCATGTATCCGCATTCAAGAAAATATAGCGTCGCCCTGGGCCAAAATCGAGTCCAATGCGTCGAACGGATTGGCCAACCAGATCGAGAGCTCCTTCCAGCGCCCTGCATTCTCCGCAATCGCATTCGCAAGACGACGAATCAGGCCGATGGTCACGTCTGTGGTGGACGTCTCGTCCAGGCGCAGAGTCAGAGGCATACCGGCGGAGTAGCGCAGGCAAAGTCTCATGACCACGACGTGACGCTGCTGCAAGGACATAAAGTCTACGAGCGTCCATAGGGTAGGACAGCCGCGAGTGACAGTGAACCAGCGCGAACACACGTATCCTGCCATCATTGTAACCCAGCTATAGCTATGGCGCGGTGTGATGTCCGTCCTATCCATGCGCGGATCGCGAGGGTAGTCGAAGGTGGCATTTGGATCACCGCACATCGCAATGATCTCGCATAGAAGTTCGTTTGGAAGTTTGTCGATGTACGACTTCGCTGGTCGAGTAAGGTAGCGCGGCCGATCTCGAGTTACTATTGGATATCTCAGCGAGATGCGTAGCGTACATGAAATAGAATCTCACAGGCTCTGCGCGGTCGCAAGCTTCCGTACTTGTGCCCGAACCCCATGTTAACATCTGAAGTACGTCAGATGCGATATCCACGCAAAATTATGTGAGTGGACTCACTTGCTGTCTTTCCTTGACCAACATCGATACCCGCGGCAATGTCAGCTTCGATCCTGCATAGAGTACGATTTTCTAGAAAATCTAGCCTCATGAGCTATGGGGTTGAGGGAATATCGAACGTACCGAGTCCAGGCAGGTCGCTATCTCGCATATGACACAGGCAGCTACACCAAACACGATCTGACCTGCAATTATACTTGTCGTGCTTTCCTTGAAGTTAGACTAAGGGAGCAAACCAAGGACGCGCAAGCACGCACCGGGTGGCTATATGACATCGGGCGCTTGATGATCCTAACGACTTTTTGCCAGAGCGATGGAGAGACGTAAGGGAAACGCGGTTCCCTCGGTGGCGTTTTATACGGCGTCTCGTCGCCAAGGGCACCCTCGACACGCAAGACAATTGGCGCAAAGACAATTGAAATACCGCTATGAAGTCGTTCGAGCTCAGTATGCTAGGGCTTTCTTATGCAGTTGCCGTCCATACGAGGTTGCGCTTCCGTATGTCGTAACAATAGAGGGCAATACTTTTCCGGAGAAGCTCGACTTCAGGGCGGTGCTTGTCGCTTTCGAGCTGAGTGTGAGCACGTGGAGCTAGCTTCCCAGTGATTATGACATGGAAGCCATAGACCGGACCTGTAAGGCCATAGCGTCGGTTCGGAAGATGGCGACAATCCTTGACGAGCGCTGCCTGCCTGCACCTGTGCGATCGAGTAATGAAGCGAAGCGATAGCGCTTTTACTGTGCTACGAGAAGCCATCGTTCGAAGAGTAAGTCAAATGGTGAGGGACGGGAGGGGAAAAGACGGCATAGCGGCCGTCTCGGTCCGTGCGGCTGCTTTCCAACCCCCTTCGCGGCGAGGTGAAGATCTACAACTTTGCCCTCGTACCGAAGGACAATAGCGCTTTGAGAGTCCTGAGCAGATTACCAACAAACCAACAAGAACTCGCGAAGTATCCGTGCTGAAAGCGAGAAGACGTGATTGCGCAATGGTTCACATTCGCGCGCCGTCCCATTCGACCGGCCAAAGACAATAGAGGACGAACACCTTTCGAAGTACAGCCTTGAGCAGTCATGCAACGTTATTCAAAGTCTTCTGACAGTATTCTTCGCTCATGGAGTATTTTAGGGCGTCGAAGTCGATTTGCAGCCGGGGCATTACTGTCGGTTTAGAGCAGGAGGGCTATTCCGCTCAAGTCGCGTGGCGAACTATCGGCAAAGTCCGAAGGCCGCTCCGGTCCGACGAGAACATCAAAAACACAGCCTTAAGGCGATAAGCTGTCGCCTTCACATCTACACTGCCGACTTTGTGGCCGTGCTGGATGCTAACCCACTGTGGAGGCAGACCATACATGATACAGATCGGTCTCGCCTAATAACTCTTTCATGCTCAATGGCAAGAATCCTCGATTGTTAGGCATTGGCCTTAGCAGAAGTTGCCAGACTCAGCCTTCTCGTTGGCCGGCAGGGTGACACGCTATATCGGACTCACTCTTCGTCGTCAATTGTGCCCGCAACGAGGGCGGCGCTGCTGCGTGGGCGCGCTCACAGTGGAAGAATATCATAGCGCGCGCTGCATGGATTCGCCCGCACACAGCGCCGCGACCGGGAGCAAAAACAGGTTACAGCTTTTCCTCCTATGTTACACGCCCCCTCCCCTGATAACCAACTTCTACCGAGCGCCAGCCCTCCCCCCCCCCCCCGGACAGCGCCTCAGCCGGTCTCACAGGTGATCTAAGACTCATCGACATCGCCCGCACGTTTGTCTAGGCGCGCGCCAGATTACGATATATAATCGAGCGCTCAGACTTTGCGTTTTTCTCCCACACTCAAGCGCTTCCGACGCAAACTATCATCATCCGCCGAATAGACGCCACATACTGCAAGCGCTCGAATCCTAAGCGCCAACAAACCATCGACCTTGCTCTTCACCCCCATCTCGCACCGACAATGCCGCCAGCAGACAAGCCTTCCGAATCTTCGAAGGACACCACGCCCGTTGCCCGTTCCCCCAAAGGTGGAGGGGGGCGCGGCGGTGGTGGCCGCGGCTCCAGCGGGAGCGGCAGCAAGGGTGGCAAGAGCGGGAGTGGGTCCTCGAGCAGTGGCAGCGGCAGCAAGAGCGGCAGTGGGTCCTCCAGTAGCGGTAGCGGCAGCAAGAGCGGCAGTGGTAGCGGCAGCAAGAGCGGCTCCGGCTCGTCATCGGGCTCTTCCTCGAGCTCGTCATCGAGCTCCAAGGGCTCGAAGCCAATCTCCATCCCCGGCAGCTCGTCCAAGTCGTCGAGCACGTACGGGAGCGGGGGCGGCGCGACGACGAAAATCTCGTCAGGGGCCTTTGCGGGCAGGACGGAAGGCGGCGGTAGCCGGTCGCAAATATACGGGTCCAGGTGCGTATGCGAAAAGTTTGACGCGTGCCATTCATGGTGCTTACCTCTGATCCCCAGCATGTATGGCAGCGGCTATCCGGGCTACACAGGGCGCGGCGTCGCGGGACGTAATTTCCCCTTCTACTACTGGCCGATCGTCTTTGGCGCGGGCTATTATGGGGGAGTGCACTACATCGACGAGGGCAGGAAAGAGGTGAGTTAACTTCGTCGCTCGATCGTCGCGCCACACATCTGACCCCTATTTCCAGTACGGTTCGCCTGACAATTCGTCTCGTCCGGGCGGTGCGCAGACCACGGTTTCGTTCGCGTCTGCCTCGGGAAACACCACGCTTTGGGTGGTTGCCGATAACACGACGACGACGTCGCTTATTGACGAGGTGTACTCCAAGTGTGCTTCATCGCTTTCGAACTCGACATCGAGGACGGTGACGGCGTACAACAACACCCCGCCGGCTGAGTCCATCGTGCAATACTACCGCGCTTCCAGTGTGGCGCTCGCGCTGGATGGGTACAACAACACCGCTGCCCTGTCCAACGACGACAATGCTACGGCGACACCATTGCCAGGGTGGCGCGACACGAACATGTTGGACTGTGTGAATACCACCATCGGTGCGGCCGTGCCATTGGTGAATGCAGATGGGGAGAACAGTGCGATAGCGATGAGGGGTGCATCGGGGTCAATGGGAGCGGTGGCGGCGTTGGCGCTGGTCCTTTTCTCCCTCATTTCGCCGTGGTGACCCGGACGATTGAAATGAGGGATACTGACCATTTCATGACTATTCGTGGCTACCTTTATATAGTCTTTATTTCGCGACGACAATTCTACTCGCCTACTCTTCTCATCCCCGATAGCTTGGCAATGGAAGTTAGAAAGCTCAACTTCCCACGGTTCGTATCATGCCAGCCACGTGCGTTGAATGCAACTGTGGCTTCTGCCTGGCTTCTTCCGAATCTCTCATGTGCAGTCTCATAGAAAGCTCTCTGGTCGTCACTTCAGCGTACGAAACCCATCATGTCTCTGTTGGAACCACTATCGCGTGAACAGGTACGCAGCAGGACCCGCGCAGGGACAACAAGACCCGCACCTCAGCGTCCGGAGCTCTAGAAAACCTTGCTTCGCGCCTCATCTTCCGCGTCATCCAGAACAAGCGCGATACAGGCGGGTCACGCGCGTCGCAACAGAGGTCCTGGGGCGCGCTTCTTGCGTGCGATAGCCCTCTGGTCTCCAGCCGAGAAGCACTCGCGGGGGTGGGAAGGATCATGGTATCATGCGCGAGAGGGGGACGGCTGCGGTCACATAAAGATGCCCAGCACTTGCTGCGCGCACAGAGCATCTTCCCGACGACCCAGGCGAGGACTGAGACGATGAGCGCCCCGCCAGTGACGATCTCCTCGCATACGACCGCGTCGCACCCGCGGCCGCACATCCTCTACACCGTGCGCGTGGGCGAGGGCAAGCCCATATTTCGTCGATACTCAGAGTTCGCTGCGCTCGCGGCGGCGTTGCCAGGCTCGTTCTCGCTGCCGCCGAAGCGACTGCTGACGACGACGTTCGTGCCGTCGGCGTGGGCGGACGACGCGCTGATCGCGGAGCGGAAGGCGGGGCTGTCAGCGTTCCTCAATGACGTCCTGCGCGTCCCGGAGCTGTCAGCGCATCCGGCGCTCAGGGAATTCCTCGGGCAAGCAGGGACAAGCAAAGGCGCATTCGACCCCGAGGACGCCTTGCCTTCGACCATGTCGCGTAAGGACGCCTTGAATTTCAAGACGAAGGCGGCGTCGCAGATCGTCGGCGCGTACTATCCAGGTGAGCAACTGAGAGCACCCTCGACGACGTTCGGGCTGACGAGCACGCAGACTGGAGTACGGGCACCATCGCGCCCGAGAACATCGACTTCTCGAAGTACGACCTGCTCTTCTTCGCGTTCGCGACCCCGAACCAAAGCAACGGTCTCAACTGGGATGACGGAAGCCAGAGCACGTTGCAGCGCCTGGTGAGCGCGGCGCACGGCGCAGGGACGAAGGTAGGCCGATTATCTACAGAGCATATACCCAGCTTGAACTGCTACAGGTCGTCCTCTCAGTCGGCGGCTGGGGCGGAAGCTATTGGTTCTCGAATGCGGTCAGCAGCAAGGTACGCGCGATTTACCTCTCCTCCAGTCCTTCTGCCTTATATTCTCCTTACGACACCCTGGCCTTACTGTTTCCATGCGCATATACCCACCTCGACGCACCCCAGCATGCGCATTTACTTTTCTTCCCCAGGGTAACCGCTCTGCATTCTCCTCCGCTCTCGCCGACGCTGTCAGCCAATACAACCTCGACGGCATAGATATCGACTGGGTGCGTCAATTCGATGCGTTTAAGTCTCGCTTCTCATCAGTCCTTTAGGAATACCCGAACTCTGAGGGCGCTGGCAATCCGTAAGTTGAAGGCCTCTTCTATGCGCATACACTCATCATGATCTCCTCTATACTGATAGTCATAACGCCGCCGACGCCGCGAACCTCCTCACGCTCCTCAAGGACATCCGTAAGAAGATTGGTGTGCTAGATTGTCCTTGAAATATCATACTTCTTCCTGACCATATGTAGGTGATGACAAGACCATTTCAGCGGCAGTTGCGCACCTGCCGTGGATTGGGGACAATGGGTCGCCATTAAGTGATGTGAGCGCCTACGCATCAGTGATGGACTGGGTTGGGATCATGTAAGTGTTTTGCGACACTTCTTGTCGCGGAGCTCATGGCACTGAACTTTGCATAGGAACTACGACGTGACTGGCGCAAGCGCGCATCCAGGTCCTAATGCACCTTTGGGTATGTAGAAGGCGTCTTGAGAGCACTTCCCCTTCTGCACCCTTGCCAGCTCATTGCTCTGCTCCTCGGCGGTCGCTTCATGTGCTGATCTTCTTACCAAGGCAACCTTTGTGGCACATCTGCGCATCCAGAAGCCTCCGCTCAAGCTGCCGTCAAGCAATGGACTGGCGCGGGCTTCCCGGCGAACAAGCTGATGCTTGGCGTGCCGTACTACGGCTACGTGAGCCAGGTGAGTCGGTGGTTCTACCCCGCGTATGCTCGCGTTTGGGCGCACATTGCTGAGGAGTACGCATCGTAGAGTTCGGATACGACGCTCACGGGTAGCTTCGCGCCCAAGGCGCACGCGGGTACGAATGCGGAGGTTACGAACGGCGGGCAAGAGGTCCTGTCCGAGGGCTCGTCGGATGGACTCCTGTATGCTCCGCATCCGCATATGAAGGCATCACCCGCCGACTCGGGTGAATCGACGAAGCAGGCAGGGAACGGCACGACGACTCGGAAGGAGGCCGCCAAGCAGCCTATTACCGTCAAGGCGGACCTCTCTTCGTACTGGGGCCAGCAGGTTGCCTTCTCGACCCTCGTTAGCGCAGGCGCGCTCACGAAGAAGAGCGACGGGAACTATGGCGAGGCTGGTGGGTTTACGATGGTGAGTGGAATTGTCCACTATCGCTGTCGCGCGAACTTCCCGCTTCCCCCCCCCTCCTGCCTTTTCCTTCCTTCCACTCCCCTTCCCTCGTCTCCTCCTCGCTGCCGCTAAACAACAACGCAGGCCTGGGACAACTGCTCCGACACGCCCTTCCTGTACAACACGTCTGCGCAGACGGTCGTGACCTACGACGACACATACTCGCTCAACTCGAAGGCGGCCTACGCGCGCGATGCGGGGCTGGCGGGCGTGTTTGCGTGGTCGCTGGATCAGGATGATGGGACCTCGTTGGTGGTGAGCGGCATCTTCTTTTCTCCTTTTGTGTGGGCAGGCGGAGGCGCATATGCGACCGAAACTCGTGTAATGCGGTGAACGAGGCAGCCGTTAACTGGGTCGCGGTCGGACCTTCCAGCTATGTCAGTCTTCGTCCACGATACTGAAATTCACGCAGGGCGCTGTGCGTTCAGGGCTTGGGAAGTAAGCACCGGGGGAAGATGAAGGCTCGGAGCGAGACTGTTCGGGTGTTGGTTCCGAAGATTACGACCAGAGCGGTAAGCGCTCTTTCATGACGCGACGAGGTTTGGTTTTGGACTGTATTTGGACGGTAAATCGGAATCGAATTGCACACTGTCGTCTCGTTCGTCGGCGCCGGAAAACGCCGTGGTGCGTAGGGGCGGAGACAACTTCTATTCGATGAGGAGCCTCCTGGAGGATGGTCAGCGCTACCCTCAAGTCCCCGTAAAGACACACATTCAGCCAAGCCACGGTCGGGCACAAGAAAGTCCAACACCGCAAGCTCGTCTGGCCCATGAACCTGATCATGCAGAAGAAGACACAATCTCCCGCTAGCGGGACAGAAGTCGAAATCTCGCACTTGCGGCATCAGGTCAAGCGTGAGAGGGGCCATGGCGGGCAGCGCTGCTGTCCCGTCCATTGTCGCGCGATACGTCATGCACGAGACCTCGTCTATGGAGTCGTGAAAGACGACAAACATGTGGCCCTCGCAGGATGCGACGACCGGACCGGCGGCGCTGAAGTTCTCGTCTTCGACGGTCCGCGGGATCCTGGCGCGGTAGAGGGGATACTGGCTAGGGAGGACGCCGACGTGCGAGGGGTCTACCCAGATGACGGGCGCCATGTCGAAGTGGTGGAGGTCGCGGAAGCCGAGGAGGGTGAACTCGGAGGAGGCGGGGAATTTGTAATACCAGGGCTTCTGAACGAGCCACGCTTCCGTGTAGTCGTCCTCCGCGGGGGTCATCGTGATGGGGAGGGGGGCGCACTGCTTGGGCAGGTCGGTGAAGCGGATGCGGCGTCCGTGGGCGGTTGTGATTTCGTGAAATTCCGTGAGCTTGGTCAGCCGGATGCGTGTGCGGTCTGGGAGGATCACGCTCGTTCCAGAGAGGAACGCCTGTGAGTTCTGTGAGTTGGAGTCAAGGACCAAGGAAGCCGATTTCGCAGGACACACTGACTTCGCCGCTGCGCTGGGTGTCTAATCTTGCGAACTTGTTGAGTCGGTAATCCCAAACTACCGGCGTACTGTCTACACCTTCGATAGCACTCAGAACGACGTACGTATCGGACATAGACCTAGTGCGAGCCAGAAAGTCGCAGTGCAGTCTAGACAGAAGGCGCACGCTTAGACGACGATTGCCTGACCTGGCTGTGAAGTCCACTTCGAAGACGCCTACAACATGTGCGCTGTATTTCACTCAACGGCGCGCTCCAAGCCAGAACCATGTATGTTACTCACTGGTACAGCGCAAAGATGATTCTCCCGGGCTCCTTCGCTTCATATATCATGATGTTGCATCCCATTGAAGAGGGCTCCTCCGGTTCCTTCAGCAGCTCATCGAGGGTCTTGACGTACAGCGGAAGCGGTCGAACGCCGCAATACGCGTTCTGGCCGAGATCCCAGATGTGGAAGTGCCTTTTGGAGGTCGCGAGCAGGAAGCGACCGCCGGGGACCAGGGAGAAGAAGTTGAAGTGGTCCTCCCCGTAGCTGGATAACGGGCGTTCGCCAGGAAGTCGGAGGGCCAGGGCTTGCCTTGCCAGTGGCGAAAGTCTGCGCTCTGAGTTGCCGGTGAAGTCCGCGCGCGGGCCGCTCCGCGAGCGCAGGAGATTGAGGCAGCGCAGAGGGGCGGTGGCCGCGTGCTCCAGCATATCTAGAGACATGCCCTCGAGGTCGTATGTGGCGAGGAACACGCCGTTCCTTTTGCACATCTCACGGACTGCCGCCGTCCATATCGGCCGCGCGTTAGTCAAGGACTGTAGGTCCTTGCAAGTCTATCCGGCACAGAATGAGCAGTGAAATTCATTCAGTGATATCTCGATGATCTGTACCTTTCGTAAAGCGATGATATCTTGTGGTAGCAGATAACTGACGATGATCAAGAAGATATCGAACGGGAGATTGTTCAGCGCGGGTTTTGCCACCTGCAGTCCAAAATATCCCGAGATGGAACGAGAAGCAAGCCAGCGATATACTGGGTCCATCTTTGCTGTTGCTGTAGCTCAGAGCTCCTGTCGCAGTGGACGTTGAAGTCAAGTTACTCGATCGGGCGATCGGCCGGCTTGTATTGCGCTGTTTGGCCGCATCCCCCGTGGAGTCCGACGGCGTTGTGTTTCCAAGCATACGGGCGTCTACAGCAGCAAGAGACATGCACATCGCTTTGGTGAGCCAGGATAGTCCTATATGAACTAGTACCGGACATGAAGCTGGGGGAGAGCAATCAGCGAAGGCCGTCATCAAGAGCATTGTCAAACTCACCCCCAGCGTCACAATGCTCGATCAGTAACCACGCTGCTCTCGAGTTATTGCAAGCAGTGAGTATATACGTCTGCCCTCCTTCGTCCTCTCCTCTTCGTCTTGAACGTCATAACTACATCAGACCGAGGCATGAGCCCTGAAACCAGGTCAGCTTTGGAGGGCACTGAAATACGACTATTTACGCACCTTTCTGCGATTTACAGCCCACGATCGGGTACAAGGAAGTCCAAAACAACAATCTCGGTGCAGCGGCCGTCATGAGTAGGCACAAGACAGACCCGTCCACTGGCAGGGCAGAAGTCCCAGTCGGCTATGGTGACACTGTCTTCGCGAGTAAGATATAGCTGGTCACAAAGCGCGCTCGGCTCTGCGGGAGAGACGACATATGCAGCGCACATGAGTGCTGAGCTATGGTCGTCAGAGAAAGCAAGCACGTTTCGCCCTTCTGACGGCGCGACGGACATAGACTCGTCGATCGAGTTCCAGAATGGCAGGGATGGGAAGCGAGCGACCGTGTAAGGGATTTGGTCTGGCATCGTAGGGGATTGTGGTGTCGTGATCTCCGCCACTGCGAGGTGAGAGCGGTGGCGCGATGTAAGTCTATCAATGGATAGAGGAGCATCACGCCTGTTGTACCACCCATCGCGCACGACCCAGACACCATACTCTTCGTCGGTGATATGGACGATGATGGGGATGTAGTCTGCCACGGACGGAAGATCTGCGCAGGAAGACAGAAGCCCAGCAATGCTAACGAGCGGAGGGATGCGATAGACATGGAGCCGGCCATCATAAGCAAGGGCAACACTGTTTCCCGATGGCAAGAATTTGGCCTGAGCGTATGCGTCAGGATCAAAATCGTCTACTTCGCAAAGATCGGGGAAGACGTACGACGCGCGGTGCATCATCCAATGCTCGCAGGCTTCCAAGAGCATTTTCGCGATAGTTCCAGATCAGAGTCACCGCCGTGTCCATGTCATGTTCATCCAGTATGACAAGATCCTCGGAGACATCCATTATGACAGTATCAGACTCCCAGTTTAAGTGGATGACTCCGACCGTCTGGACATCTATCAGGTCGCTAGTCGTTGTCGAAAAGTGGAGCTCAAGTACAAGCACGCCATGGGACCTGTTGAAGTACGACTGTTGATGAGATTTCATGCGAAGATGGCCTATGGAATTCACGTACCTTGGTCCAGAGGACGTGAAGACAGCCACGAATTTACCAGCCTGCCTTGATTCACACACGGTGAAGAGGGCAAAGGATGGCTCAGCGTCACTTCGCTGCATACCAGCTAGTTCTCGGAGCCCTTGACAGAATATAGGGAGAGGCTTCATTCTCTCGTAGCCGCTTCGTCCAAGATCCCAGACGTGGAAATGCCGCTCGGAGGTGGCTGCGAGAAAGCGGCCGCCCGGAACCAGGCAGATCACGGTGAAGCCGTCATGCTCAGCGAGAGGTGAGGACGACGTGATGGTCTCAGGCAATCGCATGAGGAGGGTGCGCTTCGACAGAGGCTTTATAGTAACGTCGCTCGGAGATGTACTGGAGTGCTTGTGGATAAGGCGCAAGAAGCGGCTTGGTGCAGTGGCCGCATGTTCCAGTTCCTCCAAAGACATGTTTTCCAGGTCGAAATTGGCTCTGAAGACTAAATTTCTGGCGCACATCGTGCGTACGGCCGTCATCCAAATCGAGCGTGATTGCGTCAGCCGTAGAAGCGACCTGCAAGTCTGCTATGCAATCAGTAATCAAGCGAGACTTGCACCTGTCCATGTATACATACCTTACGTAGCGATACTATGTCTTCTGGTAGTAGGTATTCCGTGATAACCAAGAGCAGGTCCAAAGTAAGGAATTCAGTGAAGGACGGGGCGGGCATCGGCTGAATACTTTGCGCTGACATATTGAGGAAAGAGAGCCGCGTCTGCGCCATGTATTAGCTATGACGGGCTCGCTTAGCTGGGTGCGTTGTGCTCGAAGATGAGGGTCGGGAACAAGAGACGCGCCGACGCGCCTCCGTGGCGGTGCATCTACGCCGATCGTGTTTGTCACACGGTCACATGCATGCCGCATGGTTCAACTCGAACCTGGAGTAAACATGGCCACCTCTTCGAGGCCTGCGGCCACAACGGCAGGCTGTAATCGACTTCAATGCTCGCTCATTATAAATCATGCGCAGAGGGTATATTGAACGTCAAAGCGTGAGCGAAGCATACAAATACAACCCGACAGGGTACGAAGTAACCCGCGGAGATCGAAGGCATAGTAAATCCCATGTACAATACTACTGAGGCGGCGAGGAAGCATTAGCTAGGAGAGTAACAACAACGTAAAGGGAGAGAGAACAGATAAGCTAAAGCTAAACGAAGGTGCGCGACGCGGAACCGCGAGCGAGGGTCATGAGAAAGCACGTAAGTCAGTATACAGGAAAACATGCTATGTACAGTGCCGCCCAGCGTGTATTTGCGGCACGGGCCCGTGGTTGTCGTTATCGAGTTGGGGGTAGGGTATGAACGCGTGCACACGAGACATGAAGTACAGAAGGTAAGGGTTGGAGCGAGCACCTAAGGACTGCGTCAGTCCGCAGCGAAAAGCCGTCTACGTGAGTACGCACCCCTCGTGAACGATGCATCCTATCCTCTCACCACCATCTCACATCGCACGATGGAAGAATTCGGCCGTGTCCTGCGCCCGATCGCACTTGGCAGCGATGGAGGCAGCGACGTCAACCGCGCTCTGTACGAGGGGCCGGATGGGCGACGTTTGCGGTGTATGCGCGAGCAAGTCTGGAAACGTGTCAGTCAGCCGAGTCGCTCCGTACCCTTCACACGAACGGACACTGACCTCGATACAGCAGCACGTATCGCATGACGCGCTGCGTGGGCAGAATCGCGAGCTCGCGCACGGTGGGCAGCTTCCGCTGACGCTCCTTCCGCTCTCTCCGCGATAACCGAGGGGCGGGATCCTGCGCTTTCCCTGAACCGTGTTCCTTCGCCTTCCCGGAGCCAGTTTCCTTGCCCGCGTCCCGCCCGTCCACACCTCCCTCTTCCTTCCTTGCAGACGAGAGCTGCATCTGCAGCGCCGAGAATGAAGGAACACTCTTCCGCCACGCGTGCGTTCGCCTCCCCGAGCTCTTATGCGAAGCCAGGGATGGCCGCTCCCCTCCCGACTCCGCGCTCGCATTCTCGACCGCGCCTTCCTGCGATGCATCCCCCTGCTCCGGTGCTGGCTGCTGCTCCTTCGGGTCCACATGCTGCTCCCTCGACTCCTCCTTGTCTGCGTCAGGCTCCTCGCTGGCTTGAATGATCGATGACCTTCGCCTCACCCCCTCCGTGAGGATACTCTTGCTCAACCTCCGCTTCGAACGCCCGATGCTCGCGCCACCGTTCTCACTTGGCCCAACAAACCACCCGCCGACGACGCCGCACCAGCGTACATAGGCGCCCTCGACGTCCTCGCGGTGTGTGATGAGCGCCTGGCAGGCGACCGCGGGATTCGGCGGCTCCGGCCGCTTGTGCTCGCCGCCGCGCCTCCTGGCGCCGCCCTCGCTCGCGTCGGCCTCCGAGCTTGAGCGGCGGTGCCCGTCGGGCAGGTCATGGCGCCCTTCAATGGATCGCACGAGGCCGTCGCAGACGTTGACGAGCTCCTGGACGTATGTGCGCATGAGGGGCGGGGCAGGCGTCTGGGTGCTGCCGGGGACGAGCAGCAGGCGCAGCATCGAGACGTAGTGCTTCTCTGTGACGAGCAGCTCGGTAGTGATGTGGAGCAAGTGGGTATGCGCTGCGTCCGAGGGGAGGGGAATGACTCGAAGGGATGAGTACGTCTTTGACTTGGATGCGCTGCGCGCAAGACCGTCCCACTGACCATGACCCAGCGAGCTTGTACCAGCGCTGGTACCGGGCGTGGCCGTCTCCGGCTCATCGTCCTGGTCGAAGACATGGTCATCGCGCTCGTCCGAAGACGATTCGTCGCTTCCTCCCGCCACCTCGAATATCCTCGGATGTCCAGACATCGACCCGAACCGAGTACGTGTCGGGGGCGACGATACCGCTTGACGGTCGTGCACAGCGGGGACAGGGCTCATGACCGAAAGGGGACGGAGCTGGGGACGGCGGGGCGCATGCATGGAGTTCACGCGCTGCTGCCTGGGCTCCGGATCCTCCTGCTCGCCAGGCGTCGGCGGCAAGCTCTTGTCCTTGACGCCAAAGTAGCTTTGCTGCTGGCGCTCCGCGGCGCGCCCGAAGTACGCGAGGGACGGCATCGACGGCGAGGGTGGGAGCAGGGTCGACGACGGAAGCGGCTTGTTGGCCGCGACCGCGAGAACCTCTGCCGCTTTCTGCTCTTCCTCTTCGTGCTCAGATTCGCCCCAGTCGCTCTCGTCGCTCGCCTCGTCGCCAGGAGTTCGTGGCTGATCGAGCGCGCTGACAGTCCATCGCCTCATGGCTCGCGTACTCCTGACATCGGATGCGGATGGACGAGCACGTAGCTCGGGTCGATCCGGAACGTGTAGATGGGAGAACGCGTCGTCGCGTTCGTCGCGAGGTGAGCAATATTGACAATCGGCGACGGGTAAGGGTGGTAGGTCCATATCCATCGGAGAGTCTGCGAGGACGGGGGAATTCGATGGTGATTCACGCGCCTGCAGTGAGATAAAGGCGTTGGCGGTCTGAGCGCAGTCAGTACGCTATCAACCTACATGACAGGATCACGTACCGCTGTAATCCCACCAAGCGTCGCACTGTGCTCACCCGGAGGTGTGTTAAGCCAAATAGGTGATCGAGGGTTACCACTCGCGCTCTTAGGTTCCGTACTCGACCTCTGGGAGTTCGTCTGGGAAACCCACGGTCAGCACGATATATGACGAAGATATGATGGAGGTAAGAAGACAAGCGGAGAACACGCGTTTCTGCTGCTGATCGCGTAGGCCACCTCCATCGCGGCGCGCGGGCCTTGACAATCATCTCGCACTGTCGTTCGCTCCAAAACGCGTCCTCGCAGCCCCACTAGACGCGGTCACGTTGTCGCGACGGCGCGCTAATCACCGGAAGTAGACCCGGATGGGTCAAATGACAATAGAGGTTACGTTCTGGGAAAGGTGCCGCGGAGGCAAAGACGACAAGTAGCGTGCCACTCACCATGAAAGAGTCCAGGAGATGCACAGAGGGACGCCGCGACTTCTTGACAAGCTTATTATGCGCGCGACCGGTCGATGAGACGGACGACGTGGGGCTAATCGTGCTTAGCCGGTTGACTGAGCTATGCTTGGACGTCCAGGATGAAGACGGCGATGGTGGTAGTGGCGAGAGCATGCGAAGTGCGTCCAGAGATCCTCGTGAAGCTGATCGCGTCGCAGGCGAAAGCGACTGATCGAGCATGACCTCGAGAGCTGCACTCGGGGCCCGCCAGGAGTCAGAGTCAGAGTACGACCTGCGATGCGCAGGCGTGAATTGTGAGCTGCCTGACCTCCTATGGGGCAGGTCGGCAACGCCGTCACTAGCAGAAGTGGGCGAAGGCGTTGGCGTTGGGGAAGCTGAAGTTGCCTGAGCGTTACCAGTCCTAGGTGTGGATGAACCATCGCTGGAAGCAACGATAGGGCTCGTTGATGGTCCAGCGACCGCTTCTTCATAAGCAGGCAGTCGCTCAGGGACGCCGGCGGTGGCAGAAACTGCAGACGCAGACGCTTCACTAACCACATGCGTCGATGCTCCGGTGTACGCCAGGATATTCGTCCGCATCGTCTCGCTGCTCCTCGTATGCATGCTGCTACTGCCCGCCCGCATCGTATCGACGCTCTTCCCGCGCAAGGTGTCCGCGCGCGCCTTGCCCTTCTCCTCATTCGCCCACTTCCGGTCCTCCATCAATTTGCGGAATTCCTCCTCCATCACCGTCGCCGACACACACGCATCGTGCCCAATATCTGTCCCCCACTCCCGTCCATCTTCCTCCGTCGACAGCGGGCTGCACGGCGTGTTATCGACCTCCTCCCCGTGCCCCGCCACACTCTTGCTCTTCGTCATGCTCGCCCACGACGGTCCTCCGTGCCCTGGTTCGCTATTCGCGTAGCCCTCGCCCAGGCTCATGCGCCCGCCCTGCACAGAAGAGTCGTCCACAAAGAGCGCCTCATTCGCCCGCACGCCCACGTCCGGCGTCGCCTTCTTCTTCTTCCCGCGCGCGAAGTCCGAGATGCGCGAGAGGAAGGATGGGCGGCGCGGTTTGTCCTGCGCTGCCTGGATCTCGTGGTACCCCGGGCCCTGCTCGCCCTTGCTCTTGTTGCTGGTCGTAGAAGAGCGACGAACGAGGCCGAGCTCCGACCCTGCCAGTTGCAGACTGTTCTTCGACGCAGTGGGCGGGTGCTTCCGTTTCAGACGGCGCGGCGAGCTCTTGAACTCGCCATCTTCGCCGAGGACGCGCTGCTCTGCCATCGACACGCGCGAGGAGGCGCGCTGGTCGGTGAGGGTCAGGCGGCGGCGCATAGAGCCGGTGGGAGGTGCGGCGTCGCTGTTACGGTGTGTGGCGCTCGGCTGAGTGTGATACGGCAGCGGTGGAGGATGGGAATGGAGCATATGCGCGTACTCCGCTTGCTCAACTTGGCTGATAGGCAGCTGACTCGCAGGTGGTGCGATATCTACGCGGATTTGTACGGGACTTCTGCGAGGCGAGTAAGACGCGTCGGTGAGGGCCTCCCAAGGGTCCTGGGATAGGCCATGCCCTCTGCCATGTTCATAGCCAGATGGTGGTTGTCGACCTTCTGCATAGTTCATCGCGTTTTCGCTACCTGCCTGATACCAGTGACTGTTGGTGGAAAAGCTGCGTCGTGGCGGACTCGATAGGTGGCCGTGGACGCTCGGAGCTACAACGCTCGTAGAGACGCTTCGTGAGGGTGCGGAGTACGAAGCGTACGCCCCAGAGGAAGTCGAAGGCAGGTCGTAAGGCGAGGATGAAACGTGGATCGATGGCGGCGAGTGGTGACTCCAAGTAACAGGATGATCGCTTGACGCTAATGAGGAGCTGCCAAGCGACGGCGATGCATAGCTGACAAGGGACGGCGACGAGGTGCCGTCAAGAGCCTGCGATGCATTGCTGCTCGTCTCGGGCATGTCAGGCGGGAAGACCAGGGTTGGTAGCGGGGGTACTGGCTCGACTGGTGAGCGCGAGATCGAGCGCGACCGAGCAAGGGAGGCAGTGGAGGACGCCGCACTTGGCGAGTGCATGGGCGAGTACGGCGAACGCGGCGTGGATAAGCCGCTTGCTCTTGATGGCGATCTACTGGGTGGGGAGACCGCGGGGTGTGGCGGGAAGATGCTCGTGCTCGTGGGAGGCTCGCGCGGGGATGACGGTTGGGGACCAGGTAATGGGGGTGCCTCCTCGCGCGTCTTCTTCCCACTCTTCCTGCGCCCGAAGCTGAGCGAGCGCTTCCTGCGCGTCATACCGTCCGCCTGTCAATTCGTTAACGTTACGAACGCAGCTCATGTGGCGCGCGGACGCACCTGCCCTCCCATGCTCATCCTTCGCGCCAGAGATGAGCTACTCTCGGGCTCCTCGCTCGCTGGCGCCGACTGTCGCCCGCGGCGGGAACCACTGTCCGCGCGGGAAGTATTGCTCCGAGTGGTATATTGATCGGAGGGCCCCACCGCCGCGACACGCCTTCCTTCGAGCGCCATCTCCCCGACGACGTTAGCGTGATAGGTAGACTGTCTGGCAGGGTGATTGTCGCCGCTGAGGTCATAAGGGAAGTTGCTGTTCTCCACGTCTTCTTCGACGATGAAGCTGAACCCGTGCGGTGGCTGTGAGGGAAGCGCGAGGTCGGAGGTCGAGTTCAGCGCGATGGAGGTGCGTGAGCCAGCGCCCGCGCGCTGCTTTCCCTTCCGGCTGCCGTGTCGAGGCCCATCCCCCTCCGCATCGGTCCCCTCCTGGACTCCGGCGAGGTAGCGCTTGATCGACTTGCCCTTGCGCAGCTTGTTGCGAGGCGGAGTGGCGGAGGGGTTCGCGGACAAGGGGTCTTGGCTCGGGCTGGACGCGTACGAGGACTGGGTGGACACCCTCGCTTGCCTATGCAGGTGCGGATTCGAGTGGAGAGAGCCGGAAGACGAGGCCGGCATGTGTGATGGGACGATGAAGGCAACCGAGGACGACCTCCCGGGGGACTGCGGGCTATAGGTTGAGGAGTAGGAGTGCATCGTGATTGCGCGAGTCGCTTCAAACGTTGCTCCACTGAAGATCCTGCTAACGAGCGCGCTAGAGGTCAGAACATGATGCGAATGTACCGCGGTAAACGCACGTTCAAAGCTTCCGGCCACTACTACGCGTCCTGACACAGGGGATGGTCGTTTGAGGTGGAGTCAGACGGTCCAGGCGCGGGCGGGGTATGGGCTGAGGCTAGGTATCGAAGGAATGGAAAAGCGAAAGCAGAGATCGCCGACGGAGGCCTGGGTACTGGTTCAGGAATGGCCGTTCCGCGCCATATGAGAGAATAATCGCTATAAGTTAAGAGGGACTGCCCCTTTCTATGAGGAGACAGGGTTTCGAGTAGCAAGGGTGGTCACCGTGGGGGACAAGCAGCAGACGCGCTCGTCGCCGTGCGGCCGTTTTTCACGCAATCGGCATTTCACAACCAAGTGTACGCATATGATGTCATCTCTCCGTATGTCGCTGCCGACCTTCGAGCGCAGTGAGGGCCTCGCCGTCTACTTCAGCCCAGGCAAACACGGGGCTGGTCCTTCTAGTGTACTTTTCATCAGACTCTTAAGCAACATTGTGAAAGCATCCAGGTCTAAGGGCTCAGATGACTTCAGTTCCGTCTCAAGGCAACAGCAGACTCGCATGGGAAGGGGAAATAGGCCAAGATATGGGGAAACTCTTCTCTGGCTTTTTCCAGGCAAAATACTACCTTCAAGCCGGCTCAACTCCGGATGCAAAATCGCCGCGGACGGAAGTTCAACTTGGCACGTGACGTTCGGGAATTTCCGTGACATGGGATCGATCCTGCAGACCGTCACTTTCCTCTCCACATTGACGGCTAGCTGGCGCCGCAAGGGCGAGTCTACAACCAGGAAGCGACGTTGCATCTCCTACTTCTTCTGGGTGTAGGCTATAAAACTATTCAACGCGCACGTACAAGATGGGAGCGCCATGATTTGCGCAAGTCCTCCTAGTCCACCAATGATTCAGAGCCATAACGTCTAGATGAAGAAAGCCGGTGAAAACATTGAGTGGCCCCAGCGCTTGAATTTTCCCACATAAAGTGATAAATGTCATCTTGAAGGACTGAACTTGTCTTCCGCAGGCGCATGCAATTGTGGATGTGCCGCGTCCTGTCGATCTCGACCTCATACCGCAGCAAAATAGTTATTCACCGCTCTCGAGTGCATTCAGATGTCTTGAAGAAACAAAGCGTTTTGAAAAAGAATGTGATTTTTTGATTTAGGAACAATGACAAGAGATAGATGAAGCCATCGTAAGGTCGTCAGTAGGATTACCAATGCGGTCGTGAGTGAAGGTGAATGAAGACCTTGATCATCGGACCCACGGCTAAACGAGGGAGACTAGAACCCAGGTCATCGCCACTGCAGCACTAAGCGGCGCAGGCGTGCTCATCAATGCCATCGCACGGTGTCCTCCGGCTGCGTTCACCAGGGGCACGGCCGCGCCAATAGTGTTGTTCACACAGCTCAACATGTTCGTGTCGCGCCACTCCGGCAGTGGAGTCGCCGTGGCATTGTCGTCGTTGGACAGCGCGGCGGTGTTATTGTACCCGTCCAGCGCCAGCGCCACGGTTGAAGCGCGGTAGTACTGCACAACAGACTCGGCACGCGGGTTGTCGCTGTACGCCATCACCGTCCGAGACGTCGAGTTGGAAAGCGACGAAGCACACTTGGAGTAAATCTCGTCGATAAGCGACGTGGTCGTTGTGTTGTCCGCGACCACCCAAAGTGTGGTGTTCCCCGAAGCAGACGCGAACGAGACCGTGGTCTCCGCACCGCCCGGGCGAGACGAGTTATCCGGCGAGCCGAACTGGTAGGAGTAAGAAATGTGGCGCGGTGATCGCGCACCAAAATGTGGCTCACCTCTTTCTGGACCTCGTCGATGTAATGCGCCGACTCGTAGCCGACACCAGCGCCAATGACGAGCGGCCAGAAGAAGAAAGGGAAACCGCGTTCCGCGATGCTGTGCCCCGTGTAGTACCCAGGATAGCCGCTACCATACATGCTAGGGGTCCACGCTCAGCGCCAGAAATGAGCCGACAATCACTTCGCCACTCACCTGGACCCGTAGATCTGCGACCGGTCACCGCCGCCTTGTGTCCTCCCGGCAAAAGGTCCCGAAGAGATGATCGTCGTTGCGCCGCCGCCATTGCTGTACGTGCTCGACGTCTTCGATGAGCTGTCAGAGATGATGATTGGCGTCGAGCTCGACGACGACCCCGAGCCGCTCTTGCCACTCTTGCTGCCACTCTTGCCAGGCCCACGCGCACTGCCGCCGCGCCCTCCTCCTCCCCCTCCCCCACCTTTGGGGGAGCGACCGTCTAGCTCGCTGTCCCTCAAGGATCCAAATGAATCGATGACGGGCATTGTCAGAGTGAGATGGGGGCGAAGCGATAGAGAGAAGTTAACGAGTTGCTGCCGCTTTTAAGTCGTGCACTTATGAGGCCAAATGTTGTTTGTGTCGCAAGCACTAGAAGAACGGGAGATGGGAAAAGAAAGCACGGTTCAATTGCCGGTTTACCGATTGTATCCTGGCGCGCGCTTAGACAAAAGTGAGGGCGGTGTCGATGATTCTTAGATTGCCAGGGAAATCAGTTGAGGTGCTGGTCTTTCTCTTTGAAGAGAGATGAAGGACGGGCCAAATATAGCGTTCTAACCCGCCGGACGATGAGAAGCTCCAGATTTGAGGCGCTTTGGGGAGAAAGACAACGAGAGCGGGAGTGCTTCCGCGGGTCCCGTGCAAAGATGGGTTTGCACTTGCCCAAGCGCACGGCGTACAGATATGTGGTCGCGGGTGCGGCACGGTCGTGTGCGAGGCAATCGTCACTGGGTGCTCATCGTCGTCTGGGTCGTCGGGAAGAAGCCAGGCAGAAGCACAGCAGAAACCACAGAGGCATGCAACGCACGTGGTTGGCATGATACGCACCGTGGGAAGTTGAACTTTCTGGCGTCCATTGACAAGCTTGAACGAGGGCCTTCCAAAGGAGACTCGAGCCCATCAGGGACGGGTTAGCACCGCGTTCCGAGACGGGAACTCAGACAGACATGCATATTCCCTTCATACCCATACATGGATGATACCCTTTACAAGCAGTAGTGACCCTCGACGCAGAGCGTATACGTCTCCGTATACGTCGCCGTGCTCGCGTACGCAGTAGTGGTGGTCACAATTGCTGGGTCCGACGTCGTCGTCCACGGGTTCTCCGTCCGCGTGTTCGCGCACACCTGGCTCACAACGATCGTCGTCTGCTCGCGCTGTCCCAGCCGTCAGCCTTCCCTCACCTCCCAATCTCCACGCAAACAGACATACCTTATCCAACGCCCTCGCTGTCATCGTTGGCAGCACGAAGTGCGTCGTGGTGTACGTCGTCGTGCTCGGGTCATCCAAGGTGGAGGTCGACCCGGCGACGGTGGTCGTCTGCGTCTCCGTGCCGGAGGTGTAGTAGACGCACGCGCTGTCGGTCTGCGTGGTGGTTGTGATGTACTGTGCATTGTCGGCGGCGGGAGCGGCGTTGACCGCGACGAAGAGGGCGGCGGAAGCGAGGATGGCGAGCTTCATCATGATCAGCGACGGGCTCGAGGAGTCGGAGGGCGTCAGTTGAGCTTGAAGTGGGCGATGGAACAGCTGATCTATCTCTCCCATGGGCCTTTATACGTTGGCGGCCCGACGTCGTTCGCCTAGCAGGTCTATCGTACCAGGTGGGTGCGCCGTGTCGCCATCAACACCGGCCCCTCAAGCACCGACTTCGAGGGGTGGCGATGCGGCGGCGGGCACGCCTATTGTTCGAAACATGTTGACCTTGAATAGACCAGGAAGGAACAGAGCACATCGAGGGGATGCGGGCACTACCCGCGGAACATCCGGAGTGCGTCAGCACTCGTTGTCGCGAGCATCAACCGTTGCTTGTAGTGCGAAGAGTCGGAACGGTCGGGGAATGGGCGGCTATCATATTTACTGATAGGTAGGTCAGCGAGGGCGGCAGCGTCATACCGGTAGACATTACGCTTACATTGGTAGGACGGGTGGGGCAGGGGTGAGGTCCGTGGCCAGCTCGTACTCAACCGGACGGTACGCGGGGTCGGGGAATAAGTTGGTGCTTCCTGCGTCGGATGGCATATGCGGTGGCGTAGGAATTGCAAGCGAATCATGCAGATAAATGGGGGATTGAGGGACGCCAGCGCGGAAAGCAGCTCGCGAGTCGCACTTTCTGTCTTCGCTCACAAAGCCCTTTAGAAGTTTCAGGCGATGGCCCTACGGCTCGAACTGCATGCAGTATATGTACAGCTTTAGCTATAAGTATTCGAGTCAGAGGCACGATCGGAAACAACGCAAGGCAGCACGCACCTTGCTTTGGTCGTTGGGTATCGCTAGCTCTCCGAGGACGCTGTATCAGCTTCCGTACGTTGCAATTTCTTGGTCACGTCATGTAGTGCGAGTCCTGGCGGTTTCTACGTCTCGCTGAAGCGCAGTTTCGTTGCGTTGGCCGGAAGGACGCTGGCGGTCGAATTGAAGCGGGGAAGGAAGACAAATGGATGACATATAGTCTAGGACCAGTACATAGTGCCGGTGTACGTGCGCTGGCCGTGCGATAGTAACATGAAGGGGGAAGGTGGAAGTACAAGGCAAGAGAGAACAATAGCGATGCCCAAAGCGGGAAGGGCTAATTTATTTCCAAACTCGGACGAGCATCCAGCCAAGCCACTTCTCCTGCTTCCTACCCTCATGGTGGCTTCATCGGACTTGGTCCCTCATGCCGCCTCGGCGCCTCATTCCCACTATTACTGCTGGGATCATATCCATGCGCTTTGTTTTACCCCTTAGCAAATGCCCGTCAAGTTACAGTAGACGCATAGCGCTAGCGCTGCTCGATTACTTCGCGAGCATTACATGTCTATCAGTACGGTCTATATTCTAAGACGGAACTTTTCTTAAAATGAAGGTGCGAAGCCTGCTGCTCTGCTGGCTTACCACTGATGAATTGCTGCAGCCCTGCCATGCGATTTGCCCAACTAGATGTACCGTTATATACTACCCCTGCACTGCCCATACACTAATTGCTCCTGACATTGCAATCAACCAATTACATCTCGATGCTTGCGCCATTCTCCGGAGCGGTGATAACACCGAACATTCATTAGACGGCCTCGCGCCCGAACTGTGACATGCGATATAGAACATCTAGTATCGCATCTTGACCTCTGACCAGGACCACGAACTCCGGTGTACTGGCGACGATGACAGATTCTACAAACCCCTCGCCGACGTCCAACCGCCGCCCTCGCTGGGTTCACGGCCTGCTGCATCCTCGTAGCTCCGGGCTGTTCAGTCGTTCCCGAAGCCGTAGTGTTCAGCGATGCAGCGCACCATCTCCTTCGCCAACAATGTCATCGGCTGAGGCATCGACATCACTCGAGCCCTCGACGACTCCTCTCGAGGACCCCTTGACTGCGTCGACTGTTCCATCCCCGGCACTTCGCGTAAACTCTCGAGAAGTGGGATTGGTACCTGCATCGTCGCCTGCAAGATCTTCACCTACCCCAACGGCTGCTACGCCCTTGTCCACGTCGTCCAGAGAGGGCGTTCTCATGATCGTACAAGCCGCTCAATCAGACATATCAAAATCGATCCCTCCGTCCGCAACATCGATTCCCTCATCTGTCCATGATCAACCAGGCTCACAGCCAGCGTCTTCCAAGGACCTTCCGCCTCCTCATGACCCACTCGCCGCTCTCTGGCACGAGGCCATCGCGAGGTACAAGAACGACACCGGTATCGATCTTTGCGCGGAAGGCGGTGTCCGCCTCGAGTCGGGTACTGCGATCCAGCGCTTCCTTGACGAGAATCAAGAAAAGTTCGACTCCTTCCACGACGGCGGCGCTGCACGCCTTCGCCGAGCACTCACGCCAGTCGTCACAGCCTTTGGACCACTGTGTGCGATCGCCGGCGAAGGAGTTGGCCTGGTGAGCCGTACTATGTGAATAGTAACTTTAAAGCTGATTCGCGAAAGGTGTTCGAGCCCGGCAAAATAGTATTCTCTGCGGTCGGCGAGCTATGCAAGGTGTGCGATAGATGTGCAGAGCGTCCGCACTCCGCTGACGTTGCTCCAGGCTGCCGTAGAGGTCGGCGAAGAGCTGGACGCAATCTCGGACGCCTTCGACACCATGGCGCACCACCTTCGCATACTCAAACCGGTGGCCGCGCGGGATGTGCTGAAGGACGATGCTTTGCGAGAAGCGTGCGTAAAGCTGCTCTCTCAAATCCTGGTCGTCCTCGGCGTGATACAGAAGGTTCGCAAACAAGGTCGACTCGGTGAGTCGTTTGCTATTGATATAGCGCGGTAGCTGACGCTTCGACAGTGCTATGGCTCAAGAAGCTCGCTAAGTCCACGGAGGTGACCTCCGCTTTAGCGGACCTCAGTCGGCTGGCGAGCCACCATCATGAGACTGTGACTGCGGTGACGCTGTATACAGCGAAAGAGACTATGGCCCTCCTGACGGAGAGCGAAGCTTGTGCGTATCTTAGTCCTATCGCGTCTCTGAAATTCACGATATTCGCAGGGAATAAAGAAGTGCAAGGGGTAACTCGGGCGTCCCTCGCTAAGATTACCAAGGTTGCGCAAGATATCTACGGTGTGTTACGACAGGCCCGCTTTTTTGTAAGCTGACCCGTCGCAAAGCCATGCTACGTGAGAACACCGCCTTGTCTCAGGATGAGCGCAACGCGAATCGAATAATGCTGGAGAATATACAAGTCATGTTCCTCCAGCAGGTCAACGAGATCAGCATCGATAGGAGTAAGCTCGTTAACTCGAAAATCACATCCTCTCTCATGCATTCACGTAACAGAGACTGCTGATCTCGAGAAGATATATAGTTGGCTCCAGTACCCGGAGTCCTCGTTCAAGATGAACAACCTTCTTGACAACCGTGCATCATCGACCGGGTCGTGGTTCCTCGACGGCGATGAATTTGCAGCATTCAAGAAGGGTATGAACAGGTCGTTGTGGCTGCATGGAATAGGTGCGTGCGCTCGTGTGTTCCTATGTTTGCCGTCGGTTGATATGTCGCTAGCTGGCTGCGGTAAAAGCACTCTGATGTGCGTCTTCCATCCTTCGCTAGCGACCGACACTGAGGGTAATTTAGAGCTGCAGCCGTTCGGGACCTGCAAGCGGAGGCCGCGTCCGGAGCCGCTTCCCTGGTTCTGACTCATCTCTTCGATACAACGGGCTCCATTTCACGTGATCTACGCGCGCTGCTCTCTTCCTTGCTTTGCCAGCTCGCATACCACATAACCGAATGCGCGACCCAGTTGCACAAGCTGCGCGTCAGGTCTTCGGTCGGCTACGCTCAGATATCTCTCGAGGCGATGCGGCATGCTTTGGACGTTGCCCTCAAAGCTACAGATTTGCATGTGTTCATCATCGTGGATGCGCTGGACGAGGCCGATGACCCTGCCATCATTCCATTTCTCTCTCAGCTGCTCGATCACAGCAACGTATCACTGATGGTGTCAAGTAGGTACGAAGTTACCTTTCGAGAAGAACTACGATCACTCTGCGACACCTCACTTTCCATGACTGAGGAAAGAGTCACCGACGATATCAAGGTCCTTCTCTCAGCGCTTTTGACTGAAGGCGGACCGCTAGGAAAGATCAAGGAGGCGGATTTGGTGCGGGATACCTTGACCATAGGCGCAAACGGCAAGTACGTTCTCAATGATTGTGATGGTCAAGCAGTACACTGAAGAAAATGCAGCTTCCGTTGGACCGTTCTGCAAGTGAGAGAACTGATTGACGTCGCCGGTATACCTGCCCAAGTTCGTAAACGCCTCAAGATGCTTCCACGGACCCTGAGCGAGATGTACGACCGACAGCTAGCATCTGTGCATCCAGCCGCCCAAGAGGACGTTCGTCTCCTGTTGACATGGCTGATGCTGACTGTGCAGCCGCTATCGACTGACGACTTCGCCGAGCTTCTGTCGTTCGACTATAGCGAGCGCATGCCTGTCTACGATGCTTCGCTGCTGCCATCGGTTGACCATGTTCTCGCTCTCGTAGGTTCCATTTTCGTATCAGTACACGATGACCACGTTCAAATTGCGCATGCGTCAGTCAAGGATCATATACTGTCGCTGTCGCCAACATCGCCCTTCCATATTGACAGGGATCGAGCTTACCGCCTCATGGCTCGGACTGGTCTGGCATACGTTGGGCACGCCAAGATGCCCGACTACGGATATCCGTCCCAACTCACGTGGACATGGGTCGTGTATGGCTTCAATGCGAGCACTGACCATTACGCGGAATTGGAGGAGGACACTGCCCATGTAGCAGGGACCCTCGAGAATCCAAAGGACGTACTCGCTGGCCCACTACATGCCGCCGCTGACGTTGGCTATGCTTCCATGCTGACACTGCTCCACGGCTTTGGGGTAGATCTCAAAGAATGCTACAGGCGTTATCGTGAAGATGCGAACGACCTACCTATCCTTCGAGTCGCTGCAGGTGGTCACCTTGAGGCTGCTCGAGCTCTACTCGACAATGGAGCTGATGTGGAAGGTGGCGAACACTGGTCGTCCTGGACACCTCTTCACGTCGCGGCATACCATGGGCATATCAATATGGTCGAGCTGCTCGTCGAACGAGGCGCAAATATCGAGGCACGGGGCGAGGGCGGTTGGACACCTCTCCACTTTGCCGCACAGGAAGGACAGCTCGCCATGGCTCTCTTTCTGATCGACACTGGGGCGAATATACAGAGCCGCGAGACGCGTGACTGTACGCCTTTTCACGTAGCAGCTGCTCATTCCCGTCTGGAGCTCGCGCAGATGCTGCTTGATAGGGGTGCGGACATGCTGGCGCGCGGGGACGGTGGCTGGACCGCCCTTCACTTCGCCGCGCAGGACGGACACGTCGAGATGGCCCGCTTGCTGCTCGAGCGAGGGATGGAAATCGACGATCGCAATAGCAAGCAATGGACTGCTCTGCACATGGCAGCGCAGGGAGGACACGTTACGCTGGCTAAGCTACTCCTTGACAAAGGCGCCGATCCAGCGGCATGCGCGCGCGATGATGAAGGTCGGACACCTCTCCACCTTGCAGCGCAGTATGGGCATCTCGCGCTTGCTCGTGTCCTCCTTGCCAGAGGTGCCAGTCCTGTGGCACGCGATGATGACGGCCGAACTCCCGCTCACCACGCTGCACAGTACGGGAACATCGACGTAGTCCGCTTCCTACTCGACAACATCACTGGAGAGGATGATTTGCAGAGCGTTCTGCAACATATGTTGTTTGATCTCACCGCTCGGGACGGTGATCCCGAGATTGCTAGACTGGTCATCCATCGAGGTGCCGATGTGGACGGCCTCGATGACGAGCACCATGCGCCGTTGCACGTCGCTGGGATAAAAGGCCACACGAACTTTGCTCGCATCCTCCTGGAAGAGGGCGCGAGTCCCGAGGCACGGGATGAGCAGGGGTGGGCCACTCTTCATGTTACAGCAGAATGTGGCCACATCGAGTTCATGCAACTCCTGCTCGACCATGGCGCAGACGTCGATGTCCACGGCAAAGATGGATGGACGGCCCTTCACCTCGCAGCCCAGGCTGGGTCGCTTGAGCAAGCCCGCATGCTCATCGACCGTGGGGCGAACATTGCAACCCGAGATGAAATCGGCTGGACGCCCCTCCACATTGCGGCTGCAAATGGGCACACAGAACTCGTGCGGCTCCTACACGAGAGGGGCGCCGACGTCACGGGGCGCAACGACTATGGCTGGACGCCGCTGCACACCGCTGCACAGGAAGCGAAGGATGCGTGTGTCCGCCTGCTCCTCGAACTAGGTGCTGACACGAGCATTCGCAACGATGACGGCAATCTACCGGTGGATGTTATCGGGGGCAGCTCCAATTCGCGACGAAGTCGTGCTGTGCGTCAGCGGCTCCGCGCGTTACTTTCCCAACCAGAGAACATAGAGGGTAAGGAGGGTTGTGCCGTGGAGTCGACGGAGTAATAAGTAGAAAGGACGACGCGTCCTGGTCGAGTGTACATGCAGACAGTAGTCAACCAATGTTGGCTACAGGGCACCCAGGCCAACAACGTCGCAGAGCTGCGTGTAGCGAAGATCAAGGGAAGGTAAATTACAAAATACATTGATTGCGCCACGCAGTTTGTCTAGATACTGACATGGTATACCGTCTCGGGTGTCGGCCAGTCAGCGAAACCGAGGTCAACAGCTAGCACAGCCTGGTTAGCTTCATCCACGAACCGTGATACGAGAAGGACTTACGCCAAGGAGGAGCAACGAAGCGCTTCTGTTTGCCTGCCGCCGCGAGACTGTCGAGCTTGGCGATGTCGTCAGCAGAGAGCTTGGAAGCGGCGGACAGTGCGCCAGAGTAGTTAGATGCGATGCGCGCAGGGGTGACGGACTTGGGCAGGACAATGATGTCCTTTGCAACTACAGACCAGCATCAGCACGGAGAAAGCAATGCAATGACGCACTACGCACCAAGGTAACCCAAGAGCACGTCTACTGGCTGCACGCCGCGCGTCTTGGCCACCTCGACCACGACCTCATCAGACACGAGCGGGCTGCCTGTCGAGCCGAGCGGGGAGTACGCCTGCGGGACGATGCCCTCCTTGCGGAGGTAGGCCAGCAACTCGTGCTGCGGGTTGTAGACGTGGATCTCGAGCTGGTTGACCGCGGGTTTAATAGAGACCTTGGGAAGGAACTTCTCGAGCGTCTTCTGGGACATGTTCGACACGCCGATCGAGCGAACCTTGCCTGGGGCGCGCGTCAGCGCGGATGGGATGGACTTGGCTGGGCAACGCACCCTTCTTCTGCAGCTCCTCGAGTTGCTTCCAGGTATCCGTAATCTTCCACTCCTCGTCGACGTCGCGCGAGCCGTCAGGACGAAGGGGGATCAGGTCGTTCTTCTCATTCGGGCGCAGGGGCACCGGCCAGTGCATCAGGAACACTACCGCAAGGTCAGCGCTGAGTCCCAGCTGCTACAAAAGCACTCACAATCCAAATAGTCCACACCCAAGTTCTTCAACGTGATGTCGAGCGCCTCCTCCACCTTCCGGTGGTACGTCGACCACAGCTTGCTCGTGATCCAGATCTGCTCCCTCGGCACGCCGCTCGCACGGATCCCCTCTCCGACCTCCTTCTCGTTCCCATACCCAAACGCGCAGTCGATGTGCCGGTATCCCGCCTCCTTCAGCGCGTACTCGACCGCCTTCGACACCTCGCCTGGCGCTGACTTCCACGTCCCCAGCCCTAGGATTGGGATCTCAAGCCCGTTGTTCAGCTTCACGGTCTTCTGCGGCGCGGCCATGGTAGTATGTGATAGTGGGACGTGGGTAGCGGGCTGCGTATATCGTGCTGCATCGATGCGGTGGGCGTTGCTTATAAGGGGCGCGGGAGGGCCGGGCCGGCGGAGCGGGCGGGTTTGGTGGGGTGGGGACTCGGTGCGGGATCCGGGCGCGATAACCACGAGGTCAGTCGGTCAGGCGGGACGAGGGGACCTACAATTGTGCCACATAGCACCCCGAAGGTCAGGAAGCCACAGAATAAGACGTAAAGGTTTGCACTAAAAGGCGAGAAGCCGGTTATCAGATACTTCCTTGACCAGTCGCCAGAACTACACGCGATGACGAGTCTGCGGAACGATATCGTTCCAATGATTACACCGCTGTAACCTAGCCACATCGACCCTTGGTACATACGGATCGACCTCTTACTGTGGCCCAGTGTACTGCGACTGCACCGATCCATAGCCTTGTACGCATTGCAAGCCGATCGGCGACGAACCGCTGCGAAGGTAGCACACCTTCGCCTCCGCGCACTCGTCGGACGTGCAGTTTGGCGACATTGGCGAGGATTTCCCCTGCAGATGATTGAATGTCTGACATCATGGTCAGTACTCTAACATGCACATAGAAAGATGCGGACGTACTGAGACGAGGGCGTGATCGTCCTCCATGGCTGTCGTGGTCAAGTCAGCGCGGGATGAGGCGTCTGAAGCGAGAGCAGCCTTACCCTCAGTGACCTTATGCCACCAAGTCGCATTGAGAGGGTCATTTTCGCCCCATCCATCTACGTAGGGACCGTACACATCCCTCGCGCTATACTCGTACTGGAACGTCGGACCCTGCTCAACCTGCGGGTCGAGCTGGTGGTAGTCACTAACATTGCTAAACCAGCTGCACCACCTGTCAGCACATCTTCTCCGACGCGAAAGGACGACAGAACGCACGTATGCGAATCCATGATCTCAAAGGTCTAAAGAAGAGTTATCAGCTTTAAAGCTCTTCAAGTCTATCCAGAGGACGTACCGCAGAGTCGACCTCATAGACTCTGAAGCCAGCGTTGACGCGGGTACGCGGCACAATAGACGGGCCAATCTGCAAGGTGACAATGAGCAAGGACGCGATTCTTGCCGGTAGTCGACCCACCCAAGCCACCGTCTGCGCCGTCTCCGCGCTGATCTCCGTCGCATTGTTCGCGTAGTAGATCTACCAAAATTTTCAGCACTCAGTCACGTCGTATCACTACCAAGCCACGCACCGACAATTGATCCTCGTGCGTATGCGCCCAGAAAATGTCTTTTAGGAACGTTAGCATTGAATCAAATTTTACATGCAAGAGTGGAAGGACCCACTGGCTATAACATGCGGCGAGAACCGGTCTACGATCTGGTAGAACAAATTTGTCGGCCCCGGGAGCGCGTTGGTGCCATCCCAGCCTGAGCCAACGTGGCCCATGATCCAGACTATACGTACGAGCGTCAGTATCGATCCGGCGAACATGACCACCTTTGGTGACCCGCCGCGAACGAGCCCACTCACCTCGGTCACCCGCGTCCTCCGCATCCTGGAGCTCATCGGTCAGGAAACGCAAGATCCCCGACGTATCTGGATGCGTCATGTTGATGAAGTTGAAGTAGTTGTGACGGTACCCTAAACGGGAGCGCGTATGTCAGTAACTTGTACGGATCGTCGATGGGCCAACCTCAAGGCAGCTCACACAAGTTCGTGTTCAGTGAGATGATGCGCAGACCATCAGCCCGCTTTGCCATGTAGCCGCCGTAATGCGTACGTGCGAGTTGCACGGCAGCTTCTGGGAGCCATTCCTCGTGCGCCCAGAGCGAGGCAAGGTGATCGTAGTTCCTGCGATGACTGTCAGATCGGCGAAGGGGCGTGGGCTACGAAGACCTACCACTGGAATTGGTCCGCCAAATGACCTCCGATGCTATGCGGCACGTCCTGATCGCTGTAAAATTCGTTAGTCATGTTTAAAGTTCACTTGAAGCACCACTGACGAGTTGTAACTGTCGTGATTGCCCATCGTCGCATAGAGCGGGCCCGAACCCAACATGCGGCGGAAGAGGTCGTACACGACGGTCTCCGAGTACGTCGTGTAGTCCCTGCCGCCCTGATTGTCGTTGTCGTGCGAGACGAGGTCACCAGTATAAAGGCTGAAGGCGAACCCCGTGTCCACAGTCTCGGTGAGTGGCGGTATAGCCTCCAGCGTGGCAAGGAACAAGGATTCAGGCGTGTCGCTGAATGTTCCCTCAGCAAGTATTGCAACATCGGTCGCTGGAGATCGCGTACCACAGATAATGCCCAAACCTCGGCGCGGGCTCGATGATCTGTTCAGGAGAGTCGTTGTTGTGGTTGTTCGTGCGGCAGCACATGCCCGACGTGCAGTTCGCCTCGCCGGCGGTGACGTAGCGCGCGTCGAGGTGCACGTCCGAGAGGTGGAGGACCTTGAGGCGCTCGCCGCTGCGCTGCTTGATCGGGAGTGGGTCCGGCTTGGGCTTCGCGAACCACGACGAGAGGTCGTCGAGCTCGGGAACCGGGGCGATGGGGCAAAGACTGAGGAAGGTGAAGCAGAGCATCTGGCATGCGAGGTGAGCTCATATAGCAGGAGGGGGATCAGTAATCGCACCTGTCCGTCGAGGTTCGCCGTGTCCGCGTTCGCGGCGACCTGCGTGAAGATGTTGCCCAGGCCCTGCCGGCCGTACGTGATCTCGCAGCTCGCGTCGTCGTCGTACTCGAAGAGCTTGCACGCGCCCACAGCGAGCTCTGGGCCCTTCTCCGGTGCGGCGAGCGCGAGGAACTTGGCGACCTCGAGCCCGGCGACGCATTTCGCGCAAGAATCGTTGAAGGCCGCGGAGCCGTTGATGGAGGCGAGCTGCTGTAAGGCGAGCTGGAGGAGGACATCCTCGGACGCTTTGGGTGGGAGGGGGTGGGGGTCGGAGTTCGTCTTCGGGATGGAATCCGGAGCGGTGAGGTTGAGCGGGTACGTCTTGTTCTGCGGAGGGGGAATGAGCGAGGGTAATGCATCTCAACGCGTCTACTACGCACCAGCACCGGGTCCTGGACGATCGGCTGCGGCTGGGACGCCGTCGCAGTGGGGTCATTGTAGTATGCCGTGAACACGGAGGTCGGGAACGCGCCCGGGACTGTGTACGTCGAAGGGAGCACGTCCGCCGCCGCCACCGCAAGGGGCAACAAGCCCAAGAGCGCGACTCGCATCTGGACGCGTCGAAGGAGCTTGGTGGGAGCGAAAGACAAGGTGTGCCTTTGCATGCGCGCGCCGATAGGTATGCGGGCGCATTTAGACGGTCGATATCAAACGTGGGTCCGTCGGGGATGTCGCAGGACCGCCAATCCGATACGTTCGGAGGCTGGAGGTCTAAAAAAACGTTGAGGGGCCGTCAGGAGAGGTCCACCGTCAACTTGGTGGGAGTCGGGAGTCGTATGTTCATCGAGATCATGATGATTGGTGTATACTCGGTCTTCGGGTCTGCCTGGGACGCAATACCCGAGTGTTTCGTGGAGATCTCCTTCAGCCCGGGCCATCTGCTCGCAGTTGTTCCGCCGTCGTGGTCGTCGGTGCAAACGTCAAGGAGCATCCTTCCTCGAAGTATACTGCAACATGAGCCACGTGGCGCCTGAGCTCCAACGCCCACAAGAAACCACAATGTCCCATTCACTGTTACACTTAACCAGCATCCTGATATTCAATCTAATGAAAAGCTTCACTACAGAATACCGCTGTACTTACTACTGGGGGGCTTGGGGATTTGCATAGTATGTAGATCGCACAGCGTCTAATCTTCTCTTACACTTTTTCAGGTAGCGGTCTCAACTGGCCCAAGTCATGCATGTATACGATAATCTCTGAAAATACGTTCCGTAGCACTGCAGGGAACGAACTGAGATGTCAGCGCCGACGGGCTGCACCCGCGCACGCCCGAGCGCTGTCCCGGGCGCGATGATCTGGGCGCCTATCAGTGAAGCATGTTCTTGGGCGGCCCCGTAGAGCTGTAGGCTGCGGGCCTTTCCTCCTGCTTCCACCTTTGCAGCTCGCTTCTTCGAAACGCTTACTGCTGCAGGTTTTTTTTTCTGTTCAACCTTCCTTACCGCGATCGCACCTGCTTCTTGGAGAGTGACGAAAATGGCTCCGAATACGGTATGCCATCATTATGCAGCTCGGTCCTCGATCTCTGATACCTCGCAGAGGACGAGGAATCTGGACGAGGAGTACACCAAGCTCATACAAGAGGCATCTCAGTCAGCCAAGACTAAGGCCCAGGAATCCTCGTTCCAGCGGAAGCTCAACGATGTCGGTGCGTGGTTCTCGCCGGGCCAGGTACCCCATCCCCAGCCTGATCTTCACACAGAGGATCGCGTGGAGGAGAAAGTACCGCTCAGTCTCGTGACGTCTGTAGAAGGAGGCGGTAGCGCTTTGATCGAGATGGCCTCCGGTATGCGAGACGAGATCGACCATTTCGCCGGAGGGTGCACCATGCTCATCAACGCCCTGGACGCGATCTCGACGGTCCATCCTTTCATTAATGGTTGGTGGTACTCTTCGTGACCGCGTTCTTCTTGCTTACAGACAACAGCTGCCTTGTTGGCGTTCAAGGGCGTGATCAACCTCGAACTCAAGCGAAGGGACAACAACCAAAAAGTCCTCGCGCTCAAGGTTCAGATGAAGAGCATGATGTCGACGTTGGAACCGTGAGCCCTTGATGGTCCACCTTGGATAGCCGCGTACTGACCACAGGCAGCCTGGGAAGTATACCGGATTCCCATGTCGCGCCGGACGGGACGACTCTCGAGAATCGGTTCAAACCTTTGGTGGCGCAGATATGCAAGGACGTCCTCGAGTGCGGAAACGCCTGCGATACGTATACGAAGAAGCGCTTGATTGGTTCGTAGGTTCACCCTTGTCACGCTTCAGGCCGCATGCTTAGTCCTTCCCTAGCGAAGGTCCTCAAGAGCTACATCTACGAGCAGCACCTCGCCGGCTTCAGCGAGCGCTTCGCCGAGAGGCGCCGCGAGATCATGCTCGCGATCAGCGCGCACACCACGGTCGTGCTCACCGAGGTCAAAGATGTTCTCAATGCGAACTCGCAGCTGATGCTGCAGCTGTTCCGCCGCCTGGACACGCCGCGCGAGCGCGATATCCGACAGTCGGTCGACGAGCGCGGTGGCCCGGGCGCGTGCATGGAGGACGACTACAAGCTGAAGCAGCTAATGCGTATGGAGGATGGCGTCATGAGCGCAGGCGGCGAATCTGAGGCGAAAACCGACCTGGCGGGACTGAAGAGGGAGCTGCAGGAGAGCCTGGGTGACAGCCTCGAGAAGAACTTGACCCAGTTCCTCGGGAAGCTACGAGCGCTGCGGGACGAAGTCGTGAGTCGAGCTAGGGCACGCTGATCTACCGTTACGACACTGACTTGACTTCTTCAGATCGGTGCGATTCAGAACGTCGAGACGTCCATACACCGCGAGGGAGATCGCGTCATAGCCGACCTCACGAAAGGGCCCCATGAGCGCATTTTGGACCAGGTATGGGTGTGCTCGCTTGTTCACGCAGTAGCGCAGTAGCTTACAAAGCCATGACCAGGACATCCACGAGCTATGGCGCGAAATGGTACGCGTCCCTTTCAGTGTATAATGATATTACGCATGCTGATTCCCTCGAAGCATTGGCGCTATAGCGTCAAGGCGCATCACTTTACCTTCGCCCTCCGAGACCATCTGATCGAGAAGTATTATGGGATGCACGGCAAGGATCACGTCCATCGTTCGAAGTCTGATGATGCAGCTGCTGGGCCAACTGGACATGAAGACGCGGCGTCGCATGTCGAAGGCCCCAAACACGATGCGGACGGCGACAGATGGGCAGTGGAGGCACTGACCATGCTGACCGTCCAGCCTATATCAGAAGCTCTAGACGACGACGGTACTGGGTTTAGTAAGTCAGGGATTACTATTTCTCCCTAAGCCCATCCTGACGATGAGGTAGTCAGCGTCGCGGAAGTCAACGCGTTCACTTCGTCGCGGCCGAAAGACTGGAGGCGAGTCGCCATTTCCCCCTAATCCCGTGAAATGCGCTTGCTGACGATCTGCAGCTTGCTTCACTGGCTCGTGTACTGGGGAGAAGGTGAAGTACTCGCGAACCTGAACTACTGCTTGCTAACCGCATCATAGGCTGGTATGCTTCCCTCGTGGACTATCGCACGAAGATTCTACGCACGATGCAAGACATGCACGCGATGCTCGACAAAGTATGGCCCATCAACAGGAGAACTGTCGACGAATACCTCTCGAGCATGGCTTTCCGGCGCATAGAGCTCTTGATGCGCGGCCTGGATCTCTCCCGACCCCTTGCTAGCGCGGAAGTCCTCGCCAAATTGCGCCCGTATACGCAGGATGAGGAGGCACGCATAGAGAAAGCACTGGAGCCGCTCAACTACGAGATCGGGGACGACGACGCACTGGACATCGTCACTGGCCAGGGACGCATCGAGAGAGTGCGTCCTTGGACTTGGCCGCCGTAGACTGTCATGACTTATCTGCATCATAGTACATATTCCCTATCCTGTATCTTGTTTTGCGCCGCCACCTGAAACTCATCAAGAAGGGCGCAGCTTGTTTACTGGACCAGTGGCAGGTCGATATGGCGTGGAGCACTTTGTATCAGCTCATCGCGGCTGCCGAGGATCGAGCAATGGTTCTAAACGGCACGTACAATCCTTTTCCTTGCCATTCTTCCAGTGCCAACACAATTGACAGCTATCGTACGACACTCCAAGAGCGGCGGACAATCAAGACTATCGACATATGGGTTTGGCATGGTATGGACCCTCTCCCGTTGTGTTTCCCGTATCCGGTGCTAAGTAAGGGCGTTTCAGCTGCAGCATATTGCGGACCCAGACTTTCGTTCGTCGGGTTCGCCAAAGGATAATATCCTCCGACTCTACTACCAGACCGATGCTTCAGACGAGACCGACCAAGTCAGCGTAGGTCAGGCCACGCGCGCCGTCGAGAAAGAGGAGGAAGCCTTTGATTGGGAATATGACACGTCAGGCTATGACTTGCCTTCGGACGAAATCGAGCCTTGCCATATCTCAGACGACGGCATCGAGACCTCAACATGGACCGCCCCCTGTTATCTCTACGGAGAGCTCAGGCTCGAGTGGGTGTACGGACTGCTGAGCATCAAGCTCTTGATCGATAAAGACGGGATCGTTTCCGGTTCTGCACACAGCGGCCTCTCCAACTGCACTATCGACGGGAAACGAACGACCGACGAAGACGGCGCCGTGATGCTCAGGTTCAAGATCGTGCATCACCCACTCACTTGGGTGTCATCCCTACAAACGCCTATCACCTGGTACTACGAGGGAAAATATCTTCCGGAGACCAACTCGTACGCGGGCTGCTGGAGCTTTGACCTGGACAGCACAGTCAAGCACATCTCTATCCTGGCCAGTACGCCCGCAGACGTCTTCCGCTTCCGATCAATCGTAGAGGACGATCGCACGGCTACTAACTTCTGGAAGTTCGCACGAGCAGCAGTCTTGCATCGCGTACGCAGGAGAATGTTCAGCAGGAGCAACGCCCTCGAACGCTGGCAGGAGATGAAGCAATACGTTGACCTACATATGCAACGGGTGTTTTCGTGGACCGTCTCGAGTGGTGACACATCGCAACTCTCTGCTGAGAACGAGGAAGCTCTTGACCGTAGCGCTTACACCCTTCCGCCGGAAGACGAGCGCCTCTATCTGTCCATCGTCGCCTCTCGCCCGATCAAATTGACTCACCATTGGTATGCGCGTCGGTCGCGGAATATGGCCTCGAAAACTAATAGTCTTCGACAGGAATGCCGTGTGTGATAGCTGCAGGAAGGCCATCGTTGGAGACCGCTACGCCTGCCTGCAGTGCGTCAGCGACGGTTTGCGTAATCAAATCGACTTGTGCTCGGAATGCCGCGATCAGACGCCGAACGCAGGAACCTTCGCGCACAAAGCTTCTCACACACTTCTAAGACTGCATTACCACTTGCACGACAAAGACAAGGAGCAGGTGTATGAAGATGCGGGGAAAGCAATTGACGCTGCAAAGCGATTGTTCTCTGCCACAAACGAGTCCACCGTCGGTCAGTCGAGCCCCTTCGAGCGTTGACGTTGTCGCCTTCAATGATGAATATAGGTCCAAAATGTGCGTCTTGCAGCAACGCCGTATCTTTTCCTTGTTGGTATTGCTCGACTTGTTATAGCGGTAGGTCGTCATTTCTTGCATTTATCCTGTGAGTCTAATCTCAGGTTATAATCAGCCCGATCCGCGGACGTGTTCACTTGCGATATCTGTCGTACCCGGAATCACGACGCTCACCATGTCTGGATATCGGTGAAGAAGGCGGCATTCCAGGCCGAGCTCTCGTCAGCGGTGGAACGGCTGCAGGAGAACGTCGAGGCCTTGAGCACTCGCCTGACGAAACTGGAGAATATAGATGATCGCCTGGCAAAGTTGGAGAGCATCGAGAGTCGGATGGGGGCGCTTGAGCGCATGTTGGGAATGGCTCTCGCTTCACGCCAATAAGACAAATATTCTCTCAGAGCCTGGCTTGTTGAATTTAACGATTTCTTAGCCACAGAGCCTTTGCCATCGCAACGCAAAGCTTGTCACAACCGCGGCCATAAAGTGTAGGTCCTTGTAGGCGCTGATATCAGTCAACGTGACCGTAGTGAATTATGTGGCGGTGCTGTTTGCTTTCCTACTCTGCTGACACCATCCGGGACGTCCCCGGGGGAAGTAGCCTACAGATACTATATATGTGCGTTTGACCTTGACGGTTGCAGCGCAGTTCTGATGACCTTGCACGTGTCATTCCGGGACTAGAGGGTATAAAGGACGCCTGCCACCGAAACTGGGAGGTCATTCAATATCAACGCGCAGTCATCAGCATGTCTGAAGAGAAGAAGACGGTTCTGATTACTGGGTGAGTGTTACGTTGATTTTTGCTCTATGTCTTATGTTCGATCGACTGGACTGTAGGTGTACCACCGGGAGCATCGGCGATGCGCTTGCCCGAGAGTTTCACGCACGAGGTTCGTATCTAGCGCCTGTAGCGCAAGGTAATCGTTCACTGAGAGGATCAACCCAGGATACCGGGTCTTCGCTGCATCGCGTCGGCTAGAAACGATGGAGAGTCTCGCCAAAGAAGGCATCGAGACAATCAAGCTGGACCTTGCCAACGACGGGGATATTCAGGAAGCTGTCAACGAGATTGGCAAGCGTACTGGCGGAAGCTTGGACATTTTGGTCAATAACGCGTGAGCTTAGGTGTTGCTGGCTTCAACCGATTCCTGACGAATCTGCTCGCAGCGGAGTCGGTCAGCCATCGACCCTATAATCGCGAGGCTTTGACTGACCCAGTTCACGATAGGATACACGGCATCTATAGCGGACAGCGACATGGACAAGGTCCGCTCGCTGTTCAACATCAACGTCTTTGGCCATTACGCCGTGACCCGCGTCTTCATCCCGCTTCTTATCAAGGCGGACCATGGCCTCGTCGCGTTTAACTCGTCCATCGCTAGCGTCGTCCCGCTGCCTTACAACGGCGCGTATAGCGCCTCGAGGGCGGCCATCAACGCACTCGGAGACACCTTGCGCGTCGAGCTGGCGCCCTTCGGGGTTAAGGTGGTCAATGTCAGCAGCGCCGTGTCTGTCGGTAGAGTGCGTGCTGACCTGGTAAGTCTTCAGCTCCTTACAGGCTCCACCAAGTACAACCTCGATACGTCGCCAGCCGTCGAAGCAGGTCTTCCCCACAGCTCGATTTACAAGCCCGTCGAGCATACCTATAGAGACAAGGTCTCGCGCTACCAGGGTATACTCCAATCCCGTGCGGCGTCGTTTCCCTGCTGATCAGGACCTCGCCTTGCAGAGGGCGCCATGCCCACCGACGTATATGCGAAAGCCGTAGTCGGCGAGCTCCTGAAGGCGTCGCCTTCGCCCTGGTTCTGGTACGGAGCCCATTCCACTATGGCATGGTTTCTCGCGACGTTCATGAAGCGTGCTGGCTTTGTGAGATATAGCTACTTCTTGTATCACTTCTGGCGCTGATTGCATTTCAGAATGAGTTGATCAGCAAAGAATATGGGTTAAACAAGCTTGCGGAAATCGTTCGTTCTTGACATCCGTAGGATTCGATCTACCGATTCGGTCCTCCTTATAGTTATTGCCCCTCTCCCTAACTTGTTTTCTCCCACGTCCACATGTGAGCAACTTAGGGTAAGATGCAGATAAGCGTGGGGTCTGCCTACAGCGAGGTTCTTTGATTAAGTTCTTGTAGGTCCGAATGGATCCGGTGTACAATAAAGGAAGGTGTTGTTCTGCTCACGTGTAATTCGGACCGGTGGCCGACAACACGCAGACACTATCTTGACTTCCACCTCCAAGCTCAGGCTGATGCGCATCGGGATATAAGGGCCTGAAAACCTGCTGGCAACGCATCTGTCAACGTTTGTTGAGCGCGACTGTCCATGATCGACGATAGGAATTTGCAGTGCAAACTGTATCTTGTGTTGCGGCTCAAGCTGCGGCCTCGGCGGGACTCCTTGGACCAGACACTGGTTCTCTACCCCGATGTCTCATGCAAATCTGCGCGCGACTTCGCCAGCAGATACAACAATAACTCCGTCGATGCGTATCGCGGATAGCATGAGTCCGGTCTTTTCGTTACGCCGTTCGCTGAATGACATTCCTAGTATCGAACTGTTCTTAGGTCCAGATGGACAGTAAGAAGCTGCGGCAATTTTGGTGATGAATAGACTTATCATAGGCTCCTTGTCACCTGTGTGGCGCTCAGAAGTACGGCCTACATTTGGCGCCCCTCAGGGCCGCACGTGGCGGCGGCGTAGCGCCCGAGGGCTATCTAGGCGCTGACCCTCAGGATGTCATATAATGCCCTCCCTGTATCCGTGTAGTCTTCTAATCCCCCACGTCCATCTCTAGGCCCGCCGTCCACCATGCCTTTCCGGAAGGGCCACTCGGCCCAGCCTGCAGCGTCGGTTATGCCAGCCATGGAAGGACCAAGAACTTTGGTACGTGCAGTTTTTCTTCGAATCTGTCCACGCCCATGCTAATTTCGAGCGAATACAGGAAAGCGAGAAGGCAGCAGCCGCTGGAGAGGTGTTCGACGCGGTCCTGAAAAGCGCAGAAAAAGCGATGAGGTCTGAGGCCGAAGAGCCGCCCCTGCAGCGCAAAGTCAACGCTTATGGTGCGTATCTGCGTGGACGAGGGGAGCCCACCACTGATACATCCCTTCAGAGGATCGCGCATTGAAGAACGTACCCCTCGAGACCATCACCGCCAGTGGCGATAACTCTGACGTGGAGGAAATGGTGTCATATGTCGAGGGACAAGTTAGCCATCTTGCTGAGAACTGTACCCTACTCCTGAAAGCACTCGACACCATCTCGGAGATCCATCCCTTTGTCAAAGGTGCGCGTGGAAATGACTCAAGTAATCGCGGGACTGAGAGCATGTCTCAGGGGCAGTCATGGCCTTCAAGGCACTCATCTCACTCGAGGCGAAGCGGCTAGAGAACAATCGGAAGGTCCTCACGCTCAGGATTCAGATGAAAGATATGATGGCAGCCCTACAGCAGTATGTCTCCCACTGTGCGATTGAATGAATACTCACGTCCATCCGAAAGGTTACAACACATAGGCGCCGACCATACCGACAACGAAGGCAACACAATCAGCGGCAGGCTTAAGCCGGTCATGACAGCTATCGCGCGCGATATCATTGCATGTGCCCACGAATGCGACACGTACGCAAAGAAGCGTCTTCTTGGTGAGTCCGAGGGTCTTCGCCAAGTTCGCTTATTAGCCTCGCGATTTCTGACCAAATTTGCAGCCAAAGTCTTCAAGAGTCCTATCTACGAGCAGCGATTTGTCGAATTTGGCGAGCGCTTCGCCAGGCACCACCAGTCCATAAACGTTGCGATCGAAGTACATACTACGATTACCGTCACCGAGGTGAAGGGTATGCTGGCCTTCAATACCGAGGTTTTGATGAAGGTCTTTCGCCGCCTTGATACGCCGCGCGAGCGCGAGATCAGGCGGGAGATCGAGAAGAATGGCGGACCAGAGAAGTGCGCGGACAATGATGTGGTGCTCGAACAGCTTGTGCGCATCGGAGGTGCGACGATGGGTGCTGACAAGCCGCACTCGAGGGATCGGTCCGAGATGCTCTATCTCAAGAAAGAGCTTCAAGAGGACCTGGATGAGACGCTTGGAAAGGGCCTAGACCGCTTTCTCGAGAAGCTGCGCTCGCTGAAGGATGAAGTGGTGCGTCATTTAATATATTGCGAGTGTACGTCTCATGCGAATGGCTAGACCGGCGCCCTCGAAGAAGTTCAGAAATCCATCCAGCGGCAGGGAGACCGAGTTGTATACGATTTATCGAAGGGACCGCACGAGCGTGTAAACAATCAGGTTAGTGATATCCCCCATAACGCATTGCCTGGCGTCTGACTGGGAGCAGGAAATTCATGACCTTTGGAAGGAGATGGTGCGACTCTTGCTGTTCCCTTTTTAGTGACGCTCATCTGTTTGATCTCTAGCATTGGCGAAACAGCGTCAAAGCACACCACTTTACCCTTGCCCTCCGTGATCATCTCATCGAGAAGTTCTATGAAAAGCACGGCGGCGAGCATGTTCACAATGCAGGCATCGAACCGACACAGGAGACGCAGGAGACACAGCAGGCTAGCTTGCCGCAGTCACCGGCGCAGGAGATGCAGTCCGAGTCGCCGGAGGATATGGCGCATGTCTTTGCTGAGCAACCTCAGGCTCAGGACAACGACGACGATAACGGCGAAGAATGGGCAATCAAAGCTCTCACTGTTCTGACCGCTCAACCCATCGCTGAGACCCTTGACGACGATGGCACCGGCTTCAGTGAGTGTATGCCTTGCTTGATCAGCCGTAGGCTAAACGTCTGGCAGTTAGTACTTGGGAAGTCAATTTCTTCACCTCGTCGCGGCCAGAGGATTGGAGGTCAGTCACGTCCTAGATCTGGCTGTCATAGAGACGCTCACACTCGGTCGCAGCTTGTTGCACTGGCTTGTATACTGGGGGGAAGGTATAGGTCCACTCTCCTTGCGTGAGTGAGCAGAATTCTCACCTACTATGTCAGGTTGGTACGCGTCTCTGCGTGAATATCGTGAGAAGATACTGCACACGATGAAGAAGATGTACAATGCCCTCGACGGATTGCACCATGTCAATCGCAGCGCCGTTGACATGTACCTCGACCATTACGCCTTTCGACGCGTCGAGCTACTGATGCGGGGCCTGGATACATCTCGCCGGTGCGCAGACGAACGCATCCTGCGGCGTTTAAGCGAGTACACGGACCGAGAGGAAGAACGCCTGACGCAGGCTCTGAAGGGGATCAAGTACGAAATTGATGATGCATTCACGCTGCAGAGGCTACTAGTCAAGGGGCGCGGGCGAATTGAGCGGGTACGTCGCGGTGTGGGGTTCGCCATCACAAACTGACTTGCCTCAGTACATCTTTCCGCTGCTACACCTCATGCTACGACATCATCTGAAGCTCATACGGCGCGGCAAGAACTTTCTAGTGGACGAACCCGAGCTCATCAGGGCATCGAACTCCTTGCTCCAGCTCATGAAAGCAGTCGACGAGCGCGTATTGAGACTCAAAGGTTAGTGGTCAAGCGTTAAATGATGGGTCGAGCCTTTGGTGACCCAGCTCATGCCGCTCTCAGCTGCCATGCGTCATCCGCGTACAGATGGTCACGCTCGATTGACGACTTACGCCTTTGGAATGGTGTGTAATTTTGCATTGTCGCGACTACGTCCGACACTCAAGTGGGTATCAATACAGCTACAGCATATTGTCAATTCGGGGTTTACGGATCCTCGACCGGAGGACAACTTACTACGTTCGGACGATTCGGGAAGCTCTTACGATGAAGAGGAGGATAGCGAAGGGGACGACTCCTACAGTGAAGCTGGCAGCGGCAGCGACGGGGCGGATGCAACTTCAGAAGCGGAGACAGCAGACGACGAAAAGGGGCCAACCGAAACCGGCATGCTAGCCACCGCCGGCGCAGACTCGCCAAAGGACTCGGACGCGGACGTGACCTCGCTCGAGGAAGCGGACGCGGACTCGCCGGAGGAAGCGACAGACTGTCACAAGGAAGATCTTGGTCATTCTGACTTTGGTGGTCGTAAGCGACAGCCTAACGTACGACTGTCCTCCGAATACGACGTGTCGGGATACGACATCGTGCCTTCGCCTCCCAGTACTGTTGATTCTCCATTGTCTGGAGCTTGGACAAGCGAACCAGCCAGCTACTATCTGGGAATGCAGCTCGGGGTCTTCTCCGGTATACTCGCCATTTTCATAGGGCTGGGCGAGGATGGCGCTATCAGCGGCGTGGGTCGTTGTGCACCTTACGACTGCAGCATTTCTGGCGCTCAGAAGATGGAGGACTCCGGCATCACAACGTTCAGCCTCACCATCGACTTCCAGGCAAGGGCGTGGGTACCGTCCACTGCGTCCTTCTCGCTGACCCTCGAAGGGAGATACGATGACTCGTCCAAGTCAATCGTATGCTCTGAGGGTGCAGGCTTCGAGTGGACCTTCGTGAGGACCCCTGCGGACGTTTACGCATCTCGCCACTACATCGCGAAGGAGCGCTCGTACCGCGGGCTCTGGAATTTCGCTATCGCGGCTGTGCAAAGTCGCATCCGCCGTCAGAGGCCAATCCAGCGTCTGAAGCAGATGCTCCACTACGTCAACCCTCCGACACAACAACGACCCGACGGCTCCGACACCCACGCCGCTGATGATTCTACAAAAGCCAAGGAATCTGCGAGCACAGCTACCCCTAAAGAGGACGAAAGAGGTGGAGCGATAGAAGATACACGCGCGCTACTCTCGCCCGAAGACGCGCGTTTATATCATTCCATGGTTGCCTTTCGACGTGGGCAACTCCGTCTCCACTAGTGCGTGCTAGGCTGAGCTTTGCTACAGTTGGCTGACTATCCGTAGTAATGCATGGTGCAACGCTTGCGATAACATGATCGTGGGTGACCGATATGCGTGTCTGCAGTGTACCGAAGACGGGCTCAGCAACCAGATTGACCTCTGTGCCGATTGTCGTGACCAGACGCCGACGTACCACGCCCTCGTGCACAGTCCTGCGCACACCATGGTCCGGATTCGCTTCCACCTGCACAACAAGGACAAGAAGCTGGTTTACGACAATGCTCGCAAGGCCCTCGAGCGGGTTAAGTATTGCATCGGCAGTCAACTCGACGCCGCCGCCACTCCTAATCGAGATCAGTCAGCGGCGCAGACGAAGGCAGGCTGTATGATACCCGAGTGCGTGCAATGCGGTAAAGAAGGCTCGCTTCCTTGCTACTATTGCTCGGGTTGCTGCGTCGGTGCGTCCCACTATCCCTTTGTTCGTTGCGATTGTCTGACCTTGAAAAGCTTCAATGGGAAAGGAAGACGTCTTTGGCTGCAAGGACTGCCTCGACAAGGGATACCTCGACCGCATCCATACATGCGCCCCCGACTATCGGTACCACTTCTGGATCCTTGTCCGAGAAGAGGCTATACGTCCGGTATTCACGTCTATGGAGTTGCAGTTGAAGTCTCTGCAGAAGAAGTTCGAGGACTTGAGCACCCGCATGGCGAAGCTGGAACTCTTCAATGATCGCATGGAGGCTTTGGACCAGAAGTTGGACAAGGTCTTGGCGGCTCGGGAGTAGGAATAATCGATTCCTCTTTGTACAGTATGTTGCGTCTCGTACCCTATGATTATTGTCGATTGTCATCATCATTGTGTCGTTCTGCGCTCGACCGTGTCACCCATGACTTGGATCCTTCTGTCATGCCCGAGCCGGTGAGGACGTCCATTTGTGGCGTCGAACCGGCACTTGCCGCATACCCGGCCGCTTCGCCCTCCGCGACCTCCCAACCTGCGATTTGGTCACTCGGACGCCTTGCGTGACAAGCGGCACTCGCCGCGTAGACATCTATACTACCCTCTATACCCTCTGACTCCCGAAGTGATGACTATGTTGTGTCCGTATCCGCGGTGCCGTAGCGCATAAAGAGCGCGATGGTGCAGGTTAGGTGTAGACCAGCTCGAGGATCGCCTCTTCGATCCATACGCGCTCGTGTCGCCCAAGAATAACTCCTGCAGAATTTTACCTACCATGCCTGCAGAGAAGCGGACTGTACTGATCACTGGGTGAGCACGGACATTTTATGGTCAGCCGTGCGCTAACGCCCCGCAGTTGCTCCACCGGGAGCATTGGCGATGCCCTTGCTCGCGAGTTCCATGCTAGAGGTATGCCAAATTACTGCCATACACGAGGAGCGCTCTAACTGACTTGACAATGATATCCAGGCTTCCGCGTCTTCGCCGCTTCTCGCAAGCTCGAGACGATGGAGGGGCTCGCCAAGCAGGGCATCGAGACGGTGTTGCTCGATATCACGAGCGACGAAAGCATAGCTAGCGCCAAGGACGAGATTGCTAAGCGCACGGGCGGTAGCCTGGATATACTCGTCAACAATGCGTAAGTCGCCTGCATCTGTACCTCAAATCATCGTTTAGCTGATCCTTACCTCTTAGCGGCGTCGGTACGCTAGGCTCCCAATTTTACCTTGGTCATCGACTGATTCTATACACTCTCGCTAGCTTACTCCTCGTCGGTAGCCGACAGCGACATGGCCAAGGTCCGCTGGCTGTTCGACGTCAATGTCCTCGGCCACTATTCGACGACGAAGGCTTTCATCCCGCTCCTGATCAAGTCGAAGCGTGGATTGGTTATGTTCAACTCCTCCATCGCCAGCATGGTCCCGCTTCCCTACAACGCCCCGTACAACGCGTCGAAGGCGGCTCTGAATGCGATTGGTGACACACTCCGCGTGGAGCTGGCGCCTTTTGGCGTCAGGGTGGTCAATGTGCGTGCTCTATCTCATGATGGGTCGATGACAAGGAGGTTCTCACATCTCAAGTAGCTCCTTACCGGGAACGTCGAGTCCAACCTTGCTGCGACGCACCATCCGAAGGACTATCTTCCCAAGGATTCCATCTACAAGCCAGTCGAGGACATTTATAAGAAGAACATCGACCATTTCCAGGGTGAGTTCGGCGTACTTCCCGACCGTCATGGCGGAACACTCACAAGTTGGTAGATGGTGCCATTCCGACCGCGGTGTACGCCAAGAGGGTCGTCGACGAGGCCACAAAGAAGTCGCCGACAGTTTGGCTATGGGCGGGCAATATGGCCACCATGGTCTGGTTCCTCTCGACCTTTGGAAAGAGGACCGCCTTCGTACGTCTCCGACCCTTTTGATTGCCGACCTCTACTCAAATCATCACAGGACGGAATGTTTGCGAAGAATTACGGGCTGGACAAATTGGCGGACATCGTACGCGGGAAGCGTGCATAAGGCGACTTTCTCCCTTTGTTTCTACCTTGGATGTACCCTCTCGTTGAAAAATATGGCTCAACGTGAGATATATCCCGCTTTCCTTCTAAGTTTCCACTGCAACGCGTCGCGAATCGACGCGAACATACGCGTGACGTCAACATATTCAATGCACGTGCGATCTCCCCGTCACGCTGCAATACTGCAATCAATTCTACTCAATTCAGTGCTTGTTGATCAACCCCCACGAAGTTCGCGCACCATGTCGCGGTCCACTACATCATCGCGCCCAAGTTCGCGAGCCAAGCGAGTTATCGTACCACCCGAGCCAGAAGAGCCCGTCATCACAGTTGAAGAGGTCGACGACGCGACGGAGAGCGCGGAAATTCTGAAGGGAGTCGCGGAGGAGGATGAGGACGAGGAGAGCGACGAGTATGAGATAGAGGTTTGTTATGCGACGTGGCTTACGCGCTAGTACTGATATACAGAAGGACTATAGTGATTCTGGGGAAGAGTACGAGGAGGAAGTGAGGCCCTATCCCCCATCATGTTCCGACGTGTTCTTATCCCTCCCCTTAGGACGATGGACCTAGTCTGACGGCCTTGCTGCTCGTGAACGTGCGTCTTCCTGGCTTGCGCGTAGTGCTTGATCCTGACGGTGCGTAGCCGGACCAACAACAAGGCATCGTGCAAGAAGCAGACGACGACGATGAAGAGTACGATGCGGAACCAGAGCATCCCCGAAGTCCCCCCTCGTCAGGCTCTCCGCCGCGGTCCCCACCATCCTCTACGCACAAGCGCAGTCACTCGCTAGTCGAAGACGATGAGTCCGGGCTGCCAGAGTTGGAGAGGAAGAGGAAGAGGATGATTACGAAGTGAAGAGGAAGGGCGACCAGATGTTCCTGCGCACGCACTCCTTTCTGACGCCGTCTGCACCATCGCGCCCGGCAACAACCTTTCTTGGTCGACTTGCGACATGCGTGCTGCGCTGCGCTGAACTATGTGATCATAGACTATCATGCTACTGTTCTTGAGCGCACAACGAACTGCGTATATACACAGCGGGTACAAAAGCGAGCGGCGGGCGGCGGGCATAGATATGATAAATACGAACCGCACACAATCGTATTTCGCTTTTTCTTGGGAACACGTTCACTAGTCCAACTATATCCCCAACTCCGCTAGCCCCATGGCGTCCACCCACGCAAGCACGACATCGACCCGCGGGCCAAAGAGCGGGATGTTCAGCGACTTAGTCACGTCCTTCGCTTTTACCGCATCCTTCGCCTTCGCGCGCTCCCTTACGACCTCGCGGGCGTCCTCCTTCCCCTTCGCCTTCCCGCTCGGCGCGCGCGGGCTCGGCGGCGGCGGCGCCGCGAGGAACTCGCTCACGGAGTGCGTGCTGTACACGACACCGCGCAGCGCATCGAGCGCTCGCCCCGCGTCCGCGCGCTGCGGGACCATGTGCGCGACGGGGAGCGTCATGGAGGACGAGGACGAGAGCGCGGGCGAGTGGAAGGACGAGGAGGGCGTGGAGCTGCGCGAGCTGGAGGAGGACGCCGAGGCGGGGAGGTCGTAGTCCTCCTCGGCGAAGCTGCGGCCACGACTGTGATCGGTGGATTTACCCTTCGTGGAGGCGCGTGGCGAGGCGGGCACGTCGACGAGGGGCCGCAGGCGGTTCATGCACTCGATCCACTCGGCCTTTGCGAGGCTGCGCGGGGGGAGAAAGATAGGGTAGCCCTCCAGGCCGCTTCCGCCGAGGCCAACGCCCTCGTCTCTGACGTCACCGTCGTGAGTGAGCGATACGCCCTCGACGATCTTCATGGCGAGCTCGTAGCGCTCGCGGAGAGCGTCGAAGGAGCCGAGGAGGAGGAGCGCGATGAGGACGGTGAAGTGGGCCTCCGTGGTGAGCGGGTGGTAGGTCGTGTAGGTGTAGGTGTGGGGGTGGTCTCGCCGGGAAGAAAGGAGCGCCTGCTCGAAGTCGTAGGCAGAGGACGATGAGGAAGCAGACAGAGGGGGTGGCGCAGTTAAGCACTCGGGGTATGATGTCGAAGCATGAGTGGGTGAAGTGGGCGTCGTGGGTGTCGACGCGCCGCAGGAGCATTCGCCCTCGATCGAGGCAAAGTACCCGAGAAAGCGCTCCATGTCCCGGACGCACTTACGCACTAGCATCTCGACCTGGTCGCGCACGTCTTGCAGCGCATCTCTATAGGTGATGAACTTGGCCCCGCTGCGCGAGCCGAGCAGACCGTGCGGGTTCCCCGACTCTATGCCGCCTAGCGCAGCGTGTGGAGGGAGGTTGGAGATGCGGATGTCATCGTACGGGCCCTGCGGCTGTATCTTCTCTATGCGCCATATCGTAGTCTCGACGATATGTAGCGCATGCGAGAGGTGGGCCGCGCCGCGCAGGAACAGGGCCTGCGGCTCGAGCGGCGCGATGGGGAGGGGGACCGCGGTTCCATCGGCTGGTGCTTGCCCATTGCGCTTCTTTTTGGGTACGACGGCCATCTGGTGCTTGCGCAGGGCCTTCGACTCCTTGATTGCATGTGTGAAGTCGCGGACCGCATCGGGGTATTCGTCGCGGAAGCAGTGCACGATCCCGCGCGTGCGGAAGTACTCGAGCCGGTGGGGCTGCGCGGCGATGAGCTCGTCGAGGACGCGCGTCGGCGTGGACTCTGCTAACTGTCTGGAGGGGATCAGCGCGGGGTCATGCTGCTAGCATGCCTCGCACCTGCTTGGGATCTTCTCGTGGAAGAAGTGGACGTAGCGGGCGTCCGGGTCGTTCGGGTCGTTCTTGAGCACGCGCTCCGCAATGTCGTCGAAGACAGTCCCCCCTTGCATGACGACTACACTTGACGCGATCTCGTCCATACGGTACGCCTGCGCGAGTTTCTGGACGGCTAGTGCGCGCAAGCGGTGTACGCGCATCGCTGACATTGTGGGGGACTTCGTGGGGGGCGGGGAGCCGAGTCCGAAGTTCGCAAGCTCGTTGGCAGAGAGGCCTGAGGACGCGCGCACGGCAAGCGAAGACGCATCGTCGATGAGCCTGCGTATGGATGCGACCGAATGGAAGACGCCTGGATCGACAGGGGGTGGTGCGGGCTTGTTCGATGGGAGGGGAGGGGGGTTCGTGTTCAACTGCACGAGCGAGTCCAACAGTTCGACAGGGAGCTGCAGCCAGGGTCCATGGTATGAACTAATGTACTTCCAGTGCTTGTTGCGGCTGATACATAGCACCGTCGGCGCAGGTTCGGGGGGCGCGGGCTTCGATTTCTTCTTCGCCTTTTTCTTCTTTTTCTTCGCGTTTGTTGATTGGGGTGGGGGCGGGGACGCGGGCACTACCAGCCGCTCTTCCGGGGCCGACATGATGGCCGGTACAAAAAGAAAAGAACAATCCTTCTTGCCTAATCGGGAGATTTGTGTAGCAATTTTCCCGCGCCCCGAATACCACACGTGATTCGACTTCAACTTCAGAACAAGCTCTGGGTTTTCTGACTTTCTCCAGTGGTACCGCCGTCTGGGCGTGCGGGTCTTGAGGTTAAGTACCAATCAAACTTCTGCTATTATTTTCTGTAAAGCTACCAAAGCTTGCTGCACAGAGGGGCGCTCCTTCGGTAGCTCGGTCACCATTGTCTGAATGAGCTCGGCATACTTGTGAGCTCTAGCGAGCATCTCGTGCGCGACAGGATGCCGTTGCTGAACGTTGGTCAGCCTACAGCCGAATGGGAAGCCATGCGAGCCCAACTAACCTTGAGGGCACTGTACAACTCCTTCTCCATCACGCGGCCGAGGTTGTACACATCGGCCGCAAACCGGTCTATCGGAATCTCGAGGATCTGCTCTGGCGCCGCGTACTCTTCAGGAGGGTATGTCCTCGGTGTGGCGTAGCGATCGGCTTCGTCGAGCGAGTGGATTGCGGCGCCGAAGTCGATGAAGGCATAGCGGGCGTCGAAGGTGCTGTGTAGCTTGGGGCAGGGGTCTTCGAGAAAGGACGACGGGCGTGCGCCATCGTGGTTCCATAGCACGTTGGCGCTGTGAATGTCCTAGGTCTGAGCGTCAGATTGTTAGCACACGAACGCTTCTCGAGAAGACCTACGCCATGAGAGATGCCCAGTTCGTGCATGAAACAGAGGCCCTGGGGGAAATTAGATGAGGTCAGGTTAAATGAGACAGGATGAAGTTCCCACCCTTAGCAGCTGGTGCGCCCAGTCCAGCCGCGACTTGACCGAGTCGAACGGCGGAAAGCCCCAGGAATAATCCCAGCACGCCTGTACAATGAAGACGTACTCCCCGGCATGGATAATCTCAACGAGAGGTATGGTGTGATTCCGCGGATCTTTCCGCCTAGCACCAGTAGAGAGATAGCCAATGATCATCCACTCGCTACTCTCGACGTGGACGGCCTTTATAATGACCATCCGGTAATGCGGGTCGAGGGCAGCGTTGACTTTGGCTCGCTATCGTGAGTTTGTCCGTAAACATTGCAGAAGCAGTGATAGAAAGAGAGTAAACTGACCATCTGCGGACTTGGCAAATTGAAGAACGCTCTGTGTGTATCCCAATCAATCCGATGCACGAAGTCCTCGTCGTTCCTCGGATGAAAAGGGTCCTTCGCAGGCTTCGTCGGAAACCGATCCTTCGTCGCCTCGCTGTCGAAGTCGGGACTAGACTGCAGGATGTAGCCACGCGAGCGGAGGAAAGGCTCGTAGTGCAGCCAGGGCTTTTGGAAGTCCTCGACGGCTAGCTCGTGCCAGGAAGGAAGGTCTTGCGGGTAGGGAGGCGGCTTGATTTCCTCGCGCATGGCTTCTCGTGCATTTCAGTGGGAAAATGTGGCTATCAAGGTATTGGAATGAGTACGTTTCGATTCGCAAAAGTTGGGTGAGGAAGGAGGTCTGACGTACGTTTGTTTTGTTTGCGCCAGTTTGTGGCACCAAGCTGAAGTCACGTCCGTGTGACGGATCACGCTATTGTTCTTGCCTCCGCCCGTCACCGTCGGTCAGCGCTTTTGTCCTACGCCTAATGAATCAAAGATGCCTTCTATGCCAAATACTGCCGACTGACACTGTTGTGCTAACCCTTGGTCTGTGACGCCAGGAAATGACGCCGGACCCGCACAACAATGGAATGCGGCCTGTCCGAGTGCCGTCTATTGTACCTCGGTCAAAGTAATCCGACTGACTTTCCCTTCCATGATTGAGGAATTCTCTTCAATTGTGGTGCTACGGATATTGTCTTTGACCCCAGTCTGCGCGCGCGAGGCTTATAAACCTCGTAGCTTGGGGTTGAATTGCAGCGTTTCACGATTTCACGACTTGCCTCTTCAGACGCCCGCACGACCTAACGATATTGCTGGACGATATCCGATACGCTTAGCACGATGAATCGACTCATGAGACGAATGACTGCTAGTAAGCCTTTTCCTTGCGCTCCGTGTGGCAAGCAGCTCCTGACTCGTCTACAGTGCTTCCTCCGCGCAGTAATCGCGCGGACACGAATGAACATCGGGGAACAAGGACTGATCACGAAGTAAGTCAAGGTATGTACGACACGGCTCTGCTGATCCGGCTTGAGGCGCATTTCTGACGTGCCACGGACGTTCTTGTAGAGACTCAAGCTTGTAGCACGACAACGTGTAGTCCACTCTATGCAGAAAACGACCAAGGCTCCACGTCTTCATCCAACTCTACCCGCACTGCTGGTCGGCCGGGATATTACGGCGCTATTTACGCTTGTTTCTCACGTCTATCGCGGCTCCTTCATCCGCGCCGCCAAGGCAGTCTTGTCCGCGAGCTCCGCGGGTTGGTGCAAATCCAGCGCGAGCAGGCCAACGACTTGTGCAGCATTGCGCGCAACTCTGATCAGCTGGCGGCCCTATGCGTGTTGCAGAGGCTGCCGACAGCCCCTCTGCCACCGCGGCCAGGGTCACCGATCTGGACATTCGAGCGCCTCGGGAATATGTGGCCAGATCTTGCCAGACAATTTTGGGCAGGACGCCTCCCTTCTAGGGAGCAATCTCTGGCAGAGACGATACGCTCGTCGCTCCGCGCGAGGCGCGGCAGCTTTGCGAGCAACTCGAGCGGCGATGCGATCGCGCCTTCGGCACCAGCCGCGTTTGCAGCCGCTTTTGGCTCCCCGGGGAACAACGTGCGCGGGTCGCACGTCTCCGCTCCAGCAGTACTGTATCAAACTCATGCGGAGCCTGGTTTGGCTGCGTCTCACAGCCTAGAAGATGGAGATAACGACTCGTCGGACGTCTTCTTTACGCCCAAGCAATCCTTCTCAGAGGACCGAGACGACGCCTCTGGAGATGAACTTACGGAAGGCCCCTTCCCAACGCCTAATGCTGATGGCGCTGTCGCAGCCCCATCTGCCGACAATGCTACACACATTCGCATCTATGAAGAGCGCGTTGTCGACGAGGCCTTTCCTGGCGTCAGACTGCGTATCCGTGTCGGTCCTCGTCACACAATTGGGAACAACTCTACGCCGTTCTACGACGCACTTCCACGTTTACTCTCCTATTGCCAGCGAAGTCGCCATGACCTAACGCAGCTTCATATAACCATCGAGCAGGATCGGGTCATCAGCCAGCGCGACGGGCTTGGTGTTGACCCTCTGTTCACAATCCTATCGAGCATCAGAGACTACCTCCCGTATATTATGGCGCTGCAGGTGAAATACGCGTGTGACCGCCGGCACGAAGAGAGGCCTAGCAGGCTTGCAGCGCAGAGACTTGCCAGGGCGTTCACCAAACTGGATCGACTCAGGATAGAAGGCAATACGTCATGCTTGTGTCTCGTACTATTCCCGCTCAGTCGACTTCGGCAATTGGAGATCGCAACAGATATATCGGACGGCGATCTGGAGGCGGTTCTACGCTCTTGCAAGGTTCTCAATTTTCTCAGTGTACGTTCGGGAGGCTCGGCCTCCGATGAACTTCAGGACGGACGTGGACAGTCCGCCGGTAGTGCCCATGCCGTGGGCTTTCCATCTGTCATGCACTTTGAGGGTGACCATTTTGGTCTGGAACTTCTGCGTTCCATTCCCACCCAAGTTGATCTTCGCCTATCTGTCACGAAGGGCTGCCCGAAAATCTCGGACATCGAGCAGATCGTCGAGTCTCGCAACGAGCTCGTACGAAACAGACCTCATGGTATATCTCATCGTTGGCTATTCCGTGTACTGCAGCAGGATAGCTTGTAGGCGCGTGAAATGATGTATCAAACAAGAAGAGAGAAGAGGATGGGGACGCTGGATGCCAGCGACGGCCCTGAGGTTCCTGATTGTGATTGCGTATTCTAGTATTGTATTTAGCTTGTACTGAACTCGTGATACGCATTCTCCGCATCGTCGTAGTCTTCTGTAAAACACCGCACACCGCTTGGAACGAATGGTGTTATGTCTACCGGGCCTTCAGAACCTATGCCTGGATCATAACGCAGTATTTGTAGATATTGCATAGCAGGACTTCGGAGGAAGAACTCGGGAAGGTCCATGGGCGGCTCAAAGACGGTCAGCATTCGAAGGTGCGCTGCAGACCGATCCAGCATGTCTATGATGACTTTGTCGATGTACCAGCGCATATCCAAGCGATCGAGACGTGGGGCCATCAAATGGGCGAGGAACTGCGTCCAATCAAGGCGACCCGCGAGAGAGAGGATCTTGAGCTGTGGTAGCTCAAGTGGCCTACGAAGGACATACGCTTCGTTTCGCTTGACGCCAGACGGCAACTGCGCGCTGAGGTCCAGGACCTCTAGGCCTTGACAGGAATATAGATGCGAGAAGAGCGATTGCGGATCCCTCATATAGCGAACGCTGATACGAGTTAAGCGCTGGAGGGGAGCATCATGAAGCGTCAGGTATGGGGGTGCTAGGGAGTCCCAGAAGGCGACGCCATCTAGGCTCTCTGATGCATAGAATTTCTGATAGAGCTCTCGCACAGTAGATGCGCGACCCGGGGCACGGTTGTCCACCGATACCCGCCGTAGAGACGAGTATGCGTTCTGCGGTCTCGCAAGGAGCGTCCGCAGTGTATCGTATTGGTCGTCGATGTGAATGGACAACTCGGCCCATCGCTCGGAAGCATTGACGACGATGTGCAAAAAACGGCGGAGAATTTCACGATGACGCGCCTCCGACAAGCTGGCACAGTAGCCGAGACCTGAGTGAAGCCGCAGGGTCATCGGAAGGCCCACAGAGTACATGAGGCAGAGGCGCAGTACAACGAGATCGAACGCTCGAGGTGAAGCGAGGTCGACCATCGTCCAGAGAAGCGGATATCCTCGAGTGACGGTAGACCAGCGCGAGCATACACGGCTGATGAGAACGGTGGTGCATGCATAGAAGTCGATGATGGAATGCCCGACGTGCATGTGCACGTCGCCAGGGAATCCGAATCGTGGATAAGGGTCTCCGCACAACATGAAGATGCGACATAGAAGTTCGGTCGGGAGACGATCTATATAGCACGGCGGCTGCTTCGTCCTGTCGGGGGTGGAGGGTGTTGTATCCTCTGTCAAGTCCGTCAGCGGCACGATGCAGTCATATAGTATGGAAGCTACCTAGACGCGATGTGGGGTCCGGCTTCTGGCCGACAACGCGTTGGAGATCCTTGCCTGCGTCTGAGGATCGTCCATCTCAGGATATTCTGAGTAGGGGGATCAACGTATTGGCACTCACCTGCTTGCAATGCGCCGAGGGTCTCGGGAGGGCACTGAGTAAGGGGTAGGACAGGACTCGGAGGGAGAACTGAACGACCGGCGCCGCCCGCTTGTGAATTTGTCAAAGTATGGCCAGGTACGAGGACGACTAGCTCACCGGCGCTCGCGCCTTTCATCTTGTGTGCGACCCTGCTATACATCCATGCTCTCATCCTCAGGTAGTCCTATTCGCCAGCGACTGATGGGTATATGGCGAACGTCGAACGGCAAGAGTCTTCAGGCTCGCTTGCGAGTAAGTCCTGAGCTTGCGCTGAATGAGAGGAAGAGGCAAAACTGGAAGGCTTCGTCGCGCTTGGAATTGATGCTTCTTCCTTGTCATGATGGTGGCCATTGAAGCCGTAGAAGGAGATTATTGTCAAAAGGAGTTGAACTGTGACAGGTCATGCCGCGTGGCGTCACGCATTCGCCGCGCCATTGTTCTTGTTTCGGACTGTCACCATCGATACCTTCCAGATGATCAGTGCCGCGCGCAACATGGTCCTTCAAAGCGCCGCACTACGCTCGACCCCGAACCCCAATTTTGGGCGCTCTCGCAGCCGAGCGCTAATCGGATGAAGAAAGTCAAGGACAAAGCAAGTCTTTTAGAAGCGCGGCGAAACTGATAAGATCTGTTCAGGTAAGAGGCTCGTAGCCTTCGAACACTACCTGTCCATTGTTCCCTTGAGGCGAACAGTCACCCTGTTATTTGAATTAATGAACCCTTAAAGAGCTGAGCTTTGCGAAAGCTATCCCGACGACCGACAATCCTACGACCGAGACGGCTTTACGTACTTCTTCTACAACCTCACGAATATCTTCAGGACATCATTGCAGTGATCTTGCATTGAATAGCAGACATTCAGTATGTTGTGAGCAGCCTACCTCTCATTCGGCTGACGATGTCGCAGTGTCATCATCTTCAATATCGTACGAGCGGTCCACGACGCCATCTCGCACGACGTTAACCTCTCACCAATCTTCCTGTTACTCTGGTAATTGGATTGCCTTGTCCTCGCACTACGGCCTACTGACCAATTCTGCGGCTTAGATCGAAGCACGCGGCCGTCCACCAAGCCCGCGTCGCGGTCCACCCAATCATCAAGAACCACGGATTACGGCACTGTAATACCCGAAGGTAGCCCAATGAGCGTCTTCGCCAGGCGTACTGGCCCGATCCGCAGGCTGTACACTTATGTCTTGCGTCTCCCATTTGGGCTGTTGAGTCGCCGCGACCCTCCCGCGTCCCCGGTGACGGATCCTCACCATTCATCCTTGCCTTCCCCAGTCGACCCCGGCATTCCGAGTGTACCACCCTCACCTTTGCACTCTGTGGAGGCTTGGGTACAAGAGGTCCACGCAGCGCTATCCCTGGCCGCTTCTGACGCTGCTTCCTCTCCCGACCTTTCTTGCTACGCTGCGGGGAACTCAACCATTCCCTTTCCAAGTCTGGATGAGCCCTCCATGACCGCAGACTTACGCGGCTTGCAGGGCAGCATCGACAGCTTCCCCGAAAATGCGCACGCCCCATGTGATCCCTCGCACACCTTCATCTCGACCGACGAGATCACCGTCTCTGAGGGTCCCTTCCCAGGCCTAAAGCTGCATATTCACGTCGGACCAAAACGCAACGCCGACGCCGTACCACTTGCAGACGCAATGTCCAACTTTTTCATGCGCGGCGTTGCATCGAGCCATCACTGCCTGACGCAGCTCTACGTATCGCTTGAGCACGCAACAGTGCGCGGTGGTCGGTTCATGGGCGAGGACGCTCTCTACGTCATTCTTCGGCATATGTCACACTGGCTGCGCTTGGTCCTATCGGTGCACATTAATTATCAATGCCCCGACGAACTCTCGGTTTACGACCCTTCCATTCGCTACGAGCTCGTCGTCCGGGAATCGTTCTGCAGACTGCGTCGCCTGAGGCTCGAAGGGAAGACGGGTGTGCGCCGCCTTAGCATCTTTCCCCTGGTGCAGCTTCGGCAACTCGAGATCGCATTCGATATTGGGACCGCGGGCCTCGCGATACTCCTGTATCATTGTGGGGAACTGGACATGCTCTTTGTTCGCAGCAACACCATCAACTTCACCACCAGCCTAACAAACTCGGTCAACGACGAGGTTCGGCGCCTCACGCGCTTCCCTTCTGTCATGCATCTCGAAGGGGACCATTTCGACGCTGAGCTGTTCCGCTACATTGCTCGTGACGTAGATGTCCGCTTGACGGTGTCCCGGGCATGTCCTCGGCTTGCGGAGCTGCAACACATCTTCAAAGGCCCACAAAATCCTTGGCTCCTTCGCATAGTTGACAATATCTAGGAGCATGGTGTCGCGCCCCTCGTACGCACCTCGTGTATAGGAATTCCTTTACCAACTCTGTCAGGTACCGAGAACATTTTGCTCGTTTCCAAAGAGATTAGCGTATACAAGCCACTAATATGATCAGACAAATGCCATCTATTTACTACAGCCGGCGAAAGGCGCTCTCGGCTTCATAGAAAGAAGCAGTATATGTCTCGACGTGCGAGGGCACGAGCCTTGCCACCTCCTCAAACGTCTCCACCGTCCGACAATGTGGACGCGCCAGGTAGCGCAATACGCGAAGTGACCTCAAAGGGTCACTGTGTAGAAGACCGACAAGATCATCGATATGCCAATACCTTGGAAAACCCCAATTGAGCATACGCAATGAGGCGCGCGACTGGGACAGCATGCACTCGATGGCCTCGCCTTGAGGATAACGAGGTACTACATCCAGACGTCTGAGCCTAGGAACAAGGAAGTACTTGTAGAGCCAGGTGAAGTCGTAACGTATCGACCTCAGCATCAGAGTGTGCAAGTGCGGCAGATGCACAGTTCCAAGGGAGCCCTGAGGCTGGTCACAGCTGTCGTGAAATATGAACTGCAAGACCTGAAGTCGGTTGCAACGTCTAAGGATCGTGAGGATTTCTGCCGTCCCATCGTTGAGGAAGAGACCGACGTGCGTCAGGTTTGCAATCGCGAATTCGGGAGCATCTAACGCGATAGGTTCTGACCACCAACAAACGGCATGCAAATCAGGTGACGCGCAGAACGATTCGTATAGGCCACGGGCCGGGTTACTTTGCCAGGGTCCAACGTGGTAGGCCTCGATGGAAACACGCTCCAGAGAGGTGAAGGCGCCGCGAGGAGCGATGGTCAAGTGCTTCAGCAGACCGGTGTATTTGTAAAGCATCATCGAGATGCTTGCCCACCGATGCGCATTTCTGGCAACAGTTCGCATCAAGCGCTTGAGGACGGCATCGACTTGATCGCACTCTCTGTAGTTGGAAAGGTCCAACTCCAATGATAGCGGCAGAGACCCGGAGTATCTGAGGCAGGACGTCAGGACGGCGAGGGAGTTCATGTCGGGCGGCGCGATGTCTACGGTCGTCCAAAGTAGAGGGTAGCCTCTTGTAACGCCCATCCAGGTCGAGCAGACGCGTCCCAGAGTCACGGCGGTCTTGGTGTAGCAATGGATATCGTCTGGGTAGAGCTCCGCAGTGATGTCGGCCAGAGGAATGCCCATCAGGGGGTTAGGATCGCCGCAAAATAGAAAGATGGCGCAGAGCAGCTCTGCGGGCAAACGGGCAATATAACACGGTCGCACCGGATCCCTGCAGCCGTCAACTATATGTTTTCATCAGAAGTCATGTATCGAGCGTAGGCACGAGCATCATCTACCTTTCCATCTCGAACGATCGTCGTCGGGGAAGACTGAGAATTATGAGGTGATTGTGAAGGGATGCGGCGCACTACCTACTTACCCATGACATTCTCGATAATTTGTGTATAACGTCGCTGTGTCCGTGGAAGAGGCTGGTCTAATGTCCGATTCACGGTCAAGGCGTGATTCTCTGCTCAATGATCGTAAGTGGCAGCAAGGAGCGGGAGCAGGCCGTTGAAGCACCTACCTTCGTCAAGATATGGCTTCAAAGTGGCCTGGTAAGGCCCCTCCCGTCTGACTGCATTGCGCTTCGGCGTCCTCTTCTGCTCGGACAATCAGAGTATATAAAGCAAAGCAATCGGCGCACCGACCTGCGGACCGAGGCAGTAGTTCGAGTCGACTCCCCGCCGGGGGACACTATGCGACTGTATGGGCGTTATACTGTCCGGAAAATCAAAGTACGTAGAAATCAGAAGGCCATGCCGAAGTGCAGGAAAAAAGTGGAGGGTTTCGAAAACGGCGCCCACAAAATTGGAAAGCTGATGTCGGTCACGTCGAGAGATGCGAAGTGCGATACCAGCACTACAGGGGATATTGACATAAACCCGAAGCTACCATGATGTATATATTCCTGTTGCCCACTGATGAGCCAGAAAAACAGAAGCTGGGTGTTATGCACAGAAAGGAAACAAGAACATGACCATGCTTAAACGTGCGTGCTTCAAGATCTAGAAGGGACAACAACATCCGCTCACGCTCTGATTTTAGAACCTCTCAACTCGAACTCTTTTTCGGAACCTCCTATAGTGTATATCTTCATCAATTTTTGCTACCTTTACACCTCAACATAGAGTAGAATATAGTAGGTGAAATTGTGACAGTAGGCACAGATTTTGACTTCGCGCATCACGATGCAGGCCTACGATGATGAAGGTGACAGCAACAGTGAGCGACGAGAAAAGGAGAAGCTCGAAGCTTACAAGAAATATAAGAAGGGCGCATGTCCCACTCTCCACCGAGTCACAGCGGCTGGGCGAGCAGCGGATGACTGCAGGCAGCGCGCTCGTGGAAGGGGTAGCTCACCCTCTTCGTGTCGCTAGTCGGCCACGGAAGGGAGGTGGTGACGCACTTCTCGTGAGTTCAAGGAGGCAGGGGAGGGCCCTACCCCTTGCCACATCGCCCATCACGAGGGAGGCGAAGGGGGTTGTAAGCACTGTAGATGATGTGAGATGAGGTAGAGATATCAAGGACAAGCCATGAACGCACCAAAGACATGGAAACCCAGCCCCTCCCCTCGCTATCTTTGACAATGAGGGCGGGGGCGAAGGGGTATGCCCCTTCCAGCAGCACTGTGTCCTAGAGACGTACGCACATGTCAGTCAGTCAATGCAAAAAGACAGAAGCAGGGGTAAACTCACCAAGTCGGCGAGGGAAGGTCCCCCACCCCACCCTCCATCGCATATCTCATCAAGGATCAAGGGAGCCCACGCTCCTCCAGAAAACCGTCCAACAAATCTAACAAGGGATCAGCGTACGCCTATGGAGGGTTCAGCACGAGATCAAGACCAGTACACAACTCATCGAGATAACCCCTCGCGCACGCTCAACCGCCTGCGCGAAGGCCGCTCCCGCGCTCCCGCGCGCCCGGGTGAATGTTCTACGCCTACCATCGCGCGAGATGATGCGGGCGCGAACCGGGGGATGCCTGTCTCGTCCGCAGCCTCAATAATCTCGTACAACCACGACGCAACTTCAGGAGGGGGGACGCGGCCACCGAGGATATCGCGCGCGGGCACGGGCGAGCCGTAGAAGCCGCGGTTTGCGTCCTTGCGCTCAATGGGGACCGTCCCCTCAAGGCTCAGGCCGGCGAACAGGCCTGCCGCACTCCGTCAGCTGCGCCGCTGACATCCCTATCACGACAAAGCGCACTCACCCTTCGACTTCGAGTACGAGAACATCGACCGCGGGGTGCGCGAGCGACGCCTGCACGCTGCCGCCCGTGCCGATGGTCCCCGCTGCGGCGCTGATGTTGCCGCCGATGGTCACGTTGCCGCCCACGGAGAACGCGCGGACGGCGTCCTCGCTGTTGAGCACGATGACGAGATCGGTGATGTCCGGGAGGGCGCGGACCAGGATCCGTCGAGGAGGCGCGCAATGACGAGGCCGGAGCCGGCCTTGCCAGAGAAGACGAAGCCGGCCTTGTTGACCTGGAAGATGGCGAGGCCTGGAGGGGGAGGGGGGAGGGTGGAGTTGAGTAACATGAAGGAGAGGTAGCGAGGTAATACGCACCGCGGGCGTTCTGCAAGACGGTTTTCGGGATCGAGTTCAGTGCAGACTCTGGTCTCTCGGGGTCGGCTGCACGTCCTCAGGTCAGTGACAAGCAATGAAGACGTATTGCAGGACGCACCAAGGAACCTGTCCAAGATCTTCGCCGCCTTCTCAGCCTCGCCCGGAAGGCTGAATCCTTGTACGAATTCGCGACCCTCAGACGCCAGCCGATTCCCACTGGTGTGCATAAACGCGGTCGCCTGCAGCCCGGCCATCTGCGCGCCTGAGACGCCGTCACCCTCCTTCTCTTGCACTCAGCGTCGCTGGCATCATCTGAACTAGTTGATTGCCGATTCACTTGATGAGGAGGTAAGCCTTCGATTCAAATGAGGTGTGTAAAGAAGGGTACCTCACCCTCGTCGCACTCCTTGCGTAAAAGAAACTCGCGCGCCTCCTCCGGCGGCTCGCAGTCTATGATATCGGCACCAGGAAGCGCTATAATGAGCACGGATGGTGAGATGGGCGGAGGAGGGGAAGTGCTGTGATGAACTCGCAGGGGGCGAAGGAAAGGTGCGAAGGAAAGGTGTTTGCCTCCTGCCGTTGCATGACCGGCATCTCCGAAGTGGCTGGTGCGGCTGCTGCCCGTGTAGCCCCAAAAGTCGAACTTGCTGTTGATAATGCATCAGTATAGCCAAAGTCGAGTCGCAGTCAGGAGATGCACTCAAGAACGGTGAATGAGTGTGAGTCGCAAGTCATGGCACGCGGGGTGCGTGGTGCACAGCATTGTGACGCCAGTGGAATTGGAGTGAGTGCGGCCATGATGGATAGAGGGTCACCGGGCATATACATATACGGAGTAGGCAGCAGAGAGGAGCGCGCGACAAGCACCTCGGAGAGAGACGGATGCATGACGGCTACTACTGGCTACATGGTGGGAGGAAACAAAGGTGGTGATCGCAAATTGATGGATGACAAATACTGGCAAATATTGTGACTGTGACATAGGACGACGCCCAAGTATCTACCAATCTACTTGGTCCTGGCCTTGCCTAAAACAACCTTGTCCATAGCTTTTACAGCTTGTATATATACATCAATGCCCCAATTACCATCATCTCGCATGAAATCGAAGTCAGGAAGCATGCTACGAGCATACTCCAGCTCAGCATCATCATTAATCACGATTCCAGCATCCTTCTGCGCCTGCACGCCCTCAGGCTCCTCGCGGGGATGTATCGGGTCTTCTACCACCTCGTCGGTAGGTGGAACAGGGGCACCATGGTCCTGAGATCCATACATTGCTCCGACAGACTCAACAAGATCGCCAGCGTCCCCTGTCCAGTACCCGCGGTTGAGAGCGAACTCACGACTGAGCTCGTAAATGGCAAGAGGAGTGCGGTTACCCTCTGTGCGGATCTTGTGGTGATTCCACGCATCCGCAGCGCGGTCGAGAGCCCTTTGAATGCGGTGTTGAAATGTGAGAAAGAGGCAGGCGCGATGGATGGGGTCCTCCATATCGAGTACTTCTCGATCCTCAAGGTTGAGAAAGATCTGGCGAAAGACTTCAAGAACGTCCTTGCGTACGTCCCTCCAAAGCCTTTCAATACGGACATTGTGAAGCGAACTGACGGGATGATCAGTACTTGACAGAGGCACGGGATTGCGCGCTGTGCTTTTGCTTACCGGCCACGTAGGTATGCCCTATGGTCCGCCCCCCAGTGCCTAATCATCATGCGCTCGATCTCGTTGTTCTCGCTCCCGAAGTCTCCTCGTGCGCGACTGGGCCAGCCAAATGTCTCTACGGCATTCTTCCACAGCGCACCTACAGTTGCCTGACGCTTGTTGGATGTACAGGCGAGGTAGATGATGAGACGCGAGTGCCCGTCGATACATCCATGAACCCAGAAGCCCCACGGCTTTAGTTTTTCGTTGCCGTCTTGGTGCCACAGCGCATTGGCCCCACGAACATGGTAGACCTTGCGTCTGATGAGGCCTGCAAACCTATGCAAACATGTAAGCTATCTGCAAGCGCTGACACTCGTGAACTTACCTTACTAGCACCCCAATTGCATCCACACGTCGAAGGCTTTCCTGAACACGTGCTCTAGGCAGATGGATACCTCGCGCTTCCAAGTCGCCCATGAGGATTGCCGATCCCGAGAAGGGGTGTAGCCTTGAGAACTCGGTTACAAGCTCGTCAAGCTCTTCATTGCTGATAGCAGTGAAGTCCCTCCGTGCACTCGATAGGCCTGCTCTATCCATATGCTCATACAGAGTCGAGCGAGCAACACCCATGGCCGTAGCAACATCCTCCCAGCTATTTCCCAGATCATGAAGGGCAATTGCACGTTCCAGGTTCAGAATGTACCGTGGACGTCCGCGCTTGCCAGTGTATTCCCGAGGGATGAACAGGTTTGGAAGGAAGGGGGTGGTACGCAGGAATTCTTCCAAAGGAGAGAGAAGGGCTTGGACGTGGTCAATGAGGTCAGTCCTCTCTTGTTCAGGAATATCTTCATCCTCCATAGCCTGAAGAACACCGCGAATAGAGTCTAGTTGGTATACCGATCGCTCGACGGTGCCTTGCTCGACATTAGGAAGAGAATCAATGATGAACTGCGCAGATTGTGCCAAGCGCCTGAAGTGCATGAGCAGCTGGTAGACAGGATCATCACCACTAGCGGCACTAGGCTCATCTGCCGAATGAGGCTGATCCATGATGAGAGAGGGAAAAAAGGAGCACAGACAGAACGACATCCTCGTGCGCATTCGGCGCACATTCGCCACATATTCGCCACATATTCACGTGATTAGGCTATCGTCATACAACTAGATAGACAACGAGCAGTTCTGCCTATGGTCATGTCACTCCAAGCATTGTGAAGAGTTGAACGGCGCACCCGCAATGACCCACAACCACACCGGTTGACCTTCAACAACCGACAACAACTGACGATGACGTGCTAGAAAGGGTCACTGAAGTCATGCTGTAGAAGGCGCGGCGAGTGCGAGCGATGCTATGGCAAGCTAGAGCTAGAGTTGAGCTCGAGCATCTCGCGGCAGATGTTTTGCGCACCTTCGCACTGTACTTCTTCGAGCGCGGGACCTTGGGGGCTACGTATAGCCTGATGAATTCCTCAACCCGGTGAACGACAGACAAGGGCACCACTCACAGACGTACTTACTCCCTACTCCCGCAAAGGGTCTGGTAGACGATTTGGATCGCTGCGAGAAACAATGAGCATGTACTATGAGCCCTAGCAGAGAAATTCCGGTACTCACTTCCGCCTCCATCTCCCTCGCAATCCTGCCAAGTCCGCTCGGTAGGATCGGCTTGCCCACAGTATCCGACAGATCCACCGAAGCTCGACCGCCGAGTACCAGCAAAGAACTTATTGTCGACGCTCGACGCCACCTCCAGCGACGAGTTACTCGGACGATTGACCGGCAACGGTCGCACCTTCGACTTTGTGGACCGCACCTCGTCGCTCTGCCGCGGACCGCCAATGAATGCAGTGCCCTTGGGCAGATGCGACCAAGCACCATATCCTGCTCCCGCCTGAGCGCGACATCTTGGAAAGAGCACCAGCGGATCTAGTCCATGCATGATGCGGTTCCGGTAATGGCGCTTGAGGTGATGGCGGCGACCATGGGTTCAGCATCATCATCATCGGCGAAGAAGGTGATCTATGGAGACTCCTGAAGTTCGGCGGCGGGGACATCGGTGGTGGCAAGAGCGTATACTGGCGCGGTGTCTAGCAATGAATAAGCAAGTCATGAAGCGTGCGACATTCATGAACTTACCTCTTTTGGAGCCTCGCGCCGCCGCAAGGACTCATGTATAGGTTCCTTTCGCGATGGCGTATCCAAGGACGCGGCAGTGGGCTCTTCATCTGGTAGACCGGTAGACCTCGCCGAGGATCAATGGGGAGAGACCAAATATCGGTGCCGGCTCCTTCTCTGCCTCTTGCAATTGCTGCTCTTCCGCGCCGCTACTGTCAATCCACTCCAACCTCATGGACCCTTGCCGCGGCGGGGAGTCGACGCGGATCTCAGCAATCAACCCCGAGCGCGTCGCCGACGAGCGAATACATTTGGCCACGGCTTGTCCTTCTCCCACTCCCTCTCCCACTCTTTCACTTGCTCCGCTTCTAGCCCGCTCTCACTAGGCGTGAACGGCGTACAAGCACCCGAGCTCGGTGTCCCTGACACGGGGGTACCAGGTAGCGACGCCAAATAACTCGCCTTATGAGGGCTCCCAGACGAAGAACTCTTGTCCCGCCTCACGCCTCGGCGTGAGCAATCCCGACGGCAAGCTCGGAGAAAGGGTGGAGGGCATCAGCGGCTTGTGCAAGGATAGAGACAGCAGAGTCATGCTCGCCATCCTCCGAACACTCTTCTTCGGCCTCGGTGGCACCTGCAGAGAAATGGAATGATCAGTCTACAAATCCACCCTCGGCATTTATACTCTACATACCTCCGCAGTCTAAACAGACGAAGGTAACGGCGCCAGCGATGCGTGACACGGCCCATCGATGCAGACACGACCATCCTCTGAGGGAGATAGGCAGGACCAGGATCGACATCGCGCGCAGCCCGCGACACGCGACAGAACCTCAACAGTCCCCAGGTCCGCACCGCCGGCCAGACCCAACGAGGTGACCGACGCCGACGCGGAGCACGCTAGTGGCAACGGCGCGCAAGGTGTGCACGCTGCCGCTCTCCGGGACTGCAGCATTTGTTGTCCTCTAACTCCAAGTGAGATTGGCTCTCCTTCCAGTGCCCACCTCCCTCCGTCTCGTTCATCCTCCGCGCTCGAGACTCTGCGCAACAACGGCGACACCCCTCGACTTGTGCGTCCACTCGACGTACTGCGCATCAACGCCAAACTGGGCACTGGCAACAACAGACAGAAGCGTTCGTTGACGAACTTCCAGGCGTCCGCGGCAATGCCAGCGATTCTTTGGAGGTCAGTGAATCCTTCAACGTCGGCATCTTCGGGATAGACGGTTTTTGTCCCGAAACCTGCACCCGAGGCACCAGCGTGGCGGTGGGCGGTGGGTGAAGACGAGCTCGCGGTAGCGACGAACCCAATCCCTCGCGCTCTCTCCCACCGTGCGCATCGTCCCTGCCGCTCTCCCGCCGTACTCGTTGTCCGTTGGCGACTCGCCGATATGTTGCGGGGCAGTAAATTCGCACTAGCTTGTCTTGGGATCGCGGTCTTGGGCGCCAGCGAGGAGGTGCTCATGGAACGTGGGAGCGACAAAGAAGAGCGCAACCGTGGGAGCAGCTTCGAGCCCGATGTCGTCACCGCTTTCGAGCTCGAGGTTGGTGCTGTTCCACTGGTCGGCGTCGTTGCTGTACTTGAATACGGTGAGGGACTGGTCAATGCAGAGGAGTTGAAGTTGCAGAAACAGCACCAGGATGCCGCGGGAACGTCCGTTGCTTGCGCTGGCAAGAAGGCTCGTAGCAAGACTCGTAGCTGCCTGCGGAGATGTAGTGAGATACTGAGCTCTCACCTGCCCACAGCGAGGGCGGTGGGCGACCGAGGCCTTCACCTGCAGAGTACACGTTCCAGCGCCTGCATAGAACGTGTAGTGAGAACTTGAGTGTGGACCTCAGCCAAATCAATGCAAGGAGGTCGCAAGCCCATATTTGGGCAACCTACGCCATATATTATCTGCCAAGCATCAACAAATTCTACGCAACTTTGAGCCACCTCGTCAAGGGCGTCAACTTCAACTTCTTCCGTGGTCCATCCGAATCATCTTCATCTTCGCGCTCGCGCTTGTCCCCGTTCATGGTGAGGGCAATCCGACTCGAAGGAACAAAGGCGCGCTTGGAGATGGTCAAGTCCTGTGGCAGTGGTACCTTCTTTCTACCCATCCCGCACACCTCGAAGCGATGGGGTCGAGCAACGGCCTCTGGCTGACCCTCGGACTCACGGTATGAGAATGCCATTTGGCAAAGCGCGTTGAAGCTGTATGGCCCGAGTGTGCTGTCCAGCTTGATCTCGCTGACATCTATTGTTGGCCGGAATATGGCCTGATAGTTCATGAGTAAGGGAAGTGGGAATAAGCACGCACGCGCGAACTCACCGTGGGCCACTTCCAATCTGGTCGCGGGCGCGCAATATATGGCGTGTGGTACTCGATGCCATCCACAACAACGATGTAGTTGGGTACGTGAGTTCTACCCGACTTGCCGCGAGGTTGAGGAAGTGGATTGGCCTGAAGCTCCTCCGCCATGGGCTTATAAGGGGCTTCTCCTTCGCTTGCTTCTGGAAAACAGTCAGAAACGTGGTAAGCAAGCGACAACAACGCAAAGCTCACCCCGTGCGTAAACCTCATCCGTGGCCTTCGCAACGAAGGTGGCCGTAGGGGAATAGAGACCGAGGCGCACACCTTCCCGAACCAGTTGTACCTTGAGGAAGGGCGCCTTTCGTCGGTAGCAGGGCGCCGTATGAAGGAACTTTGTGTGGCCATGACTGTTGAAGGCGAAGGGCTTGTGCTTCTTGTCATCGACCATCCTTACTGGGACAATGGTGTCGGGCCATGAGGCGACGAGGGCAGGGATAGCGGCGGAGAACGCCAGATAGGTCCGGACCAGTCGGTCGAAAACCGCCTGGTTGGAGAGCACCCATGTGACAGCGGCGTAGGGAGGAATGAGGGCCAGACAGCATACATCGCAGCTTTCGTTGGCCCCAAGACCATTGAAGAGGTGCTGGGATTGGCGCATAACAAGCCCGATTGGCGTCGAGTTGAACTTCTTGTTCGCCAAAGAGTTGATACGCCAGTTTTTGAGTGTCCTCAGAGCTTCCTCGGGTTCGACAGTGGCGCATGGGCCATGCGAAGCGCTCCATATTCGAGGCCAGATCTAGAAGATAATCAGTCTTTGAGAACAATAGCTACGCAGAGGAGAACATACCGGATGGCCTGGTTTAAGGTCATCCCGGCTGCAGCGCTTTCGCAGGCGCATGACATGGAAACTCATGAGCACATTGTGATCTGCAAAGACGAGCGAGTGCTCAGGTCGTACAAGCGCCATGAGAATGGTCACAACAGGCGAGCCTGTGAGTCCGAAGCAATACTCGTATGGGACCGGAAATCCCTTGCTTTTCTTGCCCCGACGGATGAATGGCTGCGAGATGATCGTATTGTGCTGGCTGGTGAACATGCCGAAAGAATGTCCCTCGGTGGCGTAGCAGACGCGAATGGCAAACTGTAGGATAGATAGATCAGCTCTTCATATTGGCAGATGGAAGCTTCAAGCATCAAGCTCACATAGCGGTGGAGGATGTCGTCATTCAAGACGACAACAAGCTCCTTACCCCGGTAGACCAAGTAAGCCTCTCCGCGGATTTTCAGCTTGTTGACGACGACCTCAGGCCTATCATCAGGAGACAGGTCGAGATTGGCGTACTCCTGCAGTGCAAATATATATAAACAGACTATATCAAAAGAAGAGTGGTACAGCACTGACCCTCGAAGCCTCCGCTGCTTGCTCGAGCAAAGCTGCTTCTTCACTGCAGTTGCGGTCAGAGAAGTGAGTCTGAGCAAGAGTGAGTATGACATCAAGAGGAGACAGGTTCCAAGGGGTAGTAACTCACCTGGAGACCCTTTGGTTGGTGAGGATTCGCACAAGTAGGACATGTCGTCGGTTGCTCCCGACGTTTCCTCCCAGGAGGCGACACATCATCTTCATCGTCCTCGTCCTCTTCCTCCAGGCAATCTTCGGCAAAGACAGATGTCGGTTCCTTCTTGGTTCGAGTGCGCACGTATGGCATGAGCGAGGAGGGCGTTGTCAGGAAGTGAGGGTCATCTGGTGGTGCTTTGTGCAGTTCGAAGGAGTGGCGAGTGCCATCGGGGTCCATGCAGCATTCAGGCTGTACAACGACGTGCGCTATTAGGACATATTAGAGTATATTCAAGAGATATCATCTCGCAGACGCACCATATTCTGATTCCTGATCAGGGGGTATGCTGTTCTGACCAGGCCTTGACATAGTCTTGTTTCCATCATGACAGTCCTTCCCAACGCACTTCTTCTCGGTCATAGCGGCTACACACACAGAAGAGGACAGAGGAGAAGAAGAGTATTGAGGAGGAGCTTAGCAAAGGCAGGTACAGAGGTATGAGAAAGGGCTCAGACGCGACGACGCGACGCGCTGACAGGTCACGCGCTGCGGGTTGTGACACTCTGTGACATTGTCACCCAGTGGCGGTCATCGGCCTATGAGACGTGACTTTCTGATAAAGGCCGTTTTTTTTTACTTGGAATACGTAGATAAAGTATGAATGAGCTCTACTGCACAGTAGTTAAGGAAACCAGTCAGTGAGACAAAATTGACACCTCGATTAAGCTAAACAGGGGCGTGGGAACTTACTCTTCGCGGGGATGGCTGCCTCCGGCAGTACCTCATTCGCCGTGACGTTGCCCTCGAGGATGTTGAGTTGTGCGAGGGCACAGTGGAGATGAGGCTCTAGCGCGGCCATCAGCGACAAGACAGGTTGAAAGGAGACGCACCCTCGACGCCGATTCGGACAGACCACCGCTCGACAGCAACTCGGACACGGCCTTGACGTTTGCGGTGTCCTGCTTGACAGTAGAGTTGATCTTGCCGAACTCGAACTTGCCAGTCCTGGGGTTGCGGATCGTGCTAGCGAGCGAGTTCATGGGAACCTTGCCCTCCAAGTCCGGCGTGTAAGGCGAGGCGTCCTTGACCTTGACGAGCGAGTGCTTGACCATCATGTCGCTCATGGCCTTGTACGACTGCAGAGCACGGACGTGGTTGCGCGCCTTGTACGCCTCGTAGTACGCCGGGTCGAGCGCGCCGAAGACGAAGCGAGGGTGCAAGATGAGGATCGTGCCACCGACTTGACCGAAGCCGAAAGAGGACTATACAAAGCCGCGTCAGAAAGGCTCGCACGAGACAGGTGAATAGCTTACCATGAGACCGGCCTTGATACCTGCAGTGTAGATCGTCTTCGAAGGGAACATGAGGAAGTGACGGTCTTGGAACATCGGGTCGATGTTGCTGCAAATAATGAGCAAAGGAGTTAACTTCATATTCAAAATACGTACTCGCTGTTGCGATTGCCTGGGATGATGCCGTGGTAGACCGACTGGAGCAAGCCCGCCATCTGCCACGCAGCAGAGCCACCCTTCGAGTGACCGAGAAGGCTCTTCTGCGCCATGAAAAGAAGCACGAACGTTGGCTCCAGTGCTCGTGCCATGGATGGAGAGCACGCCGACATCGTCCGTGGTCAAGCCCCACACAGCGAGTGCGCGACGGAGCGGGGCGACGTGGGGGTCAGACCCTTCGAGCATGCCGAATACGGCGAGCGCGTCCTTCTCCTGCCTGGCCGCCTCCTTCTCGATGCTGTCGACGCGAGCAGTGAGCTCTTCCTCGGTGAACTCGGCACCCTCCTGCTTCCGGAACTCCTGCAGCTGGTAGTGCTCGTGCGTGAGCCACTGCGAGATTTGCTTCCGACGGAACTCAAGCTGGCGGGTGCGGTACTTGATGTCGAGGATGGGCAACGGCTGCGTCGAAGGAACTTCGCGAGTGATCGAAGCGCACCACGGCCTGGCGCGGGGATGGAGCGACCGGCCTTGTCGCTGCAAGAGATATTAGGACAAGCTCAGCACAATGACCTCATAAGACCTACGTGGACGTCGACGTGAAGGCGACGATGCCGCGGATAGGTGCACCAAGCTCGAGAGCCGTCCTAGCGCTCATGAGAACCTGTACACCAGAGCCCTGAGACTCCATGAACTGCAAGACAGTCAGTTGCTGACTTCGAGAATCGTAGGAAGCACGTACGCCTGAACGCGTCGACGTCGCAGGACGAGACATCTCAGTGGGCTCGCGGCCCATGGCGAACTCCGTCTCGGCGTTGCTCGTAGCCTTCATGTTGGCGAACTCGTAGGAGCCCTCCTCGCTCAGATCGTCGAAGCCACCCGCGAGCATGACCTTTGCCTTGCCTGACAGGATGGTGTCGCACGCGATCTCCACAGACTGGAGTGCCGTTGCGCTGGAAATACGTCAACCGAAGCGCAAAAACGACGGGGGGGCTGGAGACTTACCAAGTACCGACTGGGATCTTGGCAGGACCAGACGACGACAGGAGAAGCAAGTTAATCCAGCCGGCCGTCGTGTTGATGAAGCTGAAGCGGAGTCAGTATGCGGCGTGGAGAACAGACAAATAGGGCGCACGTCTCCTGCAAGATGTCGTTCTGCACGTCCTTCTCGTCGCGGCGGTCCTTGAACATCTTCGCCATGCTGACCACACCACCCATACCGCTTCCGAGCGACGTGCCGATCTCCGAAGGATGGATGTGCTGTTAAAGCTCGTACGGGTCGGTGATGCCGGACTGGCTGAGGGCTTCCGGCAGCGCCCACGAGCGCCCAGAGCGTAACACGGTCGGTCTGAGCGACGATGTCGTCGGGGATGCCGTAGCAACCGGCGCTCCATCCAGTAGGGATCTGTCCGGCGACGGTGCGGCTGAACTTGAACACCTTCGGGACGTACACGCAGGCACCCTTCTTGAGCTTGGCGAACCACTGCCCTTCCTCTCCGGCCCAGATGTCGCACTTGTCGCCGTGCTGGAGCTTGAACTTCTGCGTCTCCGACTCGACAACCTCGATCGGCTCGAGATCGTGCGTCAGCTCAATCTCCTGGTTGAAGACCTTCTTCTTCGGGTCGTAGCCGCGGAACAGCTCAGGCTCTGCGAATGAACTTAGTTGTGATCGTGGAATCAGATGTGACACCACGTATCGATGAGGCGTACACCAGTGCGCGAGGATCTCGTAGCTCGTAGCACCCTTGACGTCCTTGTTGTCGACGGGCTCGCCACTCATGCTGTCAACCCACCCGACGTACAGTGTACCATCCTTGGGGCGGCCCGTTGAAGTGCTTGATGAAGCCCATGATCCACGCCATCTCGATGCAGCCCTCGATCGTGAGTTCGCCCCTCGCCTCCATCTCCCAGTGTGTGCGAGCTACCCCAAGGGCCAACTTCGCCGAAACCGGTGATGACCTTGTCGAAATCAAGTAGGCCCTGCATGTACGAGACATCGGCGAGGCTGGCAGTGCTCTCAAGCGCCGGAAACTCGTAGCGGTGGTTCGCGCGAGGGAGAACGTTGATGGTCTGGCGCTCCGCATCCGGGCCCTTCTTGACCTTGAAGTCGGCGGATGTGTCGAGGGTGATGGCCCGGCGCGGCTCGACCTGCGTGATGCTGAACAGGAGCGGGTGCATGAGGCCGAAAATATTGAAGGCCATCTCTCCTTCGCGGAGAACGTGCGCACGCACTCCGTAGGACTTGTGGGCGACAATGTTCGTCGGACCCATGAGACCCGTACCACGGGTCCAACTAGAAAGCAATCAGCATGGCAATCCGCGATAGATGAACCTGAACCACACTTACCAATGACCGCACCGGCAAGGCAAGGCAAAGGTATTCGCCCCAGCTCTCGGACGCCCAACGCTGGAACAGCATCTCGAGGGAGATCTTCGACTCTGAGTACAGACCGTCGTTGCCGAAGAGACCATGGTTTGGGGAGAGGGGAAGGATGACTTGCATCGGGGGCGCGTGACGAACTGACGGCTCCCCTTCTTGGGCAAGCTCGGACTTGTCGTCGATAGAGTCGATCTCGCGGCCGTTTTCCGGAATACCCGCGAAGGGGAGGATGTAATCCAGATCGAGGCCGAGGTTCGCGTAGATGTAGTCGACAAGCGCCTCAACGTCCTGCTTGGAGCCCTGGTTGAAGGGGATGAGGGCGAAGCCGCGAGCACCATACGTCTGGTAGATGTCCTGGTAGTACTCGACGGTCGAGCGGGTGTAGCGCGAAGTCGCGATGACGATGACGAAGTCGCGATGTCGACGTGGGCACCGCCGGACAGGAGGCCCTTGACGACCTCGACCCCGATGGAGCCCTTGCCGACACCGGTCAGGAGAGCGTTCTTGTCCTTGAAGGTTGTACCAGACGTAGCAATCTCGTGAAGGACGTCGAGGTAAACACCGGTCAGATTGCTGCTGTACTCCCACGTCGAGCCGGCCTTGCGCTGCGGACACGTTCGCTGCGGACAACTGGGGACGCAGGACCTGCGAGGACGAGCAACGCGTCCTAGGCGTGACGCGAGGGCGCGGAGAATCCGGTCCTTTGCGGAGCGAGCGAACGACGCCTTCGTACAAGGCCTTGATGCGCTTCTTCTGCTCCTCGGTGATGCCGGGCTGCGACTTCACCAAAGTCCAGAGCTTCGCAACGTCGTCCTGGACCTTTTTGATGTTGACAGCCAGAAAGGGGATCGGTGCTGGCCATCTCCCCGACGTAGGCCTCGAGCTTGCGGACGCCTTCGCGCACGACTTCGGTGTAGACGATGTCGCCCTTCGCGGTGATCTCGGTATGCGGGGCGGTGGGGAAGGTCACTGAAAAAGTTGTGAGCAGGGCTTTCACGTGTACTGACGCACCACTTACAATCCTTGTACAAAGGCTCCTTACCAACAACTTCGCGAGTGTTGTCGATCAGCTGCTGACCGAAGTGCTTGGCCAACTTGAAGGTCTCGCCTCTTTCCGGGTCGCACTTGTCGATGTAGTACTGCATGTAGGTGATGAGCTCGGGGTCGGCACGGTTGAGCAAGCGGATGCAGCGCGGTGATCTCGCGGTCGACAGTCGTTAGGCGGCCGAAGATGATGTCGTAGAACATGAGAAGGGCATCTTGACGAGCCCAGTTCCACGACGAGTTGAAGTGGCGCGCCTTGAGGGGGTCGAATGCGGGCTGAATCCCGTCGATATAGGTGTCCCCGTGCTCGCGGAGAATGCTGTCCAACTTGGCCTGAAGAGCCTGCGAGTTCGCCTTCTCCTGGTCGAACGCAAGCTCGCCAGCGCGAGAGTCGCGGCCGAGGTAGCGCATATAGAGCTCGACGTGCTGGGCAGCGAACTTTTGCTGGTCGGCTTGGAACTTGATGAACTCCTCGCTGTTGATCGTCGGACCCGCGCCTCCACCACCACCACCGCCGGAAGCCGCGCCAGGAGCCGCGAGCGAGATGCCCGCACGCTGAGCGTACGCGGAGACAACGCTATCGACCCATGCGCGACCTTCTGCCTCCGAAGCCAGACGCTTCGGCGGTTCCATCCATCGTCGTACCGAGGAGAAGAACCGCATCCGCGCGAAGGGGACCGAGACCCCAGGTCTTGGAAAGGTAGGACTTGATCGCAGACGCGTTGAAACCGCCAGGCATCTTCCCGCCGATGAGTCGAGAGACCAAGCCAGACGTATGCTTGCCGAGGCCGCCGCCAGACTGAAGGGACGAGCCGAGTTCCTCGAGTGGCAACTCCTCGCCCTTCTCCGGAGCGGACGTGAACTCGAGGTGAAGGTCACCGAGGATCTCGTTCTGAAGGGTAGACTTGCCCCCCATGGACTTGGAAAGCGGGATCTCGCTCACAGTCTTCTTCAGCTTCTGCGCAACGATGACGGCAAGAACGTCGACGGGCTTGATGGGTACGTCCTCTACACTGGCGACAGGGCCGGAGGGAGCGGCAACGGGAGCTGGCGCGGCAGCAGCGGCGGGCGCTGCAGTGGGTGCAGCGGGCGCGTCGGCGGATGCCGGCTCCTCGGCAGGTGCATCCTCGGGCTCGTCCTCGAACTGGTAGTAGATTTCCTTCGGGTGCTTGGCATGGCAGAGGATGGCGCGCTTCCGGCCCACCGAGTCGTCGGACGCCTCGTACTTCGCCTTGAGGGTACGAGTTGCCATGCCGATGAGCGTCGGGGCCAGGCCCAAGCTCGACGAGGCGCTCGAAGGCGAAGGCGAAGTCGGTGAAGAGCAGATCCTGTGTCTCGATCCAGCGAACAGGTGATGCGAACTGGTAGGCGAGCAGCTCGACGAGGATGACGTAAGCCAGCTTCTGACGGTTGTCGGTGCTGCCCCATTTTTCCTCCTCCCAGTTCTTCAGAACCTTGTCGAGACGAGGCGACGACGTGCGATCGTAGATGATCTGGGCGTACTCGCGCGAGATGTCGAAGGGCTGAGCGATCAAGTTCGGGATGTATTTGCCGATAAGGGTGTCGGGGTTGAGATGAGCGGGGTTGATCTTCTTCGACAAGTCTACAGAGTGATCAGTATACATGCAAAACCGTTCCCCAAGCAAATACATACAGGTACGGAAAGGCATGACACCGGCCCAGAGGTAGCGAGAATGGAAAGGCACGTCGATGCCGGGGAGAGGGATTGTTGCAAAGCCGCGCTCAAGGATGATGTACCCATCGCTCTTCTGCTTCTCAACAGCGGAGTCGTGCGAGGACTTGATGATCTCGCCCAGCATTTCCTTAACCTTCTCGACGCTGAACTGCTGCGTCAACTGTAACACATCGTGAGCTTGTTGCGCATCATGAGTGGTGGATTGCATACCTGCACGATGTCCACCTTCTTGACCTTGAGGTAGTTCAAGACGTTGGTCAAGGTCTGCAGAGCGACCAGCTCGCCGGCGCAGACGTATTGTTGACCCTAAAACATGTCAGTACGATGTCGAGGACGAGTGGCAGGTCAGTGCACCTCGACGTTGAAGTTAACGATTTCGAGGAGTTGGTTGGTTGAAGAGGCGATGCCGTCGACGACGTCGCGAAGTGCAGTGTCCGTAAAGGTCTTGGATATGCGCGAGGGGTTCACAGCGCACATCGCGTAGTTCGAGCGGTTGTGCTCGTCGCGCTCGACCGCGCGCTGCATGGTGATGCCGCGGTAGAAGGCGACGTCGACGAGGGCGGAGATGTGCAGGACATCGGCGATGGAAGCCAGCGCCGAGTATTCACCAAGCGAGTGGCCGGCGAAGGGACAGTCCTTTTGCACGAAGCCCTTGACACGCATGTCCTCGAAGGCAGCCTTCTCGGTGACGACGAGGGCCATCTGAGCGAACTGCGTGGCGAACAGGAGGCCGTTAGGATGGCTGAAGGTGTATTTCGCGCGGTGCGGATGTCGATGTCGGCGAAGAGAGGGAGTGTCTTAACGGTTCCCGTCCTTGTCGGTCGTGTCTCATGTCATGTCCATGTAGCGCTGGCGGATCGCTTGCCCCTTGATGCCACCGAAGTGGATGGTCTTCTCCTTCGGGTTATTCTTGACGATGTCGACGATAGAGAAGCCGTGTGCGGCAAGCAAGTGGGCGTCAACGCCCTCCCAGACGGCGCACCGCCGGAGAGCTGTTGTACAAGTCCATGCCCATGCCCGGCTCTTGCGAGCCCTAACCGGTGAAGACGTAGGAGGCGGGGCGGCCGGGCGACCTCGGCGGAGCCCTCGAGGACCTTCTCGTCGCGGTCGTTGGTGTTGGTGGTCTTGACGACAAGATTGCCATTGTGCATCGCGACGTGGTGGATGTTGACCTTGAGCGAATCACCGGGCAGGACCATGCCGACAAAGGACACGTCGTACCTGTAGCCCGTTCGTCAGCATGAGAAGGATAGAAAGCAGCCCGTGCTCACGAAAGGACACGCTCTATAAGATCCTGAGCGACAACGTTCTCGACATAGCGACGCGTCGCCGCGCTCGACCAAAGACCGTGCCAGGAAGGGATGCGAAGCAGGCGAGGTACGGGTTGATGTGGATGGGGTCGAAGTCGCCGGAGTACGGCTCGTTGGTGAGGGGCGCAGAGAACGGGGTTGCCCTTGCAATCATCCGACTCGAAGGACAGTGCCGACCTTGACGAGGGCCTTCAGCTGGTTGCGAACGAAGATCTCGCTAGAGACCTCCATGTCGCTGAAGGGGTTCTTGTCCTTGTAGGACACCTGGGTGCGGACGCGGAAGATGAGGTTCGTGTGTGTCGTCGTCGTCACACTCGAACCACTCCTTCGACTGCAGGACACCGACCTGGGCGTCATTCTCGAGTGCCACCTCGTAGAAGTCCGTGAACTTGCCGTGGTAGAGGAATGCGGAGACGACCTCGATGATGGGCTTGCCAGCGCGAAGAACGTGGCCCTTGACCTTGATGATCTTACCGGCGTCGGGGTTGACGACAGAGAGGATGCGGGCCTCGGGGTGCAGACGTCGCCAACGCGAAGAGGCGACGCGCCCTAGACCATTCGGAAACCGTTCGAGAGATGGACGAGCTTTAGGAGGTCTCCATCAACAGTCGACGGGAAGGCCTGGTACAATTGTTAGACACTGGGATGGTCATATTTTGTAGACACTGCTTACCTGCCAGCCCATGACAAAGGCGAAATCCATGGGTGCCATGGGCGTCTCCTCGCGCTCTTGAAGGCCTCGCCCTGGTTGCTGGTTCCCGACGACAGCGCAGAACTGGCAGAACTGTTCCACGTCCTCGGCCTTGCTGGTGACCTCGGCGCCCTTCACGACGTCGCGCACGTTGATGTTGGGCAGAGCCTCGCTGTCGCCGTACCACAGCTTCCAGTAGAAGGCCTTGATGCGGTCGTTGCGGCCTTCTGCAAACTCGTGGATGGGCGCGAAGCCTGGTCGGGCTTGTAGACGAACTCAAGGATGAGCGGGACAGAAACGCCCACGGCGCTCCTTGAAGAGGGTCAGGTTGATCTCCTTCGAAGCGGCGTCATATGCAACGTCGACCGCCTTGAAGTCGGGGTCGCGGGCACCGCCAAACGCGGAGAGGTGCAAGGGAACGTCGCCTGTGTAGTCGTCGACGATGACCTTCTGGCGCGGATGGGGAATGAGGATGCGATGTGGCGGAGGGGATTGTTGATATAGGAGCCGCCTTGGACAATGGACTTCGAGGAGATGAGGGCGCCACGACAGCTCGGGACCGGCGAGGGACTCGAGCCAGCTGGCCGCCGAGGGTGCGCCGGTATGGAAGGCGACCTTGCCGTCGGCCTTGTGCAGAGTGCAGGGAGGGCACTGACAGTAGTCGACGACGGGGACCTTGCTCTCATCGTTGTCGTAGCTGCGCTCGAGGAGGCGAGTAACGAGGGTCGAGTTGATGCCCCCAAGAGCTCTTTGATCGGCTCGTCCTTGACCTTCGACCACTTGACAGCGACCGGGCCCCGGAGAATGCACACGCGCTGCGGGTCCTGGTCGAAAACGGCGTCAACTTCCTCGGCAGCCCAGAGGGAGTCCTACTGATGCGTAAGTGACTGGAGAAAGAATGCACTGGAGTTAACGCACCTTCTTGAACGACTCAAACTGGTTGTCGAGGACAGCGATGAACGGCACCAGCTTCTGAGTCGGGCGGCAGATGGCGAGGAAGTACGCCGCGTCGTCGGCTGCTCCTTCCCCAGCGGGTACGCGGCGAAGAACAAGACGCCAAGGGAGCTCTTGCAAGGCTAACCTTCTTGTGCGTGCTCGTAATGCTCCTCGTGTGTGTGTGCGTCGAGCGTTGCGCGTGACGGCAGAGCTCGAGCATCACGGATGAACACGTTCGGCAGAGGAGGCAAGTTTGCAGCTTGAGGATAGAGTATGGGATGAGATGGGGTGAGGGAGAACCGCTTCGCCAAGTACGCTGCACACTAGTGTCTTCCCTTCGTCGCCTCAAACTTTTCCCCCTCTACCCCTCCTAGAAGTATTCCTCGATCGCGCGAAGACGAGCGATGTCTTGAAGTACATTGTCGGTATCGGTTTTCTAGGGTGATCGGGGTCGGTCGATGGGGCTCTCCGACCGTAAAAGCACGACGATTATGTTCGTGTCAGGGAAGACATGGGGGAGGACTTGCGAGCGCGTAGATAGAAGGTGGTGGAGGGAATGGGATTCATCAAGGAGCCCAAGTCGCGAGTCGCTGGATCGTCGATGTACGTCCTCGGCGCGAGGGTTAACGCTTAACGATGGCGTGGCCATAGAGCTAATCCATTTGAGGGACGTGACGGTGGTGGTCGGCGCCGAGCCGCCCTGTGTAGCCGGGTTGTTGTGATAGTTCCCCACTGCTGGCCTTGCGCTTCGCGGGCAGCATGCGCGGGAGCGGTGTTGGCGAGGTGTGCTTGGGGACCTCTACACTAGATCGTTGAGGAGGATGTGTGGGACATTACATTATGCATTATGGTTCACCTTGTAGGCGGCGTAGGATAGACGCGTGCGGAGGGTGCGGGTGACCTGGTTATAAGGGGGTGAGCATGATGAGGGGCGAGACGCGAGGAGGGACGGGTCGTGTCCACCGCGTGGCCGCTCTATTTGCGCCACCGGCGGGAAGACGCGCTGGGGACAGACACGTCGAGGGCCATGTACGGCGCGCCAGCACTCACCATCGATATTTCGGCGCGCCAGGAATCGCTGCACCGCCTTCCTGCGCTCCTCACTGTCGTCGTGGCCCGTGCTGAATGGGGTGTAGTGGTAGGGGCATGGAGGCGATTGCGAGGCGGCCGAGCTGTGCGATCTGTGCGAGGGCGGATAGTGCGCATATCATGGCGGGAGGAGGTCTATGGATGGCGGCCGCGGCGCGGTCCAATCTCAATCGCGTTTCGGCAGATGCCGGTCCACCCCTTATCGTCATCAATTGACTTGGACGCTTCATTCCTCCGCATCTCGCGCCAGAGAGGTTCTACGAGCCGGTTACACATAGTGGTAGTAGTAGTAGTAGTCAACAACGATGAACACATCGATATCATCCATCCATCCTCAGATGCGCGCCACTCGACGATGCGGTTCCGAGCTGGGTGTGGCACCGCACCGCGACATAGACTCGGAGTAGTCACGGTTGGCTCTCCCTCCCGCCTATTGTTCGCTGTTCGACCTGTCCATGACTACCGGCGCTATCGGATTGCGCTTGCTTAGCCGCTGTTGTTTCTCGCAGTCATCACCCTGGTACGTACGCTGCCTCGCTCTGCTGTCTTTACTTACCCAGCCTCTGCTAGCTCCCCTTCGTGATATACCCAAAACATAGAGCTAATGTCAGTAGATCGATCTAATTGAATGTGTTATTGAATGCATTATTGCCTCACGCGAGTAGTATTTGGGAAGTGCACGCCGAGGTCGCGCTATACGCGCTCGTCGACTTGTTGACATGCCCTTTCCCGCCCCTTTGTTGTTCACTTCCTCAATTCTCACAAACCCATTGTATTTTCATTCGTCTATCTACCTACAGTACACGATATCTAGCTAGCTATATACACTGTGAACTAAATCTCCATCTACTTCCAACAGCTTTCCAGTCCTCCTGGTCGCGTCGAAGGGAAATGCGCCTCCAATCGACAAAGGGGAATGCAATCCCTTCCTCCCTTCGCCCTCCGATCTCGCCAAAGCGCTCACATGCGATCCCAGATGAGTATGGGTCAGTGGGGGAGACGTACCTGCCGTGGTTGAGGCGCGCTGCTCCCTCATCCTCCCTCGTCTACTACGCTGGCATGCTCCCCACCTTCCCTCGCACTCCCCACCCATCCCCACCCATCCCCTCGCACTCCTGCAACTCGTAGGCCTGTAGAGCGCGCGTATTAGCGAGCTGTACACAAGGGAGGGAGGCGATGAGATGCGAGGGTGAGCGAGCCAAGGGGCTGTAAAACGGGGAGATGAGAGCAAATGAGCAAGAGCAAGGGAATGAAGGGGAATGATGGACGAGGGAATGTGGATGAGGGGAAATGTAGCAGTTACTGAGTGAGTACTCACCGAGAATTGGACTCACGTGTTGAGGACTACACTCGCGCGTGGGGGTTCTTGACGGAGCACATCTTGGTCGGTGCTTGACGAAGCACATCTTGACCATTGGCTGGAAATTGGCTGGAAAGCGGCGTGAGCGAGATGCCGTAAGCGAGGACGACGCGGAAAGTGAGGACGTCACCCCCTTCATGCTGCTGGCTTCGAGGTGCCGTTGAATCGCGTCCTTGAAGCGCGTCGGCTCGACTCGTCTTCTGTACGTGTCGGATTGGATCACACCTTCAGGGCGCGTTGAATCCTATCTTCAAGCGCATCGTCGACTCCTGCGAGTAGTCAGCGCGAGTCAGCATCTCAACGAGAGAGAGCAGGGGACAGCGAAGGGGGAAGGGAGTAGGTACGAAAGAAAGCACAAGATGAATGCGTACTCTCCTGTATTGTCCTCAGGGGCGCTTTGAGAGAGGGGAAGAGCTGTAAACAGAAGACATTAGCGAGCTGTCAATAGTACGAGTTAGTGATCTGTAAAGAGATGGGTAAAGGAAGGAGGAGGCGATGGAAGGCGAGGCGAGGGGGCGAAGGAGAACGGGCAGGAGCGAAGGGAATAGAAAGGCGCAGTCTGTACTCACTGAGGCAGCAAACATGCCCGTCGGCCTCGCCGAAGCAGAGGCGAAGGGCAGAACACTCCCCCTTGCCCACTTCGACCTCCCCGATGCGTACAAACACCAACGACCAACGCCTACAATTACGATGCAGAGATGAGCTCGAGGACGGGGCCAGAAGAAGAAGGTCAACTTACCCGAGCTTACCCGAGCTAACACAAAGCGGTCAAAGCTCTTGACGCAGCACATCTTGGCCAACGTGCCGCGGTGGTTGGTGGTGCATGGTAAGCGTTGCAATGGACGGTCTAGGGGTACTGTTGTCGAAGCCTTGAAGGGCATCATTGAAGCGCTGCAAGGGAGTCAACATCAAAGCCAAGGGAACAAAGAGATCGACGACCCTCACCTTGTTCTCGGCCTTCCCAGGTAGAGGGGGGTGGGGGTCTCAGTACAGCGTGTACAGCTTGTAGTGTACACCGTGTACATCTTGTAGTTCATTGCTATACTGAAAGCTTCATATTGGAAAGCGCGAGATTTGACCGTCTTCCCCCTTTTCGTGCTTTCCTGGGGAGGTTCGGCGTGACGGCGGACACGACGGCGGACACACAGGAGGTGTGGGGACGTGGATCCTGGTTAACGAGGTCAGCAACGGTGTACAAAATCGGCGGCGACGACTCACACATTGGCCGTCTCGCGGGGCAGCGTTTCGCCGTCTATCGTCCTGAGGTCTCTCGCGTGCGCCGTCCGCGGCCGCCGCCTCGCGCGCACGCGCCCTGCTGGCCCGCGCGACGGCGAAACTATGAGATGGTCAGCGAGAATTTCGCCGTGCATGAGCAAGACATACCTTTGTCTTCGCATCCTTCGCCCGATGGACACTCCCAGGACGACTCCGCGAGGCGCATCACTGTCCTCCCTTGTACTAACTCTAGGGCGAGTCGAAGGGGGCGGATTCATGGAATGGGAGGTTGTGATTGCATGGCAAAACAGCCGGTTGCAGAGGAGGGGGGTCGCGACTGTCCCGAGCTATTGAGAGCCTTGGGGGCATGCCGGAAGCGAGAATTGAAATAGTGCTGCAGTGTCTAGCTGGGAGATCGACGAAGTCGCCGATGTGGATGTGGATGTCCTGCGAACGTATTGGTGAAGTAGAGAAGGGTCCATGCCGCCGGCTTTGACCTCCATAGGAGAGGGGAAGAGAGGGTGAGGGGGATTTGTAGTCATGAGCCACCCCTCAACCTCAACCTCAACGATCGCTTGCTTGGGTGGGAGGAGGCGGCGGCGATTCATCCGGCCTCAGGACCACGATTCCCACGCCCCTGTTGCCATTAATCGAGGTGTCAATTTTGTCACCGCTTCTAAACAAGTAGCATGAATGGCTCAGAGAGCTGTTTGAGATATTCCCTTCACATTCTGAGCCAAAGAAAGGGCCTTCAGAAGCATCCGGCGTTTAGGGCGAGCCACCGCCAAGAGCCTCGGCAAATTCCGAGCCTCAACGGCAGGCGCGCCGCCGTCGCAAGGAACTACGTCCATAGTTCCCACGGGCTATTCTCCCCTGGGCTCGGATTCATTATGTTGCGCGTGCAGAGCAAATGATCCAAGGGTGTGGATGGATCAGACTTTGGTAATGTATATGCAGGAAGGAGTGAATGCCATATACAATGAGTGCGTATGGAGGAGGTCAGAGTGATAGTGATAGCGGAGGGAAGTAAGATTGATCGTTAGCATTAGTGATTAGTCGTAGGGCTTATTGTTGTTCAAATACTGAGAGATACGCTTAGAGAGCTCAGGCCAATAACTGGGACATTGGTCAAGACTTCCCTGACGGTCGGGATGGTAAACCTGCTTGTACATCAACACCAAAACTACACAGGGGAGGCCACAGGGGAGGCCGGGAGGTGTCGCACTTACCTGTATGACCTTGCGGTATAGAGCCTTAGCCGAGAGGTCCTTCACTTGCGCCCAAGTAATATGGTCGTGGGGGTGGCGAAGATCCACCGTCGTCGGACCAGACATAGGAGGAACAGAGAGCAGACGCTCGACCAGTTTCCGAAGTGGAATGTCGCGGGATATGTTGCGCTTCTGTCTCTTCCCTCTGGCGTCCATATAGTAGTAGCAGTCATATATAACCTTGCTCATCTGCTCATCAGCACGCGCCAGCAACACCTGGTCAGGACTCTCTGGGACCGCAAGCTCAGAAGACTGCTTTGCGGGCTTTGCGGGCTTGCGCCGAGGAGGAGCCCGTGGCTGTGGCGGAGGTGATGGTGAAGGAGATCGTCGGCGAGGTCGGGGTGGAGGATGGCCTCTGGCTTGCTTCCGAGAAAAGATATCCGGCCCTGTGTACGCCCTTGCCTTCGGACCTGGTATGTCGGCGTCACCAGCCAAAGAAGCAGTGTCGGTCATTTCTTTCCAGTAGTCAGAGTGCTGCGTCGCGACAAAAGGTGGCATGGTACATACCATCATCGGAATCCTCAAAATGTTCCATGTAGAACGTGGAGTGAGATGACCGACGCTGTTCACCCGTGCTGGGTTGACATCGCCATGATAAGAATCTGCCTTCTAAAGACGAGGGATATAAAGGGAGGAAGGAAACTCACAGAAAGTTGTGGCAGTCGCTGGCGGAGGCAGCAGTGGGATCATGATACTCGCTGGACATGTACTTTGGCTTGCCGTTGTGCATTGACATCTGTGGTCTTTCGACGCGTGATGGGTTCTGTAAGCGCTATCAGGAAACGACAATATCCAGAGAAAGAGAATTTGTACCAGCCCCCAATTGCGAACTTTGCGCCATACGCACGTCAGGAAGATCTCCAAGACGTCGACCAGCTCCTCCTTGTTCCCGTGTGAGTAATCATCCAAGATGGGAATGACGACGGGCTGGAAGAAGGCCTCCATGAAGCCATATGGACCTGCACTCATCGCCACGCAATGCGCCATTCGCTTTGGATTGTCCCAGCAATGGAAGACTGACATGAGAGCAAGCACAAGATCTAGGCGCTCGATCTCCTCGCCAGATTCAATGCGGCCAATGAATCCTGCCAGCTTCTCCCAGAAGCCGCGGACGCCATACTGAATTTGGGTGAGCAAAGCAAAGAGAGAGCGAGCAAAAGCTAAAGGCGTACCAGCATAGAGCCCTCAAGTTTGTCGTAATAGCGTATCACAGCCTGGGCAGGCTGGATATCCCAGTATTGTCGAGGGTAAGAGCGTATGAACTTCACACCCTTGAGCAAGGCGGCGGTGATGTCGTTCAAGTCGTGGGATATCTGGAGCAGGCGCCCAACAGAGACAGGGAGCGTGAACACTCCAGCTCCTGTGACATCGCGCAGACAGAGAGACTTGACGAGCTTGACGAGCTGGTGGGCACGAGTGAGGCAAGGAAGAAAGAGACCGATCCCCCCGCATCCCGCAAGAAACTTGTCATGGAAGCGCTGACGTGCTGATGGCGAGACAGCAGCAAGGTCTTCTACGCCACGGATCTCGTTGACGGCGTCGTGGATGAAGTTAAAGCGACCACGTTGAAAGAGGCGATTGCCAAGGATGTCCAGAGCGCGGCGACCCTCGCTGCATGTAATGTAAAGGTCGGAGAACTGGGAGAGATCCGCCTCAATTGCGCGGATGTCGTCCTCCATGCAGGAGTAAGGTAGAACAGGTGCTCCGTCATGAACCTTGACCTCAATTTGAGGATCAGATGATCATAGACAGGAATAAGGGCACGTACGAGGCTGAACTTGAAGTCAGTCTTGCTCTTCTGCAAGTATTGATGAAGGCGCATGAGGTTGTGATGTGTTGCAGATGCGCTCTCATCACCAAGCTCCAACACATCCGCATCTGAAAGCTCCTGCGACAGAGACTATGGAGTCAGCTCACCATGAGGCGTAGCAGCGAATGAGGTAGAGGACTGACCTGCTCATATGAAGGCTCCTCCGGTGGTGGCGGTGTGGATGAAGGCGTCTTGTCAGTGGTAGGCACTGTGCGGCGTCGTTTCTGGACATGTTCATCATCGTCTGCTTCATCTGCTTCATCGTCCACGACATCTTCATGACGGTCTTCTGGCTGAAAAGGGACCAAGTAAGCGGTGCGCAAAGAGAGAAAAATAGTCAACTGGCGTCTGTACTGACCAAGGGATTGTCTTCGTCATTGTCAGTATTCATCGCATCATCTTCTTGTCCATTATTGCTGGTCATCGAGTCCATGTCAACGTCGGAGTCAGAGTCATCTGAGTCGGTCTTGTCGAGCCTGTCATTGACCTCGCATGAAAGAGGAACGGTTGGAGCGTCCGGGTTGCGCAATGCCAGGAAGATCAATTGGCCATAGAACTTTGGCGTGATGTCCTTGATCTTTGAGAGAATCGTCGCGCTGAGGAAGGGTGAATGATACGCCCAATTAGAGATGAAGGAACACGACCCACGTATTGAGATTGACGGCCGAGAAATCGTGAGTGAAGTGCTTCAGAATGAGACGCTTTCCAGCCTTCGCCTTCTTGCTCTTCCCAGCCTTTCGCCCCTTCAGGCTTGGCTGGTCTACCCGGAGCAAGATAAGATCGTGTTTGAGAATGAGATCGTGAATGTTCGCCAGATTAGCAATGGCACCCGGCGCCGGAAGAGCAAAGGCGGTGACAACTTGCGCTTTGGCGTAATGGCTATGGGCATCAGCTGCGATCGACACAGTCCGTGTAGCGCCATGCTGGACAAGAGAACTGAACCTGTACACAGCGTGAGCGGAGCTGAGAGCGAAGTTAAGAACAAGAAGAGCTTACTCGATGGCCGTTGGTCGCAGAGCTTGGCCAGCCCTAGCCCGCTTCGTCGAAGGGATCAGAACAAAGGTAAACTTGACGGTCCGAACAGGTTTGGGCTTCGGCGCCCTTCTGACCTGTGGCTCCGCTTTCGCCTTCATCATCTCCTCCTCCGCCTCCTTCTTCTTCTTCTTCTCCTCCTTCTTCACCTCCTCCTCTTCTTCACCTCCTCCTTCTTCTTCTTACCCACCCTACGCCGCTTGCGGTTCTGTGTCCCCAGTGGGTCAAGATCGGCCTGCTTGTGTAACTTAAAACTCGTCGTCAATACTCTATATGGCTTATGCAGGGTGCATCACATACCCGGTCTGCAGGGTTACGAGACCTGCTTGCCAGGCTCGTCTTAAAGCCCTGAAATTCATCACCAGCTGACGTCCAAGCGGCGCCTTCCAAATTGGGAACACACAATTGCGCTGCCACTTTTGGTGCCAAATCTTGCCCGATTTCCTTCAAGAAAAATGCAGCGTACTGCTGACTTCTCAGGGTAAAGTCATATGTAGATGGATTTGCCCCGACGATGTTTGTCGCGCAGGGACTGGTCAGACGGACCCACGTGCGTCTTTGATGGCACCCGCGTGCACAGCCACAACAGAGCCGCACACCTTTCCGTACATTCAGCAACATTGTATAACCTCACAGCGTTGCATTTTGAAGCGTATACATTGGTATTAGATCCTTGTACCTACTTGAGGTGGAAAAAGGCTGAGAAGTGTTGTGGTTGCAGCCGGGCGGGGCAAACAAGAATCCGCAAGGACGATGATGAATTTCCCACGCATCGCATAAACCCGAAAGGACAAAATATGCCCGGTGGCCTGAGCAGCGGTGTATGGCGTGAGGTGCAGGAAGACGACTATGGTCTGTGTGAGTCAGGACCCGGACGCGCCGTCAAGTCGCAAAGGTGAAAGATCGTGACAGCGGCGACAGCATGTTGTCGATGGGAAGTGGTACAAGCAGGGTCGGACACCGGGCGTGGCCGGTAGCGGGCGCGCATTGTGAGCGTCGTGGTCGAAGCTTCAGGTAGCAGGAAGACAGGAGCACGACGTCGTACGAGCGTGAGGACATGTTCAATCGGTAAATTTCGATCGACCTCCTGCCTTGCTATGCCGCGCGTATCGTCTCTTCGAAGCTGGGGGACACTCGAATCCGGTGAACTTGAACTATATTACACGAAAGCGACAATGATTGTATGAGTTGAGTCCGTTCCCATGCTGTATGTAGTACGACTATGAAGATATACAAGTCTAGTCCAGGTCCGTCAGATCGCTCTCAGAGTCTGACTCAGCCTCAGAATCCGGCTCAGAGTCCGAAGGGGCGAACCGCTTGGTCACTTCGTCGACGTGCTTGACGCGCAGATCGTCCATGAGCCCTCTAACGTCCAAAGGAGGACCTGGGTCATCCCACCGCTCGCCTTCAAGGATGTATTCTGGCCCAGGTGCCTTCGCTCTCGAGTCGCCGGGATACTTCGTCTTGCACGCGATCAGAATCGTGGTGGCCACGGTATACGCGAGTCGATCGAATGCCGTACCCTCCTCCGCCCACGTATCTGATCGTAGTCGCTCGGTCATGGTGTACTCGGCCAAACGCTCCGCGTTCTTCGCCTTCGTCTCCTTGTCGTCGTCGCCGCTAAGCTGCTCGGGTGCCTCGGCCTCCTTGATGTAGTCCTTGGGGCGGACGAGCATAAGGGCCATGGCAATCATGGGCTTCCTGTAGAAGACTGGTTGTTGATTAGCCAGTGACTGCGAAGGGAAAGTTGAGCGACATATACCTTGCCCGGTAGTGGATCGTATTGGCAGAGCAGCGGCCATGGAGATGAGCATCAACTGGACACCGCAATTGTGGTTGTGATTCGTAACTCCGTCCTTGGCGATCTGGACCCTCCTGGATACTTCCATCCGATGCAGATCGTCGTACGTGAAGTAATGTTTACCGGCCGCGGCGGTGGGAACGGGCGTGAAGGCGCCGTGAACAGTTCCAGCTGGCTGGTAACTGTGCGGGTATTAGCGCAGTTGCAGGGAAAGTCAGGCGAGAATGCAAATCAGAGCTTACTACTTCATGCCGGGCCTCAGTTCGATGATGCAGCCATCTACCTGCCAGTCGGGCGCAACACCATGTACCGATTTGGGGGCCTCCAGCGAATCCGTGCTCGCAGCCTGAATAAGTTCGAGGACACGAAGGATGAGTCGCGCATGTACTCGTCGACGCTGCAGTCTTGTATCGCCCGGTTGTGGCTTCGGCATGTTGGTCGCGACGAAGATGAACCATTCCTTCAGTCCGCCTCCGCGTATCTCTGCCGACGTCGCCATACCGCTCGCGTCGATGTGGCCGAAGGTGAGGAAACCAGCGGTGTGCAGGAGGAACCAATCGAGAGTCTTCATTATGTCCGCAGCGACGTTGAAATGCCCGCTGTATCTGTTGCCGGGTGTTGAGGAGATGGTCTCGATGACGTTGTCGGCGATCCGGCTGGGACATCCTTTGAGTTATGGTAAAAGAAAGGGCGCGTGCGCTTACTCCGTGACGTTGTCGCGTTGGGGGAACCCGCACGTTAGGTCAAGGATGCACCGCACTTTGTCAGGCATCTTCAGCCAAGCATGGAAGTCGAGAAGAGTCGCAGTGGCATAGGGCGCGAGTGGGTTCTTCTCTCTGAGAGGGGCGTCTGCATGCCGTTGAATGGTTAGCGGGTCTGAAACGGAATTGCCATGTATATGCGTACCTTGGAAGTCGCGTGGGGTCAGGACGTTAGCGCCTACGACGCCCTCCAGCCGGTCGATGGACCACGTAAGGGGATTCATGAACGGGTCGTCATCAACCGAAGTGCATGCTTGCGCCCAAGCGACGGAATCGGGGAAATTGTCGAAGACGAGCGGCTTACCGTTGGCGGTGCACTCAGCTATGAGTTTGAACGCCGCCTCTCGGGTGGTGAATGTCGCATGCACGCAGAGATCGGGGCGATCTCTGGAGCTTTTGAAGGTGCGGGCAACGGTCTTCACGTAAGTACAGTCCTGGGACATCATTAGTTGATTTGCAGGCCCATTGCTAAAGAGCAGCGTACCCATTTCAGCTTATTTCTGCCGCGCTTCCCTCTTCGCACGTCGGGCACGAAGGGAGTCGTGGTCACCAAGTTCGTGGGCCAGAGAACTGTGGGCGTGTCTGGCAGCCGGGGGACGTACTGACTTATGTCCCGACCCTGCGGACCGAACTTCCGCCAACCTACGTTGAATGACTCCGCCCCATCGCCTTTCCCCTCCATATGTGGAACGGGGATATCGTGCCCGACGTGGGCATCCTTTCGTAGGGTGAGCGCTTCTAGCCCCTTACGAAGGGCTTCCTCGCGCCTGGTGATGTCCTCTTCACGCGTTGCAGTCGCCTCCTCCCGTTTTTCGAGAGCATCGTGCCGCTCCGCCGAAAGCACCTCTCGATGCGCGACAGCTTGTAGGCGCTTCTCGAGGTCTTCGCAGCGGATCTTCATGTCGCCCTCGAGCCTGGTGAGGGCCTCCTCCCGCATCGCGAGGTCGTCTGCGCGGTTGATGAGCTCGTTATGGCGCGTATCGAGTTCGTTCATCCGCTTGTCGAGGTCATTCGCGCGCATGTTGAGGTGGACCTCGCGCTTCGCAAGGGCGACCTCTCTATCGCCAAGTGTGTGTTGTAGTGCCGCCGCCTCTGCTTCTCGCCTCTCAATATCGTTCAGGCGCAACTCGGACGCATGAGCGCGCATGGCGACTGAATCCTCTCGGATGCGGACCGCCTCGTCGCGCTTATCTGCCGCGTCCTCGCGGTTGTTGACCGCGGCCTCTCGGTTGTCGACTGCGGCCTCGCGGTTGTCGATCGCGACCTCGCGCTTGTGGACAGTGTGCTCGCGCTTGTTCACGGACGCCTCACGGGTTTTCATAGTGACTTCGCGCCTGTTGACCTCCTGCTCGCGCTTGTCGACGGCCGCTTTGCGTTCGTGCACAAAGTCCTCGCGGCTGTTCACTGCTTTCTCACGCATCCTGATGTCGATGTCGCGCCTGGTGAAGGTCGACGACGTCAGAGGCGCGCCGGCGGAGAAGGAAGAGCGGGATGGTGAAGATCGGTCGCCAATCATCGCACGCCCAGTCGTCGCGTCGTTGTCGGAGGTAGCATTGAACGTATAGGAGGCAGCGTTATACGGAGGAGCACTTGCGGGGCGGACAATACCACTAAGTTGCGTGTTCCAGTCTGGGGCGCGAACCGAGTCAAATGATGGGATTGGCATACATATCTTCTGCTTACCAGGGGCTAGTGTAAGGATGCGAGAGGCGGGATGGGAACTGTCTGTGCGAGCGGCGTCTACGGCATCGGCGTCTGTAGCTGTCGTACTCTTTGACTTCGCTGGATCTTCGTCGGGCGCGTGAGATAAGGTGTGAGCAGAGGATATGAATGAGTCTAAAGCTCACCACGGTTGTCGTTTTCGCCCCGGTGAACTTGATGCGACCCGAGTGGTGGATGCCCACCGCATGTGTCGGCTTGCGCGGCGGTGCGGTCACCACCCTGCGGCACATGTCCTTCCTTTCGGAGGTCTACATACAGAATTTGTGATCCTGTTTCTCGGTAATAGAGAAGAGTGACTCACCAGCATTTTCACTCGGCCCCGCATCATCGGGTGTCATGTCGGCCCCGTCTGCTATCGAATGAGAACCATGCACTTCGTCTTGGTGAGTGGCTGGTGTTGCCACATTTTGTGCACCCGCTGACGAGCGCGTTAGAAAGCGCATGAGGCGGCAGATCGTAAGATATTCACGAACAGGAAGATGCGTGCGACAAGGACCTCGGAGTTGTGAGTTTGAGCGTCACATTTGGGCCGAGCTTGAGCGATAGCTTCGGTAGCCTCGTTGTGACGGGCGTAGCCGGTGCGTCGTTGACGAGCGGCGACATGAGGGGCTCTTGTATCCGTCATAAGTCAAGGACCAAGATGAGATACCCCTATTCAGACATGAAGAACTCACCGGTTATGGTATCTGGTTCGTCTTTCGTGCCTTCATTGTCGTCGAAAAAGCTGAATAGTCCATCGAGATCAAGCTTCGGTTGCGGAGGTGGCGCACGGGCGTGATTAGGCGGGTAAATAAGACGGTGAGTAGGCGGCGCCAGTTTGGCTGCCTCGTGGTCAATCCTCTGTCTGTAGTGCAGGAGCTCAGTATCAGCGCCGTATCATTATTCGCGCCACACTCACTTCTTCTTCCTTTCGAGCCTCGCTGCCGCCTTTTTGTCTCCGTGGTGGACGACCGGCTCCGTCAACGAAGGATCCGTCGCCACCCACGTTTTCATCATCTTGCTCGTCCATTTACGCTTCGCCGGTATGGTCGGCGCAGAATGAGAGGAACCAGGGGAAGGACTCGAACTCATATCAATCAAGCGGAAGCAAGTGCTTGTTGAAGGCTGTTGTGGTCAATGGTGGTCGGATGTTCGAAGCCAGCAATTTCAAACTTAATAATTGCAAATTGGGTCCAAATCGGGAAGTTACATCTTCCACGTCCTCGTGCTCGCACCCGCCCACAGTGACCCCTTTTTCACGCGGCTGGGCTACCGTCTTCGATAAAACTGCAGCACCTGAGGTCTGTAAGGGCATGCGGGTATGTGCGGTAAGCGGAATGTCACAGCGATGTGAGCGTATGAAGATAGAGAGAGAATTGGTACGCGTCAACATCGGTGCCTCTGAAGAGGTCCCAACATCAACGGGAGTAAGGAGACTTACCGACCCGCAGCTCACAGGATCCGCTATTGCCGCCTATCTGTTGTTCCGGCACGTGGATTGACAACTCTGGGGACCCCCTAGACTCAAGCCATCGAATCCATCGCCTCGTTGTTAATCTGAGGCTTATGTGGAGTGGGCGCCAGGTATATAAGGGGAGCCGGGCGCGCTCTGGGCACCCGTCCCCCCAACCCACACACCCATCTTCTCGTCGTGGTCGCCTTTGTCGCACAAATGCGGTTCCCTATCTCATACGCCCGCTCTCGCACGTTCTCTCCGGCGACGTTGCCCGCCAGCGTTCGGTCCTTCTACGCCGTCAGCATGTCGTACGCGAACACTCTACTCGCCACGCATTTTCTGTCGACGGGCCCTGGTTCGAACTTCGCCATCGTCGCTTTCGACGTGGAGTACAAAGGCCGAAAGCACAGCGACAGCGAGATGCGCCTGCTTCCTGTTCCTCTCCCCCTCAGCCACCGCCGGAGTCATTTCCTGCGTCTACTCACGATCGCTCGCGATGGGGTGGTGATCGCGTTTGATCTGGTCGCGCTGGGCGGTACGTGATAGACGTTCGCCCATCCGTCATCGTACTGACCTATGCCAGCCATACCGGGTAGGCTGATCGAAATTTTCGCGGATCCAACTATCATCAAGGTCGGGATCGAGTTGAAGAGTGAGCGTCGTACGTCCATGTCGGTCCGCGGTCGACTGACTGAGTGCCAGGTGATTGCATACTCATCCTTCGTCACTTCGCGGTCGCCGTCTACAATGGATGGGAGCTGAGCCAGCTGTGGAAATCGATGCACCCCTCCATCGAAGCTGGTCCTCTTACGAGCCACATATCGCTAGACGACATGGCCCGTATCACCGTCGGCGTCAGGATCATGAAGGAGATGCAGAGGAGCGATTGGGGGACGTCCGTCCTAACCGAGGAGCAAATTGACTGTGAGTTATAGTCGCCTCTTTGATAACGAACGCACATGTCTAATGCGCCTACATAGACGCTCTGATCGACGCGTATATGCTCATTCCCATGATTCATGTCGTCCTCCACGAATACACTCTCGGTGTATGGCCCGATTTCGACGCCAGCGCCTTCTCCTTCAACGCCGATCTCGTCACCAATGGTGAGTGCCAAGTGACATCCGGTGCAGACACGTACTCATACGACTTTCAGGCGCCGTTACGTTCGCTGGCCCGCAGACGGTCGGCAGTCATATCAGGGTCTGGGGTGTTGGTCACCCTGTTCCAAGTGCGTCCACTGACGACTGGACACCCCGGCATCCTGTGCTGGACGCGTACAGGGCGGCGATCTACAATGATTGTCGCTCCATGGCCGCACGTCGGTTCTACGCGAGGGAGGGAATGATCTTACTGGAATCTAGTCGGAAGATGGCGATCTTTACTTCGTACCGCGTGTCCAGGTGGATCTATATGCACGCGCATGTTTCGCCGCTCGCCTTGTCGTACTTACTGTTACCTTTGCTCGCCCTTGTTGTGTATACATACGCTTAGAATGCAGACCATTGACCCTATCTGGGCTATCTCGCGACATCACGAAAGACAACAAGCACACGAACAGCAGTCCTGAGGCGACGCTCTCACCGTTCGCAGGGTGCCGCGCGAGCATCGGGACGCCCGCATGTGAGCTGTTCGAATATCGGCTGACTGTCTTCGTTCAATTGTTCCAGGACGCCAAAGCGTTGGTCGTTCTCGTCACGCGGGTAGAAATCGTACGCGAACAGATTTATTGAAAGTAAAGTAATTATTGGCGCGAGTATAGACGGACTACTGCGCGTTAGAGCTCTCCCCTTGGCCGCTGCCCTCGACCTCCATAGCGGTGCTGCGTATGCTTAGCATGGACATAGCCTTGCGAACCTTTGCGATGGGCCGTTCGTCTTCGTACTCTGCGATGATACGCCGGGGCTAAGAAAATCGCGTTTTATAAGGGGAAATTAAGCAATATGAAGCGGATCGCCGGCAAGCAATCAGGGCTATGAAATAGCAAGCTACTACTGTACAGGGAGCTTAGCCTAGATGGTACCAAAGGTGCTGGTGCAAGAGACTGTCAGCCTGTCCAGCTTCTATAAGCGGGTACTATAAGAGAAACCGGTTAGCGGGCTACCCTGAGGGCCACTAGGAGCTCCGAGGCACCTGACCGCCATGTCTGCGCGCCTTAGATGACATCCTTTGGATCCCTGAAAGGGCTGAGTGGGATGCAGTCGCTCTAAGACCGCCACTCACGGCTATAACATGCTTTAGCAGCGCCGGAATCTCGTATAGGAATATGTCGCACCCATTCAGGCAGTCTCTGCTAGCTACCTAAGGGAAGTCTGCCAAGGGAATCTTTCCCGAAGCAAAGCCTGTTGCCGGTGCCGCACGCGCGTCACCTGACCGTGTAACTCGAACCGTGACGCGGTTCGGACTTTGCCGAAACCAACTCGCACCGGCGCGACGCTTCCTCCGCGACGCGCGCTCGGTTTGCGGCCCCACCACGCGTGCCTCGATACACCTCGGCGAGCGGAGAATTCGACTGCGGACTCGTGCGGTCCCCAGGAGAAACCGCGCGCTCCCTAGGCGGATAAGATCCATATCTCGGTATCTCGACTCTCTGGCGCCTCTTCGACACCGGCAATCTTCCAACCGGCTGACAGTATCGTCCTAAGCCCGGTATCAGCGCTCCGGCGCTCGCGATAGGCAGGAATTGGGCGGGATTTGCAGGGGATGGCGCGATATGAGGGAATTATTGGGAGGAGATAGGAGAAGTGCCGCGGCGAGGCGTCGGGCTGGCCTCGGAGGGGCGAACGTTCAAATACCAGACTGTAGGATGGATTCAGGGACTTTTCGGACCCCGAGAAGCCCCAGTACAGCGCACCGCTAGAATCATAAGCTTAACCAGCATTTGACCGTCTGATCAGCCTTTGGGCAACTAAGCACCTGAATATCTCGTCGTAACCTTCGTATAACGCTTCCCAAGCGCCTGCGAAAGCTTTGAGCACAGACCCTCTCAGTAACCGCGACTCCCAGAGCACGGAACCTATTATTTCTCCAGTAGACTAGTTACTCCCAAGCAATACAAAAACCCGGACTCGCTGCGTCTCTGACCGGTGATTGACCATTCTACTGTGTGCTTGTTGTGTGTGGTTGAGGCCTGAGTCGATCAGAGGTCTTTCGAGACGTACGATCCCATTATCTGGAGCCCACCGCGAGGGAGTAACCTACGCACTTGAGGAATAATTCTGAGAAGCGAACTCGGCTGTAGCAGGTTGTCAACGAGGACGATCAGTCGTATTCAGGCTTAACAAAACGGCGCCTGGACCGAAATCCGCTCTTAAAGCACTTGAATCGGGTTGGGATAGCGCATCGTCGTCTCGATCCCGTGCAAAGGCTAGAGAGAAGGCTCGTTTAGCAGCAAAAGCGTCGGACGCTAAGTGGAAACGCAAAGCGAAAGCATCTACCTCTCACTCATCCTCACAACCTATACATTCACCAACCCCACCCGCTTCTCCTCAGCTACCAGGATCGTTTCCTGAGAACGCTGGTCCTCATCCTTCAACTCCAGAACCAGATTCCCCTCTCCCTTCCATTCGTGATCTTTCCGTTTCCCTCTCTCATCTCTCGATCCATTCCCCGAGGCGCTCGCCAGAGACCTCACCGCTCACACCTCTCTCGGATTCTCGTTCCAACTCTCCGGTTCCCAGTCTATCAGATCTCATTCCTGCTCCCAATCCTACTCAATCCTCATCTCGTCGTTCCTCCTTCTCTTCTACTTCTTCCTCTATGGCTCCCCATTACACGCATACGGCACAAAATGCCCCGCGCTTCCACGAAGATAACGTAGCCGACCTTGAGGTTTGGTTATCCGACCTCAAGGCGTACTTCGAAGAGCATAATGTACGCACTGCGGCAGATCAGATACAAAAAGCGCCGTTCCATGCGACTGAGAGGCACGTCCGAGACCTTTGGAAAGAGGTAGCGGACAAGCATGCCAACAGTACTTGGGAGGAGTTCGTCGAAGCGATTTTAGCGTGTTACCCGGAGATTTCTGGGAGCCGTTCAGGCACTTTGACCGAACTGCACAGGATCTGTAATAATTATCGCGACTTGCATGTCACCGACCTCACCAGAGGTCCCGCCTTCCTGAGACGCTTCGAAGCGTGTGTAGGAGCGATCAACAAGGGCGCTAACCCGCTGTCTAACTTCGATGTCTGCTCGAAGATCGCCATGGTCTGCACGCCGGAGCTGCTCCGGACGCTCGACATGACGTTGAACGGACAGGCCCATCAACTAGTATCACCAACACAGCCTGCACCCCCAGCTGGAGGAGCGGCTGCGCCAGTCAGACGCCCGAATCGCACCTCGATTGTTGAGGGCGGCTACAAGTGGGAAGATGTAGTGGCTTGCATGCGCGATTTGTGGCGCCGGGGCTACCGAACGGATGCTTTAGGCGTGGGCGTACTTTCGGCGGATGAGTTGGGTGGCCGAATGGCTCATACCACCGAATCAGGCTCGCGCCTGGTAAAATTGGAGCAGGATCTTCACGACCTGGTCGAGAGAACGAGCAAAGCGGAGACTGAGACGCGTGCGACACTGCGTAGCCTGCAGAGCGAGGTCAAGAGCGAGCTGTCTCAAGGGCTAGAGAAGAGCGATAAAAACCTTCAGCTGATTAACGAGACCATACAGCGGTTAGCCAACCAGCAGCGCGCTCTTCAGAACGCGAATGCTCCGGGGCCAGCTGCGAGCATGGGTCCGGCAGCTTTCCCTCAACAAAATGGATGGGGAGGGCGGCCGAACTTCCCAGCCCAAATGAACCGACCGCAGAACGGGTTCGGGGGTGGGCAACGCAGTGGATTCACGCGGCCACCCTTCACCTGTAATTGGTGCGGACTGACCGGGCACATGATGTCCAACTGTCTTGACTATCAAGCCGCGGTGCGTTCGGGGGAAGTAGTTCCCGACAGCACCGGTAACTTGCATACTAAGAGTGGTGAGCCCATCCCTAAGCGCATGGGTCCAATGGACACTCCCATGAAGGAAAAATGGGCCCAGATCAAAGCTTCAGCTCATCAATATGTTGTCGCGCCTTTGATGCAGCTGGCCAATCTAGCGGCCGACAATACATTGTGGGGATGCGGAGGGTACGACGAGGAAGTCATAATCGACTCAGGCTCGATGGGAAACATACCCTACGCCATCAACGAACAGGGACAAGCGTACTACCCGCAGCTCACAATGCCTGAGACGTGGAGTAACTACACCACGAACCGTCCTGAAGGGAACGCAGACGCTTCGGGCGCGGGTTTTTAGGAGGTTCAGGGATTCGCGTCCCACCTCAAGCCCAACGCTGGGGACGCGATGAGAACATAGCTAGATCAGCGTCGAACGCGTTCACACAGAACAAAGCGGCAACAACTAACCAGCCTACGAAGAGTGGGGCGAATAAGAGCGCGAATTCGCGGCCTGGCCCGCCTCCTCCAAAGGAGGGCCCCGCGCATCCTTATCGAGCTGTACCAGAGACTCGTTTCGTACCATATGATCAGAGACCGCCAGCTTTGCCGGTAAAACCAGGGGAAAATCCAAGGAAAGACATGGCTAAGGATTCAGGCCGTTTGGCGTCGGCGGGAAGGCCTCAAGCGCCTGTCCAAAGAGCTACCGAACCTGAGAACGTGCTAGAGAAATTACTTGAAGCACGCTGCCCTACGACGGGTATTTCCTTAAGAGAGCTACTCGGTGTTAGTCCGTCGCTACAGGACCTTCTTCGGAAGGCGTTGACGCGAAAGAGTGACATTATTGATAGTTTTGGGAGTCTCTTCCATAAGACATTATTGAGAGAAGCGTATCAGAAGAGGGAGCTCGATTACTCACAGGGTATTCGTTGGCGGTCAGCACCCGAGGAAATGCCAGCCGATTCAGGCCTACCTGCCGATTGGATGAACCTACAAAATGAAGTGATCACCACGACGGTAGAGTTACCCTCGGGCGCTTGTGGGAAAGTACCTGCCGGGTCTTTCGTCCAAATCGACTCGGCTTTCGAGGTCTACCAGAGTATGAATGACAAAGAGAAGGCAGGGGTCATCTTCGCTGGAGAACCCACTGCTAACCTGCGTACGCTATGGCCTATCATAAATAAAAATGGCGCGGACGAGTGTATTTTGGACAGCGGCTCGCAGGTCGTGTCGATGTCGAAAGACTGTGCTCGAGCGAAGGGAGCGGCCTATGACCCCACAGTGAAAATACGCATGCAGAGCGCGAATAACCAAATAAATGAAACCTTGGGACTCGCGAGGAACATCCCTTTCGATTTTGCGGGGACCATTATATATCTTCAGTGCCACGTATCGGATACGGCCGCCTTCCGGATCTTACTGGGGAGGCCTTTCGACACCCTGTGCGAGTCCGTGGTCTCTAACGACCGATTTGGCAATCAGGAAGTGACGATCACTTGCCCGAACACCGGTAATAAAGTGACCATGCACACATACCCCAGAGGCACGGTGCCGGAGCACATGCGCGAG